CTCTCCCTCTGTCTCTCCCTCTGTCTCTCCCTCTGTCTCTCCCTCTGTCTCTCCCTCTGTCTCTCCCTCTGTCTCTCCCTCTGTCTCTCCCTCTGTCTGTCCTCCTCCACTGCCACCGACCCACAAAACCACCCACAGACCTCCCTACTATATTCCCCACACCCCCTCCCCTTTTAGCGGCTCCCCTGGACAGGACCAGAAATCCTGGAAAGAATCCCCACTGGACCACAAAGACTACCCCAAAACCCTCCCCCAACTCGTCTTTCCCGGCCTCGCCGGCGAATCCGAAGGCGGGCTATACCATCTCGCCACCTTCCACCACCAGCTCACCTGCACGCGCACGGCCATGGGTGACCCCGACTACGCGGTCTTCCTGCAGGATCTGCACGAGTTTGCGGAGGATCCGCGTGTGTCGGATACGGATCGCTGGTCGCGGCCGTGCGTGGATTGTGCGGGGTATTGGGCTGGGACTGGGGCTGGAACTGGGAGGGAAGGGTTGGGGTGGTTTTATGATGGGTTGGTGCGGTGGGTGGGTTCTGTTGTTGATTCTAGTAGTTTGAGTCATGGGAGTGGGACTGAGGATAGGGAGGGAGGTAGACATAGGCGCAGGCACAGACACAGGCACAGGCACAGGCACAGGGAGACAGATGGTAGTGGTAAGAACGGCAGCATCGAGAACCTCATGGAGCGGGATAAGCAGATGCTCGAGGCGATGCGGGCGCTGTATGTCTATGACATCTACAGGCAGGGGCTTGAGCCGGCGTGGCGGAGCGGGGTGAAGTCCGGGGTGTATTGGGCAGATTTCTTGGAGGTGTTCGGGCGGCGGGCGTGCGATCAGCGATGGTTGAGCCAAGTGGCTGATTATTTCGCTGTGCAGAAGAGAGGGCAGGGCCCGTCTGTTTGTTGATGGAGTTTCAGTCAGTGAATGGGGTTTGCAGTTTGAATCATATTATAGTAGTACTCATATCAACTATCACCTATTCTTAACCCAGGACGTTTTTGGCTTATCTGATTTGCTCAATTGACTCTTTTCTTCTTGAGTATGTACCGTACCGGTAGATGCCCATAGATGATTTAACAACAAGCTGTATCCTGCACAACCCTACACACATACTATACCCTGTACAGTACATCCGGCACACCCTAAACCCATTCCCCAGGAATAATATATACATAGCATCTTTACGCATTCATTCCATGACCAGCACCTACTCCCAAGATTTACCCCCCCGAACAGGCACCCTCAACAACCTCAACCCCCCCTCCCCCCCGATCGGAGCAGGCATTCTGCCTCCCCTCACATTAACCTGCAACGCCACATGCAACAGCCTCGGCTCGCCCAACCCCCGATCCCTCTCTCCCCTGAGCCTCACAAACTCCTCCCGGCTGGGACCCCCCTTCTTCAGATGCCGGTTTCCCTGCTGATGCTCCCGGACGGTCACATACGGCACCACCTCCTTCCTGCCCCCAGCCGGCGGGGGATAGTCATGTCCCGCCCAGACCTTCGTGTCCGGGGCCAGGGCAAGCACCTTCTGGCCGGACGCCCAGAGTTGTTCCGGGGAGCCGCCGGGGAAGTCGCAGCGCGCGGTACCGATATCGGGGTGAAAGAGGGAGTCCCCGCTGAAGAGGTTTTCTGTGTGCAACCGTTAGTGAGTGAGTGGAAACAACATTTGAACAGGAAACCCCGCCCCAACACAAAAAGAGAAACGTACCACCACCAATCAGATACCCCAAATGATCCGGCGTATGTCCCGGAAGATGCACCGCGACCGCCTCCAACCCCCCAATGCGAAACGTCTCGTCGTCCTGGAAGAGTCTATCGAACCCTCCCTTCGGAGGCTGGTACTCTTCCGCGGGGATGGCGTAGCGGGCGGCGAATAGCCGCTGCACCTGTGAAATGCGGTGGCCGGCGCAGATCGGCGGCTTGGAGGGTTGGCTCTGCGCGAGACGGGCTTGCAGGTAGGCGGCGGCGGTGAGGTGGTCGGCGTGGATGTGGGTCTCCAGAATGTGCGAGATGGTGTACTGCTTGCTGGCGGCCAGGGCGAGCAGGGTGTCGGCGGTGGTGGTGGTGATGGTTTGCGTGGTGGGGTCGTAGTCGAGGACGGGGTCGATGATGGCAGCGGCTGATGTGGTGGGGTCGGCGATGAGGTATTGCCAGGTGCTGGTTGGGGGGTCGAAGAGGGCGTGGATGTTTGGGGTGGTTGGGGAGGTGCTGAGGATGGTGGTGTTTGGAGGGGGTAGGATGGGTTGTTGCATGGGAGGAGGAGGTGGTGGTGGTATACTGGAGTAGGGTTTGATGGTCGGTTGATGGTAACACATCCGATTGAGCATCACTCGCCGTGCGGTTGTCCGAGCCGGAGACAGGATGCCACCGGCACGCTGAGCGCTGATAGACCCTGGCAGCTTCATAATTATGCTTATAGGTGCTGGCGTATACTCTGGATATCTAACCTCGCAGCAGAGAATGAGGTTTTAAGTATGCTCGGCGAGGTACGTAGTCTCGGCATAGGCCACCTGATGTCATTCGGCGATGGGCCATCGGCGACCCGTCATCCTCCCCGTCCGGCCCTGCGGCTTTTCCCACTTCCCCGAAGTCGAACATTCGAAAGGGTTTCTGGAGGATATCTCGGGAGTATTATTAACATGGGTGTCTGATGACTGACTCATAGCTTAGTGGGAGTGGCAATTGCTCCCACCGGGTATGGGTTTGTCAGCTCATTCTCGCTGACCGATCAACTCATACATCAGCAAAGATCTATGGATTTCTTCTTGCGCCAATGAGACGACTCTTCTGAAGAACAAACCTGTTAGAGTATGAACCTGCTAAACAGGGTGATAGACGATCTGGTGCACAACTCACTTGTCCAACAAAATCCAAATCACAACAGGGGCATACTACGTAGTCATCTCAGCAGTATGCTTGGACCTACGACTTGGACCCTACTTGAACCGACTCCGCGATCAACATGAGTGTCTACTCTATAGTGGGGCCCAGCCCTACCCGACCATCCTCATCGCCATCACCCACCCTGGCTTTTCCAGAAAAGAGCAGAAAAAACACAGACCGGCTTCAACAGAACAAGCGTAGTACGTACCTGCAAGATCAGGGTATCTTCGGACAATGCTGCATATATAGCACAACCCCTCTCATAAAAGACATCCTGCACACTCGCACCCATCACCCATCTCTCCCCACCGACCAACTCGACACCCAACTCGCTTCAATCCCGACAGCGCAGTACATCATTATCTACATGATACATCTATACTGCATGCGTCCATCCAACCAATAAAGTTCAAAGTTAAGCACGTGGCCATAGCCCTAAAGACTCCTCCGTACAATACATTCCCACCGCGGACAAGAAAACTAACCCCAAATCCACACACCGCATCTTATCTCCATGACTCCATCGGAGAAACGGTCCCACTCCCTCTACAGGAACGGAGTTACCGGACACAAACGCTTTTGACTGACGACCCATAAGGTACCTACCCATCAACCAATCTCATGCAACTAGAAAAACTCCATCGCAACGAGGCCCTCCCGCCCCACTCTGCACCGTTAACGCAAGTAAATCGCACCAATCAGTTCTTTGAGGAAGCTATTTCGGGGAATAAGGTTAGATTTTCATCCCAAACGCCCTGAATAGCATGTGCACGGCCAGATAAGATCTGTAATGACATGAAAGTACCAATTGGAGAATTCAATGTCATTCGTATCAGTGCCGTTGGTCGTGCTGAAAACCAAATTCTTTGCACAGGCCGTGATCCGGAAAGGGGGCATTTTGGTCCTACCGGTCAGATGAATTGGGCAAGACGGCTCCGATGGCTTCCCGGTTTCTCCCGATGGTGGGGGGAGGGGGTTTGGTTGTTTTTTTTTTTTTTTTTTTTTTCTATGGCGGAAAGGCCGGAGAGTTCCCGTTCGACGCCAAGTATCATCCCTAGCAACCAATCTCTCGTAACGCAACTGAGAAAAAGAATTGAGGAGGAATAATTGTTGAAGTTGGGAAATAATCACCTAATGGACAACCTAATAACGACCAAGGAAACTTCACCGCTATGCTCCAAATCGCCCGACTAGGATACACAATAATTAACTAACAAACCCATAACAAAAGGATATCACTCATGAGCGCAAGCCGTAATCAGACCGTCAAGGCATACCTAACGCTGGCTGAAAATCGCTTGCTATGCAGACAACCACAATGCAAAACTTCATCGTAAACCATGTCCACACTTTTGGCGCTCGTGCAATATCATCAAGTCAAATAATCATCCGAAAGATGCGCCATGCGAACATCAGCAGGGTATAAAACTGTTCATGACAAAAGAGTCGAGAGTTCCACACAACTTGCAGCAAAATAAGAAATCACTTCTTGAACATGTAGTGTCCGTAGATGCCACCGACCTCTCCGACGGCGACGGGAATTTTTCTCATGCCCCACCATCTGGCACCCATCTTCCAGTCGCGCGAACCATCGTCCAGCGCGTAGTTTGGCATCGAGCTAGGATCGCGCACATACCAGCCCCGACGGCCGAGCTCCCGAACCGTCCAGCCGGGGGAAGTTTTGGCGTTCCGGGCTCTCTCGCGCAGGGGAGCGATCAGCTTGTCGCTGAATTCGATCACCTGCAGAGGGTAGGTCTGCTGCGAAAGGATGACACAGGCATTCGGGTTGAAAACAGTGCCGATGGTCAGCTGAGGCGCCTTGTTCAGATCCAGGTAACGCAGCGTGTGAGGAACCCACTCCGCAAGGGGAGTCGGGGGCACCGCCTCAAGGGGAGTGGGTGGAAGGCTGTCAATCGGAGTGGGCGGCGCACTCTCGGCCCCCGTGGCCGGTCGAGGGGGAACGAAAAACTGGTTCAGATCCTGGCCCGAAAGTTCACAGGAACTCAGTCCCAATTCCTCCAAGTGCTTCGTCAGAGGAACCAGGGCTTTGGTGTGCACCGAGGTGACTTTCGCACCGCCAAGGTTGAGAGAGCACAGGGTGGAAGGCAGGTGCGGGAGGAGAGCCGAGACATCTTCCTCCTCCAGGAGACGGGAGCGCGTAGGATCGGTCAACAAGTTCAGATACACCAGGGAGTCACAAACCGCGGGGTGAGTGGTCAGGAACTCCACCACCCTGGGGCCACGAAGACGACTGCATCGGGATAGACTGAGATGGGTGATTTGAGCGGTCTTCGGGATAGAGAACAACGCATCCTCGCTGACCTGAGTGTGGGTGAGATCCAGATGAGTCAGGTTCACCAAACGGGGAAGCAGGATCTCGAACGCCACAGACGGCAAGCTGCTGCATTCGTGCAACGAGACCCGTTTCAGATTGGGCAATACGGCCGGAAGCCCAGGTCCCGCGGTCAGAGCTTCGAGGAAGAGGCTGGAGAACGACTGGGTGGAACAGCCGCAGAAATCAACTGCGAACAAATTGGGAAGGCCTGTGAACAGCTTCCGGATAACTTCCATGCTAAGATCACCTTCAACGTGCTCTTGAAGCAAGCATTCGCGCAGATTTGGCAGCAGCTCCAAGCACTGAAGCAATGTCTTGGAAGTGAGGTTCTGAATCTCCGAGTTCATCTGCTTGGTACGTCCCAGACCCACCGAGGTAAAGTGAGAGAAGTCGAGACGACGCACCAAAGTGCCCAGGGCGGGATAGCGAGAGATGTGGTTCAAGGCCTTGGAGAAGATGATGGAGTGAGGGAAAGTCATGTTCCTATACAAGACGCTGAGCGTAGCCGCGTGCAAAGTCCTGGAAGTGAGAAGGCACGAGATAAGATCGACATTCCGCGGGGTATAACCGTTGGGAGGTACGTCAAGCGCCAAAAGGGAGATAATCTGATCTGTCATTCTTGTTAGCCGGGACCGTTGAGAAGCACAGGACGAGCTCTTACCCAGCACTTCCGGGGGGACTTTCTCCAGGCGCGAGGTTCCGGGGACCGGCTTGGGCTTCTCTTCCACGACGACCACCTGCTGCTGTTCCGGAACCTGCAGGGTCTGGCTCGGCTGTTCCGCCACCGGGGAAGTCGACTCCCACGCCCAACGGGAGTGCAGTTGGTTCAGCCCACGTAGATCACTGTAGCTGCGGCTCAAGCTCTTCCCCCCCAAACGGATCTGCTTCCATCCCAAAAAGCCACCACAGGGGCAGCAGAAGTCGGGAGTCGGCTGCATCTCAAAAGGGTTAGGCTTAGCGGTCTCCTGAGGGGATTGATCAATATGGGTATCGACGAACGATTGCGCAATGCCTGGAATGTATTAGCCACGACTCAAATGCCGTGGGAGTGGCAAGATCTCCTACCGTCGACGTCTTCCTTGATCGAGCCAAAAGACTCCCGGCGACGGCTGCTCGACCGTGAATGTTCCGCTGACGAACACGAGGGAGAATGGGGGGAGGTGCTGCGTGAGCCGTTGGAAGGCGAGGCGGTCCCGGAGGAGGTGTATCTCACGAAGGTTTGCTTCGGAATCGCAATTGCGGTGGGAGCGGTGGCGGCGGAAGACATGGTGGGTAACGGTGTTACTGCGGACGGGAAAGGCTCTATATGGAAGTAGGGCCAGTCCCAAGCAAGTGAATAGGACGCCGCGAATTAGCAAACGAAGGCAGACGAGGGGGGATGGTGGTGGTGGTGTGGTGTGGTGGTGAGCCGACTGTGGGTGTGTGTGTGTGAGTGTGAGGCGGCGGGATGAAGGAAGACGGAAGACGGAGGAAAGAGGAGGGGAGGAAATGGAAGAAGAGAGGAAGGAAAAGCTTTTTCTTTTTCTTTTTTTCCTCTGTTCTTTTAATTTCCCTTTCCCTTTTCTTTCACTTTCCCCGGATTCCACTGAAAAACCCCCTGGACAGCAGACAGCAAGAGGGGCGAGCGGAGGATGAAGATGAAAGCTGTTAGTCACAGATTGCAGTAGACTGGGATCAAGGCGGCGTCCCGAGCGACAAGCCTATGCACTCAAGTGGAGTGTTGCTGATGGAAATCGCCGATCCCTGACGACAGCACTTGTCCTTCTAATTGAGTGACTTCGAGGGTAGACGCAGTGAATATTAATTAACAGGGATCAGTGTTTCTATGAGAGAACTGGAGCACGATGGCAAATAATTATAAAGGAAAGAAGGAACCTAGAAGGAAAGGAAGAAGAAAAAAAAAAAAAAAAAAAAAGAGTAGTGAGGCGGCAAACCACGACGTCAGGTTTCCATTAAGTAAGGCAAATTGCAAAGAGTGGTGGGTGGAGCCGGAAAAGAAGCAAATCAGGGTGGATCGGACAGCGGAGAAGAAAACAAAGAAATCATCATGAATCAGATGTGCAACCTCACTGCATCATCCTGCATCTCACGGATTATCTCTCCGGGTCGCCATCTGTCTTCGTTCATTCGCTGATTTGTACAGTAAGGTGGATCGATCGCGACTAGAAGCGCTTGATTCTTATTTTATCCCCGAACTAGTCAAGTTACCTTAGTTGACTACTACTACTAACTACTTTGTCCTAAGTGAGTATCTCACCCACCTTCGGAGATGAAAGAGGCGGGCGATCAGGTCATGACTGTCATAATAATTCTGGACATGACAGTACCAGTACTCCGAAGTCCTGACTACTAGATTAGGTACTTAATGCTCGTAAAGTCACTCAATGATTTCCATTAGGATATGGAATGCAGTGATTTGACCATCCAGCGGGGTTTGGCTGCATTCTATGACATAATAAAAAACCGTTCGGCTGCAGCCCCGTGACCCCGGCCCCAAACGGGCGGTCCGGCACTCTGTCTAGACTTAGTAGAATCAGGACTACTATACTAGTAACTCTAAGGTAGTCTATACTATATTAGTCGTTCACTAACTCTGTCCAGCTTGAATTGGGTTTGTCTTACCCCAGGATTTTGGCCAACCAACCGCGGGATTCCTTACCTAATAAGTACCTGGTCCCGTGATCCATCGCGGAGAACACGAGTGCTCCAGGTGACTGGTAATCTTCCCCCTCTTCCCCCTCTTCCCCTCGTCTTCCCCCTCCTCTTCATCTCGCTGAACAATGAATCAATGCATGAACCACATGAGCACACATCCATATCCCTGGATTCTTATTTGAGGGCTTGGCTAGTCCCAACTGAAGCTGAAGGTGGAATTCTTCCATGCATCCTGCTTGGCCCAGCTCGCGGTTCCCCAAGCCATCCACTCCAGATAGTGCACGGGCTCGCCATTCCATCGCTTATCACTTCCTAGAATATTGACGGTCTCATTATTGAGCCTTCAAGTTAACTTACTAGGTACTGACTGCACTATCCTTCTCCGTCCGCAAATGGTTCCGCCCTGGATCCCCGACCAACCACCTATTTTCTTGGCTGGTCTTGGCCTGTTCCTTGCAGTGGAATCTGGGCATCTCCCCGTCTACCAAAGCCTCTTCTTTCCCTTTCTATTCGTTGAACCGAGCCAATAGTCATGGGCAAATAGCTAGTGTTGCAATGCAACAATAGCCTGGGATTCTTCTGTCAACCAGTGGTGCATCCCTGGAAGCATTACCAAGAAGGATCTCCCTTGGCTGTGAGAGCCGCCCAGACGCGCCCCCACCCACTATTCCCTGCCCTTTCCCTATTGTCGGGCCGCATGGGGTCACCGTGATATCTCCTCACTCGATCATGCTAGAATGGCACTATTAATTTAAGCGAGGTGGTCTCATGCAATGGAGATAACTCGTCATACCTGCGGATGTTGTACAATTTTACTGACCTTTCCACACTATCCACCATCGATCGGCTCAACCAGAGTAGCATGACTCGTCCCTTGGCTCCGCCTCTAGGATCGGTCTAACCAATGAAATACCCTTGACTGCTACACGGACACCTTCTATTGAGAGACGGTTGACGCGAGTTCATAGCTGTATCCCTAGAAGCGGAGGCTAAACTGACATTGGGCTAACTTTTTGAAAGTACAAAAAATATGTGGCACACAGGTCATCCTCCCGCCAGCTGCGTAGTTCATCAAGCGGAACCAAATCGGTCGATCGAGCTGCCTGCTGAAGCCACTCTCATGCAAACAACGGGTGTTCAATTCCTCCAAAAGACCTATACTCGCCCTAGCAGACCTCCTGACGTAGTCGCTTTCGCGGCAAAGGCAATGCAGCCGCCTGCCAGAGACAAGACGCCGCTGAAAATGGACGCTTGCAGGAAGCCTCCGTAATGATCAAATAATGCTCCGATCACGGGGGGTCCAATCAAGGCGGCGACGGAGCTGGCTGCAATCCCCATCCCCAGATATGTCCCACTATCCCGTGCGTCCTTTACGCAGAGCGTCAGAGCCGCGGTGGCTCCCGAGATGATTGTGCCCGATGCGAATCCGATGAACACGGCGTACACCGCCAGCCCGGCCGTGGACTGCGCCTTGGTCATACACAGGCTGATCACCCCAGTGGCGATCCCTCCCAGGGCAAACATGTTCATTCGACCGTACTTATCAGCAAGTATCCCAGGGATGATGCGTCCGAACGTGGACGCCGCGTTGAGGATGGCGAGCAGGTACGAGGCCAACGTGGCGTCGACTCCCTGGGTGACTGCATAGGTGGGAAGATAGAACAAGGGCGTGAATAGTCCGATGAACATGAAGAAGAAGGCGGCGACGATGAGATCAAACCGCGCCTGCGTGAAGGCTTCCGGGATGAAGAACGAGGTCGTGCGCGGAGGCAGGCGGGGCTTGACGACCATACAGGCGAAGCCCATCAGGGGAATGATGACAAACCCCATCACTCGCACCGACCACCCAAACCCGAGCGATGAGCTGTTGAGCATTTTGGACAAGGCAATCGGGAAGACGACGCCTCCGATCGACGAACCGGAGATGATCAAGCCGAGTGCCGCTGCTTTCTTCTTGTCGAAGTACTGTGCCGTGGCTGCCATGGCCGGAAGCTGAAGGAACGCCATCGCCGTACCGAGAAGGACGCCTTGTGCCAGCATGAACTGCCAGTACTTGGAACAGAGGCTGGTCATCATCATAGCGACGATGTAGACCACCGCAGCCGGACGGATCACCTACCCCTACGTTAGCGGACCGCAAAACTAACCGGCATGAGACGATACTGACCCATGCGCCATAGCGATCGAACAATGGACCTCCGAGCCCGCCTGCTGCGAATTGGAGGAAGGTGCATACCGACCCGATCCAGGCGATACTGCTAGTCGACTCGTTGCGCAGCTGATTGGCCGCGTAGTACTCTTCAAAGACCCCGAATGAGTTCGCAAACCCGAGACAAGAGAAGATGATACATGCGCTCCCGCCTGCGACCAGCCACGCCTGGAGACCACCGTCTGGCGCCGCGGCGTGGTCAGCGGATACGATAGGCTCTGTTTTCTCCACATCCGACTGGGAGGTCTGGTGGGGTTTGGTGAGACCCATGACGCGATACGGGTGGTACAATTGTAGTAGAGCAGCTCAAACTGCCTCTAGGCTCTGTAGTACGAGATTCTGGGTGATACCATGCCATCGTTCTCCATTCTCTTATATGTAGATGTGACCGTACGACTGCTTCCAGCATGCGGGGGATATCCATAGGGCTGACGGGGCGGACTCGGCCCTCGGTCGTCGGTCGGGAAATGGGCGTCCAGTTGGACCAAGAACGCAGTCATTGTTCCTCACCAGCCAGCAATGTGAAGGAGCAGGTCAAGGTAATTCTCCTCGAGTGACTTCATGTTCAAGCGCTGGATAATCCAGATTCAGCACCAGACAATTGATCTTCGCGAATCAGCTGACTCAGTTAACTCCATCAAGACCTGGAGCAATGGCAGCAAGGAACTATAGCTATCGCATCACATGACCTGGCTATCCCCGTCGGCGAGTGGGGGATTCGACTTTCCCGAGAATTTCCCCCAGTATCTCCGCCGTTTGACCCCCACTTGCATTCCTCGAGTCACCCCCCATGATCACGGCAGTCTACAATGTCTCCTTGACCCTTAGGTAACTAGTCAATATCCTCTACAATCAGTATCGATGCTTACCGCCGGGACGGTTCGACACTCAGCCATGATAGGACCTGTGCGCCGACGTCGCAGACCCGCCGTGTAAGTAGATCGGAGAATTCTCAGTTCTCCTGATTAACCCCGCGCTGACACCGAAGCCAGCTCCTGCTCTCTCTGCAGACGGCGAAAGATCAAATGTGATCGTCAGGCCCCTTGCAGAAATTGTGTACGCTCGAAAAACGAGGCCCTCTGCGAATATGATACTTCGGAGGTCCCTCAGCATCTCCCGCCGACGTTTCGTGCCGCAGTCGCCCACGCGATCCCCACGGATAATGATCTGTCACGTCCCAGCCACACAGCCTCCTCCGTCTCGAGTCCTCACTCCACAGTGCATGCCACAGTTTCCACCAAAGCTTCGACCATCACCAGTCCCCACTCCGACCAGAATGTGGAGGCCCTCAAAGACAGGGTTCGTCAGCTGGAACAGCGACTGGCGGAGACGGCAGCAAAGTCTGCAGGCGAGCCTCCACTGGCCCCTATAGGTGAAGTTGTAACGGCAGGCTCAACCTTGACGGGGCTGTTCCACCTGCACAATGAGACCATTTTTCCCGGCCAATCCCGAGCGATCACTCGTAGCTTGATGCACAAATCGCGTCTCTTTGGTCAAAGTCACTGGATGAACGGCATGGCAACCGAGGCGAGTGCCTGCTTGGTGTCTTTTCGTGGCTCGGACTGACTTTTCTAGTTCTGGAATCTTTTCCAAGTCCTCGAGACGCATGCGCGGAATGTCAATAGTCAAGCATTCTCCAAGCTGCAGAAATGTAAAGCAATAGGCAAGCTCATCAAAGATAGGCGGACACCCAGCTGGCCGGTGGTCACCGCTATCCCCCTGCCTCGGAAAGAAGTGGCCGATGAGCTTGTGGACTGCTACCTGCGCAGCAGCGAAGCCATCTACCGCATCCTGCACATCCCCACCTTCCGCCGCGACTACGATGCACTGTGGGTCGGTCACACCACGCCGGACTCTGCGTTTCTGATCCAGCTCAAGCTCGTCCTGGCGATTGGAGCGGCCACTTACGACGAGCGCTTCACCCTCCGTCCGTCCGCGATAGCCTGGGTCTACGAGGCGCTGACCTTGCTCGCGAAGCCCGAGTACAAACTGCATCTCAGCATGCAGTTCCTCCAGCTCAATCTGCTGGTGCTGCTGGCGCGCGAAGCCACCGGCATCGGCGCCACGCTGACCTGGATCCCTGCCGGGTCGGTCCTCCGCATGGCGATGCACATCGGCCTGCACCGCGACCCAGACCATCTGCCCAAGCGCACTCTGTTCGCCGCGGAGATGCGCCGCCGGTTGTGGAACACCGTGCTCGAGCTCTCGCTCTCATCGAGCATGACCTCCGGCGGGCCCCCGCTGCTCTCGCTGGAAGACTTCGACACCCGCCCGCCCAGCAACTTCGACGACGATCAGCTCACAAACGTCACCGACGCAGACCCCCCGACCCCGAAAGCAGACCACGCATTCACCCAGACCTCCATCGCCATCGCCCTGCGCAAGACCTTCCCCGCCCGCCTTGCCATCACCCGCGCCCTCAACAACCTCGACTCCAAGGGCACCTACGACGAAACGCTGCGTCTTGATGCTGGGCTCCGCACCGCCTACAAGCAGCTCTGCCACTCCCTCCACCAGTTCTCTGCCAACAGCCCCAGCACCGAGACCACCGAGAATTCCCAGCACCCCTCCCCCTTCTCCCTCCACCTCCTCGATTTCCTCATCAACCGCCACCTCATCGCCCTGCACATGCCCTACTTCAACCCCGCCCTCCACGACCCCGCCACCTATGCCTACACCCGCAAAGTCCTCACCGAAACTTCCGTGCGCATCTGGTGCACCGCCTACCCCACCTCCGCCATCATCCAGCACCCACTAACCCGACTACCCCTACCTTGCACCCCCTCCTCGGCATCCCCTCCCCCCCACGCCCCCACCCCACCCGATTCCCTCCTATTATTATCAAGATACATCACCAACTTCGCCGGTCCCCTCACGCAAACCACCGTGCAAGTCTGCAGCCTCGCCGCCCTTGAACTCCGCGCTCAGGTCCAGGAATCGCTGACCACCACGCCGTTTACTCCCGATGGGAATAGGGCGAGCTTCCCCATCCGCACGGACCTGCTGACCATTACCCGCGAAGCTAAGAGCTGGTTGCTGCGGTGTCTTGCGAGCGGGGAGACGAATATGAAGGGGTATCTGTTGCAGTGTCTGGTGGAGGCGCAGGTGGAGGCGGTTTTGAGAAGGGTGCCAGCAGGAGAGTTGGGGGCGGTGTTGGTTGCGGCGGCGGAAGGGGCGGTGGAGGTGGCGTTGGGAGTGTTGGCGGGTGTGCTTGGGGATGGGAATGGAGGTGGGGATGTAGCTGATGCTGCTGCTGAGGCGGCGGCGACGGCGGCGGCTGGTGGTGATGGTGATGCTTCTAGTGGTACAGCTGGTGCTGGTGCTGGGGATAGGATTGATGGTGGTAACTTTTCCGCAGGACAGCCAGGGATGTCAGGGTCAACTGGTGGGGGTCCGCTAGCGGAGTCGATGGGTGATTGGGACTTGGATCTTCTGGTTAGTGCTCTCCCTCTTTCTCTGTCTCTGTGGTTTGTGGTCGAGGTATGGGTGACTGATTTGTTCCAATGTAGACCTCTGATGCTTTGTTTGGGATGGAGGATCCGGTGGGAGGTGGGGCAGGCTGGTTGGGGGACGAGGGGGCGTGGCAGGGTTCGTTTTTGTGGTAGAGCAGATCTCCAGTCGGGGTATAACTGTGTCTTGTGGGTACTCTACTCATCTCCTACGCCTGGATGTTTGTATGTATGTATATACCAACTTGTGAGCGGCGGTAGTCGTCAAACCCGGACTTTTGATTTCCACTCGTGAACAACATAAATTGGATCATATCTTTCGTCAAAGATATTAATCTCGCCCTTCTGTCCACTCCTCCGTTCACAACTTGTTCTATCTGACCAAATTCTTACTATAGAAGCTCTGCCGCCCTCGCGTACTTCTTTCCTTGAGCAACTATCAGGGCATCCTGATATCAACTCTATCATGCGTTCCGGCAACGATGGCATGCAAGTCACTTCAAGTTGACACCCTCCACTTCCCAATGACCAGTAGCGCCTATGCGCAGGCGGGAAGTCCCTTTTCGTTGGTATGCGACTGAGCAGGCAAGCAGTGGCATCGTCGACGAAGAGCAATGCTCCTCCCGAGGCTGGACTCGCCAACCCACCCATAGCCTCCAATGCACATGTCAGCTGACGGGGAAAGCATTGTCATTCCCACTGTGTGGATCCAGAAGATCACGGTGCAGAGAGGCCACCACAGGGTAGATGGACACCAAAGGCTCTCTCTCTCCGAACGAAGTGACCATACAAAGCTATACATCTCAGACCCTCCGGCAACAATTAAGTTCGTCATTGTCCTCTCAACAAAACCATACCCATGAAGAACAGGGTGCTGACAATCCTCGCTGCATCTTCCGGTAGTTCCATTGACCGTGATGGGCTTACCTCCCCACCCCAGGAAGAACTACTCCTTATCAGCTGGAAAAGTACTGCAAGTTTCTTGCACCGCTTCAACTCTGCTAACTTCTCAGCATGCTATAAATAAAGGGAGCGAACACGGGTGGGTCTCCGACCCTACCCAGCATCCAGACTACTGGCCAAGCTCTATCCAGCACGCATACAGCTAAGCCCTGCAGAATCGCAACGACACAATAGAATGGCCACTAACTCCCCGACTCCCGAACCCCCAGCGCCAACCTACACGACCCATACCTGCGTAGTCCACATCCCCCCGGTCGTCGCCGAACCCTTGGAACCCACCACGCGGTCCTGGCAGTACTGGGGCGACGAGGCCATCCGCGACGCGATCACCGCCGCGCAGGGACGCGCGGGGTCCGTCGACGCCCGCACGACGGCGCAGATATGGGTGCAGATCCTCACCCGGTTCCTCTCGCTCACCTTCCACAGCAACGCGGTTCCCCCATGGCTGGCGCAGCAGCAGCAGCGACAGCAACACCGACTCCGACGCTACCAGCTCGTCAGCAAGCAGTTCACCGACCGCGCCACCCAGGAGCCCCTGGGGTACGAGACGGTCGAGCTCAGCTGGCTGCCCGACACCGCGCAGACAGGAGGCGGTCCCGAAGAAGAAGTGATGATGATGCAGATCACCTGTTACGGGCGGCCGCTGGACCGGCCGGAGCTGCACATGAAGCATCAGCTGGAGACCCGGCTCATGAACATGCAGCCCCCGGGGAGCCATAGCGTGCGGCAGGGCAAGGCGCTGCTGGCGATGGCGAACGGGGCGGAGGTCTGGTTCCAGACGCACGGGTGGCGTGGGAACGCCGCCCCTGAGGATCCGGAGCAGTACGTGCCAGAGGGCGCGCAGGTTCTGTCCCTGGAGGCGGATCGCCTGCGGGTCGAGAGGTCGCTGCGTCAGCTGCGCTATCGGCTGCTGCGGCGCGCGGAGGAGTCTTCTTCCTACTTGGACAGTGACTCGAGCAGCGACGGTCAGGAAGCACCGCGTGCGCCCCTGCATAGGAGAAGGAACGCGATGACTGCGGCGCGGGATATGACCGTTGTGTGGCCTCGAAATCTGTTCCCGGACACGGAAATAGCGAGGGAGGGAAATGGGTCGGGGTCTGGAGAGGTGTCGGAAGAGGAATGAGTAGCAAGCATTCCTAGGTACTTAGTGCCTGGCGAGCAAGTTATTCATCGTGCTGAATGCTTTGTGAACTGCTCAAGCCGCCATTCCAGATTGATTCGTGCGCGACCTTGGAGTAGTCACTAGGCTGTTTACTTGCTTGGATACAGGCTTGGTAGATGTCCCGGTGGGTCTGTGTTAGATGACAAATATAGTAAAAAAGAAACAGAAAAGACAATGCGCATTCTTACTTATTCTAATTGCTTATTGTCCATTTTATTTCCAATACTTGGCGTCTGGCACATCGTTTGGAGGAGTAAGGTAGTTATGGTTTGGCGGGATTCCCGCCGGATCCAAGCAAGCCTGTTCTGCAGTAAGATGGGTGATTTCCAGCACCTGTACCCTAACTCAGTCTTCTAGGAACAAGAACGACCTCAATACTAGATCAAGTAGAGTAACGATGGATGTCTCGGCGAGCCGTTGTGGTCTGGTTTCTTAAAACATCGGCTGTCGTATTTATCGCATGTAGCTAGTAGCTACCTAGTAGTAAGGAGATCCTCAACCAGGATAATCTTCTTTCACTCAATTCTCTCAATTCCTTCATTGTCATCTCAATGGTTTAGCGAAGACCCAATCGCCCAGCCTTACCCTGCCAAGCCCGATGCGGATCGCCGGTGATGCCTGGAACGGCCCAAGCCCTGAGTACACAGTACAGTATACAGTACAACCTCAGCACTGTCCCGAGATCCTTTGCATTTTCTAGCCAGATTTCCTAAATTTTTGTTCAGATTGAGACATCCTGCGAAAGGAAGGCTATGGCGCCCTTGCGGTAGGCATCGAACGCGCGGCAGCCCGGGGCGTGGCTCAGGATTGCCCAAAGAAAAAGGCAGTATGGAGGAGATCGAGCCAAAGTGATCCAGCAGGTGAATAAGGTGAGTTATGGGTGATAGTCAGCCCTCCACATGCTAGACATAACCCTCAGTGCTTGTGAGGGAAAGAATCCCATTAATGCACGTTGAGTGGATATCTTTCTCTTTCTTCTTCGGACTTGGACTTTCGTCGGATAAGGTCCTTTCTGGGGTATGCTAAGCTGGGTCTTGCGCATGTTCATTGTTGGGAGTATGCTTGCGTGCTTTGTCGAAGTAGATCTATAGCCATTCATACTAAGGACGCAGGGCAGAAATTCCGCCAATCTTGAAAGAGAGAAATCGTAAAACCTCGGACCACAGCTTGTGACTATGCATGATAAAGCGACGCTTGGCTGTGATGTGTTCCCCTCGTTGTTTGTTTTCTACCTGGCTGATGTCACAAGTTCCGTTAACATTTAAGGGCCATTGTTCCAGACCCGTTGATTCTGGCATAGCCAGGATCTATATAAGCCCATCAACCACTGGTTCCTCAAACATCACCACACTTCTCACACATGCAGTTTCAACCGAACACAATGTCTGACCACGAGTACATGTCACCCCAGGAAGACCAGCTCAGTCACATCCACCACCCCGAGGACACACCCACCGAGCAACAAGACGCCATTGACCAGCCCACCCCGCCAGCCGGGCTCATCAATCTCTACATCGCCCGCTTCGATGACCCGTGCGACTGGGCCCTCTGCATGGAACAGGACGGCACCACCACGATGGTCTACCCCCGCAACGGCGAGAAATACTGGCAGCGTACCCTCCACTCGGAGGCGCAGACGATCGGAACCGACGCGCAGCTGATCCGGGTCGCCAGTGATGTGCCGAAGGAGCATGCTCGCTCGCTGGCGGGCACCGTGAAACACGTCCTCACCGACCCGCAGTGCCGAAGCCCAACCAGTGCGTTATTTCAGCTCATGGTGGTGCTCGGCAGGTTGGAGGTGAATGCGGTCATCCCCCTAAACAACGCCTTCTGGTTACTCACCGACGCATATGGTATCCCGGGGAAGGAGCTCCAGTCGAAGTATTGCACGAGCCAGAGTTCTGATGGCCCGTCCCAGGACTCCGGGCATGAGGATCAGCCCGAGGGATCTCCGACGCCTCTGCGGGAGCTGTTTCCCGAGGCGGAGGACGAGTGCCAGGACGCAGAGATTGCTGCTCCGCCCGATTGGGAGGATCTTGCTCTCATTGTGGAGAAGACGTTGGACATGCTTGAGCTCTGTGGTTATGAGACGGATGAGAGTGGAAGTGTGTTGGAGTATAGTGCTCCCTGACTGCTCTTTCACCCTGGGTGGTGCCTATTACCGGGTTAGAATCACAATCATTTTCAGTAACAATTACAGATTCAGACATCTACAATCTAACTTAACGCACCTTCATCTAATAAATAAATCAAGTACCCTGTAGTCCGTACCTCACTTCTCCCTCCCCAACAACTCCAAATGCCACCCCACAACATCCCGAACCGCCACCTCAAACCCCCTAAACCTCCTCCCCAGCACTTTCTCTTCCGTCTCCCTGGCCTCAACATCCAGCGTAATCGTCTCCAACCTCCCTCGTTTCAAAATCCCCTCCGCCACCTCTTTTGGAAATGTCTGCTCCACCACCTCCCACGCCTCCCCAAACTCCACCGGCACATACGCCCCCCAACTCTCCACCTTCTCTTCTGTTTCTACTTCGTCCTCCCCCTTCTGCCCCTCCTGCCCCTCCCTCTCCAACACCCTGACAAACACCTCAGCCAGATCATCAACATGCACAAACGCCCCATGCAACGGGCCGGACCCATCCATGCCCAAAAGCCCCCTCAACAGAATCCCACACGAACTCGGTTTCCCCACTCCCATGTCCGCAGTGGTGACCAAACGATCCCGCCCCAGCACATAACCCGGGATGATATGCGCGAGACTGAAGGACGAGGTGCGCGTCTTCATGAACGCCTCCGCCTCGTTCAGAGCGGTGATCTTGGCGAGGACGTAGGCGGTGAAGACGTCTTGTTGGGCAATGGTTTCTTCAGTGATCTGGTCTGGTAAGGTGACGCGCGCGGCCGGGGTGATGGTCGGGGTGGCGGTGGCGGGGTCGGAGGAGCCCGAGCACGGGGCCGGGGGGATGATGGCGACGATGGAGGAGGTCAGCAGCACGCGCTGGATGGTTGGGCTGTGGAGGGCGGCGTGGAGGAGGTGGGCGGTGCCGGTGACGGTGGGGGTCCAGATCTCGCGGACGGGGTCGGTGCCGGGGATGGGGACGGGGGAGCCGGTGTGGATGATGTGGGTGATGTCGTGGAGGGCGGCGGCGAAGGCGTTTGGGGCGGTGATGTCGGGGATGAGGATCGTGGTGAGTTGTGGGGTGGAGGTGGAGGTGGAGGTGTATGGTTGGAGGACGGGATGGGAGAGGAGGTGCTGTGCTTTTTCCTCGGTGCGCACGGTGATGCGCACGTTGTAGTTGTCGTGGAGGAGGGCCAGGAGGACGTGGAAGCCGATAAGGCCCGTAGCGCCTGTTAGGAGGACGAGAGGCGAGTTTGAGGGGGTGGATGGACTCATTCTGGGTCTGGTGATGATTGTTATGGGGATTTGTCTAGCTGAATGGAAGAATTCTGAGTCTGGGAGTGTGGCAGGCTTTAATAGTTGTGGGTGGAGGAGTGTTACTGTAACTATGACTTGTTTCGCTAAGCATTGATCAATCTCAAGCTAGGGCGTTACCATTGCAAGGTGAGCTATCGTTCTGACAGGTAGTGTTCATAGTTACTATACTTCAATCACAACATCCCTGTGAGGCTTTTTTTACCTCACCGATAAGCACTAGTAGCTCCGTCCCACAATGTGACGAACGGGCCAATCTGGGTGCATCTGGAAGCGGAGTCCGACGGGGTGTGGTCCTCTCCATACAATCAAGGATCCAATCAGTGAATGAAGTTATCCACACTGAATATTAGATCAGTGAATGAAGTTATCCACACTGAATATTCTGGCCCTCGTTCACTGCACGGGTTTGACCATCAACAACCCTAACATAACACTACTTATATCCTCACCACAGAACCTCCCACTCAAACTCCAGCCCTCCTCTTCAACCCCAAACAATCCCTCCTTACAAAACACCGTGCAGTGACAAAATGAAAAGCACCCAACAACCCACCCTCGTCATCTGCCATGGCTCCTACCACACTCCCGCCCCCTATGCCCCCTTCATCGAACAGCTCAACCTCCACGGCTTCGAGACATACTGCCCCCAGCGCCCAACCTGCGACCTCCGCCGGCTGAACGTTGGCGACGACCTCCGCCACCCGGACCTCGACCGCCCCGCCCCGCCAGGCGGCTACCCCAGCGACACTGAGGACGTGCAGGTCATCCTCGATCTACTGGAGAGACTCATCACCCAAGAAGGCAAACAGGTGCTGCTCGTCGCGCACTCCTCCGGTGGATGGGTGGCCACGCAGGCAGCCCTCCCCAAATACCATGTCCGACCCGACGCCAGCGCCCACCGCGCCCCCGGCATCATCGGGATCTTCTACTACAGCGCATTCCTCGTCCCCGTCGGCGAGTCCGTGAGCGGCTGGCTCACACCCCCGGATGGGAGTTTCTTCGTGCCGGAGTTTGCTCGAGCGAGTGTATGTACCCCATTCCGAAGGACTCTTTTTCTCACTCCACCCACCCAGGATGGCTAATCAGAAGATGGGGGAACAGAAATACGGCCCCAAGGGTCTCATGGCCATCACCGACGGCGCCAAGTACATGTTCGGGGAACTTCCGCGGGGGGAGGGCGAGCGATGGTCGACCACGTTGACGGCCCAGCCGCTCATGACGGTCGAGCTGACGAATGATGCCTACTCGGCCCTGCCGTGCGCGTACCTGTTGCTGGAGAAGGACCTGGCGCTGGGCATGGCGTATCAGGAGGCGATGCTGCAGGCGCAGAACGAGCGACTGCGGCGCCAGGGGAAGAAGGAATTCGTCGTGTATCGCGCGGCGACGGATCATTCCCCGCATCTGAGTTGGACAATGGGGTTGGTGAATACGATTGAGGATTTTGTGGGAAGGCTGAGGGGGGGTGTCAGTGGAGTGAATACCCATATTTGAGCTGGATGGTTGTTGTTCTGTTAGGTGGGATTTGTATTCACTCCGCTGCGTGTTTTTAGCTTTTAGCTGGTCAAATCCACGAACAACTTCTCGAGTAGACCTCCCTCAGACCACAACAGTGGCTCTTCAGAGACTAAACTCCCTTTTAATTCATCACGATCGTCCAGTCCTGAATTACACAGCGTCGTTGCATTATCACAGCTCACATGTGCTCGAATTTCTCATCAAGTCTGCTCTTGAACTTTGATAATACTTGATGGCGATTTACCCACGCTGTCGATTGTCTGCTATAGATTACACACAGATATGAACTCATTCAAGGGAAAGGATCATACACTCCCTCCCCCCAACAAGCGCCCTGCACCTCATCCCCGGTGACATCCTGCTCCACCACCCCCTGCGCGCCAAATCGCTTCATGATCCCCCCACCCTCCGCCTCCGGATTGAACGCCATCCACCCCTTCCTCTCCAACCCATGCTCTGGATCTTTGATAAACTCGAACAAATAATCCTGCATCACCTGGCTCGTCTCCACCTCCACCTCCGTCCCTTTCCCCCCCACGATCCCAAACGTCCCAAAATGCATGGTCAAGTCACTCGAATGATACGCCCCCATCCACTTCAACGGACTCACATCGGAGAAATTGCCCGCCCACTGAGCCCGCCACGTCTTCAACCCAGCCTGATGGCGCACCACGCTCGCCTTCGCCGTCGGACACAACCAATCGCGCAGGGTCACCGTGTCCACGCCCGCCTGCCACGGCCCCGCCGACACGTTGGTGGAGGGGAACGGATACAGCGGGGCGGCCTCATTCGCGCAATTGGAGAAGATGGCGGAGGTATTGGCCAGGTACCCCTGGGCCGCCCGCGCCGCGTAATCCGCAAAGATCACCTTCTCGTCCGCGACGGGGGCGAAGGTCATCGTCGGCTCGGTCTTCGCATCCCCGTACTGGCCCACGAACTCCTGGATCCGCTCGACCGGGACGCGCCGCATGCAGTCCAGCTCCTTGGCGCCATCCTCCCCGAAATCGCAGCCCAGATGCTTCGCGACAAAGGTGAAGTTCGAGTGGGATGGGTCCGTCGCGGGGGTGGTCTTCAACGCCGTCCCGGACTGCGAGATGGTGGCGCGGGCGAGCAGGTTGTCCCAGAAGGCGTAGGTGTGGTAGTCGACGCTCATGGCGCCGGCGGACTGGCCCCAGAGCGTGATGGCGCTGGGGTCGCCGCCGAACGCCGCGATGTTGCGGTGCACCCACTCCAGGGCGGCGCGCTGGTCGAGGATCCCCAGGTTTTGGTCCTGGTCGGCGAGGCCGGCCGCGTTGGGGAAGCCCATGATGTTCAACCGGTAGTTGGTCGTCACGACGATGTGGCCTTGCGTGCGGTTCACCCAGGCCGGGGGCAGTTGGTAGGGCACGGGGATCCCCCCGGTGCGGAACTGGCCGCCGCTGTAGAAGACGAGAACGGGCAGGCGGGAGGTCCGCGTCGCGTTGGCGGGCGTCCAGATGGCCAGGTGCAGGCAGTCCTCCGCGCTGTTGTGTGCGACGGCCCCGGCGGTGGAGTTTTGATCGGGGCCGTTCCAGATGAGGTAGTCGGGGGCGAGGACCCCGAAGAAGGCGGGACCCCGGTAGACATACTGCGAGCAGGCGGGGGGGAATTGCGTTGCGTTGTGGTGGGCGTGCGAGGCGGGCAGCGCAACGGGGGGCTGCCAGCGGAGGGCGCCCACCGGGGGCTGTGCGTAGGCAATTGACCGGAACTCGCGCACGGAAGGGTATTCGGGGTTGTAGAGGCCGGTGTAACTGCCGGTGTCGGTGTGTACGGTCAAGGCATCCTCCATGCTGGATGTCACGCAGAGCCCGGGAAGGGCCAGCAGCAGCAGCAGCAGCAGCTGAGAAGTGATCAACGAGGTGACGCCCATTCTCGCAAACCGGAAATTCAAATTGGGTGGCTGCGTCAAGGGTCCCGGAGGCATTAGGAAGCCCTGCATGAACGATATCACCCTGCCTATATTTAATCAATTTCCGGGGTTTGACCGGCCGCTCCGCATTTTGCGGCATCACTCACCCCGCGCTTCCCTTACCCCGGCTTCTTGTGACCCAATGACAGCTGGGGCTGTCACACTCCCATTGCCGAAGTCTGATCCGAGGTCGATGGGTGGCTTGCTGCTTGAGGTCAACGGCCGGCGGCACCTCGGCCAGTTCGGATATCCCGAGGCAGCGGCTGCTTGACCCCTGATCGATGTAACCCTAGTTACCCGGCAAGACGGGCCGTCGAAGCTCATGTGGCTTGCAGTTTGATTGGGGGTGGCCATTGGTTGTGTCGCTGGACGTATATCGGCATTTTCTCTGTACTGTTCCTGCGACTTGCATCACTCGGCATAATAGCGCCCGACACGTGGAGGAAGACACGGGAAGATTTGATAAAACACCGACCGCTTCTTTATGATGTCGTAGTACGGAGTACTGCGGGTACCAATGCGACTGCTAGTGCAAAAGGCCTCTCGAGACCACCTCTTGCACGTTATCCGAATTGTGAATAGGACTACGTAGCCGCTCCATCCGGTCTGCACGGAAGAGCTGGGCGTCAACAGCCGAGTATCCGCTTAGTAGTCCAACGATTGCAGTTGGTGAGTCTCCAAACAAGTAAAGATCTTCTGGTGATCTCATGCCGTTCTCGCATCTTCGCTGCTGCCAAGCAGGACACTCAGAGCCAAGCCGCCCAAGCCGTGAGGTAAGCCTTTGAACCACCTGTGTGCTTCTGATCGAAACTTAACTAAACTGAAGATATGCCTAATGGGAGCATCCTCTGTCAAGACCCTTGAGGCTAGGTCATTGACTATCTCGAATTTTGACTCGCTAGCGATAGGATGTGCAGCTGCTGGCCCTGCGGCCTCCGGAGGCCATCCGGTATACTCTCCGTCTTGGCACGTAGCCATAGCAGTTTCTGTTTGCAGAATCTCGGGATTTCCGAAACGGCGCTAACGCAACGGTGGGCCAGGGATGCAGCACCGTTTATCCCGTTTTGGGAAAGGATCTGATCGTCTGCAGCCCCGGGGGTTCCAGCGGTAGCAGTCAATCTATAGGACTGCGTAGCAACGTGCTGTGCTGTGCTGTGCTGTACAACGTGCATGTGTCATTCAGGTCTGTCCATGTTGGCCTCCTTCCCCGGCAAGTGGTGCCTGGAGCGCAAGATCCGTGAGTACACAACCATCCAGATCGGCAATGCTGATCGCTGAAAGTGGGCTTCATCGGCTCGATGTAAAGGGGTCCACTGGGAGATGGTGCTGCAGCGATGTATAAATACTCTTACTCGCTGGATGTCGATCGACTGGATTTGTAGGATCGCACCTTTCTCATCCCGTTCTATCAGACATCCGTTCGAAATGCGGTTGAACTACGCCGGCGCAATCCTGCTCTCCAGCCTGAGCCAGACGCTGGCTCTCCCTGCCTCCTCCTCCTCCTCCTCCACTTCTCTGATCGTGGAAAATGCCCCTGAATACGTCCGCCCCTATGTGATCCGGCACTACTCGCACGCGCGGGCCGTGACGGTGGGCACCCAGCTGTACCGGTTCTACGTCACCGGCCCGTCCTCGGGGTACGCGTTCACGCTGATGGGCACCAACGCGCCGCACAGCGACTCGCTGGGAGTACTCCCGCACATCCACCAGAGCCACTACGAGAACTTCTTCTGCAGCAAGGGTAGCTTCCAGCTGTGGGCGCAGAGCGAGAATGCGACGCAGCAGACGCGGGTCTTGTCCGCAGGCGACTACGGCAGCGTGCCGCGCAACGTCACGCACACCTTCCAGATCCAAGACCCGGACACCGAGATGGTGGGGGTGATTGTGCCTGGTGGATTTGAGTAAGCCCGCCAAGCCAGCCCCGGTGCATACTGCATACTGCATACTAACACAACTCGACTTCCACAGGGACCTATTCTACTACCTTGGCACCAACATCACCGACACAACCCACACTCCGTATGTGCCCTCCTCGGACAGCAGCAGCAGCAACAGTTCTGCCACCGGCCCCGACGCAACCACCATCTCCTCCCTCGAATCCTACGACGTCTACGCCAAACTATCCTTCACCCCGCGCACTGACACTGTGAATGGCACCGCCCCGCGCAACACCGTCTGGCACAACGGCGCCAACGCCCTCGCCACCACCGTCGGCGACCCTTACTTCATTGCGAATGGCTGGGGACCCAAGTACCTGAACTCGCAGTACGGGTACCAGATCGTCGCCCCGTTGGTCACCCCAACGCAGGCCCAGGACGTCAACTACACCCTCTCCACCATCTCGTTGAGCACGACTCCGGCGGGGGTGACGGTGCCCACGTGGACATTTCCGGGAGCCTGCGCGTTCCAGGTGCAGGAGGGCAGTGTGGTGGTGCAGATCGGGGAGTATGCTGCGACGACGGTGACGAGTGGGGATGTGGTGTTTGTCCCCGGGGGGGTGGCGTTCCAGTATTATAGTACGGGGTATTTTAGTAAAGTGTTGTGGGTGAGTTCTGGCGAGGAAGGGTTGGATCAGGTGTTGATTAAGGGGGGGGAGAGTTGGGAGGGGGTGACTTTTCCGGATAGTTGGTAGGATGTTTTAGGGTATGGTTGTGGTCAACACGTTGACTACCTGTCTGGCTTGTATAACATCAAATTTAGACTAAATACAACAACAGGCAAGATGGCCGAGTTGGTCCAAGGCGTCAGGTTAAGGTTACCTTAACACCCAGCTTCACAGCTTCCTGATCATCGTAAGATGGCGTGGGTTCGAATCCCACTCTTGTCATTTTTTGTATCTACCCTTCAGGATGTTATCTGAAGCTGCTCACATTCGACCACTGACTGACTCCCTCATACTGCCAGTCTTGTCAACATGTAGTTACCCATTAAAGACGATACTCCTGTCTAAAACCCCAAACAAGCATAAACACCAACCCATCCTTTCCTGCCGAGCAACTCAACTCTGGTCAAACCTCCTCCGGCGGCTTCGTAACATGCGTCAACTTATCCCTACACCCAGCATTAGCACGACTACCTACCTACCCCAGGGGCAACAAGAGAAAAAACACACCCATTCAACTTCTTAAACCACGCCCCAAATCCCTCATGACTATAATCCCTCTCATTCCACATATCCTTATGATACACCACCTTCTCCGTCGCCGCCTCCTCCTCCCCACCACCATCGCCAGGAGGAACCTTCTCCAACCGCAAACTCACCAAACTATCCACCGTCTTAGTCACATGCACCCCGGCAAAGGTATACCGCTGGCGCTGCTTCCAGACCATCGTATCGGCCTCGTTGGCGACCACCTCCGTCGCCAGCGTCTCGGAGTGGGCGAACAGCTTCGGGATCCCATACCACTGGCCGGCGATCTTGTGGCGCGTGTCGCAGTAGCTGAAGGGGTCGTCGTAGATGGCGCGCGGGGCGTAGACCTGCATGTCGGCTTCGGAGGCGCTGCCGCCGTAGAGGTTGAGGATGTGGCGGTGGATGGCGGCGCGGGAGGGTGGGAGGGGGAGGGAGGCAGTGGGGTCGGGTGTGTAGTTTTCGGGGGGTGTCGGGTGGGGTTCGTGGGTGCGTTGTTCGTGAGAGGGGTCGGGGGTGGTTGTTGATGGCATTTTTGATGTAGTGGTGGTGGTGGTGGTGGTTGTAGATTGTGGTCTGGTTGTAAGTGCTAGATAGTACTAGGTAGTTATGGGTTATGAGTTATAGGATTTATATGGGGAGCGAGGTGATGTCATTGTTGGTCGCCCAAGATGAAGTCATTGAGCGGGAAGGGCCGGCATTGGTTGAGGTACAGTATGTACAGTATGTACAGCAAGTACAGTATTCTGGAATCATTTGTATGATGGCTGCAAGAGGTATGCAAGGGACTCACTCCCAACTGATGTATGGCTTGCTGTGCTGTGCTGGTCACCAGTACAGGAGGTAGGGCTAATTAGGGCAATGATCACACCCCCACGTCGGCCAACAGCCACCCCCCATTCTGCAAGACCTGAAACACCGCATCAGGATCGTAAACCCGCGCAATTTCCCCCAGTCGTCGTACATTCCTCTCCCCGTAACTCGCCAACGGATTCTGATCGCGCGCCGCATAGTTGGAGTACTTGTATGGAAGATACACCCCGTGCTCCCGGGCCGCCGCCTCCGCCGCATCGACCATCGAGCGCACCGCTTGTCGCACGCGCTCTGCGTCATGCGCATGCTTCCAATCGGCGCGCGCCAAGAACCCTGCTCCTGGTTATCTCCAATCCCCGAGGGCTTCAAAAAGAACAAAACCAGCCAAAAACTTACATTGCTGTCCCACCATCTCCAACCCCAGCGGGCTGTTGGCGGAGACTTGCATCGCGAGTGAGGACATGGGCTGGATGACCGCGGTCAGAGTCAGCCCCTCCACCTCCTTCAATGCCTCCGCTTGCTCGGCATGAGCTTTCTGGATGGCGCGGTAGACGTTGATGTCTGGGCGGCTGGACATGGTTCGGAACTCGTGGCTATAAGCTGCGGTCAGAGGCCATCAGGGTGAGTGGGATCGGCAGCAGAAATTTTTACAGCGATGGCTCAGCTTCATTGACCGCAGCGACGGCCTGGACAAGGTCATAGACCGAGCGCACACCGGCCGGCACAAAGGTGGCGACCGGGGGGATCTCGTCGAACGGGGCGAAAACCGTCGGTCGCTCGACGGGGGCACAGTACACAAACACGATCAGGATGAATTGGGGGGTCGCGTTCCAGATCAGGGTCGCCTTGTTGTCTGTTTCGATGGCCTCGTGGTAGTGCATCAGAGCGTCCAGCAGCTGCTCGCTGGCGGTGGGTGGGTAGATCTGCACCGCCGCCCAGATCTGGTTCGGGATAGTCCTCATGTCCATCCGCGTGACGATCCCTGGGAAGAAGCAGTCAGTTAGAGCGCGAAACGGAAGAACAAGGGTGGCTCCAGGGCGATGCTCTGACCATAATTCGGGCCCCCCCCTTTCAGCGCCCAGAAGAGATCGCTGTTTTCGTGCGCGTTGGCGTGGACAATCCGTGCGTCGGCGAGGACCACCTGTCATCGTCTGTCAAGATCTATCCCGTCGACCACACGACGACATCGGGCGATACGTACCTCGTAGTTGCACACATTCATGGCCCCCAGGCCATACTGGCTGTTCTGGAAAGAGATCCCCCCGCCCAGCAACAAGCCAGACACGCCCACTTCCGGCACTCGGCCGCCGGCCACGACCAGCCCGTGCGCTTCCAGCCGGCGATAGACCTCCAGCCAGCGCAACCCCACGCCAATCCGGGCAACGCTCTTGTCGTCCGACAGCTCGACCTGATTGCACTGGCTCAGGGAGATGACCACGCCGCCCTCGTTGCTGGTGAAGCCGGGGATCTGCAGCCGGCCCCCACCGCGGATGGAGAACGGCACGTGGAAAAATCGGCAGAGCGCCAGGGCCGTCGCAACCTGTGGCGCCGATGACGGAGAGACGATCACTTGCGGTTGCAGCCAGCAATTGGTGGACCTGCCCTGCGTGAGTCGCCCGATCCGGAGAGGTTTTGGGGGTTGGGTGGGTGCACATACCACGGCTTGCGACGCTGGGACTCGTACCCACTGGCCCCGGGAGCCACGCTGTGGTGGGGGAAGCAGACTGCAAACGCTTGCGACACATGGGAGCCTTTTTGACGGTGCTTGTCCGCTTCGGACAGGGCTGTATACGCGGACAAGAGAGCCTGAAGCTGGGCGTGGCCCTTGTCGTCCAACTGTGCGCTAGAGAGGATGGTGGCTGCTGACGGATTCATAGTGGCAAAAGGATTGACTGACCCAAAAAACCTCCGAAAATTGTTCGAAACATCTAACTAAGGGGGGGGAGACAGCACGCCGCATTTCAATCAGATTGCCTCCCCTCATGCCGGGAGGTCGTTGGCATAGCCCCTTGGCGGGGTGGGGATTGTCACGGCACGAAGTCCACGCTATCCCAGCCGGACCGCAGACGGACCGCAACTAAAACCCAATCCCGGACGGCGATGGGCGGACAGGAAGATCAATCGGGCCTGGGGGGTTTCGGATTGACCCAGTATGACCCACTGTGGGAATCCGCAAGCGATCCTTCAGGGCCTGGCAGCCTTGCCCAGCTGTCCTGCCCACTTTTTCCCACCTCCCCAGCTTCTTCCCCATCTTGTTTTCTTCTCTTTCTGTTTCTTGCTGGCGTCTTGTCGATGTGACTTCTGAATTGACGGCGTACGATACGACTGGATGGAGAGGATGGAGGGCACTGTGCAGCGAGGTGGTGATGACGGCCCTTCGCATATGACGATTGCTGTGCGGGCTGTTGTGCTGGCTCTGGCGATTCCCACCACTCTGGTCTGCGTATTGCGGGTATAATTCACATATATTGCCCCAGCGACTTGCGGACAATCAACCGACTAATCGGTGGCAGCTGTACCTGCGCAAGTTCGTGACCAAGCAGTTTGGTCTGGACGACTGGCTCGTTCTCCTCGCGCTGGTGAGTGAACCCCCTCTTACGTCTCTTATTCTCTCTCCCATACTCACCGCAATCTGAAACGAATTCAGATCGGTGTGGACTTGTTCTCCGCCCTGGCCTACACAATCACATACTACGGGCTGGGCGAACCCTTGGGAAAGGTGTCCGCCGACCAGCTCGTAGTCTTCCTCACCGTGAGTCAGCCAGCTTCTCCTGTCCAACACAGCGATCGTAGACTCAACCCGAACCCCCCCCCTCGCCAGCTCGAATATGCCTCGCAGTGCGCCTACTTGGTCATCGCCGCCACCGTGAAGGCCAGCCTTCTCCTCTTCATCATGCGTCTCTTCCCCACGCGCTCCGTCCACCTCGTCGGACGGGGTCTGCTATGGCTCATCGCCGCCTTCACCCTCTCCGGCACGCTGGCGCTGGTCTTCCAATGCCGTCCCGTGCGCGCCGCCTACGACAAGACCGTCGCCGACGCCACCTGCTACCCGACGCAAACCTCGTACGCCATCCTGATGATGCAGGGGGTCACCATGTTCGTGCTGGACGTGATCATCCTGGGGCTGCCCATGCCGTCCATCTGGAAGCTGCAGATGCCCATCCAGAAGCGGCTGTGGGTGTTGGGCCTGTTGGGGATCGGCTTCACGGCCTGTGTGGCGGCGCTGGTGCGCTTCTCCACCTTGAAGTTCGCCAACGACACCACCAATTTTACCTGTAAGTTTGACTGCATTGGAGGGTGGGTCGGTTGAGGCTACTCACATGGGCCGATCTTGTTGCTGAGCGGTTTTTCTTCGCAGATTCCGCCTCCATGTCCCTCATCTGGATGGAGGTCGAATTCAACCTGGGGCTGATGTCCGGCTCCCTGTCCTCGCTGCGGAAGCTGTGGGGGCTGCGCTGGTTGGGGTCGTCGACTCGTGACACGCATGATGATTCCAGACAGTCGATGCACTTGGATTTGGCCCCGCGCAGCTGGGGCCACCGGGGGATCACCAAGCGGACGGAGATTTTGAGGGTGGTGGAGACGAATGGGAGTCAGGAGCCGATTACGTCTACCTAGCTGGTGAATAGAGATGTCACCTCCGGCTGTTACATAATGCGGCCATTTTGATTCGAAAAACTTAAGAGCCTGTTCCAACCTCTAACTGTACCTTTAATCATCATTATCATCAGCCCAAAACTCCAGCATAACCCTCTCCCACAACGCCGCCCGGGGACTGTGTTGGGGATTGTTCCGTAAGTGGTAGGGCTAAACGATGGAGCTGTAGCGATGGGGGAGGTACAGTATGTGCTTATCAAAAGTGTGTAGAGCTCGTGGACGGCGGGAGGGCGTGGATGCGTGAGAGGCAGTGGTTGTCGGGTTGGATGGAGGTGATGAGGGTTGCGAGTGGGGCCAAGGGTAGGAGGATTACCAGGCCTGCGGGGAAGTGTGGGCAGAGGCTAGTGCTGATACTGTAGGGGCGAAAGGCATGGTGAGAATTGCAATAGCAGCTCGTGTTGGGTGATGTTGATGGACAGGAGTCTGATGCCCTGTGTATGACCCACTCAAATTGCACTCTTAAGGAGAGTCTGGTATTTACAAGGCATCCGAGGATAAGAGCAGCGGAGAAGCTTCCCCGCGCTCAATCTGCAGATACCGCACTCCTACTCCCAAGACAGCATCATTATCCCGGATGCATGGCAGTGAACGAGCATCCATACCACATCCTTCGGTCAGCGTCTACTATACATCCAGATGAGTGGCTTCTATCGCCGCAGAGATGCATCACCGCTCACCACACACGGAGATAAGTCCCCATCCTCCGCCATAGCGGGCGTGCATAATACGCATCCAGCAACCGCAGCTCCTCGCTGCTCAGCTCCCGCCGGCCAGTCACCAGATCTGCAGTGACAGGGTCCCTCCAGGGCGTCCGCCGCATGATCTTGTACGCGATCGTGCAAACCAGGATGAGAATCAAGCCAATCGTCGAGGAGAAGAAGCTATACGCCGTGAACCCACCGCCACCCTGCATTCGACGAGTCAGCGCTGATCTAGTGACACATAACAAGATCGAACGGCGCACTCACCACCGGCTTGATGCTCGTGTAGAGAAGACACACCAACAACAGACCCGACAGTGCCAGGCTGATTGCCGGTGCGAGAGGCCACCATGCAGACTGCCATGCATACGGCATCCCAAACACTGGACTCTGCTGTGCTCGAACGGCCGCCCGGAAGCGGAACGAGGTTACGGCGATGATCGCCCAGTTGGTGAAGAACGAGGCGCTGGTGATGGCGATCAGCCAGTTGAGAACCTCCGTGCCGCCGGCTGGGGCACAAGGTAGGTAGTGTTAGCAGGCAGAAGACGGGGGAGCAGAACGAATGCAAGTTTTGTATTAGGGCACTTACCGCTCAAACTCATATACGTCAGGATCACTCCCGCCACCGCCGTGATGGCGAGCGCCCATCTCGGACGACCCTGGTCGTCCACGTTGGCGACAAACCGGGGCAAGAGTCTCTGGAGAGACATGGTGCGGAGGATGCGCGACGGGAGGAAGATGCACTCCAGCGCGATGGCGAGGATGCCGATGATCATGCAAGCGTTGATCAGGTCGGGCACCCCTCGGATGCCGGCGTCCTGCACGGCAATGACAAAGGGCGAGGAGGCTACGCTCGAGCCCCCCAGCAGACGCGACTCGGTAGATGGTACAATCAACGAGACCAGCACGACGGACAGCAGGTAGAAGACGGCGACGCGCCAGGGGATGAGGTTGGCTGCGTGGGCCATGGAGAATCGAGGCGACTCGGCCTCGCCGGCCATGACGCCGATGAAGACTTGGTCTCCGACCGCCCAGATGGCGAGGAGAGCGGCGTTGGAGAAGCCCTGCGGTAGATGTCAGGTGGGAGAACATAGCAAAGGCTGTAGGGAGGAGGGTCTAGCTACTCCGAAACTGTTTTTGAAGGCGGGCAGCGCGGTCCAGGTGCTCCCATCCCTCACATATCCTGTTGGGCCCGCGCCACCGATGATGGCTAGCGAGATGATCGTGATGAAGACGAACAAGAACGCTTTGATCAACGAACCGAGGTACTCGAGCCATCCGAAGAACGGTGTTGGCATCAAGAATACCCCAAGACAAACTACCAGGAAGATTGTGACTGTCGAGAATGAGCCATTGCCGCGGATGAAGACGAAAGTAGGGCAGGGCAAACTCACGCAACGCCGCCTCCGGCACTGCACCCCCAGCCCAGAAATTCACCAGAATGACCAAGAAGGTCGCCTCAGAGGCAAACACAGACGTCCAGCCTAGCAAGCACAACTCAGCTCCTCTGCCCGAACCGATACCGCGCGAGGAGGCCACTCACCCAGCCACTCGGCAAACCCAGCCCCAAACGCCAACGCCGGATCCACCCACCGATCCGCATAATCGATGTAATTCCCCGAGGTGGGGAAAGCAACCGTCATCTCTGTCAAGGTCTGCAGGTTGGCCCAAACGCCGATGCAAACCACGAGATAACCCAGGAACATGTTGCCGGGGCCGCCGTCCGCCAGCGCTTTGCCTGTGGCGATGAAGAGGCCGCTTCCAATACTAGATCCGAGGGAGATGACCTATCCAACTCATGAGTCAGTCCTGAGACGAAGGGATGCATTGATGTCTAGTTGAGAGGGCATGCGTACATGGATCATACGTGGACTTAACGTGCGATGAAGACCACCTTGATTGGTGTCAGGGCCGTCAATCCGACCTCCTCCAATGGAGAGAACAGATTGCTGGTCGAAATGTTTCTCGGCGTTTGGCGAGGGGGCATGATCGGCTCCGGGGTGTTTTGTCTTGTGCTCCATGTTTCTTTACTCTTTTATTGCTCAAGTCCTGTGGTCTTGCGACAGCCGACACTAAGCATGGGATGCCGCGAATGTACCTTTTATATACCACACACTCGAAACAAGGGCTGGACGACGCAAGGATGCCGTATCGCGGCAGAAGGGCGATGGGCATCTAGATCTACGCTAAATCCCGGTGTCGCTTGCCAATTCCAAGTTTCCCCGCACCTGATAAGAATCAAGGGGTGTTTCTTATCACCAGGAGAAGAATTGCAGAGGACCAGCCAGCAATGTCTTCGTTCATCTTGTGTACTTCTTCTTATGGCTCTCGGTCTGCCTCACCGAAACTGTTATCTCGCTCGACAGCTGTCGTCTCAAGCTTAGCTTGAGACCCAATAAGACCGCAGGTTCCCCCGCAAGTAGGTCAGATGCTGCCTGGGTCCATGATGCGAGGGCACTAGATACGATGTTTCAGGCGAACCGATGGAGGAAGAACCATCCATCGAGTGGAAGGCATGAAAATGCCCAACGTGCAGAGACTCATCTCCCACAAGACGAGGCGACTGCTGATCAAGCGCATTCAGAGCCGCAGTGAGCGAGAAGATGTCGAGGGTGAGTCATCGTATCAACAGCATCGCGAGCAGGATGGCGGTCTGGACGACTTAAACTCTATGGCCCGAGGTTGGCTCAACTACAGTCGCATATCTGTAAACAGTGGCGCCGTCGCGCATGCAGCTGCTCCACTGCCGCCTCATGGTGGATTGCATCAGTCCGTAGCTGCAGCCAGAGAATCTGCGGTGTGGACGCCGGTATCTCGCATTCGAGCTCTCGCGATTGACATGCAAGACATTGGGGCAGATTGCGGTCGCACCGCACGTTGTGCGCGCGGCAGTTCAGACAGGAACTTCGTATCCTGACTATTGTTAGGATGAAGCTGAAGACAAAATCGCAAAGACATGGAGACGCTGAGACGCCGATAATTCTTTCTTCTGCGATTGGTTGGATCTGGGATTGATGGATGCTATCGCTCTGCTCTCTTATCGTCAAGATGCGGGGATGATAATGCACCACGGCTCGACATGCCAGAAATATTCTCGGACGCGCAGGATAGGAAGTTGATCGAGGATGGAAGATGGATTTATACGCCTTGGAGCACCCTGCAATGGATGGTCTCATCAATCAGACCATCCACAATTCCGCAGCAGACCGTCATGGCCATCAAAGTCTCTCAGATACAACGCATTGATCGCTCCGACAAGGAAGCGATCATTGAAGCAATCATCCGAGATGGCTGTTGTATCATCCAGAATTTCACCGACATCGCGACCGTACAGAAGGTGAATGCCGAAGTGCAGCCCTATCTCGAGGCGGATAAACCATGGAAGGTATGTATCTACCCTAACTAAGTGTAGATAACACCTCCACATTTAGTTGCCCTAACTCACTTCCCCTTCCCCCCATTTCGCCCAACCTCACTCACCCAAATAACCCACTAGGGCGACCTCTTCCCCCCGGAAACCCGCCGCTGCTCCAACCTGGCCGGCCGCAGCCCAACCGCGCGCGAATCACTCCTTATCGACCCGCTCGTCCGCGCCCTAACCGCGACCTTCATCGACAAAACCACCTCCAACTTCTACGGCTCGACCAAACACACCTACACCAGCGAAGCCGTGTGCTCCATCGCCATGACCTTTGACATCGGGCCGGGGGCGCAAGCGCAGCGCCTGCACCGCGACGACAAGAACTTCCACGTCGACCACACCGACCAGACCGCCACGGGCTACCGCATCGGCTCGGACGTGATGATGGCCTTCATGGTCCCCGGGCTGGCCACCACCGTCGCCAACGGGGCCACCCTCGCCATCCCCGGCAGTCACCTCTGGAACTCCGACCGCGCGCCCCGGCTGCACGAGGCCATCGCCGCCGAGCTGGACGTCACGGACTGCTGGGTCATGCTGGGCGGGCTGTACCATGCAGGCGGCGCGAATGTGACAGCGGCAGACCGCCGCGTCGTGCACGGGATGTTCTTCTCGCGCGGGTACCTGCGCCAGGAGGAGAACGTCTACCTGGCGAATGCGCCGGAGGAGGTGCTGGCGTGGTCGCCGGCGGCGCAGAAGGTCATGGGGTATGGGTTGTCGAGTCCGAATCTTGGGTTCGTGGGGTTCCAGACGCCGTTGCAGTATTTAAGGGGGGAGGTGTCGGAATCGTTTGGTGATTTTGACCCGTCTCAGGAGGAGGGGAAGGGGATGAAGTAGTCTCGGTGCCGTAATGGTAATGAAGCTCTGCTAGGAAGAAATATTCGTTTGTTGTATGTGCTTGGTTGACTGCCTGTTTAAATGCACGCGGAGAGTCTCTGATCATGATGTAATCCTTGGGTATCGTGGGCCAAGTGAGATTGCTATATAAAGGCTTCAGGGCAGGATGCGTTAGTGTGTAGTTTGTACGAGCAAAGATGGCAGACAAAAAGAGATGTAGAAGAAAAAAAGAAGTGGTAGCCGAACGCGGGGGTTGAACCCGCAACCTTGAGATTAAGAGTCTCACGCTCTGCCGATTGAGCTAGCCCGGCCGATTTGTTGGAGCTGTGTCAAATTTGTTGTTTTATGTAGCTACGTCTGGCGATTTACCCTCAATCGCAAACTTTATGCTTCCAAAACTCAAGATCTTGCCTCATGACGGGACATCTCTTTGGAAGCATAGTATTGGTGGCTAATATATCCGCCATAGATCAGATGCTATTCTTTTAGTCGCATAGGTGACTGGGGTGCGGCTGACTCTGCCTCGCTGAAACGATAGCTCCCCTGTGTTGCCCAATATATATATAACCAACCCGAGAGGGCTGGAAATCAACTGGCGGCTCCAATCACCACCAGTAACAATTTCATGTAAGTCACCCACCAGCAAAACTGAAACATTCATAGCAAGCCCCCCAACGTGAATCAGCAAGGATCGCACTGAGATGTACCCCTCCAGGAATGCGGCCCGAATGGGCAGCACCACCTGACAACCCGAGATTCAGCTTCTACCCGACGTCTGCCTCGATGCTGCTCAACGCTACGTTAATCTATGACCAGCAGCCAATTCTGCGAGCAGATGACGACAGCGTGCAAAATCTACTCGTGGCAGATTTGTTTTCCTCATGCCAGATGTCTCTGCTCACTGTCTCGAGTGTGGCGTTGCAGGACAGATCATGCATGCAGCATGACCCGTACTAGGAGATGAGCTGCGCAGAATGAAGTTCGCGCAATGAGAGGAAGCCCACCATGCCTTGATCCTTTCATATTTACCCATTAAAGTAGGTTCCCTGTTTATGCTCGTCTGCTCGCGTGCTCGCGTCATGCCTGTAGCATACCTGCTGGGACGTGGCCGCCCAGGGCTGGTGTCGCATCTTCCGCTGATGCCGCCGACATGCAACGCCAGTTGAGACGAACAGCAGTTGTTTGCTGAGTTTTGAAACCATGGGTAATCATAGCATACTGTCTGGCTTGACTACTCGAGGTTGATTTACTGCCATGCCAGATCAGATCACTTGTGGCGGTGATCTACCTTGGTCACATATCTTTTTTGGAACGGACGCTACACGCCGAGCATCCTCGAAAGGGACAAGACAAACAACAAAGAGCCTCGTCAGCAGAATACCAAGAAGCTGCAACGAGTGTCTAAAGGCAAGCCACCGGGAAAGGGTGGTGATTGAAGTCACAACATAGCACCGAATTCCTATTATGTGAGAGTTTCAAGCTCTGAATAGCCCTACGTCCAAGCCTCCGATAGGATCCGATCAAAACATTGTCCATTGAGACAAGCACACACAGATCATATGCAAGCTGCGATCTTGGGCGACGATGAAACAAGTATGGGCCTGGTTAGGCCTCACGCGCAGAGCCTACGCGTAGGCAACCACTGAACAACCGAGTATCACCGCGAGCGTGAGCAGTGTTAATCAACCCAAACCACCACTATAAAGAAAGATGGCAGAGCTCTCATTCTCTGTGAACTAACCATCATCCATGAACAACCACATTAATCAAAAAAACTTCACAGCACACTAGTATCAAGCATAGCTCCAGCAATGGTTCGCCTTGAACTCCCCTCTGCGGGAAAATTCATCGACCACCTCATCAGCAACCGGCTGCAAGAGCTCGACAAAGACCCCTACAGCACGCAAAGCGACCGTCCGTTCTTCATCGCCGACACAAGCCAGGCGTTGAAGCTTTACAATCGTTGGAAACGCGCCTTGCCAAACATATCTCCATTCTACGGTCAGTGTCGTTCCCTAAATCTTTACCCATGTCTATAGTCCCCAGCAGCAACAGAAGAGGCTGACCAAGCATCACCACCCCTCCAGCTGTAAAATGCAACTCGGATGTGCGTTTCCTGCGGTTCCTCGCCGAGCTGGGGCTGGGCTTCGACTGCGCCTCGCAGACGGAGATCGAGCTGGTTCTGTCCTTGGGCGTGGACCCCTCGCGCATAATCTTCGCACATCCATGCAAGGCCGTCTCCGCGATTCGCATTGCATCTGCTCGCGGCATCACCCTCACTACATTCGACAACATTGACGAGCTCGATAAGATCAAGGCCCATGCTCCGGGCATGCAGTTGCTGCTGCGGATCTATGCACAAGACGACACGGCCGCCGCGCAGCTGGGCAACAAGTTTGGCGCGCCGATGTCGACGGTCGAGCCTCTCCTGCAAAGAGCGAAGCAGCTGGGACTCTGTGTGCGAGGCGTGAGCTTCCATGTTGGTATGTTTCATTCCTCCTGAAGATTTTTTCAAAGTTTCACCACTGTACAAATATACGCATGATAAGATGCGCATCTCGCATACGTCCACCCCAGACCTTCTCACTAACCACTAACAACCTTTCAAGGCTCCGGTGCCCGCAACCCGGCGGCCTTCACAACAGCCGTCTACCAAGCCCGCCACGTCTTCGATCTCGCATCGCACCTCCACCTCCCCCCAATGGACATCCTGGACGTAGGTGGCGGCTTCCAAGACAGCAACTTCGAGGAGATGGCCCTCCCGCTCTCCCGCGCTATCGACGAAGCCTTCCCGGATCCTGCTTCCGTACGTCTCATTGCCGAACCCGGCCGCTACTTCGCCCGCAGCCTATACACGATGGCCTGCAAAGTGACCTCGCGCCGGCGGCAGCTGCACCTGCAGCAGTCGCCCGACGACAATCTCCCATGCTCCTACCCATCCCTCACGCCCGACATGCTCTACCTCAACGACGGGGTGTACGGGAGCTTTATGTTAGCGGTTTGCGAGAATGAGATCTTCGTGCCGGATCCTGTCCCGCGCCGGGTTGCCGCTGAGGATACGTTCGAGCCTCGCGCCGAGGGAGCGCATCTGTATTCCCTCTGGGGGCCGACGTGTGATGGGATCGATTGTATGGCGGCGGAGGTGACGATGGAGGGGGAGGTGAGAGTGGGGGATTGGTTGGTTTTTAGGGACATGGGGGGTGAGTTGCTCCCTGACTCCTTGGGGGCCCTTATATCGGTTGCTGCTGAACTGACTAACATGGGTTACTTGGGGTTGATAGCATATAGCGTGGTGAGCGCGACACGGTTCAATGGCTTCTCTAACGATTACGATGTGATCTATGCGAGTGATTATCTGGCGTCTGCTACTGGGGTGGAGGGGGCGAGCGAGACCGCAAAGGGGGCTTATAAATACCTTGAGTGGCTTCTGCCGGGGTCAATTCGCGGGCTGTGGAGGTAAACCTGGGCTTCGATGCTGGGCGAGGATCAGGTGCTAAAGGCGTTGGTTAGATCACTGGTGGGATTGAGGATCATAGAAGGGGTGGGCGTGCAACTGGCACCTGAAAATTGAGGTCTGTTGTTGTGGGGAAGAAAACTGGCTTGCTTCATGCGGATGTATTCTGAATTTAAAATGTACTGTGATGGAAGGCTTTAATTTCAGCCCATTTCTCATCTCTCCTTCTGATGCTTGTGCATAAGGCTCACTCACATAAATGCGGACGTCAGGAACCAAGAAAGAGATTTTCTCATCGTGCTCAAAGTTTGTGAATAGTGGATAGAGTTACTTGAGTTCTACCGTTCTCTAGACAAATTCGCTACAGTCCATCGAGGAATCAGACCATATCCCGAAGTTATACATGACCAGATAGTTGCTATGCTTTTGTTAAATCAATGTAGCAAAAAACTAGACTCAATGACAAGCAACGTCCTCGATGGTCTAACGGTCATGATTTCCGCTTGTCAATCCCAATCGGGAACAAGCGCGGGAGACCTGGGTTCGACTCCCAGTCGGGGAGATTCCTTTTTGCTTCTGTCTGCTTCTAGACATACTACCCAGCTAAAACAACAACCTCCTTCCCGTCAACTTATGCACCGGCTCATCGCCAATCTCCATCTTCTCCTCCAGCAGCTGTGTCATGCGGAACACCACCTTCCGATACTTGGGATCATGATAGTGATTGAACAACTCCAATGAACCCTCCACGCATATACTCCGCGACCCCCGGTCTGGCCCCTTAAACCTCCAGCGGCTCCTTATACCAATAAATCAAATTATAGCGCTGATCCCTTACCCCATAATGCGCATACACCTCGTGGGTGGCGATATACAGTAATCTCCCACATAGACTTATCCTCAGTACATTACCCTCCCTGGCCACGCAAGTTAAGATTTACTGTATAAACTCAAAGCCTTCTGACAATTCAGCTTCGTCGAGTGCAAGAGATCTGATAAGAGTCTGTTCATACCAAGATGTAAATAGAATACCCGAAGTCAAAGCCTACATCTAATTACCTTACTTTCCTGTCGGCAGCGGGTTCGAAAATTCAAGCGGCAAACCTGCCCAATGTGTATTGCCAGAGTCCTGCCACCTTTCGGGCCAAGAGCGCCTTCACAGCGTCCGTGCTATCGGAATTGACCACGTTCCAGACAATCCGTCGCCAGCCCTCGACGGTCAGTGGCTCAGCCATCCACCCTCCAGCAGGGTCTCCATGATGTTAACTTGGCCGTGTTCGATGGCCATGATGACGGGATGGCCCTTACTCTGGGCGTTTTCACGCCAAACCACGCCTTTTTCTGGTCCGGATGCTCCGCCACGCGCAGCAAAGGTCCAAAGCCCGCATCCAGGAGGAATTAGACCACGCGCGGGTAGCCGTTCGTTACGGCGTGCGCGAGGGTGGGCACTAGGCCGACAGTGGCGTTCTGGATATGGCGACGGTAAAGGCAAATATTCCAGCGCGCATAAAGGTACCGAGTGGTGCGCGTCAGAGCGTTGAGGACTCTTTCTGAGTCCAGGTACCCTGCGATCATCAGAAGGAGCTCCGAGGGTAACCTGGTGAGGCTCATTTTGCCGTGCAGGGCGCTGATGGGTTGCTGGAGAAGTTTCTGAGGCAATCAAGGATAGTATAAGGTGGTGATGTTGGGTCGCGACGCCCGAGGGTTCACATTGATGTCGATGTATGGAGGCGGCGGATGCCAGAGTGAATGAAAAGTGACAAACTTGAACTTGGGCTGATCCCATCGCTACTTTTCATATATGTGTATGAGGTGCGGGAAGTACCCTTTCTCACACCACCTTCGAGTCATTCTTGATTCCCATCAAGCTTTTAATCATGCAGATGAAGAATTGTCTGTACAATATCTTCGCTCGAATTAATTGCTTAGTTTGTATTGTTGGGCACTTACTCATCTTGACCACTGTCTCTACCTGCGTGACTCTAGACATACACCACCGTGAAAACTATGGACTACTATATGATTCATCCTCATTATAGACAGGCAGCATCACACACTACCTAAATGATCACCAAACCAGCTCATACGCCAATCTATAATTTATACCGCACCAACCCTGCTTCTCATAGTTTCGACTTGATTCCCTGGGCCTTCCTCGACACCTGCCTCAACCGTTCCGGCCACTCCTTCGACAAAGCCACGCGCTCCGCCACCGACCGCTCCATCCAGTCCCGATTAATTCTCTCTTCCTCCTCTTTCCACCGCACCACCTCCCCGCCCAGCCACTCCGCCGTTGCATGCGCTACTCCACCCACATCCTCAAACGGCACCTGATGCCCCGCATTGTCAAGCACAACCTCCCTGACCCTCCCGCGCTCGAACCCCCCACTACCCCCGACTCCCCTCCCCGTCCGCTCCACCTTCTCCGCCCGCATCTGCGGCGTCGAAACCGGACTCCTCCCGCCAAACACATACAACACCGACGGACGCAGATGCCCCAGGGTTTTCATCGCGAGGATCGGCTCATTCCTATAAAACGGGGCGACCGCATGCGCGGGCCCGATGACATCCGGAAAGAAGACCGCATCGTGGGGGCGTGGTGCGTCCTCCGGGTCAGTCTCCAAGGGTGTGTGGTGCGCAAAGTTGGCGCGCAGGTACTGCATGACCTCTTGATGGCGCGAGGTGGTCAGGACAACGGCTCCGTCGGATGATGAATCCCCCTCAATGTGGTGGAGGCCGTGTTTCAGGAATAGGTTCAGTACCCTTGGATCCCATCGTCGGTACTGTTTAGAGAGGAATGCGGCCGCGGAAGCGCGGGAGCCCCAGTGGTCGGGGGTAGCGAGAGACGCGTGCGCGAATGCGGCGCCTTTGCCGGTGTGCACGTCGGGGGCTAGGACGGGGTCGATGAGGATTAGGGTGGTGAGGAGGCGGGGGTGTAGGAAGGATAAGAGGATTCTGAGGGGGGAGGTTGTTAATTTGGGTTGTTCTTTTGTGCTGTGAATGGGTGAGCGAGCGAGCTCCAGCTTACAGTTGCCCGGCCCCGAGGCTGTGGCCGACTCCTACTATCGGTCGCGGCATGTCGGCTTTGAAGGTGTTGATCAGGTGGAGAAGGTCTCGCGCGTGGTCGAACCATGATGCTTCAGGGGTGCGTTAGCATGAAAGATTCAGGTTATTTTGTGTGTGTGCAGAAACTGCTTACGATCGTTGCCCAGGTGTGGTCTGTTGAGCAGTCCGCTGGCAGCTTGGCTGGCCGTGTCTGCGATCCAAATCGAGCGGATCCGAACACCCTGATGCTCGAGCTTGGCTAGGGTTTCTTCCCAGAGGGGTTCGTAGAGCTCCTTGTTGCCAACATCAGTGTTTGTCGACTGTTGGCAGCAGACATCACGCCGAGCTACATTGAAAACCACATACCTTGGGCATCCCACTGGCGTGGGCGCCGATTATCGTCACATCCCCGGGCTGCGGATCTGGGTTTGATTTGGGCGTGTACTGCTTCACAACCAGCTTCAGCACATCGTCACCGTGTCTGGTCGCATGAGGGTATTCCCGGATATGCTGGCAATCGATGATATGCTCTGTGATGACGAAAGGAGAGGAGGTCATCATGATGTCCCTGACCCGAGACAGCAAAAGTCTTTGTCCTCACTACGACAAAGTTGCCGGGCAGAAGATCGGCAACCCCCCGATTATATCTGCCTGAAGAAATACAGCATGTAGGACCCGGGGCTATTGCCGACCCACTGTTCAGCTACGGACCCACGCGTGCAGCTGCAGTGTGGTTCAGGCCTGCCAGCTGGCAATTGTCACCTCCTTTCGGGGGGTTCTCGCTTCCGCTTCCCATTCCGAGTGCATGGCTGAGATATCCATCTCATGCAGCCGAGCTGAAGAGCCACAGGGCTTGACGCTATCGATGCTGCACCTCTCTCATTCGAGATCGCCAGTTGCAGACCCACTGAGGCGTAGCTAGAGCGACCAGATTAGCTGGCCCTGGCGTATGATGCTCCGATAACACCAAGGGCACAACCCCTGGAAGCCCCACATGTTCTTCGCGGCCCGCTACGGCTTATCGTTGTGATTGCGACGGCCGTCATGGAGCCCATGTGCCGTCTCATGGATTGGAAATGATTATGGGCTGACATTAGCAACACACTTTGTTGAATCAAGTTTCCCGAATGCTTCGGGCGGTGATTCGTGAAGTTGATGTAGACAGTCGCATTCAGAGATTGTGGCCCGACGCCATGATCGCCGATGCTGGCTAGGCCGGAAATACAATACTCCGCAGATAAGCACTAGTGATGCATCCCTGGTCTGAAGATCAGCTCCTGAATCATTGCTTACAATACCCCGAACCAAGTCCTGCACATTTTTCAACTACGAGTCATTCAGGAAGCGTGACACGATGGGACAAAGCAAGCACTTTCACGTCCAAGGACAGGTAGGATGACGTGTTCTTGCCCTAACCAGAAAATCCCATCTGACCCCATGCAGAACGTCGTCATTGCCGGTGGATCAAAGGGTCTGGGCCGTGAACTCGCCATCCTACTCACCCAGCAAGGTATGCATCTGATTAGGATGCCGTCAAATCAAGCTCCGGAAAGCACTGACCCCCCCACAGGCGCCCATGTCACCATTCTGGCGCGAAGCCCGGGTCCACTGGAAGAGACCCGTCAGGAGCTCCTCTCACACACCCAGTCGGCCGATCAGGTCATTCAGGCTGAGTCCCTAGATCTGACCGACCCTACCAAGGTACTGTACCGTACCTCTTTTCCCACGACACCAGCTCTACTCCGTACAACCCCATGCTAATCGCCTCACAGGTGCAAGCCTTCATCACGAGTCTTCCCACCCCACCCACCATCCTCCTCATCGTCGCCGGCGGGGTGGCCGCGCAGGTCGGCTTCTTCGCCTCCCTGACCCCGCAGGAGATCAAGGACTGCATGGACGCGAACTACTTTGCGGCTGCGTACATCGCGCATGCCTGCCTCCGGCGGTGGGTGAAGGAGCCCCCGTTCCCGCCCGCCGCCAACGCCAAACGCCACTTGATCTTCACCGCCTCCACGGCCGCCTTCCTGGGGCTGCCGGGCTACGGGGCCTACGCGCCCGCCAAGGCCGCCATGCGCGCCCTGGCCGACACCCTGCGCGCGGAGGCGCTGCTCTACCGCGCGCAGCAGGAGATCCGCGTGCACTGCGCCTTCCCGGGGACGATCTACACGGATGCGTTCTACCAAGAGCAGATCCGCAAGCCGAAGCTCCTGAAGGAGCTGGAGGGCTCTGCGGAGGATCAGGGCGGGCTGCCGGCGAGGCGGATCGCGGAGTTGATGCTGCAGGGGCTGCAGGCGGGACGGTTTTTCGTGACGATGGACGGGGAGACGGAGTTGCTGATGAACAATATGCGGGGGCCGAGCCCGCGGGACCGTCCGATCAGGGACTGGGTGATGGGGTTAGTGGCGTCCTTGGTGTGGCCGGTATATCGGTGGAAGTTTGATCGGCGGACGGTGGAGTATGGGAGGGGGGAGATGACGAGCCAGGAGGGAGGGAAAGAGTAGAGTGTGTGTGGCAGGCTGAAAGGGTCTTTACATATGTCTAAGTTGATACCTACTACTACCTAGTACTATAGTACTTCATACATACATACATACATTAGTTCACATAGTATGCATTCCGAGTACTACTAACGGTGGGTAGTAGTCACTATCCCATTTTCACCTTATCCTCGACCAACCCTAATCCGTCCGTCCTGAACAGCCCCCACCACACCAAATCAACCAACCCAAGATCAAACAAATGGATTAAACCACCCCTCCAACCCACCCGCAGCAGGAACATCAAACCTCGCCCGACTCAAATCCCACTCCATCTCCCCCTTCTCATCATGCATCCCCAAATCCGCATTCACATCCGAATCATCCAACTCCGGTCCCTTTTTGAACGCCCAAAACCAACTCGTGTTATTCCCCTCCGGATCCATCACAAACCCGCCCTCCCCACTGCTCCCATTGGCCGCACCACCACCACCAGCAGCAGGAATATCCCCCCAACTGCCTAAGCAGTTATCACACCTCATATCTGCAATCATCCTCCCCCCCACCACACCAGACCCGTTCAGCAAGGTCACCTCTGCGCGGGGGTTGTAGGTGGGCTCGCCCGTCCCGCCGGAGCGCGGGGAGAGGGTGATGTTGCTCTTGTCGGCCCCGACCCAGACCAGAAAGATATTGGCGGTGGACATGTTCGCCCCTTGGCCGAGGGAGGCCCATTGGAGGGTGGTCGGGGCGGAGATGCGGAGGTAGATCGGTCCGCCAGTCGTGGTTGTGGTGGTGTTGGGGATGGTGATGCTGTAGGTTAGGGAGGGCTCTTGGGCTGGACTGTAGGTTTGGACTGTTGTTGTCGTTGTTGTTGGGGGGATGGTTGTGGTGGTGGTTGTGGTGGTGGTTGCTAGGGCTAGGGTGGGTTAGTGGATGGAGTTGTCTAGGGTTTGCGGTTGGGTGAGGGGAGGGGACGGACGTAGGCTCAAGAGGAGAGCGGAGAGGTATTGTGTGGTGTGCATGGTGCGTTGAGGGTTTGGGTGTCTGTGGTGAGGAGACGATGGGGTAGGTAAAGTGTGATGATGTTGGGTTGAGGTTTTAAGGGTAGACGGTTGGAGGTGGAAGTTGAAGTGAAAGCTGCCATGCGGTGAGACAACGTCCTCTGCGTGGTTACGTGGAGGTTGGATGCTTGGGGTTGAGTATCAGATATGTGATTGGTGTTACGCCAGAGAAAGTTGTCGTGTCGTGGTATGTGGGCCATCCCTTGTTGCTGTCCTTGCAGGCTGGGGGTACCGGTTGGGGGAGCTTCTGGGACAGGGATTTTGCTCGCATCTCAGAGAGAACCGCATAAAAACGTATAATCGATGTTGATAATAATAGCAGACCATTCTAACCCAATGCTTCAGTCCATTGGTAGGTATACAAGGCACCAGTCTCTCATGTCAGTTGCGGGGGGTATGCAGCAGATCCCGACTTGCAAACGAGATTGACTGTGGAATGCAGAGTCAAAGAAGTGACTCCGATAACTACATACAGATCTTGAATGGCTCTCTCCGGCTGTGCCCACAAAACCTATATTCCAGGTTCTGGAAGCTTTGCTTCACCTACCCGCAAACCGGTTGCTCTCAGATACTCGCAACTCATATACCTTGTGTCAACATTCTCCGGCTGTACATTCATTTGCTCCCCTTACAGGAAAATCTCAAACACCCACCCTAGCTTTAGAACATTAAATAAATTGCGCTATTCTTGGCCCGCCTTCAGCATGAGAGTCATCGCATAAGATACGCATCAATTCCCACGGATCAAAGCGGGCCTCTTCTTTTGTCCGCACCGTCTCCCGCCTGCTGATGGATGCTTCCTTTCGTCAAACGGGATGAGTAGCATTGCCGGGCCTAGACTAAAAGTCCAAGCACAGGGGAGGTAGACCGGACTGGCGAGGGCAGGAAGTACCGCGAGGGCAAAAATAGCAAAGAGATAAATGAGAGTAGAATCTCAAGAATCGAATGGACTGCCTCTACTCTTGAACCTCAAATTTATACCTACGTTATGCGCCTAGGGTCCAACTTTGGTCACAATTTTGACCGCGACAGCTTCTTGGCATCTTCGATGTCTCAGTATGTACGGGGCTTGCTGCCCGGGATTCCACTGATGAGGGCTCCGGATCAAATCACAGGTTGATCAGATAAGATAATCGGTTCGTTCAGGTCCGGAGTTCAAACCACTTACTTTAAGGTAATGCGGTGAGCAAAGTGGACCTTCTTTAACTTGATTGGGTCTAGTAGTCTACTGGGTAAGATGTGGATTCACGCGGGCTATCATCAGCTTACTGTTTCTCTATGGTCTTTGCTTGGTGCTCGTTCTATTATGGATTGTTAGCCGCTGTGCTCTGATTGTGTATGGTAGTGTTTGAGTGCAGGTCACTCTCCTCTGCATGATCTACAAGGTGGCATGATTCGGTTCAGGTTGACGCCGCTTAGCAGGAATGATTTAGCTGCTACATCGACAACAGACAGTGTTGACAATCGTACAGAATTTCTGTCTGGACTCCGCAATCGTGGCCCGTGCCAAGAGGGATTGCATATGCTCGTTGAGCAGCATGATGACGTAGGATTTCAAGCGAGATTTCGCGACACTGAGGATAACATTAGTCTGGAGGGTCCTATTCCCAGGGTGGTAGTAGCTGCCAATACAGATTCCGAATGCAGTGGGGACTGTCCCACTTTGATGAGAAGGAGAAGCTCAGAAGACCTCTCGTACTTCCCACACGCTCGAGCGTGACCTCTTTTCTACCTATTCTTGTTTGTGCCCTTCTTTGACGTCAAACGCAATTTCAATGGTGCTGATTGGCTGATTGGGCATAACACCTTCTCCTTGGTGCAGCGGCCTGCCTTTGCAATGCCAACAATGTAAAATGTGAGTTGAGACAGACAAAGTGATTTTGCGCATTCTATGCAATTGTAGAAGAGCAACACGTAATAAAATCCGCCTTTCTCCACTGTAACATAAGATAAAAGTTTCAAATTGTGCGAGTGAGCTGTTAGTTCAAGTGAGCTTATCATGACCAATTATGAACCTTTGTTATATGCAAGATGATTGGGATGATTTGGATCATGGATTTTGAGTTCAAATCTTGACATCGACTATGTAAAGATGGGACGCTGGAACACGGTAATCAAATAACGCCATTCCGCGGGACAATTTGTTGATAACCCAATTGAAGTCTTTAAGCATACTAATGCTAGAATCACCCCGCACTAGCGCACATACTATAAACAAACCCCTCCCCTCAGCATCCCCTCACCCGTGCCCCTCAATGCTGCTTCCAACAATTCCCAGACTCGCCCTCTAAAACAACCATCCCTACAACCTCAACCTAAGCAAATACACCCGCACCCCTCACAATGCCCATCTCCCAATTTACATCGCCACTCACAATCCTTCTCGACCACATCGTCCTCCTCGTCTCCCACACCACCCTCCAATCGCTCCCCGACCACCTCGCCAACCACTTCACCCTCGCCCCCGGCGGCACCCACGCCGACGGCCTCACCACCAACAAGCTCATCCTCTTTCGGGGTGGCGTCTACCTGGAGCTCATCGCCTTCTTCGATCACATTTCGCCCGAACAACGCCGCGCGCACCGCTGGGGCAACCTTCCCGAGAACACGGTGATCGACTGGGCACTCACTCTCCACTCGGCGGGGGAGTTTGGTGCGGTGCAGGCGCGCGTTCGCGCCAGGAGTTCAGATACGCGCATCTCGTACGCGGATCCGGTGCCCAGCGGGAGGGTGCGGGAGGGTGATGGGGTGAGGTTGGAGTGGGAGATTAGTTTGGCTGTGAGGGGTGCTGTTGATGAAGACAAAGTAGGGGGTGCAAACATGGCACAAGTAGGGGTTGAGCCTGGGTGGTTACCGTTTTGGTGTTTGGATCGGACGCCTAGAGATTGGCGGGTGCCGTATAAGGATGAAGCTGGGGAAGTGGCCGGGGAAGGGTGGACGAGGCATCCCTCCGGGGTGACGGGGGTGAAGCGGGTGGAGGTTGTGGTGCCGGAGGGGGAGGTGGAGGGGTTGAGCGGAGTGTATAAGGCGGTTTTGGGGGAGCAATTGACAAGCTCCTCAGGCTGGGGGGTGGGGGTTCCGTCTGCCGGTATGGTGGGAGGAGAGGTTGGCTTGGTGGGGGTGGCGAGCTCAGAACAGACGGGGGTCCGGTTGGTGCTGAAGGGGGAGAGGGCGGGGAGGGTGGAATTGGTGCCCGGGCTTGTGGTTGAGATCTTTGAGGACTGAAGTGGACTCCCGGGGGGGTGGCCGCCCCGGTGCTGGGGCCTTTTGGGCGCGCCGGGCGCCCAAACGATCCGCCAGTGGGCGGGGTTCTGGGGGTGGTTGGGAGTGTGGAGGGGATTATACTGTACATATATGTATGACTACCACCGCCGTATTCGAAGATTAAGGTTGCCTGACACCACAGCTATTGAATCGCGGAAGTCTTAAGTATAGGTTGAAATAGAATTATGATTCATTTGCAATTCTCTGCTGGGCAGCTATCGAGCCCATCGAGAACAACGGTCGTTCTCCTCTCTTTGCTCGCCCGTGATGCGTGAATAACCTCAACTCCACACCCCCCCTCAACGTCTATCCCCACTTCCGCACAAACCCTTCTATGACCTCCCAATTCCTCGGATCCGCAGGCTCGCCCCAGATGAGCAGCCCAACCGGCCCCGTGGACGAACCATCCCAAAACCCCATGATATCGGTACACAGCTCCTCGTCATCCCAGTTGTTCCCCGCTGTCAGGGTCTTCAGCAGCTACCATCACCGTGCCTTAGATAATGTAATAATAGCACTACAGGACACCGAAAACGATATCCTATCCAAGAGCATTACGAAGAAGCTGTGTGTCTATGAAGCTCTGAGTCAGGGCCTCTCACCCCGCTGATGGTTAATGGAGTAGGAATCACGAATAATCTAGGTCGCCAATTCGTCCCTCTCGGAGAATGAGCTTAGGGCTCTTTCGGATGGAACCGGGAATTTTGCCCTATTCCTCGTTGCTCATGTGCGGGTCGATTCGAAAGCTTGAAGGATTTGGGAACCTGATTGAATACACAGCACCTCGATGCATCCCCACCACTTTATGTAGCTACGGCTAGCAACAGGTTCGCAATTCCCCGTCTCAAGTGGGGTTTGAATTGGATGTAAGTCCCACCCATTGGACCCGATAAGGTGGAGCGTATGATATCCTCTGAAGACGAAGTGCTTATCAGTTGAGGATGCCCACGAGGCAAAGAATCCCCTGTGTCCCAATTGCTGGTCATATGGCACGACAAGCTCTGCGATGATTAGACAACATAAAAGACAAATGACTCTGGGTACCTAGGATGTGGTAATCACCTGCATCCGTCACTAGACCCTACCACCAATCACTTCGCACCAAGACGATAACGAAGTCGTACAATCCCGGGATCAAGACTTCAGTGCCTGTCGTACAGAGGCAAACACGCGATGCGACAAGTCACCAGGCACACCCCCTTCTTTCTTCCATAGATCAATACAATCTCCGAGATGAGAATGCAAGCCTGCAACAAAAAAACCGTGAGCAATGAAGAAACGTTTACACTCCACTCAACACCACCACCTCCCTCACCCAAACCAATTTGCAACGTTCTGATTGATTGTTTAGGTTTGGGTTAATTGGGAGCCGCTGCCGCCTACAATCAAAGATCTCTCAACCAAGAGCGTCACAAGGACGAAACTATTCGATAGGTAGTCACGAACCATAACTAACACAAGTGGAAACTCTACCTGATGTAGTTCGGCAGGAAAAAGCGATCCACGGCCATATAAAACTAGTCAGAAAAAGATATGATATATACCAAAAATACCAAACATAAACACTTAAACATCTTCGGAAATCTAACAATGTCCATCCCCATCGAAAGAAGGAAAGAAAGAAAGAAGGAAAGAAAGAAAGCTATCCATATCAGCCCAGAATTCATCCCGACCCACTACTCGACCGGCACTAGAGCCACCTAGTATAGTAGCCTAGCCCCGACGATCAAGCATCCACCTTTGACGCCAAGAAGTTGGCCGCATCGCCGGCATCCATCCCGTAGGTCAGATGCATCGCCGTCACGATCAGGGTATCGTCGCAGACGAGATCGCCCACCGCGCAGTACACCTTGACGTCGTCCTTGGGGTAGTTGGGGATCTGCCCGTGGTCCTGGACGTTGCGGGTGAAGCCGAACAGCACCACGCCCTTGATCTGGTCGCGGATGGAGGAGCTGACCTCCTGCACGGCGTTGTCGATGACAGCGCTTCCTTGACTGTTTTGTTGCCATAGTATTAGCTACTTGACGGGGATGGAGATCTCTTTTTGAATCCGAGCATTGGATAGAAACCAAGAAAGCGAAGGGGATGCCAACCTGTATCCACCAGCTACAATCTTTGTGTTTGGACACTTGGAGGCCGCCTCCTCGAAGACGCTCTTGGCCGCGGAAATGGACGCGGGGTCGGTGTTCTGGGGCAGGTCGTTCTGGATCAACCCGGCGGTGTACTGGCCGCCGACACCCTGGCAGGCGACTTTATCGTCGCCGAGCTTGGACTTGAGGGCGGTACACAGGGGGGGTCCAATCACTGTGCCCTATAACTCGGGTAAGCGGGGGAATGAGTGCATGGCATTACAAGCTGCAAGGGGGGTGGGGGTGGTTACTACTCACCATGTTGCCCATCTCGGTTGATCCACGAGCAAAGATCAAGGTGACGTCCTTGCAGGAGCCGGAGGTCAGATCGTTTGAGTTCATGGTCTGACGGGTTTGGAGTTGGTTGAGCTCCGGGGCTGGGGCGGGGACAGGGCTTGCTACGGCCAGCGTAGCGAGAGCGCCGAAGAGGAGAGACTTGAGAGGGGCCATTGTCGCGGACAGTGGCTGAAGCAGAGAGAGAAGGTAGATAAACGAAAGGATCTGGTTAAACGAAGGTATGTACCCCAGGGAATGAAGGGATATCTTGCGGAGCCGCCCGGGTCTCTTGTCTTCTTCTCGCCCCGACATCCAGAGATGGTAGACGAATATATACTGTCCCTCCCAGGCAACAATGACCGGCTGCCTCGGCATCAAAACGGCAGATCACTCGTTATCCATCATGTCGACAGATCAAGACCCTTGGGTGTACCAAAAGGGATTTGGCGCAAAATTGGGACAAGGTGAAACATTTTGTGACGGGGATTTGGGAGACGTTCCCTAATGCAGGGTTGATGTTTCAGAAGCGAGGACGAGGACGCCAATGCGGAAGGGTCCGGACCCTGAACGATGCCCTTGATCTCTGAAATCGAATTCCAAAGCGGGTGAGATTCCCGATATATGTGGGGAAGGGCGTGTTCGGTCGAAACGAAATCGAAGCTCAGAACCTAATTTGAGTTTGAGGCGGAGATCAACCGCGAATATCCGATGTTCATCCGAGACAAAGGACCCCCGACCGCTGGAATTCCCAAAAAATCGGGCCTGCGACTAGCTTGCTTTTTGACCTCATTTACCTGTCACAGGTCTCATTGTCTGCCGAGTTCTCTGCGAGGATTCTAGGCAGAAATCAAGCTTGTGTCATCGGACTCCATGTGAAAATCGTGATTGATAGCAGGGTCGCCTAGGGCTTCGGTTTCCTTGCCGATCAGGATACTCGCAACGTGATACGTCAAATTCCAGACCCAAATCCCCATTGTCTGGCGCCTGGTCATTACGTCCCCGTAGCCCTAGCTTTGTGATTTAATTTCGTGTGAATTTGCCCCAGGGACAGACCCGACAATCAAGGTGAGGGACCTCTTGAGTCCAGTTTGCCCGTTGTTGCCCGATCCGAGGCCGAGAGGAATTGATCCGACACAGAAAGATTGCTGTAGTTTCAAAGAGCATGACTGATCGTTATCAGGGTAAAAGGATATCTCCAGATGCTGTACGGATAGTAGTCATGAATGTGACGGTTGGTACCTACGTTCACCAGTCGACTGCCGCTAGTCGCGCAGGTCTGCGTGTAGACGATCTATACTGCTTCGATTTGTGTCGAGGATTCGGAGCAGCACCATTAAAAACCTGCATCACGTCGTCAGAAAGTGTTCGAACCATTATCTCCGCGGCTTTCTCCCTATTCTTCCCGCATTCTTCCTCTGAACTACAACGAAAACCACTTCTGCTCATGAGACAGACATCTCTACACTAATCGGCAACCCAGGACTTGTTAGAGCAGCCGGTACAAAACACCAGAGCCATAGTCGGTGTTTATCTAACCATTAAGCAACGATATAACGTTGATCACTGCATGCACAAATGTCTTGGACATGACACTCTCTCGTAACAATGCCGCGGCCCATTAGTGCTTGTTCCTCATGTTATTTAATGCCCTATTATCTGGTCAAGTTTTCGCTGATGGCACTCTGTAGATGTTCAGTTTCAGCTTGCCTGATGGCGATCCTCAGACTTTGGAAGGAAGCATTTCCAGGCTGGCTCTGCTGTCAGCTCGTTTGTTTCGCAAGTTTTATAGGGTTTGGGAGCGGACGGAACCAGATTATAGCCCGGGGAGGAAGAGTATGAACGACGAAGATTACAACCACGTGGGTTGCCCCAATTTCATGCAGGATTAATAGTCTTGCTAGTACCATGCAGAGAGCCTTACGAATGCGATCTTGTCGAATCCCACGACAAGTCATTCCCTCATGGGCCATCGCGAGTCTTGGCAGAGAATAGGATGAGGACTGCTCCCGGATGGAAGTATAAGGAAGCGTGGGATGACTGATGGTATCATTCAAGTGAGAAGACCATCGGCAGGGTACCCCACCTTGGAGCCGGCGGGTGCATGTGTACTATTAGTACCCTCACTCATTATCTCACCCCGCACAAATGAGGTAATTGCACCCGCTATCGGGGGGCTAAAGATACCTGTTCTGGCGGATTACCCCACGCACAGCCGAAAATAGCGTGGCAGAACAGGCAGAAACGGCAGAAACGGCAAGGCAGACGAGGAAGTTGCGGGGTGCGGAGGCCCAGCCTGGAGCCGGCTGCTGCTGCACCCATTGCGGAAAGGCGGTGGATATTTGCACTGAAGAGCTACTGTATGTATCGTCACAACAACGGCATCATCACGTCCCCGCAATGCTCCCTATAAATCCAGCTACTTTTCCGTCTTGGTCGAAAAGTGTTCTCGCCCTTTTGTTCAAGAGCTCACATCTTGATCACCGCAATCATGAGAACACTCTCTGTATTGCTGTTTTCCTGCCTCAACGCCCTCGTGGCAGACGCCAGTGCTGCGGTCAACCGCTCCTCGCTTCTGGCCTATGCCTCCAAGCCCCGCGTCTTCGTGCTCTCCGACATCTCTAACGAGCCCGATGACACTGAGTCTTTCGTGAGATTCCTGCTCTACAGCAATCAGTTCCAGATCGAGGGCATGGCCGCCGTCACGTCCACCTGGCTAAAGGACAGGGTGTACCCCGAGCAGATCTCGGCTGTGGTGGATGCATACGCCCAGGTGGTCGACAACCTGAACCAACATACTTCTCCTTCATCACCCTACCCCTCGGCAGACTACCTTCACAGTATTGTCAAATCCGGCCCTGCAGTAAGTGTTCCACCGTGACGCTCTTGCATTCCGTTGACTTGTCCCAAGGTTTTTGGCATGGAAGGCGTTGGCTCCGGCAAAAACCTCAGTTCTGGCGCTGAACTGCTCCTCAATAGACTCCGTGAGCCGGGTGACGAGCCTCTCTGGGTTCTTGGATGGGGAGGCGTCAACGTCCTGGCCGAGACCCTGTACTACGTCCACCACAACTTCAACGTCACCGAGGCGGCGCGCATGCGGGCCCAGCTGCGCGTGTACACCATCTCCGACCAGGACGACAGCGGCCTCTGGATCCGAGAGCAGTTCCCAGACATCTTCTACATCGCATCGATGCACGGCTGGAACCAGTACGGGCTGGCCGCGTGGGCGGCGATCTCCGGCGAGGAGTACTACAATTTCGACGTCGGCGGCCCGGACTTCACCAAGGTGACGGCCGCATGGCTGCAGAAGCACATTCAAATCGGCGTCTACGGCCAGGAATACCCGGACTACCAGTACATCATGGAGGGCGACACCCCGACGTTTCTGTATCTGATTCAGAACGGGCTGGGCGTGCGCGAGCAGCCCGACTACGGCTCGTGGGGCGGCCGCTACTCGCTTGTCGACCCGTCGCAGCAGGTCCCGTACCGCCAGTACAGTGACGCGGCGGACCGGGTGGTCGGCCAGAACAACCGCACCTACGCCTCCAACCACGCCGCCATCTGGCGATGGAGAGACGCGTACCAGAATGACTTTGCGGCGCGCATGCAGTGGACCCTGCCGGCGAACGAGAGCAAGGCTAATCACCATCCCGTGGTGGTGGTGAATGAGTACGCGGACCTCACCCCGCTGGTTATCGCGTCCACGCCTGATGCTACCATCTCGCTCGACGCCTCCAGCACGTACGACCCCGACGGCGACAGCCTCTCCTTTAGGTGGTTCCAGTACAAGGAGCCAGGCTCGACCGATTGGAACGTGGATCTTCAAATCCCGGGCTTGAAGCTGACGGTATCGGGTGATGGTCGGCGTGCGCAGGTCACGATCCCGGCTGCGGACGATGTCTGCGATGGTAAGAGCTCCAACGAGTCCGGCTGCTGGACCCTGCACCTCATCTTAGAGGTGACTGACAACGGCGTGAACCCGTTGACGACGTACAAGCGCGTGCTGTTCGAGACGACGAACTCGACGCGGTCGGCATGACTCGTGCAGGATACGACGACGTGGGATCTTGGAGCTGGAGGCTGGGTGGAATATGCTCTTGACTGGAATGATTATCACGTTGGGGATGATTGGGAGGAGCCGATCCTGGGCCGCGATTGCCCTTGTGGGTGGGGGCATGAGCATGCCGAGTACGATATGGGATGACGACTGTATATCAACCCAAACTATGTACATGACTTGTAGACTTGTCGAATTGTGTCGAGTATATCGCATTTCTCACCCACTGTCCATGAGACACATGAACCATACAAACAAACTCTAGTATCTAAGCATAAGTTGAACCCAAGACCACCACCAGATCCAGGTTCAACATGATTCTACAAAACTAATTAGACAAAGACCTCACCACCTCAAACCCCCGAAGATAATTCTCCCTCTGCCTCCCCACAAACCTCACTCCCATCTTCATCCCATAAACAACGACCACCCCCTGTCGAACCTCCTCCTCCGTGGCCCAGACAAACGCATCATGCTCGGCCGGATCCAACCGGATCGCCCCATCCAGCTTCCCCTTCCCCTCCTCCGCCTCCACCTCCACCAAAAATGAAAACTTCACCACCCTCTTCACCCCTCCCCCTCGAACAACCGTCCACTCATCCACTCCGACCAACTCCACAAACCGCGAAACTCTCAACCCCGTCTCCTCGAAAACCTCCCTGGCCGCGCCGGAGAGGATACTTGCGTCGGTCTCGTCGCATGATCCGCCCGGGGCTTCCCAGTGGCCTGGGAAGGAGTCGGTAGGGGCGCGGCGGAGCAGGAGGATTTTGGGGGGTTGGGTTTCAGTCCCGGGCTGGGATTTGTTCTGGCTCTGGGGGTGAAAGATAAGCGCCCCAGTGCCGAGAGCCGTGCCCTCATTCAACTCCGGGCTGCGTGGTGTGTGGCTCTGCTGGGTGCTGAAGATCAAGGCGCCGGTGACAATGTGGGTGGTTTGGTTTGGGTTGTGGGTGGTGGAGGTGAGGAAGGTGAGGAGGGGGAGGGTGTAGGGAGTTAAGTGGGGCGTGTAGCTGTAGGTGTAGGTGTGGTTGATTGGAGGTGGGGGTGGGGTGGGCATTTTGGGTTGGAATGGCGGAGCGGAGCGGAAGTCTGAGATGTATGGGGTTGAGTGTACCATTCCACAGTAGAAGTCAAGACAGGTTTGGTAGGTTGTTTGGTTGTTCTTGGGAAGAATTTCTGCGCGCACACGTGTGGATTGCCGGTTGCCGGTTTTGCCTTATGGTGGAGTGGGGTGGGGTTGCAGGTCGGGCCTGGAATGGGGGGATTTGATTGGGGATCAATTCAGTAGGAGTCTCTGCTATGTGGGAACGTGCGTCCTTGGCGTTGTGAACTTCACTTCCTGTACAGAGTAACTTCTGGCAATCTTTTGTTGATTACACTACCGGTAGTGCCTCCATTTCCAGCAAGTTGTGTGCTAGTCATACTAGTGATACTAGTGGTGTGCAGTACTGTACTACATGTACTCACAGTACAAGAATGAGATTGGACATGCCCATGCCAGATTAGAGATAAAAAAGTATTGCCATGCTTATTATCGCAGAGTTAGTCCTTTTCTGACTGATTGAGCTTCAGTCACTTTGTTTGAGCTCAGGAGCATTGGATACACAGGAGATTAATTCCACTCCATACAAGCCAGTCTACATGTTCACATGCGTAAAGAACATTGAAATCATCGAAGCGACCCATCAAGGTCACAGTAAATCCACCGTGTTCGAAGCTGTTGATCCCGCTTTGAGAACTAGATGCAGTGTGCGAATAAAATCTCATTCGAAGCAATTTTACTGCTTTCTGCTGTGACGCTTGGTCGAGGAAGCTGGAGCCAGTTTAAGGTCATGAGGGGCAGTAAACGCTAAGCTATACGCTATGCTAAGTATGCCATGCGGAGCAGGAATACACCATGTTCTCTATCTACGAGCAGACACTCTCTTCACCCGTTCAACCTATCCAGAATCTCCAAAACAAAAGCCAATCATAATTCATACTTGCTATGCGCTCATCCACACTAACAACCAGTAATCACACTGAACCAAAAAAACAAACGAACGAACAACACTGCCCATCTTTTCCCTTCGTCCTCACCCCACCCACACGCACAGCAAACCAGACACCGCGTCCCCTAAAAAGTCATAGTAGGCACCTAAACCCCCACCCATCAGCAACATCCCCACCAAAACCACCCCAATCCCTGGGAGCTGGGCCGAGCTTACCGCATTCTGAGTCTGAGTCTGACCAAACAGATCCTGATCCTGAGCCTCTTCCTGCTGCCGCTCGTCCTGCGACTGCTCCGCAGTCCCAATACAGGTATCGTCCCGGTTGGTCCCGTTATCCTGGCACGCACCACGACGGCAGGTCTGTCGCCAGATCAAGTAGTCCTCGTCGATGGTGCACAGATACAAGGAGTCGAGGAGGTCGTGGGAGGAGGTGCTGATGCTCTCGCGCTGGAGGGCGTTTTGCATGTCGCGGGTGTAGTTGCCTGGTTTTTTTCACCGGGGGGGTTAGTATCTGTGGTGCTGTGGGGTGTATGTGCTATTTATGGGGTAAAGGGAGAGCTGGATACCCTTCTTGACCAAGGAGGTGCCGCAGTAGGTCAGGCCCTGGGTACAGCGGATGGCGACGGCGCAGGAGGCGGCTCCCAGGATGGCGAGGATGGTCGAGGTCTTCATTTTGGGGTGGAGTGCGTTGAGCTAGTTTTTCTTGGTTGGTTGGTATGGTGATGGGATGATGCTGTTGAGTGGTGGGATGGGATTCTGAGAGGGCATTTCGCGATATTTATGCTTCGCTTTCTCCTCACTCACAAGCTGGGTGCGGGTCTAGATCTGAGTGCTTGGAAGCTATTTGTAGCCCTTGTTCAACATGTTTGGCATAACTGACTATATTCGCAGAAAAAGTATTGGCATTGGTGGATTCAGTTAATGCAGCATGTCTTTTCGCTAGCTAGGAGAAGTAGTAAGTATTTTTCATGATGGTTGCATGCAATCGAATATTTGTCAAAAGTTGATGACTGTCCACAGTTGACGTCAGGAATCATGCCACCGAGTTCATGGCAGCGTACTTCATACCTTTCGCACTTCCCAGTATGGTTTCGCATGCTGACGGAGTAAATGGTATCTGTGTGCTCAATAAGTCTATTCACAGAAATAATATCGAATACTACACCATGCACAACCCGTTATGATCTGCATGCCACACTAAGGCCGGGAGGCAAGACAGCCCAATCCGGCAATCCATGTTTCCACCACAAGACTTGGCATGGAAGCTCCTGCAGCAAAGTGTTACAGCACACTCAACTTGTGCCATGCAATGCTTCAACTCCGCTCTGTTTACCACTAGACCGCGCTTAATAGCTAATTCGTAGCCTGCACCAGCTGAGCCCAGGTTCCGAATCCGTACGGCCCCGGCACAGCCGGTCCATCGAACAGGCTCGCCATCACCACTCGGTCCGACTGCTCCCCAAGCCACGGCTCCCGACCATGCTGCGCCACAATATTATCAAAGACCAGCACATCGCCCTTCTCCCAGCGGTGCAGCACGCGGATCTCGTCCGTGATCTTCGTCAGGTGCGCCAGATACTCATCCGGAATTGGGGTGCCATCGCCAAAAAGCTGATGCGTGCCAGCTCGACGCGCCCCCGAGTGAACCTGCATGCTCTTCCAGTACGCCGCCAGGCCCGTGAAGAGCGTAGGGAGATTGGTTCCAGGCTGCGTCCGGATAGCAGGGAGTCTGTGCGAGAGAATCAGCTGCGTCTCTCCATCATCGTCTATTGACCACTCCCAAGTCGTATGCTCCCCACGGCCGTAGCGCGCGATCTGGGCTTCGACCTTGCGACACTTGGTCTCCTCATCATCGCCCGGCTGGAACTCTTTGCCAAAGGCTTGCTGCAGAGTTGAGCCGCCCTGGAATTGTTGCTTGACTTTGTAGTTACGCGACTGAGAATGCCTTTTTCTGCTCTAACTCATGAATAACTTCTGGGATTTCACGCTGGGCACGGTTGAAGAGCTCCAGCGAAGACGAGATGGGCGATTCGCCGCCCTGCGATGGCGCCCGGTGGGCGTAGAAGATGTACTCCGGTGCGTGGGGTACTTGCGGGGACTCGTTGTGGCTGTATATGAGCACCTCCTTGGGTGATTCATTGGCTGGAGCGACATTCGGTGCAAGAAGGGGTCTGTCGACTACAATACTGATAATCTCATGCGGTCTGTATCCGAATGCGTGCGCGAACTTGCTAAAGTCATCTGCGTTGTGAATGGGCAAGTCACGAAAAAGAAGTGTTCCGTGGCACGCAAGTTTCTTGGTAAGAATGCTATCTTGCTGAAGAGATTCGATGGATGTTGTGACGCGGTCAAGGGTGATTTCGCTCAAAATCTTCGGCGAAGGACGCAGCGCAAGCGGAATCACGGTGTGTTTCGGGTGAGGGGGTCCAAGTAGACGCTGGTTCGATCCAGGCAGCTTGAATGACTCAAAGGTGATCAAGCTGTCTGAAGATTGTTCACTTAGCGAAAGTTGTTCGATTTCGAGTGCTTCTGTGACCGTGGCTATATTTGCTGGTTGCGCAGATTCGATGGAGGTAGGCGAAACTTGAGACTCATCAGCCACGAGCGGGGTCAAGTCGCTCTCTTATCTCGGAGGGTAATATATAAGAGAAAAGACGGCAATGATTGGTGTCGATATGCTCGTGACCAGGATCATTCGCTGCCAAGTTGTGCCGAGGCGTAAGTTTGCTTGTGCCATGCATGCATGGGGTTACGTGATTACATTCCCAACAGAAGGCATTGCCTGCACTTGAGAGTAAAAAACAACAACAGACGAGTCTTACCCATATTCCGTGATGAAGTGACCGTCTACATCAGGTACCATGGCGAGCACTACCAAAGTAGAGCCAGAATCGCTCATGGCGGACATAGCAAGTATACCTGACTCGCAAGGAGAACATCAACAGGCTCGTCCCCGATTCTTTTACAGCACGCTCTTCCAGGTTCAAAATGTCGGGCTCTGCGCATTTTGCGCGCCAGGTATATGGAGCGCCATGAATGGTCTCGGAGTTGGCGGCTCTCAGAGCCCCAATCTAGTCAACGCAGGCAACGCTATCTTTTATGCCTTCATGACGGTCACTTGTTTTGCAGGGCCGTGGCTGACCAATATCATCGGCTTTCGTTGGACTCTCACACTTGGGTCTATCGGGCATCCGCTTTATGCGACAGGGTTATACCTCAACAACCGCACAAGCACGACTTGGCTCGCATACTTCGGCTCGATGGTCTGTGGTATTAGTGCAGATTTCTTCTGGAGCGTCGAGGGAGCAATAGCAACCGGTTACCCTGAAAGGCACAAACGCGGCCGCTACCTGGCCACATGGTTTACGTTCCGAAACCTTGGAGATATCATCGGCGGAGCTATCTCTCTTGCCATGAACCACAAGGTCAATCATAAGGGTCAGGTCGGTTACCAGACCTATCTCGCCTTCATTGCCATTCAGTGCCTTGGTCTTGTCTTCAGGCCACTGCTATCTAATCCAGAGAAGGTGCAGCGATGACGGTAACGCAGATTGAGGCTCCTCGTGGACTTTATTGGCGTGAGAAAGGTCGAATCATGTGGCGATTTATGCGTAGTAAGCCGATTCTGCTACTCGTGCCTCTCTTCTGGCACTTTGTCTGGATCCAGGCGTATCCAGGCACTTATCTTGCGACGTATTTCACTGTTCGATCGCAGGCGCTAGGGAGCTTTTTGTCGGCCGTTGTAGGTACACTGGCCACTTGGCTGAGTGGGTCGATGGTTGATCTTCCATGGCTGAAGAGTCGCAAGTATCGGACGATCATCACATATGTTCTCATTGCTGCGCTGAACAGCACCACCTGGATATGGGCTGTGGTGATTCAAAACGAGTATCGTCATACCCAGCCGATTCTAGACTGGGGGAATCAACGCCAACGCTCATTTGGTCGGGGGTTCGGGTTGTATCTCTTTGAGCGCATCAGCCTTGGCTTCATTGAGAACTATATTTACTTGTGCATCGGGAATCTGTCTAACTCTCCCGGCGACCAGATTCGTTATAGCTCGTTGCTCAGGGGCATTGAAACGGCCGGCGTGGCCGTGGGGTTTGGCGTGCAAGCTATTCCGACCACACTCATTGCGACGGCCAGTATCAACTATGGCTTGTGGTTCTTCACACTGCCTTTTAGTTACTATGCGACGCTGCAGGTCCTGCGTAAGTTGGAGAATCAGAAGAAAGGTGACGAGAGAGAGAAGTGATGCGCACAATATCTGAGCACGAATCCTGTTGAGCTGTTGATGAGTCTATCAAATCATCCCCCTCCAATTCGAATTGATCAATTCATCACATGCTAGAAAGACCCATCATTCGTGTTGCTGGGAAACAGTCAGCCAAATGGGTCTCGATGTCTCGACGAGTAAATCAAAGTGGGTGTGGATCGCGCAAGGATGAAAGGAGACAAACTATCGAAGGTGTTTGCGGTCTTTGTCTGGTTGGCGTCATTTGTCCTGTTTAGCCTGTTTGGCGAGGTCTCCCTCCACCCGCTGCATCCCCCCCTCCTCTTCGCTTCAACTACTCCGTACAGTGAGACAACATCCGGATTTGTACGGTTGAACAAGTCATTCATGCTCTTGAATCAATCAATAACTACTATTTATGCAAGTGGCACCTACTGAGAGACTTTACCAGGTGAATCATTATTCTCCGCGTGGATTCTTCCTTCGTGGTTCGGCAGGTAATGTCGTGATGAACTCGGGAGCGGCATCGTTCTTATCGCTCAGTTTATACTTTGCCGCAGCCGCACAGTATTTACTAGGCATTCTGTGCGAAATTGAAACCTCGAACTTCTCAATCTGCAGATTACTAGTTAATCAAACCTCGCCTGTGGTACAGTACGGAAGGAAAACGCCTTGCCCAATGCTTTTTTTCAGTCATATATCGAAGCAAAAGAAGGATAAGAGTGAGAAACGCCAGAAATGCAAAAAGATGGTCCCAGAGGGGCTCGAACCCTCGACTTTAACGTTATTAGCGTTACGCTCTAACCAACTGAGCTATGGGACCCAGTTGATGAAATGGTTTCAGCTCCATACATATACAGGGGTTACAACACAGTCAAGCGCGCAAGAGTGGAATCCCCTCGTGAAAGCTTCCTGCTGTTGCCGCGAGCAGGAGGTCTTGCCGGCTTTCACCTCGTGTGGCTGGCCGAGACCAAGTGACCCACTGCCCCGGAACTGGCGGCGCCGACGACTGGAGCAGAAGGAATTGTGTCGATCGCAACCACGCCGTAGTCAAGAAAGGCTAAGCATTCGGTGCCGTGCTTTGTTTACCTTTGGCTAGTTCCTGCGGCTTTGCCGACAGCCACTTCTCCCCCATGACCCTGTTTTGCTTGTTCATTACACCGGGTGTCGTCAACAGCAAAGCTGCCCGTGACATACGCTAACAATTCGGCACTGATTCATTGACGAAATGCAGTCGCTGAGTCTCGCGACTAAGACATTTGCAGCAGGTAGATACCAACAAAATGGCGTGGTTGAAGAACGCACCTTATCATCTGGCGGGGCAAATTAAAGCCCGGCGGACTCCGGACGAAGATCCAGAGCGAAGAATCCCATTCTTATCACGACATCGCTTACAGAGCCGAGGCTGCAGTGTCTGGGGTGCACTTGCGGTCATTGCACAACAAATGGGAGGAATCTGCAGGTCCCGTCCACCTACATTAGTCCAACAAATTACGAAATTAGCTGAAGGAACCCCGTCGGCGTGGGTTCAGGCAACTTCAAAAGCAAACCAAAAAGGTAATTTCGTTGCCGACAGACGAGAGACTTGTCGAATCGCGATATGACCTCACAGACCCGCCCGTACGCTTATAATGGCGGTGTTGCCCCAGCCTGTTCCCAAAACAGTTGTGCACATCGTGGGAAACGCTCTGCCCTGCCAAGATGCATACCAACGGCCTGTACACCGCACTTTTGTGCTCTTTGGCTGCTTCAGCCCAAGCTGTCGTTCACGAAAAGCTGGCCGCCGTCCCTTCCAGCTGGAGCTACCTTGAGGACGCTGCCGATGGCAACACCATTAGCCTCTCAATTGCTCTGACGCGTCAGAATCTGGACAAGCTCGAAGCGAAGCTCACTGCACTTGCTACCCCAGGCGAGTCCCAGTACGGCCAATGGCTGGACTTGGAGGACATCAACAAGGAGTTTCCCGTGTCCAGCGCCGATGCCGTCATCAGCTGGCTGCGCAACGCCAACATCACTCAGATTTCGCAAGATGGCAGTCTGGTGAACTTCGCTGCACCCGTTGCTACGGTGAACAAGCTCCTCAACACCACCTTTGCCTACTACCAGAGTGGTTCCTCCACGAAGCTACGCACAACCCAGTACTCCATCCCCGAGAGCTTGGTCGAGACAATTGATTTGATCTCTCCCACGACCTATTTCGGCAAGGACAACACCAAGGCGGATTTGTCGCAATTCACGAAGCCGCTGTCGACGCACACGAAGAGAAGCTCCAACTCTTCCTGCGCCGAATTGATCACTCTTTCCTGCCTCAAGGAGATGTACAACTTCGGCAGCTACATTCCCAGTGCCTCGTCGGGCAGTAAGATTGGCTTCGGAAACTTCTTGAACGAGTCTGCTTCTTACTCCGATCTTGCTGCTTATGAGAAGTACAACCACCTCCCCTACCAGGAATTCGATGTCGAGCTCATCAACGGCGGTGTCAACGATCAAAATGCCACGACCGAGGAGCTGGGCGAGGCTGATTTGGACGTCGAGCTGATCGTTGGTGTCTCCCACCCTCTGCCGGTGACTGCGTTCATCACTGGTGGTCTTGCGTGAGTACTATTCCAGATTATCGACTGTAAACCTTGCATACTCATAAGCACAGTCCTTTCATCCCCGATCCCGATGAGCCCACTGAGGCGGACGACTCGAACGAGCCCTACCTCCCGTACTACGAGTATCTCCTGTCGAAGCCCAACTCGGCTCTTCCCCAGGTCATCTCCAACTCCTACGGTGATGATGAGCAGGTATGTGCATCCTCATGCGAACAATGAGAATCCCTCTAACTATACCAGACTGTTCCCGAGTACTACGCCAAGCGCGTCTGCAACCTGATTGGCCTGATGGGTCTCCGCGGTATCTCGATCATCGAGTCCTCCGGCGACGAAGGTAAGCAAGCTGCAACCTTGCCCACCATCTCTTCCCCAGCCTCTAACTCCGAATAGGTATCGGCTCCGCCTGCCGTGCCGGAGACGGCAGCAACCGCCCCCAATTCCAGCCTATCTTCCCGGCCACCTGCCCCTACGTGACCGCCGTCGGTGGTACGCAGTCCTACGGCCCCGAGATTGCCTGGACCGGCAGCTCCGGCGGCTTCAGCAACTACTTCGAGCAGGCGTGGTACCAGCACGACGCGGTGGAGAATTACCTATCCCACCACATCACCAAGGAAACCAAGAAGTACTACTCGCAGTACGCCAACTTCAGCGGCCGCGCGTTCCCTGATGTTTCCACTCACAGCTATGATCCTCCGTGAGTTCCCTCCCCGCTACCGAACCCAGAGCCCCGATCCCGGCCTATTTTCATGTGGATCAAGTGCTAATTCTTAACTTCAGATACGTCGTCCTCGAATACAACCAAACCGTCGGCACGGGCGGTACCTCAGCCGCGGCCCCCGTCTTCGCTGCCCTGGTTGGCCTCCTCAACGACGCTCGCCTGCGCGCCGGCAAGCCTGCTCTCGGATACCTGAATCCCCTGCTCTACAGCAAGGATATCAGCAAGCGTTTTACCGATGTGACGCTCGGTCAGTCGGTTGGCTGTGATGGTATTGACCCTCAGAGCGGTGAGACCGTTCCTGGTGCTGGCATTATCCCCTGGGCGAACTGGAACGCCACGGTCGGATGGGATCCGGTGACTGGTCTTGGATTGCCGGACTTTGAGAAGTTGAAGGAGGCGGTGCTGAAGTACTAGTCTTGATGAAATGCTTGTAAAATTAGTTATTCGGGCTATAGAAACGATTGTATGAGTATTCTGAATCACCCATCTGTGTGTGCAGTGCATATCACCGTTCAAATTAATTTCCGGATTTATCATATATGTCTTCATGAAAATCCAGTCGCTATTGGTTGCTTTCTAATACTAATTCAAGCCTCCCACTCGAAGACAAGTCTCGTCTGCGAGACTCTTCTTAGGTTGCGAGTGACAATCGGGATTATTGTGGTGGTGTATCAGATACATGGCATTCTTTCCACCAACACCCCTGCTAGAGTCCCACGCCAGACTCCTTGACTCGCTCGGATCATGTCTAGTCTACTGTCTTCTGCTCATAAGACAAGAAGTCGCCAGGTTCTTGTTTTCATATCATCTTATGACCCTCGAGTCGATATCCAGCAGCTGGATCAATCCAAGTAGGAAGAGCACGCAGGTAAGGAAAAGCACCAGGAAAGACAACCGACCCGCACAAACCTCAACTAGGCTCCAAGGCAGGCCACAAATGATCAGAAGAAGGCGAGCTCGCGGGGCAAAGAATAAAATACGCAGCAGGAATGTTGGAAGAAGATGTCTCGATTTGAGAGACCCGCCAAAGACCTTCCGCACCGCACTGGTGTGCTCGCTCTTGCAACTTCCGGCACCCCGTGGCATTTGCGCCAAGTATATATCATACGAACAAGCATGTGCAGTAGCCGACTGAAGCCATGATGATGGATTGTATAGGTTTGCGTTCCAAAAAAGGGATAGAAAAACACTACCGGCAGGGCCGTTCTCTTATTGTTCTTGCTGATTCATCCCTTAATCAGAACCCTGAGGCATGAACGGAACCAACGCAATATAAGATCTTCTTGATACAGAGGAAGCTATCTCTTCTGCGGGCTAGCTAGGAGTTGCACCGCGATTACACAATCGAAATCAGTCGGGAGGGGCCAAGAGAGGCATAGTGTAGTCATCACTTTTTGGGCGACGTCCATTCGGAATCATTGGGAAAGAGTGATAGGCACGGTGTAAAAAGCGACATCTCCGCATCCAAATCGTAGTGAAGGTAAGCTTTTTGCTAGCACCCGATATGTCTCTCTGAAGCCTTTTTGCAATATTGCCCTGCGCTGGCATGGGTCTCAGTTACGATTCTCAGGTGTGGTGTTACTGGTTTAAATAGTTGCTTTTTTACCATGGCTTTTCGAGCCCAATGAAATAATGAAGATTTTATAGACCATCACAATAGTATATATGGCCGCATGATGTACAGTACAATCTGTATCGGAACACAACAAGTACACTTAGCTACGCTCGAGCCCCATTCAAGCACTCGGGGTAGGAGTAGCGCCCGCGGAACCCGAGGGCGCACCGCTCATAGAACCAGATGGCATGGCATCGCCCGAGCCAGAGCCACCGCCACCACCGAAGGCGGAGCTGTCGATGTTCTGGTGGCCGCCAGTCTCATCGTAGTAAGCCGCAATGCTGTAGTAAGAGTTGTCGGTGTAATCAGCCGTGGTGTTGATACCGATCTGGATCCAGGCGAAGAGACCATCCTCGAGGCTGTCACCGAGGTAGATGTACTCCGGGAAGGGGTCGTAGGCGGAGGAAGCCTGGAGGACACTCCACATATCATCGGCGTTGGTAGTGACGGCCTGAGTGTTGGTGGTGTAGGGGTAGGTGGCCTCGACGGCGGAGCGGAGAACCTCGTTCCAGAACAGCTGGCCGATGTGGGCGACGCTGCCGGTACCGACCTGCAGGGTACCGTTGTTGCGGTTGATGGTGGAGTTGAGGTGGGTGAGGAGGTGGGTGTGGGTGGCGCGGCCGTCGTAGTGGCCGGGGAAGATAGTGCTGAAGGTCACGACACCGTCCTCGTTGGTCTCTTGGATACCACGAAGGTAGGTCGAGTCCCAGCCGTCGGCGGCGTAGTTGCCGCTGGTGGAGATACCGCTGTCGATGGATGAGTACGTTCTATGTGGTTGGTGTGGGGCAGGGGACATACCTGTAGACACCGGTGGCATTGGCGTTCCAGATGTCCACTAGAGCTCCCTGGACAGGAAGACAGGTGTTCACGTCAATGTATTGCACCTCGAGGTAGACATCGACACCATCGCAGTACTTCTCCTCTTTGACATTCTGACGAATGACCTCACCCCAGACGTAGTAGGGACCGTCGGTCACGGTAGGAGTCAAAATAGAGCTGGTGTTGGCGCCAAAGATAGCGGCATCGGCGTTGAGGCCGTGGTGCACAAGGCCAGTCTTGTTGTGGTTGATGGCTTCCCACTTCTCGAGGGCAGCGAGATCACGACGCCACTTCTGCGGGGCTTGTGAAGTGTTAGAGTGGACGGGTCCATGGGTGTACGGATTTTTTACTTACCAGAAGTGATTCCGCGCTTGGAACGCAGCTCATTCGCAGTCTTCGCGCGACGGGCGATGCTGCGTTGCTGAACCTGCTGGGCAGCTTGGGAAGAGGAGCAAGCGTTCACACCCTGTTGAGCTCTGGCGGCCAGAGCATCGCGAAGCTGAATCTCGCGCTTGACGGTCTTCATGTCGTGCTTCTCGCCCGGGTGGGCGAAAGCCAGCGTGGCTGCGCTAAGGGCAAGGAACTTGGAGAGATGCATCGTGACGATGTTGGTAGTAGAGAAGGAGGAGTGTGTTGGTTGTTCTTCTATTGTCAGCTGTTGTCATGGTTGGTCTTATATCTTCGCCATTGCTGTAGCGGTGTTGGTATAGAAGTGTTCCATTTAGCCGCGTCATCTAGAGTAGGGTGAGCTGTGTCGATCTATCACAATGTTGTATAGTTGAGTGGGAGACGTAAGCTCTCTATCTCGGCGGCTCCCGCAGCCCTAGAACCAGGCCGAATTCTTGGCCGGTCAACGTCAGGGTCTTGGCGCCGCGTACCTGGGATCCGCAGTTTTTCAGCGAAGCGAACCCTTTTCAGAGGGTGATCGACGACTCAGACGAATCATCTCGCTCCTATTACTGACGCTGAATCTTGGGACCCTATAAGCTCAGGGATCGGGCAGACTCCGTTGGTCTGGGGTATTCTTAAAGGCTTGGCTGGTGCTGTCCCTGTGTCGAGTTGTAAGCCACAGAGCATTGGCCGTTCAATCATCGTCTGTACTGTAGGAACAGTAAGCGGAAGATATTCAGGACCCGCCCCCCACTCGAGTCGTCGCTGCTGCTGTGCACATGGCTGCCGCTGAGTACCTTGTGTCCGTCCAGATGCAACATCCGGTCCATCCGACACGCCCCGATTGTGGACGCTGGCCGATTTGAATTGCCTTGGCAATTGTGCGATCATGCTCTTTTGCATGACGCATCGGGATCGCACTTCAGTCGAACTACCGATATGTGATGCACGTTGCCTCGGCAGAGATCCTGGGTGGACATGTATAGTATAGGATGTTCTTGAAATGCCCGTTTCTCTTCCCAAAGGGGTAGCAGTTGCTGATTTCTTGGCCCAACCACTGCTTATTCAGTTAGTCATTTCTTGTCCTGCCCACTGCATTACGCACGACTCAGCTTTAATCGCAACACTTGCAGCACTAGCACCAATATTGTCTGCATGTCGGTTCGTGGTGCTCCTGGCCGCAATATCACTGTGTTCAAGTGTTGAGATACCTACTCTTTGATGTGCGTTGTTCCGCTGCCACCAAGCCAAAACCGGAGGACCGCCCCATCATTGAGAAGTCACAATATCTGCCATTCCCTTCCAATTTCGACTCAAGGTAACGGGATATGAGTAAGATCCGATCGCGGGATATGATAGTAGAAGTTTCTGGAAAGAGAAGCAGTCTCACCGCAACAGCCGGTTTCCGATACTAGTCGCGAGCAAATTCACTGCGTCTGAAGAATAATGGCGTCCTCTAGACTCCTGGACTTAGGACACGAATTGTCTCGAGAATGATTACAACAAGATTGTGAGCTTGCTGTCATCGAAATTCGTTTTTCCTTTCAACCCTAAAGAATGATTCTAGGCCCTTCTGGTTTCCTCATTGCTAACACAATAATCCGGGGGTCAAGGCGCTTGCGCAGGCCTAGTCTATCTGAATTTTCAGTCAATTTTCCAATTTCCCCATTAGTTGCAAATCATAGATAGCAATAACACGTCGATGGGCACAGCATGGGTCTGCCGAATGCTGTTCAAATTCGACGTCGAAGGTAAAGCGATATTTTGGGCCAGCGCTGTCGCTTGATGTATCTCGGCGCACGAGATGGTAATTCTGGCCGGTCATGTACATAACCTGCATGAGACACATCTTCGTCATGCTGAAACGACAGTCCTTCTTGGCTTGAAATTGTGCCTGTCATGGCTATTTCTCTCAGGTAGGGCTCTGAGATTATGAAATAATTGACATGTTTTTGCCTGTACCCCACCGTGCGGAGCATGATGTGTTTTCCTATCCGATAGCAATCAAAAATATGGAATGTAATCGAGGTATTCAAACACGAATGTGTCCATTCGATAGAAGACTATGTGGCGGCTTGCGGCCATAATTGCCAGCGGGTTGGTGGCGGAAATGCTGCAGTCCGAGCTACAAGGAATAATAAGAGTAGCAATCATGGGGCCGAGGTCCTCGGAATTTGATCTTTCCAAAGTAAAGAAGATATTGGTAGACCATCAACCGCAACTCTGAGTCAGTCGATAAGTCCGCATTAGCCGGTATTCGGAGGCACAATGATCGCTCGCAAAGACAATGACAATGAGTATGTAGTGATAAGGGAAACAATGACAGCTGACATGGAGGAAGGCGAAGAAACGGAAAGGGTTTTGCGCTAATGAGGACGCTCTCCTCGCTGAAGGCGAAGGGCCATTCACGCTGCGGGCGGTACCTCTCTACTCGAAATTCGTAGTTGAACGCCCAGGGACGCCGATGAGCAACGTGCTCGATAGATGGACGAAGGGTATCTGATGATCTTTTTAGAAGTGAAGCATTTGTACTTGAGGTCCTCGCCAGCTTCGTATGTCTTACAGAGTGTGTTTGTTCACCTGTTGATCTAGGTTGTACAGTACAGGATCTTCCTGCGCACGTGACTGGCGCGGCGTGTGGAGGGCTGTGATTATGGGACGGAAGAAGGGGGTGGTCTTTATCCTGCAGGTGGGGTTTCTTGGCTGGGTGTGTCTTTTGCTTTATGCCTTGTCAGTGCTATGGCAGGGATCCTAGCAAGCGCTGGGCAGGCAGATCAAGCATTCAGGCATCTCTTCCAGTACCATATCGAGAACATGAAGTGAGGTATTGGCTGCTCGTTTTTCGGATGAATATAATTACAATCGAATCTCTCATGTATTTTAATATGATATATATAAATTAGCCGCCGACTAGAGGTATTATACGAAGTGCTAGAGAAATAGAATCCATTGATCAATGAGAACCCCGAATAATTGAAATAACAGTGCTATTTAGTTGAAGCTGAATGCGACTTCTCAATTCGAGTTTACTGTTTTATTAGATCTCTAACAAAAGTCACATATAATTTGCTTCTGATCACTAAAGTACGTTCGTCCGGGACCAACCACAGCACAATCTTACTCTCATCTCTTCGATTTGGTATGATAGATTACAAAAAGTGTGAGTAGCACATCAGCAGCTCGCATGGCTTAGATGGTAAAGCGCAGCACTAGTAATGCTGAGATCCTCGGTTCGAGTCCGAGTGTGAGCACGTGATTCTTCTTTTTGTTTGTTTTTGTGGCATCCGGCTTCCGTTCCGGGGCCATTCTTCCGTCATACAACGTCCTAGGTTTACTATAATCAGGGTGTTGTATGTTATTTTGACCAAAAAAAGTGAACCGAAATCAACCCCTCGACAAGAGACGATGCATGCAATCAGTTCCATAAGGCCTGTCTGATATTGTTTGCCCCACTCAACGTGCTGAACGGAGTATACTCATGCTCCTTACGCAGCTTTCGGCCACAACTAATGCACGGCCTCCGCAAGCTTCTCCGCACCCTCGTAAAATTTCGGCAGAGGCTCGAGCTTCTGCCGCAGGATCCAAACGCGAAAGTGCCACCATGCATTCTCGAGCTGGTAGCGGGCGTGCTTGCGGGTGGAGACGGAGAAGACCTGGTCGAGTTCCTCGAGAGTGAGCTCCTTCGTCTCCGGCACAAACAGCAGCACCAGAAACCACCCGACCACACACCATGCGGCGTACCACCCGAAGGCGCCCTGAGCGTTGAACGCACTCAACAGTAGTGGCCAAGTGAACGAGAGAATGAAGTTGAAGCACCAAGTCGTCGCCGTCGCAAACGACATACCCACTTCGCGGACCTGCAGGGGGAATGCCTCGGCGGAATAGGTAAAGGGCACCGGACCCTCACCTGGCGAGTAGAAGATCTCAAAGAGGTACATCCCCGTCGTGACCATGGCGACGCGTGCCTTGCTGGTTGGATTGGCGGCATCGATCCAGAAGGAGAAGCCGCACCAGAGGAGGCAGATGGCGAGGAAAGGGAAGGTGAACAGCAGCAGATTGCGGCGACCCCAGGTGTCAATCGTGAAGAAAGCCGGCAGGGCGAAGACCCAATTGAGAATGCCGGCACCCATCGATGCTAGCAATGCCTGTTGAATGCTGTAGCCGGCGTCTAGGAAGATCGTGGAGCTGAAGTACGCGATGACGTTAACTCCACAGAATTGCTGCATGAACATCACGATCCAGCTCGCGAGGGTGGCACGACGGTTGCGTGGAATTGTGAAGAGTTCCAAGAACATGCTGAAGAAGCTGCGGCCGGTATTGATTTGGCGCTCGAGCTGCACCTGCACATATGCATAATAGAGATCCCGCGCGGCTTGGAGGTCAGTGGGCCGGAGAGTGCGGAAGGCCTTAAACGCCTGTTCGATGCGGTCGTGCTGGATCAGCCAGCGGGGCGACTCAGGGCAAAAGTAGACTTGGGCGCAGACGATGATGGGTAAGACGACGGTAGAGCCTAGCATGAGACGCCACGAGAGGTCGTCAGAGAGACTCATAAAGGCGACGCCCATGATATTGCCTAGCATAATCCCGAATGCAGTCCACATCTGCCACATCATGACCAAGGCGCCGCGGATGGGCGCGGGAGAGCACTCGGCCGCGTACACAGGCACTGTGGATGATTTGGCGCCAATGCCCAGCCCAAGGACGAACCGGGCGAGAAACAGATTGACCCACGAGTTGGCCACGCCTTCCCAGATGGACGCGACAGCAGCAATGAAACAGGACCAGAAGATCGTTCCGCGTCGGGCCAGAAACCGGTTCATGGGCTCCGTTAGCCAGCATCCGACTGTTGCGCAGGCAAGGTAAGGTGCACCGACGACAAGACCGGTAAGATAGTCTTGCATCTTCTGGGAGAAGCGGGGAGAATCGATCCCGAGTTGCTTTTAAGTTGTCAGTTTACTGCTCTTCGTGCTAATGTTGACCTCACCTTCAGGTAAATGGCCTGCGCGCCGTTGTTGACAGTCTCATCCATGCCCTGGACAGCAGCAGCGAGGGAGCACATACCTGATAGACAAGATTAGCACGTTGTCAATTGCAGGGGAATATGATTTTACCCGCGAGGAAATACAGCTGCCATGGCTGCGACCATTTGTGAGTCTGCTCTCGCCTCAGAGTATCTCTATCTTCTTCACTCAGCTCCTGAAGATCCAGCGCGCCTGCTGGATTTTGCGATATGAGCGCCCCTTTCCGAAAGTCCGCGACATGCTCCTCGAGACCATATTCATGACAGAATCTCTCAACATCATCCAGCAGTTTTTCGCGCGGGATGCCCGCCAGGGGGTTCTCGAAGACGGCGCTGAGATGAGTCGGGCCGGTTGTGCGACCCTCGAGGTCGTAAATTGCGCGTGAACCTCCGGGCTTCTCGGCGTGCTCAACGCTGGGAGTTGAACTTCTGTCCTTCAGGACCTTCTCTGTGATTGCTTCTTGTCTCATCATGGAAGACGCTGTGTCAAGGCTCAATGCAGTGCACCAAGTGTGAGGACCTTCAAGTGAAGCTGATCCAAGTTATCTTGGTTCTTCAGTGAGTGTAGGGTGGTTGTGGGGTGACTGTCAAGCAACCAAATTTTTAGAAACCGGTAAAGCAATAATCTGCCTGTGACGCGATTAAGCGGAAGGATCTCCCCCTGGAAATGAGTCTAGACTTCGCAAAACGAGCACAGCCAGGAGACATCAGACGCAGGGGATGACCAGCCTTTTATCGCGTGTGGGAAGCCGCTTATACGACGGTGCATAGCCAAATCTCCAAGCGAAACACAGGTAGGATAAGACTTGCTCAAACAGGCGACTAGCCGTGTGTATGGGAGGCCTGACTGCGACAAGATCATCATTGTATGCCGTCATCAGCAAGTGACCACAAATTAGACTTGATAGACTCCACATGGATTGGGGATGCCGAAGCTTGTTATGCTGTAAGACCACGGCCGAGTGTCGCAGCTCCCGGGCGCTGGTTGGTTGGCAGTCCTGGCGACCACAATGCAAGGCGGGGAAGCTGATGGAGCGACCATGGTCGGTGTCAAGTCATGGAACATGCTAATGTAACTTCAAATGATTGTCGCAACCCCATGGGGATTGGGGAGGAGGCGGGGGAGATATGGAGACTGGACTGCGAAGGGATGATCGTCGCAAGATCTTGGAAGAAAGAAGGATGCGGGCGGGGTTCGGGGATCCTTCCGGGCGACCTTCCGACACCTTGCCGGTAAATCCGGATTGACATCTCGATAGCAGAGAAGGCGTGCCACTGGAGGGACTCAATGATTAATTAATCCGTGGCCAGGTAATACAGCGAGTCTCCCCGACATGAATGTTACTCCATGGTGCTCTATCGGTCGTCCGGCTCATATATTGATACTTTTGTGGCGCCGGCAGTGCTTGAAACCGCGGACGCAAACGGATACTAGATACTTTGCCGCGCGCTCTGACTTGCGCAAGGAGCCGTCATTTCGCTCTCTTATTATTGAATAAAATGCTTATCATACTAGGTTGCTCCTGGATGCAGGAGGGCCCAGACCTTCGAAACTAGAACTTCTGGACACATCTCGTAGGCGTAGAGGCAGACGCAAGGGCTACGGTAGACTCCTGCTACCTACATTCTCATTTTATCTTTCATCCACGATGAGTAGGATTTCCTTAGAACTGTACTGAAGTCTAAATATGGTAAATGAGTCTCAAAGTATAAAGGGTGTATCAGAATGAGACTAGATTACATATTTATGTAGCCGCGGGGTTTTGTCCTTCAAATTGGCCACGTCATGTCTTGCGGACCAGAGATTATACAGATTGAACAAAGTACAGGCGCAGCAGAATTGTTCATCGCATCTCATGCAATGCCCAAGTTCTGCACGCCCAACATCGTTTTACTACTCAGTACTCATAGGGAACGGCAACTCCAGTCGCGGTCCCCCCGGATGCGACAGGGTGTACCCGAGCGTCGGAGGGCACCCCTCCTTCTTGATCACCGCTACATCGGCCACAAGCGCCTCCTCCGGAATGACCCCGGTAACCGGGTCGCGTCTCTCCTCCTCCAGATTGACGGCCCCCTCGACCAGAGCTACAAATGTGCTCGTGTGATGCGGTCCCTCCCAGTGAGGCCAGCGGCGAAGGAGCTGGATCCCGCGCTGCCGTGTCGGCAGATGGCGGCATTTTAAAGCTACCCAGGTCAGCGGAAGGATGATAACCATGTCCATCACGACCGTCGGAAGGTTTTTTTGGCCCGAATTCGGCCTCAAGGCTCTCGATGGTGGCTTCACCGAACTGGAGCGCTGCCATGAAGTCCGGGGTAAACTTTTCCCACACGTGCTCAGACAGTTCCATCTCTCGGTAGACGTGCGTCTTGAGGACAATATGTTGCATGCGGATGAGGTTCATGCAGGGGACTTCCTTGGCGGATGGGCAAGGGATCTGGGCAGCTAGCTCGTTAAAGGCTGCAATGTGGTCCTGGAGTTGTAGACTGAGCTTATGTCGCGCGATGAAAATGGGAAACAGGTCAGCAGCTGGACTCTGGAGGGCCTCTTGGGTGATGGTCAGACAGCCTAGGCAGCTTCCGGAGATGGGTTGAAGCTCCCGCCAGGCCTCGTCGAGATTCTGAAATCGCAGAAGTCGTTGACGGTCGCCGCGTACCTGAATGGCGTCTCTCTGCTTGGCTACGTATCGGTGGACCTGCAACTGTATATCTAGGTGCATGATGGCGGCGAGCAGAGCCATTTCTGGGGAAAGGGTCGGCAACCGGTTCTCGCGATGATAGTGTTGCAGCTTGACTCGCACGATCGAGCGGGCCTCCTCGCCCTTTTTACCAGACAGAATGTGGATACCATTGGTGAGGTGCGTGCAGGCGTTTTCATTGTTGCCCTGGAGGACTTCTAGGTATGTGAACACAATACAGCATACAAGAGCGATGACAGCGACGTGCGGATCCTGCGATGTCAAGCGGCGACACAGAGTCGACATCGCGCGACCGTATTGTTCGATCGCAAAGCGGTGATATTGAGCTCGATGCCTCCTCGCCTGGCCTCGAGAAAGACCACCAACTTCGGTGTTTGAATGCATGGCACTCAAAGAGACTAAGGCATGACAGACTGCCGGCTCAGCCTGACTCAGTTGCAGTGCCAGACGTCGCCAGACTTCCCATTCAAAGAAGCTGACCAGCATGGGCATGGTCCGAGTCTGGAAAAAGTCAATGCACCGTCGCTCATCGGAGCTCATTTGGCGTAAATTGATGTCGATGGTCTGGATGCATGGAACGTACTTTTGGACCCTTCTCGTCGAAATGGGGAGGCGAACAGGATCGTACCCGTCGCACGATCGGCCCGTCGAGCTGCAGTTTTTGCATGATCCTGGCGTTTCATCACACTTTACTCTTCTGATTTTGCAGGTGCGGCATCCTGTTCGGGAGCGACGGCTATATGACCTTTGCCGGGCTTGTTTAGTCATGATCTCTGTCCACTTCCGGTTTTGTTGAAGGCATGAAGAGGGTAAAAAGGACGAAGGGTGAGGCTCCGATCGAGATTCGGCGCTTTTAGATTGTCGCAGCCGGCGCGATTTCAGTGCAGGAACGACCTGCTTTGCAAATGGATTACCCTGTGCACCCCTGTCGATACCATCCATAGGAAGGTCTCACTCAGGCACTAGACCGATTAGCGTAAATTGGTGCCGAACTAATGCTCCGTGATCACAAAAATTTATGCGAAACCTGTGGGAGTTCAATTGGGAGACTCTGGCTCTTGGAAAAACACTTTCATAAATGTGATTGTGCTCGGCTCTTTATTCATCAGGTAGGCAATGCCGTTAAATGCTATGTACCATAGTCGTAGTTCAAGCGGCCATCAACGGGAGTGCGCATCCAGTGAGATAATAACAACAGGCTGGAAAACCTGCACACAGCCGAGAGACAGACACAAAGGCGAATCTCGATCTTTGTGCTCGTCTTCCAGAGTTGGTGCAAGTTCATAGATCCTTGAAGGGCAACTGTCAAGCTCCGAGCAATATCCTTTGACGAGACGTCCCAGCTTGTCAATGTACTTGCCGAGTATGGTCGAACCTGCATCCTGTGCCAATGTCAGTGACTATCCTATGCTGTAGCCGTGAAGCCAGCGTACCAAGAGATAAAACCTTGAATCTCCCGATGCGTCCATGGCCTTATCGATTGCGCCATTTCTTGGAGCATGTCTCAAGCCAGCGAAGAACATGCCATTTTCCTGAAGAGGTGAATCATATCGTTGTGTTGTACTTTCACCTCGCCGCTCTCGAGATGCTTCGGCCAGCACTGGCAGGCGTAGCGCACCCCAGGTGGCCATTCTCGGAAGTGCCAGAGTCATCTGCGTCAACCCAGAGTCCGCTCCTAACTGAACTGGACTTTTCTGCCTCATGCTCTCTCTGGTTGACATTACTCAAGAACAGACGTACACAACCGTTCATCACGTTGCGATGAGGCTGCCTCGGATCCACGATGAAAATCTCATTAAGGCATTTGGTGGCGATCGTCGGAAAGGAGGCAAAAGGAGGATGACGAAGCCGGATTGAGGATTCCGTGTTATGCTCATCCTCCCAAATGTCTATAAATGATTGGAGATCTCTCAGAATATCGTGAACATCCATACCATCAAGTCAACCGTCACCTTTGAAATCAACAAGCTCGTGTAGGGAAGCAGGAGGAATCTCCTCAAAGAGCACGATAATGACATCCACAAAGTTTCTCAGCACATCATGACCTAATCGGCTTTCTTCGGCGCTCAAACTTGAGGGTATGGTATCCCCGATGGTGTCAAGGTACACAACTTTGAATTTAGCATGGACTGCTGGATCTGTCCCGATGGATCCCAACAGCATGAATATCCTGCGTTCGAAGAATGCAGGGGCTTCTTGAATGTATGCAGAAGCGCGTGGAGGCTCATAGAAACAGCTCTTCGGCTTTTTCCGTCAACTGTTTGATTACATGATCTTTTATTATGCATGGGTTTAGCGCTTGGAGGTCTTGCTGAAGAGAATCTCTTGATCAACGAGTCGCTCGGGATAGATTACAACTCTAAAGCACGAATCCGCCCAGCGTGTTCACGTTGTCTGGAACAAGAAAGGGTAAGCGTCTCTCGATGACATATGGGGACTTGTAGATGGTCGGAAACCATTTTTACGATCAAACCGATGACAGGATCGATTGTGGAGGTTTCGTAACGGTCAAGTGCATCGACAACGATGACCACGGGTAGGCGTTCTTCAAGAGCTTTGCACTTTAACATTGATTTCAAGATGAGCTTCTGGTATTTATCACTAAGAGTCTTCTGAGAAATGCAGGAACTTCAGCCAGTGCCTCGGAAATAAAACGTCTGAGGCTCGGCAAGTATGACAAAATGGCATGCAATAATTGTGATGAGTTCGCGTGCGCTGCGTTTGCCGCTGCTGGGGACCGTGTCGAAGAGGAATGTGGCTCCAAGGAGATTCCGCACACTCATTTCACGCGCAACACTCTTGTGCTATTGTCAATTTACCTGTTCCTACCCAACCAGTCAACCAAAATATAGCCTCTCTGTCATCGCCATTGGCCCATACGTATGTCTTCGAGGACAGCGGTTCGAGTGTCTTCAAGGCAAATGGACTGATGCTGTCTAATGTTGTGGTTGAAACAAACACGAGCAACATGGGAAGGCTGTTCAAAAAATGCCGTATCGGTTCTGATATTGATTAGTTTAGTGACAACAATCCGGATAGTTATGACCCACTACGTAGCCTTCATCACGTCCTATTTCTTAGCGCGCCCTGTCTCAGCGATCATCTTGTGATCATAACCTTTTAGCTCGTAGTTCGGTATAACTGCCGGCGGCCCTTGTGAGATTTGTGACGTGGATTTTTGCCAAAGCTCCAGACATGCCATTGCGCAGGCAGTTGCTATAGCGGCAGCATGTAGTTCCCAATTGCCAGATTGATGGCCGTCCGAATAATGGGCAACCCCTTTGATGGGGATGCAAGGAACGTAGTCCCACACTGCAGCAGTTTCGACGTCAATGCCGATAGTATCTGTTGACTTGAAGAGCTTATCACGCTCGCACGCCTGCTGTATAGACACATTTCCGGATGCGATTGTCCCGAAGTGAATTTTGGAATGCCTAGCCGATTGGTACCTGTCTGAATTCCGAAATTGCAGGTACTGTGGGTCATACTTAAGCTGCTCGCAGGAGGTTTGCGTAACTCTAAAACAGCAGACGCCATCATTGGTGCATAAGCTATCTGTGGCACTATGGTGCTTATGCTGATAGCTCGACACGAAGCAGCGGTCTTCATGCAAGCCTGAGTAATCAGCTCCATCTTTGCCACTCTGAAATATTCGTCTGAGGTGCGGTTGCATCTGTCTTTCTAAAGCTTCAGTCATAGATTCAAGCTTTGCAACAAAGGACTCAAGCCGATGCCCTTGTCTGGCGGCCCTATCTTCTGCCCCGTGCTTCATGGCAAACCCGTCCGGATACATACGTCCAAAGCCATGCTGCACGACTGATTTACCTATGATCACGTCCCCGAGCATTATATCATTGTTCTCCTTGTCTGTGGGCATCCCACCGCAAATCCCAACCAGGAAAACAACTTTGAGGTGTGGATAACGTGAATAAAAGCGCAGTGCCAGTGCAGCGGCGGACGCTTGATCAGCGTCATGAATGTCAGCCAAAAGGACCGGATGATGTCCAATGCTGCCGGTAGTATACACATCGTGAGCAGTGGGTGGGGCTTCGGGGTTGTCGGAGATATGAACAGTAAAATGAAGAGCGTCTTGCACGGTGGCTTGAAAAAAGCTGCGGACGATTTTCGAGGAGGAAATGATTCCTATCTCAACAACTGCCTCTCTGATCTGGTGGTGGAGGGCCATCTTGTTTCAACTGGAATCGAAAAAGCTGGCATCTTCGAAAAGACATTTCGAGCATGGACCTTTATATAATGTCACTTGAATAACTTATAGCAGAGCAGCGCGTAGGATTCTGGGAGGGATGGTTGTTCAGCTCAATCTGGGCGCCTACTGAAACTTCTTCTTATCCGGCTGCACGGATAGGCTGGAAGCGCCTTTGCTTGCAAGACGAAGACGAGTCATTTTGACGCTCACATCGGAGTTAACGTGTCGATGCAAGTAGCCATTTTCCCTGTTGCGCCTATGAGAATAATGAATCCATGAATCAAAGCTATGTGGGACTTGCGGAATTGACCCGCCCAAAAAGTACAAAGGAGGAGAGGAGGAAGAAAAATGGGGAGCAGCGGCAATGAATTCATCCCCAGCGGGTCTGGAAGCCTGGATCTTCCCCACATACTCCTTCTAGAAGCATTACCTCATACACCCCTATAAGTTCACCATTGCTGCTGCTGCTGCTGCCGCCTGCGCCCATCTCCCAATTCATACAAACCACAACACAACACTACCTCGCCCACTGCCAATCCCTCCCCCACACACAATGCCTTCGCGACCACAAACCCAACTCCCCGAGGGCGGCCAGACTCTCGTCTACTCGACTGTCGACGGCCACGACATCAAACTGGACTACTACCTCCCCCGCAACACCACCAGCGGCAACCTCCCGGCCATAATCTACTACCACGGGGGCGGTATGACCGCCGGCTCCCGCCGCTCCGGACACTTTCCCACCTGGCTCTACGGTAAGCCCCCTCCCTCCCAATTGCATCCACCCCTATACCAACTCCCTCCACCCCATCCACCAAATTAACCTGGACAACCAACAGACCACTGCCAAAAACGCAACTACATCCTCATCGCCGCCGACTACCGGCTCTGCCACCCCAGCACCGCCCTCGACCAAATCGCCGACGCCAAGGCTCTCTTCCGCTTTCTCGCCAGCCCCTCCTTCCAATCCGCCCTCCCATCCCCTTCCCTCACCCTCGACACCACTCGGATCGCCGTAACCGGCTTCTCAGCGGGAGCCTACTCCGCGCGCGCCGCCTGCATCTACGCGGAACCGAAACCCGCCGTCCTACTAACCTCGTACGGCACGGGCGGGAATCTGCTACTGGACCACTGGACGCAGCCGCGCCCGCCGACCTCCATTGCCAGCCTGGTGAACCTCGAGGACGTGCCCCGACTGCTTGCCGATAGGACGGTGGTGAGCGATGACGCGGACCGGGGGTCCAACCGGTTCGCGCTGACGGTGCGGTGGGAGATTGACGGGACGTTTCTGGACGGGGTGTTTGGGCGGCCGGGGTTGGGCGCGGAGTTAAATAAGGTGGAGTATGCGCAGCGCGGCGCGGCGATTCCAGAAGAGCTACGGGCGGGGTTCTTACAGGAGTTTGTTACAGCCGAGTACCCGCCGACGGTGCTGGTGCATGGGACGGCGGATGAAGTGGTGCCGGACGCGGAGAGTAGGTTTCATCATGAGCAGTTGGGGCAGTTGGGCGTGAGGACCGAATTGTTGCTCGTTCGGGATGCGGGCCATGGGTTGGTGGATCTCCAGTCTGGTTTTCCGCCTAAGTTGGCGGACGGCGCGATGGAGGCGTATGAGAAGGCGGCCAAGTTCATTGATGACGCTTTGGAAGGGAAGCTGTGAGGTGGTGATTGTAGTGGAAAATGGCGCTTAGTATATGCTATAGAGACATAGATCAAGACTGGCAATCCAGGATAAATTGATACAGACACTCAACAAAAAAGCCCCAGTGGGACCGCAATACTGGCGAGAACCCGTGTGAATCATTCATTCTAATGTAGCATTACACCATTATATACACCTCCGAGTTTCCACCTCTATGCACGGATCATTTCTATATGCATAATTAGACTTTGCGGGTCATGATCCTCATTTCAAATCCGCATCGGAAAAAAAAGTATCATCAACTGCGGATACCTTGATATTACAGCACGGTCAGCACCCTCATTGTCGGAATGCAGGCAGACTATGGCCGAGCACCCCCAACAACATTGTAGCGGATTTGAGCCAACAGCGAAGTAACCCCGTCCTTCCCGAGCTTGTAGTAGATGAGGCCACCAAGAGCGATAGCGTAGCCGAAGAACTGGAGGGGCGTGACGGGATCACGGAAAATGACCATCGATGCGACAACCAACAGGATATCCTTGAGTACCCCAGACAGCGTAAGCACGAGAGCAGATGTTTTGCCGATCTAGATAATAGATTAGTCAGGTTTTCCACGAAAGGTCTTATGATCGCCTACCAAGAAGACGACAGCAACGTTGAGTCCGAAAGCAACGGCAGCGTTCAGAAAGAGAGTGCCCACTCCAAGGCTGTAGATATCGGACATGTGCATGGTCGGCAATTCCACAACTGCCGTAATGATGGCGTTCATGACAGCGCAAGCGGGTGCAAAGTAATACAGAGAAACCAAAGGATCCATCTTGAACTCGGCGGAGCTGAGAAGTCGCTGAACCATGACCAGGCGAACGGACTCGAAGATCGTGGCGAAAAATTGGCCTGCAGTATAATAAGTATGAGGCATCTGTGACGAATAATGTTTCATAGCACGTACAGATGAAACCGATCATGGTAAACTTGATCTCGCCGATCGAAGCGATTATGACACCGATGACGATGAAGGAGATGTTTCCGAGCAAGCTCAGGCGGACTGGCGCAATGCCCATAGCCCAAGTTGCCAGAAGAGTGGCAACAGAGTTGGTAGCCTGAGTCCAGTCAGCTTCGGGTTCAGTCCAATGGACAAAGTGCGTCTACCTTGAGCATCTGAATAAAAGAAACACTGAGATACAGGTAGGCTAGGTTGCCGCAGATGAGACTCAGCGAGAAGAAAGCACCGATGGGAACGATCGCGCGCCTGATTGCCCCCGTCAATTAGCAACTTGTATAATACGGAGCACTAGAAGGACTGACATATAAACGCGCGATGTCATGGGTACATTATGGCGGGAGTCGAGGAGGGTCGTGAACCGCGCCATGAGACGGGTCATGATGGTAGCGAAAACCAGATGCCATGTCGTCAGAAACAGAGCTGTAGCCCGTAAATGTCAGTTTCGAGAGGATTCGAGGTGTGTTCTTCAACAGCGATGGACGTACGAAAACCTAGGGAGAGCGTCAAAATTAGCATGGTCCGCCATTGAAGCACACGTTGCTAGTACTCACTGAATCCAGCAGTGTGTAGAATCCACTTGTTGAAGATGATGACTCCCGAGCTGAGCGCAATCCAGGTTCTAGTCGCGACTTAGTATGAATTCGAGCCGTCAGGAGTAGAAGAGGCCGTACGCAATGTAGAAAGCTGGGTGCAAAGCCGCTTTCGCGGGCTCCGCGGGGGTGTTGACCGTTGGCAATGGCGATTTCGACGACATGACGGAAGGAGGTTATACCAGGATTGATGAGAAAATGGTGATCGAGGAGAAAAAGAAGAGGCAAAACCAAAGGCCAATTCAGCAGGAGAGCGCGCTGCTGGGTTGGGAGAGGGGAGAACAATCGCAGGGCTGGGTATTGGAAGGAAAAGAATCCTCAAAAACACACACCGTGATGAGAGAAAGTGGAGCCGCCGACCCATCGGCCAGCCGGTCATCGGTCCCTGGCAGCTCAAACGACACGCGGCCCTGCGGTTCCAGCCGCGCCCCTCCACGTAATCGCCTCCATCACATCAGAAACCTGACCGATGGCGTTCAGCCGTTCACCTTCTTTTCGGTTGGCTCGTGCAAAGCCACTGCATATTCAATGCATTATGGATCCCTCTAATCGAGGCTCTCCACTTTCCAGCCACTCTGTGTGTTTCATCCTCACCACTCCCCTCCAGGGTCCGGGCTAATCTCCGCCATCTTATCGATAGACAGCCTTAAAAGCAGGGCCTGGCCCTTGTGTAAACCCCTTGAAAGGGCCTTCTCCCTTGTACCTGTCACACCGCGATCAATCTCTTGTTGGCCTGAAACAGTTGAGAATAAAGATGACCTGGAACACCATGCCGGGTGAAACAATTGTTTAACCGGGAGCGAAGGAAAATTCTGCTTGCTCCAGCTCTCCCGACATTCGTCACAAAAGAACCCACACACCATCCTTCATCCCATCGCATGAAGTCAGAAACAGTCAAGCTCTGTGTGTGCCTTGGCAAAGCTGAAGCCTTGCGGATCGGCGGTCCGTGATGTGCCAAAAATCGAGTGTTTGCGAGGCAACACTTCTGGCATATTCCACTCGCCATGTATTTGATGCACATCACACATACATGTAGGAAGGGGAGGGCTGCCGGTCAAGTATATGTATTTGCTATTTACCAACCGGCGAGGAAATTAGTTATGGTCAACTGTCAGGTCTTACACCTATTGCTAATCTGAACTCTAGTGTTCATCTTACGGGACATGAGCTACTCGGCCCGCCTGTAATAGAAGGCGAAGATTCGATATTCTGCAGTGGTCTGCGGTCTAGGCGCCCATATTTCAGTCGACGCTTATCGTCCTTGGAAAGGGTTACTTGTTCCAGATTCATGGTTCGCTTCGTAGTGCCGAAACTACAGCAAGGAAAGTATTCTACTCTCGATGGGTTTGTTACTCTATTGTCTCGGGAGCATCCTTCGATTCTATAAGCGTCGAGAAAGAGCAAGGTTGGTGTTCCATTTTGCGTATATTTGGGCACTTTATGGTGCCATATTATGCATTAGTACATGTCCTCCATGACAGATCCCAGACAACAATCGCGCCGTATCCCCATGACACCAAGTCTTTGTGTATATCCTCCTTCGCCAGGCCATTGCCGTACAATCTTGACATCAAGTGGTCATCTCTCGTGAAAAGCGCTATAACGTGCAGCTAGCGGTGCGCACCGGGAGCGACGCGGAATTAACAGCGGCTCCCCATTCCTCGCATTGCTGTCTTGGAATTAGTACATTAACCGATTGCTCTGTTTTGCAGTTCGACGAGCATCAAATTTAAAGACGTGAAAACTCACTGTAGCGGACAGAGTTGTAGTCAATCTCCTCTTGATCCTGAATGGCGCCTTTTTTGGAAGATTGTTCATCTCTGCGAGGAGCAAGGGTTGTAGCTTCACTGAGCACCGAAGCAGAGTCGTCTCGAGCAAATTGTCTTGAGACTGTCTGTTCTTTGACTTGCTTAGAGTCTTCCTTGTTGATGTTCTTAGGGGACTTGGAGCGGATGGCCCGGTACATGCTGCTCAATGGATTGGAAGGCATTGCTGCGAGGAGTAATGAAGCAGTTGATGGGATTAGGTTGGAAATTCTGAGAACCGAAGATTGAACTTGAGGGATTTGTTTGCCTGTAGCTGTTGGATGGATACTGCATTTCGTTCTGCTTCGATACTTATATAACCGATTGTTTTGAAATTGTATAGTAGTAGCAAAGCCCGCATAGTAGAGATGACTGCCTGGTGTCGGTCCTCGGAATAGACGCACGGACCATCGGACAGGCCCTGAAGGTTTCTGTCATTTCTCCGCAAGCTTATCTTCCCCTTCCCCACCCACGTTCGGACTTCGACTCATAATTACTTTGACCACCTCGACTCATCTCGACTCACTCGGAGTCACCCTAGACTCACTGAGTCTCTTAATGATGTCTGCGCCCCGTCGCAACGGACAGCTGTCGTCATGCGAGCCCTGTCGGAAATCCAAGCTCCGATGCGACCATTCGACTCCGATATGCAAACGCTGCGAGCGCCGTGGTAAATCGGACCTCTGTATTTACCATCCCGCCCCACTGACAAAACCACGCGAGCCTGGACAGATTCTCAAGGCATCCAAAAAACCAACCAATAGCCAACCTCTCCTGTGCGCGAAGACAATTTCCGTTACCCATCTTGGTAGCTCCGCGTCCGTCAGCCTGCTGGGAGCGGCACAATTTCCAGGTTTCTCCAAACGCCATCTGTCAGGCAGCGGTTTTCTGGGCCCAACAAGTTACTCGAGCTTTTTCAGCAATGAGCTCGAACTGGGAGGCCGTTCTTCGCTTTCCCACCCGGACACACCTATTGATCCTCAGCGGGTGACACAGGGTGCCCAGGTACTAGCATTGCTGGAGCATCTTGAGCTGTACGAGCAGTTGCATGAGACCCGGTCGAAGTTCGTGCCAGGGTGGCTTCTCGGGCCTCCCATGTTGCGGGAATTGATTGCACGACTAAAAGCCTCCTACCAGAATGCGGTAGCGGGCTCAGAGAATAAGTATATACGACTCCTTGACCTGTCACGAGTGCTATTCAAAAATACGGTGATCCCGATCCAGACCAAATCATCCATGAACTTAAGTGACTATCTCGCTCAATTCACGCTCCGGTGGGACATGATTGGTCTTGTCTTTGCAATGGCAGGCGCAGTGTCCTTCCAAGTGCCTCACCAGGATCTCGACAAAACTCTGAAGGACTTCCCCGGAACTACCAAAGAGGGACTACGCCAGATCGCCGTTCATGCAACCGAGGCCTGTCTCCAGTTTTGTAATGACCTAGGTATCATTAGCGACCCCTTGGGCTGGATGATGGTCCAACATACAATCTTCCTCTCTGCGTTGCATGGAAGTTGTGGTGAGTAATTATTACTTTTTGCCGAATATCTAGCCGCCTGAACAGTCCTAACGGTACGTCAGACCACCGGACATGGCAGATGCTCGGGGAAGTCACTACCTTAGTCTTCGCATTGGGTCTTCACCAGCCCTCTGCAGACGGCGACATTCCGTTTTTCTTGGGAGAGATCCGGAAGAGATGCATGGTCGCCGCATATGCTTTGGATAAGGACATTGCAACTTGTTTGGGCCGGCCGCCCCGGATATGCTGGCGCTACTGCAATATTCAGTTCCCCTTAGATATCAGCTATGACGAGCTAGTGGCAGAGCCAGAAGTCAGAGAGGCGGCACTACAGCGTCTAGATGCAACAGGTTGGAATATCGATGGACGATTAGACAAGGGTTCTCGGGTTCGAGGCTCTCTGATCGCCAGTCTCTTCCGTGAGAGTGTTCTCGAGGTGTCCTTGAGCCATGAGCTCGATGGTTTAGAGCAAAGAGTATTGTATGCTTTCTGCTAGATACTACCATACTACCTGCTAATCTGAAATCTATAGAGAGGTCTGCCGTAGATCGGACGACTACCGGTCGGGCTTACCCGAGTTTCTGCAATGGACGGACGACAAAGAAGATTCTTCCCTTGCATCACTACATCTCGAATTTTCCTATCATCAATTCCTACTATTACAGACACTATGCAAGCGCACCGGCAAAGGACTCGAACTTCTGATGCGCACCTCGACGGACATCATCACGCTACTACTCAAAATGGTGTCGATGCAGTCCCGTCTGGGACTCGTTCCACCGCACGTCATATGGGATGTAGGTGTGCGAGATTTGACTATACTTCTCCCGTTGACTAACTTATCTTTCGGTAAAGTTGTGCTATATCGGTCTACCCGTCGCCGGTGTCCTGTCGATTGAGCTACTTCGACAGTCTCAGACCGAATCGCTCACGTTATTGGCTACGGCATCACCACCCTTCCCCCGGTCGGAAATCATCCAAAAATTATCCGTGTTTCTGGCGCAATTTGACACTTTTGTTCCTCAGAACGAGGGAGACTACGAATTCTGTAACCGAGGGCAGAAGGTCATCTCGCAGGCGTTGGATCGCGTCTTATCGGGCGCATCGTCCACCATTGATGCTTCCAACGCGATACTTCCCAATGGGACGACTCTTGGGGACGATATGGAGTTTATGGCATTTTTGGAGAATTTCGATTGGGAGCAGGAGGTCCGGCTGACTTTTGGGTAGAAGGTGAGTCACGGTTATTCAGATGTAACAAGATGGTGCTGTCAACGGGAATGACACCATTTGACAATCATATAGAGCATGGGCACATTACAGGGTTTACCTTAATCTCTCAGTATATACTTCTACAATGGGAATGTTCAGCAATCGCTCTCAGCACTTTATAGATCTCGAAAAGATATCACGTGGCACTGCACGCTAAACAGATTACCCCATTGAGCCAGCCGGTGGACGCAAATGACCAAAATGGCAAATCTCCGACTCCGATCGTCCGCCGACCCCACGATGACCGAATCTGATCTACACGGGGTACGTCATGGGGAGTAATCTCGAAATAGAATCGGCGCAGCACTCTAGTATGGGAATTTCAAGGATCCAGTTGATTCACCATGATACAAACACAATACCATTATCGCTCTGATCAAAACTCATCGCCAATCCCGCCATATCTATACCCATCTATCAAAACGAGATCAAAGAACAAAACCGTTTATCGCAGGCCCAACCACAAGATACCACCCCCCAACCCCAACCAGTTTCTTCTACCCAAAATTAAGCCCCAATAGGCTGCTCTTCCCCCCTTGGCGCATTGTTTATCAAACTCATAAAACAATTCCACCCTAAACGCAACACAGTCAGTCCGGCCCTCCCTTGATCAATCCCGCACTCCCGCCCTCCACCCCCATCCAGGAACTTAGGGTAAGAAAACATACCAACATTAACCACATTCACCACCAACACGCGAAACGGCAACGGCACCAGAAACAGATTCACAGCTTGCACCGCCGGCCATACCGTCCAGTTCGCGCGCAGCGCGTCCCAGTAGCTGCGCCGCAGCTTGTCGGCGGGGTTCTTGCCCTCGAGCAGCGACATGCTGCTTAGGAAGACGCCGATCATCGTCGGCGCGAAGAGGAGCTGGTCAGCGCCGACGCGGGCGGCAAGCGTGCGGCCTGCTGAGGGGAGGGCGATGCGCGCTTGGAGGAGTTGGTACCATTTTGTGGCGATGGGGCCGAAGACGGCTTCTGTTTGTTAGTGAATTGTAAACTAGGTGGGATTGGGAGGGAGGGCGGGGTTGGGTTGGTTCTGGTTCTGGAGATGGTGTTATTGAATGGCTTACCTCCACCGTAGAGGGCCATGCGGCTGCTGCGCATTACATCATATTCGGAGAGGGTGCGTTTTTCGATGGCTGTTTGAGCGAGACCGTCGCCCAAAGCGAAGAGGGCCTTTGGGCTCTGAGTCAGTGGTGCCGTGATATTGCACGCTGTAGAGGGGTCTTACTGCTGTCGTGAGACCTTGAGTCAGGTACGGCCGTTGAATGAGACTCCTTTGGTACCTGGAGCGGGGTCAGTGATACTTGCAGCGGTGGGTATGGGTGTAGGCGGCTCACCAAGCGAACATTGAGGCCATTGTTACCGATATATCTCAATTGAGGGGTCTATAATGCAATTGTTTGACTGTAGAGGTTAATGGAAGTGTGTTAAGATTCAGGAGGTTGTATTCTCGCTCAAGTGTGTGGAATGTTGCTCGGTTTGTATTGTCTTCCCCCGGCAGAGAGGCGGGCGGTCCCGATCAGGAAACCGGCCCACTGTGACGCAATAGAATGAACTCATCGTCCCGCGGGTGGCTTCTGATCGTCGCGTGGGTCGAATCTTGGTTTGGAAAGATAACCTTATCCTTTATCTCGAGTGAGGGAGGAGGGGATGACGGAAGTTGGGCGTATCTTCTGTTGTGCAAGCGCATGACCCTTCTGCGACTGGGTGCTGTCTCCGTAGGCGGTCTCGGCCAAGAGGAATTGTCTTCCATGGAAAGTAAGTGATGTTAGTCAGTCCAGCAATATTCAGAACGGCTATTGAAGTGTCAGTATATTTGAGGTTGGTCATTGGCGTTAAACGTCGAACTGAGTAGGTCACTCCTCCCATGATTTAGACACAGGATGAATGTAGCCACAAGAGACAGCTCGAGTATGCCGTTTGCAGACTGCTGCACGTCGCTTGTAGCGAATACCCAACGCCGGCTTGTTGAATTAAACTAGAGCCCGTACATTGCTACCTGTCACAACCAGGCCACCCATTGTTGTCTCAAAACTACCAGACGACAGGAGCATAACCCTTCACGAATCAAAAGCCCCATACCGCTCAACTGCAACGCCCTCGGCAGTCGGCACCGGGAGGCTCAGGCAATCACCCCTGACGGCCCGCAGCGGGTCAATAGTCCGGAACCCTAACAGGGTCCGATTTTGACGCCAACCACAACAACCAGAACTAGAACTCCTCGTAGCCTAATCGTCGCTCTACTCCTTCGGTTGGTCCCAAGCTCTAGACCCCGATTCTTTCCTTTCCTGGCCAGCTCCTGACTTGTTGCCCCCATTTCGATGGACTGTTGTGTACGCTTTGTGAGAAAACAGGCAGGGAGAAAGAGGCCCCCGCCTATAGAGGTGCCACAAGTGATACACGCGAGGCGGAGCCTCCCGACGCTTGGCTCTCTGAATTGTGACCTAAGAACTCTGGTACACCCCGGGGGACTCGGGTCCTGTCATCCTTCTGTGACAACAACCCTATGAGGTGTGTTGGCAAAATTATGTGAGCTACTGTTTCTGAGAGCGGCATATGCCCTCGCCCGAATCGCAGGCACTGCGTCTGCCATTGAGCTGGACATCAAGATGAGCGTAGGTCCTTCGCTAACTGCCATTCCATCTAGAGCTCCTGCTGATCCACTATCCCTTGCAGAGTCCATCAAAGGTGCGGCCGCGACCGCCGCATTCAACACCGTGCAGCACTACAACGGCAACGAAACCGGAGAAATCCCCGGCAGTATCCCCGACCCGTGGATCGAGGAGGGTATGCACTCTCTTTAATTTGATAATCCAGTACTGGTACTTCACCGGTGATGCCTCCAACAACGCCGCAGTCAGCCAGGGCATACCACCAGATCGGCAACAACAACTACATGCCGGCCAACTGGAGCTCATACATGGGCAACGGCGACCAAATGGCCTGGGGACTTACCGCGATGACCGCCGCAGAGCTCGACTATCCCCAAGATAACGACGAACCTTCATGGTTGGCTCTTGCGGAAGGGTTCTTCGACACCCAGGTCGCCTGATGGGATACCAGCAACTGTGCCAGTGGGCTGCGCTAGCAGATCTGACCATACCAGAATGTATACATGAAAATGCCGTTAGCAACGGTGGGCTGTTCCAGGTGTCTGCTCGGTTAGCTCGGTATACCAAGAACCAGACGTATGCAGACTGGGCTGAGAGATTTGGGATTGGAGTGCTAGCGTGCCGTTGTTAGACAACGAAACCTGGAATATCGCAGATAGCACAGATGCGGATGATGACTGCACCACGCAAGGAAACAATCAGTAGACAGCCAACTATGGGCCGTATATTAGTAGTGCGGCCTACATGTACAATCTCGTAAGTTCCAGCATGAAACGCTTGCAAGTCAGACGAGACATATGATCAACTAACGAAGACCGCAGACCAACGGTCAAACAAGCAAATGGCAGTTCGGGTCTAAACGGGCTACTTGAAATCTCGTTCGATAGATTCTACCCCGAGAAGTACGGCAGCTTGATCCTTTCGGAAGCGCTTTGTGAGCCGCTTGAGGTCTGCAACAGAGAGCAGGATCTGTACAAGGGCATATTCGCCTCGGACTTGACCTTTGCAAGCCTCGTCGCGCCATATATGTCATCGGGTGTCTCTTCGCGTTTGCAGGCATTGGCGGTTGGAGCAGCGAAGCAATGTACTGGTGGCAACAACCAGACACTCTGCGGTCGTCGTTGGTACTCAGACGAGTGGGACGGAACTGATAAAAGATGGGAGCAGCTCAGTGCGACCAGCATTGTCTTCTCGAATTTGGCGAGGTTTACTGAGAAAGACATTACCCTAATGGAGCACAGAACAGCCGATATGAGCTTCCATGATGCTGGTTGAATACAGCTTTGATGCGATTAGCCTGGCTCGTGATCAATAAATCAACATCTTGCAGATTCGCATATATACCTAAAAGGTCAAACTCGTAGCCGTTGATAGTGTCAATAAACGTCTATAGCGCAAAGCAACCCCGTCTTCGAACGTCGGTCGCGCCTTCAATATCTCGGCGATTCGGCGTTTGAAAAAAGCGGAATTAATCACCGCTGAGTCATACCGCTCCGAAAAGAGGAGTACCTCAGGTGTGAACTATTTTCGCCAGAAGTCTCACCAAGATCGTGGATTATCGAATTAGGCTTCAAACCCCCATAATCGACACAGCTTGGAATTTAACTTATATATACGTCGATGTCGGAATAAGTGACTGACAGTTCATCATCAACCACGATGTCCTCAGCCGAAGGTCTCCCCTGTGCAAGCAGCCAGACTCACCTGGTCCGGCACTTTGCAGAACAGTATGCATTCATCTTGCCTGCATATAAGCATCGTTCAGAAAGGCACGCGCGAGCTCACGTACTGTACTCAGGCCAGTTGAACTGCACACAGACAGATGGTCACAATTATGGGACACCGACAACAGCGACCTCTGGGACCGAGGCAAACCCTCTCCGGCATTGGTTGATCTCATCGAAGAGCGGCGCGATCTAGTATCGCTCGTCGGACCGGATGGCCGTAAGAAGAAGGCTTTAGTGCCTGTACGTCTTTTCTCACTGCTTCACTTTGAAAATTTGTCACCGAGAAACTGAATCTACTAGGGCTGCGGCAAAGGCTACGACGTAGTCATGCTCGCGCTACACGGATATGACGTATACGGGCTTGAAATCTCGTCTACAGGGGTGTCTGTCGCAAGACGGTACGCGGAAAATGAGCTTGCGAATCCCCAAGCGTACAACTGGGGTGCATCCCGGGTGGATTGTCAGCCCGGGCAGGTGGAGTTTATCCAGGGTGATTTCTTTAAGCGGGATTGGGAGAAGCCTGGGCTGAAGTTTGATTTGATATACGACTATACGGTATAGCCTTCTCGGATTCGACCTGGTTTTTTTATGGTATGATCTGACTCTGACTTACTTCCAGTTCCTCTGCGCACTCCATCCAACCATGCGCCCCCAGTGGGCTGCTCGAATGGCCGAGCTCCTTATCCCCGGCGGCCAGCTCGTCTGCCTCGAGTTCCCACTGTACAAGGACCCAAGTCTGCCTGGACCCCCTTGGGGTCTCAAGGGAGTGCACTGGAATCTACTCGCCGAAGGCGGGGATGGTATCGTCCATCCAGAGCAAAATGACAAAGAACCTCGACCCCCGAACGCCAAGTTCACGCGAACTCTCTACGTAAAACCCGCCCGGTCCTACGAAAGCGGACGTGGAACAGACATGTTAAGCTTATATACACGCACAGACACCCAATAGGCAAAAAGCGAAAAAAATGGGCATGCCGACCACGGACCTCACCGGGTGTAAACTTTCCATCCGTCGTTACGCATGTGTTTGACGGCAGACTTTCGATATTTAGGGTCTCGTGCACCTGCTGCTCGCAGAAGCCGGACACAGTTCTGATGGCCTTCACGTACAGCATAGTGCAGGGCCGTCCACCCGTGATATCCAGGTTGGTTAATATCTGCGCCGTGGACGATGAGAGCTTGCGTCACGTCCGTGTGGCCATATTGACAGGCAATGTGGAGGGGTGTCGAGCCATGGGTGGTCGTTGCATCGGGGTCAGCGCCGCAGAGGAGAAGAAGACGTACGGCGTGTATGTTGCCGTAGCGGGAGGCGACATGAAGGGCAGACTCGCCTGTTTCGTCGCGGGAATTGACTAAGGCGCCGCGGTGGAGGAGTCTCTTGAGCATGGTTATGTCGGTGGGTGGGATCACGGCTCGGTGCAGGTGGTGGTATGTGCCTTGGGCAATGTCACCGACCAAGTGTGCATCGATGTACGGTACTGCGAGAATGGAGAGCTGGTGGCAGACAAGACGAAGGGAGAGAACGTCTGTTTTGTTGAGCAGCTGTTATCTGGATCAGCAGGTGCTTGAATAGGCAATATAGAGCAGTGCTAGACAAACCGGAAGGATAATATGGAGGATCTCGGTTGGTAGATCGCTGAAGGCGGCCATGTTGAGTGCCTGTGTCTGTTCTGTGACTTGGTAGGAGACTTACATGGCTAGCTGAGATACTTTATACTGTAGAAACCACTATGATGGGTGACAAAGAGATCATCCGTTTGATGAAAAGCTTATAGGAATGCTGTAAGAAGCAATAAACACTTTATTAGGTGTGGGTGTGGTGTGTCTCTATCTAGATAGGGAGTGACACAGGGCTGGCTGGGGTATAAAACATACTTCACAAGCTGCTGGCCTAGGTTGGAATAGAACTTCAAGCAGAGCAGCTCTATCAACTTAGTTCAAGTTTCACACTGGTACATATTGTGACGGTATTGTCGTCATGAAGAATGTAGATCTTGCGCCATCTGCTTCTTTTGTGCCCAGCAATGTCGGTCGGCTGCATATGACTAACGTTTTCCACAAGCAGGCTGGCCACTCAAGTAGGCTGGCCATCTCTGTATCGCATACAAAATAGCCATATTTTGTATGCCGATATCTTAGGCCAATGTTAGTTCTTATCTTATATACTTTTATATATAAGCTCTAATAGCTATAATCTTCTACCTCTTCTTCCAAGTATCTCATTAGACAAGCTTTACCTAGATAAAATACAATATAATGCGATTTTCTCTAATTCAGAGATTAATTTATTAAGTACTTATACTAAGAGATCTATGATAGTAGTAGATAAAATCTTATGAAGTGCACAAGTTATACTAGTTTTTAGTATAATAAGTGATAAACCTATTAAGTAGTTTTTCTGTAGAGATCTTGAGAGTTCAAAGCTCGCTATTTTCTATGGCCAGCCCGCTTGTGGATTACGTTAAATCCAGGATGCATAACTAGGTACGTACCCTAAAGGCTCGGCGAAATATGATCTCATAGCCGCTATGACCGACTGTATCAACTCAGCTGATCTGCAATTCAAGCTCTGCATAATTGGCACATGACCAATGTAAATCACCACCAAACTTCATTGACAGGTCTAGGCAACAACCAACCCAATTTTAGGCAGCCACCACCGAACACAACAGCATAACTCCGGAATACATACATGCGATAATTTGTCTCCTCGTCAGCACCAAGTGGAGGCTAAACTTTATCGCGCCGCTAAACCTCCGCTAAGCCTCCATCGCGTGTCTCAAAGTATCAGATCCATCCTCCCGATCCCTCTCGGCTTCTGCTGAGTTTAGCGCCCGAATATATGTAGGACGACCCGACTGACACTGACATACTTTCCAGTCAACAAGTAAGCACATAACGCCCACTTCCTCCTTGATTCTTCTCACCACAACCGCACACATCAAACCACAATGGAAACAAGCCAAACCCCCGAGATAACCCTCTACCGCGCCTTCCCCTGGCAAGGACAATACACCTGGTCTCCATTCGTGACGAAACTCGAAACCCGTCTGCGCTTCGCGGGGATCTCGTACCGCACGGAGTCAGGCTCGCCACTCAGCAGTCCCCGCGGGAAGGTCCCGTACGTGGATATCAGAGACCGCACGACGGGCGCAACGACCACTATCTCCGATTCGGCGCTGATCACAAAGCAACTCGTGGAGGACGGGTTGGTTCCAGACAGCAATGCCGACCTAGAGCCGGAGAAGAAGGTGCTGGATGCGGGCGTGCGGGCGATCTTGGAAGATCGATTCTATTTCCTCATGGTATCCTTTCTCTTCCGCTGACGTTCGATGAATGGCTTATGGACTCACGAGATAACAGAGTCACGAGAAATGGATTGAGAACTACTATGAGATGCGCAAGCATGTTCTGCACGCCTTTTCGTACCCGGCGCAGGTTGCGTTGGGGTACTTCATATATCGCAAGCGGGCGCAGATGCTGTATGAGCAGGGGACGATGCGATTCACGGCAGAAGAGCTGAAGGGCTTCAAGGAAGAGGTCTGGAGATATCTGAATGCGTTGCTGGTCTCTCAAAAAGCGAAGCAGGCGGGTGATGAGCCGTTCTGGGTGCTTGGGGGAGAGCATCCGACCGAGGCCGATGCGTGTCTGTTCGGATTTGTTGTTGGGGCGTTGATCTGCTCTGCGTAAGTTCTGGCCTGTCCCATGATGAGACCTATACATCCTAATGCAGTGTATGCAGCTGTCCCGAGACTCAAGCGATCGTGAAAAGCCACCCTGTGGTGGTTGAGTATGCGCAACGCATTCATGAACGCTTCTTCCCGGATTATGTTTACTGGGAGTGATGGGCCGCCGGTTTGCTTCCTTCCCAGCTTATCATTACTTAATTGTCTACACCTTTCCAGTTGCCATATATAATGATAATGTGCTTTGCCCAATCAATGCATTCAAGAATTCATCATATCCCCCGCCCACCATCAACCTCCAGGATTGTGCCTGTAACAAAAGAGCTCTGATCGGATGCGAGATACCAAGCAGCATTGCTCACATCCTCAGGTCTTGTCAATCTCTTCAGGGGTATCATTTCCTCCACCTTAGCTCGTCTCTCAGCTGCATCGTCGCTCCGACCAGTGCTCGCAAACAGCCTAGGTATATCAGTCTAGCTCACCATACATCAAGAGGGATGGAACATACATCTGCGTCTCTCCAACAGCGGGCGCAATGCAGTTGAACCGAATGGTCGGTGCATACTCCAGCGCCAGGGTCTTGGTTGCTGTCTAGTACGTATTAGCTAGGATCACGGGTTGTGGCCCTGAACATAGTAAGTCATACGGTTACCGCCGCTTTGGAAGCATTGTAGATAGCGAAGCCAGCGCGCGGTCGAGTGTAGCCGGTGCTTAGGGAGTTAGCCCCGCCCTTTCTCCTGTAGTGTCTCCTTACCTTGAGATATTGATAAAGACACCGTGTCCCTGTTCCAGCATGAATGGAGCAATAGCTTGCGCGCTCAGGAATATTGGCTTCACGTTAACGGCGAAGATCTTGTCAAAGGTATTCATATCTTGCTCGTGAATTGGCTAAGGTAAATTAGCCACAGCGCTGATGGTTCTCGCGAGTTCCTACCGCAGCATCGGAGACAATAGCTGTACAGTGAGTCAGTACAGAATGAAGTCTTCAGGTTAAGGCTTGCTAACCAGCGTTGTTGATAAGAGCATCGATCCGGCCCCACTCGTGTAGGGCAACTTCCTTGACGGTCAACCAGGTTCGGGGATCCGATACATCGCCATGTACGAAGAGCACACTTGAATCATCCTGTGCTTTAAGAGCTCCCTTCTCTGCATCGATGTCGACCAGCAGTACTTTCCAGCCTTGCAGGCTGAAACGACCGACAATGGCGGCTCCAAACCCATCGGCTCCGCCTGTGACTATTACCACCGGTGACGGGGATTTGTCCGGCATTTTGGCCCCTATATCATGAAGGTGATGATAGGCTGAGATAAATGCTTCGGTCGAAGTGAGGGGTATGTTTTGCTATTACGATGCATCCCCGCGTTCTGCGAAGGATCGTCTTTCGTGACCAGGTGACCAGGCTAAGTTTACATAAGCTGAAGAATCAACTAACTTAGTGGTTAACTTATAGTTAACCAACTAAGACAGCCTGAGATGACTTCCTCGACTCATTCAAAATGTATAAGCATCAAAGACTGGAACCTTGAGAGCTCCATGGATCTTCAAATTGAATTTCAGCTCTGACTCTCAGGAGAACCAATAACACTAGCGACGGAGATTCACTCCACATGCTGTTGTTTAGAGACGGCCTATCATCGTCACAGCAACGCATCCGGAGACGCAAGATCTACCCATCCCAGGTTTGGTCCGGACTGTGTCCAGCCCAACCGCTGTTGCACCAACTTCGACTATGTCCGCACGTCCTCAACTGGATAATCTCCTTCAGCTGAATTTCTGCGCGTAGCCGTCGGCCAACTTACCTCTTGCCGATAAACTCCACTGCACATGAACATGATATGCATCATCCGGCCACCTGAAGATTCAAAGAACTCCCTTCCTCCATGATAGAGGCTACCCAACATGATCATGGCTTCGCCAGCGCGAAGCTAGGCATCAACCACGCCTGTGTTCCCATCGGGCCCGAAATCAGGCTTCTCGTCACCCCAGAGGTGGCTACCGAGAACCACGCGCGTGGCTCCATTCGCGCGGCGAGTATCGCATCCTGGCACAAATAACCCTAGAAGGATGTCGCGGTTCGTGTGGTACGCGTCAACACGGGTATGTCTGGCATGGTGGTTCTTGTCATCACGATGGAGCTTCTGCGCTCTCGCCCCGGGCCGAATATCCATTGTGATGGCGATTGAGAGCAGCGGGTGGGTGATGTTGGTGGACGGCTCTTCGCCATACCAATTGGTCGTCGTGATCGCAAGAAACTCTTCAGCTAGGTCCCTGCCCGTCATAGTATGTCATTATTATTTTCATCTCTTATGGAGGGCGTTGTACCTGATACAGTAGATCTGAGAAGAACTTCTCGCGAACCGTCTGGCTCCGTCCGATGAGGCGCGTGCAGGTGCGAGTGCCGCCATTCAGCGCTGGAAGCTGTCAGTAGACATGCAATGATACCTTTTAGTACATACTCTCAATCTACCTCCGAGTTTGCTGCGGTGCTCTTCCTTCTCCAGCCACGGTTGGACTTCCTGCCGTGCTTGCTCTAGTGTTTCTGGCGTACTGAAATTTTGGACTATCACGCATCCTTCGCGCTTCAAGGCATCAATGAACGTTCCTCTAGGTGCGGAGTATGGAATCCTTTCGATATGGGATTGGGTCATTTTCTGATCGATGTGGACTGAAACTCGGTTGCGCGAACACTGTGGAAGTTTCCAGAACGTGCACAGCTCGTGGGAAATTCTTCAGTCACAATGCGTTGGGATATAGAAGCCATGATAGGTGTGAGATAGTATCCATCACAGCGATTGTAGGATGTGAGACGCTTATCTCGAACCAATTGTTGTTATGGTTGTGGTGACTGTCGTGACTGATAACCAAAGTCAAAGTTGGAGAAGTGGGGGTCGATCAGTGACGGATTTCCCCCACGTTTCTTTCCACTTCCCCTCCCTTCCCGGCCTTCGATCTCTCCTAAACTAACTTTCTCGCTCTGTCCCCCTCTGAACTTCGTTCTAGACCAGCCTGCTCACAAAAGATCTTTGTCTATTACTTCCTGGGAATTTTGTGAAGTTCTCCTCTTTGCGCCTCACATGCGATGTTCTCCCGAGAATTCACGCCTATGTGGGTCTTTCAGCCATTGTCTTAGACATGGGCCTTCGATGTGGTGCTTCATCTCCTTCTTGCTCTCTTGCTTCTTCGCTTCCATACGTCTGCTAATGCTCATTCTATCTCAAGCAACATCCCAAATTGCGAAGCCTCGTTCCAAGCTTGCAATCCTACACAATCAGTCCAACTCGACAGTTCAAGGCTCGATGGTGAACCACCCCAGTAAGGTTCGGGATCCGTGCCCGACTCTGAATCATCTAGAACCACTGCCTGGCCACGCGGCTAGCAGCACATAGTCAATGCCCTCCCATACAGCCTCGGTAACTCTGGGGTTTATCCTGGCTGACTCCATCGCATTCCACATTCAGTCACGGGACCATTCAAATCCGGAATGTCACTCTCCAACTAGCGAAATAGTATGACCCCTTCCACTAGTGCAGATGTGAAATAAACGTCATGCGGCCGGAGCCGACTGCTCCAACGGTGACAGTCTGTCCCGAGTCCGAACTCACATCGGGCCGACGTCACTCTTGGGTCAAAAACGAAATTTGGCCGGCCCAGCCCTGAATCGTCGCCCCACCTGCGAACAGATCGCCAACTTTTAAGTTGGTCTGCAACCTCCTGATTGGTTGGGACGGGACCCGACCCATGGATCAAAGTCGGACTGCTCTCTTCCGTTCTCTACTGTGTACAATGTCCCCGGGCGAGTTGGAGTGGGATGTAATGATGGAATCAAACCCGTGTAATGAGTGCGTGGGATGGATGTGCCGGGGTCTCCGCCCCTCATTTTCCATCTGCAAACGGATATATAATGCTGCGATGGTTTCTTTCTCCGTCTTCATCGATTAGACCTGTCCATACACTTAAGTTTCTATACACCTGTCTCTTCCCCGCACGCTAGACACAATGAAGGAGGCTCAGGGAGCCTGCGCTCCGACTGCACCTGTATCCCAGGGTATGCCGCCTTCTACAGTCGAACTGGTTTTTGAACTCACACATGACAGGTACCCTAGACAAGGTGTTGCAAGAGGTGGATCGCATCGCGCAGACGTTTACTATTGACAGAGAATCTCTTCAACGCATAACTGATCACTTTGTGAAAGAGCTTGAAAGAGGTTAGTATTTCCTCAAGCCGCATAGCACAACGATCTAACCTAGCCAAGGCCTCGGCAATGAAGATGGTGATATTGTATGAACCTACTTCTCATCGCTATACCCTGCCACTAACGGTTCCTTCAGCCTATGAACGTAACATGGGTCATGAACCAGCCGACTGGCTATGAAACTGGGCAGTTTTTGACCGTAGACTTCGGCGGCACGAATCTGCGCGTCTGCAACGTGACCCTGACCGAGGAAAAAGGAGGGTGCGAATTAACACAGCACAAATTCAAACTCTCAAAACACATGCGAAAATGCACTGCAGATGAGCTGTGGGGCTTCATTGCAGACCGAATCAACGACTTCATCCAAGAGCACAATCTCAGACCGCACAACTCTGAAAAACTCCCCTTGGCCTTCACATTCTCATATCCAGTGACCCAAGATAATATCAGACACGGTGTCCTCCAACGCTGGACAAAGGGATGGGACATCTCCGGTGTGGAAGGACACGACGTGGTAGCACAGCTGGAGCAGGCTCTGGAGCAAAGGGTGCGTAAATCTCGCAATCCACCTCTGTCCAAGCCAACTCTTACTAATAGCCCTACAGAATATTCCTGTGCATATCGTGGCACTAGTCAACGACACCACCGGAGCACTTATCGCCTCCGCCTACAGAGACCCCGAGGTGAAGGTTGGCAGCATTTTAGGAACTGGCTGCAACGCCGCCTACATGGAAAAATGCGGGCGCATCCCCAAGATCGCCTCGCACAACCTGCCCGCGGACCAGCTGGTCGGCATTAATACCGAATACGGCGCCTTCGACAACAGCCACCAAGTCCTGCCACGCTGCGACTTCGACCTCGAGATCGATCGCGCCTCTCCCCGCCCAGGCCAGCAGACGTACGAGAAGATGGTGGCCGGGCTCTACACGGGGGAGCTGTTCCGGCTGATCATTGTGCATCTGCACGATACGGTAGGCTTTCTGGAAGGATGCGATCTCCGCCGCCTCCGCGACGTCCATGCCATGGAATCGTCGGTCCTGTCGCGCATGGAGGAGGAGAACGCCACCCCCGAAAGCACCATGGTCGAGACCCGCACGATGCTCAAGCAGGAGTTCGGCATCGAGCCCACGCTCGAGGAGCTAAAGATCTGTTGCTTGCTGGCGGAAATCGTGTGCATGCGGGCCGCGCGTCTCTACGCCTGCGGCATCGCGGCCATCTGCAAGAAGGAAGGCGTCACGCGGGGTCGCGTGGGTGTGGACGGGTCGGCGTTCAGCAAGAACTACAAGTTCAAGGAGCGCGCGGCTGCGGCTCTCCGGGAGATTTTGGAGTGGCCGGCTGAGGAGGAGGACTTGATTACTTTTGTCCCGGCGGAGGATGGCTCGGGGATCGGAGCTGCGTTGATTGCGGCGCTGACGGTGGGCAATCATTAAGGGTGGGTTTGGTGGTGTCACGAGTAATGACTGCAAGCGGTGTTATATTTGTCTTTTGCAGCAAATGGATTCCTGGCGTTATAGTATAGCATACGGTTTGCCTGTTTGAGAAGAGTTCCAGCATTTAATCTTACATCTAAGTCTCATAACGATTACTCTTTATAACATCTACCTCACCCCTCTCAACCAACTTAACCAAAAATTCAGGTCTCCCGCTCCAATGCCTCCCTCTCGTTACTCTTGGGGATCTTTTTTCCTGCACAACCTATACCCCGCTGCCGACTCTCTCCCTGCAACTTTCACAGAGGCGTGGAGGTGCGTGGAGTCCAAGCGTAGAGCAAGGTATCCAGCTTTGCGCGACGAGCATGATCCATCGTTCGTGGAGTTCGAAGTCTTTGGGTTGGGAGCGCCATAACTACAGGAAGGGGCAACACGGCAGGAAAGCTGTGGAGTATGCCCCATGCTCCAACCACACGCCTTAATTATATGCAACTCAAGCATTGAGTCGGCTTATAAGATTTCTCTGAGAAAAGGGTGTGGCTACTTGGCGAAGTGTCAGATAGCTCGCCGTTGAATGCCTGAGGCAGATTCTGTTTGGCTAGTATCAAACTAGTTAGTATGATTTGGTCATGGAGGCAATGTCCTTTTCTGGGAAAATATCATTCCTGCAATAATGCTTCACGTTACCCGCTTAATGATGACTTGTTGTTACTATCATTAGCTCAATAGGGGTAACTAAGTCATTGACATTTTGAGAGCGGGCTTGACCTGACTGAGGCAGGCTGAACATCGGATCGGCCCTCGATGCATCAATCGCTTGTCGGTTCCATCAGCCGCCGATGGGGAAGTTGAACATTCCTCATGTCTAAGCGAGCCGCTGATGTCCGAGTTGGTATTCACATGTATAAATTATGTATTCTCTCAACCAATGATGTGCAGTGAATTACTGAATCAGAAGCTATTAAGGCTAAATAGGTACCTAAGATTTACCGGTAGGCATCACACACCCCAGACTCGACCACCAGTCACAATCCATTCCCAACAAGATCAGCAAGCCTTGCCGATAATCAGTTGAGAATAGATTGGCTGCTGGGCCTAACGACGCCATTCCGCTCCGGATCACACCGCCATCCTGCAGCCTCCAACGCCTTATGCCTCGGTAGTGTGAGGTGATGACACTGCAGCGTCATCCACATGCACCGTCTTGGCGGTCATCTTCTCCGCGGATGCATCCATCTCTCCCCGCAGCAGGGCTGTAAGACCGATGTCGCGGTCAATCTGCTGGCGCAGGGCCTCGTCGTTAGCGGCCATGCCCTCAGAGCCAAACACTTCGTCCATCTCCTCCAGTGTGCGACCCTTGGTCTCGGGGACGAAGAACAAAACATAAAGAAAGCCGATCACGGTGAGACAGCCGAAGAAAATGAAGGTGCCGTAGGCGGATGTGGCGATGAAAGGGGACGTCGCCATACCGACACCAAAGTTGTTCAACTATCAGCAATTAGCTCGCGGTCCCAAAGCAGAACCCAAGGGAAGACATACCCAGTTGCTGCTACCGCCAATACTGACTCCCTTCGCACGCATGCTGAGCGGGAACACCTCTGACACCACAATCCAGGCGCACGGACCTAGCCGACTGTTAGCACTGTGCCCGTCGCAGCAATAAATTGGAACATACCCCAGGAGTAGGCAAAGTTGATGATGAAAATCCACACAAAGGCCACCGTCGCCCAGCCTGCGCTCCGGTGACTTCCAAACTCGCCTTCATACGTGGCGATCAGTCCGGCACAGATGAAGTGGCAGATTGCCATGCCTGCAGCACCGGCCAATAAAATCTTCTTGCGACCGATGTTGTCCACCCAAAGCACGGCAGGAATGGTGAAAACAAATTCAAAGATACCAGCCACACCCGTGGCCAACAGCGAGGTAGTGTTTCCGCCGAGGTCAAGTTCTTTGAAGATCTGCAGTCCAACAGAGTCAGTAATTGGTCCACGTCTGTCGAAGGGGATGCTTGCCTGAGGGGCGTAATAGTTGATGGCGTTGATCCCGTTCCATTGCTGGAAGGTCATGATGAGGCACTGGACGATAATCAGCTCAAGCTTCAACTATGCAAGGGGGGAGACGTACTGCGACTGTGGTCCGCTTGAAGAGTGATTTGTCCGTCACCAACGAAGCATATTCTTTCACACCGATCATGAAGCGGCTCTTGAATGAGTTGTCTTGGTACTGAGGGAACTTTCTCCTGGAGGTCTCTTGCTCGAACATTTTCAGAGACTTGATCTCAAGATATTCGATACGGACGAGCATGTCGTCGGTCGAGGCGTCGCGCAGTCGTGCCAATGTGCTCAAGCACTCCTCTTCGCGCCCGCGATTCATCAGGTGTCGTGGTGACTGAGGCATGAAGAAGGCCATTCCCACAGCTAGAATAATGGCTGGCAGAATCTGCAAACAAACCGGAATCTCCCAGGCTGCTTTAGATTGGCTGTCGCCTGTCCCACCGATGTAATTGGTACCGTAGCAGATCTACTCTAAGCGTTAGTGCTGTAGACTGAAGACGGAAGGGTAGAATTCCACTTACCCAGAAGCTGACCATGATACCAAAGGTGATCGAGAGTTGTTGCACGGCGACCAGCGAGCCACGAATCTCGGGAGGTGCCTGAATTTGTCAGTGCCTTGAACTGGCAGTCCCGCGACGCTCAGACTCACCAGTTCCGCATTGTAAAGTGGGACAATCATACTCAAACTACCCACTCCCAGACCGGTGACAAACCGGCCACCAAACACATAGCTTGGGTCTTTAGTACATGCCTGCACGATCACACCGGCGCAGAACACTACCACAGCTACAACAACCGTGAGTCGACGGCCCAGCGAGTCTGCAAGATATCCGTTGGCCAATGTACCAACCCAGGCACCCAGTTCCAGAATTGATGTAAGCATGCCCTGAGCTGTACCGGTCTCTTCGGCGTAGTGTTGTGTCTGTAGATGTCAGAACATGGTGACCGGTGTAGGAGTTCGACAAGCATACCGCGCGGATGAAGGAGGTCATGGTAAGAATTTCTGAGAACATGCCCTGGTTGTCTGAAGAAGAAATAAGCATCTCATATCGTACTGTCATTTATGCCACCTACATCCATAGACAAAACCACCAAGCGAGGCAAATAACGCGATGGAAAAGGTCTTCTTGCTGCTGAGCAGGCCACGCCACCCTACCCGGTTGCCCGCGAGCTCGGCACGCTTGCCTGAGATAGCCTCAGCGCCTGCACCGAAACCCATCCTGTCTTCGTATGTGATGTCTGGGTCTTGGGATATCTAATTCACAGGAATTGGTGGTTCAAAACAGGCAGCACGGAGATGCAAACTGCCCTCAGATGTACCGTGAGGAGAAGCGTAGGTGATCGGCAGGCGGGGAAGAGATGGGGAAAGGGTGGGCTTTATAAATCGATCTACGAAGCTGTTGCATTGGGGAGTCACATCTTTGGTGGGCATGTCCGTTCGTCCATCTGCAACTTCCCCGCTAATGCGTCGTTGGCCAAACGGTATGCTTCTGGATGGATGCAGCGTCACCGCATGTCATGCGATGTCCTCGTGGCCGGGTATATCGAGGCTTGATTGGGTCCACCCATTTAGCCAGACTTTCTGGGGGGCGGGTGTCTCCGAGGGTCACTCGAAACAAGGAATATGCAGCTCCCTTCCTATTCCGTTGGAGCAAAGCAAACCCCATGGGGGTGTGTGTTTGGTCGGGCGGATTTAGTCTCGTTTTCTCGGGCTGACCCCGGACAGCCGGCATGTCCGGCATCGACTTCATCCGCCCACGGTTTTGGGACAAGCTTTCGGTGTTGGACAGGGTTTCAAGAACTTCAAGCCTACAGGCTTATTCGGGCGGCATGGCAATTGTAATTAGGCCGAAGAGGCTTCCGGCTAATGGCTCTGGGAAATGTAAAAGGGACATGTGAGGCGGGAGAAGGTAGAATTTGCTGACCACCGCAGTTGAGAAGAAGCGGGGATGAGGAGGGAGCCATCAGACCCACGGACGTCAATCGTATTTAGCCGGAATTGCCCAGTTGGACAGCAAATCAGCCCACAAAGCTAGCTTGGATGCCCCAATTCCCCATCAAACCCCGACTCGATTTTGCTTCTCCGCAATTCGATCGGTGGGGGATGGAGACAAAACGTCGTGGCAGGTATCTGGCACCTGATGGTAGCAGCTCTCGCCAAAGAATCCCAGAAGTGCGCAGCTGAAACCATCACAGCCGATCGGTAGGAACTTACTGATGGACGGTTTCGTGACTCCCGAGCCCATAGTCGAAGGCCAAGACCTTGACTCAGAATTAGGCTGCGTGTTCCGTGCCTGAAGAGCGCGTCAATGGCGCATGTCGGGTCTTTCGGCTTGGTATAGTGAACGCCACATCCGCGAAGCTCCTTCACAGGCTCATCCAGAACATGCTCCTTAAATTATCCGGATAGATTCCGTAGTGCGATGCCTGTAAAAATTGTTGACGCCATGTCTTGTAGATGGTAGCTGTAGGTCGTGTTCGTCTATGTGAGATGCGGGGCGAAAGAGCGGGGTGACCGGCAGAAAAGAAGGCATGTTCCTCCGCTCACCCCGTGGGGTTCCACACCCAGTGAAGAACGCAACAATTCCAGCCAGAAGGACGTAAAGATCCAAGCATCGAGAAAAGGTTAATTTTGATAGATGATAGAGCTTGAAGATAGGGGAAGTGAATGGGTAGAAGTTAGTGCACCATGGATTGACGTGACACTGGCAGCTTATGAGGAGCCAACACCGTGCGCAGTGCTATATTCTCGGGAAGCGCCGAGCAGAACAAAGACAACCGGGCCTTAATATATTAACACACAACTTATTGTTTCACCTCCCAGCAGCGCTCGATGGTACATGGGATGGCCTGCATCTAAAGCATCGCTACATAGCTTTGATTGAGGAAAATGAAAAGAACATACCAATTAAATAGATCACATCATGAATAGGGAACCAGCTGGGCAGCAAAATAAAAAGACAAGGGACAAAACAGAAAAAGAAACGACACCTGTGAGATTCGAACTCACGCGGGCGAACCCACTGGCTTAGCAGGCCAGCACCTTAACCACTCGGTCAAAGTGTCTAATTGTTATAGTATGACGACCAGCATTTTCTTATGATGTTGTATTTACAGTCTACTGATACTGCCCCCTGTGGATCTCCTTGACATGCCTCCTCCGCCACTCAGCTTTCTGCCACCTCGAGCACGCACTTCCACTCGCATTCTAATTACATATTCATCACTAAAAGATGGCTCAAATTTGTCCGCTTGAATCAAGTCATTGATAAAAACGTCCGATGTCTCCGTCAATCGAAGCTTTTAATGGAATTTCTCAAACAAAGGCGACGGCGTGATGGAGCGGACCATTGCTTGTAAAAAAGCGCGACGAGGAAAAACTTTCCAGGCGATACAGGCAAAGGGAAGGCCGCTTCATCGTTTAGCACTGCTACTCATTCGTAAGTGAGGAACCTTGCCAGCGTAGAGGTTGGGTAAGTGCTCGGACTAGTCTTACAGCTTCTGCGGAAACGAATTAGCATATTGGAAGATTGCGTGGAAACCAGAGCATAGCCACTGCGCACTGCGCAAGGACAATAGTCAGTAAGGAGATTACTTATATCGAAGTTCAACTTGAGATGAATTTCTGAGAGAGTGCTACAGCCCATCTGAGATCCGCGACAGGCTATGAGTCGCTGAAACGGCGGAGCGTACCAAATCTCATGTGAGTGATGGCCGTCGCTTTGTGAGCGCTGCCAAGCAGCATAGTATGTATAGATTATTGGGGACTAGAAATATTATTCATTTTCTAGGTCTGTCACATCCTATCTCTCCCCATGGATATAGGGTATTGTTCCCTGAGCAAGCTGCGTCACTTGTCTTCCAGCATAGAAATCCAGAGAATGAATAGGCATCCTTGACAGTCGCTATACCCAGCCGTCTGACATCTTTCACTAAATTGCTTTGTTCATATCAGAATTAAGGTTTATATCATGAACGCCCTTGTTTTCAGTCCCGATTCTCAGGGAGGTTTCATCAAGTACTTTGTCACTCGGTCGAGAGTTCACTTGTGTTTGTTATGGATATAAGTAGGAGGTGGAAAGTAGACCTTCTATGATCATCACCAAGATATTACCCGCGAAGTATCGCTCTAACTTCGGAGCCAACCCCGTCGCTATGACATCTGACCAAGAAACCACCTCAAATCCCTGGGTCGAGTATGATCGCCAGACCACCATTGTCCGGTGTGATTGGGGCCCCTGCGGAGAGCCCCGTGGCCGCAGCGACCTTACGTCGATTATGGCGAAGAACTTTCAGACTCGGTCTAATTCTGAGCCTTACGACCCCTATGGAACCTCCAGGCGATGGGTGGATATTCTGTCCTGTGCGCTGAGCCAACCCATTACCCTCTCCCACCCCGATCCAGCCGACCCCAACAAGACCCTACAATCACTAGGCTTGAGCATTATCTCGCGCTACTACACTAAGCCCAATCCGCAGCAGGCAGAGGCAGCAGGTGAGCAAGTCCACAGGCTTCAGCCCGTCCTCACCCCCCAAAATGCACAGCTCGTCATTGTGGACGTTGTTCGGCCCGAGGACGCGAGAGTAGAAATTGAAAACACCCAATATGTTGACGGGTCTGTACTGACTGCCCCTCATGCTCGCGCTTCTCCTCTCTTCCGGATCTTCTGTGTCCCTTGGGATTCTTCATCACAAATGAATTCTCCAATCATGACGCAGGAGGCCAGCGAGTTTCACCAGAAATTTCCCACCTCCGCTGGGGGCAAGGACCTGCATGTCATCCGCAACGGATGTGTCATAGCCAGGAATCATGCCCTGGGATTTTTTGTTGTTGACGCGGGTGAAATGAGAGCCGACGAATACCTTCGCTTGACTAGTACCTTGCGCAACGCAAGGCGCGATCGGATCTGGATGGTGAGATTCTTGCAAAGAACCCTTCACCACGCCCTCTGGGACGCCCTCGTGGACCATCAGGCCCGGTACGCCTGATGATGTATCTTATTTCTCTTTGAAGGCTGCTGACGGGAAGCGTTGACTGGAAAAGTATTCTCTTCTTGAATCAACAAGATTTCAAAACACCTTTTTGCCCTAGTATTCCGCCTCTAGCTCGATTCCCCGAGTCCACTGTCTTCCCACGTCTCTGTATCACAAGCTATTAGACTTTGTATATCTGAAGATTTAACGTAAATCAGTGAACAGCTTCCACATGGCTCATCTTGTCGGACCCTTCGCTTTTGGTTGTTCAACCTTGTCACTACTCAGTCAATTGCTGATTGACATTTTGGAGAAGCGCATCAAGGATTGGGTAGCTGCCGTACGCCGGCGGCCTTTGCAACCACCTCCACAACTTGACGGGACATCCTTCTCGGAGAAGATTGAAAGAAAGAACTGCGACAGGACTGCCGGGAATAGAAGATTCGATGAAGAGTTGGGAAACAAAAGGTAGCAACTACAGCATATTTACAGGCGGATGAGATGTCTTTGGCTCTAACAGCCGATTACTGCTATATACCACTGATACCCACTTCCCCGACAGCAAGACCCGAAGTATTAACTACCTTCATATGTCAGCCCATCATTATCCGAAGAGAAGTGTCATTAATTCTATTCTTGCTTGCTGCCATTGAAGCTGCAAAATTACCCCCGCCTAATTTGGCGCATCGCCGTTCTCTATGCTCTCTGTAGGTCCTGAATACAGAACACGTTCTATGGCCTCTAGCTTTCCACATGACTTAATCCAACCTGTAATGTTGAAAAATATAGCACCGAAGAAGCCAACACATATCGAAGTTAAAACCCAACATATGGCTATAAGCACTTCCAATGCAATTGTGGCACAGACAAGCATCGAGCATAAACCTCCCAGACTACCTCAAACTACGAACCTCATCCACAAAGCCCCCAGCGAGGAAAGCCCGAGCGACCGCGCACGCCACCGCAGCAACAGCATAGAACACGCCCCCACATACAATCTGATCCCAATAATCACCTCGGATCCGCTGTTGTATCTGCCGGAATCGGCGGTATCAGCACAAACTGGTGTAGGCGACTGAGCTGACTTACCCGCTTGCGCTCAGCAGAATATAAGAAGAAGCCATATGCCTCGTACGTCCAGCCAATGCTAGACTTAGAATAACTTGCTAGAAGATGGTTAGTAGGGTACACAGACTATCGAGGAGGCGCATTGATGGGCCCGCGATGGGCCCACGCGCGCATGCCCCAAGCACAACCGACCAGCTCTGGATCTTCCCCTCCAGTTATTCTTCTACCGATGCCTCCGCTCCGCACCCTCAGATGCAGCCTGTAGTGGCGACTCTTTGACAGTTTGTTTAGGCACATGAGATCAGTTGGTTTGAGGTAGGGCCGAATGCGGGTTCTGAAGGCGCAGGGCCAGAGTTCACCGTTTTAGGTTGGAGGTTAAGGGTTTGTAAAACGCCTGGTGCGTCATACAGCCATAAAGCTCCATTCTTTTAGTAAAAGACGGCATCGAGTAGGCCGTGCATAGCGGCGCGATGATTTTTGTCATTTGTGTCGATGGAAAACCTTCGCGGCGAAGTGGTTTTGACGAACCTCGGCGAAATCGGTCCATGATGGGCTAGTCGGGGAGGGCGCCTATTTTGGCTGAAGATATCCAGGCTGTCGACGTGACGACGATGTGAAATAATAAAGTTAATTGAAGGATAAAAAGGGGTTGTTTCCAGGATTTTGTGAGCTCAAAGAGAGTTGTTCCTGTTGTTGTTGTTGTTGTTGTTGTTGTTGTCAACCGGCCTGAAACTTGAGGCTGGGCTGCGAGGACTGTGGTTGTTGTCAAACTGGGCTTAGAATGGAGATCTCCCCACATGCGAGCATTCTCTGTACTTTCTAGTCAATAGGTAGATATCCGACCGCTTGAGCTTTCACGTTACCATTTGTTGGTGCTGCGGCGTGGACTCTGGTCAAATCGAGTGGCTGTCATTGTGCAAACGCTGGACACAGCCACTCTGGCGCTAAAGTGAGGCCAAAATGATCCCAGTCGATGTGAGTCCTCCTGGCGCAGTGAAATCACAAACGAAGAGAGGGAGGCGTTATATCATCTTTCCTCTCCCTCCTTTATTCATTTCTTATTTTCACTCTCCTCACTCTCACTTCTCTGAAGGGTTACACTCTCTCCATCCTTTCTCATCAAACATCATCCTTCGATCACACCGATCATCATAGCTTCTGAGCTTACTTGACAACTCCTCCTTATAGTGAATTAACTCTGCTCTGAAGCTTTCTCCAACAAGAGACTTCATGGCTTTTCGAACCATCAAGTGTCCTACAGAAATGACACAGAAGGTCACTCCAGGCTACGCAAAACTGGCCGATCCAGCTCTACTGGACAAGATTGACAGTCTGTTTGCCTGCAATGTGGGCGAGTACATTGACCTTCCCCAGCTGGTCGTTGTGGGAGATCAGTCCAGCGGCAAAAGCTCGGTTCTCGAAGGCCTCACTCGGCTGCCCTTCCCCCGCGACAGTGGATTGTGCACGCGCTTTGCAAGCCAGCTCATCTTCCGTCGCGACAAGAGCCTCACGATTAGAAAGATCCACGCGTCTATCATCCCTGCGTCGGAATCAGATGCTACCCGGGCAGGGGAGCTGAAGGCCTGGGATGCTGATTTCGAGGGAGACCTGAGCGCGGCCGCTTTTGCGGACACCATGAAAAAGGTATGCAGACCATCTGACACTCCTGCTACAAAGCACCGGGTGAAGCAAGTGTGGACCGGAAGTGGCCGTCGTTGGTAGCAGAGTTCGTTGCCTTGACACTTCCATCCACAAATGTTATTGCCAGCTACGAGAACAAAACTAGGACCAATCTGCTGACCAAAGCTTAGGTGCACGCCTTGATGGGGGTGTCCACTGACGAAGAGCCTGGCCGACCGACCTTTTCCAACGATGTCTTTCGATTGGAAATCTGTGGCCCGGAAGAGGATCATCTGAGTGTCATCGATGTGCCTGGCATCTTCAGGTCGGCCACTTCTAGTCGCATCGCCAAAGCAGATATTCCGCTGGTCAGGAACATGGTGCTGGGATACATGAGGAACCCACGATCTATCATGTTGACGGTCGTTGCGGCTAACGTCGACGTGGCAAACCAAGAGATCATTGAGATGGCGCGAGAGTTAGATCCTGACGGCGAACGGACGCTCGGCGTCTTGACCAAGCCTGATCTGGTTGATGAGGGCGCGGAGCAAAAGATCGTTGATATTGTCGCGGGGCATAACCTTCCCTTGAAGCACGGGTGGATTCTGGTTCGAAATCTGTCGCAACTGGAATTGGAGGAAGGAAAAGTTGACAGAGACATTGCTGAAGCTGAGTATGGTAAGAAAAAGTTCTGGAACACAGTTGCAGCTGACAGATATGGCATCGGTTCCTTGAAAGCACGCTTGCAGGAGACTGTTACTGAAAATGCTAGAAAAGCTTTTCCACTTGTGAGTGGTACCGCCCACGAATTTATCAAGCCATGCTAACCAAATTTTCAGGTGCGAGCTGAGATCAACAAGAAACTTAGTGTAGCCAAAGCAAGCCTCCTGGGATTGGGTGATGAAAGAGAGTCTACAAGCCAGCAGTTCAAGTACTTACTAGATGCGGTGACCAAGTTCGGTGACATGACAACCCAGGCTCTGAGCACAAATTACGGTGCCAATGAAGAGTTTGAGAAGCACCCAGGCCTGCGCCTCGCAACCATAATTGTCAATCGCGACGATGCTTTTTCCCAGTCAATGGAGAAGTGGGGACACAAGTACAGTTTTCAAGTGGATACTATCAATGTCAACAGTGTGCTGCCTGCTGCCCCGGATGAATATTACCCTGCCACCCAGTCTACCCGACTGACAGAGGATATTCTTGAACTCGATGACATTATTACAAACTGTGAGGAGGTGGACGAGCCGCTGCCCTACGGGATCTACCAGTGGCTAAAGGAAGAATACCACAAGTCACGCGGGTTTGATTTGAATACCTTCCAGAGCTCGTTGCTGGCCAATGTGTTCCGAAGCCAGACCATGAAATGGGAGAGTATTGCCATCGGCTATCTTAGCGACATCATTGCCAGCGTTCATACTTTTATCCTTCGCGGCCTAGAGCTATGCATCAGTGACAAACGCGTCTTTCTCAACCTGGTGCCCTACATCATGGATGATATAACGGGGAAATACAGAGATGCGATCGAGCAAGTGCGGCTCCTTCTTCATATCGAGCGTCGCGGCACATTGAAGACCCTAAACCACTACTTCAATGACAATCTCCAGAAGATGTAAGTCGACTCTCATCATCTCCTACATCGTGCTATGCGCTAAAAAGTAGACACGCTGACAATATTGTGTAGACGTCAAGAGCGATGGGAAGCGTACCTTCAAACACAGATGAATAAATATGGCGTAGTGGAAACAAAGAAGCTGAGTTACCAGCAGAATATGAGCAACGAAAGCCACACTGTGCAGGATCTCCATGATATCCTCAAGGCCTACTACCGAGTGGCAATGAAACGGTTCGTCGATAACGTCAGCATGCAGGCGGCAGATTATCATCTGGTCCACGGGCCAAAGACCCCGATGAAGGTTCTTTCTCCCTCATTCGTGCACAGTTTCTCCCCGGAGCAATTGCAGGAGATTGCGGGGGAGGATCCGTCGGTCGGCAGAAGACGTGCTCACTTGAAGAAGCAGATCCGGGAGTTGGAGGAGGGGAAGAAGCTTCTTGTCTAGGTGGGAGTGCATTCTATGCTTTGTATGCTGCACATGACTTGCGTGCACTGGGTGTATCTTGTTTCAACTGGGACTAGAATCGATGATTGTCTTGATGGTAGTACGTAGAATGAAGGAGTTCCCCCTGCAATGGAGCTGGACTTGGCTACATATTTGTCGTGGCACGACGGGTTTAGTTCTGGAAAGTGACTTAACCGCTGGAAACCGATCAGACTATGCCTTGAGAATGGATACTTACCAGAATACTCGTACAACTCCTTTTCTTTATGCAAGACCCTAGGTTCAATCAAAAGTGTAATCTAGTTTAAATTTGCTCTCGGAAATGGTGAAGACCGACCTGCCAATGCGAGTGGAGGCAGTGGGGGGGGAACAGCTTGGCTGTCAGCTTCGAGCGGCCCGCAATCGCGAAGGGAGGATCCATCCTTGGCTCGACGATAAGCACTGAAGCATTAGACTAGACTTCCGCGGTACACAAATGCTTCCACCCCTAGCTCCGCCTTGGCACCTCCTCATTCCGAGTCATTTAGTTACATAAATATGCCATCCCCCGTCCTCCGCTCCCAAACAATCTCACCCAACTGGCCTTACTGCACAAACCAAAATGGCATACACAACACAAGCCGAGTTCGACGAGGTAAGCTCCCTCTCCCTCTTCCTCCCCATTCCCTGTTCCCCCTCGTAATCCCCACAAACCGAGAAAACCCCTCCCCCTTACTAAAAAAAAAAAGGCCCTCACCACCGTTCGCGCCACTTTCGCCAGTGGGCGCACCAAATCCAAATCCTGGCGACGCCAACAACTCAAACGCCTCTGGTGGATGCTTGAAGACCATCGCCCAGCCATCCTGGCCGCCTTACGGGCGGACCTACACAAATCCACCGAAGAAAGCACACTCGTCGAGATCGGGATCATGCAAACGGACATCCTGTACACGCTGAAGAAGCTGGACGAGTGGACGGCGGACGAGAAGCCCACGCGCCTCGACCCGATCAACTTGCTCGGGGGTACTGTCGTGCGGACGGAGCCTCTCGGCGTGACGCTGATTATCGGGGCGTGGAACTGTCCCGTGCAGTTGGCGCTGCAGCCGCTGATCGGGGCGATTGCGGCGGGATGTGCGGCGATTGTGAAGCCAAGTGATGTGGCGGTCGCAGCGCAAGATGTGCTCACGAAAATTATTCCAGAGTATCTGGATGGGGATGCGATCCGGTGTGTGACGGCGGGTCCCAAGGAGATGGAGTATATTTTGCAGCAGCGGTTTGATCATATTTTCTACACCGGGTCGGCGAAGGTCGCGAAGATTGTGCATGCGGCGGCGGCGAAGCATTTGACGCCCGTGGTATTGGAGTTGGGCGGGCAGGGCCCGGCGATTGTTTGTGAAGGGGTTGAGGTTGAGAAGGTCGCGAAGAGGATTGCGGGGACCAAGTTTTTTCTGGCGGGACAGGTATGTCTGGTCTCTCCCCCCTCTATTTTCACTTGATGGATCAGGTTTGGTGGGTTCCGGCGAGGGGAGGAGGTGGTGTTGTGTCTACGGAATGACTCCCACAACGGAAATTACTCTATAGATTTGGAAAAGACAGGGCTAATGATTCATGAAGGTCTGCATTAGCGTCAACCACATCCTTGTGCACCCCTCCATCCGCGACGCGCTCGTCACCTCTCTGATCCACTGGTTCGATACGTTCAACGGCGGCCGCGATGTCATCCCTGAATACTCCTGCCACATCGTCAACGAGCGCAACTTCGACCGCCTAGAATCCCTACTGGCCCGCACATCCGGCACTGTGGTCTACGGCGGCGTCCGTGACCGCTCTACGCGCTACTTCGGCCCGACCATTGTCGTCGGCGTTCAGCCGGACGACGTCCTTCTCACCGAGGAGATCTTCGGTCCTATTCTTCCAGTGATAGACGCGGACCTTGACGCCGCCCTTGCCTTCACTACCTCCCTCGAGCATCCGCTCGCGCTGTATGCGTTTACCAACGCCCAAGCGGAGAAAGACCGCATCCTCCAGGAGACGACATCCGGGGGCGTGACGTTCAATGATTGTCTGCTGCACGCTTTGGCCAGGGATACGCCCTTTGGTGGTGTCGGGCAGGCGGGCATGGGCTCCTACCATGGTAAGTATGGTATTCAGGCGTTTTCGTATCGGCGGACCGTGACGAACGCCATGCCGGCGATTATGGAGGGCGCGCTCGAGGCGCGATACCCGCCGTATACGATCGAGAAGATGAACAAGATGGCGCCTCATGTGATGGCGCCGTTCGACCGCGAGGGCAATGAGAAGATGTCGGTGGGGAAAGTGATTGGGGCAGTCGGGGCGGTGGCCGCTCTCGGTGCGTCGGTGTGGTTCGCGAGGGATAGGATTCCAGGATATGTAAGGGGGTGGATGCGGTAGGTTCTTGGTGTCTTTATGTAAGTCTGCTTTGTTAAGTTAATTAGTTAGGTGTAGCAATTGTTTCAGTTCTAGTGTCTACCGTGTGCCAGTGAAGTCTAGATGTACACTTGTAGTCTACTGCACAGCAGGCGAGGGACCATGAAGAGAAGGCTAGATTCACTGAGGCTTTGGACTAGATACTATCCCCGTTTCCAATTTCTCGCGTAGAAGACTGATGACATGAGCTCGTCTTAGCTTCACCTCTTAGAGGTTACTAGACTCCAACACCACGATGAGGTGCGAGCTCTGCGTTGGAGGCCCGTCTCCTGTCCAGGCAACTTTCCGCAGAAAGTTTTGCATTCTTGCTGCAGTCGTCATCTGCCGGCGAGCAGATGACACAGCAGAAGAGGTGCCTACAACGATCATCCTTTCGGAGTCGGTGTAGTCGGGAGAAGGCAACGTCCAGGGAACTTTCCGCAGAAAGCTTTGCAACCTTCTGCAGTCATCATCTGCCGGCGAGCAGATGACACAACAGCAGGTGTACATACACCGACCATCCTTTCGGAGTCGATGTAGCCGGGAGAAGTCAAAACTCTCATGGCCACCCCTTCGAGGGTGCACATAACCTCGAGCATGTGGCTTCGGGTCCTCAGCCTCAATCACACGGCGAGACCGAATCAACAGATATACCTTCCATGCGAAAGTTCTTTTCTTCTTTGCAGAAGCTTTTCCTTCCTTGCGGAAGTCAAATGCTCCTTGATGTTTCGGCATCACCGATTCGCAAGACACAGCTGGAAACTGAGTTTGCAATACGGTAAAGACCCACATCGTGAGAATTTTCTGAGCCACCTTCTCAAGTCATCCCGCACAACCCGCCAGTCACGCAGGCGCTTGTCGAAGGATGGGCTCTGGCACCTTACCCAGGATCATCTCACACGAGAGTTCATCCCACGAGGGAGTCCATCTCACACGAGAGTATTGGGCAGCATGCTGTGACTTTGTGTCAATTCTCGCAACGGTCTTCTGACCGTCGCACGTGAGAAGCGCACAGAGTCCCCCAGTGATGGTTCCAAGGACAGACAATGAGCACTCTTGAAACTGGGGCCTGACAAGCGTCATATAGCACAGCCACACAGGTGATGCTGTCGGATGTCAGGAAGCCCCCGGCAAGCCGCCTTCTGGATGAGTAGTGAAGGGGCGCCAGGAACAGGACAGGAGGAATAATAGAGGGAGTTGACTGGAACACAGGCTTGGGCGTAGAATGACGAATACAGCACCATCAAGACATTCAAGATGATAGAGTGGATGAGACACGGATGATAGGCAGGCCTACGATGAGGATGATGAAGGGATGATGAAGGGAGTAATGAAAACGATGATTAACATGATGACATGAAGGCAGGAAGCTGAGAATGATGAAAAGGACGAATAACACAATGGAAAAGACGATGAGAAAGACGTGAATGAATAGGACTACAAACTCAATAATGCAATTGATGAAAATGATGGAAAGGATGAAGTAAGTAGGAAACTGAGGATGATGAACAGGACTAAGGTAGGTGAAGAGATGAGGAATGAGGGAGGGAGATGAAGTGGGTGGAAGAAAGAAAGAAGAAGAAGAGAGGAAGAAGAGGGAAGGCAGGGAGGCAGCCCTGGGGGTCAGCTGACCGGGACCAGAGCACTCATTCAACCACTTCACTGAAACATAACCTCATGATGTCGCAAGTGTGCTAGTAAGTCAAGTCCCATATTTGACCATTCTGTGCACCTGTGCTCCGAAGACATGCAAGTTCAGATACAATGGTAATCTTCATACTTACCTGAGCTCGTCTTAGCTTCGCCATTGTATGGTTACTAGACTCCAGCACCACGATGAGGTGCGAGCTCGTTGCTGGAGGATGCGCAGATGAAGGTGCGCAAAGATGAGCGGACGATGCTTAGGAGGAGGAAGAGGTGCAAAAAGAAGAGGGGATATAAAAATAAAAGAAGCAGAACACAGCAGAGAAGTTGAAAGAAGAGAAGCAGAAAGTAGAACACGCAAACGCTCAGAAGCAGAAAACAGAGCGCTCAAACCTGAGAAACAGAAAGAAGACGCCGAGAAACAGAAAGTAGAACCCCAAACGCTCAGAAGCAGAACGCCCAAACGCTCAGAAGTAGAATGCCCAACCGCTCAGAAGTAGAACGCCCAAACGCTCAGAAGTAGAACGCCCAAACGCTCAAAGCAGAACGCCCAAACGCTGAGAAGCAGAAAGTAAAACACGTAAACGCTGAGAAGCAGAAAGTAAAACACGCAAACGCTTAGAAGCAGAACGCCCAAACGCTGAGAAATAGAAAAAAGAACGCCCAAACCGCTGAATGAAGAACGCCCAAACGCTCAGAAGCAGAACGCCCAAACGCTCAAAGCAGAACGCCCAAACGCTCGAAGCAGAACGCCCAAAGGCTCAAAGCAGAACGCCCGAAATGCTCAAAAGTCAGAAGAAGCAAGAAAAGCTAGACGCAGACTATTGAGGAGTATCTCACTATCAAAAGGTAGCTCACTATCGAAAAGTAGCTAAACTGTAGAGAATTAGCCTGTGAAGAAATAGCTAAACTGTAGATAGATAACTAACCTATCTGAAAGTAGTTAGCTGTTGAGCAGTAGCTGACCATAGAAAGGTAACTCACAAAGAGATATGATAATCAGCTCGACTGTAGAAAGATAGCTAACCTGCAGAAAAGTATCCAACTATCGAGAAGTAGCGAAGCTGTCGGAAGGTAGCTGACTATCGAAAGTAGCTGAACTGCAGAAAGAGAAGCTAACTATCTAGAAGTAGATGAACTGCAAAAGAGAGCTAAAACGAGAAAGAGTAGCTAAACTAACAAGAGTAGCTAAGCTGCAGAAAAGTAGCTGAACTGAGAAAGTAGTAGAAGAAAAGATAAGTAAGATACCTAAGATGACTGGAAGTAGATGAGAATAGAAGAATAGAAGACTAGCAAGCAAAGAAAGATGAGAAAAGCCAAAAAGAGATGGAAACAGTAAGAATAACGAGGATGAGCATAGGGAAAAGACGCAGAATAGCACGTACAGTAGAAGGAGAGATGGTTGTAGGAAAGATGGAGGAGCTCGAGGAACAGCAGGGGGGTAAGCAAACTGGTCCCGTGACAAATGACCGAAGAATTATCCCAGGATTGCCATTTTTTTGTGAAAATCCTTAACCATAACGAGCTTTTTTGCCTCATTTTGACGGCAGTATGACTGCGTTTCGGCGGACTTGGGTGGTGAGTTCCGTCTCAATAGGTCGATCTGACGACGCCGGGGGAAGGGACTTCCGTTGGCTTCGACACCTATGCTGTCACCCTCTACGTCTCAATTACGCGGGACGGATGACTCGACAATGATGCTTCATAAATGTTTGAGATGATGACAGTCTAACCAGAGGATATGTTGAACGAACTAGCGAGATAACCACTCATCGACCCTCCTCGAGAGCCGCACACACCTCGAATCCACGACTCGCGTCCACCAACTCGACAACCAAACCACCAGCACCCCCATCACCACAGCCGTCACTCCCCAACTCACCGCAAACACCCCTACCCCTTCAGCGAGCGCCTTCTCATCGGTGGCCGGATATTGACGCCCCGTCATGATCCACCACAACCCATTGCGCACGGGATCCCGCGCGACATGATAGACCGACTGATGCACCAGATACAGCGAGAAAGAGATGCGTCCAAGGAACTGCGGCATCGGCCTCTCCAGAGCCCTCTGCAACACCTCCACCCGATCAATGGCATACACCACCAACACCGACCCCACCGTCTTCCAGGATTTGCTCACGATAGCCCAGTCGTCGTCCCACCGGGGGGACTGCAGCGACCCCAGCCACTGGTACCCAGGTGTGAGCACACCGTCATCGCCGAGACAAAGCAGATGAAGCCCCAGGAAGAAGCAAATGCCCGTCATCAGCGTCCGGGCTCCTCGTTTCCACCCTCCAGTGGCAGGAGAGGTAGAATCTCCTTCCTTTCTACTCTCAACCCACCCTCCCTCCCCCAGAATCACCGCATCCCCTTGACTACTCCACCTCGGAGCCAGCTCCGCAACCGCCAGCCCTCCGAGAAAACCCACTCCATCCCAGATCCCATACCACAGAAAATACAGCGCCAGCAGCACCACCCCGGCGACGCGCATCTCCTGGCGCCAAAAGGCCATCCCCAAGATAACCACATACACCATCAGACTACCCCGGAACTCAATCGGCATCGTCCACAGCTGCCCGTTCAGTCCGGGATTATGGTGAAATTGTATGATATTCACGATATCCAGCAGATACCGGAGGAGATAGGTGAAGTGGAACACGGGAGCGATCCACGGCCGACGGCCCCAGACAACGTCGTCACCAAATGACCAGTGATACAGCCCGCAGAAGAACAGTAGCTGCGAGAGAATGGCGACCAGAAAGACAGGCAAATAAATTCGAAAGATGCGACGGGTGGTGGCGGAGGAGAGCCCGCGAAGGAGGGTTGGGTTCGTCACAGATGAGGATGCGGTCAGCGAGGAAGACGGCGCATCGCGCAGACGGAGCAGATTGATGCTCAAGGCGTAGCCGGAGATGACAAAAAAGAGCGCCACCATCGCGTGGGCGGAGAAGAGAAGGCGGATCGGGGGCAGTTGAATGAAATGGCGGTTGGCTTCGGCGGGGTCGGCCCAGTAGGAGTGGAAGGCAAAGTCAAAGACTCCGCCCATGAAGAAATGGTTGAAGGCGACGATGACGGCGGCCAGCCCGCGAAGACCGTCCAGCCAGGCAGTGCGAGGTTTGTTCATGGCGTGAGTTCAAGTCTTCACAACTGGGGAAAAATAGGGAGGGGCAGGGATTAAGACGGAGGAAAGAAAAAGGGATCCGTCACGGGATGCTGACTGGGATACGCAACGCGAATTAAGTGGATATTCTTAGCGTGTGTGTCTAATTCTTCAGGCTTTCACAAACTAGTTCGAACTTGTACAGCGCTATGATTATGCGGGTATATTTGATGCATGAATTGATATATACAACACTACCCAATCGGGTAATGCTCAGCAGGCACCACCTGCAACTCCAACACTAGCGCGGATTGCTGCCTACTGCCTACTGACTACACGCCGAGTTCCAATGCTCGGCTCGCCTCGTTAACCACCCACTGGTCCACGGCAACGAGCTCTGCCGTCTGGCGTCGCCCTCGGGGATTCCGCTGCCCAGTCGGATCATACTATCAAGCATGCACCGATCCTCGTAGAAGCTCCACTGCACACAATCCCCCCAGGCGACGCAGGCAGCCTCACACTTGTCCACCGACATCCAGGCCTCCTTCCAAGCCTGCGGCTTGGTGACCGACTCCGGCGCCACCACTCCATTAACATTACTGGAGCGGATATCATATTTCGCAGCACCGTTCTCCCACCACTCTACACGCTCCCGCAAATACGGGAGCACCATCGCCTCATACACATCCTTATAGCAAATGGGCCCCTTGGCCGACGCCACGTCGCCCCACCGCGTCTCCAGCTCGTACAGCCGGGCCACATCGCGGTTGTGCGTATGATGCCAGCTGAAGACTGGCTTGCACCAGTTCTCCGGCTCGTACCAGCTGGTCCAGTGCGCCTCGGGGTTGAACCCGTAGCTGAACCGGCTCTCCTCCGCCTCCGGGTGCTCCCCGAAGGCGACGCCGCTCTCCTTCAGCACGTGGCCCAGGATATGGTCCCCGCAGCCATGCTGCGCCGTGAACTCGGCGTATTTCTGCTCAATGTTCTGGGGGCTGTGGTCCCCAAACGCCATCTCCCACGCCTTGCGCGAGATCGCGAACCCGGACCCGCCGTGCGCAAAATAGTCCCCGTGGATCCAGGCGACACTGCCCAGGTACCAGGGTTTCTGGGGGTCGAAGCGATCTAAGTGTGCCACGAGGTTGGGCAGGAAGAGGTAGGCGTCGTCTTCCATGAAAATGTACCACTTGGCGTCCGGGCGGGCGCGGCCGGCGTGCTGCACCAGCGGCACGAATTTGTACTTGTCGAGCTTCCAGCCACCGGCGGGGCCGGGGTTGTCGCCCGGGTAGACGTTGTTGATCTCGGCGTAATTCTGGCGGAAGTCGTGATCCGCTTGTTGGTGGTAGGGGAGGGCGATTTCGGGATCGTTGATGGTCGTGTTGGCCAGGATGTCGACGAAGGTGTATGGCCCGATGGTTTCGGGGCTGTCGGAGTAGAGGAGGACGTTGGCGGAGGGGATGCGGGTCGGGGAGAGGCTGGTGGTGAGGTGGATGGGGACGCGTTTCCAGAGCACGGAGGCGCCGGTTTTGAACATGAGCACAACGTCGTTGACGGTGAGAGATGACGTTGTGGAGGTTGCAGAGATGGAGGGAGTAGAGGAAGCAACCGCTGAGAGAGCGGGTTGTTGCGGAGCGGGGGTGGTCTCATCCTCAGCGATAAAAGGCGGCGACGGATGCACAACTACGGTGGCTCCGCCTGCTTGATATGGTGATTGCGTGCTGTAGACAGTCGAGGAGACCCATGATGGGCGATCGAGGGCAAAATGGTAGATGAAGAGTGAGACCGTCACCAGCATCATCCCCAGCGGGACGCGGCGATTGTCTTGGTAGAAGCGACGCATGGTGCCGCGAATATCTTACTACTGCACCCTGCGATTATGGATCCTTTGCATCGTGGAGTTGGGCTTCTTATAATAAGTTGCAAGATTGGGAGCCACAGTTAGATTACGAATACCGCTGCAGAAAGTCTTCTCGAGTGGATTGTCTTGTGCCCATTAATCCCCCTAAAGTGGATTGAAGCATGAAGATGTCTATTGAAGAATTAATTCCCCACTGCAGATTTTAGTTTGATGAATGTCTCACCCTGCAAGTAGCGTGATTGGCAGGTGCCTGGAGCGAGCTGGGGTTGCCTGACCCTTAACCCCAAAAAGCCACTAACGCCTCTGCATTGACCCACAGGAAACCCTGGTGTTTTGCCCAAAGTAGCTTAGAGTGCGGCTACTGCGAGGCTCAGGGGCCTTGACAAGCCCCGTGTATGCACCCCCGGCATCAATACGAACCCACACGGGACTAAGGATTAGATACTGCACAACTATTTTTCAATTTTCGAGTTGGAGTCAGTTCCATGAATCCCATGGTACAGTAGTATAGTTGTAGTACTACTACTACTTCTAAGCGAGCTGGATGGATCTGACTAGTCAACTAGCTTTTGTACTAGTATTCTAATACTACTACGGATGACTCCATCGTGGCTCCATCGGTGCGTCTCCTGATGGGCGCTGGGGGCCAAAATAAATACCAGGGGTGCATCGCCATGCAGAGACACGAAGTGAAAGTGAGCAGATGCGCCAAGGGAGTGTGTGCGGACTATGGACCATCCCCCCATCACCACCCAACGGGGGCCACAAGTGCCCCTACTGCGGCAGATCCTCAACGGCGTGGGCTGTCTGCTGATCCTGCCATTGTACTACTATCTCACCGCCGCCACACGCCATCCGCTGACGCTGGACTTGCTACTCACCATTCTGGCCGCCGAATACAACCGCTTCACCAACGAGCGGCGACGGCGCCGCCTGTACTGCGCAGACCAATATGCAGCCGACCCGGAGAAGCCCCGCGTGGACGCGCACACGGGGCCGGACTGTATGGCCGCGGTGGTGGGCTACCGCGAGGACCCGGGCCTGTTTGCGCGCGCGCTGAACAGCTACCGGGCGGCAGAGGGCTGTCGCTTCATGCTCGTGGGCATTGACGGGGACGAGCCGGCCGATATGGAGATGGTGCGCGTGTTCCAGAGTGTACGCCTCCCTTTCCTCCATTGCGCTTTTCTTAGAATGCACCAAACTCACAGTCATACCCAAAAAAAACCAGATCCATCCCACCGCTCCGACCATCCACCTTGACGAACCCTTCGGCGACCTCGCGATGCGCACCTATGACAAGCTCGCGACCGCCGACCTCCACTCCTCCAGCGCCGAAACCTACCAGCTGGCCGCCATTGCGCACTGCTGCGAGCTGGCGCGCGAGATTCTAGCAAGCCACGAGCTGCAGCACGCACAGGCGCTGTGCATCTACCAGCCGCACCACAGCAAGAAAGCAATCATGTTCACTGGTTTCATTTTCAGTCTGGTGATCGCCGACACCCGGGGCATCGAGTACCTGTGGTCGTCGGACTCGGACACGCTGGTGTACGCGGACTCGCTGCGGCGGACAGTGGAGACGATCGCGGGCGACTCCGCGGTGGGCGGGGCCAGTTCGGGCCTGCTGGTGCACAATGCGGCGGACTCGGCGGTTGCCCAGCTGGGGCGGATCGTGTACTGGTGCGAGTTGTATCTGACGCGCTCGGTGGCCACCGCGGCCGGCACGAGTGATTGTCAGAGCGGGCCCAGCTCGGCGTTTCGTGTGGCGGCGCTGCCGGGGATTTTGTATCCCTGGTACACGCAGATGGTGATGGGACATCGCATGGTACGTACTAACCCCCTGGGTTGAAATATACGTAGTGATTAGGTAGGAAAACAGTCATGACTGATGAGGATCTCCCACCTGGGAGTGAACAGATCGTCAACGAAGACCGCCATCTAACAACCAACCTGCTCCTGCGCGGCTGGACAGTGACCTATGTCTCGGACACAGTAACAGCAACCGATACCCCGACCACCCTCCGCAAATGGATTCTTCAACAGGTAGTACCTAAGCCCCATCCCATTCCCCTCCCCCTCCTTGAAACCCACCCAATCCTAACAACCTACACAATAACAGGTCCGCTGGTCCCGCTCCGGCCACATCGAATCCCTCCAATCACCCTCCCTCTACCTCCTCACCTCCCCCCTGTTCTTCTGGGCTGCCATAAAACGTGAAGCCGGACCCCTGCTCGGCCTCGGCTACATCCTCTACTACCTCTGCACGGGCGCCAGCCTCGCCTACTTCTCCTGGACGGATCTCTTCGTGCGCCTCCTCTACACCATCCTCTACAACCTGCTCCGCAATCCGGACCGCTGGGCCCGCACCCAACGGCCCGTGCTCTGGGGCGGGCTGGTGCCGGCGCTGCTATTCTATAACGTGCCGCTGCCGATGGTGCATTTCTGGTCGGCCGTGACGGTGATGGAAGATGGGTGGGGCACGAGTATGCGAAGCAAGGAAGCCGGTGTGGTTCCGGATGTGAATGAGCTGGGGGTTGCGGGGCAGGGGAAGAAGGAGGGAGAAAGGGTGGTTGTTGAACCTAGCTTGACCGCGGAGATGTGGAAGCGGTGGAAGCAGTTGGGGTTCTTCGTGGTGTGGATGGGGGTCGTGGCGGGTGTTGCGGCGCGCATTCTGGCGGGGCATTTGGGATATGAAGTTTGGCAGACGGAGAGGGCGGTTTGGGGGGCGGTGGTGGTGGGGTTCGCAGGGACGTTTTATGGGTTGGTGGTGAGGGAGTGATGAACTCCTGCTTCACTGTTCCGTACTATTTCAACTACAGTACGGCGCGGTCAAGTGTGGTTATCTTGGATTTAAATGATAATTGCATACTAGACACAAATGTATAATGAGGATACAGTACCAACAGCATGACAGCGTGTATCATAGGAGACCTACTCATCAAATTACATACATGATCTCTATACGAAGTAAATTCAACTAGAACCAGATTCACCACAAACAACAGCTTAACAACTTTTCTGTCCTCCTCACCAACCAGGCTCTATATTAAAGCAAGCAGTCAATACCCCTCCTCATCCACGCCCCACTCCCGATACATGATCATACTGTAACTCGCAAACGCACTGCGCGCCCGCAGCGCCCGCCCATAGCGGGCAAATAGCGGCGGCACGAGACAAAACACCGTCGCGATGGCCGCCAGCACCGAGACTGCCCCGTTGGCGCCGAGCCGCTGCAGCATCGGCGCCGATACGAGCGGCAGCACCGCCGAGAGCATCGCCCGCACGAGACTCAGCGCCGCCAACCCGCTGGCTGCGTAGCTCAGATAGCTGTCCGTCAGATACCCGCCCAGCACGTAGTCAATCTCATTCAGACTGAACCCCGTCAACACCAGCGCTACCACCGACACGATCCAGGGGATCTGCGCCATCGCCGGCGGGATCGTCCACGCAAATACCCACAGCGCCGCCGCCAGCACGGGCGTGCCGATCCAGAACCCGAGCAGCTTGTCCTCGGGCTGCAGCGCGCCTCCTTGACTGCGATGCTGCGCGATGATCCGCAGGTCCAGCCACCGCGTCAGACACCCCAGGAAGAGGCCTAGTCCAATCGCGATGAACGGGAGACAGGCGTGGCGCGGACTGAACCCGAACGACTCGTAGATGGGCGGGAGGGCCTGCGTGAAGAGATACACGAGGGCAATGGCCACAGCGCTCATCACGGCCACGATAAATACGATGGGCTCCGTGCACAGCAGCCGGATTGGCCGGAACAGGGCCAATCGCACAAAGGCGTGCAGGTCCGGGGCCTGGTCAGGGTTCAGCGCCTCCGGAGTGTCGGGGATCTGCGTGACCTGCCGGAAGAGCGCCACCTCCCGCGCAAGCAGCAGGGAAGGGCGCGACTCGCGGATCGTCAGCAGCAGCAGGGCTAATACCCCGGTCACCATTGCGGCCACGTAAAACAGCCATCGCCTGTCAATCACCTTTGTGTCAGTGTGGCGTTTGTGCATACTCTCTCACACTGCCCCTGCGGGAACGGGAAAAAAACCATGGGAGGAAAGGTGACGAAGACGGAAAACGAACCAGTCCAGATCAGCCACCACAAAAGTACTGAGTATCGGTCCAACCACCATCCCCAGATTGGCAGCTTGCACCCAGATGCAGATCATCCACACTCGCTCCCGCGAATTGAACAGGTCCTCGATGCTGCCACCCACCACCGTTGTGGGGATCGCCGACAACACCCCACTCATCAACCGTCCAAGAATCACCCCGGCCACCGATGGCACCGAAGCCACCACAACACACGACAGACTGTACAGCGCCGCGCTGACTACATACAGCTTCTTCCGCCCAAAGGCCTCCGAATACGGCGGGAAGATGATTCCTCCACACGCCTGCCCCACCAGATACCTAGGGAGAAGTCAGCGTACGCCTAGCCACGAAGGACGGGGAGACTGACACGGACACGAAGAGGAAAATAGACAGCTCCTGCGGGATTTGGAACTCTCGTACAGCACTGTTGGCAGCGATAGACTAAAAATGTCAGACTTGTTGAATGAATACACCTTCCTCGCTGGTTAATGCACTTACGCCGGCCGTGCTCACTGCCGTTCTGGATCAAATCCTCATGGTCAGCTATTGCCATAAACACTCTCCACAGCAACACTCACGTGAAAAACTCCAGGAACAGAACCAGCGCGGTGTCCCACAGCTTCCTCCTCAGCCGCCAGTTGCGTGGATGCCGACTGTTGCTGACTGCCCATCGAATGTGCACGCCATCTGCAGCCATGCGAAGTCCATACTGCGGAAGCAGAGACTGCAGAACGTCTTTCTCGGACTCGATTGAAGACATCGTGATCTGACTGGTGGGCTTCATGGCAAATGGGCGAACAGTCTCACGCAGCGAGGCTTGACCGGACAGCGAATGTGAACAGGTGAAATAACCACCGTGCAATGTATGTATTTATTCAAAGTAGACATACAATCTGTGGAACACCAGCACGGACTTAGACGGAGAAATCTTATAGGAAGCGCTAGACTCCTTGGGTTCATACTTTCCCCCTGGTCGGTTCATTCTGCGGCGAGGCTAACGCCTTGGTTGGTTTATCTCTCAACTCAACCAGTCCCATATTCGGAACGTTGAGGAAGGCATTCTCCTGATGCGCACGAACAAATGCCACGGAAGGACAGCTGCTGGTGCTGGACCTATCATTGCTCGGGATTTACCCGACAAATCGTTTGTGTATACTCCTGTACTCCAGCGCGGATCGACGTATCCAACTTTCAGCTTGGTACTACGTCCGGAAGCGTGACGGGAAAGGCTTCGCATGTGCTTGGTTCTATTGCTTGCCATGTTGAACAGGCATCCGTGGCACTTGAGCTTCGCCCTGCAATCACCATTCTCGAGTTGTTTATGATCTTATTCTAGGTCCTAATCACCATGCGCACCACGAATCCATTGATCTGGGCCATACCTGGCGGTGAGATCTCAAGCTCTTCCTAAGTCTCCGTCATTGTCTCCAACTCCATCTTCTTGATGATCACTTGCTCTCCCGTTTCCGTTATACGCCAGTAGGTTTGGGCTACCAGCGGTATTAGTGACTACGTTCCGCGTGGCCAATGTCTTGAGGCGGGCTGTCACCGCAGCTGGAGTAGACAAGCTCTCAAGCGCCATAAGGTAAAGGGCCAATCCCGCAACGTGGGGCGTAGCCATTGAGGTGCCCGAGATCGTTCGAGTCGTCGTGTCCGATCCAATCCAAGAAGAAAGGATATCCTCTCCAGGAGCAAAAATGTCGACGACGGATCCGTAGTTAGAAAAGCTCGAGCGGGAGTTGTGTCGATTGATCGCAGCGACGGTAACGGCATCAGGCGCAGAAGCGGGACTCGTCCGCGCGGCATCTCTCTAGTGGTTTTCAGCAATCGTACAAAGCGTGGGATGTGTGCAACGTACGTTCTCGTTCCCTGCAGCAACCACACAGAGCACTCCTTCATCAAAAGCACTTTCTACAGCATCATTGAACGTGCTGGAAAAGCTTCCGCCTATACATGCCGTCAGCGGTTGGGTCACGGACCAAATACGGGAACCATACCTAGGCTCATGTTGATCACAGCTTTGTTCGTGCGATTCTTGGTCACAATATCATTGGCAGCCCAATTGAAGCCGTCAAGAATAACCGAGGTGGAGCTGGACTCCCCCACAAATACCTTCACCGAAACCAGGCTCGACCTTTTCGCCACTCCGTAAGTTTGTCCGCCGAGAATTCCGGCTACATGCGTGCCATGTCCGACTCCATCAATATGCTCTCCTCCAGCAGCATTGTATGCCAACAGAACACGACCGCCAAACTCACTATGGGTAGTCAAGATGCCTGTATCCACGATATAAGCGTAGGTGCCTAGCCCCGCGCTATCATCGTAGACGTAGTCAGTGCTGGTCTGGCCCCGGTGGGAAATGCTTCCTAAGCCCCAAGGGGCATTGTGCTCGGTGATCAATCCGTCGAGATACCAGACTTGGTCTTCCTCGACATTTGCAACCTATCAATCAATCAGATTTTATTGATCGCGCAAGGAAGATCAACAAAGACAGACATCAACATGTTGACGAATTGCCGCAATGGTTGCATCGTCAAACGAGCCGGCGTATGCCGCAAATTTATTGATCTTGTAGTATCTTTCAATGCCGACGGGGAGATCGTGCTCAGTGAGACTGCGACCCTCTAGGTGTCGTTTATGAAGATTGGTTGCCCAAGCAGTATGTTCATTGATCGTGGCATCGTCGGTTCCCAGTTTGAAGGTGACAATATACTTTCCTGGAATGGGATGCGTAGTCTGGCGACTGTCAAGGGTCGGCACAGCAAGCACGGCAGAGAGTACAGATCCGAGGACCAGCAGAACACTTCTCATCAAAACCATATTGGGTCATGAAAAGTGAGGCAGAATACACCTCAAAGAAGAACGAGCAATGGAGAAGTGTGTCCGAAGACTTGCCCTATATATACGTAAAAAGATTAATTATGTTTAGGACTGTCAGCCTATCATTTACATGGACGCCTGACTCTGGAGCGAGCAAGACAGGGCCCAAGATCTTCAAGCCGATTTGAAACTTTGGGGGTAACATTGCATTCTCAGACGACTTGGTTGTGTCCTTTCAGGCAAGGCACCATGCACACCATACGTGATTTTGGGCAGATGTTAAGAGCCAGGGATCGATGTGTGAGCCGTGCAGAGCTTATTTTTCCGGCCCTAAAAAGGCCTAGAGTTGAAAAGAGACGCAGGAAATTTCCATCGCAATGAATCGCATACATCCATTCATGCAAGCGTTGCGGCTTCCATTGTTCCACTGCTGGTCTGCCAAGATCAGGCGTGATGAATGTGGAGCAAACATCGTTCAATCGCTCCATGACAAGCTCATAATCCAGTCATCAGAGCGCCAAACAAAAGAAAGGAGTTTTGGGTTTGGAGATGTTGCGCAATGCGCCCTGGAAATCGGGGAAATGCTTAACCACTTGTCCGAGACTCAGTGTTACCTCTCCCAGGATGTCTGGGTCCTCATGAGGTGGAAACGTTGCATGCGCTTATCATCTTCTGGTAAGTAGACATGCCGATTGGGCGACAGGCAGGATCTCTCAGGAAGGAAGAAGTAAAGTAAACACGGCTTATAGCCATCCGACTACTGTACTTTGGAGGGCGGCCGTCGTACAATAGGCTCAGGCGCATTGATCAACTAAAGTAAGTTGGATAGTCAGAGACATTGCCCTTCTCGTAGGGCCAGGAGCCAGCTTGCCGGTTCGAGGTGCTTGTGAAGGCGCAAGGGTTGCTGACAAGTCAAGTCCGAAAGCTTGGTACGACTAACCTGCCCCTGAGAACGCGCATGTGCCTGAGGAAGTCTTCTGATGTGTCGAAACCTAATCATCGCCTTGATGCGAATCTGACTGAAGAAGAGGTGGTAAGCAAGTGTTCAATTGGTAATTGCTCTGTGAACTCGCCGTGGCGATAGGATTCACAACGGCCAAGGCCATTCTGTGTAGTCCGGTTGGAGAAGCATCTGGAAGCCCGAAATAGCACACACCCTGACACTTGAAATGGCTTCGGTGACCTCAGGTTTTGTAGGTATCCATCAGCAACCGGCCATAACTTTCGAGGCACAATCCTGGTTGAATGACCCTGAAGTGCCTGAGCTCAGATCGTCCACGACTCTGCGGGGTGACCAAATGAAGGTCTTCTCCGGTCTATTCTCTGCAGGGTCTCGAGACAGCCAAGCCCCTTGGACACGTCTGGTGACGGGGTCTTTTTGGACGGGGCTTGGGCGCAGTCTGAATAGGTACGGTTGCATTGAAGCGACACCGAAGACTGCTGTGACCAGAATGATAATACCTTCAGCCAGTCGGATAATTCTATCGGGTGCAACAGAGGGGGGAGACAGAGGAGATTGGTGTAAAGCAAAAATTGTGACAAGCGCGGCCTGACCGGAGTTGTCGTCGTTATTGTTGCACCGAGTCCCGTGATCCCATGGGCAGGAGGTTCATGCCAGGCACACCCTCAATTGGCCCACACAGCGCGAATTGTGAGCAGAATACTACGTGAAAATCCTGTATTATGATGCGGTGTAATGAGGGAATAACCGAGAGATAAACATGCTCAATTTCAGTAGTCAAACACTATCTCTCTGTGTCTTCTCTCTTCTGGCGTGTGCAGACTCTCTTTTATCTGCAGTCATTGCATGCATGCGACTATCCACATTTATGCACAGAAACCCCGCTTGAGACATCAGTCTCCTCATTTACAGCTGCTTCTTCCCCACAAATCTCTTGTCGGCCTCCGTGTTGGCAAAAGGGAAACCACTGCTCCGCTTATCGACACCAGTCTTGCGGTTGATCTTGCCTCCACTGCTCGCGAAAAGAGCGCACCACACCCCAACGAACGCAATAGCTGCGTATCCCACCATACCAATCGCGTAGGCAATCTGTCCTGTAGCCACCCACCAGATGTATGCATACCCCGCTGAAGCTCCGTGAAAGACGGTTGTAACCATCATGGTCGGAACGGCATATGGTGCCTTGGGGTCGGAATCGTCCGTTGTGACGGGTTGTGCGATTGAAGTGGTCAGAGGCACGGAGCCGGTAAGCATTACAGTCAAGACTGCAATGAGAAGTAGACTGAATCCCAGGCAGCGAGAGAAGTATGTTTCCAGTGCTGTTGAGGTTAGGCACATTGTTTACAGCTCATGGTACATGGTTGGAACCTACCAGAAGGGTCTCGTGTCTCAGTCAACAGCATGGTTGTCATCATCTCCGGCACAGCGATCAGAGCCAAGCTCTGGAGACCAAGCCATCCGGCTGTGGAGTAAGTGTAGGCATAGAAAACCTGCGTCGCGCCAAACCCGTTAGCTGCGTTGTATGGCAAGGAACGGAAGAGTGCAGTCATACATCCATGACGCGGAAGTAGGTGTTGTCTTGTGGTAGTTGGTAATTGTTGTTCGGGTTGAAGGTATGTCGGATCTTGTGTCAATCAGGTACTTGAAGGTCAATTAGAGCAGCATAGGCAGCAACCAGTGGTAGTTATAAGCTGTTGGAGAGGCAGGGACCATTCCCCATGAGGTCATCGCTGGTTCAGTTCCGATGATGTCACCGCCGGTGTTTCCGCTGATTCAGCCCAACTGGTCTCAACTTACCCTTTTCTTTTGTCACCACCACGAAATGCGAACGAAAATGTGGAACAAACAGCAGAAAGGGCAAAGATGTTGCGCGTGCTATTTCATAGGGCAGAAGTGGGTCACTGCAGGTTTACTGAGCTGGAAGATGACTGTCAATGCCGTCAGACCATCTACCCCGGCATCCCCACATTAGCTATAATATTCTCATCTTATTGTTTACAGTCAAGCTATGAAGGGAATTTCAATTCCTCTTGCATTGAAACCAAATGGCAGGGCAACAGTGCCTCTTAGGTGCGCTTCCAAATCGGTACGTTGAGGATTTGACCTGTTATCATCAATGTCTATTCATTTACCATGGCTATGTTCAAATCTCCGCCATCAACGCCTTTTCAAATCTCCAAAGAAAAAGAAAAACGTGCAATTTCGACCCTAAGGTCAGGTATCATTGGTTGAGATTGTTCGCGCGCAGGTATCTGGCAAAGCTCAGATCCTGGTCGGACGGGGCGGTGCCCTGCTCCGCAAGCGCGTCCTTGTAGCGCTGCGTAAGCCCTTCACTGTCACCGGCACGAGGAATTCTGTAATCATCATCACTGTCTTCATCGTAGTCCTCGCCATTCTTGCGTGCCTCTTCTTCCTCCTCAGCTTCGCTGACCGTCTCAGGCTCGTTGTCCGCCGTTTGCTTGCCCTTGCTGGAGCCAGACACGTTCATGTCTTTCATCAGCTTGCCCAGCTCGAGTTCTCGTTGCGCCGCCTTCGTTTCCTCGCGCTCTTTCTTCTTCCGCTCCAGCTCAGGCTTGTAGTCACGCTCAAACTCCTGACGCTTTTCTTCGACAGCCTCAAAGAACTCGTCAATTCCGTCACCGGTCATTGAACTGACTCCGACCAAGCTCAAGTGACGGTAGAACTCCTCCAGCATCAAACTCATGCTGTTGAGCAGTGAGCCCATATATCCACTTCCCGAGCCGAAGCCACCCGCTGCGCCCTCGGTGCCAAACGCGCCAGCCTCCTCTTCCTCCCGCAGAGCCTTCTGGAAAGCATCGAAGTCGGTCATCCACTCCTTAGCGAAGTCGGCGTCTTGAACGTCAGTCTTGTTGAAGACAAGAATCATCGGCAACTTCGTCTTGTATAGGATACTGCAGGCGTAGAGCATGTTGCTCATGAAGGTACTCGTGGAGCTGGCGCGGGGGGTATCAATAACGTAGGCGATCACAGTAGGGAAAGAAGAGGCCAAAGTCTCAAGAAGGATGCTGCCAGAAGCACTCCACACAAACACCTCGATCTGCCCCGGCGTGTCGACCAGGATGTGCTCGATGGGCTTGGCGGTCGGGGTGCTGGGGTTGGGGGCCGTCCGCTTCTCCAGCAATGCGATGATTTGATCGACTTTGGTAGCGAACAGATTCAAGGAGGTAAGAATACCACCGTTGGGTCCAAGGTTGTATTGTTTCATGACTTCTCGATAGTTGATGGAATCGCGAATGTCGATATTGCTTTCGAAGGGAACCGTGTGGACTGCGGGGTCGAGATTGAGGACATAGGGGACGGTCTTCTTCGAGTGGAGGTGAGAGTTAATTCGCTGCATGAAGGTCGTCTTTCCAGAGCCTGTTTTGAAGGAGACAGACTAGTTAGATTTGCTGTATAGTGAGGGGAGAAGTCGCCAGAGCCCTTACCTGCCATGCCAACGCAGACAACGGCGACCGGAGACTGTGCCATCGTGACGGGTTACAGAAGAAAATCGATGAATAACAATACAAAAGCAGGCGCAATACTTAAGAACACCCAGTCAGAGGGGCTAAGCAAAGCGTGTTGATAAGAGGATGGGAAGGGAATAGAGTAGCCGCTGGAAGGCGAGGCGTAGAAATTCTTTTGTCGCGGGGAATTGCAGGTGGAGTCCGTTTGGCCGGAAGCGTTCCAGACGTCATGGGCGTTTCTCCGCCGCCGCCTTTTCCCGTGCTTTGCTCTCTTCTCCCTCTCAATACCACGAGTTTTGTCTCGCCAAATATCAACACCATCATGGCGCTTGAGGATTTCGAGAAATCATTGGCAGAGGAGCAAGAGAGACGACGTGAGAGAAGCGACAAGGACAGACACCGCCGTCACAGAGACAGAGACCACGACCGCGACCGCAGCCGCGAGCGCTCGAGGCACCACCGTCACCATCGTCGTTCGTCCCGATCGAGAGAACGCGATTACGACAGGCATCGCGAGTCGCGTCGTAGCGACGAAGCTAGCCACCGACACAAACGGTCGCGTCATTCGACCGACCATGGAGATGATCGCGATCACGATCACAAGCGCCATCACAGAGAGAGCAAGGACGAACAAACAAAATCGCCAGTTGAAGCTGCAGAGGCGGTCCAGGATGAGGCACCGAAATTGAAGAGAGATGCTTGGATGGAGGGTCCCTCCAGCCTGGATATTGACTATGTCCAGCGACGCTCCACTACGCGTCTAGAAGAGGAACCGAAACCCAAGATGCTTTCAGCAGATTACGAGTTGAAGATTCACGGTCGGGAGATCAACACCCATCTACGGGATTTGAAGGACGGGAAAGTTTTGGAAGAGATTGAAGAACAGCCCGCGCAACACGAGGTTGATTATACATTTGGCGATTCTGGCTCGCAGTGGAGAATGACCAAGTTGAAAGCTGTCTATAGGGAGGCTGAGGAGACCGGCCTGTCGGTGGAAGAGATTGCGATGAACCGGTTCGGAGACCTTCGTTCGTTCGATGACGCACGTGAAGAAGAGGCAGAATTAGATCGGCGCGAAAGATATGGCGAAGGCTACGTGGGCAAGGAAAAGCCATCGGGCGAGCTGTTTCAGGAACGCAAGCTACAGGAGAATGTTCACCGTGGAGCGCATGAGCACATCCGCAGTCCGACCAGAGAGCTCAATGCCGAAGGACAAGGAAAGCCCATGGAGACTGTGCCACCGCAGAATACTACGCAGCATCTTGACTTGACCGCACTCAATCGACTCAAGGCTCAAATGATGAAGGCCAAACTCAAGGGCGCGCCAGATGCCGCCGAGCTTGAGGAGCGTTACAACACTGCTGCTGCTGCTATGGCTAACCGCAAGGAGTCGGATGTAGTGGTCTTAGGTGTCATGGAGAACCGGATGCTGGCTGGAAAGAGGAACGAAGTCAAGGCAGTCGATAACAAGCGAGGCCGTGAGCGAGGCAAATTGGAAGATAACGATGATATGACTATTGAAGACATGGTCCAAGAAGAGCGACGGACGCGCGGACAATGGGGTGGAGATGGACGCCGCATTGCGGAAAGAATTGCCAAGGACGCCAAATTTGAAGTGAGTGCTGTGACTAGCCTCCATGTTCTATTTTCTAACATTCTTGGCAGAATGATCTTGAATACATGGACGATAATGCTTCCAAGCTCGCCCGTCGGGTGCATCGCTCTGAGATCGACATCAAGAATACAACCATCAACGAGCTGCAGAAGATGAACAAGATCCTCGACAACTGTCCTCTATGCCATCACGAAGACACGAATACGCCTCCTGTAGCACCTGTTGTGTCCTTGGCGACAAGAGTGTACCTTACTCTGCCGACCGAACCTGAGCTCAGCGAAGGGTGTGCTACCATTGTTCCCATCCAGCATCGTACGAACCTGTTGGAGTGCGACGATGACGAGTGGGAAGAGATCCGCAATTTCATGAAGAGCCTAACGCGCATGTATCACGACCAAGGCCGCGATGTTATATTCTATGAGAACGCGGCCCAGCCTCACCGCAAGCGCCACGCGGCGATGGAAGTGGTCCCCCTTCCTTACAGCCTCGGGGAGACATCACCGGCCTTCTTCAAGGAGGCGATTCTGTCTTCCGACGCGGAGTGGTCTCAGCACCGGAAGCTGATCGACACCCTTGCCAATTCCAAGCAAGGCATGGGGCGGAGCGCTTTCCGCCGTAGCATAGCCAAAGAGATGCCTTACTTCCATGTGTGGTTCAGTTTGGATGGTGGCCTGGGACACGTGGTTGAAGACGAAAACCGCTGGCCGCGTGGAGACCTCTTTGCTCGGGAGGTCATTGGGGGCATGTTGGATCTGGGTCCGGAAGTGATCAAGCGGCAGGGCCGCTGGCAACGGGGTGGTGATCGGCGAGTACCTGGATTCCAGAAGCGCTGGAGGAAGTTCGACTGGACGCGGATTCTTGTGGAGGGATGATTTGTGACTTCATAGGCGAGGTTACGCCATCTAAACTGCACAAATGAAAAGAGAAGTATAAACTTCATGATTTACTCTCACTTGACAAACATTCAGTGAAGTAACACATATCAATCAACTTACACTTCCACCTACCTTGATCATCAAATCAACCTTATCTCTCTCCCCTTCACACTTCTCTATCCACATTCCCCTCCCCCTATATCTTAACCCAGCTACAACAAACTCTTCCTATCTCTGAATTTAGCTACATCAAACTCTTCCCTTCATCCAACATATTCTCGGGATTCACCAAAAACAAGCCATGCCCCCTGAAAACAACACCGGACATAAACGTCGACGCTCCCCTATGGAAAAGAAGAAATCGAAGAAGCAGCGAAAGGCCAAAAAGCTCCAAACCAGAGCACAGTCCTCTCACGAAGACAATAAGACAGCCGACGCACCAGAAAACACACTCACACCCACAACCACCACCTGCCCACGCAGCAACCTCTCCTCCAAAAACGCCGCCACATACCGCCGCCTGGAGGAAAAGATCCTTGCCGAAACCGAGATCCTGCACGTCTACCTACGCGGCCTGCACAGCCTCCTGGCCCAGACCCCCGACGTGCACGAACAACACCAGATCTGCCACGCCAACGCCAAAGGCATCGCGGCGCAGTACGCGATCTTAGGGGATTTGAAGCTGGAGCTTAAGTACTTTGGCCGGGGTATCGAGCTGCGGGCGGTAGATAAAGCAGCGACAATCAAAGTGCCTGAGTTGCCGCCGGGTCTGGCTGCTACCTGGGCAGATGTGGTTGCGGCGTGGGGCCAGCCAGTCACGGATCGTCTGCGGCGCGAGAACCACTCCGCCAATCTCTGTCGCCAGATTGTGTGGTTTGTCAACCGAAGGTTTGAGTGGGAGACTGTTGCGAACTTGCTGTCGACGGCGATGGTCCAGCGTATTGAGGGATTTCGTCGCCCGAGTGTCCCAGTGTTGCTGCTCGCGGATGCGAGAGCGGCGAGGGAACTGCCGCGGTCTAGTCCGGTGCTTGCTGCGGCTGATGTTCTTCGGGTAGGCTGCAGGTTCGATAAGTTTGGGTTGCTGGTACCGATTTCGAGGGAGGAGCGTGAGTTGCGCGAGTTTCTGTGAGATTGGGATGGTTGGGTAGGAAGCGATGGTAGTTGTTAGTTAATGGAGACCCTCTGGCCAGTTGACGGCTCGGCCTTGAGGCAGTAGCTAAGGATTATCAGAGGGAATAAAACAGGCAGTGGCTACGAATATGCGTTACGAAGGAAAATGACGGCCTGGAGTTAATGCATGTAAAGTAGAGTTGTAACATTTCGAAGTGAGGATAATTAATGCAGTTCTTGAAGGTTTGTGGTCCTCCGATATGATTTAGGTATGCTGATCATCAAAGGCTGCGACAAGGTAAGCGATAGACTACGGGCATGTCTGTGGCATGAGAGCCTGGGCCTGGCCACACTAGAAGCGAAGAAGAACAATGATTGGGTTGATCGACAGGTCTTTCTCAACATTACCTACGTAGCCACTTACCTGGATCGAGAGAGCCTCAGCGAATTGAGCCAATTCATCCCTTTTCTATCTGCGAAGCTGATAAAACACACCATTGCTATCAGCAACCCAGAGACCAATCAACGTCTTGCTTCTGTGGTTACTGACTGTTGTGAACAGCAGATCAATAGGACCAATGCCCCTCTGCCCAAATTATGCGAGTCTAGCACAGGTCACCCTGCGTCTTAGAGTGTCCACTATATTTCAAGACACCCCGAATAGTCATATCAGTCAAATTAAGGCGTACGAGCCATTCTCATTTCTTCTCACGCAACTCAGCGGGCTGCATAAGAGCAGCTCTTGAAAGCCTTCAATGACAAAGGGAAAACGCACAAAGAGCACCAATCCTGGTGCTATACATCAAAACACCGTGTGATCAACGCGCAAAGACCCCTTCTTGGCTCCAGCTAAGTACCACAGTCGTCGAACACCATCGAGTCAGGTAAGCCCAGGGCTTCTGGCGGTTATTGAACAGGTCTGGTAGGCCCTTATGAACGGTTGTACTCCGTACCTGAAGTGCCAATGAGTTTCCCAAGGGCTACTGCTATGGTACTCTCGATGGGCGACCCTACCCCGAGTTTCAGGGCGTTCCATCAGACAACAAACAATAAAATACTTTATCAAGAGAAACTCATTCCCTCGGGCCCCACGCACAGCGCCGGACTACAGGAAAGGGCCACAGTTTGATCCACCGAGAGGCTGATAGGATAAGGGATGAGATTAGAGCTCAACGATCCCAGAGGTCAATGCAAATAGTCAGGATTGATCCACCTGGTGGTTTGGAGGTTGAACTCGTTCGATCCGACCCAAATTCTTCCTACCAAAACAGGCATGGCCTGTCAGCGCTAGGACAGTGATTATGAGCCTCCCATTGGCCTGTTCGCTAATGACGTCACTGACATCTGGGCGATACTCGTTGCAGACTAGCGGAGGATAGATGAGATGCTTGGCGTCGCGATATAGTCCTGCACTCGAACCAGAAATAGACCATCCCCAAGGCTTGAAGAGTGGAGGACAACTTCAACAGAGATTTCAGTGGAGGATAGGAGATGAAGCAGGGGTATATAAGCGTAGGATTTCTCGTGGAGGAAGAGGGGATCAGAAGCAGACAAAACATTCTTTTCCTCTCTTCTTCCAGTCATTCTTTTGCCTGATCTCTACTAGACTACACGCCCTGTTCTTGAACTTGCCAACTGACAACGGTGTTCTGCATATTATTGAGAGCAATATATTACTACCATTTGCAGATATATCCTTTTCCCTACATTCATTCACATAGTGAGTCCTCGTCCTCCGTAACTACAACCTCCCACCTCATCTCAGTCCATCCCAGCTAACAGTACCCCAACCTCAGTTCTTTCTATACATCCTCACCATGATCGACAAGTCCGCCATCATCGTCTTCGTCATTCTCGGCTGTATCGTGTCTACACTCATCGGATACTCCATCCACTCCGTCGCCACGGGCGGGTTCCGCAACGACGAGCAGGAAAGAGAACTCTCCAATGAGCAGAGATCCTACATGCGAGACTTACGCCTACGCGATATCTACTGGATGGCACGGGACAATGGTCTTAGGTTCAATCCGGAGCCTCCCCGCGACTTGGAGAAGCAATAATAGGCATGGCCGTTATTTTTGGAGGCTAGTGTTGGTTGCATTTACGGCGTTTGGGGCTGGGGTTTTGTTCCTTGGATTTGGTTCGATATACCATTCTTCTTATTCTCTCTGGAAGTGGTCTATGTGTTTTTGGCTTTGTGAAGAGTGCCGTTGGAGTTATCATGATTTGTTACATATGCCATTGGCAATGTTGGTTTGCAAATATACTACAGGCTATCGGGTATATATGTAGATTGGTTATCACTGGACGGTCCTTTCTGACGCTATACACTCAGCAAATACCTCACCTGTAGGATTATTAACTGCAACTATATGCTTACCACACAAGTCCTCTAGGATTTTGCATAGTGTTGCTGATGCTACTCATTGAGTTGAGCATTTATGCCTCGCTAAATCCGCCCTTACCAATTCCGGACTAGTGTTATATCCTTGCGGACTGATCAACAGCATGTGAGTGACGCTCCGGCCCGTCGCAACAGAACCTCCCCAGGCCAGCCCGACTTGCCTCAAGCTCCGAACTCCCTCAACGCTCACTATCCTACCCTCTCACGCGCAATCTACATAAGAGCCTGAGCTCAGTCTCAATAAGATGGCAGAATACTGGAAATCAGCAGTAAGTAACTCTCCCCTCTCTGTCTCCTATGTTCCAAATCCTACATGCAATTAATCTAAGAACACCTATAGCCAAAATATTGGTGCAAACAATGCAAGATCTTCATCCGCGACACTCCTTTTGAAAAGACCCAACACGAAGCCACGGGAAAGCATCAGGGAAATCTCAGACGCTTCCTGCGCGACATCCACCGTAACAACGAGCAGCAGCAACGGGAAATCCAGCGCGCGAAGAGCGAAGTCGAGCGGCTCCGGCAGACGGTCACGGGTGGCAATGATCCCAGTAAAGGTAGCGATGGTGGGCCAGCACCGTGGAAGCAGCGAGATACCCCCAAAGCTCAGGAAAGGCCTGTGTCGATGGAGGAACGGAAACGACAGATGGCGCAGCTGGCTGAGATGGGCGTGGCAATTCCAGAAGAATTTCGGGGAGAGATGGCTTTGGCCGGCACGTGGCAAACTGTATCTGAAAGGGTGATCGATGATGGGGAGGAGGGTCAAAAGGCGGGAAGGTCGGTTGGGGTGAGGAAGAGGAAACTTGAGGCTGGTGGTGCTGGTGCTGGGGATGATATCGATGAGGAGGAGGTAGAGGCGAAAAGGGAGGCGGAGAGGTTTGTGTCGAAGGGGTGGGGGTCGTCGGTCAGAAGGTATCCTGCGGCAAGCACGGGGGAGGACACGGATTTGGATGCGCTGTTGGCTTCAACGCGGGAGATCAAGCGGGTGAAGCCTTCGGACGTCAAGGCCGAGGCGGATGCGGTCGCGAATGCAGGAATCGAGGGAGATGCGGAGCCCAAGGACAAGGAATCGACGAAGGGTCAATTTGTTCCAGTCAAGTCAGAAGAAGAGGTGCAGTCTGCTGAGTCTGATCCAGCACCTGCGGTCAAAGAGGAGCAGACAGTGGGCGATGCTGCGGAGACCGCAACGAAAACGGAGGCTGAAGAGCCAGCTGCCGGCGTTATATTCAAGAAACGCAAACCCAAGGTTATGAGGAAATGACTGCGACAAAGAAGGATACTACGATATAGATCAGTGGAAATGGGCACAAGGCCACTGGTTGACTACAGTATATCTTGCCGAACAATCGACGCTGACTGACTCCTGCTTTCACCGCGAGTGAAGAAGCACTTCCATCCGCACGGAGTATTTCGATAGCCATTGTCTTCTGATCACTACGAGGGATTTTTAGATGGCCGAGCATATATCCTACTGCCGTCGATAACCTCAGGACAGCGAAATAGAGCTGACCTGATCCATGCTTGGAAAGGTTTCATCAATGCGCCTCTCAGCGTCCGCAGTTGGCGGGAACACCGACACCCAGAGACAACTGCAGATGGAGGCTTGGAGGCTTGGCGGACAGCGAAACCGAAACCACATCCCCAAAGCCGCACCGCACCTGTAGATATGCTTTTCTTTTTCCAGATATCAACCTCGAGCTTCAAGAAGAGCTAGATGGTTGTATGTTGGTCCGATTCTGGTGTGCGCCAATTACGAGTGGTGTGCTACACATTCTCGAAATAAATAGACTTGATTAAGAATCATGCAACAACTGACAAAAGAACATAACTACCTATAACTTAGCAGAAAATCAACTGTCAAGAGCACAATTGTGTTGTAGAAACTGTGCGTAGAATGCATTCAAGTCTGGTTGCCACAAGTCGACCGCTGGACCCTTCCCTTTTTTGCATCGAATTTTTCTGCCCGTATTAATTTTCCCCGTCGGCGCAGAACAGCCAGAGAGTCCGGGGAGTCTCTCTCTTCTTTTCCCTCTCTCCCTCTTCCTCACTCACTCTCTCACTCACTCTCTCTTTTGCCGGGCTCCGAAGCTCTCTCTTCCTCGCTCATTTATCTGCGCAACAACCTTTCTCTGTCGCACTCTCATTCTTACTCTCCCCACCCCCAGATGCGGAGAATATTTGGTGCCGAATTGCGTGTTTTGGTGCTATAGTCATTCGGGCTCGCTTCTTTTCGCTTATCTGGCCCAGTGCATGGTGAGTAAACGAGAGCTTCTTCCCATTTGCTTGTCCCGATCACTTCCCCTCTGGCAATCCCGACACGCGCTCGCACTATGTCTACCTCCCTCAATGTGACTTGTCGACTCTTCACTTTGACCCTTCGATCGGGTCACGATGATCGGATTCGCATGGGTTTTCAACATCTGCCACTTTGACCATGTACGCTACTCCCGCCGTGGTGGTCCGTCCTGGCGTACGATCTGGAGAGGCTTCAGACGGTCGCATTCAAGGTTGCCTGGGTTGACGAGGCTGCCCTGCCTCCAGAAACATGTTATGGATGGGCTTGGACACTCGGCTGAGACCTTTGATCAGGCTGATGGGAAATAGCCAACGCATCGTGGATGTTACGGGTACCCTCAACGTACGGATAATTTCTTGAGTGATCGCGTCGCTCCTCGTCACGTCGGCAAATGCGCAAAGCAAAATCAGACCTACAAGACTTGCCATCAATCGTCAAAGTTGATCACCCATGATGTGCCCGGGTTGCCAGAGGGTTGATGGGTCGCGTTAATCGGTGTCAGCCCACTAACATGCTTTTATCTTCTGAAATAGAGAAATAGCACCATCGGCTCCGCATTCCCTGCAAATCTGAGCTAGCGGTAAAATTCATCCGCGGTCGACTACAGCTCACCCGATAGATCTGAAAGCCTTCACGAGGCACTCTTATTGTTATCATCGTCCTACGCAGCGGTGACACTGGTGTTCCAGTGTTATCAAGATGACAGAAGCAACGGACTCGACGAAACCAGCAGAGGAGGCACCTAAGCCGGCTACTGAGTTGGCTGAGATGCCTCCTACTGAGCAGCCTCCTGCTCAAATGTCTCCCACCGAGACATCCCCCGCCCGAATGTCACCCCCCGAAGTGCATCCCGCTGAAAGGCCTCCTTCCGAGATGCCTCCTGCTCAGATCCCCTCTGCGGAGCAACCTCCTGCCCAGCAATCTCCTGCTCAGCAACCTCCGGCTGAGCAACCTTCCGAGATGCATTCGGTTCAGATGCTTTCGAGTGAGCCACATAACAGCGAACCGCCAATAGACCACTCGCTTCCTCATATCGACACCTCATTGCCTCCGATCGATACCACTCTGCCAGCGATGGAGGAACACGAACATCTTGACCATGAGCTTCCTCCGATCGACACCACGATACCGTCCCTTCCTTCAATTGACACGTCTTTACCACCACTCGATACTACGCTTCCGGCCACGGATGGGCTTCACACGGAGGAACCTGATTTCTCATTTCCGGAGTTGAACAAGAGCGACACTGATGGCCACGGGGCGCATGCGCCGGGAACGAACGGGTTTGACTTTCCAGACCATACGCCCCAGTCCTCGACTCCCGTTCCCTCCTACCAGCCTTCAATGAATGACACGCATTCGCAGCAGCCGGGTCAGCAGGAGCAGTCTCACATGCACCAACATTCACACCAGCACCAACCGCACCAACAACCAGGGCAGCCATCGCAACCACAAAGCCACTACGAGCACCAATACTCTCAGCATCAACATCACCCGCAACATCAGCACACGCCTTCGCAACATGGGTCGCCGTCGCATCACACCCCCGGACAGGGACAATCGACACCGCAACCGCACCAGCAACAACAGTACCAGCAGCATCAGAACTCGGATATGTATCATAATCATCAATCTATGAGTGCCCCGTCGATGCAGACCATGGATCATCATTCGATGCAGGGGCAGCATTCCCAGATGCCACAGGCCCCCATCGGCTCGCCCATGCCATCCAACATGCCCCCGATGACCTCAGGGGGCCAGTATATGACGGGTTATCCTACCAACCTCGGGCAAATGGGAATGAACGCCAATGCGCAGATACGGTACCAGCTACCGGGCGACCCTAACAAGATGCTATCGGGCGGAAGACACAAGAAGGAGGTTAAACGTCGGACGAAAACCGGCTGCTTAACATGTCGTAAGCGACGGATCAAGGTATGTAGAAGATTTGCGAGGGTGATTTTCCGTTTTGTCAATGGGTTGTGTGAATTGTATTTGTTTTTTGTGGTAGTGAGAGTGGGGAGAAGGGGGAGAAGTACTGCAAGGAGGGAGGGGCAGGTGGACAGGCGGGCAATGAACAGGCAGGCGGTCGCAACAGGCGAGACGACGGGAGGGAGGGGAATCTTCGCTTGCGCCGCCGCAATTTGTCTGTTCGGCTCGCCGAAACCCCGCCTGTCGCTTGTGTTGTTGTTCTTGCCCACTCACTGTTGCTGCTTTCCTCCCCGCCTATTCAAAGCTCACATTTATTTTTCTTCGATACCTCCTGAGCGATCACTTTTTTCTGTCTCTCGATACCCATTTGCTCCTTGTTCTCTTTGCGACTTCTTATCTGTGGCTTGCATACTCCTCAGTACAGTATTTCCCGCTAACTGCTTGATCCACACTAGTGTGACGAGGGTCATCCTGTCTGCCGGAACTGTGTCAAGAGTAAACGGGAATGTCTAGGTTACGATCCCGTCTTTAAACAACAGCCAACGCCTTCTGCTATTCAGCCCGCACCTAACCCGCATCCTTCTTTGGTGGTCAATCCTCAGGACCCCTCGACATCGTATCCTCAAGCTCCTCCAGGCTACGTTCCTGCCGCGTCGCAACCGTTTGCTCCTTCTGAGTCGCCCAGCACGTCAACCGACCGCTACGATAGCTACGGAGCACCCCTTGATCACACTACCGACGTGAACAATCAGCAGAACATGGCCAGCATCCAGCATGCCGTGGAAGGAGGCCTGCAGCCGACGGTCAATCCGGCAGCAACCAATGCTGCCGGCACTCCGTCGGAGGCTACCAGCTTTAGAGGTATAGTTCCTTGTCTATAATTGTGTTGTCAATATGCTTACCCAGCTCTCAGTAAAACAAGTCCAGATTAGCGACCTTCTGGCGTTGCGAGGGATCCCTCCACCTCCTCCTCACCCCATCACATCACTGCCGCCCAATCGTCTCGAGGAGATCCAAGCTGTGTTCCTAGCGACATATGCCCCTGCTATTGACAAATTCTTTGAAACACGGTGGTTTCAAGACAAGGCGCTGACCCATCTATTGGCCAACGCTCAGCTCATGGCGGAGTATTCAGCCCTGATTGATGCCTTCAACGATCCTAACCTCAACGATCCCAACGTGATCGCCCGCTTGGAAAGTTTCGAAGCGTCGGTGGTTTGGAGCTCGATGACCTTGTGCCGTCATGTGATGAACGTGTCAGGGGGTGCTCAGCCGGAATACGATCTGCTAGCGTCAGCCAAGCGACTGGACGTGATTGAGGCGATGATCACGGGTGAACACCTGGACTCAAATCCTCTAAGCGTATTTCCTACTCGGGAACCGGCCGCCAATCCTCCTTCGATGCCGGATCAGTTGACACAACGATCATTGGATTTCTGGAGCGCCGTCGGATACTTCCTGACGCTACATGACAACGAAGCCAGCTCGGCCAAGGAGATCGACGACACTTTGGCTCGCTGCCGGACGTTGTTGGACACGTATGAGAACCGTGATGTGATCTATTCGATCGCCATTGCGCGTCATCTGGGACAGCGGTGGGCGGACTTCCCCCGCAGCTTCCCGCAGCCGATCACAACGAACGAGAAGGACGCGGGAGCCAAGCTCTATGTCGCACAGAAATTCCTTGAGCAGGAAGCTGGCGGCAAGGGCACAACCCAAGTGATCAAGCGCATTTGCGGCATGGTCGTTCGATCTTGGATTGTCTCCCGGGAGTGACCGGCCTGGTGATATTTTCTTCTGATGATAGCAGTTTGCGTCCTGTAATATGAAAAGCGCATTGGTACTGATGAGTACCTGTTCATGATGTTGTACTAGATTTGCTGTCTGTTTGTCTTGTGGTCCTGCCGTTGATGAACGCTGGTGGGTGGGTTTTACATCTGCCGGGTTTGTCGGCCGTGGGACAGGGGAGGGTCACATCCGGGTGCGGAGTTTATTTGGCTTTGAATTTCTTTTTTTTTTTTTTTTTTTTTCCTTTTTGGGCTAGCAGAAGGACGGACAGTTCACGGCGTTTACGGCTGCATACCTGAACCAGTGGCATATTTGCTTGTGACGTTGCTTGTCTGCGAAGGGGACTGCGTTGTTCATCGCCACTGCCAGGGCCTGGTCTGCAGGCAATGAATAATGAGACCATTGTATATACATCGAAAAAAGAAGTCCACCATTTGAACCTTTATTAATGTGTCTATATTGTATGTACAACCTTGGTGATTTTAAAGATCTGCCTGCTCGGGAACGGGACTCTTCAACTTGCCCGTCTCCAGCGCGGAGCGAATGTTGCCAATCGTCCATTCTTCCATGGCGGTTTGTGTCTGCAGGAGTGAACAACCGATTGTTAGCCACATCCACCACGACATGTGTCAACACCAAACACCAAACAGGCAGACGCAAACATACCTCGACCGTCCAAGTCCCCATATGCGGCACCAGCACACAGTTCGGATTCCGCAACAGACCGGGATGCACCTTGGGCTCCTCCTCAAAGACATCCAACCCAGCCGAAAACACCTTCCCGGAGTCCAACGCCTGCACCAGGGCCTCTTCATCCATAACCGCCCCGCGCGCCGTATTCACCACCACCACCCCATCCTTCATCTTCGCGAACTCGGCATGGCTAATGATATGCCTCGTCTTGGGATTCAGCGGCAGATTCAGCGAGAGCACATCACTCCGCGCCAGCAACTCCTCGAAGCTCACATACTCAGCCCCGTCGGCCATCTCGGCGGAGAGGGCTCTTCGATTGTGGTAGATGACCTGCATCCCGAACGCCTCCGCCTTGCGCTTCAGGTTGCGTCCAATCCCGCCCATTCCCAGGATCCCCAGCGTCTTGCCCTGCGGGTCGTGGCCCAGCCCCGGCAGCGTCGTGCCGGCCACTCCGCGAAACTCCGAGCGTCGAAGGTTCTGCATCCCCGCGTTGAAGTTGCGGAGTGCACCTAGGATCAGGAACATGTTCACATCGGCGGTCGCGTTGTCGGGGGCAGTGGGCACGTTGGACACGCGGATAGGGTGCGGGGTGCGCGCGCTGCAGGCTGGGATGGAGATTTGGTCGTAGCCCGCTCCTGTGCAGGGGTCTGCGTTAGATTGTTGGGTGCGGGTTTAGGGGTTTAAAGAAGGTGAGTTGAGTGATAGTGGAACAACGGTTGTTTTAAGAAAAAGAAAACTGAAGGGGGGTCACGCACCGCAATGAGCAATCCACACCAGAGACCTCGGGAGCACGTCGATGATCTCCTGGTCGAAGTTGCCCGTGAGGTTGATCGACCCTAGCGTGCGGTAGATAGCGACCACACCCTCATATTTCCCCGCACGACACTCTTGGATGAATTCCTCGCGGTTGGTGGCGGTCGTTTCGAGGAGTTCGGCGATGTCGCTTAATCCGGTCCAGGTCGCGTATGCGCTGGAAGTGGGTGGTCTGGTTAGTGGTCAATTGATGGGGAGGTACTGCGGGTTACATACTGGTCGATTTTTCCAATCAAGAGGACTTTGGGTTTGGGGTTGGTGGAGCCCATTGTTGTAGCTGTTTAGGTATGCTATGCTGTGCTGTGCTGTCGATTGAGCTGCAAGGAGGTGTATGGTTAGCAGCTGTAGGGAAAGTGGGGGTTGCTTGAGATTTTATACTATGTAAAAAGTGTCGGCGGGCGGGAAGCGAAAGCGAGGGAGCGGGATACAATACCCCGAACGGACAAGTGTCGTGCCTGCAGAAGATCGGGAGACCAACAGTGATAGGGAGAGATGGAACTCTCTTCCAAATGCTCTGAAATCAACCCCACGTGCCCCGTGCGCCCTTTCGCACTTATCGCTCGGCTTCTATTCCGAGTGGTTCCTGCCCTTGATTGGTGGAAGATAGGGTCTCGATTGGGCGTAAGGGTGTCTCTCTCGGCCGGGATCTCGCTTATTCCCTCCTCAGCTGGGGGAAGTATACAGTGCGATTCACTGCTGGGCTTGGTGAATCGATCCAGTATTGTCGGTGATAGGGGCTTTGAGGTATTGTGATTTGTTGCTGGACTGGGTGAATCACTGGATGATAACTATCATCAATACAGTTCCTGCACAAGAGGAGGTATGTATATCGTCATCCTCCTCTTTCACTTCCCTCTTTCTTCCTTTTCCTCTCCATCCTCCATCCTCTTCCTCCTCCTCTTCTATCCTTCCTTCATTCCCCTCCCGAACATCCTCCTCGTCTTTATTCTTATCTACCATACGATTTCTACTTCAGTCAGTCAAGATGGCGAGAACTTAGACCTATACTGGTGTGTCTTGAGAAGTTGGCTCAGATCTTTGGTTCGAAAGCCTCATGAAGCATGCAATTCCCTCTTGACATCCACGTTCCTTGACACAGATTCTTTCATTAAATCAAATCAAATGATCAAGCACTACAGTGATCACAGTGCATTTCCAGTCACTCTCGGGTGCAAAACGCCGGTACCATGCAGGAAATATTACCAGCACCGGTCGTGACGTATGTATACTCTATGCGCTGAATTCGATACATTCGCTGCTCCACCAAAGGAAGTTCGAATCCTCGTCGAGGTAGAGATTCAATTCTGCATACATCCATGACCCTGCAACTCTACCTGAGGAACCTAGACGAAGCTTCCATTATCGACCGACCTATCACGATGTTGAGTCGAATTCTATCGGAATTGCGGCTTTGTCAAGATCCATTCCGACAGGCTTACCTCGAGCTCGCTTGACAAGCCGCTATTTGGCAGGTTGGCACAAATAAGTTTACGATATGTTAAGTGTTATGACAGCACTTGGTGATGAAGAACGTTTATAGCACCTGCTGCTGACGCAGAATTTGAATACTCCCTAGCATCTCATGCACTAGTATCGTGGGTGCAAGAGCGAGCACTGAAGCAATCAGCCATCTATGGCCACCGAGTCGTTATAAAGGTGCTGCTTGACAAGCTCACCGAGGACGATAAAATGACATCCTTATGCACAGTCGGGTGTTTCCCACTTCCGCATTCGAAATCAACAGGAACTCGGGCTTAGACTATACTACTATAAGGCCTAAGCTACAGCACTCCGATTGGGAGAAGGATATGTCTCATTTGGCCATATCAATCTCCGTATCAGCTAACAATGAGCACCATCATCTTCCTTGTCTAAACCTGAACCACCGTTACAATGATAGCATGTCCGGATCGGACTAGGAGTCTGCTCTCTGAAGCCGACTGCTCATCTTGATGACGTTTTAACCATCGAGTTCGCCGATATATATATCGAATCGTCGCGCTCAAGCTCGCCCACGAGCTGCTGATTTCTCGCGGTTTGAGTCGTTCTCTGTTTACTTGCTCGTTTTGTTCAGCTTGTCTTTCGCCTGCGTTGCTCGTTTTGTTCGTGTCGATTCTTCACCTCTTATAAAGCAGCACCGTATCCGCATCATCTGCATCAATTTGTTTCTTATCATTCGCATTACACGCTACATACAACTGCACCAAACACCCCGTGGTCTCCGCCTCATACCACAAAGTGGGCGCTGCGTTTGACTGATGTTCCCGCAGTCTTTCTTTTCTTTCTTGACTGCGGTACGAAGGCAACACATGCACCAGAGCCACTTAGGCTTCACTGCCGTGTCGCGAAGGGGCCGTTGAGTTCGTCTGGCCCTTCGACCACCAGCGCGACCTCTACCACGCGGCATATCGAGGGATTCAACGTATCGCACGCGATAAACCAGCGAAGAGAACGCAAAAGGGACGCGAAGAGACACTTATTCGTTAAATGCTAGACAAATAATACGGGAAACGATGAAGAACGCACGAAACGACAACACAACACTGAAGGAACGACGACCGCGAAGTAGAAAGGGAAGAGGAGGAGGAATATCGTGGTACGAGTCATGCGCTTTGGCTTTGGTCGACCGAATCCAATGCCCTTGCGAGCGGGTCTGTCCTCTGGCTTCGGGGGACCGAGTTCGATAACAGTTTTGCGAGGGGGTTCTGTCTTCAGGGCTATATTATAGATCACTTCAGTTCTTTATCTCTTATGGATTGCATAGGATGAGAACTGCTCTGCTGTATTTAAACGAGTGTGGTGCCCGGCGAGAGTACCTTCCTTTTTTAGAAAGCAGTAGGCGGTTCGAAATACAACCTCTCACAGAAGACCTTCTCCGCCCTCTCCATCTCCCCTCTCCCTCATCATCAACAGGATCATTTTCACTCAAACTATCCATATGTTCATTGATTGATTCAATTGTTCGTTCATCATCCTTCCGAGGCAAATATTACAGTTTCACCACCCATCTACTTGACTGCCCATACCTCCTGCCGTTCCTCGCAGCATCGGTGTCGGCTCACCAAACGACATGGAAATAATACTATCAATACACGCGTAACATACAAAGTGTCCATATATAGCTCTGACGGGTAGCAAATAAGGCTTCTATACGAGCCCTTATCAATATGTCTAATACAAAGTTGGCACTGCTAACTTCGGAGTATGAGCCTCCCCTCAACCAGAGGTCTATACCTCCGAACCACCAGCCACAAAGCCCCGAGTTTTACCTAGGAATCAATGATACGGGATGGGACACGAATCTTTGCCTTCAAACACCGGAGCAGGCATTCACGGGGACTAGCGGCCTCCAAACTTCCTTTTTCCCCAAATCTCTGCAGCCAGGTATCCTGACATGACCACAAAGATTCACCACGAAACACTGTGAAGCAATAAATTATGAACATAATGTTACAATCTAGCTTCATTCTTCAACAAGGTCCGATGTGGTGTAATGGCTAACATCGCTGTCTCTCACACAGCAGCTCGGGGTTCGATTCCCCGCATCGGAGAGTTTCTTTTGATTTTGTTTTTGCGGGGAATTGAACCCGAGCTGCTGTGTGAGAGACAGAAAAACAAAATACACGCGCAAGGTGTTGTGGTAGGCTGACTGCAGAGACTTGTGACTCGCATTTGAGCTATGCTGCTAAGTTTTGTGGCCTGGTCAATGCGGAAGGGGGATATGCGATGTATCCACCAATTTACGGCTGTATCTTTATCGTCTCTCAAAGACAAGTGTACGGCAGCCGGGAGTTCAATTCCCCTATCGGAGCTCGATTCTAACTACTCTTTGGGGTTGCGTTTCTATCCCGTTGTGAAGTGGGGGTGATATATAAGTACTGTACATGGCGCATGAAACATGTGGGTAGTGAGTGAGGGGATGAGTATATCGGGTCAGGTTTAACGGGGTGCTGAGGACAGGCACCTCTTCACTAAGCAAGGGACTATATTGATAGATGTCAAACGCATATGCATCAGATGTCAATCTCAAGCGGCTGAGTGGGCCAAAATCTCCTGTTTGGGTCATCAAGACCATAATGTTTGCAGTGGTAGCTCGATCATAGTGCACACCAACGCTTAAGTCTATAGCTATCAAATACCTTAACTTAATCAGTGTCTAGAGTCTACATGCAAAACAGCTCTAGCACCCCATGCCCCCTTAATTCTTATCCAGCACCTCAACCCTAACCCTCACCTCCGACACATCGGGTTGAACCCAGAACCCGATATCCTTCGTAGACTCCACCAACTCCACCTCTCTCTTCACAAACCGATCCCTATCAGCACCTGCATCCCCTGGACGTGCCTCCACCGCCTCGCCCTCGCCCTCGCCCTCAGTATCCCAATCCTCATCCTCCATCTTCTCCCTACTGACAGGATCCAACTCATCCGTCTCCCACACCAACCTCAGTCTATACGCCGGGAGCCCAAACAACCGACCCGCAATCGCCTGGACCTGGTACGTATCAAACGACCTCGGAATCTCCCTCGCCTTGACCACCCCCTCCTCCTGCAGCCCCTCGGCTTTACTGCCGTGTGCAGACCCAGCATCCCGTAGACAAAACACAAACCGCACCAACCGCGCAGCCACCGACCGCGGATTCACCACCTTGCCCGCCGCATCCTCCGCGCTCGCTCGCGTGACCACCGGCTGGCCGTGCAGCTCGCACAGCTCCGCGTACCGGGGGTGCTTGGCCAGGATCTCCGGCTCGGCGGCCTGCGGGCTGGCGGAGAGTTCCTTGGCGATGAGAGAGAGGTAGTACAGTTCGCCGTTGAGGCGGTCCTTGGGCGTGATGATGCCGTAGTTGAGGGTGCGGAGGCCGGCCAGCCGGGCGAGCGTGAGCATGTAGGCTTCGTCGACGGTCATCGGTCTCTCGGGGAGGCCGGTGATGGCGGTGGGGCCGATGGGCCCGTCGAAGAGTGGGTTGCCGGAGATGCGGAGGGTTTGGAGGGCTGGAATGACGGTGGGGAGGTGGTTGAGGAAGAGCCAGGTGGAGATTTGATTGCGGGAGAGGTCGAGGGAGGTCAGGGTTGGGGCGAATCTGAGGGAGTTTGTGTCTTCCGGGGTGGCGGCGATGGTGCTGATGGAGTTGGAGCGGAGGGAGAGGTGTTCGAGGCGGGGGAGGGTGGTGAGGGGGCGGAGGTCGGAGAGGGAGGTAAAGGTGTTATTTTCGAGGGTTAGTCGGGTGATGCTTTGCGCGAGAGGGGTGGAGATGGTCGAGAGTTGGTTGGCGGAGGCGGAGAGGAGAGTGAGAGCTGGGAATTGGCGCGTGATGGCGGAGATCTCGTCCCAGGCGAGCAGGGTTTCGTCGAGATATAGTTCGGTGATTTTTTTCGAGAATGTGAGGCCTTTCTCAACCGGCCCGAATCGGTTGCCGCTGGAGATGTTGGTCAGCTGAAGCACACTTCTCCGCGTTTGAAGATCGGAAATTTACCCCAGTTTCAACGACTTGAGCAGCTTGAGTCGCTCGCAGATCCTCGCCACTTCGCTCCAGCGCGACACCAGATTCCGGCTCAGGTCCAGCTCCGTGATCTTGGGACAAGTCTGCTCGATTTCCTGACATGCAGACTCGACTTCCTCCGGGGAAACCTCGTGGCCCAACACACCGGCCACCCGCAGGCCATCCAGCAGGACAATCTTCAGCTCCTGGAGCTCGGCGAGCTGTTTGCGGATCTTGTCGAACCCGACCTCCTCAACGACCTTGCCGCTGATCTCGATGGGCTGGTGCAGGACAACATCGTCAGTCTGCTGGCGCTGCCGAGCCAGCTCCTGCTCGAGATACTCCGAGGCGTACTTTTCGCGCAGTGCCTCAACCAGTCCGCGCGGTTTGTCCGCTGGGCGCGACGGGCGCACGAACGACCCTGCTGTGGGGTGATTGCGCTGGCCTGTACTGATCAGAACTTGAAGCTCTCCAAGAATAGTTCCGAATGTCTGTACTCACAAGTAAAATACCTCACTCCCTTGTGTTCGCCTGAATGCTTTCCGCGTGTCGGATCATCCCATTCGACGCCCAACCAGTCGCCAGTAGTGCCCTCTACAGTGCCCACATAGCGAACAGTACACAGATCGCCCGCGTAGGACCGACGCTGACCAATAACCGGAGTAGCCATGATAGCCATTAGTCTCCGCAACACCAGAACGATCCCAAGGAGGAATAACACTGTGTAGTTGGGAAGTACTAAATTATAACCATAGGTATCAATCCATGAGCAAGACATTAGACCCACACCCAAACACCAACCAATGACACCTCTTAGGGACTGCTTACCTAATCCCTAGCTTCATCTCCGCCAAACCGCTAAGTTAACTATTATCTCGAAACATTAACTTATCACCAACATTTCCAAACCACTCCCACCTCCCACTAGCCAGAGCCAAAAGCGCAAGTCCTCTCCAACATGGACTACCAAGTACGAAGCTCCCTATTGCCTCTACTATCCCGTATTCCCCACTAACCAACAGAGCAGAACCGCGCGGGCTCGAAATTCGGAGGCGGCGGCGTCGCCTCGCACAGCGCCACCAACGCGGACCGCCGCGAACGACTCCGCAAACTCGCTCTGGAGACGATCGACCTGGACAAAGACCCCTACTTCTTCAAGAATCATGTCGGCTCATTCGAATGCCGACTGTGCCTGACAGTCCACCAGAACGACGGCTCGTATCTCGCGCACACGCAGGGGCGGAAGCACCAGACGAACCTGGCGCGGCGCGCCGCCCGCGAGCAGCGGGAGGGCAAGAACCAGGACCCCTCGGCGCTGCCGGGCGCGATGGGCGTGCAGGTGAAGAAACAGACCATCAAGATCGGCCGCCCGGGGTATAAGATCACCAAGATTCGGGATCCCCTCACCCGGCAGCTGGGGATGCTGTTCCAGCTGCAGTACCAGGAGATTACCCCGGGGGTCACGCCCCGGGTGCGGTTCATGTCGGCATTCGAGCAGAAGGTGGAGGAGCCGCCGGACAAAAACTTTCAGTATCTTGTCATCGCGGCGGAGCCGTATCAGTCGTGTGCGTTCAAGTTGCAGGCCAGGGAGATCGATCGCCGCGAGGGACGGTATTGGACTTGGTTTGATGAGGATAGTAAGGAGTTCTGGGTGCAGATTATGTTCAAGACGGAGCGCGAGGAGCGGTTTTCGGGTGTGCCTGGATTGGCGCCGGTGGAGCCTAAGGCTTGATTTCTTCCTTGTTTTTTTTTTCCTCTTTGGCTGGGCTACTCGGTTTGGTTTTGTTTTATCTGCTTCGATTTGATTACAAGGTGATGCTGGTGTTTGTGAGGACCAGGTTTGATGTTTCGTTTTCAAAATGGCATATGTATCACCATCTCTTAGCTCTCCGGCAGGCGTTTGTTCACAGCGGTTTCTATCGTCGGATATTAAGACAACAGCAACAATCTACCGATTCGTATCGATTTTATGTGTTGTGGATTCGAAAATAGTTCCGTGGTCTACGATCACAATGATGTCTCTAAGCACTTATACTCTACACTAAGCTCTAAGTCTAGGTCTAGCTGCAATTGTTTAGTGGATGGTCCACACCTCGTTCCTCGTTCCAGCTACATACACAGCTAGCAGCGAGCGATGTCGTCGTCTCGCGACAAGAATGCGGTGAAATCAAACGGATATGCAGGGTCATGACCAACAGATGATGAAATGCGCTATATGCTCGATGAAATTGATGCACAATGTGGTAATACCGAGACGAAAAGCCTTATGCGCCACTGAAAATCCATCAATGCAAGCCCGCCCGCTTTCGGACTCTTCAATGACGTCTATCGTGGGTTCACCAACAAACATGCGATATCCATGTCTATACTCAGTTTGCCTGGAAGGCGTTGAATGCTTTGTACGTGTATCCGATGAACGGCAGGCTCATCTCCGCCTCTTGCTCTTCCGGCATGGCGCGAGCTTGAGCGCGGTGGATGGCACTGGTATCCTCCTGAGGAATCTCGTCAATCGGGAAATAAGACACATCAATGTTCGAGCTCAACCGCGGTTCGAAGGGCGCACGGATGCTGCGCAGTTGCTCCCAAACGACGCCACGGAAGAACGGGTGATTCTTGATCTGCGTCGCACCGCCGTATTGGCCGCCTTCACTGCCGATACGGTGTTCGGTGTCACACAGGAAACTGCAGACTGTTAGCAGAAACTCAACTCACGGCGACGTGAGACTTGCCTTCTGATCAACCCCTCCGACTCACGAGAGAGGACGAGCTCCTCAGGGAAGTACAGACATTCCCTCCAGTTCACGATCTTCCGGTATGTGTCGGTCGTGTCCTCGGCGCAGAATGGTGGCCAGCCAACCAAGCACTCGAACATGATAGCACCCACAGACCACCAATCGCACAGGTAAGTGTATCCCTGGCCGTTGAAGATTTCCGGCGCGATGTAGTCGGGCGTACCCACGGTGGAGTAAGCCATGGCGCGACGAGACTTTCTCCATGTGTTGATCTGGCCACGGTTGGAGACGGTCAAATTAATGGCGTCGTTGAAGTAACCCGAGTTGCGGTTCTTGTCCTTTGACGTGGAGTTCTTGAGAAGATTCTGGTAGTATGAGTTGTCGTGCGTCTTCTTGCCGCCGGTGGAGAGACCGAAATCAGTCAGCTTGACGTGACCGCCACGATCCAAAAGGATGTTATCAGGTTTGATATCGCTGCAGCAATGTTAGCTTGACCTCGCAGATGAGCACGATCAACTTACCGGTGAAGGAATCCAAGCTTGTGAACAGCCTCTATAGCCATGACAATTTCGGCCATGTAAAAGCGAGTGATGTCCTCCGAGAAGATTTCATACTTGATCAACATGGTCATCAGATCACCACCGGGCAAGAACTCCATCAGCAGGTAGAGATAGGCCGAGTCTTGGAAGGAAGCGTGCAGCTTGACCAGCCACGGGTTATCCTTGGAGTCAGCGAGAATATCTCTCTCGGCACGCACGTGAGCCAGCTGGTCCTTCTTGAACATCTCAGTTTTGATCAACGACTTGAGCGCATAGATCTTGCCATCGGTCTTTCGTTGCACCAGCTTCACCTCTCCGAATGCACCCTTTCCGATGACCTTGATGGTCTGGAAGTTCTGTGGCGTCTCCTTGGTACGCAAGAACCGCAAGAAAGTCGACTCCTTCTTCGCAAGCACTTCCGCCTCCTTACGCTTCGAGTCCTTGGGGACGCCAGGATCACGAATCATCTTATCGAGCTCCGCAGATCTATACCAGAAGAAAAAATCGTTAGGACTTCCCATTCGAATTCAGGTTCGATGCCAGAAAAAATACTCACCGCAAGTTGCGGTCGCGCGCGCGCTCAATGTTCTCATTGAAAAAGACACTGACCAATTCCTTGGCCGCCTTGCCACGCTTGTGAACATTTTCCGAGTATCGCTCTGGATAGCGCTGAAGCTCTTCGTTCTCGGCAGGGGTGCGGGGGCTGCGCGGCATGGGAGGTGCCAGGTGGCCGGGTTGCTGCTGTGCGGCGGCGGGGGAGCCAGCGGTCCGGGGCCGTTGAGCGGGAGAGGCTGCGCGACCAAAGAAACCCGACCGCGGAGAATTCAGGTCCTGGTTGGAGAACTGCTGGATCAGACCATTCGTCCCATCATTGGGGTTGTATCCCATGCGGGACCCGTATGCGGCTTGAGAGGATTGCAGGTTCTGGCCGTAATGTTGTTGTTGCTGTTGTTGTTGCGGCTGTTGTTGTTGAGCATAGGCACCCTGGGCTTGATAGGGGTTGGCCATGAAATAGCCCTGACCATAGGCACCATTCTGAGCATCGACGTACTCCTGACCAGCCTGGTTCTGGTAGATGGGCTGAGGGAAGGCGGAGGGGGTAGTGGGATAGGCGCGATTGTTTGCAGCCGGGTTGTTGAACGAGCGATCGTTATTATTATACCCGAAATTCAGGTGGAGACGATTGTTGTTGGGATCCATGATGGGCAAACTGTCCTCCCCGAGGCTAAAGCAGCCGTGATTGACGAGAATGGGCGGGGAGAAAAGTCGAGTTTATAGAAGGAAAAGAGGATGCCGATAAGCAGACAGCCAAGGGGGAGGGGAGGGGGAGGATATGAGAGGAGGAGGGGAGGAGAGGGAGGAGTCAGGAATGTGGAAGATGTGTGGAGTCTGGGTTTGGGCTAGAAGGAGGGGGAGTGAGAATCAACTTTAAGGGGGGAGGAGGGAACAGAAACGAAATCTAAGGAGCGGTGGCTACTACCAGTTACCTTCACCCAACTACAACCAACCGTCTCAGGAGGCAAATTTGTTTTTTGAACACTTGACCCTCTTCTCCAACCAACATCGATGCATAATCTTGTTTCATATTTGACTGACAACCTGTAAGAGATGAAACAATTTCCGCCTACTGTTGTGAACAAGAACGAACAAGAACAACACCAGCATTCAAGAAAGAGCATCCCAAAAGAGACTGGGTCGATCTGAAACAATCTGGAGAGTGTCCATCTCCAAGACTAGCTAAACAGTCCAGACTCGCCAGTCGCCTGTTTCACCATCCCTACCAGGCAGAGACTCGGATCCTCCGATCACTCACTAATTGTTAAGTCCCCATCACGACTTGATTTCCCTGCCTTGCATCGCGGCCAGAGCCGGGAGACTTCTACGAAGCGAGCTCCCTGATCAAAAGCTGGCTTTTTGCTATGCTCTCGAAGGCATTTTAAGTGTGGTCAAATTAACAACTTTGGATGAGAAATTCGAGAATTCTATCACTTCAATAGTTACGGATAATAGTTACTTATATATAAATAAACACACCACTTATAACTATGTTGTTGCTGATGTGGTAGATTGCATCTCGAGTAGTTATTGTGCGTATTGTGTATACTTCTCTCTCTTCTTTCTCCCCGGACGGATCAAAGTGGCTCCGACGGAGCTGCACCGCCGCTCATCCCCGAACTTTTTCGGCCCATTTGCCATGGCAGAAGCCCTGAGTAGATTCTTGACCTCGGGACTCGATTCACCACCTGACTGTGAGTGAGGAAGTTGTTCTTCCTCTGTGTCCACTGTCTACGGAACTCCCTTATCACATTTCTCCGCTGCAGTCGGATCTCCTCCATCATGGCAGACTCCTCCAACCCCAAACCCGCGGAGGGTACAGGCTCCGCTCAGCCCGCGGCTTCGAAGAGCGCCTCCAAGCCTGCCAACCCTGCCTTCAGAATGATGGGTACAACAGTCCCTTTCCTAAGCAAACTCGATTTAATACCATAACACTAACAAAGCCGTTCTCACAGGCCTCCCCAACATCAAATTCCGCCTCCCCTCCCGCAACTGGATGATCTTCTGGACCATCACCGGCTCCTTCACCGCGGCCCTGATCTACGACCGGCGGGAGAAACGCCGCGCCCAGCAAAAATGGTGTGACCTTGTGGCGCATCTATCGAAGGAGACACTCCCCGTGGAGCAGATGCGACGAAAGATCACCGTCTTCCTGGCGGCGCCGCCTGGGGACGGGCTGCGCGTCGCCCGCGACCACTTCAAGGAATACGTCAAGCCGATCCTCGTGGCCGCATCGGTTGACTACCAGGTGATTGAGGGCCGGCGCGAGGGCGAGGTGCGCGCGGGGCTGGCCGAGCACATCCGCCGGAACAGACGCCGCGCGGGCGAGCCCAGCACTGTTGTCGAAGAGCCCAGCGCCGAGAGCGTCGTTTACGAGACGCGCACGCGCATTGGCGTCACGGACGAACCCGGCCCCAAGGGTGACCTGGTAATCGGCCGGCACACCTGGAAGGAGTACATTCGGGGTCTGCACGAGGGCTGGCTCGGTCCTCTGGATCCCCCTCCTCCGCCTCCCTCCGCCAGTGAAGACCACCAACCACAAGCCCCCGCATCCGAAGAACAACCCCCCTCCCCCAGCCCCGAAGGCAGCCCAGAATCCTCCGAGACCAAGCCCGACACCCCCTCCTCCGAAGAGAAGAAAGACGACGCCAAAGAGCAAGAGCAGAAAAAGCCTACTGGCCCAACCCCAACCTACCTCCCCACCACCGCCTACGACCTCCAACCCCTCCCGCCCACCCTTCCCTCCACTCTCGACGGCTCCGTCCCCATCCCCTTCCCCCACCTCCTCGGCTTCCTCAACACTCCGATCCGCCTCTACCGCTACCTCAACCGCCGCTACCTCGCCGACGAGATCGGCCGCGACGTCGCCGCCCTCGTCCTCGCCTCCTCCAGCCGTCCCTATTCCGAAACCACTACCACCACCACCACCACCACCTCCTCCGACCCCTCCACTACAGCTGAAACCCTCGAAACCCCCACCCCCGAACAAACCATCGTCCTCATCGACGCCGAACGCGACTGGCACAAATCCGTCCACCGCACGGACGACGCCAACCCGGACAAGGAGCGCGAATGGCTGGATCCCATCGTCCTGGACCCCCGTCTCGCCTCCCGCATGCACCGCTACACCGTGAGCCCCGAGGAGGAGGCCCGCGCGACCCGTATCGCCCACGGGGAGGAGTACATTCTCGGGGAGGAGCGGCCGGCCCCCGTGCCTGTCTGGAAGCGTCTGTGGATCAAGTATGGGTATGGCGAGGACGAGGAGACTCTGAAGCGGAGGCCGATTTTGGGGAACTTGGATAATGAGGATGGAGAGTAAACTCGTCCCCCCCCCCTTCCTTGTTGTCTTTGTCTCTTTTTGAATCATCAACCGCGGAAAATATGGGCTTTGTAATGCACACGCAAACGGTATAGAAGGTTATGTGATAGATTTGTGTGTCATGTGTGCGATGATGTGTGTGTGAGAGAGGGTGTGTGGCTGAGACAGGTTGATGTCTGGCACAGTATATAGATCTCATTGCGGTGGATGTCATGATTGTCTTGTATTTGGTACCTTAGAGAAGAAGGGGGAGCGTTCTTGTTAATATGCTTGGCCCGCTCCATCTGTCATCCTTTGTTATGTTTCGATTGTTTTGTTCGCATGGGAAATGTCGCTACTCTGGTTGTACTTTTATTTAGCTTCGTTTGTGGTAGAGGTGTATATTACCGATTTTCTCTAGAGATGTTAGATTAGTACTAGTTCTGGTATTTGGGTGTAAACGTAAAATGCTGCTCTCGGGTTCGACTCCCGAACGAATCTTTGTGTTTAATGCTGCTGGAGGAGTGATGCTCAAATCGTAAAATGCCTCCTTGAGTCGGTTTAGCTAGACTTCCACAGCCATCCCCGCCAGACCGATTTGGGAACATTTGAAAACTTTCTCTTTTATACTTTCTAGCTAGATTTGCCTTTTTCTGTTTCTCTTGCTCTCTCACCCCTGACCCTAGTGAAAGGGTAAGGCAAGGTGAATCACGACTCCGGCCATCCCTTCCACAAGTACACAGGTATACCAAGTACACAGGTATACCTCAAACACACAGCTATAGCTATGCCGGGGCTAGCACCCGATACATACAAAACCCCGAAGATCTTGCTTCCCAGTTTTCGAAAGATGGCACATGAGATAAATGATAGCAGAGGACGAGCCCGAAAAGCCCCGGTTGCTTCAAGCAGGTCGTGGTACGTTTCTCATTCATCCAACAGTTCACAACCTAAAAGCTGACGCGGTTCAACGACTTCTATTCCAGACGGAAGACCGACGACTCGGGCCACTTGCTGCTGGCCTTCTGGGCGTAGGCAGTCTTAGCGGCCTGCTCGCTTCCCCACTCATTCAGCAGCTCCAGACCGGCGAGGGCGGCGTCGATGGTGATGTTGGCGGAGTCGAGGGTAGCGGTGAGCTCATTTTCACATTGCGATTTGCTGTCGGGCTTCTGCAGCTGCCGGTTGGTAAGACCGGCCTGGATGTGAGGGACACTATCCTTGTGAGTGGTGAGGAAGGACTCGTTCCACTCTTCCAGGTTCTGGGATTTGGGGAGCAGGGCCTCGAATTCGGCGTTAACAGCCTCGGCCACCTGGGCGGGGAGGGGCTCGGACAAGCCATCCAGGGCTTTGCGGAGACGGAGAAGTTGGGTGTGGAGAGTGGGGTTGGAGGCGTCGATCGCGTGAGCAGCAGTAAGGCACTTCAGGGCGAGTGCGTATTTACCTGTGCAATTCCAAGATTAGTGGTCGTGAACAGAGGAAAATGTGGCGGGGGGGGGGGGGGGACAGCGGGTATTACCTCTTCTAAGGTACACCTCAAATCCAAGAGTCTGAGCCTCAATGCTCTTGGGGCTGAGATCCAACAAGGGCGTCAGGAACTTCATCGCCTCCTTGAGCGGGTCTTGAGTTGCGACCAGCTGGGTGCCAAGCGGATCCGGGTCCTCCTTCTTGGCCTCTCCGTCGGCGCTCTTGCCGGTGCTGGCCGCCTTTCTCGCCTCGCGCTTCTCGGCTTCCAGCTTCTCCAGGCGTTGCTGCTCCTTCTTGGCCTTCTTGAGGGCCTTCTTGCGCTCGTTCTCATCCTCACCAGCACTGTTGACAGCCATCGGTCCGTGAGCCAGATCCGGCTGGTCATGCAGGAGCAGGTAAGACTTGATGGCCGAGAAAGCCACCCGGGTGTAGAAGGGGTGTTCACGCAGGCGATCCTCCCAACGGACCATGTCCACGTACGCGCGGATCATGCCCTTGCGCAACGAGAAGCTGTGGAAGTCGAACTGGTCTTCTTGCCAGGTGTCGAAGATGTTGTAGACGGCGTGGAAGCGCTTCAGGGCGAGGCCGAGCTTCCTCTGGCGCAAGTAGGCCTCACCATCCTCCGTCAAGTACCACACACACTGCATCTCATGCAGATCGCCCAACGCGCCGCCGACGGTCTCATTGCGGGTGAATTTGCTCATATTATCGAGACCCTTGTCGTTGTTGTTGTTGCGGAGTTGGTACTTAGCAGCCTTGGAGTTGATGTAACGGTCCTTCTCGTCCAGCAGGCGGGCCTTCTCCATCTCCTCGGCCGCCTTCTCCAGGTTCCCGTGGTGCTTCCATATCCGTGCCTTGGTCATCTGGTACTCCACAGCCTTGGGCGACAGCTCGATGGCCTTGTTGACGTGTTCCATGGCCTTGGTCAGGTCACGGCTGAGGTGGTAGTTGTAGTGCTGAGCGAGGAAGTAGTGGGAAGAGGAGAGGAACTCGGTGCTGTCCTTGTCGGCTTGACCCTCAGCGGAACCGTTGGTCTGAGGGGGAGTCGAGACGTAACCCTCGACCAACTCCTGAACGGTATCCCGCTTGGCCACGTTAGAGTAGAGGGCCTTGATGTTGGCGAAAAGCGAGGGCACGCCCTTCTTGAGCGAGCGCTGTAAGTATGCATCGGCAGCCTGCTTGAAGTCGTCGCCTTCGAGGAAGTCCAAGGGAATCCGGCGAGCGGCGTCACCACGGGGGGCCTTATCCACCCAAGAATCGTACATAGCCTTCAAAGCCTTAGGGTCATCCTTGGAAAGACCCTTGGCCCGGACCAAAGCGTCGTAGTAGTTTGAGTTCTCCGGGTTTCTCTCCAAAAGAGTCGTGTAGGCGGCCTCGGCCTCGGCCTTGCGGTCCAGGCGCAAGAGGTAGTCCGCCTTCATCTCCAGCACGGCCTGCACATCGGCACACCTGCGTCCGACCTTCTCCAGATGCTCCAATGCCTCCTCAAGCTTGCCAGCCTCAGCCATGATTGTGTTCTTATACAGCACAGCCTCGGAGTGCTCCATGTCGGAGGTGGGCGGCGGGGTCTTCAGCGTCTCCTCGTACGTCGTGAGCACCTTCTCGGCCTCCTCCAGATCGCCAGACAGATGGTGCGCAATCGCGAGCGCAGTCCAGTTCTGTCGGAAACCGGGGCGGGCCTGCAGCATAGTCGTCCGGCTCTGTATGTAACCTTGGTAATCCCGCATCTGCATCTGGAGGAGCGCAAGGTCACGCTGGATGGGCTGCGACTCGGGCTCGATTCTGAGCGCGAAGCGGTACGCCTTAATAGCCTCCTCATAGTTCTTCGCTGCACGGTACAGCAGCCCGTAGACGTGCCAGCAGATATGCGACCTCATATCATTCTTGAGAGCCTCCTTGGCCAGCACAAAAGCCTCCTCCAACTGGCCCATGTTGCTCATGATCAGAGCCTTCATCGCCAGGGTATCGCCATGGTTGGGGTTCTTTTTCAGGATCTGTTCGGCGGTCTTGATGCCTAGATTTTGGCAATATGAGCAATGGGTTAGCTGCTTTGCACTCAAATGCTATCCCACATGCGAAAGTGGGCAAACGTGTGATCATAATGGAGGGGTTTCAGAACTGCACCTTTCTTGTGTTGCTTGTTCTCATAATGACGGACCACTTGGCGGAACAAGGCCGCATCCTTGGAGCTCAATGGTTGTGGCATGGTGCGTGTGGGTGACAGGTGGAGGGTGCAGTGCAAAGACTTGCCAGATGACTGTGTGCGGAAGACGGAAGCTGGGCTGATGGTGCGCGGGGAGGGGGGAGAGAGACACAGGCCCTCGAATGACGATTGCTTAGGCAGCGATAAGCTCTGGCCGACTTTGACTACAACAAGAAGGAAAAAGGAAGACTTTTAACAACCAAATACAAGACCAAAGAGAAACAATAATGCGCCGTTTGGAATTTCACTGAGCAAATTTCTATGCAAGATGCCACCAATAGCCAGCCAATATCAAGGTTCTCTCCCGACCGCCGTCTTTCTCGAGGGCTGCCCGGCAATAGTCAAAATGATTATCCGAAGCGCCGCTTGCGTGCATATGCAACACTGCTTGCTTCTGATTCTCCAGGGCTGTTGACTGACATTGGATGGACTCAATTGGAACAATTGAACTGAGTGAAGAACGCCGTTTTATGCTATTGTTTACAGGGTCATTTATGTACATAAGTTTGAACATGGTCAAGTAACCAGCTTTGAGGGCCCGAGTCCGTCCGGCCTTCCGATGAAGTAGAACACTCCCAAGCCAATGTCCATCCACCATAAAGCCAGAACAGTGTTAAGGCTACTGCTGAGATGGTTTCTGCCTTGTTTCACGCCATTTGTTCAGCGCTTCTTCCCAGTTCTCCGATGAACTCTCGCATCTCTCAGTCACGAGACCCCAAGTCCGCGCACGAATGATGTCTTCGACGCTTCTCTGGTACCGGACGAGGTGTGCTAAGGACTCCGTGCGTGGTTCCCGGGGGAAGAACCGCGCAGAGTAAGGATCAAGTCGTTCGTCTACCACTCGCTCACGGTCCTTGGCCGACTCGACTTCACGCAGCAGAAGGTCCGGATCCTCTGGGTCAGGGCTCGTTGCCACCCCAGCGCAATAACTGAGCACGTCTGACCGGGCCTGCCAGGAGGGAAATAGCACTTTATCCTTGAAACTTGCGCAGGCTGCCGGGTCGATTGTCCTCTCCGCCGCGGGGTCTATCTGGCGGGCGGCCGTTGAGGAGGGGTCAAAGCCGTCCCGTGCCGGTGTATATAGTGCATTCAGATTTTGCGTAATCGAGTCATCTATCGTCGACCGTGAGAGCCGTAGGAATTCTATATAAAATTGCGAACCTCCGTCAGCACCCGTGCATGCTGTTGCACACCGTGTGGCGAGAAGCTACATACCTCGAAGTGCCCTTTCATTGAAACAGAATTTGGGCGTCAAAGCAGGGGTCGCGGTTGACGTTGGGTGAGACATTTTGCGACCCTCTACTTTACCAGCCTCCCCGATCGACGCACGATTCTCGGCCCAAAATAAATCCACTTTGTATGTTGGGGATGCGATGCAGCGGCCGTCTGCGTGTGGCGATGCCGTTCGTGGGTGGCGATAACAGCGAGATGAGATGCTCGCTTGGCGGATGAAGACCTGGTCGTTATTAATGTGCTCGAAGTGACTATAAGCACCTCAAATAATCTTCCTGAAAAAGTTCAAGCCGTCTCAAGAAGCAAACACTTGTGAGCATAAGCAAGGGCCTGAAGTGATGAAGTGGGAATAATGCGCATGAGGGCCGGCCCGCGCGCCGTCTAGACCATCAGCAGCAGCACCGGCAGCAGCAGCAGCTTACTGCCGGAACAGGTTAGCAATCCTCAATCACGGGACTACGTGCTTCCTTGACGCGTTGCTGTCACACTTTCACTGGACACTAAATTCGCATCGATTTCGACGGAGAAATTTACTTTCGGCTCAATAAACCTATATTTACCCCTACAATTGCCTGTTCTCGATACTGAAAACCATTGATAAGCCCAATTCGTTGATATACACCCCGTCGTTCTGCCATGCCTGAGCTAGCGGAAGTTTCGCGCATCGTCCATTTCATCCGCCACCATTTGGTAGGCAAGACCCTTACAAAGGTGTCAGCGCAACATGATGACATTGTCTTCGGTAAAGTCGGAACAACGGCCGCTGAGTTCCAGAAAGCAATGGAGGGAAAGAAGGTGGTTGGCGCCGGACAGCAGGGTAAATATTTCTGGATCACCATGTCGACGCCTCCCCATGCGGTGATGCATTTTGGCATGGCGGGCTGGCTCAAGATTCGTGATGCCGATACGTACTACTACCGAACCGACAAACCCGAAGATAAAGAGTGGCCGCCCAAGTACTGGAAGTTCTTGCTAGAAACAGACGATGATCCTAAGGCCGAGGCCGCTTTCGTGGATCCCCGCCGTCTAGCTCGCATTCGGCTTGTCGATTGTCCTGCCGACGAGATCCGCAAATATAGCCCATTGAAGGAGAATGGTCCGGATCCAGTCACCGATAAGGATACCGTGACTGAGGATTGGCTCGGAAAGAAACTTAGAAGCAAAAAAGTCCCCGTTAAGGCCCTTTTGCTCGATCAGGCTAATATTAGCGGTATTGGAAACTGGATGGGGTACGTGTATGGCCTCGCAGCTCCTAAATACATTTTACTGATCAGGCTCTAGTGATGAGATCTTGTATCACGCAAAGATACATCCAGAGCAGTATAGTAACACCCTGAGCGATGACCAGATCAAGGAGCTCCACACCGCTATGCACTATGTATGCTCGACGTCAGTGGAACTGCTAGCCGACTCAGAGAAGTTCCCAGAGCATTGGTTGTTCAAGCATCGATGGAGCAAGGGCAAGAAGAATGTCCCATCTGTTCTGCCCAACGGAGCTAAGATCACTTTCCTCACCGTGGGCGGTAGAACAAGTGCCGTGGTACCTAGTGTGCAGAAAAAAACTGGTCCAGTGGCAAAAGAAATCGATACCGAGAGTAGCGATAGCCCGAAAGGCAACTCCAAGCGAAAAAGGGAGTCGGCAGTAAAGGAAGAAGAGGATGGAGTACCATTCAGCGAAGATGAATCCAAGGCGAAAGTGAGTGCCTCCAAAAGACAAAGCAAGAAAGCCATCAAGACCGAAGAGGAGGAAGATGTCAAGCCCTCGGAACCAGCCCCTTCAACTAGACGGCGATCGGCAAGGGTGAGAAAGTGATTTGATTAGGAGTTTTACATCCATCGTTGCACTTGCATCAATGATAAATCATTGCATCAAGTTCGAATGGGGTCCAGCTCTGGTGTTTACATATCTGAATCTTCGGTCTCGAACTTCTTCTTCATCCCTCATACCTTCATCCCATGCAGCCTTCCTCTAAAGACATCGAAATTTCCATTGCCCTGCGAGAGTGTCTTTGCATCGTCTAGAATCGCAAAGACAATTTTCTCCCACCAGCCCTGGAATTCTGGTTCCTGCAAGACCTCGGCCCAGCAATCAGCAACTTCAACATTTGGGTTCCCGAAGGCGCCACAACCTAGTGCCCCGAGAACAATTCTGCGGTGTTTCCTATGAGCGGCGATTCGAAGAACCATCCTCATTTTGTTTTTCATCCCCGCACGCATCCGAGGATCCTTATACTTAGGCGGATCGTGTCTGTGGTCCAGTTCAGGGTTCTCGATAGCAGCCACGCTGATCACGCTCACCACGGGGAAGAGATGGGGTTCCTGGAGGTTCATCATCTCATGGCCCTGGTCAAAGCTTTTGCGGAAGATAACAACAGTCGGCGAATAAATAGCACCGAGGAACCTTAGAGGATAATAACGACGTTTGAGAGTTGAGCTTAAACTACTTCGGTAGCAGAGCGCCTCCTCTTGAGCAAGGGCCCCGTTTAGCCATCCCCCGCCAGGCCTCTTCGCGTTGGCCATGTTGAGTATACAAACATGTCTTGCGTTGGTCTGATTGTAGGGTTGCAAGGAAGGATCAAGTCCGGTAGCGACATCGAAAGAATCGCCGAATGTTATTTCAACCTCGGTTGTCAGCCTTGGGCTCAAATCGGGGTCAAGGGCTTCAGTATCGGACCCATGGCATAGTTGTCCGATAGGAGGTGCGTCGGGGCGCAACGATAGGATTCCCGGGAGGAGTTCGTTTGTTTCTTCTGCGATCAATCGCAAGATCTCCTTTCGCGATAGTTGGCGGTGATGCGCCGTAGCCCGGGGCCGCCTCCCCCTCACCGGCCGGAAATAACTAGTAATTGGATTGGACTGCATCTGGGGACTGCTTCCCGGGACTTCTGTGGGCATTCTGAGGTCAAAGGGTGTATTTGGTAGTTCTCTGTATGAATCTGTCCTATGCGTCATATAGTCAGATCCTTAGGCAACAAGGCGTGTTCAGTGGCTGATGCCTTGTGTTGGAACCGGCAGAACGATCAGAGAGCGATAAGATAAATCGGAATAGCAGGCGGTGAGCTTATCATCGCCGATCGCGGGGCGGCCAAAATCATTTGCTTTCCAAAGTCGGCTTCGTCGCCACGCCGATGACAAAGCATTGATTCTGAGTTATTGTCACAATCACTTTCAACTCAGGTCCTCTCAACACTCCCTTTGATTCTTCGAGACTCACTTATCTCGCGCTTGCCCTCGGCTTAAAGCTTGAGCTCTTGCAGCCTCAGAATCAACAAGCACCACCCTCACTCCAATCTTAAGCAGCCGCGGTCCCTAGATTCAATCCACTGCGTCGGCCTCCGGCGTCTACCACAATGAGTGCGATTCTCTCTGCAGATGACCTCAACGACTTCATTTCCCCTGGTGTTGCATGCATTAAGCCAGTTGAAACGCTCCCCAAGAAAGAGGAATCGAACTCTGATGTACGTGCGCAAGCAATGCTATCTTTCCCACCACCCCGCTCGTCCAATTATAGGCCTCTAATTCATAATTGTATAGAATCCTTATGAAGTGACCAAAGAAGACAAGATTCAGCCTGAGAACTTGCCTCCAGCTCAAATCTCTCTGACGGACTGCCTCGCGTGTTCCGGATGTGTCACCTCCGCAGAAGCAGTGCTCATTTCGCTGCAGTCACACGCGGAGGTCCTCAACACCCTTGACACATACCCCGAATTGTCCTTGAGTGGCGATGACAATCATAGCGACGAGGGTCGGATATTTGTCGCAAGTGTCAGTCCGCAAGTAAGAGCCAGCCTAGCGGCAACCTACGGAATAGCAGAGAAGGATGCGGACAACATGATTCATCAGTTCTTGAGCGGCCCTCAGGGACTACGGGCTGGAGGAGCGAAGAACAGCGGATTCTCTTGGGTTGTTGACACCAATGTTATGCGGGAAGCGGTCCTATCCCTTACTGCGGACGAGGTCAGCGACTCACTGGCCGCAGCTTCATCCGCTGGATCGTCATTACCGAAACGCCCGATTTTGTCTTCCGCATGTCCCGGGTGGATCTGTTATGCCGAGAAGACGCATCCCTTCATCCTTCCCCATCTGTCACGTCTCAAGTCGCCCCAGGCACTCACCGGGACCTTCTTGAAGACGGTGCTCAGCAAGTCTTTGGGAATCCCAACGTCTCGCATCTGGCATTTGGCTATCATGCCATGCTTCGATAAAAAACTCGAAGCCAGCAGAGAAGAACTCACAGATGCAGCTTGGTCACCTGTCACTTCAGAGTCTACGACACCCATTCGCGACGTGGACTGCGTCATCACCACGCGCGAACTCCTATCATTGGCATCCTCTCGAGGCATATCTTTACCTAGCCTACCTCTTACTCCTTTTTCTCAGCCTCAATTCCCGGACCCGGTCTTGAACGACTTCCTCTTCTCCAAGCGCCACTTGATGCAGAATGTTACGACAGGGACTTCTGGGGGTTATCTCTATCATGTTCTCCAACACTTTCAATCACGAAACCCTGGTAGCCAGATCGAGATCCAACGAGGAAGAAATGCAGACGTTGTGGAATACTTCCTAATGTCGCCCGAACACCAACCCATCATGAAAGCTGCCCGTTACTATGGCTTCAGAAACATCCAGAATCTTGTCCGTAAACTCAAGCCGGCACGGGTGTCCCGACTCCCTGGCGCGAAGACAGCAAATGGAGCCGTGGGAGGCACTAGACGGCAGCCAATGGCACGGAACGCTGTATCAGGCGGATCGGGCTCGGACTATGCATATGTGGAAGTCATGGCGTGTCCCGGGGGCTGTACGAATGGCGGGGGACAGATCCGTATTGAAGATGCCAGAGAGGCCACATCCAGCACACAGACCGAGGCACTTGAGGCAGCATCGAAACCCTCGCCGCATGAGCAACGCGCCTGGCTTGCGCGAGTAGATGAGGCCTATTTCTCTGCCGAGTCAGATTCGGAAAGTGAGGTCAATCCTCAACCACAGCCCCGGTCCCTCGCGGAACAAGAGGCCAGGGTTCATAATGCTATGAGCCACTGGTCAACTTTCATGGGTGTGCCTCTTTCGAAATTGGTATATACCACTTACCGTGAGGTTGAGAGCGACGTTGGCAAGCCACAGGGCCCACCAGATGCCACTCGCGTGGTCGAGTTGGCCGGGAAGATCGGTGGTGGCTGGTGATTTCTTATATTATTTGATGACATATACCCTGTGATGATTGCATATATGGTTTCTGTATGGTTGCATTGGCTGCGCGGTCATGAATACTATAGATAGACAATTGATTCAGACTTTTCTGACGGTTCCTGACCATCACTATTTCACTCATCTAACACGCGACAATGAGTATACAAGTAACATCAACAGTACTCATGACCAACAGGTACTACTGTACTTCTCACTCAAAGCCTCTCCCGAGTCCCTACAAGAAGCCAAATGAAGGTAACTTAACTCCACAGATAAACCAACGATAGCAGCCGCCTAACCCAAACAAGCTAGCCCGTACCGCGCGAACCCAGCACCCAGCTATCAGCTGACTAACCCACCATCCATCCTCCCGCGCCGCCGCAAAAAGTTCCGCCATATTCTTTCGATCTATTCCAGAACAAACCATCCACCAACACCTCAACTTCACCTCACGCAATTGGAAGAACCTCTCGACGCACACATTTCCCTCTTCCACAACTACCCTCCCACCTCCTCAATCTTTTCAAGCCACCAACAAAAACAAAAATGTCCCGCGAAGCCTACCAAGTCCCCTCCAACCTTGGCGGCTCCCAGAACGCCTTCGGCGGCGCCGACACCGGTGCTAGCGGCGGCGCTGCCTCTCTCGACGGCCCGATGGTGGCCTACCTATGCGGCGAGTGCAACTCGCGGGTCTCGTTGAAGCGCGGCGACCAGATCCGGTGCAAGGAGTGCGGACATCGGGTTTTGTATAAGGAGCGGACGAAGAGGTTTGTTTCCCCCCGGCCTCATTTACCCCCCGGCATCTCTGGATGCGCTTGGGGGGAGCTGTTGAATGGGATGGCATGCTGACTTCTGTGGTTGTGTAGAATGGTTCAGTTTGAGGCGCGGTGATTTGGGGTTAATCCAGGGTCTAGCGGGATTTGATCTGCGGCGGGGTGGGAGGTGATGAGGTTGTTTATATGCTAGAGACTGTCCAGGGGATGGGGATCCAGGGGGGGTGACGGGGTGGGGGTTCATACCCCCGTTACGAATGATGTGCATTATCTTGTGGTGTTTGGAGTTCTTCAAACTTTTCTTTGCGTTGTCCTTTGCCGTGGTGGGAGCTGTTGTGGCTGGGCGGGCGAGGTTCTTTGTCTACGACGGTTTCTGGCTGATGCGCCAGTCTGGACGAGCAACAGGAATCGAAGGCGCTGTGCTCTCGCCATCTACTATGGTCAAGCTGCTTTGTGCATAATTGTGCCTAGTCTGAGGTCTGAAAATATATCCCATACCATCGGCCTTCGTACCATGTGCTATCTCATGCTATGCACATATCATGTTAAAAGCAGACCGTCTGATTTGCCCAGCAACAACCATACGAATCGAAACGCCTCTCAATCAATCCCCAATGGTTTTATGTAGAAGAAGCGGGTCGAGATAGCCCAGATATATAACGCGGAGATACTTATTATCTACTGGCTTCTTCAGAGCTTGTTTGTCACTTCAATGAAGTGCTCGAAGCTCTTGAGAGCGGCGCCGCTCTCAATGCACCAGCGCGCCCGGCGCACACCTTCCTTCCAGCGTCCGCCGCCGGGCCCACGCTCGGTGATCACCTGACCGTCATCCCCGGGGCCCATGTTGCTGGTGTCCGCCTCGCAGATCCCGGAAGTGACCAGTAGGGCGGCCACGTTCTGGAGCACGAAGCTGAGGATGGGGTCGTCACGGGGCAGTTCGTTACGCAGGATGCTCATGAGTTTCTGGGCGTTGTCCTTGGGCATCTTCTTCCCGAAGACCTCCGTCAGCGGGTAGGCCTTGAGTCCAAAATCGGACGGGTGCAGCTGGAACGTTTGCATCTTGACTAGAGTGCGGGGGTTCTGGTCCTCGTCACAGGAGCACTCCTCGTCCTCGTTCTCCGGCTGCTTGTACGCGGCGTTGGGATACTCCGACAAGCTCCAGCAGTTTGTAGGGCCGGCGCAGCTGATCTCATCCAGGTCTTCCGCTCCGCAAACCACCAACGCCTTCTTGCATCCGTTCTGGCGGAGCGCCTCCACAAAGACCGGACCCAAGCTCTGGTAAGCCACGCCGACGACGCGGGCCTCAATGGCCCAATCAACCGGGTTGGCCAGGGGTCCCATCAGATTGAAAATTGTCCGAAGGCCCAGGCCACGTCGCACAGTGTCCGCGTACCTCATGCCGTGGTGGAAGTTGGGCGCGAATAGGAATGAGTAATTGGTTGCGGAGTACACCTGACTCAGATTCTGGGCGTTGATGGCCTCGATTCTCGGAGGGATGGGTGCCACGGCTTGCAAGACATCGGCGGAACCCGAGAAAGACGTTTGTGCCCGGTTGCCATGCTTTGCTGTGAGGAGAAGGGGAGAGGCAATAATGGAGGAGGTGGTGGAGATGTTGAAGGTAGAGTGAGAGTCACCACCAGTTCCGACAATGTCGCACTATAGCTCGAGCGGAAGTCAGAGACTCTGAGACTAGTGCTATAATCATCCAAATTGGGTCGCGTAGACATGACTTACCAGACCACCCTTGTAGTCACCTTCCTTCTTACCGCGGGACTTCATAGCCGCCTTGAGAGCGGCCTTGTCCACCTGGACAGCGGCTTCTCTCATGCGGTGGGAGCACTTGGCAATAACCTCCGCATCTTTGTCGAGTCCCGTAGAGTGCAAAAGCGTCAGAAGCGCAGCAGTTTGAATTTGCGACAAGCCATCCTCGAAAATCAAAGCAAAAGCCGCGGCAATCTCGGTCGCGGCGACCTGAACCTCTGTAGCGGGGTAGGCGAGTCTCTTCAGGAGGGGCGCGATGGACACCTGTCCCGTCCTAGTTTCTTGATGCGGAGCAGCCATGATCCTGCGAAAGATAAAGTCCTTAGTAGTTGGAGCTGAATCCTTCCAGAAACTGTGAAATAAGGGGTATAGAACGAAATGCAACCAGACAATGGGATGGAGGGGAAGAGAAAGAGTCATTCGGAGCCCTCCGGCGCTGCGCAAGCAAACTTGCAGAATCTCACCGCCCGCGACTCCGTCTAACCCCTTCGGGACGGGCAAGATTTCGTGCCATATTTTCGCCAGTCCGCGATCCTCTCCCCAGACAATTGTGCTTGACGCCGGCCGTTGTCAATTCCACCGGGCTTGGAGATACTGTGTTCCATACCTGTCTCGCCTACCGTGTCCTTTTTTCTCAGTACTCCATTTCTCCTTTCACACCCTCCGACCTCCTCTCACTACCATCACAATGCCTCCCCGGGTCCGTGTCTCCAGCGGCCGGCTTGCCCAGCCATTCCGACGCCAAAGACTCTGCCAGTATGAAATGGCCATTGCAGCCCGATACGCCAGCACGGCGACGACTCCGGCCGCCACACACGAACAGATGACGCGCTCGTTCGCTCCGATTGCCCACTATCCCTCCTCCCAGCCCCCGTCACACCGCAAACCGGAGTACCGGCGCTCGCAGCTGCTGCGGCAATACACGTCGATGATCCGCACAGCGCCGCTGATGGTGTTCCTGCAGCACGACAATCTGCAGTCGGTGGAGTGGACGGCGATCCGCCGGGAGCTGGCGCAGGCGATGCGCAAGGTCGACGAGAAGATCGCGGCCGAGGGCCGCAGCGCGCCCGCCCTGGCGCCGCACATCAAGGTGCAGATCGTGCAGACCCGGATCTTCGAGGTGGCGCTGCGCATCGTCGAGTACTTTCGGCCCACGACGACGGCCGCCGCGGCGACCCCGAGCGCCGTCGACCCGGTCACGCCGACCTCCGCCGAGATCCCGCTGGACGATGCGGCCTTCGCCCACGACCTGTCCCGCGCCGCCCACGACGCCGTCCGCCCCATGAGGGGCAAGCACGAGCTGACCCCGTTGCTGGTCGGCCCCATCGCCGTCCTCACCATCCCCCAGGTCTCGCCGGAGCACCTCAAGGCCGCCCTCACCATCCTGGCCCCCAAGATCGTCGGCCTCCCCGCCCCGACCCGCAAGGCCAACCCGGGCTGGCATGAGGTCCCCGTGCAGAACGGCCTGAGCAAGCTGTCGCTGATCGCCGCCCGCATGGACGGCCAGGTCATGGACGTCGAGCAGTCCAAGTGGGTCAGCAGCATCGAGGGCGGTATGGATGGTCTGCGGTCACAGCTGGTCACCGCTCTGCAGAGTATCGGCTCCAGCATCACCAGTACCCTCGAGGGGGCGGGTAAGAGCCTGTACTTCACGCTGGAGAGTCGCAGGAGTGTTCTGGAGGAGGAGCAGAAGGGCCCCGAGGAGAAGAAGGACGAGTCCGCTTGAAAGGGTCGATGATTGCCAGTGCTTTTCGTAGGGGTTTTCTAAGGGTTCTTTTTTCTGTGTATAATAACACCATGTGTACTTTTCTTGTCGCTTGTTCTCAACCCATTTTAGCATATGAGACCAATTTCAGGTCGGAGTCTACAGCTCTAGGATACAATGACTTTCCTTTCTTGAATATATCTGTTGTGTTACGTGGGTGTTAGTCGCATTGCCCTTCGAGGTATGGTGTCACTTTTTGTGTGGAGATTGCGGCATAGTGAATTGGCTTTCTAGCCGTCGTGACGCGCTTGTTTTGCTGCATTCTCGCGAAGATTCCCTCCCATCCTACCAATCATCCACATGTGCCAACCGCCTCTCCCTCAGCCGGGCATTCATTCCCACGATACACCGCACCAGGTCCCAATCCCCATCCAACCCCACCCAATCTGTCACCATGATCCCCGTAGACCAATCCCCATCCCCAGTCCCATGCCTCCGACACAGATAGTCAACCATAGCCGGATTGACCTTGGCGGCGATCTTCTCCGGCCACGTGCCAACCTTCCAGAAGTTACTCGCGCTCAGGAAATTAATGTAGAAAGGGTGCTCGCGAGTGGCGGCGGCATCGGGCAGCACGCCGAACGGATAGCAGGTGCCGCTGGCGCGCTGGCACTGGTCGCGGACGTACTGAATCTTCTGGTCGATGTTTTGGGTCAACAGGACCTCGTAGAAGTCCTGGATGCAGAGCTGGCCGCTGGGGCAGGTGGCGTCGGCGCAGTTGTCGGCCCAGCCGCTGGCGTCGATGCCCCAGCCGTGGCCGTCGTGGAGCTCCTTGAGGCTGTCTTGAATGTTGAAGCGGCGCAGCAGCACGACCTTGCCGCGGGCCTCGCCGAGGGTGGGGATTTTCGGGTCGGTGTACCACCTGCTTTGTAGGGTGGTGTAGTGGTCGCTAAGAATCCGGCTGAGCTGCTCGTCGGTGTGAGTGCCGGGCCCTTCCCGCTTCAGCGAGATGATCACTGTTTCCGAGGGGTTCTCGGACAAAAACTCGTCGACTTCGTGCATCAGGTCCCGGAAGTACTTGCTGCCGGTTAACGAGATGGGGAAGACGCTGTGCACCAGGATGAGCTCGTCTTTCGCGGGGTCGTCCGGGTATTGTGGCTGGACGCGGATGTCGAAGAAGCGCACTCCGTTGCGCAGCTGCTCGCGCGGACTGACGGCTTGACAGCGCACTGAGGGCGCCGCGACATGGCAGGTCGGCGAGTTGTGAGTGCCCGGGATGGAGAGGGAGGAGAGCAGCACGTCGCCGTCCAGTTCGCGCATCCAGGCTTCGAGGTGTGCGGATGAGAAGATGGTCAGATGTGATTCTGGAGTGATGAAGATGCCCGTCAGGCGGAATTTGGGGTTGTCGCTCATCGCCTTCATGGTGGCTGACTCGGTGGTCGGCACGGGGGTCTGCAGCTGGTGCTCCTCGCCCTCAACCTCGAAGATCCAGCGCAGTCGTTCCCTTTTTGACTCCAGGAACGCGCGGATTTCGGTTCTGACCGTTTCGAAGGGCGCGATCTCGAAGTCGGCCTCATTGTGCGTGAACGGGGTGGTGTCATCGTGGATGGCGGCGACGGGAGTGGTGGCGCGGGTGACGTTGGTCAGCACGCGGGTGAAATTCTTTGCGAAGGTTTGCACCCCGTCGAAGGAGCGCTCCGGGGCGCGAAAACGCTCGATGCGCTTGAGTAGGATGGGTGTGGATGTGACATTGCGGATGGTGAGGCGTTCGGCGACCATCTTGCCGTGTGTAGTCGCTCAAGCGTGGTGAGATGGCGCTCGATATTGGGGGGGGGGATGTGACTGCACCAAGGTAATTGAGACGAGTCACTCAGTGGCACACAAAGAGAGAAAGTTCTGCGATTGTTGTGATTTAGAGAGAAACTTTCGGATAGGGCTGAGGCTGCGTACGAGTCAAGAAATACGAATCCCTAGGTATCAGCCAGTCTCAGGGCCAGACCATCGGGCCGCAGCTTATTATTGGCAGTGGCTGCTAGTAGCGCTGAAGGGGACTCTTCAGCTAAAGCAGCAATTGATGGGTTTGGCGCCAATCGAAGGCAAAACTCTCGATCCACCGCACCCGGAAACCTCAAGTGTGCCAAGGGTCAGCAGCCCACGATCCAACATCCATACCTGGGTGTCCCTGGATGCTTCCACTATTCGACAAGTGAGGTGCTGCCATGACCCATGATCGGCATGGGGTCGTAAGCCTAATCCGTAACCCGATCCACCGATATATAAAGAGCACGGACCGTGGTGGGGAAGAGAACATACTAAAGATCTGGAGCATACTCAAAGGCGAAGTTTCTAAGGCGGACCTGGAGAATCTTCTGGTCGATGAAGTAGTAGCCAGGTCGACTTAGCAGCCTCCGAGTATCAGCTTCAGGCAGCGCAATTGACATTACTCCATGTTCGTTGCCAGATAGGAAGGGAATGAGGGGAGGAAGCCCGACACGCTAGGGGACTTGTTCATGAAGCGTCACACATGAGTGAGATGTTTCAAAAGAGCTCCCTTATAAGCCAGAAGAAAGTCACAATAGAAAACTTGGTATTGGATAATACTCTACCTGTTGGTTGTTCGTAGCATCGAATACTCCCTTCGAATGCACGATACACCGGAGATACGCCGGCCCGGAGCCAGTGCGGAGAAGCGGAGAAGAAATCACGTGTGATGACGCCGAGCGTCGGTTATCGTCGGCGGCGTCTCCGCGTTTACTTACTCCCCCCATCATTCTTCATGCAGCGGGGACGCTGCTGGGGGCTTCTCTTTCTGTAATCCATTTCTCTTTCGCTCCTGTGCTGGTCTCTTCCTCAAAATACCATGAACATGCTACGGTGCAGCGGAGGCCTTTCCCGGGCTCTTCGCCGTCAACATCCACGGGCCCTTCCGAACTATACACTGCCCATTCCTCGTCGACTATTTCATGGAGCCGCGCCCTTGTGGGGAGTTAAATCGCAAGTGCTAAAGGATGTCGGCGAGGGTATGCTTTCCCAATCATTTCTCATAGCATGATCTATATGTGTTGCGTCACCCAGCTTGGATCAATTGTTTACCAGGGTCTCCGCAGGGATTACGGAGGTCCAGATCATCCAATGGTACGTTGAAGAAGGGGCACGTATCGAGGAATGGAAGCCGCTATGTCAATACCAATCCGATAAGGCAGTCGACGATGTGAGTGCCTGTGATCTGCATCCCTACCTTGACTTCATCCTAATCTCTATAGATCACGTCTAGATACGAAGGCGTGGTCAAGAAGCTTCACTTTCAAGCCGACGACACAGTCCCGACAGGCAAGGTAGATTCATACCAACCCTAACTACCTACTGATGCATACTGAGATATACTACACAGGCACTATGCGATATTGAAGTCGAGGACGGAAAATACCCTGACGACAGCCCGCCTAAACCCACCCCGGAGCCCATGATCGCAACACCTGAGCCACCCAATCCGCAACCCACACAACCCCAGCAAACCCAACAGGCTTCTCAACCTCTACAACCGCAGGTCAGCATCAGTGTCCCGAAATCAATCCATGCAACTCTCGCAACCCCAGCAGTCAGAGGGCTGCTAAAAACCCTGAATGTCAATATCGAGGAGGTTCAAGGCACAGGCAAGGATGGCCGGGTTTTGAAAGAGGATGTACAGCGGTTCGCTATGAGGCGTGACTCTGGAGTCACTGCAAGGTCCACAGCGCTGGAAGAGTCGCAAGCTGAAACAGCAGTCAAATTATCACCAATCCAGTCCCAAATGTTCAAGACCATGACCCGCTCTCTCACCATCCCTCATCTGCTGTTCGCAGACGAGCTCAACATCAACGCCGTCAACTCCATGAGAAGGAAGCTTGCAGCCGACTGCAAAGATCCAAAGAAGATTACCTTCTTGTCGTTTGTCGTCAAGGCAGTATCGCTTGCGCTCAACGAGTACCCCCTTCTTAATGCAAGGGTTGACGCAACCAACCCAGACAAGCCACAAATCATCATGCGCTCTAAGCATAACATTGGCATTGCAATGGACACCCCGCAAGGGCTGATTGTTCCTAACATCAAAGACGTCGCTAATCGCTCGATCTTGGATGTAGCATCAGAGTTGACGCGACTCAGTGCTCTGGGCAGGGAAGGGAAGATAACACCTGCCGACCTCAGCGGTGGTACTATCACTGTCTCTAACATTGGGAACATTGGCGGTACTTATGTCGCACCGGTACTCGTTCCGACGGAAGTGGCAATTATGGGTATCGGGAAGGTCAGGACTCTACCTGTCTTCGACGAAGCAGGCCAAGTCACGAAAGGGGAGCTCGTCAACTTTAGCTGGAGTGCTGATCATCGCGTGGTGGATGGCGCGACCATGGCACGGATGGCGAATAGAGTGCGGGAGCTGGTTGAGAGCCCTGAACAAATGCTTGTGAGCCTGCAGTAGCATAGAGAGAGTTTGTATCCAGTCAGCGTCAAAGAACAGCCCCTATCTTGTCTTTCAGCTTCCTTTTACGAAGGGGCTCAGCGTTTCAGAAACCCATGGTTAGCGATGTTGATGCGAGAATTGTAATAATGAATGGACATGATTATAAGCACTTCTCTTTTGACACGTCGAGCTATAGCCTCGATTTCGAAGTTCATCAATGATAGCATGAGCTATGTTCGCGCAATTGACCCAAGCTGTAGATTAGCTTGGATGCCTTCTTGACCTGCCATTCCGATCAGTATATGGTGGCAACGTCAATAACAAGTTATCAGCCAACTGCACGCAGGAGTGACCACCCCCCCGCCCCCCCCATTGTAGTATATTGATCTCTGCTCCCTTCATCAGGTAAAGGACCATTGGACCTGTTTGGTATGGTCAATAAACTTCGCAAAGCAATCAAAACATTCCACACTCCTCGTACCTCCAAATCTCTCTTCCAATCCTCTCAGCTTAAAGTTCATCAAAACCGCAACGAACTTGTAAAGAGTAGCAAAGCACCACCTCTACCTCGCATGACGGCCATGTCCAGTGCGATTTTCTGGCACCGAACACTGATGCCAGCACGTGGGATTTCACCTCTAGTCTGCGGAGATTCTAAGGCCGTGGCAGGTGGCTTTTCAAAGCATGTCGCGCACCCTATCTTCTCGTGCTAGGTTCCTTGGCCGCGTTTAAACCGCACAATGACTCCCACAGTGACGCGAAGGCACCCACCGTAATGACATCGGTGGAGTCTTCATCCGGCTCAGGTAGCCTGTAATGAGTGAGGTGGTGGCTGCTAATTGCTTTTACTCGTGGCCAGACAATGATTATCGAGTGCAAGTATTCGTCATATTCCATTGACTTGGGATGATACGCTTTAAAAATATAGGACCGTAAATCATAAACCACTACCACAAACCCCTGTGCCGGATGCTCTGCGCAAAAGACTAAATGCAGCAATCGCAGTGCTTATATCGACAGCATGACGCCTTTAGTCTGACGTTAACATGGAAGTGAAACTGGCTCTAAAAATCATCGACTGCCACCTTCGCATTCGCCGCATCCTGCTCGTCGGCGATGATGTCTGCAGGAATCCGGTCTGGCGTCGTGTTGACCAGCATGATCATAGGCAGTAAGGCAGCGCCGAGAAGACCAAATGTTACGCCGCTAAGAACGGAACAAGTCAATATTGGTCAAACCTAGAGACATGAGGAGAGGTGATGCGGTACATACAAGCCAATGAGCGGGCTGCTCGTCGTTTGGGTGTTCATCCCGTAGGAAATCGCTTGGCCGACCGCTTCGATGCATCGGAATGCTGCGCCGTTGCGGACGTTCTCTGTAGCATGGTCAGTAATTCTGGAGTGGAACATCGTCACAGAAGATTTGCGATGCAAACTCACCCTGCGCGTCGGTCGCAAAAGACGACAGAAGCCAATACATGTACGACTGCGACAGTGGGCCGGTGGTCTGCACGAAGAAGTACGGCAGGAAGGCGGACGGGTATAGACTGTCGCTCCAGTCGATGGTTCCCGGGTCGTGGCGGTTGAATTTGACCTGCATGATGATGGACCAGATATACACGCCCACGTTGAGGATGACGACAGTGTAGAGGCCGATTTGCGCACGGCGGCGCTGGCTGACGCCCTTCATGTCTAGGATGAAGCCGAGCCCGAAACAGCCGATGCTGGAAGACAGGTGAGCTGATCAGCTTCGGTGCGCGACGTGATATAATTGGTATGTGCACACTTACATGCAGAAGAATGGCGAGATGAGAGAGGAAAGGGCGCGGGCGCGGACGGAAAAGTAAATGGACAGGTAGGTGCTCCAGGTGCCGCTGTATAGCACGATCAGCTTTGCTCAGTTACTTCGGTCGAAGACTTTTTAAGGTCGCTTACGAGTAGAAGAACGACCACAGTGCCCAAAGAGCTGAAAGCGCAATGAGTTTTGAGGTCACTGTCTTGGCAATGCGTCTGAGTTCCATCTTGCTGGACAGGGTCTCTGCTGTGACGATCCTGGTACCATCCGATCGAATGACATGCTCAAAGGGAGTAATCAGAAGAGCAAACGGCAGGCTTAGATTTCAAAGTTAGCAGGACGAGCGAGTTACAAGAGTGTGGAAGAATACTCACGCAATGCACTCGATGATCACAAAAGCAATGAAAGTATCAGGAGTGACTCCTCCGTCTACTCCGTCCTGGTGGTTCTTTGCCAAGCTAAGATTCAGTCAGCACCCCATATCCCTGGCAACTGACGAAGGAAGATCTTACTTGATCGCTCCCCCCACCAATTGTCCCAAATTCCGCGATACAATCCACAGTGCCAGATACTTTCCTCGTGCACCGGACGGCGCTAATGTCATGATGGCACCAGCCTCCGCGACATACCAGCAAGCAGTACCGATGCCACCGATGGCACCGCTGAGAATGAGATACCATTGATTGCCGAATTTGCTGTTGCAGTAGTATGCGGACCCTTGGATGGGGAAGGACAGAGAGCCGATGACCAATGCCCACTTGACTCCGATCTTATTGACAATGGGACCGCCCAAGAAACAGACTGTGGACTCGCATTCGTTTTGTTAGCCAATCCGACGCTCACACTGGGAAGCAGACATCGATTCGTAACATACCAACAGCCAGCAGAGCGTATCTGATGGCATTGGAAATATTCGACACTTGCGGACTGGCAAGACCACCACCACCAAGACCTGCACTTCGTCAGCGGCACATTCAATGTCAACACGAGGACGGTCATGGGGGCTCTCACCGGTGATCGCATCTGACATAGCCGGTCCACAGAACGCTTGTACACTGAGTAGCATCATCTGCGTCAAACTATGACACCACACTCGTTTCCACCATGGCAGAAGAGGTTCGCTTGTGCCCGTCAAGGTAGGAGGAACAGGCTCCTCGTGTGTGTTGGGGACAATAGCTTTTGTGTCGGTCATTGTGACAAAGTGTCTGTATGACTCCTACCGCCGGTATAGTGACGCTTAGAGGAAGAGAAAGAAACTGAACATGACCACCGGGACCCGAGGCAGGAAGGGAATTTAAGGTCTTGTTGGAAATCATTTCGGCTATACGAGATAGCATATTCGCCACCGCCTTCTCCTCCTCCTTCCGACAAGACAAGAGATTGGGCTTATCATGGGAACCTCTCGGAGTCAAGATAGCAGCAGTGGGTCAACTACCCCGTGGGGTGCGGACTGAGCATGGGAAGGTCCACGCGCAATGAAGCCTCTAGTAGTTTAGCCTCTGCTTGGCTGATTGGTGGCTTTATCGTCATAGTTATCGCTTATCGGCCCGAGATCCTGATAAACGAACCAAAAGAGGCCGGAAGGTCCACGCGCAGGGGCACGACAGATAAAGTGATTATGACCTGCTGATTCTAATATCAGAGCTAAGCTTAAGTTTCTTTGATGTAATAAACTTTATGCCCACCTTGGCTGCCCGCTTGGGTCCTATCTCTATATCTGAGGGAATTGATATCTGAGGCCGACATCGTACTGCTGCTGTCTGGCTTGTTAGCCACGCTACCCCAACGGACAACTGCGATAGTTAAGTGACGAGATATCACTCTTCACCGAGAGCCATCATATTCAGGTCAATCACATGTTGACAGGATCCGTTAAGGGGAGGGTTTGGTGAGACGGCACTGCTTGTCAACCGTCCTTCGTTCCGCTACAAGCAATTGACCCTGCCGTCATACCCTTGATCTATGCCTATGGTGCTGGCTAATAGTGAATGTTGAGTAGGCAATCGAAGACGAGACAGGTCTTAATTCCAATTGTTGATCATAACCAAGTTCGATCTTTATTTACCCGTGGTAATGACAGTGGTTTCGAACGGGATCATGTTATAAAGTGAGTACCGTATCGCTCATACTGACGTACAAATTGCTTGGACTATGTCACATCAACATGTGAAAAATAATTCAAGAAAAAGCGTGCTTCTACAGGATGAATCTTGAGCTTCCGTCAGCTGAGCATACTCAAAAGCATCGTCGCATTCTTCGTCTTCCTGAACGCTGTGCTGCTTTCGAGACGCACAGAAAGAGGTTCAGAGTCATTGGGAGAGTGCTGGTATGAGAAGAGAACTGCTCTTCCCCCGACATTTTCCGCCACTTTTCCGCGGAGTTGCCGAGCTGTGCTGAATGGTTTCTTATTCGGCGTCACTGTGCTCAGTGCGGAGCAGCCCCCGTCAACCACAAGCAACATAAGACTCTTTGTATACATGCTCCCAAGCAGTCTTCGTTCTCAGATGGCCAATTCAGTAGCACCCAGTGACTGCCTGATTGATGGCCCAAGCTCGGATATCACGACCGCAAACCGTCCAGTCTCGATTCTCAACACGACTCCGTTGTCGACGACTCGTGAATTAGTGACCAGGAGTAATAGCGGCTCTATAAAATGGTCCCAGTGACTCAATATCGCCAGCAGCATACTGCTTCTCACAGTCATAGTCATCGTCGCATGCACAGCCTGTAAGCTTCCTTACCAGAGCGACTGCTCTCAAGTTACCGGCAACATCGAGCATTGTATCTCAAGCGACGGAAGCACGAGACAATGCGAAACGTAACGCTTGAAGGTAAACGATCGAATCTTCCCTGAAGACTATTTCAAGCCCAGGAAGTTGGAGATTTTCAAGATACCCGCATATTGCGGGCCGACTCTAGAATCTGTATGTGCAACTCGTTGGAAGGTGGAAGGCGTGCGGAAGGCTTTTGATGGACATGGAACATGAAATCATTCAATAGTACGCAGAAGGAATTCACGTCATCAACGCGCCCTTACCGATGAAACCTGCAACCTATCCTATATAATTGATCTTGGCAAGATTAAACAGACTACGATATGCTAGACGTATCTACCTTCAGGAAAGTGTCATTATTCCGCACTTTCTACCAGATATGTCCGAAGTGAACTTGGATATTCTAGTGCCAGGAAGGAAGCTCGTGAAACTTGTACGCAGCCACGTTGCTATTTAGTTCCACTATTTCGCTTTCCGACTCTCCACTTGGTCTAATAGTTCTTCATAGAGGATTTGATCTTCGCATTCCATGCCGAGAAATGTTCCGTCTTCACTTTGTTCAACATCTCCATCTTCAGCCACTAGACCTTCGATTTGTGCGAACTCTTGGCTCGGAACATGCTCGTGGCCCTCAAAGCCCATCCCGCCCAGCTGGACGAATCTATAGAGTTGGATTTCATCGGGAAGCTTCACCTTACTGCTGTCGCAGGGCCGGAACTTCAGCTTTAGCCGCATAAATTGTGCCGCCCAAATTTTCTCCTTTGTTGCGTCACTCGTCGATCCTTCGCTTTCATAGACTATTGGGGGTTCCTTGTCGCTCGCATCAACTAGGCCAGTCAGTGCAGCCACCGCGGGGTGTAAGATTGGTCCAGGAATTCCCGTCAATGCACGAGAGGAACTCGACCACCCGGCCTTCATGCTCGCATTCGTAATGTACTGAAGACCTGTCACCAACCATATGTGGGGATGGCGGTCAGTCTCGAGTATCGTGCGGCTGAGATAGTGCATGGTGCGCGAGACAGTCAGATGTGTGGCGAGCCAACGCTTTACTTCACCGGACTGTAAAACAATTTGTTCGAGGAACGCCTCCGGTCTGATAGAGCGAGGATGTCAGCATGAAGATTATCATGTTTCAAAGTAAAAATTCTGGTTACCTCTGAATCTGCACTTGTCTGCCATGCGGGCCTTCTAGTCGAACCTCGATGTCATTTTCTTTCCCGGCGACGTGAGAGACCAAATCAGGGCGACCCGCGCCCTCAAGCCATTCATGCGAGACAGTCAGATTTAAGGCGCAGGTAGTTTCTGCACAATGAGTGCTTGTCCATGGCAGCAGTTCCCTGTTCTGAATTAGCTCTGCTCACGGTTCATTAAAGGGATATCCAGAAGGACAAGTACTCACTCCACGGGGAATTGGTATATCTTTCGCACATCATTGACAGGATTCGGTGGGTCAATACAGAGACTGCCGAGTTGCAGGCTTTCTGGCGTCTGACCCTTGGCGTAAACCAAATACGATCGCTTTTGGTGCGTTTCCTCCATGTTGGTGTTATGTAAAGACTGATATATAAACGGGTTATCAGCCAGGAAGAAGAAACCCGCCGCTTTCTGGTTTTCCCCGCAGGGTTATCTCCGCAGCCATTTTGCCCAACTTGATTAAGCAGACCCCTCTTTTTCAGCGCCCGAACAAATCACTGGCCCTCACAACCTTGCATGATCGAGTGGAAAGCTCTGTTTCAAGCGCTCTGATTCGCGAGGACTGGTAGACCTTGATGATACCGTCATCGATGGCGATAACAATGCATTTAGAAGCTCTACAGCACCTAGGTCAGATGACATGACGCAGTGTTGTGTCTGACAACATTCTATCTCATCTATCTCGTCTTCTATACTGATACTTGGGATCTGTTCGATCCTGAGTCATGGTCGGACAATCTTGTGCTTTCGGTACAAGATGAGCAGCGATGACTGTTTTATTAGTAGCAAGGGTTCTATACGATGACAATGAACGTCGAAAATATATTCTACTAACGATATCCATTTCATGTTATGGTGTCAGGTTTTGATTGCAAACTTTAATCAAGTGCTGCTCTTGTCAGAGTCCAGATAAGCATCAAGATAAGTAGTCTGGCATTTCCCAGCAGTGTTAATTCAACCTGGTGAGCGACCAGACCCGTGATTGTGACAAGATGAAGCATTTCCCGATTTGTCCTGACATTGGCTGATCCATGGATGGACTGATCGACGCCAATAAAGAAGCGGGATCAGCTCCACTCACCGCCCGCCGCCTCAACCCCCGCCTTTTTTCCCACTCCGCTCCGATTAAAGCAGCGTTCATCCTGTCCCAAGCATCTAGATCGCATCTTCTATAGATACAATACACTACACTACACAATTCCGGCCTACTACAACACCATGGAAAGCTCCCTCAAAGACCCATTAGCAGATACATATCACCCCGCGTCTGACTCGGCTTATCTCGCACCCTGCCTGCCCGCTGTCGCCGCAGACGCATCCACCCTAGCTGCATCGCAACACGAATATCAACAACACCAATTCCACTTTTCCAATCCAACCTTCGATCTCAGCCCCCACCAACAAGAATACAAGCCCTTCGACGCCCATATCTTAACAGAAGGAGACCCATTCACTCCCGCACCGCACCCCTCGAACTCTTCCCAAGTTCCACCGCCGCACTCCCACCTCCATACCCAGTCCTTACCCCTCGACATCCGCACCATCATCCACCCCCCCGACCTCGACCTCTGGCGCGCCCGCCTCTTTCACGTCGACGAGCTGATCATTCTCAGCGAAGAAGAGTACGTCCCCCTCAACCCCCTAACCCTCTCTTCGATCAACTTCCCGCCTCTTCCTCCTCCCAACCTCCTAAACTTTTACAAGCCCCGCCCCCGCCCCCTGCCCTCCCACCAGAACTCCCTTGCAACGCGAAATCTCACCCAAAAAACAGATTCCTAACCTACTTCCCTCACATCGACAACGTGTACTCCCACCGCTCCACGCAGCACTACAAACGCAAGCCCCTCGTCTCGCACTACTGGGACTGTCGGCTCAAGGGCCGCCCGCCGGGAACGCCCAAGTCTACGGACCCGAACAAGAAGAAGCGGAAGCGCATGGCCCGCGAGCGGGATTTATGCGACGTGAAGATTAAAATCACGGAGTATCTTCCGGCTGGTAGTGGGTTGTCGGGGGGTCCCTCTGGGCTTCAGAAGGGGGTAGGGTCAGGGCAGGCGCAGGCGGGAGCTGGGGCGGTTGTTGGAGGTGCTGGTGAGGATCGGTTTGATGTTGGCGGAGAGGGGGATGGGGTGGGGCGCGGAACGGTTGTCGTTGGTTCGGAACAACATACAAATCAGTTTGGGATGTTGGCGCCGCCGGGTTTGGATGTCTTGTTGCCGCAGGGGCATCCGGGATTGCGAGGCCAGCGGTTCTTTACGATCCAAAGGGTCAATGGGAATGGGGCGAATGGGAAGAATGATGGGGTTAGTGGGGGGCATCGACATACTTTGGAGGAGAGTGATCGCGTCAAGAAGAATAGTGTGCAGCGGTTCTTGTTGAAGGAGGCGAGGCAGGAGAGGAGGAAGATGGTCTCGGTAAGTCTTTTGTCTGTTTATGTCCCTTTTTAAGATTTACTATATAGGTATACATTAACTACTACTGCCGGTAGGCGGTAGGTGGTTGACTGTTCAGGGGGGTTACGTCACAGCTGCGGCGGGTCGAACAAGAATCACCATACCGCACCATTGCATTTCCCCGCTTCAACCGGCTGATTCTTCCATTGCCCCATCCTATTCTCATCTTTGGTTATGTTCCTTCGTTCTTTCTGGCAGAGGAGTCCTTGCTTATTGGAAGGTGGCATCGCTCGGACTCAATCGGCAATTACACGCTTTCAATCGGTATATCTTCGTTCTAACCCACTCCATCTCCAGACGCGAGCCATGTCTACCCAGAAACAACAGAAATCGTACCACACCAAAGCCACCGGGCTTGCAGCCAAGACTGTGGTCGACCACTCTGAAGATCACGATCTGAAGTTATTTGGTAGTTGCTTCTGGTGAGTTGTCCTCCAATCCTGTCCTGCTTAACCGCTGATCGTCTCCTGCAGTCCGTTTGTTCAGCGCGTATGGATCGCTCTGGAGTTCAAGGGCATCCCGTATCAGTATATCGAGGTTGACCCCTACAAGAAGCCCCAATCCCTGCTCGAAGTCAATCCCAGAGGGCTAGTTCCTGCCCTGCGCCACGGGGACTGGAGTTCGCATGAGAGCACCGTCTTGCTCGAATACGTATGTGGCCAGCTCCTGACACTGCCCATCAGTCTGACGCGCCTATAGTTGGAAGACCTGAACGCCGGCCCTTCGCTGCTGCCTCCCGCAGATCCAAAACTGCGCGCCCATTGTCGACTATGGACCGATTATGTATGTCTAGTTGTCCAAAATGAGAAGCTTCAGCCTAATCAAGACAGGTAAATCGCCATATCGTGCCCACGTTCTATCGCGTTCTCCAAGAACAGGATCAGGAGAAACAGATCTCGCACGCACAAGAACTCCGCGATTCATTCAATACTCTGGTCGGCGCGGCCCATGCCGAAGGACCCTTCTTCTTAGGCGATAAGCTCTCCTTTGTGGACGTCCAGGTTGCGCCGTGGATCATCCGGCTCCGGCGGGTGCTAAAGCCGTATCGCGGCTGGCCCGACCCAGAAGCAGGCAGTCGATGGGGTGCGTGGGTAGATGCAATTGAGAACGATCCCCACATTGCGGCAACCACCAGTGGCGACGAGCTGTACCTGGATAGCTATGAGAGATACGCGGGTAAGTCTTCGTATGCATCGAGGTTAAATCCAACTGACGTTTGCAGAAAACCGCCCCAACACATCGCAGGTGGCAAACGCAATCAATTCTGGACGAGGGCTCCCATAATAGATGATATGTATTTTCGCAGCTTCATCAACTCAATGTATGGAGATTTTTGAGCCTGCGATATGGTGTCGTATGGCCGGCAGTGCGAGAGTAGGTTGTCCTGTCCGGGCAAAGATCGTATGCCGTACCATAGGTAGTGAACCGTAGTCTAGGCACCTCGCCCGCCTCTGAATCCACCTCGGAATCCACCTCGACCACTGCTATCAGGCCCCCGGGGGCTGCGGATTGGCTGTCTAGGCGACTGGGTCCCATCAGTCTGTGTCCGACCTGCGGGTTGTTTCTCTCTCCGAGAATTATAGTTGGTGTTCGGCCGGGGAGAGTCCGGATCATACAACTGCCCAGACTTCCCGGATGCAGTCGAAGAGTCGCGCTTGCTGCTGTTGGAACTATTGTCCCGTCCATTTCCACGGCCCCTGCCTTTACCACGTCCTTCGTACGATTTCGGGGGCGTAGCACTGCGCGGGGACGACGCACCCGACGTGGGGGCGGAGGGACTACCAAACAGCCGCTCTCGCACCTCCTCGTATTTGCGCTGTCTATCTTCCAAGTTGCGCAGCGCGATCGCCTGGCGTTCCTCCGCCGAGGGCAGTGCAGCCCTGCCTTCATCGTCCGAGTCGTCATCATTTAGCCCAAGACGAGACATTCCCGCCGTGGTCCCATCCAACCCTGACCCGCGCGTCGCAATCTGAGGGTTCCGACTTAGTACCGTAACCGCTGGCTTGAATTCTTGTCGCAGGGGGACATCGGATCGTGCTTCAAGAAAGTGGAAGGTCTGGGGGGACTCGCTAAGCATGCCAAAGGCAAAAAGGAGTGAGTGAGTTGAAACTTTAGGACGGCGAGATTATAGTTGTCCGGGTCATTGGGGCAATCGCTTACGCTTCCGCCCATAATTGGCGGTTGAATTCGGCCTGTTGGGCTCTACGCTGCGCTTTGGTAACCTTGGAGGACACTTTCTTTTCCGCCGGCGGGGGTGGGGGGTCGGCCGCGAGTTTCTGGGGAAAATTTTGAAAGTGAGCAAGCAGGTTGCGGAAAAGTAAATTTGTACTACTGAAGGAGGGGGGTAGTGAATTGAAGGTTGGGCTGGCAGAATATTGAGAAACATACATCAGCCTGTTCTTCCCAATTTTCTGCCCATGCGTCGGGGCCTGTTGAGGACTTTGCGCTCATGGCGGTATATGATTGTTCGGTGGTGGAAGGTGGATCGAAGCGATTGAGTGCTGGCAGCAGTGGTTGCTTGAGTACCAGGCTAGGGAGAGAGGAATTTGGGGAAACTGGGCGGATTGACCAAGAAAGTACAAATTGTACAGTGAAGTACGAAATTTATAATTTAACCAGTAGAGACTGGAGAGAGTCAGTCAGCAAGGAGGGGAGAACGAGGAGCAGCAGACTGTGGTGGGGAGGAGAAACAGCGGGCTGAGGTGGAAAAGGCAGGCCTGCTTAACTAAGATCCAGCCATCCCCGGAGCCCGCCCGCACTTGTCGCTCCATCATTACAACTACTGTGATATAAACCTACACGCGCCTTTGATCAATATTTCTGTTTGCGCCTCTACTCTGAACAACAGAAATACTGCTCACGACCCGGTATACTGTCGGGCATACTACAGACCTTACCATGAACCTCGGTCAGTTTCCATCTCCAGTCGCCGTCTCGCGCTCGGGCGCTGCTTGCTTGACCCCGCTTCCTACCTTGAACACCCCGAACTCAACCCGCCATTCCTCCGGTGCCGCATGCTGACTGTCCTTTAAGATAGAGACGGTGATTCCCAGATGTCGTCTTCGCCAGACTCCTCCGTGATGGCCTCTGACGACTCTAACCCGGGCACCCGCACCCCGACCAACAAGCTCCCAACCCACATTCCTCACTTTGACGGATCCGAACTATCCCCACCGGGCTCTCAACCCCAGAGCAGCGTCTTTGAAGGTCCCGGAAAGTCTTACGGCCCCGGCGGGCCAATCGCTTCGCCATTGGGAGCCCAGGCTCTTCTCCCGCAGGGCGATCAGCAAGCACCATCGGTGGCGTCATGGATGACCAAGCGAGCTGAAGAGGAATATCAACGAGCACTTGAGTTTATCGTCGATCAGGACTTCAGCTTGGGTACGTTTTAACACTAGTGTCTCTTGGCGGGTGCAGCCGATGATCTTGCGGTTCTAGCGTACTGACACTTCGCATTTGCAGAGGAGTTCGGCGACCCGTTTGATGACAGCGATATGAAGGAGGGAGCTTGAAGGGCGGTGTCTATCTGCGAAGTAGACTTGCATGGTAGCTGGCTAATAGCGTGGAGAATGGAGTTTTGGGTTTTTCGTTATCTCAGACGGGCGATTTGGACGACACCGTGGTGAATATACATGTTACGAGCTTGATTTGCATCTTAGCCAATCATACAATATCATTCACTGTTCTGCATTTTGGCAGCGGGAGATCCGAGTCTGTCGGATGGAAGTTCTTTAGAGACTAACTGGATTAGAGAGCTTGGGATGGCCGGCGGGTGGTTGGCCCAGCAACGCAATCGCCGCCAAAACAGCCCGTGGCTCGCCCTCCTCCGTTCATCCAATGGACCCAAGTCTATCGCAATCCAGCTCTTATCACGCCCATTCATTTATTTGCTACTGAATCCCAACAACAAACGCGACTCTGACGCCTCATATTAGCTTGTATCACAGTGGTTTATCTTCTACCCGTCAAAAAGTAGTGATCGCTCCTTCTCTTCCGCGCCTTGACGTCGAATACACGCGCACATTCCAACTCGGTCCCGACAATGAAGATGGAGGACTTTGTCTGTCCGTCCGTCACATTCCAACCATTATGGTACGTGGAGACGCCTGATTCATTCGTGTCAGGATCAACAGCCCCCTAAGAGAGCAGTAATGTGATTCCACGCCAGGCCTGCTCTGGCTCGGCAGCTCGGGCCTGGCCCCTTTCTTGCATCATCTTCTTCCGTCTACCTTCTTTCTTGGCTTTCTCGATGACATCGATCAAACTGCATTGCCACTGAGTATCTAACGCGCGATTTCGAGTAGCCCCCCACATCTTAGACTTCCCCAGGACACCAAGTTCCGATTCACCCCAGTCAAATCCTTCTCCCAACCAGCTCCCCACCTTTGGGACCGCAAGCCTTCTACCTCGTTTCGCGCACGCGGTCGGTCGCGCAAGGTCTGGAAGCGCTTCCGCACCTCCTTCAACAGCATGAAAGCTCTGCAGCAGATTACAGTCGGCGAGCGACACGCGATCGATGAGGAACTCCAGCTCGAGATCAATAGTATGAGGAATCCGGTACTCATCCGCGGAGTCAAGCGGAGATGCTTCGCGTTGGACCCGGATGACCTTGCCAGCGGAAACTCACGAGGAAGGTCATTCCTGGAAACGCATTGGGAATCTGAGTCGAAAGGACGACGACGTGAGTGCTTGTTCTACCAGGAGTTGCGTTCCATATATGCTTTGATCCTGGCTGTGTGAGCACGGCATGTTTCACACAAGGACTAACGCTCCTCAGGAAAGCTGCCACTTGTTTATAGCGATTTTGTGGACATTGCCGATGAACCGATGGAGTCAGACAGTCTAAGGCCACATGACATTGTCGAAGATACAAGCGACGAGCAAGACGCGTCCACGTCGGTACACGAGAACCTTGTTATCAGCGAGCTGGACGAATTAGCGACCGGCGACCTTCCGGAGACCCCTACGAAATTGGTGCCCGGTGCGCCCTACCCCCGCATGTTACCTGGTGACTCGGATGGCTTGTCCGCCGGTTTGGATTGCGACATGACAAACATAAAAGGACACGAGACCAGTCATGCTTCCCCGTTCACCTTGTTTAGTCCGGTGGTTGGAGTCTCGAGTCCTGCTACGCCTGCTACAAATACTGCGGGGAAGGACAGTCATGATTGTGATGCTGCTGCTACGGTTAAGGATGTACTGTTGAGCGCAACCAAGGAGGGAACCAAGGAGGGCTCGAGCTCGGAGACTGCCGCAGTTGTCCCTGAACTCACCGTTGAGCAGGAATCGACGCTTGTGCGCTCGGCTCTACGCAGCTCGTTGGGCGGAGAAGACGCCGAGCTACTCAGCAACTTTCTTTCCAAGGCCCAGGCGAAGCGTGACGCCAAGGCCGCTGCTGCTGTCGCTGAGATCAAAGTTGCTGAAGCCGCCGAGATGGCTGTGAAGAAGGCCGCACCGGTCGAGAAGGAAGACGAGGGCAAGAAGGTGGAGGAAGCCTCGCCCGTCGAGCTTCCCACTCCGCCATCCCGTCGCGCGCTGGAAGATCTCGATGCCAACTCGCCATCGCCACAAAAACCGCAGCAAATTTCGCCGACCAAGCTTTGCGAAAACGAGGTTCAAAACACCGGGAGCCCGCGCCGCAGCACCCGGCCCCGTGCCCCGCCAGTACGCCCCTCTACCGTGGCGGCTGCGGTGCGCAACACCTTCTCCCTCCGCCGTGCCAAGGGCAACGAATTTATTTTCCTTCAGCGGACTGAGGCTCAAGAGCTCGCCCTTACCACGAAACGCAACACACGCCTCAACAAGGGCACCTCCACCATGCCAAAACAAACGCTCCATGTTCTCCAAGTTCGCGGAAGCTACACTACCGCGATCGGTGACGACAAAACCCAGGCTAATATCTCGGCTCGGGAAATAACCAAGGCCAAGAAGCATGTGTCATGGAACAATGACCGACTCGTGGAGTTCGAGGGCGAAGATGCCAGTGCGACCGACCGCAAACATGACGTCGCCGATGCCAGTCGCGGGGTAACGCATCTGCGCAGCACAGACAAATCCTCTGGTGTGATAAGGAAGGCAGCCAGTGGCCGCACGACGCGGTCGCAGTCGGGGCAGAAGACTGGTGGTGCAACGGGCTCCGATGCAGCAACTACTGCACCCGCTACTGCAGCTCCGCGGGCGCGGCGCGGGCGCGAAGCGTCCAACACCGAGACCACGGCCGGCGCTGCTGCCCTCGCAGTCGCTGCTCCTCCCGCCTCTTCCCCAACCTCGTCGTCTGCATCCTCCAGTACTGATAGTCCTCTCGGCCAACGCAAGAAGCTGATCCCCAAGGCTCCCCGCAAAGCGCCCGAGACCCCGTCTAAGGGTAGCAGTGCCACCGCCCGCACGACTAGCAGCAGCAGCAAGACATCACTCCGCAGCAGTAGCACCAAGACGACTTTGTTGAAGGTCAATGCGGGCTCGACTCCGGTTGCGAGACGGATTCGTTCCCGCTCGTGAGGGGCAGGAAGGCTTGTGATGCATGATTGTCTGTTTATATGTACATAACAGCATGGTGGCGTGAGTTATTACTGGATGCATGGGATAGGCGCTTGGTTGTTTTATCACTCCTTCAGGTGTTGAACTAATACATATTAATCACTATTTGGTTGGTGATGATTTGGCCGTACTGCGCGGATCTTAGTAGGATTGTAGGGTTAGCAGTGCCTTGACTGTGGGTGCTTGAGGTATTGAGCCGTGCCTGAGGCTGCGGTTGGTGGCAGGCCAAAATTTCGTTCTTGTCTGACATCCTCTTGAAAGAATTTCGATCTTTAAACTTGTAGCACCTGATAGTAGAGACCAGAGCTTGATTGGTAAAAGATAATCCAGGTTCTCATTTCCGGAACGGTCAATCTCCTAAGGAAACAATCTATTCTGCCGGATGCTTGCTATTATGTGTAGATGACACTAACCGATACACAACTCCCTCGCTATGGAAAAATGATTACCACCATATACCTCACCAGAGCAACGAGCCGGTAGTGAGCTATTCTTTCGCTTCACATTTTGCAGAAAAAGACAGGAAGGAATACTGCCACCCTAACTGGTGCCCAGCCACAAGGTGCAGGACGATTCCAAGTGAACAGCTTGGGCCGTCGCAATCTCGACATATGGGCTACACAGTTGCTAAGCCGAGTCTTCTCGTCCTCCTTCCTTCCTGGAGATTTGGACTTCTTCCTTACAGTCAGGAACTGCTACACGAATCTGAGATCGACGTCCCATGGCTATAAGCCAGATGGAAGCTGGATCACTGCTTGCCTCTCACTTGGAGTCTTATCTGGAGTTCTTACATGAAGGTTAGCCGGTCATCGTGGTAGCATGGTGAGCGAGTGAGTGGAAGGGATTTATGGCTCAGAGCATGGGTTGGTTTAGCGGTCGTGGTCGTGATTCAGGGCTGAGGCATTCTTGGCGGATTATTCCGGGGAGAGCGAGGATTTCCAGATGGAGTTGAGACTGGTGCTGGTAGGTATATGGCAACTTTGCATGGTCCTTTTCATTGGTCTTGCATAGACGTGATGATAGAGGAGACAGTGCAGGGGGTGTGGTAGTTATGAAGCTTCCGCTTTCGAGCTTCGAGACACGGACTCGCTCTTTGCGGGACTACCTATTTATTCCTTGGAAGAGAGGAATGAAGAGAAAAAGGGAAAGAGAGAGAGAGAGAAAGGGAACTGGTTCAACGACGGTATACAATCTCTCAAACCCCTTCACCCAAACTCCCATAGCAAAACAATACTCCGTAAAGTCTCACCACCTCAGCCCGCACGCGACAACACCTGCACAATGACACAATCCCATGAACCAGGGAACTTTCAGCCCGGAAGCAAGCTACCGATACATCACAACCTTAACTTTAATGGAATGTGCTTCCCTTCCAAGGTTTGGCTCTTCAACGGTTACCTTGCACCAACTGATCGAGATAAAACCTTCGCCTTGCCCGCCCAAGCCACGAAGTAAGGGGGTTGATGGGTAAGGCTACGTGCATACATGTATTGTGTGTAAACCCCGTCGGGATCTACATGATTTCTTGTGGAGGTACTCCGTACCGCGAGAGAAGAGGGAAACTGGAGTACAGTGACCCGGTAGGGCGAGGGAGGATGCAAGAGCCATGTCAGGGGGGTTTGTTTGTGTTCTTGTTGGCAAGTAAAGATAATCTTGAAAATCCCTTCCGTTGATTAAGTTATCTTGAGTAGATCAAGATCTCTGACAGCACTACACTACTCCCTACGTACTGTGCTCGGAATGAGATCATATCCACAGCAAAAATGGAATATGTTTACTTACCGCATGCCGCAACTGCCGAAGAAATCATAACTTATCCCATCACTAGCACATTTCACTCAGGGAGTACTAGTCAAGTAGATTAGAAGTTACTTGTTTAGCTGCCTTGAACTCAGAGGGAAATAATCGCGCAAAAGGAATCCCCAGTTTTTATCCCCCTTCCTCGCGTGGATCCATACACAGTACACACCAGAAAATGGGGGTCTTGAAATTAGTTGACGGAGTTCGAAGTATAGTGTATACTATACTGAATTGGATGAACCTCGTTGGCGCAGTTTCCTTGGACTAACTATCGTCGGTACGGGAAATTATCTCTTCTGATTTGACTGGTAGACACTCGTATGGAGATTAGCATGTAGAATTTGTTGCCTACAGTGTGGGCACTGGGAACCATTGGCAGTCGGATTGGAGATATTCTTCGGGACAGACTCGGAGAAGCCGGTTGGTTGGCTGGCTCTGTGGTGCCTGTTGTAGTGCAAATGGCTGGATGGAGACGTCCTGTGTAAGTCACTGGCCGTGTTTTTGTTCTCATTATTCGTTTCCATGGGACAGGTTATCTATGGCTAGTGGATAATTTAACTACTGTGTAAGCAATGACGAGAGTCACTTCATACAAGCATATGGTGCTTCAGTGGTAATGCTACCGGTACCTACGGAGAGCTACGCAGCCACGAAAGAACCAAGAACCAAAGAACCGGTGTAGAAACGAACAACAATCAATAAAACACTAAAATGAAGGCAGACTTGTTCCTGAAAGCTGAATTCCAATAGATATCCATGGCCCCATTGCCCGCCGGCAAATGATAAGTAAAGGACAGATCCCCACTTTCTATGTACTGACTAAAATTGTACCTGGTTTGAAGGTAGGTTCATGACTTGTACTCAGGTCCAATAATGCCTCACTGTGCCTCACTATACCGGATTCTTCCATAACATCCCCAATCTGTGGCCAATGCACTGCACTTTCGTCTGTCCACGTCACTAATCTTCCCCCCTGTTGACTCCGTACTGGAATGCCGAATGCAGCCACCACCCGATGCAGATGAAATGATAGGGTTAGGGCAGCCCGCAACTGGTCGCAGGGCGGAGAGCGACCCACCTACTTTCGTGCTAAACCCAAAGCAGAGGCTCGGTGGTTTGTGTTTAGGGCTTTGCCGGATTTGTCCACCGGGTAGGTTTTGCACCTGCTGGTCGGATGGTGATTCCGGGATTTTCCGGGTCGAGGGTGCTAGGCTGGGTTGGGCTTAGTGAGGGGCGGTCGGTCAGGCCTTTGACCCCTCCGTGAATGTTTGCTGCTTGTTTGCTTGTTTGCTTGCTTGCTGGGTGCTTTCCAAGGGAAGAAACAACAGGGACATTCAAGAAGCTCACCTGCTAGAGAATCTAGCTTAGTAGATCAAGCAACAACTACAATACTGTTCTGCAACAGCTTTTGCAAAATCCCCCAACCTCCTTGTGCATCCAGTGGCTTAAGGGACAAAAAAATTACACAGCTTTTTTGTTTCAGACGTGATTGACAGCAGATCGACGTCATCCCGCAGAGGATAGTTTCTCTCTGCAACTCCCGCATGGAGGACTGTCCTCCGAATTTGTTTTGGTTTCGTCGGGGGGGTGTGTCTCGCATTTGCACTACGGTTCCTGTCGAGCTTGAGTTGCAGCTTCGTGTTCATCACTTTATGGTTATTGGTGGGTGGGTTGCTGAGACTCCTGTAATTCTTATTCCCAGATTCGTAGGTTGCTTACTCGTTAGAATGGAAACAACTAGGTAGGTAGGCATTACATTCATACTGTTTTACAGTACTCCGTCGAAGTTTTACAGACATCAAATTGAATGTAGAAAGGGTCATAAATTCTGTATCGTCTAGCTAGATATAGAAAAGAAGTAAACTCATTCCCGTCATGGCTTTGGTATGTGTGCTTTTTTTTTTATGAATGTCTTATGTCCCGCATAAATCCATTAAAACAGCCCACTCCATCCGTAGCTTAAGCAGACAGGTTCTTAGCCGTCTCCTCGGGCCACACGTCATACCCAAAGGTATCCTTCATGTTCACAAAGCGGAAGTGGCGGCCCTTGGCGACGTTGTTGACCGCCTCGAAGTCCTCGTCGGACAGCTCAATCGACTTGAAGTTGCTCTCGATGCGGGCGGGGTTGGAGCTCTTGGGCAGGACGACGTAGCCGCGGCGGATGCCCCAGGCGATCAGCACCTGGGCCAGGGTGTTGCCGCCCTTCTGGGCGATCTCGTTGAGGGTCTTGTTCTCGCTGACGCGCTCACCCGTCGTGGGCACCTGGTTCTGCGAGCCCAGCGGCGAGTAGGCCTCGGGCAGGATGTCGTGGTCGAAGCAGTACTGCACCAGCTCCTCGTTGGGCAGGAAGGGGTGGATCTCGATCTGGTTGACGTGGGGCTTGACCTCGGCGTACTTGAGCAGCTTCTCGAGCCCCTCGATGGTCCAGTTGGAGACACCGATGGCCTTGACCTTGCCCTCCTTGTAGATCTTCTCCATCGCCCGCCAGGTGGGCTCGGGGTTCTCGGTCAGGTCCTTGAGAATGACGTACTGAAGTAATTGTTGTGTCAGTAAGTTGTTTTTGTTTTCTTTTTTTTTTTTTTTTTCCCTCAAAGAAAATTTGTAGGGATGGAGTTGTTGGCTTACCTTTCCATCAGGACCGATCTTGGGCTTCTCCTGAGTCTCCTTCTCGGCGGCAATGGGCCAGTGAACCAGGAACAAGTCAATGTAGTCGAGCTGCAGCTTTTCGAGAGAGTTCTTGACCGACCACTCCACGTCCTCCGGGCGGTGAAGGTGGTTCCAGACCTTGGTGCAGATGAAGATGTCCTCGCGCTTGACCGAGGGGTTGGCCTTGAGGAAGTCCTTGAGCGCCTCACCGACCTCATCCTCGTTCAGGTAGAACCAGGCGCAGTCGAGGTGACGGTAGCCGATGTTGAGAGCGGCAGTGACGGCCTGGTAGGTCTCACCTTTGGATCCCTCGCTGGCGAAGGTACCAAAACCCACGGCGGGGATCTTGACGCCGTTGCTGAGAGTGAAGGTTTTGCCGGCAGACATGACGATGGTGGTTGTGATGTGATGTGATGTGGTTTGGTCTGGTCTAGTGGGTGTCGTTGATTTTTAGGATGCAGGGGAGGAAGTAAAATTGGGAGAAAAGAGAGAAGAACCGGCTTCAATCGAGGGTGTTGGGGGGGGGCAGAGGTACAGTACAAATATCCCTGAGTAGGATGGAAGTGGGGTTGAGGGGTTGTGTGGTGATGGATGATGCGATGCTACTGTGAGGCGCTCTGGTTACCTTGCCATTGGCTCTCCTTGATGACATTAACCTTTGGTCTGAGCAGTTCTACAGAGTCCAGATAGGTTCTACATTATTCGATGGGCCTTTCTGAAGCTTCTAGTTCTGGAGATTGAAGAGCAATGGCATTGTGAGCTCATACTTGGGTGATAGCTTGAGCAGTTTCAATGTGTACTGGGTAGAAGATCTATTCCCTACAGTGTAGCTCCTCCTTTCCGACGGAAAGCTCCCCTTTTTCTGCCAGTTTCCTCCGGCAATATGACGGCATGGTAGTCAGAAACCGTCTTGAAACCCTCTCTCTTCCCCACCGCGTATCTCAGACCAAAAAAAAATTCCAAAATTCAATAGATGACATCACCGGCTCCCAGTGGTCTTGCAGTTGGGAGCGAAACGGCGCGAGCGTTTGACCCGCTATGCCCGCTCGATCGTCATCGGCTCCACCAAATCTCACCCTCGCCCATGGCTGAGGGTATTGACCTTGACCCAATGAATCCCCATCTAAGACACTCTCTGAATCCTCTCTGCCCCCCTCCCGTCCACTCGCCATGCAGTGTGGCTTCCTGCCGGTCGGAAAAGAGGATCCCTCTGCCCCCCTTTTCACTAGAGGCAGTGGAACTAAGGCATTCCTAGGAGGTTCGTCGTGCAGTGGAAATTAGTTATTGGCGGTGATGCCACAGGATAGCCCTGTTCCGCCCCGCTGTGAAAGATAGTGGTGGTGGTGTGGTGGTGGTGAATCAGTTAGTTGCAGACTTGCAGCAGCAGCAGCAGCAGCAGCAGCAGCAAACACCAGCAGCGCAGCAGCAGTAACTAGCAGTCATAGTGGAGCAAAATGCCTCATGCTGGCATACACAGTAGTACGTACGGTACATGAATTATTACCTACTCTACTCCGTACTTTTCCTGTCAGTCAGCGGAAGGGGGTACCGAACAGGGTCCGAGTGGTATTGACATGGAAAGATTACCGTGGATCTTTCCACAGCTCCACTGACCTTGTCACCAATAATCCCTTCAAACACCTTCAAGGAAGACTCCGCTGGGCCCCGCTCCTCCCCTTCACAACTAATCATCATTCATCAGTGAATGATGACGATAATTCCTAGGGATGATGATACGCCCCGGTGGAGCCCGAGAATGGCGGATGGAGGGCAGAAACCCGCAGTAGCAGCACTGCAACTGCATCCCAGCTCCACCCAAACCTCTGCCTCCTACGTACCGGCTGCAGTTGCTCTCCGTACCGCCGTACCATCTCAAGGCCATCCTGTACTCAATCTTCGAGGATTCAGTCCTGAACCATCAGAAATATCCCCCATTCTCGAGGACACAACGACTTCGGCTGGTCCGCCACTATTACCCTGCAAAGCTTGTTATATATGATCCCAGCTCTGCCCTCCTCTTTTCTTCTTCTTTCCTTCCATCATCCTTCTTATCTTCCTCATCTTCTTTCACATCACTTCCACTCCCTTCCAGGTGAAGAGCTTCTTGGTTCATTCCCTGGTATTCTTTCTTAGTACAGGAGTGATATCATCATCCCCCCCTCCGTCTCTTATCATCATTCCATCACCCTCCGGTGTTCACTTTTTAACTCTCTCCCTCCCTCCTCAGCTTCCCTGGTGGTGCTTTTATCGTCCTTCAACCTCGAAACTCCAATTCCTGTTCTCACTACACTCCAAACTTATCCACCATGCCTCGCATCGAAGACGCTGAGGGTGTTGACCCTACTGCTCCCGCTCCTCACCGCGAGTCTCGCGGTTCGCTCCCCATTCCCGGTGATCTCTCGGGCAACACTGTCGAGGTTCCCGCTACCCGCAGCTCCATCAGTGATGCCGCTCAGTTCATGCACAACTTGAGCTTTGCTCCCTCTTCTCGGGACCGCCGTGCCTCGCGCAACTCCTTTGGCACTTCCCTTCCCATTCCCAGATCTCCCCGTGTCTCCCGGTTGTCCTCCGTTGTCACGCGAGATGTCTCCCGGGATATCCTGGCCTCCCAGGTTCAGGACATGTCCAAGGAGAAGGTCGCGGCCGCCAAGAACATGGCTTTCGCCTTCGACATTGACGGTGTCTTGGCTCACGGTAACCACGCCATCCCCCAGGCTAAGGAGGCCCTGAAGATGCTCAACGGTGACAACGAGCTGGGCATCAAGATCCCCTACATTCTCCTGACCAACGGTGGTGGTAAGACCGAGGAGGCGCGCTGCGCGCAGCTTACCGAGGTTCTCGACTGCCCCATTTCTACCGACCAGTTCATCCAGTCCCACACCCCAATGCAGGCATTGGCCGAGTACTACGAGACTGTCTTGGTTCTCGGTGGTGAGGGTCAGAAGATCCGTGAAGTCGCCGAGAACTACGGCTTCAAGAACGTCATCCACCCCAAGGACATTCAGGCCTGGGACCCCACCGTCTCCCCCTGGAGCACTCTCTCCGAGGAGGAGAAGGCCGAGGCCAAGCCCCGCGACTTCTCCCAGGTCAAGTTTGACGCCATCCTGGTCTTCGCCGATTCTCGCGACTACCAGACTGATATGCAGCTTATCATGGATCTCCTGCTTGCTGAGGACGGCAAGCTCCTGACCCGCGCCAAGGACCCCGTCGCTTCCCGCATCCCCATCTACTTCTCCCAGGGTGACCTGCTCATGCCCACTGACCACAAGGGCCCCCCTCGTCTCACCCAGGGTCTCTTCCGGATCTCCATCGAAGCTCAGTACAAAGCTCTCACCGGGGTTGATCTCGAGCGTGTTGTCTACGGCAAGCCCGAGCGCGCCACTTACACCTACGCCGATGAGGTCCTCAAGTCCTGGATGGAGGAGATCCACAACGAGAACAAGCTTCCCCAGAACATCTACATGGTCGGTGACAACCCGGCCTCCGACATCTGTGGTGGTAACATGCACGGATGGAACACCTGCTTGGTCCGCACCGGTGTGTTCCAGGGCGGGGACAACGACGAGAACAACCCGGCCAACTTTGGTGTCTTCCCCAACGTACTCGAGGCTGTCAAGGCCGCCGTCCGCAAGGAGTTGGGCCAGGAGTTCAAGTTCAAGTGGAACCCCAAGGTCAACCCCGTTCTCCACGGCGAGAACGCCTCCGCTGTCGAGTAAGCGGGGGTTGCCTCGGTGCAAAAATCCAACCAAACAAGCAGAACGAGGAACTTGGTCATTGCGATGGCTAGTTTCTTTGCTCTATCTTCCTTCTCATTCCCCTTTTATTATACATCATGTGTGATTGGTCAAAATACATTGATGTTAGACATATTTCATCTTTCCTCCTACCAACATGTTACGGCTTTTATGGGTTTGGACTACTGATATCCATCGTTGTCGCTTGTCTTGGGCAATAAAGAACCAGAAAGCAGACCGATATTTTATTTTATTTTATTTTTTGTTTGTCAAGTGAATTCCTATTATTTTAGACTGCGATCTCTTCCTATCTGATGAAGATGCCATATGCAATGCATGCATCAATGAACGGACACTTTCTTTCTCCCATAAAATCCATGTCACTAGAACTCGTACTACTGGGTAATTGACTCTTTATTAGACTTTTAGTTCTTTCCTTTTCAAGCAATCGAAATCCTTTGATGGGCAGAAAAACCAAAAAGTCATGACGTGTGTAGGACAACGGATAACCGCCGGGAGCGGCCACGGCCACCGTCACACACCGCCCGTTCCGCACTCTGCTTTAGAGTTCAGCTTTCCTTTTCTGCTCTTGCAGCCAGCCGTCCCTCGATTCAGCCCCCCTTTTATTCCACGTTGTCATTTTAGGTACGGTGCAGTGCAATTGAATGTGACACCCGTGTGAAACTCAATCTAGGCGTAACCGTCAAGCAAATCAATTCTGGGCCTTCCACAGTGGTTTTTAGTTTGTGGTCGCGTTAACTACTTTTCTTTAAATGTCTCTCTTCTCACTAACTTAGTCAAGAAAATACTCTACCGAAGTGTTTGGTACATGCTACCACCGTATGCAACTAAATACTAACTCGTCCGATCACATCGGCAGAAAGGATGATGTTCTCTCAGTGGGATGGAAAGAACCTGTTTGACTGACTAACTAGTTACTGTAACTACTCCGTTGCAGAAGTCTCTTCTACTCCGTTAACTTCTTCCACCGTGTCCTCGGCATCTCCGAGCGAAGCCCAAAAAAAAAAAAAAAAAAAAAAAAAAAAAAAAAAAAAAAAAAAAAAAACTCGGGTGTCAGTGGCGGGGGGAGAGGGGATTCGGGGGATGGGATTGGTTTCTTGAATGGGCTGTTGGAGTTGGAATTATTTGTTGGGCTATTCAGTAGTAGTCTTGGGTGTTTCCTGGAGTGTATGCATGTGTACAGCGGTTGCTTGCTATTGTTGCTCTACCTAGTTATACGGGGGAGATGATCTGGTAGGTAACTAGCAAAGAAGTTGTTGTCGGAAGAAGGATAGCCGACTAATCTATGCATAAAGTCGAAGCATAAGATAAGATAAGTTAAGTTATCCAGCTGCTACGGTTAAGCAAACTATGCTGGATTTGGAATTGTAGTGCAGTAGTTGTTTTCCTTGTGGTTGTATCCTTTCGAGATGCGAGAAGCGGCTTGAATTTTATTACTTATACCCCCAGTTTGATGATCAGGTGTATCTGCCAAGCAGCAGGGTGATCGTGGTCTTTCACTGTACCCGGATCGCTTGTTCGAGTGTGTCGGCGCGCAATGGCAGCTTGTCATCGGCCGGCAGGCGCCCCGCTGGGGCTCGACCACTTACTGTATCGAGTCTGCGTTGCAGGACCGCATCCTGCATTAAGCGACTACACTGTTCCTAAATGATACAAAGCCGGTCAGGCTGAGACAATCGCGGCAAGCCGAAAAGCAAGCAGGCTGAGACAATCAATACTCACATCTTTGGTCTGCACCAACTATGAGTCTGAGTACCACTACGGAGTGACGGAAACCCTAGGGGAACGAACATCTTCGCATTTTCGTTATTCCTGGCTACGGTAACGCCCATTTATTGCGCCCCCCCCCCCGGGCAACCAACCCTCCGTCCCAGCCCAACCTCTACCAAATATACCTATACCACTGTTGACCGTCCCCCTTCTCCGCCCTCCTCGCCGTCCTATTGAGAGCGTGCAGGTACCCAGCCAACAGCGAAGTCAGCACGATCCCCGCCGCCGCAAAGGATGAAAGCGTGATGCCCCCCCCGGTAGTGTCCAGTGTGGTCGGCGTGGTCCCCAGCGTGATCGGGGTTTGGGGCGTGTTATTGATAAAACATCTTCATAATTCTACTAATATATCTACTATGCTAATTAGTATATAATATTACATCTGCCCCATGACGGCCGGATTCACCACAGGACCTCAAAACGTCGACGGAAGTCTGCGTTCCATATCGGCAGAGGCAGATTGCTTCATAATTTACAGTACATGATTGTCTCCTCTGTGACCCGACTCATAACTCCTGAGATCATCTCATCATGCCTTGTCAGATGGCCTTCTACTCCGACCAGATTGAAAGCTCTGACATGATTCATCTTTTCAAAAGTTCTTCACATCAGACCGAAAGTCGGTCGTACTTTTGACGCTCAAGGCTTCGCGAGCTGTTCTTTCCGGAAGAAAAGCAAGAATCCAGCACTACAGTTCAGTGGTTAGCGTAGGGTCCCAGATCACGACAGGCCGAGAAGGGATATGGCAACGTACCAGATGATCAATTGGCAGAATAAGGCGACCCAGAACCATGCATTCGCCACCGCACTGACCCCAACAGTAGGGTCAGGAGAGATTGGGCCGGGACCCAGCTTGTTGGGACCGAAGCCTCGGGCGGCGATAGTCGCAATGGATCCGAACACTTGGGAGCAGATCAAGGTGAAGAGCATGTGCGTCCGCGTCAGGGTTTGAAGCAGAATAATGCCGAATCCGAGACCCTGGATACTATCGAGGACCCCAAGCCAGAGCCAGAGGCTGCGGGATGCCAGCGCCCCACCAACGTAGCCCCCGGCGACCCAGGGCAAGTAGTACCCTATCCCCGAAGTGGCCCACCAAATCTGCGCCCATCGTGGGGCCAGTAGTCCGCAGGCTAGCAGGGGGAGGAACCAGCTGTGGGCCTTCAGATACCGGGCTACGATGAACAGGAAACCGGCCCAGACGAACCCGAAGAAGACAACACACAAGATCACAATTTGCCAGGCATGAGCGTGGCTGGAGGACCAGAGGACTACAGATAAAGTACGGTCAGAGATTGCATGTTCCAGGCGAAGGATGGGAGGGAGGGGAGATATACAGTTCCAGTTTCGGCCATAGGGCGCACTGAGGAAGAAATTCGCCAGCAGGACATAAACGATATTCCAAAGCACAATCTTCCGACGAACGATTGCCTTGTAGAAAGAGGCGATCTTGCCAGGAGATTGGTGATAGTAATTGGGCAGTCCGCGGAATAGCAGAAGCCCAACAGCAGCCAACGCTACTGCAATGGGGTAGCAGATGGCACTAGATAAGAGAAAACGTCAGAGACAATCAATGGATCTTCGATGGACAAAGTTGATCTCCGGTCGAACAAAGGCAAAAGCAGAAGCAGCAGACGAATCGAGAAAAGAAAGACAACTCACGTCATTTTCCAGGAGCCAGCGACCCCATCAGTGGTCGTGGAAACCCCGTCACTGGAGGCTTTCGTCAAGACCGAGCCCCAATACCAGAGGGCAATGACATAGGCGGTTTGCAACCCCTGTATCAGGCAAGCCCGGAAGATCCAGACCTCCATGGGAGCGCCTCCCTCATCGCCGAAATTCAAGGCAAAGAACATGGAGCCGCTGGCTGACGCCACGGCATAAGCGCCGGTTCCAATGTTCTGAATCCATCCGCGGGCGAAGGAGTTCGTGGTCCAGTGCGCAGAGCCGATCAGGAAAAACGCCAACCCATAGAAAGCCCAGGGAAGAGACAGGCATACAGCCATCTTATAATACCGGTAGATCAACCACCAGCAAATCGAGGCAACAAGATAGGTGGTTGCGATTCCATATAATTTGACCGCTGTCTCGCCGACCTCGCCTGTCAGCAGAGTGATCTGGTAGGAATTGGCCGCAATAACCTGTCCCAAAGAAAGTAAGATCGAATAGATCGGCCAGTTTCCGAGGCGGATCTGCATCCACAGTTTGACGCCGGAAGGAGGCCGGTAGTCCTTGCCGAGCAGGAACTCATCATCCGGTTCCGATTCATGGTCGTGGCTGTTGCTACGATTGGTGATGCTTCGGTCCTCACGAGTAGTTATAGAGACTGAAGACGCGCCATTCTTGTCATCGCGGAAGATCGAGGGCGCCGGGGATTTCAGGCGACCCAGCTTGGCGTCGTGGAATCGCTCGAACCACTCCTTCTCGCTGGTGATGAGAAACTTCTCAATGCAGAGCTCCGATTCCGAGTTGCCCCCGGTCAGATTCTGCAATTTCTGATCGAACATCGCATGATATTCCCCCGTGCTATCCGTGAAAAAAGGATCCACCTTCTGCAGCCGGAAATCCTTCTTCTGCCCCGTGACCATGTCAACCGATAGTAGGGATGCACTGCTCAGCCGGTGGTTGACCTCACTGATGCCCATGGGAGGAAGCAGGCCCATCTCGCCCATCGAACTTGTTCGTGGTGTGCCGGGAGAGGTTGGAATTTGAAGGGGACTGGAGCTGGAGATCCGCGAGCTAGGCATAGCCGTTAGCCCCGACTGCTGAGCAGCCTGCATGCGGCGCGCGGCCTCTAGTTCCGCAGAGGTGGGGGTATATTCGTTGTCCTGGGGCTGATCTGGATCGACATCGACAGCCGCATGTTCTTCGAGGCTCTCGTCCATGACAGACAAATCATCGGTTGGCCCTTCGGCCCGCCTGGCACGAGGCTGATGGCCGGGCCCGGAACGGACTCCCAGAGAAAGTTTGCGTTGCAGGCCGGAGACCACTCGCTCACCGGACTCCGGTTTGGCAATGAATTCACTCAGTCGGTTGAGGTTGGTATAGCTGCTGTTACGCGAAGGACTCAAGGGCGTCTGCAGTCCGGAAGAAAGTCCTGAAGCAGCGTGTAGCGGTTGATTCAACCCGCTGGACTCGTGCCAAGTAAGCCCCGACAGGGTGGAAGAGCGGCCACTGGCATTGCCTTTGGCCGCCTTTTTGTGGATGCGAATCGCCGTCGTCTGGAGGATCTCCAAGTCCTCCACCCATTGCGCCACCGGGAATCGTTGTTTCGCCGAACGAGCTCGCATTTGAGCCCGGACGGCCGGTTTCGAGTCCAAGGCAGCGTCGATAGCTTGTTTGAACTGGTCAAGAAGATGATAGGTGGAGGTTGATTCGACATTATACCACCAGCCCGGCATCTGACCCAGCCCACCGACCCGAGCACCCACCCCCAATGCCCCCTTTCGCCCAAATTCAACCGCCACCAGGCCAAAGGGCTCGTCGCGAGAGGGAATCAACGCAAACTCTGCCCCCGAGAAGATATACGGGGGGAGAGAGGTGAACTCCGGCCGGGAAAACACTCGACCTGGATACCGCTTCATGATGTGGTCTAGCTTCAAGGCGGCAAACTTCCCATACAGATCAATAACCGGCCCGACACAGATCAATTGCACTGCTGGGTGGGTCTCCAGAATCGAGGGCATGATATCGGCAATAAGGTCAATGCCTTTCTGCATGGACCAGCGACCCACGAACACAAAAAGCTCAGCGTCGGGGTTGGGCTCGAGACCAGCCCATTCTTGCGCCTGGAGCCGGAGAGCAGCGCGCCCTTGTTCAAAGTCGGAATCGACCTCCACATCGTCACGCTGCGCGGCCAACGCTTGCTCGGGGCTCCATTCCCCCAAGTCCGAGGGATCAGGATTGGGCAAGTTGCCCACTTTATGCAACCCCCAGAAGATAGGGTACCGGGCATAAGACCGCTTACCATACTTCCGTGACACACCTACCGCTCCATATCCATGCTGATGAACGCGTAAGTAGCTTGCTCCCGCATGGAGGAGATTAAACACCTCTCCGAATTGCACATACTGCTGTACTACCTCGGCACTCAGATTGAAGACTGATCGAACCTCTTCCCGTTCACTGGCCGTTCGCAACGGCCAAAGACCCTGGAACTCTGCATTATGCAACGAGAGGCACACGGGAATGGTCGCAGGCAGCAAGTATAATGGTGCCAGGGATCCATGGTAGTCATTGATATGGTACAGATCAATGGGGAAACGCTTGCAGGCAGCTGCAATACACTGGTTCCAAGCTGAGTAGTATACCGCACTATGAAGGTCATCCATGCGGGCTGGGTATGGGTCTGACTTGGTTTGTTGGCGGAATACCGGCGCATCGAGAAGAATATAGGTGATGTTATTCAGGACGTGGTACTGGACCTGCACCTCATAAACCGTACCCATGATAGTCACCTCCATAGGCTCGGCTGGAGTGTCAACCGGGTAGTCCACTCCCCCAACGCAGGGGACCACCCAGATGAGATCCTGGTGGCTGAGGGTCTTCCCCATCAACTGTGCCATAACCCCTAGACCACCAATTTTGATCTTAATCTCCCAATCTTCAATATCATACTCCATCGTCGCGATCAAAACCATGCGTCGCTTTCCGGCTGCAGCGCTGATGATGGGGTTGGCCGTCTGCAGCAACCCCGATTTATTTGCCAGTCGCATCAAGGGATTGAGTCGGCTGTACTCCCCGCCTCCGGTCTGATTCTTCTTTAACAGCCGACGGCGGAGCGCAATTGAGAAGACTGGTTGTTTCTGGCTCGCACCCACTGCATTGAACTTGACCTTATAAAAGGATTTCATGAACAGCCAAGCGCAGGCCGCTGCCGAGAGAGGCGGCACGATCCAAAACAACACATAGAGCGCGATCTGGGTAGCCTGATGTCCCACGGGCGACAGGGAATACTTCAATGTCGCATCGTCAATAATCAGCTTCCAAGAGATGTATGGAGAAGGGGGGTGCTCCGTGATATTGATCACCGTGGTTGATAAGGAGGAGGGCGGCATCCGATCCAGTACCGTGTCGTTGTCCGCATCGCCCATCACCCATCCCTCATCAGGCTCCCCGTCTGGATTCATTCCCCAGACACTTACCTGGCCGTAGGCTGGCCATTCGTATGTGAAGTGGTATTTCCACAGTCCATCTGTCGTATCCTGGCGGATGACGTTGTCCAGCCCAGCATCATAGCCGTATTCGTTGTAGGGGCCCTCCCAGAAGAGGTGAGGAAAGCGCCGAGAAACCTGATGCGTCCACCCTGTATCGCCTTCTTGGACGTAGTCACTGCTGCCGGTCCATCGACTCCAGTATTCAGTACGAACGTGGTAGCCCTTCCAGGCCTGCTTGCTGGTGCCCGACCACGAGTTTTCCGTAATAGTCGTGTTGCCCCCCGTGTAGTCCATCCAGTCGGAGAAAGACGACCCCCAATTGGTGGAGTATCGCCACTTATCCGCGCCTGCGGCATGGTGCTGAACGTACAAAGACCCGTTGGAGTATTGGTGCAGTAAGCTACTGGAGTAATTGGCGGTCGGATAGATCATCGGGTTGTCAATCTGACCCACTCGCAGAAGAAAATGGTCGACCGCATCCGTGGTCTCGTTTTTATAGGTATTACTAGCATTGTTGATGGTCACGCGATGGATCCCATTATAGACCCCAGTCAGGTTGCCCTGCCACACCCAGGCGCTGGGAATAAATCCGGCCCATGTGCTGCCGGTTTCGTTGAGCGTAGCCGCCTTGCAACTGACACTATCGGAGTCCACCGAGGGAACTTTCCCTACTTCGGTCGAAGAATTCAGGGAGATGGCACTCGTCACCGAATCGCAATCCATCGCTTCGGAGAAGTATAGTTTGATCTGGATGGTTTCGTCTTCATCGGCAGCCACAGTGGAGCGGACCGGCACATCATGGCCGGGAGAGAAACTCGTCACCATCGGACGGGGTTTAACGAAGCGATCTCGCGGGACATAGGCGCGGAACTCGTAGGCATCCATAGTCATGTTGGCTAAGCAGCCGTTGTATGCTGTCGAACCATTGATCGCCAGCTTTTTCGGGCTGCTGACTAGCTGGTGCTCATCGAAGGGATGAAACAGGTTCTTCACCCAGGTGCCGGTGTCAAACGGCGAGATCAATGCGGTCGACTCCTCGTCGCAGTTGAAGCTATACTTGATCGTTCGATTCGTATTATGATAGACCAGCCAAACGGGCTGGTTCTTCTCGTCGGATCCCAAGTCCTGGTAGTCGGCGCTGATATCCCGCAGGACTGACCACAGACCGGTTTCCGTGGCGGTTCCGCTCGAGCCCGGATAGTAGACATCCTCCGTGTGATTCGAGAGTTTGGTGAGGTTATAGCCATCATTCAGCACGGGGAAATCCACGCGCATCTGGTACATATGCTTGATGATATTGCGTGCCGGATGGGAGGGATCCCGATGGTCATAGGAGACCGTTGGGTCGTGGCAGGCCAGGCGCCCTTTGGTGATCGGCCAGTCATAGTAGGTGGAGGAATCCAAGGAGAAGCACCCATGCATCTGCCAGGCGGTTGCCGGCGACATGACCTGGCGGCCGAAGATGTAATTCGACGCGGTGGCGTCCAGAACATAGAAGGCCTGTTCCTCCCCCCACAGGAGGAGAGGAATGCCGGGCAGAAGCAAGGTGGTGATGAAAAGGCCCAGCAGCTGGCGCTCCGTCCCTTTCTCCAGTGCGGGCCAGCGAAACACATCTTGATTGGTGACCCCGTACATGTGTCGCGGATCGAAGACCCCGGTGTTGGGGTTGATCAAGTCATTCGTAATCACCATCTCCTTCCAAGCCTCGATGAAGTCCACTGGGACATCGTATCCCGCGGCTAAGTTCCCATCCATGCCGAGAAACCGCTCCAACGCACGGTACACGGAATAATGGAAGGCGGCGCCGTCGATGGCATTCATCCCCTCCTGTCGCAGGAAGTACTGCGGCAGTGATGTATTGGTGAGATTCATGGCCACCTCCACCGAGGACGGATACTGATCCGGCTGTCGGCCCCGTCCCAAATACACCGACCCAAAAGTATTGCCTCCGGTGATCTCTCCCGCGATGAAGAAATTCTCCTTCCCTACTGCACGGGCGCATTCGCGATAGGCGGCCGACATGTCGCCGAGGGCATCGACGGTGGACTGGGTGGCCTTGTCGTAGCGAAATCCATCAATATCCAGCTGGTAGATGATCATACACGAATGTCGGATCAACCGCTGGCGGACTGAGGGATGCCATTCGCGCAGACGATCCTGCACGGAGGCAAACTTGGCTAATTCGCGTTTCCAGTCCGCATAGACTCCGAAGGCTTCGATATCCCCGTACTGATCAAAATCACTGTCGTAGCAGCCGACGAGGGAATCGGTGACCGTCTTCTGGACGGGGTAGCCATTCTCATACCAGAATCGCGGATAATCGCAAGTCTCATTATAGCTGTTCCCGATATCGAAATCGACGTAGCGGCGGGCGGTTTTCCACTCGACCTGATGCTCCTTCACGGTGAAAGGGGCGGTGGTATTCAAGTAACCTTGGAAGCCGATCAAATCCCCCATGGTGGCGATGGTGTTATCGAGCACCACGTACATCCCTCGCTTGTGAATCTCGGTGATGGCCTGGCGCCATTGGGTCAGGGTGCCGTAATGACCGTCGAGCAAGGTGGTGTCCAGCGCCGAGTACCCGTCATATCCCCAGGGCTGGTTCATCAGAATCGTGCCGGCCAAATAGATCCCCTAGGCGCACTTCGGTCAATAGATTCGGTCAAGACCACGGAATATATATATATATATATATATTTATTTTTCCCTTCACTCACCTTGATCCCCATGCCCTGCAGATAATCCAGCGTGTCCAGTAAGCCCGCGACATCTCCCCCGTGGCGCATCTGGGTCGAGGAGATATCATGTTCCCAGATGGATTGATTGTGGTTGTCATTCGTCGGATCTCCATTCACAAAGCGGTCCAGCATCAAAGTATAGAATGGAAAGCGCCAGTTGTCCGGGGAGGAAAAGTAGTCACCCGTGTGATTCGGCCATTGACCCCAGTATTCGGCGGGGTTGGTGGCAGTTTGATTCTCGTTGAGGTTGTACGCCGCGAGCGATGCATTGTACGGCCAAGCGATGGCCGGCAAGACGCAGAGGAAGAAGAGGAAGAGTGTTTGCGAGGTTGGCACCCGGCCGGCAAGCGCCCCCTTCATGTTGGCTGGTCAGCACAACAAGAAGCTGCCTCTTGAACAGTGGGAAAAACAGCAACCCCGGTCTTTGGACACCAGATCATAGGCGAACACGGTTACTCTACTCTCCGAGATATTCACAGAACGGGCCAGAAAACGGCCGAGGAAGGGAAAAGAAGAGGATGATTATCGTTGCAGGGGATGGAAACGAGCGTGAGAAATCCGGTCAAGCTAACCCACCGTAAACCCGATGGCCGTCAGATACATAATAATAATAATTTAAGAGTTGAGGAGGAGGAATTAGTAGGTCCGATAAGGTCGGGATTCTGGGCGATCTGGTCTTGTACCTGGCCCTGTCTGGTCTTGACAGTGGATTCGAAGCTCACATCACGGATTACGAATGCATGTGCTCCAGCCTGTGTTCAATGCTACGAGTTTTGGTGGCAGTGGTATATTTTTGGAGTGGCCAAGTAACGAAGAGGAGTGTTTGGAATTGACTGGATGGGTCTATCAGGAGGGGACAAAGTCCACCTCTGTATGTAAACTAATTAGTTAGTGAGTGAGGCACTCCGTAGTTGGCTAAAAATTCTCCTCACTAACAACACTACACTACGTATACTCCGTACGTAAGTTACGGAGCCAGGTGAGTAGTCAGGTACAGGACCAATCACATCGCCTGCCAACTTCCCCTTCTGGTCTGTGCTTCGGGCGTTGCAGTGAGTGTGTAAAATCTCTGATCAGCCCTTTTGTGTGTTTTTTTTTTAGTTCTTGTTTAGTTCTTGTTTGTGCTTCGATAGGACAATCCCACGTATGCTTAAAGGTTTAGCCGCTTGGCCACGGAAGCTTGGAAGTGGCAGTAAACGATCTCGTTCGTTTTGCTTTGGCCCCCGCCCCACTGGCTGTATTTTAAACCTGCAGGGGCTTACGCAATGCTTTCCTTCTGTTAGCTTCACTATTCCTTCATTCGGCACACATCCGCTTCTTCTTATCGGTGCAGTCTGGATGGATGGACTAACGTTACTACGGATGTTACTGCCTAGTTTTGCTAGTTAGATAGATTTTCCCCCCCTCCTCTAACCATGAACAGGGATGCTGGACCATCATGACCATCGACTAATTCATTTTTGTGCACAATGCGAGCGAGAGCACAGTACAAAGTACCGCCTCTACGCTGGGGCTTCTGCTCTGGCGGGCCCCTCTCCCATCATCACACTGGCGATAATGCGCTATGCATCCTGATGACTTGACGCAACTCTTCCAGCATCGAGCATCGCCAACTTAGTCCGCCTATACTATGTCCTTATCATTCCTCTCTTCGCGGTCGCTTTAACTATCGGACAGTTCACCCATTCTCTCCTTTCCCCGTGGGACGATAAGCAGCCGTGGTCACGGCCGAGCCTCACTAGCTATCCCCCCCCCCCTCCCCCGGCTGGGCCATCCTATGCCTGGTGATTGTCCAGAGACCGAATAGAGCCACAATGCGGCCGTCTAGGGCTCTCTTGCTCGGGCAAGACAGCATGATCTCTTACTTTGTCTACCTCCTCGCCCTTCTCCTTCTGGCCGGTTGGTCCACCCCTGCCCGCGCGGCAACAACCGAACAATGGAAAACCCGCTCCATTTACCAGACGATGACTGATCGGTTCGCGCTCACCAATGGGTCGACCACCACCGCATGCAATGCCACGGAAAACAACTACTGTGGGGGGACTTGGCAGGGGACGATCAACAAGTTGGATTACATCCAAGGCATGGGATTCGATGCCATCATGATCTCACCCGTGGTGAAAAACATTGCCGGCCGATCCAAGGACGGGGAGGCCTATCACGGCTACTGGCCCCTCGACCTCTACGAGCTCAATGCGCATTTTGGCACCAAAGAGGATCTGATCAAGCTTGCGGAGGAGGTGCATGCGCGGGGGATGTACTTGCTGCTCGACGTGGTCATCAACAACATGGCCTATAACACCGACGGGGAGGATCCCGCGACGCACATTGACTATACCGTCTTCCCCCAGTTCAATGGCTCCTCGTATTTCCACCCGTACTGCCTGATCACGGATTGGAACAACTATACGGAGGCCCAGTGGTGCCAAACCGGCGACAACTACACCGCACTGCCGGACCTCTACACGGAGCATACCGCGGTGCAGGACATCTTGATGACCTGGAGCACATCGGTCATGAACAACTACTCGATCGACGGACTTCGCATTGATGCCGCCAAGTCCCTCACCCCGAGCTTTTTGCCGACCTATGTGGACACCGTGGGGGGCTGGATGACGGGAGAGGTCATGGAATCCAACGCCAGCATTGTGTGCAATTATCAACAGGAGTATCTGCCCAGCTTGCCCAACTACCCCCTCTACTATGCGATGATCACCGGATTCCTGAACGGGGAGCCGGCGTACTTGCTCGAGGAGATCGCCACGATCAACAGTCTCTGCCCGGACGTGCCGGCCATGGTCAACTTCATCGAGGACCAAGATGTGGATCGCTGGGCGTACATGAATGACGATATCCGGTTGGCCGAGAATGCGCTCACCTTCATGATGCTGTTTGATGGCATCCCCTTGGTCTACCAGGGTCTGGAACAGCGCATCGTTGAATCCAACCGAGCCGCCCTGTGGACCACCGACTACGACACCAACGCGACGCTCTACAAGCTCATTGCGACGCTCAACGCCATTCGCAAGCACGCCATCAATCTCGACGCCGACTATATCAACTCCCAGACCTACCCGCTCTACCAAGGTGGCAGCGAGTTGGCCTTTTGGAAAGGGAGCGCCGGGCGACAGGTGATCATGCTGCTGTCCACGCAAGGCTCCACCGGGTCGGCCTATGATCTGACCCTCCCCGTGAGCTATGGCGCCAGCGAGGTGGTGACCGAGGTGCTGAACTGCGTCAACTACACCCTCAACACCGACAGCGAATTAGTCGTCCCCATGGACAAGGGCGCGCCGCGAGTCTTCTTTCCCGCTTCGATGATGCCCGGCAGTGGGCTATGCGGCTACAATACCAGCAATGTGACCTACTCGGAGCTCCGCCTGGCAGCCGTGAGCACAAACTCTTCCTCCGCCGGTGGCCACACAGTCGCCTCAGTGGCGCCGGGACTGATCCTCGCTTCACTGCTATCGCCGTTTGTGGCAGGTCTGACAATCTAGGTTGCGATAAGTGGAATTCTTGTTGTTGTATAATAGCAGTGGGCGGAGTGGGCCAGATAAAGCGCCTTCCCCCGCCCCTGAATTTTGTTAGTTGCTCGCCGCAATGGCCTGGAGTACCAATGAATGACATTGTTTTCTTTTCAGCTTGCCAGACACTTGACCTCGGAATTTGACACTTGAGCTTGAAGCTTGGAGGTCGTCCACTGTCCCCTAAGCCTCGCACTGTCCAATCTTGCTCCCGTCGTAGCTAGTCCAAGGGGCTTCTATGACCATCTTCCTCCATTTTGTACTGGTGGAGCATCCTCACAGTTTGGTTATCGTCGTAGTCGTCATCATAATAATCCTCATCACAAGACCCTTCATACAAACACATCTCTCTGCGTATCTTCAGCAACCGGATAAACAGAGGGCTGAGGTACTCAGCTTAATCAAGGCACAGTACGTGGTCTGAGGAGGGGCGGAGCAGCGCTTACGGGAAAGGGGGAGTTGGGGTCCCAATTCCATATAACTTAGATGGCACTCGCAACGGTCTAGTCTCCACCTACGTTCTCCACCTACGCCCGAGTTGTAGAACAAGTCCAATCATCCCAATTACTCGCTACTGATCGAATCATCGTATGCAGCACAGCATAAAGATGCACAAAGTATCCACAAAAATGGCAGCGGTAGCGGTCGCGGCAAACCCCAGGCGGAAATGACGGCGGGAAACAGAGGACGATCAAGGCCTATACAATAGAAAAATGCATGTGTCAGTAGGGGTGGTTTAGACACTGAAATATATTTTACATATATATGTATATATAGTTTATAGTAGACTGCAGAGCTAGATTCACACGGATAATAGCTGTGGGCACCGGGGGCTAGTGATTGAAATATAGTCGGCTGATTGACTATGATATAGTGGTATTGTATCCGCAGGCAACCCGGGGTATTGCCGAATTGATGATTAAAATAGAACTTGAATTGGATTGAATTGATTGAATTGAAATGTTCAGTCCGCTACATCACCACTTATCTTGAGCTTGTCTTGGAACTTCCGAGTTGATGAACCAACAAGAAGACACAGTCTCCCCACAGTTACTAACATCTAGCAGACGACTATCCGACGCCTATTCCTACCAAACTGTCAACCGGCCATTGCAGGCAGCGAAAGCGAGAGAGAGTAGCCATACATCTGAACAAACCTAGCCCCTAGAACGTGCAAAAGGACTTAACCGCACCGCCTCCACACTCAACTCGCTCAGAGTCTTCCCACTCAGATCGGCCTTTTCCAATCGCATCTCGAGCTCTCTGGACACCCAAGTGCGGAACTCCATCTCGATGAGGGAGTCCACCCCATTTTCGCGAACAGAGCGTGACGGATCGACCTCGCCTTCAGCGATGCTCAGAACCGAGGACAACTTCTTCTGAATACCCGTCAGCACAACCTGCGCCGCGGCTTCGTCGCTCTGCGCCGTAGCCAGCAAGGCTTGCATGCAGTACTGCCCGGATGCACCGTCCGCCGCCTTTGCCGTATCGGCTGGGACTGACCGGTCCCGCAGATGCACGAAGAGTGGATCATGCAGGGGGCGCGGGGCGGGAATGCCGCGCTGCTCGTAAGCGGACTGGGTAACTAAACCGCACACGAGCTGGCACGTCGCCAGCGACGGTGGCCGGCGCGGATCCAGAGCGTACTCGAGTATCGCTAACATCTCATCCGCACTGTGCGTGGTGAAGGCCTTGAGCATGTGACGCAGAGACTCCTTGCGCTCAGCGATGTATCCCACCGATGCGACGGCACTGAGGTTAATGCTCATGGCCGGAAGACCCTGGGAAACCCGTAGCTCGGCTAGGGTGTCTTGGAAGACATTCCCGGCGTTGTAATTTGCTTGACCACGATTTCCGACCACGCCAGCTATGGAGGAAAGCATAACAAAGAATTGTAGGTGGTCGGATGATAAGTATCTATGGATGTTCCAGGAACCCTGCACTTTGGCCTGGAGAGGCTCCTGCCATTGACGGTGGCTCATTTCATTGAAAGAACTGTCCGCCAAAGAAAGTGAGCAGATGATGCAGCCTCGAATACGAGCGCCAGTAGGGCCTTGAATGTCCTCAAAGACGGTCTTGACCCGCGCACCGTCGAAGATATCGCAGCAGATGACTTGGACCCGGCACCCCATGGCCTCCAGTGTTGACACCATTGTTTCTCCAGCAGGGTGTAGCTTATTGGATCGACTGAGGAAAACCAGATGCCTCGCTCCTCGCGTGGCCATCCAGTGGGCGATACTCCGGCCGAGTCCCCCCATCCCACCCGCTAGGATATATACGGCAGTTGGATCCAAACGGTACGGGGCTGGTCTCTCTTCAATATAAGGAATCGTGTCCTCCGCCTGTGGAATGCAGACAATCTTGCCCATATTTGAACCTGTCTGGAGGGTTCGCAAAGCGGCCTGGATCTGTCCATACGGCACCACCGTTATCGGCTTGGGTGGGTGAATCTTTTCCTCCTGCCACAGTTGCATGACCTCCTGTAGAAGTTCCCTAACGACCTTGGGACGAAGCCGCGCCAGCGCAACGAGATTTACTCCCGCAAAAGTTCGATTGTCGTGGAATGGGCTCATGGGCAGCTTCCCCCCAGACAGGATGTCACGCTTGCCGATTTCTATGAAGCGTCCAAAGGGGGCGAGACAGCCCCATGTCTCCTGCAAGGCTTCTCCTGCCATCGAGTTCAAGATGACGTCGACTCCCTGCGGTGCCAATCTTGTGATCCCGGTTACGAAAGCCAAATCCCGGCTGAAGAAGATGCGCTCCGCCTTGATCCCGTACTCGTCCATCAGTAGTGTCTTTTTCTCAACAGTCGAGACGGTGGCAAAGACCTCGGCTCCTACCATTTGAGCGTACTGTATGGCCGCCTGTCCGACGCCACCCGCAGCCGCATGGATCAAAACCGATTCCCCAGGTTTCAAATTGGCAACCCACTTCAGACCATATAGAGCCGTAGCCCAGATGACTATCATACTGGCGGCCTCCTCAAAGCTTCGTCCGTGTGGGATGCGCACCACAAAGTCCTGCTCAGCTCGTCCGATTGTCCGGAAGGTGCCCGCATGCGCTGGGTCTTCATGATATACTACTCGATCCCGGATTTGTAGCCGACTGCAGACGGCTGCTCCAACTCGAGTGATGACGCCGGCAGCCTCACAGCCAATGCTATCGTGCGGAACCTCCCCAAAAACCGTGAGCAAATCCTTGAAGTTGATGCCCACTGCGCAAACGCGGATCTCCACTTCCGTCGGTCCCAGAGGAGGTAAAAGATCCGTGTCGGACACCCAGCGTAGACCATCAAGTGTTCCAGTGCTTGCAATCGAAAGTTTCGCCGGCCATTTCAAGGACTTCCATTCTGTTGATAGGACCTTTGAGCATGAACCTCGGGCGTTGATTAGACCTGTTACCTCAGTACTCTTGACGATTCGGTTTGTCTGAACCTGCGAGCCATGAAGGCGATATTCCGCATTGCGGTGGCGGACTCCTGCGCGTCCTTCGGTCAGATATTGGTGCACGAAGACTTGAGCAATCCCGGTGACAATGTCTTCTGTCAGATTGGCCGCGATGTCGACCGCCAAGGTAACTAGATTTAGACGCTCTGACGCACGCTCCCATCGGATCGTGCGGATGAGACCAACCGCGAGACTATGCATCGGGTCTTCCATACAAGTTACCCATTGTATGCGGTCACAGCTGGTCATCAAGTGTTTGATATGGTCAAAACAGACTTCATCCATCTCATGTAACACTGGATGGTGAAGCTCCAGAAGAGAAATGCAGATGACGTCGCTGAGGTCTTTATCAGACAAGGACTGCAGAGTTTCAACAGCACAGGAATTGATCCCTTTGCTGCGGAGGTATTCGTGTAGAGCCTTGGCTACCTCGCCACTCTGGGTCTCATGGGTGATGATGATGACTTGGTGCTTATTGGAAGATCCTGCAGGGGCAACCGCTGTAGAAACCATGAGGCTGTTCTCCTTGAACTCCGGGTACCGCGAGCTTGGAATATCGACATCGATACCGGAGAAACTCGACTGCAATAGTATTTCTTGCCACTCTTCAACCGGTACGTAGGGGCACCATTTTCGCAATGGCTCTGTCGCTAACCACCAGCCAATCAAGACACCAAAAATGACATTAATATGCAAAATGTCTTGTCTGCAACCCTCAAGGAGGACTATCTTGCCGCCAGGCTTCAGCAGTGAGCGGGCATATTTCACAGTCTGGGTCAGATCCGGGGTGGCGTGGAGGACGTTGCTAGCGATTACCATATCGTACGATTCCCGCGTAAACCCTTGCGAGAGAGGATCCACGCTGATATTCAACACCTTAAATTGGAGCATCTCATCCCAGTCAGCGAGGCGAGACTTGGCTTTCTCGAAAAAGCTCGGCGACAGATCAGTGTAATCGTATTGAGCAACGCAGTTCTCATATGGCTCCCTGTCGTTCTCCACAGGACAGAGGTAGCGTAAGATTGAGTGGGTAAAAGCTCCGGTCCCGGCACCTATCTCGAGAATTCTGAGACCTGAGTAGGTGTAGCGGAACGTGTGCATGACTTGCTCGAGGCTAGCTGGTATGGGACCTGTCTCTATGGTCATTTCATAGAACCTGGTCATGATCTCATCTTGGCCAAACATGAGGTGCAACGGATCGCATTCCTGCTTCAGAATTGAGCAAAGATTGGTGCCCATGCGCAACAGAAGTTCTCCGGCAGTGTCACGCGCAGCAACTCGCACAAAAAGCCTGCTTCTCATCTCACTGTCCTGCACGTACTTCTGCCACTCATCTATGCTGATACCGGGCACCAATCCCTGTGCTGCATCTGCTACCAATTTGTTTAGATACTCTCGGCATTGCAAGTAGTGGTGTGGGATGGTCGGCGGAAAATGATACCCCTCCAGCTCAAGCACTGTATTGCTGGCTAATAGTGCAGCTGCTAGCTGCAGTTCCGAGAAACGGATTTTCTGTCCGTCATAGCTCATGTGCTCCTCTCTCGGCAGAACCATCGACGCATTAGCGATGAAGTTTGCATCATTGTTCCATTGCATGGAACAGCAAAGGTGATTCTCGGTCCGTCCAGTTGTCTGAAACTGAAAGGGGGAAAAGCGCACTCCGCGAAGAGAAAGAGCTCCATTGCGGTTCTGAGCGTCCCACACTTGTGTATCAATGCTATACGCGCTATGGGCAACGGGGCATGCTCTCGCGTAGCATTCGAGAGTTCCTTGGTCTGGGATACTCGCAGATACCCAAGCCCGGGCAATGAAGCTGGGGACGAGACCGTTTTTCTGTGCCACAGTGTCACTCAGAGCAGAGACCGCGGCGAATCCTGCATGCAAAGCATTGTCAAATGTGGCGGGATGTATTAAGTGTTGATGGATGAACTTCCTAGGCATATTCGATGCTATATCCGGGATGGTGATTTTCCCAGATATTACTCCAGCTACGGTCCCTCCTTTCTTCACCGACGATAAATTTCTGAACAAAGAACCAAACTGAATCCCGGCAGAGCAAAGATTGTCATAGAATTGGCTGGTGTCCACTGGTATCCGACATGCAGAAGCTTGCTGTTGGGTTTCGATCCAGGTTTCCTGGAGGATTGCTGCTTCGCGGCCAGCAGTGACAGGATTGGGGAGTATCGCCGGATCACCGGCAATAGACCCCGTGCAATGCTCAACCCATTGATCCAGCTCAAAGTTATATGAACTGACAGAGAAACGATTCCATACGGCTGACGTCGACAGGTTTGACTCGTTCACAAGGTACATAAAAAAACAAACCTCGATGCCGTGCTTATCATCTGGGACCACAAGCATCGTCTTCAGGTTCACGTCTCGAAAACGGTAACCTGCAGGAGAGTTCCCACTCCCGTTTTGTCGCATGGCCTCAATGGCCATCACCAGGTATCCGACGCCAGGGAAGACGATTCGATCTGCAATCTGATCGTTTAAGCTGGTCAAAGTCAACGAATAAGAGGCGATCGCACAGTCAAAAACCTGCTTACCTTGTGATCTCGTAACCACGGATTCTCGCTCACTCGTAGGTAGTGCTTCCAGCTTTGGCGCAAGTCGTTCGAATCAGGGTTAGGGGTACCGAGAAGTTCGTGGCGCCCACGTTGCCTGAACCGCAGTGCCCTACTCAACCGGCTCTCATACAGAGATCTCTCGGCATGGTTGAAAGGGTACGGCGGCAGATTGACAATCAATTTAGGCTTCCTGTCTGGCGACTGAGAGCTAGTGTTGACTTCAAACAGATTGACATTTGCACCAGCAACAGCAAGATGACCGACTGTATCCAGCAATGTCCTCGTCGAGGGGTCAGAGCGGCTAAGTGTCATTCGGCACGCGATGGACTCCTTGCCAGCTAGAGTTTCTTTGATCGCGCTTTGCAAAGCACAATGAGGCCCAATCTCAATCAGCTCGTCGACTGTACTGCGGCCATCTTCAAAGCACATCCGTTCTAATGCCTGGGAAAACTTGACAGTCGAAACAACGCTCTGGGCCCAGAAACTTTTGGTCAACGACGACCGCGTAACTTCGTCGCCGGTAGTACTTGAGAACATCCGGATTCTGTGCTCTAAAGGTGTTTGATAGCCGGGTTCTGCAGAGTCGTTCTCTAACGCAGCCTCATACTCATCCACAATGTTCTTCATACGGCAAGAATGGTACGCATTTGGGGCTCTGAGGCGGCGCGAAAAGACCGAGTCTTTTTCCAGCATTTGCTCCAATACCAAGACCAGGTTCTCATCCCCGGATACGGTATGATTCTGGGGACTGTTGTAACACGCAACGACAAGTTCTCCAGGCAGTCTGCGGCGAACCTCCTCCACATAGGATAGCAAGGCAGCACTCTCGAGACCGACAGCCAACATTGCCCCTTTCGGGATGCCCTGAATCTTTGAGTTCAGGAGTCTGCGGTGATACGCAGCATTCCAGGCCACCTCCCGGCTGATCTCTCCTGCACAGTAGGCTGCTGCTATCTCACCAGATGAATGACCAACAACACAACTCGGCCGAATACCCCAGCTGGCTAGAAGGTCCACCAGGGCTACTTGAATTATCGTGCAGCAAATGTGCGAAATCTCCGAGTTTTCAGTATCTGGGTGCTCGCTGGTGCTGAAGATCCTGTCTGTGTATGCACTCAGTCAGGTCACAATTGTACAAACAGGAAAACTCATATAACCTTACCTCTGAACGCGAACGGACAATTTTGAAGGGTCAAATATGCTGACGCAGCTGCAATGGAGTCCTGGAAAATGGGGTACTGGAGCAATTGTTCGGGCATTCGAGGATCGACCGCGCCCTGTCCGGTAAAAACAAATCCGATCCGTGGTGGCGTCTGGCCCCCCCGAGACTGTGACAAGCCGCGTCCCTGTGCCACCTGCGCCTTGAAATCTTCACAGGATGTAGCCAGCATATAACTATTCCACCGAAATCTGGAGCGCCTTTCTGACAACGTGTATGCAATATCCAACAAAGCTCCGCCATCATCTTCAGCTCTGGTTTCCATGTGGGACGATAATTGTGAAGCTACCCGTGCAGGAGCTTCTTCGTCGAAGCCGGAAAATAGCAGCAACTTGAGATTCGATGTGATCTTCTGCTTTTCTTTGTCGTATAGTGCCTGGCCCAAGCGGTTCTCAGTAGATTCAGGCTCATGTTGATAAGGAGGGGAAGCAATCGATCGAGTATTATGGTGCCCAGACAGGCCCATTCGCTTAAAGTAGCCATAAGCATCTTCAAGGATGCAGTGAGCGTTCGTACCGCTGAGACCAAAACAATTGACAGAAGCCCGACGTGCACCGGTCCCTGGCCAGGGAGTAACCTGAAGTGGAAAACGTATGTTCCATTCATCGTGCTTAATTTGAGGGTTTACTTTCTCAAAGTTGACGTTTGGCGGAATAAGCCCAGCCTCAAGTATCAGGACGGTCTTTAAGATGCCTGCAATTCCGGAACTACCCTCAAGGTGGCCGATATTGGACTTGACGGCGCCAACATAGAGAGGTTGACCTCGCTGGGGGGTTTGAAAAGCTTGCGCAAGAGACTTAACCTCAATCGGATCCCCGGCAGACGTTCCTGTCCCATGAGCCTCGACAAAACTAGTCTCCGCGGGGTTTAGACCGCAGCTCTGATACGCACTCTGTATTAAACGAACTTGTGCGTCTCCGCTGGGGTAAGTCAGACCCGGGGTTCGACCATCATGGTCTAAGGCTGTGGCAAGAATAACGGAGCGGATTGTGTCGCCATCAGAAAGTGCCTTCTCTAAATCCTTCACAATGAGGGTTCCCACGCCTTCCCCTCGAGAATACCCGTTAGCTCGGTGGTCAAAGGTAAAGCACTTCCCTTCTGCACCAAGAAAACCGGAGTAGCTGAAGGCCAAGACATGATGGGGTGAGCTGTAAACATTTGCTCCACTGACAATGGCCTAGAGTTATCAGGCTCTTCGAGTGAGCAATAGCAATGGAACCAGACTCTACAGGGTACGAATACCTACCATATCACTTTCTTGGGCATGTAGACTGCGAGCAGCCAGGTGGAGGGCAACCATCGAGCTGGAACACGCAGTCTCTATAGTCAGGCTCGGGCCCTTGAGATCATAAAACCAGCTAACTCGTCCCGAGATCATCGAGACTTCGGAACCCGTGGGCTTGTGCTTCAAGGCAATGTCTAGATCGGTGCTCAGTCGGTCACGATGGTCATGATTGAAGCCACCCACGAAGACGGCGGTGTTAGAAGATACAACTTTATGCATCGGCAGCCCGGCTAAAGCCCATTTACTGAACAGTCAGTACTCCTGTTCCAGAATCGGTACAGTATATCACACTTGCCATTTTCCAGCGCGTGATAGACATTTTCCATGACCAGCCGTTGCTGAGGGTCGAGACTCTCTGCTTCAGTCTTACTGACAGAAAAGAAGGCGGCATCGAATGAATTCGGGTCCTCAGAGAGGAATTGGGCCGCTTGAGTGTGTGTCTATCGAGTTTACGAGTCAAACCTTCCTGCCAAAACATGTATCACTGTTTAGAGTTGCCCACCGTTCCAGCATGTTCAGGGTCCGGGTGATAATAGCCTTTGATGTTGAATCGATCTTCTGGGAAGCTCGTCGTCGCCTCTCGAGCTGCTACAAGGAAGTCCCAGAAGCTGTTAACATCTTTTGCATCTTGCGCGTATTTGGCTGCCAGCCCAATAATTGCGAGAGGCTTGTGATGCTGAGCTGCCTGTACCTCCATGTTCGTTTGTGGTGTTGGGCCGACGGTCGCTGTGCAACTTGAGGGGAATATATAGCGAGCGAAAAATGGGATGTGATAAGGTACTATGAAAAGTACTATCGAGTTTTTTTGGACCCAAAATGCGATCCAGTGCAGACTTGTATAATTAGAGACTTGGTGCTCCCGGAGTGTGAGTAGCCCCGGGCCGTGAAGCAGATGATTTCGATTGGCAGGGTGCAGTCACACGGAGCCCGAACACTCATGGAATCATTCGAAACCCTTTGCGAGGAAGCCGATGGTTGAGCACACTCATAACTGATGCACAGTCGCCCTGCAGGATATCCGGTTGACGAGAATCCTGAGGAGTCCTCCGACGAGGTCTGACGACTATTGTTCGCTAACGTCTCAGCGACGCGCTCCCGCAGATCATTTAGGGATATGTCATCCAAAAGGAGCTCGTGAGAAGATGAATCCTGGTCCTGTGATTTAACCTGAGGAATGCAGGTGGACTTTCGTCGCGGACAGTGTACGCATAGTTTTGCTCGGGGCGAAGGGTACCTACAGCGGACTTTGCGTCGCCGACCGACCTATGGAAGTTGTACTGGTAAGTATTTGACCAGGGTCCACCGTCCCCTTCTACTATCGTGCATAGGCTTACAACAAGACAGCTTCAATTGCCTTTTTGTATTTCGTTTCTGGCTGGCCTGCATGGTTGTAATCGAGCATCAGTCGAAGACGAGTTCAGGTTTGCCGTCAGAGTTCGATACTGTGGGAGAGTTCTTGCTGCCTGAAGCCATAAATTCTTGCCGTTTCGTGCCCCCGTGATCTTCCACCTTCTCCCTAGTAAGTACTTGCACTCGAACAGATTGTATTCTACTATCAAGGACAAAAGACCTCGCAACTGATGGAGATCTTGGATGCATGGGACGTTCTCAGTTGTTTGGCCATCAGCGAACATGTAGTGAGCAACAACTTGAATTTCAACCTTCCCTTTAACATGGGGATATGCATAAGCCATAACTATGTTCCTTTCTTCCCCTTGAAAGCCGCCGCTTCGACTGCCAAGAACACAAATGCATGCAACTGGAATTAAATGACGATTCACTCAAAGAAACTCAAGTCTTCCTCGGATGAATTACTGCGCAGACTGACAAATCTTCAAACACTAATGCCAACGTCGCACACCCGTGAGGGACGGCCAGACAACTACCTACTTAACTCAACTCAACACTCTCTCAAACCAAATCATCTGACCATTTAACGCAGGCTCCAAATCGAGACCCAGCCTTTCCACAGCCCCCGTCGCACCCACGTAAAACTCCGCTGCAAAATAATCAGGGTCCACCCCTTCCGCCTCAGGCTTATACGCCTTCGCGACAAAGAAGATCCCACTGGCATGCTCCAAGCGCAACCAAGACTTCGCGACCCGATCCATCAGATCAGCATGCAACTTACCATCCTCCAGAAACAGCGTGATGGGGCCATGGCCCGGATGGAAATATGTTCCTGTATAATGATCTAGCGACAGAGGATGGGGCAGTCGAAGTGTACGCCCAGGATACAGCCGGCGCTTGACCTCCTCCATGCCTTGAAGCATTGTCTTCTGCCTCTCTTGCACAATCGCGTCGATCTTGGCGATATAAGCCGCTCTGTCCTCGTCCGACTTGCCCAACAACTGATCCAGTAGATAGAGATAGAGCTCGAGCTCGGCGTATCTCGCCTTCTGCGTGTTGCCCATCATCGCGAAGCCGAACTTCTTGCTGGGCACAAAGCCTACCATGATTCCAAATCCCTCCCAGCTCCCTGAATGCCAGTACAGCTGCTCGCCGTGATAATTATCCACAAACCATCCGAGTGCATAGAGGTGGAATTGTCCTGGAGGTACATTTATGTCCTCCCAGCCTCCGATGACGGTACGCGGGAACAAGAGCTCTCGGTACCCTACCCGTGATATTGGTGCGCCTTGGTAGATCAGGGTCCGGATCCACTTCGCGTAGTCGAGGACATTACTCACGATCGCGCCAGTGCCAGTCGTAGGCGCGTAATCCATGTATGGGCGCTGGACGTGGCGGTTCGTTGTCGGATCCCAGGTGTACCCCTTCACCAGGCGCTGCGACGTCGCTGGACATGCTAGAACTTCTTTCTTTGAGAAATAGGTGTCCTTCATCCCCACGGGCTTCCATATGCGCTCTCTCATTAATTGCCCCAAGCTTTGTCCGGACAAGGTCTCCAGCACATGCGACGCAACCATGAACATATGGTTGCAGTAATTGAACGTCGTGCGCGGAGCAAACGCTAGAGGTAAGTGACGTAGCTTTTGTACCTCTTCACGGAGCGTTTCGTTGGGCATGGCTAGGGACATTGATGCCTGGTGCCCTGGTAAGCCGGACCGGTGGGAGAGCATGTCTTCAATTGTGGTATTGGCGGTGGCGTACGGATCTGCCAAGACAAAGTCCTCCCTAATCAGAGAAGAGACTGGAGTATCCCAACTGATAGGGTTTGAGGTTTCCTTGCTGTCGTCAATAGCCATCGACATGAGAGCGGCAGTGAAGGCTTTGGTCGTGCTACAGGTGTCGAAAAGAGAGTCGACGGTCATCTTCTTGTCGGGGAATTCCGCAACTCCGTAGGCCTGCGTGCTATGGTCAGCGAGCTGCTTGGTTTAATCTTTGGTTGGGACAGTACTTTAGCTGAAGTGCTAGAACCATGAACCACAGATACTGTCAGACCAGGCACCTTCCATTTAGCCAGTTGCTCCTCAACCAGCGCGTCGAACTCCGGAGTTAAAGGAGACCTGTTCGACCGCACAACCATTGTCGAGTATTAGAACGCTGAGATAGGTAGTTTTCCACTTCAATAGGATTCCCGGAGAGATGTCACAAAAGTTTGCAAAGCGATGGCGATACTGCTGCCGGAGAGGATGAGCGGGGAAGCCAGGTGGAAATAGTCAGCGGCTTATCTCTTCCCTCGAGGCTGCAGCCGCCCGTAACATTGCCTGTTCGGGTAAGTCGCCCTCGATCCCTGTCTTTGGCGTATTTGTCTCAGAATCGATACTACCGGATTCATCTTCCGGAGCGTACATAAATCGAAGCCATCTACTAGCCCGGCGAAATGCAGAATACAAGGCTAGGACCTATCCAGGTTCAACTTGTCAAAGAGCCTGGCTTCGCATCATGGCAAGTTCATTATGTCACGTCGCTAATTTGTACTCGTACTGCAAAGGCAAAAAGAGGACTGGAAGGTGTATGTTCATCATATTTGTATCATCTGCGCAGTGCTTGCTCAATCAAATCAGTGTCCATATCGATGTCAATCTGATGAAGAACCTCCTCCCATAGCCCTGGATCATCATTTACGTCAAAATCGAAAGATATGTCCTGCATGAAAGAAATATCCTGGTTGTGAGCTCTTTGATCTGTCGGCACCGGTGGCTCCACGACGCTAGAAGATGGCGTGTGTTTCTGAGTACTGGCGGGGGTCGCTAGGACCTGCACGTCCTCGCTTGCCTCGTTCCCTGCGCGAATAGGCCCAATGGTGGATTGCAACTCAAGAAGTAATGAGTGGCGAGCTTCGAGGATGGTATTTCCTCGATCGGCCATTCCACGGAGGAGGTTCAGTGCTGTTGCCATGGAACGCGCATTAGGTTCATTGTGAGGGAATGCCGCATTAACCATCACTAGCAACAGGGCGGCTGAAAAAATATACTCCCCGTCTAGATAACCATAGGTTGCTGTCGTGTCGTCAATTTGCAGCTCCAATAATCATCGCAGCAATCAAGACACGTACCAACGAGATTTTGCTTGCTGGCAGCATCCATGATCATGATGGTCGCTCGAGCGGCTGAAATGCAGCTCTCGATAACTTGCACAGCGTTCTGCGAAAGACCTTCCTTCCAGTCACCCGTGACCGACCCAGCCGTCTCTGCATCAAGACGTCGCTGAATTACATAAAAGACCAACGGTCTAGCCGTCATATTCACACACGAATAGAAATGCAAGAATAGAGATACAGACTCGCGGTTGATGTGCGTTCCAAGAGTCGAGAAATCGATGCGCAAGCGATCGGGTACTCGGCGCAGCCAGTCAAATAACTGATCCATGATGCTTTGCACAGAAAGCAAAAGGTTTGATCCAGAACGAGGTTTCTTGCGATATATCTCTAGAGGTAATTGATAAGTTATGGTCGTTGTGGAAAGCTCAAAAGATGACCTTACCTTCGCCAATGCGACCTAGGATTCTTGACAGTTGGGTATAGTAAATGAGCACTACAGAGGGCCACGGTACGACGTCGCTGGGATTCTGCACAAAGTCAGTGGATGCTCGCACATCGTTTCTCACACAAGCACTCACGACGGGCTGAGGCCAAGTGGTTCCTATGTCTTCATCTTGAATAGTGATGGGATTGCCAGATTTTACAGAGAGGAGCCTAGGAGCATGTGAGCTAGTGTCGATGCTGCTCTATTTAGCCGACACTTACCGGTCTAGACTGTACACGGACCACCAGGAACGACGTCGACGATTGCGGTCCTCCTCGCTCATCGCTGGATCTGAGGCTTCCTGGTGAAGCCCGAGTGAGATGGCCATTCGAAGGGCTGTGCCGATCTGGTCACCATGGTGTCAAAACTTTTTCCGGCATTGAGATGAAAGACACGTACGTAGAGGAATGCAGCATCCCGCCGGTTGAGGTTCTGCATGTAATATGCCACATAGCATAGTACTTCGACGAAGAAAATGGAACCTTCCTCGTGGATGTCCGGTAGAAAGCGAAGTGCATGTTTGAAGTACTTAAAACCAGGTGGACCATCGTCGCCGGACCACTGGTTCACGGAATAAAGCAGCCCGTATGAGATGATAAGCAGAACTTGGCAGTAGACCAGGCATGACTCCCGGCTCAGAAGATCTGGAGTTTGATAGTAAACTATATGGAGCCGCTCCTCATAGTCCTCTGGTTGAATAAGAGAGAATATTGTTCCGATATAGCTGTACTGCACCCAGTATAGGCGCTTGGCGTACTCGAACGGCGGTAATTGAGGTAAAGCAGGGGATATAGCGCGACGCAATGAGCTTGGGTCGTCATAAAGTGGACGCACGTCCGACGCCAAATTCTTGGAGGTTGGATTCAGACGCTTGATCAGATGGGTGGCCGATGATGCTCCAATGAATTCTGATCAGATTACCATACATTAGTTTCTTTCTTGCATGGCCGGGAAGGGAACATACGGTGCTCGCCCGACCGGTTGAGAAGAAGGTTATCGGCCCCATTATACCACCAGTCATCTCTCTCCAGTGACGTCTCCACTGGGGTCATGGAAAAACTCTTGGAACCTGAGGTCGAGCTGGCAGCCGGTGGAGGAGGGCGACCGCTGTCTAGGCCCAAGTTAGCTGGGGACCCTGGTAGCAATCACTGAGCAAGACGAACTTTGACGAGCGGCTTGGGCATCGGACAGTAAACGACGGAAATAACTGTTCGGTCAATTCATGGTTACTTGTTCATCCTTGTCAACTCACCTCTCCGTGATTGACACACGTTTCTCCGCTTCGGAATACACACAATCGCAACCGACGTCCTCGCACGCAGCACATGGGAAGGGTGGATTGCCAGCGCAGCGGGTCTTCCTCGAGCGACATCGATTACATCTGCACGAAGACGTTAGTGGTTCGGACTTGCAGGATTGGAGACCAGACCGTCCATACGCTACCATCGACCGTCTGGCGTTTGCGCGTTCTTCGGCAGATCGGTGCTGCAGCCCACGATGGGCCTTACCATGAGTCATCTTCGGGTTCCCTTGCTAGTGCTTATAGTCCGCTGACAGGTCTCTTTCAATAAGATGCTGTTCTGTTTGACTTCTGACGTTCGGATACGGTGTCGACACAAATAACTATTGTTGGGGAAACGGCAACTGATAAGAGAAACCGCCCACGTTGAGCATTTGAGTCACGGTTGCTCTGATAAGGGTCAACGATCATGTAGATAAGAAGCAGAAAGTCTGAACACGAGAACCACGATCAGCATCCTACTCCACTTTGTGCGTGCGAACAGATCTCGTGGTGTTCCACAAGGCAGGCTTGGAAAGGTTGGCTCCAAAACATTGCGGGGAAATGCAAAGGCGGTGACCCAGATGGGATAGTCATATCCATGAGTGCTCCATGGCTGATGATCAACCTGATCAACCACAATCACAGCCGTTCCAGAGCCACGCGATCCATTTCCCTATTCATCCCTCAAATTGCCTTCAGCCTCACGATTCATCGGCCCGCTCAGGATTCTTGCTGCAGATTTGCCAGCTTGTTGCTGAAGTCTCCACCAAGATTCTGTCGAGGATCAAACTTCTCGGCCCGAGCGCCCCATGACCATGCACCCTGGGGAAGCAGATTCCCATCACGTAATTGACACATCAGCGCCAATCATGACTCCCAGTACATCGTTCAAATGAATCCACCCGAGGTAACCCGTGGCTGGGGACCTTTCAGACGTGTCCCACGAGGCGTTGTGAGTTGATGACGTTGAAGGGATGTTGTCTCCGTTTCTTTTTCTCGTCCCGGTTTCGGGATAACGCGGCTGGAGGAAATCATATCCCCCGGATCGTCATCTGGCCAGGTATATGAGTGTACCACTTCTTTCGATCTTCTCTGCAATTCGAAGTTGCTGGGAAATGGAGGATAACCGTTTTGGGCATTTGCGATCATGTCGCTGGCTGTGATCGTCTTCATTCTGGCCATGCTGGTCCTGGCTAATGCCTCCCGCTATTATACACACTTGAATCTATTTCCGGGCCCCTTAATCGCAAGACGCTCGAGCCTATGGCACATATACCTGCGTAACTCGCCTGGTTACGGTCGGAGGCTCTCAACTCTGCATGCAAAATATGGGAGGATCGTCTCGTTGGGTCCAAATCGGTTCAGTGTCTCTGATCCGGGGATCATCTCCCGGCTATATCAGACCCAGGTGCACAGTAGTAGCGTGAGTCCATCACACTCTTCTCCCCCATAGCTCCCTCTGTTGACCTGCATTTTCTAAACAAATTAACAGTCACTCCATGGTCAAGATCTTGGGGTTCCAAATTACGACGACGAGTCCCACATTCCGACCAGCCGGCGGGCTAGACTCTGCGAATACGAAGGCATCATGGATCCCCCGACCGAAGAGCTTCTGGGGGCCATGACAAGACACCGAACCTTAGACCTAACAGCCAACCTTCGAATTTTTGCTACGAGATTCTGCGACAGATTCGTCTTTGGCGAGAAATCCGCTGTGGCTCGCTTGCGGACCCAGGCGACAACGTCCCGGGTCAGATCTTCCATTATAGAGCATCTGCTCTTCAGAAGCCCTATATTATCGCTGAAGAGGTACCGTGGGCGTCAGCTTGCCCTCTGTTCAATGATGCCAGTACAGGCGCTCACGACCTCTACTGGCCTCGACAAACCAGCCCCAGACGCCATCAACATTGCTAGCAGCGACGCTATCCTTGCACCAGACGATCTGACCACTGAAATCGAGTCCCTTATCGCAGCTTTTACGTCCGTCTTTACATTTCTTCTCAGGAATCAGAGTATCTTAACCAACCTTCAAGATGAGATTGACTCAGCCTTCTCCAACGGATCTTTATCTCCCATCCCTCGCTGGCGAGAGATATCACGCCTTCCTTACCTCAATGCTGTAATGAAAGAGTCTTTGCGCCTCACCTGCGCCATTAACGCAGACAAAGAGTTCCATGCATCTGCCGTCTCATACGATCTACTGCCGGAACGCGCGCTCCCGAGTGACACGATCATCGTCTGCAACTCCTCCGTCGCACATTTCAACGTTAGCATCTACGGAGACGATGTGCATTCATTCCGCCCAGAACGCTGGCTTACTGCCGATGCGCCGCGGCGCCGGCAAATGGACCAAACCATGTTGCTTTTTCACCCAGGTCTACACGCTGACTCGAAGGTCCGTGCCACTTGGCTAGAATTGAAGAAGGTGGTCGTTCGGATCTTGCTTAAGTTTGATGTAAGCTATGCTGTCCCGGACACATTCCTAGCTCTCTTTACTCACAGCTCATGCTGTTGGTGCAGGTCCGCGCTCTTGCACTAGGCCAAAATGCAGAAATATTCCCATCTCCCCTAGCGCCTTCAGCTATCGTTACTATGGCTCCTAGAATGCCGGGTATTCTGGGTCGTCAATAGCTTCTATACGCACGCTTCTCGTTAACCTCAATTCGAGCCAACAATCGTGATTTGGAATAGTATCACTCGCGTGTGTAACAAACAGAAACTTCTTAGCGCCAGGAACAGTTGTCTTGCTACGGCAGTGCTGAGTCCACACGCAGACTACCTGTCCTCGAAGTCTCTTATTTTATTTTCATTTCAAAGCCTGATACCCTTGCACAGACTATCAATATGCCCTTCACACCACCAATGTTTCATTTTTTATTGATCATCTAAACATCCATTTTGATCTCGGCTTAATCTGCGCTTCGCGGTCGCGGAAGGTTGTCCCGTTTCCACCCGAGCCTCGGCTCAGCCGACCATGCTCTATCCGAGACTATCTTTGGTATATATATGTCTAACAAGAACCAAATACAAACAGTGAGCAATCCACACATGTCTTTCTGTGATCGTAGAGGTCTGCCCACGCCAGTGATCTGTATCTTTGCTCGCGATCATCAACATTTGTGTGAGCTTAGAGATTAATCTAGCGATCTGAGTGCGCATACCATAGATGAATACCGGCTTGCCTTGTCGAGACGCTGATTCGATTTATCCAATTTGCATGATGAAGTCGTCGCGTACTTGCAACGCAGGTAGCCGATATCTTCAGATTTGCGTGCACCGGTATCCGAGGACCGGACGTTATGAAAGGGCTCGGTGGGAGGTCGTACTGAGAGAAATCCAATAGGCTCCTTGGAAGATTGGGTCTCTCCTTCCCTCTGTAGGATGCTCCGCGTTAGGAGGAGAAAGAAATATTCAACTTGATAGCCCGCAAACGCATCTGCGCAGGTGAGATGTTTCTGGTAGAATTCTTCAAAAGCAGTTAGCATTTGCACCACAGTACGGGCTTTCTTGCTGATGTCTGCTTTTGGCGGATTTTGACCCGGGCTGCTTGGGTGGGATAATGGCGCTGTTGATAATGTGAGCCTCAAATGAGTGAAGCTCTTTCGTATGCTGGTGGATTGATCGATCATCCGTGATACTCGCTTCAAGTTGACGATGTGGATGCGTCAGCATTGTAGATGCAAATCTATTGACACCCACACCGAACAGTTTAGACGTACCTTCTCCTGACATTGCTCGTATAGCTCTGCTATGATGGTTTATGCTTCCACAAGCAAACACACTGTCTTCCGGTGTCTGCTTCTCATCTTATCTTCAGGTAGAAGGAGTCAAGGCTCTGGTTGTCCGGCCTGCAGGCAGGGGGTACGGGTGGCGTTGTCTCCGCTCGCGCGTCGCGCTCCTTTCAGCCGGGGTAGCGTTGTAAGTATGCTAACTCATGTGCGCTGTATGAGACAGTCGAACTTGACTCAAGACAAAAGTATATCAATCGGGACTATGCAGAGCGCAAGAGACAATGAAGACCTGGGGGATTCGAGACGGATGGAGGTCACTGTGTCTGCGGAAAGAAGGCATCCAGCATGCAGAAGGCACAGACTCTTCTTGATCAATCAGCACTTAATCAGGCTACTACAGTGAATGAAAAAGAGATCGTGACCACAGAGACATAGAGCCGTAATCGAAGGGAATACTCTCAGGGAACAAAAGCATGAAGCGCCTCGCCAGAGCTCAGGCGTCGACCCACCACCTCACCATCACAAACAACACCCCCCAAATCGCGTTATCCTAAGGAGTTTTGCCGCTACGAAAGACACGAGCCCGCGTGGATCGAACCTAGGCTACTGCGCCGTGTCCTGTAGCAGCCCGACAGTCTTGCCGATTGCGCCACAGGGCCTGGGTGATTGAGAGTTGTGCTGTTTCAGAAACTGAGTACCCCCTTTTGCTTACTTGGTTAGAGCGGCATTGCTATACTTGAATTCAAGGATCCATGAGCTGAATGCTGAGTTGGAGAGTAGATATCGTCGGTGTGAAAAGATGCCGCGTACATATCCTTCTGTGGGGCGGGTTGCAGCTTGGCATTGATGCTTAATATCAATGCAATGAGGCTGGCGCTTTGGAGAATTTCTAAGGCTACCGTAAGCTATGTATACCTTACAACTCCACTCAGCAGCAGCAAATGAAGTGCATGCATAATTAAGCACCCACGTTCTAGAATCCATCCATCCAAGTACATCCGATTTGTTCCAGACCCAAGCCCCCATCCGTCACACCAGGAATGCTCCCTAAGGTCCAGCCCATTTACACTAGTAGTTACTTAGTCAGGGAGCTTACAGCATCAACGAAGGACCCTGAACGATATGTCCCCCACACAATTGTAGTCGCAGTGTTCCATAACTTAAAATCAAATGATGCCATCATCGCCATGACATCACCACCACCACAACCGCCTCCATCCGCGGCATCCAGACCAATCTCGATTTATAACTTACCCCCCTCCCCCTCCATCACCACTCAGAACCATTGCCAGATAAATACCCTCCTCCACCGCCAACACGACATAAAATGCCACCTCGCATCTCCTCCCCGCTTCTAACAACAAGACGCCTACTCAACCCTCAGTCCCTCCCCAAAACCATTGCTAGTACCAATCCTCGAATCTCTCTTCCGTCAGCATCAACGACACCCACCACTATTACACTCACACTTCACAAACGAAACCACAGCACAAACCCAACCCTCCAGAAGTACACGGCAGGCAACATGACCACCCAGCCCCCGAAAAACGAAATGGTGTATCTCCCCGGCGTGATGTCGCCGAGCCGCAAGTTCGGCGTCTTCCGCAAGGTCCTGCACACGGGCCTGTACTCGCAGTTTGTGGCGATGGAGGTGCCTGTTAACGGGGAGATAGGAGATGAGGTATTTCCTTTTTTTTTTTTTTTTTTCCATACAATAAGGAGTGGTTGTTGGGGAGGGGAGCGGGAGGAAAGGGATCAATTCAAGCGAGGGGTTTGGAGCGGAGCTACGCTAATCACCTGTCTGGGATGGTAGGTACACACCGTCGATCAAACCCTCATCTTCACGCACGGCACCGGCAAAGCGATTGTCGCGGGAAAGGAACAAGAGGTAAAACAAGGGGACGTGGTGATCGTACCGGCGGGTACGCAGCATCAGTTCCTGAACGTGGGGGACACGCCGTTGGAGCTGGTCACGGTCTACGCGCCCGCGGAGCATGATCCGCGCACCGTGCATCAGACGAAGGAGGAGGGGGATGCGCAAGAGGAGGCGGGCGAGGACGAGGCGCCCGAGTGGAGTCAGCGGAGTAAGAGTGAGAATGAGAGGATTGGGTTGGTGAAGGTGCCGAAGGAGTAGATAATTTGACTTGGTTTGAGGTTCGGGGAACTGTCTTTTCTGGTTCTAAATCATTTTGATACATGACACTGCATAGTCGTCTCCTTTTTTGACATGTAATGGCAAGTAAATGTGACGACTAGATTCAACGTGCAAATCCATGCACAGGACGCTTTATCGTGATTCCCAGCGATTGTAGCCTCCGATAGGGTGGCGAACCGTCAGCCTATACAGCGTCCATGGTCCCGGCTCCCTGGACGAAAGATGGAACGGACGCTTTCTCGACGATAAGCAAAGTCATCTACGGGTTCCCTCGCGCCTCGGTGACCGTGTTAGCGGAGTCAATTGCCCCTCCATCGTAAGACTCCTCCGACCCGCGACTGCACCATCCAAGGCAGCCATCTGTATCATTTCCCCCCTCAGTGTAACAGTCAGGGGTGCAGGCGCAGATGAGCCCGAAGCCGAGATGCATAACGGACCACGTGGTGATCAGACCGAAGTCGCCTATGGCACGATTAGCGAAACTGATCCATGTGCGCATCGACCTCGAGGCTTACGCTTGAGGTCACTTAGAAGGGTTCCATGAAGGAGACCGAGGGCAGCGCCGAACACAACACTATGAATTTTAGCATCGAGACCTTCTCGTCCCGCGAAGACATGGAAAGCGATGAGCGCAACATACTTAATCCCCATAACGACAGCCATCGAGAACGGTTTCACCCCGTACCCATAGATCCGCAAGAAGGCGACTTTCACCGCGAGGTAGAAAAGGATAGTGAGATCCAGTCCAGTGAGCCAAAGCACAAACGTCCAGGCAGGGAGCTGTGTTTGAAGACAAACCTGTGGGATCGCCCCGTCCCAGAACAACCGCGGGGAAAGGCACGTAAAACTGTGAGTCAGCCAAGCGATACAGCAGATCATGACAGACTTGGCCACAAGCACCAAGAGATGAGAGCGGGACATGGGAACGCAAAACAGCCATCGACAGAATGAGAGGGCACACAGCCGGGCTACGATCACTCCGGCTCCGTGAAGAATTATGTCGGCAAACTGGGTGTGCACATCTTGGATCGGCTTTTGATCGGTCGGGATGATCTTCTGAGAGCCCCGGTCTGCATCTGCGCGAAGGTGGCGCACAATCATGAACACGTAAATGCTGAAGGCGAAGAAAGTGAGTAGACTGGCAATAGAGGGAGGTTTGGCATCAGTTCTCGCGGGAGGGGTTGGTGCTTTGCGTGCAGAGAAGCAAGCGATGATGGCAAGGACGACCAGCGGAATCAAAAGGGCGACGATTTCCGTTGCCATGTTGCGGAGGAATACCTGCTCGAAGGCCGACGCAGGTGTTGATGAGGCCATCGTCGAATTCGCTTATTGTCGTTGATCGACCGCACAGTTGGGAGAGTTGAGACGTAGATAGGTAGTCAATATGAAACACTGCAGTACCTGATCTTTCATTCACGGTAGAAAAAGTCAGTGATCAAATTGGTGGAGCAACTGTGTAATGAAAGAATCTACCTGGGTATGAGAAGAGGATTGGTGTTTGTTGTGTGGGGTGAAGAGGAAGTGAGTGATGCGGAATCATGGTCACTTTATATCTCACCTTCCTTCAAGTTGCCTGCCTTGGGTTGACATTTTAGGAGGATGTGTGTATGATTCAACTTCACTTCATTCACTTCTGATAGACCGTGTCTGAAACAACCACAGCCAGCGCGTATATGACATGATGACAATAGCAGCTCCAGCTGTACAAGAACATCCCTGTCAAAGATTGCAGCTTTTTTTAGTTCATACATAGAGACCATAGTATTGAATGAAGTATGAAGTGCAGCATCCGCAAAAGTGAAGGTTTCCTTCTGCATTAGTCTACAAAACCTTGCCTCACTTCAATACTGCAACTGCGCAGGTTCGCACCACGGAAAACAACCCATCGCATTCTATTAAGTTTATCTATTATATTCTATACATATACATCCAAGCAAAAACGGAATCATGATGAAGACTTTTCCTTCCGGGCTCGCTTCCAACTAACAAGCATGAAGAACACCGAAGTGACCACCCCCAGACCCGCGAGTCCAATGCCCAGATAGAGCGCACCCCGATATCCTCGAAGCGCGTCTTTCCCTCCGTCGTTGACATTCGACTCGACCGTACCCGCGAACCCCAGCCCCAGCGAGATCGAGTAATTGACCGTCGTGGTAACCAGCGAGGCAGCGAGTCCCTGATGGTGATGATGCATCGAATTACTCAGAATCAAAGTTCCGGAGGGGAACGACATGTCCCTGTCACGCATTAGCCGCCCACTGCCATCAAGCAAAAGGAAAGAGAAATACTCACATTCCCCACGAGGTGATCAAACTTGCCACGAATGCCTGAGCCCAGTATGTCTGCTGCAAAGGTATTGTCGCCACGAGAGCCTGGCCGATGGTGAAGAAGCACATAGCGCAGAACATGATCACACTCGGTGGCAGCCTACTGAGCAGGAACCCCGTGACGAGGGCGGCCATTGCCCCTGACGGCGCAGCAGCAGACCACTTGGCGGTTGTTAATAAAGGCGAGTCTCCCTTGATCACCTCCATGAATTGGTAAAAGTAATAGATGACAATGCCGAAGCTGGACCAGCCCGCAGCAATGCAGCCGAGCACCCAGGCCAGATCTCCAGTGAGGACCGACCGGGGGATCAACGGGCACGAAGCCGAGCGTTCGACGAAAACGAAGATTCCGAACAGCACGAACCCGACGATGAGCAGAATATACGTATAAGGCGTGGGCCATCCGACCAGAGCGGCTTGATTCCAAGCAAAGTTGATCAGGACCAGTGCAGAGATGCCGGTTGTCGCACCCAGGACATCAAGGCGAGTCCATGTCGATAGCCCATCGTTAAAATGTGGTCGATGGGTGGCGGGAATCACCAGAACACCCAGTACCGCCAACACAAAGCAGACGATGCCCATCACCCAGTACGCCCATGGCCACCAGACGAGCTGCGCGAAGATTGAGGAAAATACTCCACCCACGATGAAGCCGCCAGGAGCAGTCGCACCAAAACAGCTGAAGATCATCTCCTTGCGCAGACCGGGGGGATATGCCCGACCGAGGATCGCAATCGCATTCGGCAGCAGCATTGCTGGACCAATCCCCTGCAGGGCCCGACAGCAGTCAAAGAACACCTTGTTGGACCATACACTGAATCCGGCGAGAAGCGACCACAGCCCGAACCACGTGAAACCGATAATGAACATGAGCCGATGCCCATACACGTCTCCAAGTCGACCCGCCACGAGAATAAAAGTGCCGACAGTCAAGCTGTACGCTGCCGCGAACCAGCTCAGTTGGCCCGCGCTAGTGGTGCCGAAGCTGTCTCCGATGATATGCGCAGGCGCAATGGACATGCACAATCCAGCCTGCGTCATGAATTGAGCCATGCATACGACGGCAACGAACAAGATCTCCTTCCAAAGCACTGAGGGCGGTTTCACTGACGACTGCGCGGTTTCTAGCCGAGTCAAGGCTTCGGGGTCATGCTCATCGGCTTCATCCTCAATTGGTTTATCGCGCAGATCAGGGCGAGTGGATGTAGACTCGGAGTCGGAAAAGGCGGACTCATCGTGGACTTGACGGCGGAGCTGTTCAGCCTGAACAGTCATTTTGTTTTTCACTTGTCGAAGGGTCTAACGGACATACAGCCAGTCTGACTATGCACCGAAATAGCGAACACCCACCAGTCGCGGGCCAGATCTCGGGGAGTCCCCTATTATAAGTATCACGAACCGGTACAACTCGTCATTCTCATGGTGTCTGCCGAGACCCACTCTGTCGCCACAAGTGTTCTATGCTGCGATACGGTTCGCGGACCCAAGCTGAAGGGATCTCCTTTGAATGGTCGGTAGGGCCTTGGGACCCATATATATGTCTTGTCCCGTCGGAATGTACTCCGGTCCCGACGGAACATCATCGACAAGAGCCAGAGTAGATAAAATCACTGCATCACGTATCGACTAGCGTGGCTAATTGGCTGGTTTATACCCTTAGGTATAATGCTTCCTTCTATCTTTCTTCTAGAATAATCTCACTCACTCGGAGATTCTGGTAGAACTCGATACTTCTGGGTTGTCTTGGGAGCTTACCGTCCGCTGGCAGATATCAACGAATTGTACCTGCCTCAAGCTTCGAGGCGCATCCCTTCCGTGACACGCTGAACTATTCACCTTCAGCACCTTGCGCCTGCTAAGCCCTTGCAAATAAGGGTGAGGAGTCTCTCAATTCAATTCTAAGTCGACACCCGTCCCAGCCGGAATGACAAATACGACTGACCGACAATGTATCGATCCCGATTCCACAATTCCACCTCCTTTTCCTCGAGTCCCTCCTTCCCTTCTGCAGATTGGATCTCCTTTCCCGCTCCCAATGTCACATACAACGGCAGAACATGCTCCACCGTTGGATGAGCGAGTGGCCAGTCCGCCCGCTGCGGCAACTGTAGGAATCCCTCTGTCAAACCCCGTGTCGTTTGGGGCGATGTCTCCAGAATCTGCAGTGCCGCTGACTCGATTGCTTTGACGACGGTCAGGTCTGTGCTCTCGCGGGTGGCCCGAAGGTTGTGACATAACATTCCCGAGCCGATGACGAGAATGCGACCGGGTCTGACGTTCTCATCCGTTAGTCTCACTTCTCGCCAAGAGTCTGACGCCAGGAAGCCTGAGTAGAAGGGCGTCAACTCACAGTCTCGCCAACACCCGACCCAGCTCGACATGCGCCGCATAATCCTCTCCCGCAAAGGACGAGATCTGGAGAATGGGCACGTCGATCAATTCCTCTGGACTTCCTTCAGGGAACATGAGTTTGAAGGGGACCCAACTATCTCAAGGGATTTAGTTAGCTCCTACGCCCACAACTCAAGTGACAAAGCTGGGCCCATATTTTCGGCATACGGAAACAATCAAAAGGAGAATAGGAAAACATACACCCCATGATCCAAATCCCGCTCCACACCCTCGGCACCAATTCCATGGTCCCGGAGATGCTGCAGGACCTGATCCCCTAACGCACGCGATGACCGGTGCGGGTACCCGTACTCGAAGACGTGCGGGAAAGTAGTCCTCCAGCTAGGTCCCAGATCGTGCCACACCTTGGTGGGTTCTTTGAGGTTGACTTCCACCGACCCCGGGGTCTCACTTTGGTGGTGACCACTGACTACAACAATGGCTTCGGGCCGGAGTTGGTGGATCTCCCGCCCGATTTGGCGGAGGTCGTGTTGGACGGGGCCGTAGCCCGGTTTGAAGAGGATGGAGACGCCACCTTTTGTTTGTGTGTGTGTGTTAGTGAGTGGTCAGTGGCAGGGGATTGGATGGACTGTACAGTACCGTGGCCGATGAAATAGGTTGGGAGTGGAGTGGGAGATGGCATGTTGGGCGAATCCCTTGGAGTACGGTATGTCTGAACTGAGGGGCGGGGGGGCGGGATTTAGCGTTAAATTGAGGGGTGTGAGAGTGCGTATTTGTATGCAACCACTGACAACAGTTCAGGCTATTTGCTGGCAGTAGTTCGCGTGTGCGGGGAGCAAAATGGCGTTATGATTCTATCGCTTCCACGGCTCGCACCCGAGTGGATTTTGCCGACTGCCGAAGAGCATTTAAGCCCCGACGGATCTCCGCTGTCGTTTTAGCTGCTACCATCTTTTGCTTGGCATCGAAGCTTCGCTTTTTAAGTTGCTCGCTGTACAACGATCTAGGCCTAGCAGCCATTGAATGTGCAAGGACGTGATCTAAATGAAGAGGCAGAAATCTGTGGGGCCCCGGGCCTGCCTGGTGGGTCCGACTCTTGTCCTATTGAAGTCACCCAGCTGCGACTGCGTGGATGCAAATCACATTCACTGTTCTAGGCCATCTACTTTTTGAAGAATGGGCTCGGGAGAATGTGTAGGTCATAGGCTCAAGGGATTCATGACAGTGAGCGAGAATGGAGCACTCCAAAAGAATCATGTGGAGGGAAGGTACTCTGCATGGCAAGAGACAATCAGTAAGCCATATCACACACTATGGATACATTAGGTACCACTCCGGCACTCCCCCAATGGCTTTTGGTACTGACGAATTGCAATAAAAAAACATACAACAGAAGGGATTCGCTGGTGGTCACCCACCCAACTACTAACCTCCCGGCGTGTGGCTTGAGTACGGCTGAGCGGACGGGAAGCCCTATTTTCCACACCCTGTGGTCGTATGTGCTTGTTACTTCTTGAGTAGGATATATCAGCTGTGAGGAGATGCATAACTTCGGAGCAATTGATAGAAGTCGGCATCGAATATAGTTTCACCTTGTCTTAGTAATAATGGGATGTGCTATCGAGCAGGTGGGGTGGCTCTCGAACCTCAAACCATTGGTTATATTACAAGTATGTGCAACTATGCAGGATAAGCTAGGGTCTTCCGATGAAGGCTGTTGGGAGAACACCCCATTCTTGAGATGAAGGTGGGTAGTAATGGTATGAAAGTAGTAGACACAAGCTACCCGACTCTGAAGTCTCGCCACAGGTCGTAACTGTTGAGGCCTGGTGCAAACGAGCCCTCAGGGACTGCTCAGCCGCCTCTGCTATCGAATGTAGCAATCACTAGACATGGAACTAGACTTTACCACCATAGCTGACCAACATGTAAGAGACGTTTTATCAATTGCCTAAGGGTGCGGAGAATATATGTATATACTCATTCCGACATTCTCTTCCGCCAGCACTCGCAGTGATGACGCGACCTATGCAAATTCAGCCATGTCCACCCCACACGCTCGGAAATCAATCATACAAGTTGCATAGCTCTCTTGCTCTCAGAAGAATTCCCCGGGCCACTGTTACATTGACAATGCGAAATCGTTCAAGACTATAACCATCTTACCAGATGCGAAGAAGATGGCAAGATCTGGTCACGCACTCAGCATCTACCGGGGAGAGGCTTGGTACAAACGGGACTACTCTCGCCAGAAAGACCAGGGGTATTTCTGTCCGGGTTGCCAGGTGAATGGCGAATGCAATGTGGTTTGAGTGAAGCCCATTTGCCCGGATCAAGTCCCGAAGCTTTGAAACGAACAAAGCTGCCGGGAATTCTCTTGCCAGCGGTGTTCACGCCGCCAAAAGACATCCAGGCACACGATGTAGCGGACTGCGCTCGCTTACTCTCGACACATCTAGTTCGTCTGGATCGCGGACACAGAAAACATTGGAAAACAAAAAGAGAACCAGAGTGCATCATCCGTGAATCGAACACGGGCCTCATCGATGGCAACGATGAATTCTACCACTAGACCAATGATGCTTGCTTATAGATTTTGTGCTTCTGCTAGCTACTAAAAATCTAACCAAATTATGTGTGAGACGGCGTAAACTTCTTGAATATCGCTTCAGAATCCCTCAGCCACCTTTCCAGGCGTTATAAGCGATCTATCAGATGATATGTCCTGTCTCCTGAGCTATATTTCGTTATAATAGTTGGTCTGAGCAAGTTGCTACAGAAGCATTCCGGATGCTTTATTGATTTGGATTGCATGGCAGCGGGCGTAGCCGTCCCGGCATGCGTCCCAAGGTCCGCCAACACCTATATATACATATCTTCCTTCGGACCGGCGGCCCGTTCCGGCGTTTAACCGCCCTTGAATTGTGTAGGTTTAATCCTCGAGTTGATTAGACATGAGAGCGCACCATGACGAACTCCCTGAGATATCAGGTTCACCCTTCATATTCTCTTCGCCGTTGCGGCATTTCCTTCCTATCGCTCAAGCCATACCTGATGTTTATACTCTTTGCCCGTCTCGCGGGAGAACATGATTGACCGTTTCTTGCTTGACCATACCAAGCAGCGCTATCATATCAGGGGATATCTGGTAGAAAATATCTGCAGGTACGGAAAAGGAAAAGCATCGAAAAGGGTCAGACCCATTGCAAGTCATCCACCTCATGTAAGCGATCCGCCAGCAACCTGACTTTGCCTTAATAATGATGCAGTCATGCGCTTGCTTGCAAAGAACTCTCTCCGCATTAAGCCAGGGGGTATGCAAGTTGGTTTCCCTCTCGAGCCAGCATCATCGCTCATGTTTCTGATAAGTCCTGGCCACCTAGCAGACCTAAATCACATCATCCCTTAAAATCCTCAATCAGGCCAACTGACAAATCGAGACAAACAAGTTATGTACAGTACAACACAAAGCAATATATATCCATCCACTCAACGTCAGACCCCTTATAACCTTACCACTCAACCCGGATGTCCCCAGCATCAACACCACGCCCCCTAAACCCCCTCCTCATCCCTCTTCCTTGTTGCCTCCTTAATCAACTGCAGAAAGTACTCCTTCTCCTCCCCAACCACCTCATACCCGCCCCACCGACGTGCAAACTCCATCATATTCTCATGCGTGCACTCCGCCTGCGAGCCCAGCCTGGGGACACAAGCCCGCTCCAGCACCATGTAGCGGGCCTCATGGTCACGCGCCTTGACGGCGAATGTCGCCCAGACGAAATGCGCCCCGCCGGGGGCGCTGTGCTCGACAAAGTAGCCCTCGTGGTAGCCCTGCGTGTTCAGCCAGACGAGGTCGTCGGATTGATTGTAGGCGAGGCACCAGTTGGAGAGGGCGGGGCCGGTGGTTTCCTTGCCGTATTGTTGCCAGGAGGCGGCTGAGGGGGCGAAGGCTTTGTCTGTTCAATTGTCAGTGCTGGGGTCGAGGCCGGGGTGTTGAAGTATGGGCTAATGAAGAGGAAGAGGGAGGGGGGAGGTCTACAGAGGTAGTAGATGCCGGTGCCGAGGGGGCCGAGCTCGGCTGCGAAATCTCTTCTATCGTTCTCGTTGAGTTGGGACATTGTGGTTATGGAAAAGAGGCAATGATTGAGGTGGGTTTGTTGTTTTGGAATAGAGGGTTTATGTTGAGAGTGAAAGCTGGTTTGGTCGGTGTGCTCGGGGTCTGTTGCTGATCTTTATGTCGAGACGTTCCCCATTCCGAGCCGTAGAGTACGTTTGATTCAAGGCGTACTGTGATGATGCCAACACGCTTGGCGAACTTCGAGATCTGGTAAGGATGAGCGGGGTAGTTCATGATCGACGCCCGGGCTAGTGATCGCATTCAGCTTGTCCGCCCCTTTAAGAAAGCGATTGACTTGAGATGCAAGCCTCGGTGTCATGGAGTGGGGGTTGTTTTCACTTTGCTAGGTGCTCGTCCAGATAATCATTAGAGATCTTATTCCCCGGCTTACATTACACAGTCCACAGATCCGCAACGCCAGCCGAGTGACAGGTTCGTGGCTGATGTAATAGGATCGACATTGAAGTCACAGCACCGTGAACCAGTGTTCCAATTGGACCGAGATCGGCGAACGATACGAGCCCGAGGCTATGGTATTGCCGATCGCTTGCCGAGTCGCGAACTGTGGACGGGTTGGTTTGCGTCACAAGCCCTGGAGACCAGCTAACCGTACTGGCCACTGCTAGCATCGCATCGAGATATGAGTTTTGTGCTGTGGCAGCAGAGACATACCACAGAAGGGATTCGCTGGTGCTGATGGTCAACCCATATTCTTTGGTCATGTCTTGGGCATTGCGATGGGCATTAAGATCCTGCTGATGGGATTCCGGGCTACCATCTCAAGGCCATTGCCAAACTAGTGTCATTATATGTCAGTGGAAAGGTCTCTGTTCCTAGACGGTGTAGGATGCGTCGCACAAATCCCGAAAACTCCACTATAATAACTAGATGTCAGAGTATAAGCGTTGCTATCGTATTTGCTCTCACTCTTATTGCCAAACTGCTGGAGGGAATGCATAGCTCGCGCTCCTAGAGCACCGTTATGACAAGCCTGACGCCGAGCCCCAAGACTAGATCCTTAATGGCCTTTTGCTTTAACAGAAAGTTCGGTACCACTTGGTAGTCGCTTTGCTTTGATGGGATAATCTGATTGTTACATAAGCACAGCGGTCCCGTTTCCGATGGTGGTCCGTGGAGGACCGCATAAAGAGGTCTTATGTATAGTGCGGCAAGAGATTACAAGGAGTAGAGGAAAAGATAAATGTCTGCTGGAGAGGTTCAAATATTGCCTACATCGAAGGCAGATGCTTGTAAGCCATCCGGAACCGGAATATGGAGAATCGCACTGCTGAAGTGTTGTATACTGAGTCTGGCGGCACCTGCCGATAAGAAATTGGTGGGCATAAATGACTAAGTAATGCCGCTGAGTCATTAGTTCCACACGTGACTTTGAGGGGGATCGCCGCTCGATACAGACAGCACTTGAATGTCTTATCCTTCACTCAACCTAGCTCAGACACATTCAATCTGTACACTCTGGCTTGATTTACATTGGGACTCAATTGGAGACTCACCCTACACTCCACCAAGCCCTCACAGTGACGGAAAAGATGACCCTCCGAGGGCTGTGGAATCTACACTCCGACCGTCAGTAGACTTGGCAATGCGGAGTAAATGTGCTGACAGATTTGTCCAGAGCAATGGTATCGATTGTGTCATCGGACAGCACGCATAGACCCTCCTGATTCCGGTTCCACACTTCAAATGCTTGAGCAACTGCGTGACAGCTGGAGCACTGACAGCCTTGGCGAGTGGGAAGCGGTCCCATTCCGGAGCCCAATCCACACGACACTCGATTACGTGTACACAGTCGACCGCGACACAGGCATTTTCACTATCTCGCTGTGGGGTGAACGGGCTGGATCGCTGATGCCCGCGTGTGTGCGGGTCCCCCTTGCCGCGATTGATGCGTCCTGCAAATTGTCGATACAGTATCCGCTTAGGCGGCCGGAGCGTATGTTCTATTCCGGCCTCTGTGAGAGTATCCCAACAAATATTCAGCCTATAGCTCATGGCCCCCTTGAACTTAACTGCGGAAGTCCCTCCCAAATGAATGTGCTGCAGGAGCACCTCTTTAGCGACTTTGTGTTTGCCTGGCGCTATTACATCGACGATCCATCCACGTGGAGTCACGACTCGCCGGTCTTCCGGGTGCTAAGCGTTGCGTTTTTGCGTCTAGCAGCCTGGGACTTTGAAGTCTCGCGTGATGGTAACCCCGACCTTCCAATCTCATTCAAGTCGATACCAAAATGGAAGTATCCGGAGAAAGACATTTTCTGGTTTCATGGGTTCCTGATTGTTCTTCAGGAAGATGCAGATCCCGATTCCATGATAGGTAGAACACTTTCCAAGACTGACGAATTGCTTGGTGGGTTACCTTCGTATCACACAGTACGCTATGTGCTCTTCACTCCCCATCACATCACCTTGATGGAGCGCTCGAATGGTAAAGTTTCCTTATCTCAGGAGCTGGTACTGCTGGACAACCGTGCCGGAGTCCGGTGCACGCCTGGCTTCCGTGTGCTGAGTCGGATATTGACTTCGGGCTGCTGGAAAAAGCCTCAGGCTGATAGAGAAAAGTGGAATCCATTCATCCCGCCAGAAATCCTCACGAGAATTCTCCATCAACTGGAACCTCGCGATACTGTAGCACTGGCGCAGGCTTCCTTGAAGACGGAGCAATGCTACTACGCCACACTTCCCCAGCTGACGGGTATCAACGTACAGGACTGCGGTTCATCTATCCCCTGCTGCGGCCAGAGGGGCGGGCTGAACGAGCCCGGCTATCGCTGCCCTGGGTGCTTTGCGTGGCAGCACTGGCGATGTGCCAGCTCACAACATCACTCTTCACTCAGCGACGCTCTGTGTACCGAGTGTGACGAGCTTGAAAATGACGGGGTGCTTGACCCTGGTGGCATCAACCGGTACTGTCGCCGGAAACATCGTGAGGACTGCCAGATCAGGTGTGGAGGCGGCGCAAAATCTCTGCGCCTTCGACTATCCCCTCCCGCGCACCTTCGGCCGGAGCTACGTTTCAATGGGAGGCTCAACACCGTTGGTCCCAGTCAGATCGACTACACGATTACATTCAATGGCTCGTTCTCTGGCTTAGCTTACGGTGTGGATCCTTAGTACTGGCATGAGAAACTCGAACACTTATCTAGAATGGAGGACAAAGCCTCACTGTCTACTCTCGAACAGGTGGCTGTGTAATCATATACCACGGGTTGATATTTGTTTCACGCTGAAGTCTTGCATGATTGTTGATGCCAAATCCAAGCCGCCAAGCACCAATCTAGCTTACAGACAACGAATCTTTGCGTCTGTCCGGATGCGACTTCCTCTAAAAGGCGAACTCAAACTGCACGCTCGGAACTGCAGAGCTAGTTGGTGGCATAGAGAAGGTGAAATTCCAGAACTCGAAGTTGCTGTTTGAAATCAGTCAAGCACATTAATCTCCATCCGGAGCAGAAAAGGACCCGACACAAGCCTAACGACATAGGGAAAAACTCACTGAATAACATCACACGTCCCGCCCAAGAGTCCACAAAACGAGATTTCAGGGACCGGATCGACCGTACCCCCTACGACCTTAATCGAGAGTCCATCCACATCCTCAAAGCCAGTGATATCTCGCTTCGCCCCGAGCGGATTGGAAGCGAGCACAAAGGTGAAGGTGCTTGACGTGTTACCTAGGGGGTAGGTCAGATTCAGAGCGTATGGTGCGACCTCGGCGACAAGGGCGGTTTCCTCGGGATAGAGGTTGAAGTATCCGATCGAAGCGTCCGGACGGAGCCACTGCACAACGGCGGGGCTGAAGGAGGTCGAGTCCTCGGAGAACCCGCCGACAACAGACTGGTTGAAAGAGGCCGTGCCGATTGTCAGGTTGGCAGAGAGCCAGGTGGTGATGTTGCGCGGTTCGAGGTCGGCGGGAGGCGCATAGGCGTGGCCGGTGTAGGTTCGCTGCTCGTCGTCCGCGAACGAGGTCAGCCGTGCGCGGGCGGCAGCCGGAACGAGGGTCTGATGGAAGTCCGCAAGGATATTGACCAGCGGTGCGATCTCGAAGTCGTCTGCGTGCGCCATTGTCCAGATCGGCGAGGTGGCGTTGGGGAAGACGTGCGTCTTGCCGACGAGCGACCACACCCACAGCGACATGATGGCCACGTATTTGTTCATATCGTACCCGTACGATCGATCCCACGGACCGGCGAAGTTGCGCAGATTCGCATTCCACAGCTGCGACTCGTACCCCCAGATTGCCTCGATCACGCGCGTTGCGTGCTGGCCGATAGTGGCGTTGGTCGAGCCGAGGTACTTAGCCGCGATGGTGAGGGCATACAGCGAGACGCCGGCGTAGGTGGGCCCGTTGAACTCGGAGAGTGTGTTATTGCGGTTGAACAACTCCAAAAACGCGAGGGCGTCGCTGTCGCCTGCGGCGGTCATGTTGGTGTTGGCGAATTTGCGCCCGGTCCACGAGCCTACCACCGTCCGCATCAGCCACGCATTCGAGTACGCAGGGTAGAGGTTATCGCCGTCGACCCCGCCGACGCGATATGTGTCACCGATGGTGTTGTTGTACAGACTTTCGAGGACGAGTCCCTGCACACTCTCTGGCAACAGGTGCCCAAATTCCTCGTAAATGACAATCAATGCGGTGCCGATAAACCCTCTCCAGTTGGGATCCCACGAGTTATAGATCTAATCCCCTCGGTCTCAGAACAGCGGCAGTTGTTCGTTTGGATGGGCGGCAAAAACGACTTACCACTGGAGGGTATGCCGGGGTTCCCACGGTCGGTTGTTCTGGGTACTTGGTATAATCGCCATACCACTGCACCGAAGTATTCTTTTCCTGATCCCCAATAACATTCTGCAAGATCTTGACTGCCTCCTGGCGATCCTCACCTCGATTCCGCTGCAGTAACCCTGCCGCATACCAGATGGTCGACCGTGTCTCATGGGGCCCCGCAGCCAGCGGGAAGTAGAAATAGCGGAGATACGAGGCAGCGGGATCATAGATGGCGTCTTGAATCACCATCGACTCGTCGAAGAGATCCTGCGCCGTGCGACTCAGGTCAACCGCCTGTACGACGCTGGTCCCCAGCAGGCTCAAGCTCAAGAGCCGGGACCAATTGACTTCCCAGCGCATGTTTATCTTTTTCCCTCTGACAGGTGTTCTCACAGGATTTAGTTTGAGGCGGAGGGCATGCTAGTCAGCGCCTGAAGGTATTGTACCTTACTTTAATAGTACATCTCCACCGGAGAAATTTCTCCGAAAGTACCGCATTGACCGGAGATAGTATGATATGATGATCGTTATTTTCCTGTTCTTCATTCTCCCAGCACGGGCGATAAGATAAGATAGCCGAGGTTGGTTGTCACACCCACACCCACACCCCTTTTTCCCCCGCACCGGCCCCTCCCAGGCCGAGTCCCAGCCACCTCGATGTGGCTGGGAGATTTACATTATGACGTTGTGGCATGATTGTTGTCTTCGACTCCTGGTTTGGTTGTTATTTGTATTAATGGGACATCCAGAGTGCAGGTTATTAAATTATTCTCCTCTGGACAAAGCAGTACAGGCGTGAAGCCGCAATCGTTGCAGTTTTGACTGCGTATTGATACATACTAGTTCCGAGATGCCTGGCAGTCGTCCTGCAGCGCTTCCCAGCTTTGTCATTTTTCTTGGGGCTACGATGCAGAATGTGCAAATGGCCCGATGGCAAGTTCAAAAGCACCAGACAGCATGATTACCCCACCGCTTACTGCCTCAATCTCCACTTGGCATACGTCTTCGACGGATACCGCTCCTCTGTAACCCTCCCCAAATTCTCCACACACCCAGCAATCTCCGCATCAAAATCACAGTAATCATAGACCACCGCGTTATCATCCGGAATTAACCTGTCCCGCAGATCGAAAAACAACTGATAGAGCGCCGACACCTTGCGTCTCGTCCCGCGCACCGTGCGCAGGATATCCAGCAGCACGGACCCAAACGGCGCATACGAGAGGATATTCCCATACACATCGCCGTCGCCCGTGCGGCCGCGCTCCCTCGCCCTCCCCCGAATATCCCTCGTAACCTGCTCCACTGCCCGCTCAATTCCCGGGAGGACCTCATAACCCCCCGTTTGATTGTGAGTGGAGGTGGTCTGCACGGCGAGCAACATCCACCGCAGCGCCAGATCAGCCAGCACATGATTCGGCTCGATGACTTTACTCGCGAAGCCGAACCAGGTCCCGACGAACGACTCGATCCACCCGCCGCCGAATTCGCGCAAGAACCGGAACCGCTGGCGCCCGAGATCGTAGTGCACGCCGGGCAGCCACTCCTGGCGGGTGACGCCGAACTTCTCCCAATCCTGGGCTGCGTGGCGGGTGCGGCAGTCCCGGCTGACGAGGCAGGGCTGGAAAATGAAGAGTCGGTCGTGGAGCGAGACGGCGTGGTGGACGTTCTCGACCACCGTCGAAACGTGCTGGTCGTAGAAGACTGGCCAGTCCAGCCCCACGCCGCCGGTGTACTCCGGGATGCCCAGGCTGCCGACTGTGTCGAAGAGGCCCATGAATTTGATCGGCGGGATGAAGCGCGGGGTGTGCGGGTGGCTGGGGTCCTCGTCGCCGATGAGGGGCCAGGACTTGCGCTGGCGGAAGCGTAGGGATTGCGGGGAGTGTGGCGCGTTGATGGCGTAAGGGGAGCGGTAGAGATTGTAGACGGCTTCGCAGAGGAGGCGCGTCTGGTGCGTGTCGATCTCGTTGGTGGGAGAGGAGGGTTTGGGGATCGGATGGACGATGCCGCAGTTGTTGATCATGCCGGCGACGGCGCGCGCGAGGTACGAGCCACGCGAGAGTCCGAAGAGCCAGATCTCGTGGGTCGGGTAGGTGTAGTTGTACACGATATACTCGTAGATCTCGATGCATTGGCGGGCGATGTCTTGGCCGGTGATGCCGTTGAAGAGGTAGCTGGGGGTATAGAGGGTGTCAGTGAGTGTCGGTTGGGATGGATGGAGGTGGCGGGAGCTGACTCTAGGAATGAACTGCCGATTCCTACACCTTCGAGATACAGGACTCCTTCTGGAGCGCGGATATCGGAGGCGATCCGCACGCCAAACAGCTCCGCGAGCTTGTAGATGTTGCTCCGCGTGTTGGTCTCGCGGCCGCACCAGGTGCCATCGCAGAGGATGACGAGCGGCTTGGTGGGATGGTCGGGCGAGGCTGGCCGGGACAGACTGAGCGATGGAGTCGATTCGCTAGACATGATTGTGGTTGTGCGAGTATTTTGGAGATGTTGAATGGAGAGATGAATGCATCAGGGACATTGGAGCAGTGGAGCAGTGGAGCAGTGAAGTAGGAACAGCAAGCGGGGAAGCAGGCAGCTCAGCTCCTGCAGCTGAAAGAGCGAAACCATGGGTCTGTGCACACGAGCTCCTCCCGGAACGGCTGATCGACGCCAACCTCTCATCATCGCTATATGCGTGGGCCCAATGACTGAGAGATACTTGAAAAGTAAGGACTGGAAGTTCGTGATTGATGTTGAGCATCATATGTCACGGTGGGTTCAGCTATTGTTGGGTGAATACGTCAATACTTCAAGCGGACCCTTAACTATTGGCTGAACCGATACAGCATTGACCAGTAAACCTTCTTATGAAATAAGCCCACATAACAGAATTTTTCTTCTTGGACGGTAAGATCATAACGCAACACATGTAACTCAAAGACGTTCTACAGAGCTTGCTGAGATCCAGCCCTATTTATGTAAGCAGGCGATTGTGTGCCTGAGGCATTAATTCTGTCTGGTTTCTCTTTCCGCCTCGAGACAAACCAAGCGATCAACACTCCATGCTACCATCTTCAAGGAAAAAAAATGCATCCACACTTCATCTGTCACTGTTCTGCTTCCAGTGAGAGGATCTTATTCTCATTCTCATTCGTATCATACACCTCTCAATCTCAAGACCCCGACCCTACCATACCTATTCGTCTAATGAACAAGGTGGACCCATCGTATCTCTGCAGCCATCGACGTAAGCCCAGCAACAGGCATGTCATCCATCCTGGGCGCAAAATGGATGTCTACTAAATCCTTGCACAAAACAACTGGGATAGAGCAGAATCTTTCAACAGAGAACCACTCCGGTCTCCAAACTGAAAGAACTCACCTTCACTTAACGCACCGCTAGAACCAATGGCATCGTACTTTTGGGAATTACAAGGAAAACAGGGTGATTTGCTGAGAGGGACTCAAATCCTGCATCTATCCAGAATGTGGACTCTTCCCTCCTGTTGGTGAAAGGTGCCACTGGACCCTTCTGTCGATGATTGAAAGCTAATCGATCGACGCGTGTCTTAATTGAAATATCGCTTAGAGATACGTGTATGGGCCTGTTTCAAGCACAGAACAATATCCATACCAATGATACTTAGCTCCCAATCACAATCTACTCAATAACCCCCCCCCCCCACTGCGCCAGCTCATCTCAATTACTAGTAAAATAATTGACCGCCAGCACAGACCCCAATTTAATTTCCCTCTCCCAAGCATCAAGATCATAGCGCATACGATGCATATTCCCCAAATTCTGCCCCCGCGGCGGCGCATACTTCTTTCCCTCGAACCCGGCTGGCTGCTCGTACAGAAAGAAGACATATCGATGCGGCGAGCTGCCCGGCGGCGGGGCGGGGCCAATATAATTGGCCACAAACGGCGCAGTGACTCTCAAAGTCTGCAGGGCAGGATCGCTATCGGACGGAGTGGGCTGGAGGCCCGGCTGGATCCAGTGCAGGATGGGGCCGAGAACGCCGAAGGAAGGGAAGGGGGCGTCGATGTCAAGGGCGATGAGCATGTAGCTCGTGCTTGGCGAGAGGCCGTGGAAGAAGAGTTCCGGGGGGGATTGTGCGTCTGGTGAAGAGTAAGAAATCAAACAGTCAGTCAGTCCGTCCGTCCGTTCGTCCGACAGTTCATTCAGAGTTTGTGGGTGTTGTGCTGTAAGCTCTAACCCGCTCTGGGGATATACTGGCCCGGTTGCACGGCCCCATGATTGCCGACTTTCAAGCCGAGCACTTTGCTGGTATCAGCCTCGATCAGTGAGAGGGCTTTTTTGACACTGTGGTTCGCGGGCATGGTGATTTTTCGATGGTTGCTTGTAGATGGAGAATGAGAGGAGTCTTCGCTGGCTTGGGCTGACGCATGTACAGGGGAGGATGGGATGCTGGATTTACAGAGTCAGCGATCGGCTTTAATGGCCGGAGATAGGGCATCTCCGTCAAAGATAAGATTTACCCCTCATTCACCCGTGTCATCTGGTTCTGTTGTCACTCTCTCTCGGATACTGTCTGGCTGGAGTTACCAGGGCTCCGTCTGGTATCTCCGTTGATGAACTTTCAAAGCAACCCCCCATGTCTGGCGAATATCAAATACATGTAAGCAGCCACAAGCAAATCATTCTGGGACATATTCAGTGTCCGAAGACAGGGCCGGGTCATCCGTGTACATGCCGTCCTCTCGTGGTCTGCACATTTGCACGACAGGTAGAGAAAAGGTGTGGAGGTTGTTGAGATTAAATCGGTACTGGAAGGTGTTGTGGATTTGAACTGTGGCAGGAGAAATTTGGTAGTTGGAGGCAGGGAAGAGATTGTGATGAAGTCGAAGGTGACAAAAGGAGACACCGTGTGGGATGGCTCGCAGTGACTCATTAGTCATACTCTCCGGAATGTCCTTGAGATGGTGTCAGTATGATCATGATATTCGCGGTGGATGCGGCAAGCGACAGCATCTTTATATTGAGTGAGAATCCTTCCACCGCGCCTTTTGGCTTAAAGATCCCTTGCCGAGGAGAAGCTGCTCCTGACGCTAAACTTGACGTTAATTGAAGTTACCTATCAGACCCTTTCGTTTCGAATTGCCCACCATGCTTAGCCACCTCCGCCGCAGAGTAATCAAATAGATCTACGAACGTAAAGACAAGTTCGACGATGAGAACACGAATAAGCGAGTCGAAGTACCGGCAATCTATCACGAGCTAGTTATGCACACTTAGTTTTGCTCGTCGACTTTTCCTAAATCATGTCGAGTGAATCTTTATTGTTCTCACCCACTTACATTTCACATTGGGTAGAAGCCTCCAGGCCATCAAGGACCACCATTCTGCTTGTTTTTCGGGTAGGGCTCCGGGAGCGCGAAGACCTCCTGGTAAGTATTCCCGGGTGCAAGACCACTTAGAGTTATACATGTATTGAAATGGAATATGAGGCACCACATCGTCTGTATCAAGATAGCATCACGCATCCCTTCCCTAATTCTTTGAGAGGACTGATTCTGTGGCGCATCGCGGGGATGCGGACTGTAGATCTAATTAAGACCGATGTACGCCAACTTGTATGGTGTTGGCACAAGATATGCGTGAAGGTTTGTGAGGAAACTCCCGCACGAACGTAGAGTCTGAATAAGGAACCTCGGGTCTTCCTGCCTCAGGCCATTTTCTTCAAACACAGCAAGATGCATGTATCTAATGATATCATCTTCCCTCAGAGTCGGTCATCAACTCCACCCGCAGCCGGGATTAGCTTAAAGCCGACCCTTAGTGTCAGCATTTAGCACTTGGTCTGTGCGAAACCAATAGGAAGCCACAGTGACAACCTTAAGTTAGCCGAGCCGACGATGGGCGGATCGGACCCTGACTTCGGCTCCGCGGCATTTGCTTCAGTCGCACCACTATTCTGTCCTACCATCCTTATATATTCTGTTCCTGCTACGCTGAACCCAAGGAGAAGTACAGCAGCACCCCTAATCCATCCTCAAAGCCCAAACGCATCATGGTCAAGTTCCTCCCCTTCGGCGACCTCCAGGTCCCCTCGCCCGGCTTCGGCGCCATGGGCCTCAGTTTCGGTCTGGGGAACAACCTGAGCCTCGAGGAGGCCGAGCCTGTTCTTCTCAAAGCAATTGAGCTGGGCTGTACATTCTGGGACACGGCTGTAAGTTTACCCCCCCCCCCTGTGGTGCAGTCGAGCTTACCCGGCCTGACCGACCCAAGGTGGTATACCAAGCCGGTGTGAACGAGAAACTCCTCGGCGACTTCATCAGAAAGCACAACGTCCGCGACAAGGTGTTCAGTAAGTGATCCCCCAACTGCTTGATGACAGCTACCAGAGCCATTGGCTAACTCTACCACCACCACCATCACCAGTCGCCTCGAAATGCGGCTTCGATGTCTTTGGCCCCAACGGGAACGAGATCGGCAGCGGCGCCGTCACCAACTCGGCCGCCCACATCAAGCAATACATTGAAGGAACGATTGAGCGACTCGGGTTCGCTCCGGATCTGTACTATCTGCACCGCATTGATCCTCGTACGTTGCGGCTCCCTCTCCCACCGGTTGTAACACTCCCACACTAAAACGGATCCGACACGTAGACACCCCGCTCGAGGAATCCATCCCCGTGCTGGACGAGATCCGCCAGGCCGGGAAGACCAAATACATCGGTCTCTCGGAGTGTTCTGCGGCGACGCTCCGCAAGGCCAGTTCGCGTAGGTTTGCGGTGCTTCAGTGGTTTGTTTCAGAGGTTAGGACAGGACACTCACTAATTGTGCGGTTGCTAGTCGCCAAGATCGACGCCGTGCAGGCTGAATACTCCGCGTTCGAGACCGTCCACGAGACGGACGGACTGATCGAAGCGGCTAGGGAGCTGGGCGTCGCCTACGTCGCCTACAGCCCGCTCGGACACGGCTGGCTGGTCGATCACTTCGACTACCAGTCTCCGGACGACTTCAAGCCGGATGATTTCCGCCGCAAGAGTGAGCCTCCTTTTTCCGCTTTGCAGCTCCCACCCCCTAATGGGGGAGCTTGATATGCTGATGGTGCAATTTCTGATAGGCCCCAAGTTCCAAGGCGAAAACTTCTACAAGAACAAGGCGATCGTGGAGGAGATCAAGAAGCTCGCCGTTCGCAAGGGCTGCTCGATCAGCCAGATCGCCCTCGCTTGGGTGGCGGCGCAGGACATGATCGCCATCCCCGGGACCACCAAGGTGCATCGGTTGGAGGAGAACTTTGCCTCGCGTGAGGTGGATTTGACGGAGGAGGAGCTGCGCGAGATGCGCCGCATTGTGGATAGTGCTAAGCCGCATGGGAATCGGTATGGGGCTGCGCATCAGGCGCTTGTGGGGCACTAGTTTCAGAGGTGACAGATGTCTGCAGTGAATGTAGCATCAGCCTCTGGTATAAAGTGGCTTCTGCAGTGCTAAGGTCAAGCATACTTATTTCACAAACGTCAATTCCAGAACGATGTAATGTTTTGCCTGGCAGCGTGACGGCTTCAATATCATCGCCTGCACGAATTCGTTGAAGGAAAGCGTCTCGGTGTTGCGGTAGGCCTCGGCCATGTCCTGCGGCCGCGTAATGACGTACAGGAGCGAGTCGACGACGGTCAGCGCGAAGGGGTCGTTGTTGCGGTCATGGAAGTGTTTTCTTTGGCAGAGAGGAGAAGAAGAAACGTGTTATGTGATTGTTAGGTGGGCGCTGGGAGCAGCGTCGAGATAGGGTTTTATTCGAAAAGCCCTTATTGTGCGCGGAGAGCAGTAATGGGAATTTTGAAAGAATACACCACCATGGCCTGTCGCATACTGTCAACTTTCCTGGGAGAATGCAGCTTGGATCGAAATCAGGTAGTCCTCACCCAGAACTGCAGCGTGGTTAGCAATAGGAGAATGAATTGAAGGCGTGCAACTTACATGGAATCCAATACGGCAGTTCCAAGCTGACCGCACTTCTCTAACCCATCCGCCGCGAGCTGCTGCTCCCAATGCGCCTGATCTCGGTTCTATTACTCTTCTCGCCCTGTCTCCTCTCATGTTAATTTCTGGTGCCTCAGGCCATCCACTCAAGTCACCTGATAAACTACCCCGGAGTCAGCGCCGGATAAGCAAAGCCGGGGTAAAAGTCGCTTATTTCTTTCCCCGCCCGGTTAAGTTCTTTTCGTTGGATCTTCTTCTTCCCTTCATCGAGACAAACACACAACACACAACACCTCCTGCTACGCATCAGGATGTCTCCGCCAACAGAAACCATGGAAGACGCAAGGGAGCTGGGTTTTCAAGAGGCTCCGATTGAAATGCCTCAGGAACAGGAGCCGAAACTGTCAGTAATAGCATAGAATGCTATCTCGCCATCACTACCTACCCTCAAACCACGCTCCTGACACCGCTCTAGACAAAAGCTCTTGGTCATCGGGGCAGGATTCACCATCATGCTCACGACCAACGCCCTCATCTTCTCCGCGGGGGTCTACCAAGCGCTCTACGAGGAAATGGCCAGCGAGCCGGACAACCCCTTCACCGGCGCATCCTCCGCCCTGATCGGCCTCATCGGGACCCTCGCCATCGGGTTGATGTCCATGACAGGCCCCTTCGTCATGACGTGGATCAAGCTGTACCGGCCCCAGGCCGTGGTCGCCGTGGCGGGCGTTATCTTCGGCGTCGCCTACATCCTAGCCAGCGTGAGCCGCACCCTCTGGCAGTTCGCGCTCACGCAGGGGGTGCTCGTGGGCATCAGCGTGTCCATGGCGTACATCCCCGCCACCACCACCGCGCCGACCTGGTTCCACGAGCGCCGCAGCCTCGCCATGGGGATCATCATCGCCGGCAGCGCCGTCGGGGGCATGATCTGGCCCTCGGTGCTGACGGCCCTGATCAACCACCTGGGCTTCCGCAACGCCCTGCGCATCTCCGGCTCCATCTGCGCCATCGCCATCATCCTCGTCTCCCCCGCCGTCCAATGGGAGCCCAGCTTCCACGCACAACAGATCCAGGCCGAGCGCAATACCCTCATCCAGCGCGCCACCCACCGCACCCTCCCCTTCCTCCAACCCCCCCTCATCAATTGGCGCCTCACCCGCACGCGCAAGTTCCTCGCCAAAGCCACCGGCTGCATGCTCCAATCCGCCGCCTACTCCACCCCGCTCATCTACTACGCCGCCTTCGGCCGCTCGCTGGGCTACTCCGCCACCACCGCCGCCAACTTCATCACCATCAGCAACGCCGCCAACGCGGTCTCGCGCATCGTCCTGGGCCACGCGGCCGACCAATACGGACGCATCAACCTCCTCTTCGCGACCACCTTTGTGAGTGCTGTGTCCGTCGCCGCCTTCTGGGTCCCGTCCACCGTCGTCGGCGCCACTCTGGCCGGCAAGGCGCTGTTCATCGTGTTCACGGTGCTGTATGGCTCGTTCGCCAGCGCCTACATCGCGCTGTTCCCGGCCTCGCTGATGGAGCTGTTCGGGACGAAGGACTTCACGAGTGTCAACGGCGCGCTGTATCTGGTGCGGGGCGTCGGGGCGCTGCTGGGGACCCCGCTGACGGGGTTGTTGATCCCGCAGTCGAGTGCGCTGATGAGCCCCGCGGTGTATGAGCGGGCGGCGCTCACGGTCATGGCCTTGCTGTTTCCGGCGAGCGCTTGTATCCTGTGGGTGAGGTTGGAGATGACTGCGGGGAAGGATTGGAGGTGGAAGGTTTGATTTGTGCTGACCTATTCTGTACGACTAAACGGCGGAGGTTGAAAGGCAATAGTAGGTACCGTATAGCTGAGACCTCTGCAGATCTGGATCATCACCCACTCCAGCAGGAAGAAGTCTTGACTAAGTGTTTGATACATGACTACCTTCAGGAGACTAGACCCCGTTCAGGAAATTCTCCTGAAATGCATACTCCAGCAGACTGGGCGTCTTCGTTGAACCTTCATTTATGCGCTGTAACTATCAACTACAGTGACAAGCTACCAAAAAGACACCACTCCAAAAATGAAATTCCAATTTTAGATTAAAGTCAATTACAGTCATATCACATCACACACCCTCTCCCCATCTAAGGAGTCTCCTCAACATTATACACAAGTTTCTCCCCGCTCACCTTATCCTGCTTCAACAGCTCCAAGCCCTCCAACACCCCCTTCAGTCCATGTGCACCCACCTTGGGACGATGGACCCGAATCTTCCCCTCCGCCAGCAGCTGGTGCGCCGTCTCCCAGAAGCGGGCCGCGAAGACGCGGTCCTCGGGCTTCGCAGGCATATGCGTCTCCCCAAAGGTAAAGTCCTCCCCCACGGCCGTGTAGGCAAGGGTCCAGCGATCGCGGACATTCTCGCGCTCAATCCCCACCTTCAGCAGCGCAGTATAGTCGCCGCCCTCCGTGGAGATGGCCGCGTCGCAGAACTTGGCACTGGCCTCCAGCGAAATGGTATCGAGCACCAGCCGGAGTTGGTTGTCGGTATACTTGCGGATCTCCACGGGGGCGGCGGGATCCTTGTAATCAAAGGCCGCCTCGGCCCCGAGCTGCTTCACCAATTCGAAATTGTGCGGCGAGCAGGTGGCCAGCACCCGGTAGCCGGAGAGCTTGGCGAACTGGATGGCCAGCGCCCCGGTCGCGGTCGAGCCGCCGTACACCAGGACGAACTCCCGGGTGGCAGTGGCGGTGGGCGCGGTGGGCGGGGCCAGCTGCAGGCTCTGATACAGTGCCTGGCCCACCGTCGTGATGCCCACGCCTAGCGTCGCCGCCTCCTGGAAGCTGAGGGTGGAGGGGATCCGCGTGGACAGGTCGGCCTTGGCCACGATGTACTCGGCAAAGGCTCCGTCCTCGGGCTGCACTGCGTTGGCCCCGTGCACGAATCCGCACACCCGGTCGCCCGGCTGAAATCGGGTCACGTTCTGGCCCACGGCTTCGACCACGCCGGAGTAGTCGCACCCGACCAGCACGCCCTCGGGAGCGAGATAGGCGATGTGCTTCCAGTCGGTCGGGTTGAGGGCGACGCTCACCGTCTTGACCAGGATGTAGTCGTCGCGGAGAGTCGGGATAGGGCGGTCGGTGACCAGGGAGGCCGCCTTGGGGGAGGTGACGACGATGGCTTTTTGAGTCGACATTGGTGAGGATGATATATGGTTGGGTTGACTTCAGGAGGAGGCTGCTGTGCTGTGCTGTGCTGGCTACTGAGGGATTGTCGGTTTCGGATGGACTGGGGATGGAGATTGATATATCGGGCGACAGCAGGTGCTTACAAATTGAGGGCAATGATCTCATCTTTGGGGATCACCTGGAGACCCACCTTCTACCACAATCCTCTTTTTCTCGAAGATCCGAGGGAGTTCCGTTCTTCAGCCTCTTTACCAGCGGACACTAGCCCTTTTCCGTCGGCCAAGCATCAAACACTCAATTCCGCAACCAGAACCAGAACTCGGGGAAACTGCATCGGACATTGTAGGGGAGTAGTAGTAAGCTTGGAGGACCAACTTTGCGCTTCTTCACTCAGCGGAGGGAATGGTGCGTGTTCCCGCTGGTTATCTCCATCTCCACTGTCTCGATCTTCTGGCAATTGTCGGTGTGTTCAACTGACTAGTTAGCTAGTGATCCCGGCTTAATAATTCTTGCTGGGATACCGAACCCTCACCCAGCTTCCAATCAAGGGGAATAGGTTCAAGATTCCTCGTATCTGCCATAGATGATGTGATAACAAATCCTGTATACAGTTGAATTTATAAGATTAGTGAACAGAAACTAAAAAATCAAGGTAGTGAATCCTGCAGTCTTGGCATGTCAGCCACCCGCAGCACTAGATTCCCTGTGGCTGAGGTGCATGTCGGCAGTACGCTCGGGATCGCTCGTCCTGTCCGCGGAAGGACTGCGGCACGTGCTTCAGAACTCGTTACCATGCAGTTGAATGACAATGGCGGACGGTAGAAAGTGCAAAAAGTCATGACCAGACTGGGGCTCGATCCCAGGACCTTATCGGTGTTAACGATACGTGATAACCAACTACACCATCCGGCCAACTTGTTGGGTCAAGCTACGTTACATTACATTCTCAGGCAAAACATAGTGTATTAGTAACTTTTGCTAACATCCTCCAGCTCAGAAAACAGTCACTTTGTCCAACACCATCTGATAACAGAAGTTATCCTCGTAATGTTCGAGCTCTGTGACTCCCAGTAATCGGTAGTACTCTAGTTTCCCGTTTCTCATTTTCCTCCTTTCCCCTTCTATGTGTGGCGAGGCTTTATGAGTTACCCGGGTTGCTCCAGATATATATTTTACAATACCAGACCTTCAATTCAGCGGATGTCTTCTCACAATAGCATGCAAAACAAGATCCCTTTTGACGCCAAGTTACTGCCGACACCTCGGTTACATAGCATACACCGCCATAACAAGGTACCACCACAAGCACCATAAACCACTCCCACGTAAAGAGTTGTCACCACCGCAGTTGTACTACAAAGACTCCAACCTTGACCCGAAGCCGTCGACAGACACACCTAGAAAACCTCCAAGGATGTCTAGCAGGCTACAAAGCTTATATACCTACCCGGGTACGAACTAAACAAGCATCATCGACCGCTGACCGCGCAAATGCCATCGGAACCAGATGACTAGAACGCAAGATTGACGCTCTGGGAATCGGAAGATAATGCACTTAACCCGGTAGTGAATGGTAGGCGTTGCTACGGCTTGGAGCCAAAACAAAAAGGGGCCTAGTGGTGTTCCCGATAGATATAGGCTACACCGAAGATCACACTATGGTACTTTATGATTGTATAGTGTATTTCGACTGCTTGTTTTATCCTGGTTATATAACAACTAGTAGCAAAAATCCCTCATCCACTGGCCGGATGGTGTAGTTGGTTATCACGTATCGTTAACACCGATAAGGTCCTGGGATCGAGCCCCAGTCTGGTCATTCTTTTTGTCCGCAAAGGACAACCTCATTTTATTTTAGCATGGGGTGTCCCAGCGATCCCTTTGCAATCACATACATCATTTCGTCGAAGTAGACCCGTAACACCCACACGCAAAAACTCCCTTCCCCGTGCCCACGCTGGTGAGCTAACCAATGCGCCCACAGCCCAGCGCAGTCCGCCTTCAGAATGCTACCCTGGGCCCCATCCAAACACATCCCTAGAATGTCCCAGAACATATTGCAGACCTCCGCGTGTATAGGACTTTCGAGCGTAAACATATAACTGTGAGTAGGTGGGCCTGCATCCACGAGGGGCCTCCCGAGTCAAAACACAGGACTTGTCCCGAACACTACACCGTGCTTGATCATGAACCCAATCCACCCTGCTCACTTCAACACATGCATACCAGGGTCCCTCAACCCGACGGCTGTTGTCACTTCTGAACACCCAACACAAACTGCACAGGGCTGTACTATCTAAGCGGCTGGATGGTGTATCTGGTTACCACGTAGTGGCTACAGTTTATGATCATGGGTATGATTCGTGATTCTTACCATGATTTACTAGTTCCGAGGCCTCAATCTAGGCACTGTGGAGATTTAGATGCAAAGTCAGGTTAGTGGAAAAGAGTAAACTTCTACGCACATGTACAAATAGCTAGTGTCGGAAACTACAGAAGCCATATCAAGTACAAATATGACTAGATGCAATCGTGCATCGTGGCTTGAGCTTTGGCAAGGCGAGGCAGGGCCTTTGCTGAGCATAGTCCTGGTTCAAAAGGAGTCCAGAGTCTGTATCGCGATGCCTGGTCGACTATTTGGCCACAAGACTGGCTATGTACACGCTCTTCGCATCTGCTTCAGATCAGTTCGAGACACAGATCTATTCGCATGATGCAGCTCGTCGTCCCGGTACTCTTGCCCAATACAGCAAAGCACTGGGTAAATCGGAAAGATATTGAAGATGCTCATTCCGTACCCATGGTCGGCTTTTGTTCCGGTGGTGCGTATTGCGTTCGAGGTGCGTCGAAGCAGAGCAACAGATCCTGGTCGGTACAACTCTGGCTTGGCCTGCAAGCACGCTGTCATGTCATGCCTAGCCTTCTGGGTATATGCATCCTCATGGCTTTGCTGGAATGTATGGGAGTGAAGGTCATTACTTATATAAAGTCAGTTGCAGTGCTGTCTCTCTTTGGTCTAGGCAGTGCTGGATTCCTAGCAATTGCAGCATATGATATAGGTGCCAGTACTCCTGCGTCATGATCCATGTTTTTATTGCGCCGGCGCTTGTAGCAGTGGAAGGAATAACGCAAATTCTCTATTTCGCACAGTCAAAATGTGAATTCAAACTTTTGAGATTTCCGGAAATTCGGGAATTTTGCTACTTAAGTTGAAACCTGGCATGGGCCTTGAGAGCTCTGAATCCCTCTATTCCTGCATATGCGAAGGGCTCCAATTTGGATATACTACGGAATGGTATTTTGTTCTCCAGGGAGCAATTCCAGCATGGTTTGGTTTATTACAGCGCGTAGTAAATTGAGCCTCAATTAGTCTCTGAGCGACACTATTTCATCTTTGCGAAAAAGGGCATCTTCCGTGCATGTCAAGTTTCTGTTCACTGCGACTCGGGAACGTATGCTTTGGTGTCTGGTATGGGAGTCACGGCCGATGCCACTGATGATTGAGAGGCTTTGAAGGTATTGACTCGGCTTCCAGCCACATCATCTATTTCAGGGTTGTGATGATGAGTCTCCCAGAAGTATCAAACGAGGAGACTTCCTGTCATGTTGGAAGAAGGAAGCGCCGAGCTACGCCAGGGCGGTTTCCAGCTTGGAGGATTGATAAACATGGAGAAAACCACATCAGTTTATGCCTAAGTCATTAGGGTTTGAGTTGATTATGCTATCATAGTGTTTACTATCCAGACGGCTGTAGTCGTCGTGGACGACAAACATTGGCTCGCCATCACGACCGGCTTTGCAACTGATGTCTGCACGATGTAGACCGTCACCCGGACACCTCTTTCCCGACGAGCCACAGTTCTTGTACAAGTAGCTAAAATCGTGGTCTATAAGAGAATGCAACTGTAAATCATGACCTCACATAAAGTTGTGTTGAGAACGTCATACCGTTTTGTCAGATTCAAAAGAATTCCAAAGGACCGCACTGTTTGCTAGCAGCTGTCTCAGTTTTAAGCCGACTACACAAGTTGCTTCTGTACCGTCTTCAATGACGCCACGAGTGTTGAACTCCGTTCAGAGTTGGGATGAACGCGAGGCCCGGTGTTTAAAGTCCCGCTATGCGTCGACAAATACGGGATCTGTTTCTAGAGAACGTTCACTCGGCTGAAGCCTGCAAATTGATGATAATTGAAGGATCTCCGGATGCTCTCTATGCATTTCGTGCTTATCACACCTACGAGGATTGATGGGTTCATATTGTGCGAATTCACAACAAAAGAGTGTATTCTGCGTGGTGCTGCGCACGAATACGGCCGCTCGATCGATGATCCAGCCTCCCGGCGAAAAGATTGGTAAACTTTTGCTGCGAACTTGTAGTCCCTTGTGAATGTAAAATAGTAATGTTTCCTTCATCCACTGGCCGGATGGTGTAGTTGGTTATCACGTATCGTTAACACCGATAAGGTCCTGGGATCGAGCCCCAGTCTGGTCATTTCTTTTTGTCTTTTTGGCTTTTTACCCATACAATCCACTGGAAATCCTCCTCCAAACATCAGAAGCACTAAGTGGCCAACCCCGTTTACTCATATAGGTCTCCTTTCCGTGGGTTAGGGACTAAGCTTGGTCATTGTCCTCGGAGTCTTTACTGCAGCATCGTCTCTAGGCGGGGTCCTAAGGCTATGACACAAGCCCATAGCGTGATATCCCAGAAAGCCGCACTCGAGTTCGATGTCCGAGTGGCATTGTCGGTTCAGCCATGGTTGTGCAGCAGACCGTTCAGAGAGCATTTACCTATCATACTTTCTACTCTACAACGTGTATAGGTCATAAGCTAATAATCAGTTAGTAAAAGTCTGTGAACGATAGGTGCGATGCAACTCATTTTCAGCTTTATTATTGCGTATCCTACCCCCGGACGCCATTCTACACACTCTGATATGTTTTCCAATGGGAAAATCTCGAGCCTGCTTGTCTTTGCCTCCTGCGGCCCCGGACATTTATTGCATGGTGTCCGCCGGGTGTTTTCTTCCTTCTCCTTCTCCTTCTTCTTCTTCTTCTTCTCACGTGTTTATGCATCTATGATCAAGCAGTGGAAATCTACGGACCGTAGATCATGAACACAACTACCCAGCTTCAACTAACCAAGAGATTCTCGCTTCCCAGCCTGCCGGAGACTTTCGGAACTTTGCGCATCATAAAACGGGCCTGGAATGGATGGAGAGGTTTGCTACAAGACTAGCAAGCACATGCTGATTCATTCACTATACGTCCAGCAGCCGATCTGCCCCATCGATTCTGTATATACATCAGGATACTTCGCACGATACCCAGCTGCAAACCAATTACGATAAAGCTTAGAGCGAGACTTATCATTTTGAACACCTTGAGTGATGGCTGACAATCCTTCTTACTGTTGCATTCCATGGTTGTACGCAATGCTGCGGCGAAATATGATATTTCTGGTAAATTGGCCACCGACCTGAAGCCAGCGCCGAGGAATTGGAACCAGGGCGACTCAACATTGCTTCTAATGGCTCTAATCATCCTAGACTTATGTTTAGTCTGCTAGAACACTACTGGCTGTACTTTCTTCATCAATTGGCCGGATGGTGTAGTTGGTTATCACGTATCGTTAACACCGATAAGGTCCTGGGATCGAGCCCCAGTCTGGTCATCTCTTTTTGTCCCGGAGACAATCTCCTAGTTCCTTGTTGGCACGTTCAGTGCTATCTCTATATTGGTTATGTGCTTACTTTTTTTTGTCTGCACAAGCTGTTCGTACTGGCTATACCTGACTGCGATATGGAAACTGTGTAATGCGCCGTGACCCTTGTTCTGATATCCACCAATGCACAAAGTGACGATGTCAGAATAATATGGCAGCCTGTTCCTAATCTTTCTTGAGCTCTCTGTGCGGATATGGACTCGCTCACTGACTATTGTCTCTCGCCGCAACTCGCCAGTGAACCCTTCCCAATTGGATGCACTTGTTGTATACTACGTCTTGGACCAACCCACCAGTGCGACTATGACAGCAGAAGACAGTTCATGCCAGCGATCACTAAAGCTGAGACTGGAACTAGCTCTCCTTCTACTCCGAATCGAGGCTCCTGTACATACTGAACTGACTGAGTCGGGCAGACAGTGACTATTGTTACTTAAGTGATACTTTCCCTGCTGTGCCCAACATGACACCCAATGTTCGCAAAAAGCCCAGAGGCTTGAGCAAAAATATAGGTTCAGTTCTATGCATCCAGATTGTGACAGTACTGTCGAGCGTTCCGACTCGGTAATTGGGTTGCTCAACTCCGGGGTGGCACATGTAGCCCTAACTCAACCGGCCAACAAGAACCGCAACCCCGGAAACCATACAGGCCGAATCAGCGATACTCCCCATTTAAGCTAAACTGAACAATTTCATTATCAGGTAATATTGAAGTTTCCGCAGGGGTCTAGGTCAAGGACACTTTGAGACCTGCGAGCAACAGAGTTCGAGCAGCAAAAAGCAAAAGAAATGACCAGACTGGGGCTCGATCCCAGGACCTTATCGGTGTTAACGATACGTGATAACCAACTACACCATCCGGCCAGTGAATGTAAGAAGACTCAAAGTATGCATATAAGACTTTACGGTAAAGATGGCAAGTAATCTCCAGATTTCCCCGGATTGCTTCATTCCGCGACAACAAAATTCATGATCTAGCACAAGGACCCACGAGTCTCCCTCTCCAGCTCATGATCCCCACATGACCATTCTTGTCACTACTGAAATGCTTCAATCATCACCAACACCCTAATCCACACGTTGATGTGACTGCTCTGCACCCATTAAGATACTACTAGAAACCATGATATTCTTCGATTGTGTGGCCGGAATTCGGTCTAGATCACCGAACGTGAGCTGGAATCCGCAGGTAAAGTCCGTATGAGGAGCCGTGCAGAGGATGGAAGTATATCTACACTTCAGGCTTATCTGCGGTATGTCCAGGGATCCGAGTTCCAGAGCACCCAGAAGTAGTATCAGCACACCCTTATTTACCAAGGCCTAATTATTGAGACTGAATCTTCTCCTAGCCCTCAGCAACCTGCATCCTCCGAATAATCTCCTCCACATCCAACCAGATCCGTTGCCGGTTCCGCAATCCCTTCAGCCGCCCCCAGCGAGACTTGATCTGAGTATACACGTAATGCCAGTCCGTAGTCGCCTTTTCCAACTTCACCAGCTCCGGCACCCCAACCGGCCGCGGAGCGAGGTAGTCGACCAAACCCTGATCATCCGGACTCTCATCCCTCAAAACCTCAGCATAATGCTTCCGCGCCTCGTACATAAACCGCGCCTCCCTCACAGTTACCGTCGTCCACCACGACGGCGTATGCTCCTCCATCCCGACCGCCCCCCACGCCTCCCACAACCAGGGCATCTCCTCCCGCACGAGCCGATACCAAACACTATTCGGCAAATCCGTAAACGCCCGCGACGCCGCACGCAGAGCCGCGAGATCCTCCGCGCCGAGGAAGCCGACGAGATGCAGCCGCAGATCCAGCGGGAGAGAACCCAGCGGATCGCAGCTAACCGCGGTCTTCTGCTGCCCATCATCCAATCCACGAGACCCCGACTTCTGCTGCGTCGCCTCGGCCAGCAACCCCGGTAATCCCGGCACGTAGAGCGGGTTCGCCGCTAGATACTCCTTCCCCGGCACATGGTTCCACCATCGCTCCCGGGCCTCAAACACGTCCGCTGCCCGCGGGAACGCGTGAAACTCCTCATAACTGAACTCGGAATTGCGCCAATTGAAGAGCTTGTCGAGGTCGACTTTCTGGAAGTGTTGTTTTGATTGCCGGATGAATATGTCGAGGCACCAGGGGTGGATGGGCATGGCGATCTCGTGGGGATCGACGGGCTGTGAGCGTTAGCCAGTGTACTGTATGATTTTCTGGGGGGGGGGGTCTTTTCTTCTTTGTGGGGGAGAAGAGTATACGCTGGCTAGCGACGCACCTGAAACGTAACATTATCCGCCCTGACAGTCCGCACGCCCCCCCTTGCAGGCCAAACGTCCGGGAATCCGCAATCGCGGGAGCGCATCCCGTCGCAGAGGCCCGAGAGGAACCAGTCCCCCGTCACCTCCCAGTCCTCGTGGAGCCCGTCCGGACGCCACGGTTCGGCTGCCTGGGACTTGTGGATGAGGAACTGGGCGGTGCGGCAGCCGCGCATTTCGGCCAGGGAGATGGCGGAGCCCGGGTAGGCGGTTGGGTCGCTGCCGCAGGTGGGGGCGGGGATGTGTTCGAGGTCGTCCGGGGGGGATTCGGGGGCGGAGGGGATGGGGATGGGGATGAGGGTGTCGGTTTGCTTTGTTGTGGCGGCGGCGAAGAGGGCGACGGGTTCGCCGGCGTAGTCTCTGGGATTGGCGGTGCGGAGGGTGTTGGAGAGGAAGGTGTGGTATAATGCTTCGTCTGTGCTGGGAGTTTGCAGGTGATTGGAATTGTTATCATCGGGAAGGCTCATGGCATCACTCGAGTCATAGTCCGAGTCGGATTCGTATGGCTCTTCGGCTTGCTCGGACGCTTCAGGCTAATAGTCTGGATCCACCTGGTCATCGTCCGGGTCGTCTGGGGGGCGAAGCGCAAAGACGCAGCCTTTCTCGGCGCAGGCGGCCAGATCCAGGTCCGCGGGGTCCGTCCCCAGGCCGTCTTCGCCGCCGAAAGTGGCTACCAGGGGCTCGCCGACCGCTCGGTGGCGACCGATGTTGAAGCTGACCCCGCAGAGGTGGCAGTAGGCCTGTGAGGTGTTGGTCAGCCAGTGTTCTTTGGTCGGTTGGGCGAGTGTTTCTCACCTCGGAGTATCCTGTGGTGCGGCGTGCGTTAGTGATGTCTGTTTGTGGTGTGGATTCACGGTGACATACCCATTGTGCTGACAATGACTGTAGAGCTAGTCTTACTGGGATGATTGCAGGGTTCTATATAAGTATTATGATATACAAGTTACATGACGCTGATTACAGGCAGCTGTCAGGCTACTCCAGGCTGCAGTCAGGGTGCTGTGCCACAGTTCAGCCAATGAGCGGGAGGGACGTGGGTCACGTTACTTTGTTGTTACATCTCAAACGTGTGTTGGGTATCTGGATAAAAGGAACAAAAGGTAACAATGAAGTATAGATAAGATGGTGAGATCGACAGCAGATCAGTCCGCTCGACGGATTAGGACAAGTATATACAGTACCATTATCCCATCACATACTTCTACCATAGCGTGGTACAGTTCTGTAGTTTACCTTATCCCCTGCACCACTGCCCGATCAAGATCACTACAAGGTGACGGTTGCCTTATTCTTCGTCGTGCACATCTATCGTGGGAATGCGTGGAAAGACAGTTCCCGCGTCGAGGCAAGGGCCTTTTTTGGTAGGGGGTGACAGACACCTGTAGTCTCTCAGTGGGAGAAGGGGTGGAGAGGAAGCACGAAAGCACTACTCTAAGTGATATCTCTATTATATGCTCGTTTCGCCTCTAGGGAATCATTCTCGGTGAAAATCCCCGGTTGCGACATCAAACACGTGCTCATTTGGTATGTACAGAATGAAAACAATCGCTAAAAGGCTGTAACCAGACTCACGTCCACCATAGAGTAAATCCCCCTCACAGATCCACATCAAACGGATCATCAAACCTCGAGACCCCCGGCGATAGCGGTTCCGGTGTCGCTGGCAACAGAACATTCACCTTGACATTCACGTCTCCGGCGTAGATAGGGTACGCCCGAGTGTCGACAGACATCGCTGTTGGTGTCGTTCTTGCCGTCAATCCGCCCATCCCCACCCCCACCCCTAGTTCCTCTTCCTCAGAGCCAGTCGACGCCCTTCGCCTACCCCCCGCTTGAACCTCCGTGATAGCCAAGAGCAACCGCAAATTCTCCTGAAAGATTCTGGCTTTGGCAGGGAGAGGACTCGCCTCGCCTGCCGCAGCATGGTGCGTGCTGAGGTAGATGTTCCGCGCAATCAGAAGCCGCTGTTCCAGCTCGTGCACTTGTTGTTGCAGGTGCGCGATGCGCTCCTGCTGGCGGGAGCGGTAGGCGCGTTGGGCGACGCGGATTTGAAGTTTCCGACGCTGGTTTTCCCGGGGTTAGTGTGTTGGTGGTTCATGCGGGGGGCTGCTCACCTCTTTGCTCGCTGCGTCGTCGTCGCCTTCTCCTGGCGTGGTGGTATCGGGACTGGTGGTCTTGGTAGCGGCTATCCGGGGACGACCGCGTTTGCGCGTCGTGTTGAGCTTTGATTTTGTGCGCGTGGATGCGGAGTTTGGCTTTTGGGGTGTCTGGCGGGAGCGAGGGGCGGTCTTGGTGGTAGTGCTCGGAGTGGTGTATTCCTCGTCGGTGGCGTGGCTGGAGCTCTGGACAAATTCTATGGACGGTGATGGTGATGATAACTCATGAAGGAGGGAGAGGTAGTTGAGGGTTCCGAAGTCGGAGGGTTGCCATATCCCTGGACTTGATGAGGGCGAGGGGATGTGCGGGGGGGACATTTCTATTGGCATTTTGAAGGGTTTTCGATGTACTGTATTATACATACGCGGGACGTTTATTTCGACGATCAACTTGATAGTTAGAATCCATCAGGGTTATGTTCGTCTATATATAGTTCGGTGGTCGATCGAAGAGGATCGTGGCATGTCCCCAGCCCGCCGCGGCATTGGGCTTTTTCCAGGGTGTATGGGATGCGATCAGGGTGGGGCAGTCGAGTGGATAACGTGATCGCTAATCGAAGTGGTGGCTAGCGTGAGCCATGTGTATCATATCAGTTGTTGTATACCTCCCATGTGTATATTGCTGTTAATTGATTCCCGATGTGGAGATAATGGGGTGATTGGTCGACAATAGCCGGATTCCAAGCTCCGTGAGCAAGAGACTGCTTGCCAAGTGTATAGACAGCACAAGACCCAGGGAGCAGATCCAAGTGCTGTGTACTGGGTACGGTCTCGAACATGCACGGCTTCTTCAGCGCTTGCTTGGCCCTGCAGGAAACGGAAGGTAAGTTAGGGCGAGGGAGTACGGTGTAGGGATCACCGAGAAATTAGGGGTACTCCCTAGTTAGTACTCCCAAGGGGTAATCTTGATTGGTCCCATCGCAATCATGAAGGGGATTTAGGTTTCCCTGGGCGGGAGAAGCGATGAGGCTAATTCCGAACGGATTTCCAATTGTCAAGGTGATGCTTAGCCTAATCTCCAAGGCGAAACAGCCCTAACTGAGTTGCAGGATTGAGCAGGGAAAGGGACGAGTTTACAGTACAGAGTATTTAGTTACAACACAGTATGGCACGGTCCCCGAGCTAACCAAAAATGGCAGTGCGACTGCCTATTCAGGATTGGTGAGGCATTTATGATTATTCTATCGCTCCGACTGGCTAAGCTGTTTGGGGGAATTCTGTCGGTAGTTGGAGCGGAAGGCCGAATTAGCCGTCTTTATTTGAGGGGGTCTCTAACCCTAAGTCGGTTAAGCTTACTGTTTATTTGTCTTTTGCTTTTCTAGGTAGGAAATCTGATCGTCAGCCGACTATAATAAGTGGTTGGTTCAGCTACGTTTTATTAGAAATCTAGTTGCTGGAAGCCTCGTGCAGGTGCGAGAGTGCTTACAGCCTCCGTCGTACCATCGACAGATAGGGGAAGGCATGGGCTTACGCTTCCGGTTCATGGTGACGGTGCTGCTGCTGCTGCTGCTGCCTTGAGCTCGGCGAACTTTAGCTGCATGTGCGTTCTGAGATGAGGGGTTAGTGTATAGTGCGGAGATCCAGGCGACGGAGGTCCTGGGTAGATTGAGTATGGTACCAATGATGTCGAACGTGAGGTTTACGCCCGGTTCGTCAAGGCGAAACTCTCCCCCGACGCGGCTTAGCGGTCGAGAGTCTCCAAAAAATGCCGCGACATGTCCACGATGCGGGTTGCCTTGGCTGATTCGGTGATGGTGGAGTTTTCTGTAGAGGTAGAAAAGCAGGAGGGGCACCCCGAGACCAGCCCTAACTGCCGGATCTCTAGCCACCCACTACAGCGATAATCCTTGGCTGCACATCTCCACCTGGTCGGTGTTGGGGCGCTTGAAATCGCATTCGCAGGTACCGAGCAGATTGTCGGGCGTATCAGGGTTAAGTTTGTTAGCGACTGGCTAATGATTGATTCGGAGCCTACTTTCACTACAATTGGTATGGATTCTACTCCGGAGGGAATGTAGATATCGCTTGTTCTAGATTTGTATATCAGTTAGAGGACCGGGGGGGCGAGGAATGGGTACGCTATTGATAACATCAGATCCCATTTGGGTTTATAGTGCGGCTGGCTGGATAATTATCGGCACATAGATAATATTCCTAGTCATGTTGTATTGATTGTGGGTGAAAAAAAAAAAAAATACAAAAAGAATGCGTCAGCGGGGAGTCGAACCCCGATCTATTGCTTGGAAGGCAACAATGCTAACCGCTACACCACTAACGCGCTTGATGTCATTTTTAGGGCGGCTTTAAAATATAAGCTCTAGAAAATAAAACCATACTATCCATGGGTCTGGATTCCTTCGCCTTCAATCTTCGCTGATTATCATGGTTTACTCTAGCTTATCTTTGAATAGAACAATCCTTACTACTATTATATGCACTCCTTTGACTTGATTACTGCTGGACTTCTATACACAGCCATCCAGTTAGACAATAATGTTCCCCCTGATCAATAATACAGACGCATATATATATATACCCCAAAGCCAATGGCTAAGAGTGGGGAGAAATGGACAGCCCCACTGCATCAATGGTTCAACTTGAAGTCGCCGATACACAGTCCCGATCAGAAGAAGATCAGCCTGTGTAATAAGTATCTGGTGAATTAGACACGACAGTGTGTGTTCACGGGCTACTAGCATAGTATGTGTTGTGAATACCCCGTACCCGTACACTCAAAGTATCCACTATCCCCCAACCCTTAAATCACCGATAAACTCACTCATCCACAAAAAATCGTGGTCGATGTAGGCGATAGGAAGAAGGGAGGTATTGCGTGCGGTCGAGGTGCAGACATGCCTCGGCCTCGTGGGTGATGCTTACCACTCGCCGCCGCTGCCGGGAGTGCGCGACCGGCACTTGCACGTGGCGCGGGCGCAGGTACAGAAGACTAGCACGGCCGTAGGGGCTTGTTCGCTTGGACCGGGGGTTCGCACCCGATAACTTAACTGACATAGAGGGGTTATTCAGGGGAAATGGTGCATTAACTGACCTAGTTCAACTACCAAGGTGACTGTGTAGATCTATCCGGGTAGATCGGGAGCTTCCTGTCGCGGCATTATCCCGTATCGGGCCTTACCACCTCGGGTTAGTCCCATCTCGCGTAGGATCTTGCCTGTTTGGGTAATCGTCTCTTACCAGCCATGTTGGAAGATGGCTGATGGGGAGGGCTCTACCATGACCAGAGACATGAATGAAGAGAGATGAGATGAGTTGAACTGAAAAATTAAGAGGGCTAGGGCTCATGCTGATATGGCACAGTCACAGTGCCAAGCTGTGGAATATCTTCCCTAGCATACCATGCAAGGTGAGGCGCTACCGGGTCCAGCGGCAAATCTGCAGGTCTAGAAACGGTCTAAAAATATAGACATCCAAACGAGACACACGCGCAGATAGCCCTGATAATACACAGTTTCAGATAGGCAAAATGGCTCATCTCAGTGGATAAGGGAGAAGTTCCTGTAGATAGGGCTGCAGGTCAGCCACCCGGCAGTTCGGCTCGCTGCCGGGGCCCCGAGTCGGGTTTCCAGCTCCCAGCGATATCTCTACATATTTTTCCCGCAAGTGTCCAGAATCTTGGCCCGGCAGAGTCGGTACCTGTACCTGACTTGCTCTCATTCCGCGTATCCGTGCACTCGTACATATACCTAGTCGATTTCCCCCCCCCCTCCGCCCCCCCCCTGGCTCATACTAAGCACCGCATGAGTTGATAGATTTTGTTCTCTCTCTTAAGTTGTTTTATTGTTTTCACATGATTCTTCAAAAATCTCCCCTCACTTATCAACAGCCCAGCATCCTCCATCGATATGGACTCCTTCCTTGAGGAGCCGTCGGCTTCGACCGCCCCGACAGAATATGGCGACCACTCCGAGGACGAACCCCCCCTCTCCGAGAAGCAGCCGACGACGGCACATCTGGGGATCCCCGAGATCAACATCCGCGAGGCGCCCAGCGCCGAGACGCTGGCCGTCCCCCAGAACCACCTCCACCAGACTGCCCCGGGCCCTCGCTCGGAGACCGAATGGAGCATGGCGGACCGGGTGCGCCAGCAGCAGCAGCAGGCCGAAGCCGCGGGCTACAAACGACGAGAGCTGGGGGTGACGTGGCAGAACCTGACCGTGGAGGTGGTGGCGGCCGAGGCGGCCGTCAAGGAGAACCTGATCACGCAGTTCAACGTGCCGCAACTGGTCCGGGACTACCTGCGCAAGCCCCCGCTCAAGTCCATCCTGCAGGATAGCCACGGGTGCGTCAAGCCCGGGGAGATGCTGCTGGTCCTGGGCCGGCCGGGGTCGGGCTGCACCACCCTCCTGAAGATGCTGGCCAACCGTCGCGAGGGATACCGGGCCGTCCACGGCGAGGTCTCGTTTGGGGCGATGAACCACCAAGAAGCCGCCGCCTACCGCGGCCAGATCGTCATGAACACCGAGGAAGAGCTCTTCTATCCCCGCTTGACCGTCGGGCAGACCATGGACTTTGCCACCAAGCTCAAGCTCCCCGCCCACCGCTCGCAGCCCGCCCAGGACCATGTCGCCGAGACCAAGCAGTTCCTGCTGGAGGCGATGCAGATCGCCCACACCCAAGACACCAAGGTCGGCAACGAGTTCGTGCGGGGCGTCTCGGGCGGAGAGCGCAAGCGCGTCTCCATCATCGAGTGCATGGCCACCAATGGGTCGGTGTTCACCTGGGACAACAGCACGCGTGGGCTCGATGCCAGCACCGCCCTGGAATGGGCCAAGGCGCTGCGGTCCATGACCGACATCCTCGGCCTCTCGACCATCGTCACCCTGTATCAAGCCGGCAATGGCATCTACCATCTCTTCGATAAGGTCCTGGTGCTGGATGAGGGCAAGCAGATCTACTATGGCCCCGCGGCGGCGGCGAAGCCGTGGATGGAGGCGCTGGGGTTCGTGTATTCGGACGGGGCCAATATCGGTATGGCAAGAAAATGATAGCGAAAATTTCGAATGTGACGATCAACTAACTGACCAACCATCAATTCATTTAGGTGACTATCTGACTGGAGTGACTGTCCCCACGGAGCGAAAGATCAAGCCGGGCTTCGAACACCGCTTCCCCCGCAACGCCGATGCGATTCTCGCGGAATATCGCCAGTCCTCGCTGTACCAGCAGATGGTCCAGGAATATGATTATCCCTCCTCGGAGCTCGCCCGCCAACGCACGGAGGAGTTCCAGGCGTCGGTGGCGTGGGAGAAATCGCGACGGCTTCCGAAGCACAGCGCCCTCACCACCGGGTTTGGCGACCAGCTCCTCGCCTGCACCGTCCGCCAGTATCAGATCCTCTGGGGGGAGAAATCCACCTTCCTGATTAAACAAGTCTTGTCGATCATCATGGCGCTGATCGCGGGCTCGTGCTTCTACAACGCCCCCCAGACGACGGCGGGGCTGTTCACCAAAGGCGGCGCCGTCTTCTTCTCGCTGCTGTACAACTGCATCGTCGCCATGTCCGAAGTCACCGAGTCCTTCAAGGGGCGGCCGGTGCTGGTCAAACACAAGTCGTTTGCCCTGTATCATCCCGCCGCCTACTGTCTCGCCCAGATCACCGCCGACCTGCCCGTGCTGCTGGTGCAATGCGGTCTCTTTTCCGTCATCTTGTACTGGATGGTCGGCTTGAAGGCGACCGCCGCCGCCTTCTTCACCTTCTGTGCCATCCTCTTCACCACCACCCTGTGCGTGACCGCGCTCTTCCGCTGCATTGGCGCCGGCTTCAGCACCTTCGAGGCCGCCTCCAAGATCTCCGGCACCGCAGCCAAGGGGATCGTCATGTATGCCGGCTACATGATCCCCAAGCCGCACATCAAGAACTGGTTCGTCGAACTTTACTACACCAACCCGTTCGCCTACGCCTTCCAGGCCGCCCTGTCCAACGAGTTCCACGACCAGACCCTCCCCTGCGTGGGCAACAACCTGGTCCCCCACGGGCCGGGCTATGAGGACGTGGATCCCGCCAACAAGGCCTGCACGGGGGTCGGCGGGGCGCAGCGGGGCGCCGACTACGTGACGGGCGACCAGTACCTCGCCTCGCTGCACTACAAGCACTCCCAGCTGTGGCGCAACTACGGCATCCTCTGGGCCTGGTGGGGTTTCTTCGCCGTGCTGACGATCGTCTGCACCTGCTTCTGGAGCGCCGGGGCGGGCTCGGGCTCCTCGCTGTTGATCCCCCGCGAGAAGCTCAAGGCTGCGCGCCGCGCCCCCCGCCGCGACGACGCCGAGGAAGGCGGCCAGCCCGGGGCCCCCGGGGCCCGCGAGAAGGGGCCCAACGAGGCCCTGGACGCGGTCCACGGGGATGAAGGCCCCCTGAACCGCAATACCTCGATCTTCACGTGGCGGAACCTCACCTACACCGTGCCCACCCCGACGGGCGAGCGCGTGCTCCTGGACAACATCCACGGCTGGGTGAAGCCGGGCATGCTGGGGGCGTTGATGGGCTCGTCCGGGGCGGGCAAGACCACCCTGCTGGACGTGCTGGCGCAGCGCAAGACCGAAGGCACCATCAAGGGGTCGATCATGGTGGACGGGCGCGAGCTGCCCGTCTCCTTCCAGCGCATGGCCGGCTACTGCGAGCAACTGGACGTGCACGAGCCCTACGCCACGGTGCGCGAGGCCCTCGAGTTCTCCGCCCTGCTGCGCCAGTCGCGCGACACCCCGCGCGCCGAGAAGCTCCGGTACGTCGAGACCATCATCGACCTGCTCGAGCTGCACGACCTGGCCGACACGCTGATCGGGACGGTGGGCAACGGGCTCAGCGTGGAGCAACGCAAGCGCGTGACCATCGGGGTGGAGTTGGTCTCCAAGCCCAGCATCCTGATCTTCTTGGATGAGCCCACCTCCGGGCTGGACGGGCAGTCGGCCTACAACACGGTGCGCTTCCTCCGCAAGCTGGCCGACGTGGGCCAGGCGGTGCTGGTCACCATCCACCAGCCCTCGGCGCAGCTCTTCGCCCAGTTCGACACCCTGCTGTTGCTCGCCCGCGGCGGCAAGACGGTCTACTTTGGGGATATCGGCGACAACGGGGCGACGATCAAGCGGTACTTTGGACAGCACGGGGCGCCGTGTCCCGTGGAGGCCAACCCGGCGGAGTTCATGATCGACGTGGTGACGGGGGGCATTGCCGCCGTCAAGGAGACCGACTGGCACCAGGTGTGGCTGGCCTCGCCCGAGCACACGCAGATGATGCAGGAACTGGACCGCCTCATCGCCGAGGCCGCCGCCAAACCCCCCGGCACCCAGGACGACGGCTACGAGTTCTCGATGCCGCTGTGGGAGCAGATCAAGATCGTGACGCAGCGCATGAACCTCGCCCTCTTCCGCAACACCAACTACGTCAACAACAAGTTCAGTCTGCACATCATCTCCGCCCTGCTCAACGGCTTCTCCTTCTGGCACATCGGCCCCAGCGTCTCCGCGCTGAACCTCAAGCTCTTCACCATCTTCAACTTCGTCTTCGTCGCCCCCGGGGTGATCAACCAGCTGCAACCGCTCTTCATCCAACGCCGCGACATCTACGACGCCCGCGAGAAGAAGTCCAAGATGTACAGCTGGGTGGCCTTTGTGACGGGACTGATCGTCTCGGAATTCCCCTACCTCTGCATCTGCGCCGTGCTGTACTTTGTCTGCTGGTACTACCAGACCCGCCTGCCCACCGAGAGCGAGCGCACGGGGGCGATCTTCTTTATCATGTTGATCTACGAGTTCATCTACACGGGCATCGGCCAGTTCGTGGCCGCCTACGCCCCCAACCCCACCTTCGCCGCCCTCGCCAACCCGCTCATCGTCAGCACCCTGGTGCTCATGTGCGGCGTCTTTGTCCCCTACAGCGAGCTCACCGTCTTCTGGCGCTACTGGATGTATTACCTCAACCCCTTCAACTATGTGACCTCCGGCATGCTCGTCTTCGGCATCTGGGGCGCCAAGGTCACCTGCAATGCGGAGGAGTTCGCCGTCTTTGATCCCGTCAATGGGACCTGCGGCGAGTATCTCCAGAGTTATATCGACAATAAAGGCTGGCGCGTGAATCTGGTCAACCCGGACGCCACCGCCGATTGCCGCGTGTGTGAGTACACGGATGGGAGTGACTTTCTCACCACGCTGAATCTCCACCATTATTATGACGGGTGGCGCAATGCGGGGATCTGCGTCATCTTTGCCCTTGCCGGGTATGCCTTGGTGTTTGGGTTGATGAAGTTACGGACGAAGGCGAGTAAGAAGGCTGAGTGAGGGGGTAGGGGGAAGGGGGGGGGGGGGGGGGTTTGTCGGTGGCGGATCGAGGGGAGTGGGGTGAGTTGTTAGGGTTAGCGAGGGGATGGCCCTGACTGAGACCACTCGATTTGTGGACTCACCGGAAATCTAGCGGTGCTCTGTTTTGCGGCTTGCTGTTTTGTCTTTCTCGGTCTCTGTTTCTAGCTTGATTCGATTTATAGATAGATAGACTATACCACTATAGACCAATGATTCATTTCTCAGAGCGTGTTGGACCGAAACCCTTCCACCCCCATCACAAGTCAAGTGCAATGTCGCTCGACGGGCGAAGATAGTCATCGTCCCCGGAGGAGCGCGAGGGATGGCCTGAAAAGACGTCAAGGCATGAGAGAGATCCCTCAAAGCCACGAAGAGCCACACGCGGCCGAAACCTGAGCTGGCTACGGAGTAGACATCCTGAAGCAGCAGAGCGGAAGAGTGGCAAACATGATACTGTGGGGCCTCGTTACAACGAACCTCGGCATAACGAATTCCTCGATATAGCAAACTTCCCGCCCTCGAATTTTCCGCCCACATACAGACCTCGTTGTTTTTGCTATATAACGAAATTCGTTTGATGAAGCCTTTCCTATATACAACATTTATTAAATCAAGGAATTATAAAGTGTTCTTGACGTTATTGCTAAGGCTACTATAGATCTTCAACTAATTACAAACTTGCAAAAATCTACTCTTGCAGGCATCTAATGTCTCAAGTCAGCAACTTAAGCCTTAGGTAATGGTTTGAAGCTATATATAATCAACAAATTGCAGCATCATCTATATCGAAAATCCTTTCATCCAAATACTCGTCATTGGATACTATTCCGGAGCTTTGGAGACTTGAAAAGGCAGTATACAGAGTACTAGCCGGAACTTGAAAATATAAGCCTATTGCACCCCTTACTATCTCAGACGGCTTGAACAGTCTACTTAAGCTTCAGACCTGGAAAGAACAGTAGAACTAGGCTGCTTTAGCCCTTCTCCAGCTCCTTAGGCACAAGGAACAGTCCTTGAAGACGTTGGAGACAAGCAGTAAAAAGTAGACCGATATACGCAGCGTTTTTAATTGAATCGCGATAGCTATAGATACTTTTGAGATCTCCTGAAAGCTCTCTGATTAGTCAGCTCAAAATTAGTCATTCCTCGCTGCAACGAATTCCTCGCTACTACGAATATGCAGGGCGTGCGCAATTAATTCGTTATATCGAGGATCCACTGTACATCGGTCATGCAGAATCAAAGTCCGAGCATACGAGACCCGGTGGCTCCGCATGTCAGGCCACGGTAAAATTAGCCGACCGGAGCCCCCGCAATCGCTACCCAATCGGACCGTCAGACTGGGTGGATTGGATGGAGGTGAGGTGTTATCTTCAGCTGAATCCAAGTGGACCCTTCCAGGATCTGTGGTTGGCAGATGCTGCGGCTGAAGATATGGGGAAAAGGCCAGACCCTCAGCTGAACCTGCATGTCAACAACACAAGGTAAATCCACCCGACCGAGCGTTATTCAGGGGGAGGGGGGGAAACACACCAAGACCAGCGAGTTGGTATAAATCTGCCACGGAAAACCACTCCCAGCTATGTAGGGCTTCCCTCAAACAGGACAGACTCGAAAACAAGCCAAAATGCCTCCGGCTGCAGCGTCGCCGCCCGCCCCCAAGCGGATCATTCTCTGTTTCGACGGAACATGGCAGTCGTCCGTGTCGGGACAGGAAAACTCCCCCTCCAACATCACGCGACTCTGTCGGGCCATCAAGCCGGTCGCCAACATCGATGGGCAGGACTGGCAGCAGATCGTCTGGTACGATTCCGGGGTGGGAACCACCTCGCTGGCCGTCAGCAAGCTGCTGGAAGGCGCCGTCGGCAATGGGCTGGACGGGAACATTGTCGAGGCGTACAACTTTGTCTCCTTGAATTGGAACCGTGGCGACAAGATTCTGTGCTTTGGCTTCTCGCGCGGCGCCTACACGGCGCGCGCGATCGCCGGCCTCATCGCCGATGCCGGAATCTGCCGGCGGCGCGACCTGCATCGATTCCCCGACCTGTGGAAGCTCTACAGCAATCCCAAGCGCGAGGGGCCGTTCTACAACAGCGACGACTACTTTCAATTTGTGAATGGGGTCGCCTCCGAGAAGCACCGCGATCATCCCACCCGCGGCGACGGGCTGGCCTGGGACATCCCGGGCCACAGTAACTGGGCCCAGCCGGACTCCCGGCAGGTCGAGGTCGTCGCCGTCTACGATACCGTCCAAGCGCTGGGGATGCCCGAGGTGGCCGGGATCCAGTTGCCTTCGCTGCCCAAGATGGCGCAATGGAAGGGGCACAACGTGACCTTGTCGCGACACATCAAGCATGCCTTTCAGGCCCTCGCCCTCGACGAATACCGCAAAGCCTTCTATCCCGAGGTCTGGTGCTTGCCCTCGGGCGACCCGGATGCGTCCCAGCCCGAGGTTCGCGCGGAGCTGGAGAGCGAGGCCGAACGGAAGAGGAAGATTCTGAATGCGGCCGGCACCAAACAAAGGGGATTGATCGACAAGGCCAAGAAATACGGGCAGAAAAACCCGACGGACTATGCGACGCTGGACCAGATGGCCAAGCAGATCAACGTGGCCAGCAAAGAGTTAGGCAAAGCCCGCCAGGACTACGTGGTCACCGAGGATCACCTCAAAAAGGAGGTTCCCAAGCTCACGCAGGTGTGGTTCCCCGGCTATCATATCAATGTCGGCGGCGGGTCGAGCGATACCCTGAAAAACGAGGGCGATCTGGAAGAAATGTCGAACATTGTATTCGCATGGATGCTGGATCGGATTAAGCCCTTCGTGGGCATTGACGAACCGACCATCAAGGATCATTACAAGCACCGACAAGAACGAATCGCCGCGTTGAACACGGCGCTGGCCAAGGAGAATGCGCCGCCCGGCGAGCAAGAGAGCTGGGGGGAGTATCTCGGCCGGGGGGCGAAATGGGTGGCATCAACCGTTCTGCATCCCTTCACCCCCGCGCCAACCGTGACCCAACGCGAATATACCTGGGGCCTTTCGGACATGCCGGATAGTTTCATCGCGGTGTACTACCCCAATGGGAAGAAGAAGCGCGCCCCGAATGTGAATTTCGAGAAAGAACATCGCGGTGTGAAGGAGGTCGTTGGTCCAACCTGTGCCCAGATCCATCCGGTGGTGAACTACCGAGTGCAACACAAGGCCGGTTATCGGCCGATCGGACTGTTGCCAGAGCAATACCACCGCCGTGCAGAGGGCGAGAACTTTGTCTACACTCTCAATGGGAAGGAGTTGCCAGAGTGGCGCTTGGGAGGAAAAGGTTCTTATGAATGGCTGGCTCTGCGACAGCACCAGCACGCCATCGAGTACATGGCTGAACAGGGTCATGCAGATGCCATCAAGTATGTGGCTGAACTGAAAGATAAGCCGGCAGCGAAGGTAGACGGTGCTTAAAAAAGATGAAGGGAGCAAAAAGAGAAGAAGAAGTAGGAGGAAGAGAAGAAGTAGGAGGAAGAGAGATTTCGAGATCTTCCCCACGCTCGAAGGAGCAACTGGCGGCCGAAGCTGGGAGGCCGCGTCTAGCCGGGAGGCCCTGCAAGTTCGGCCTTAGGATGATGGTGTTCATATCGCGTGTATCCATGCGTTTCTTGTCTATAATTGCGGATATCCGGAGTCATTTGGAGCACATGAAGGAATTCTATTTTTTTCTTTTTTCTTTTTATTTTTATTTTTTTTTGTCATGTTATACTCCGTAGCATAACCGGGTTGTCATCCAGTCCAGGCTGCTGGGATTGCGATCCGCGACGCTAAGGGGGGAATAGGCGGTGGAGACTATCCCTAGACTGTATTTAGTATGGAGTAGTATGTAACTACTGTAGTTAGTATGTACTGGAATAGTAGTAAGTCAGTCCATTTGTGGAAATCGTGGAAATCCTTCTCGGAATCGATTCCCCCAAACTGTTCACAGTAGGATTCTGGAAGAACAACCCAGAACTTTTAACTGCACAGAAAAGCTGTCTATAAGTCTCTAAGTGGGGAGGGGCGACGTAAGCAGCAGCCACGATCTACTTGTAATATTGGTAGACCTCGTGAAGTTGGGAGCCCTCGTGGACTGGGGTTATATTAGCCGGCATGGAGGGACATTTGGCGCACTGAACCCCGTATAAAATAAATTGGGGAAATCCCACGCGATGAGGCTCAATGGGCCGAACAGGGGCCCCCAGATGACCTGATCTTCATTTCTTCTCCTCTTTCCCCCCCTGTTGTCAATGTAAAGAAAGTTCAAATAGCAAATAAAAGCGGCTGTTGGGGGCCGTCTGCCCCTTGCATGCCATGCCATGACTTGACTTGACTTTCCCCTCGACTTCACTGCTCCTCCCCCGGTTTCTGAGACGCAGGCAGCCACGATGCCGATTGTCACTCTTCCGAATGAGATTCTGGACACTGTATGGGGCTTCCTCAGTCTCCAGGACTGGTGTGCTCTCCGCCTGTCATGTCGAACCCTGTACTCCCGGTCGCTGGCGACCTTTGTGAGTCGACATGTCCAGCGCATCAGCGTCCTCATGACCCGCGACGGACTGCGAGAGCTGCAGGCCATCGCCGCCCATGAGACCTTTCGGACCTCCGTGCAGGAACTGTGGCTGGTGGCTGAGGTCTTTCGCGGTCACTACGAGACCGACTACAATGACTTTGTGCAAGCCCAGCTGATGACGGCGGGGGGCGTGAATCACCGCACAGAGAACACGCGATGGACCGCCGAAAGCCTGATCGCCGACTACGAGTCCTACCAGACGGCGGTGGCCGATCACCTGCAACTGATCCAGGCCGACTCTCTCCCGCAGATCCTCGCCAGCTGCATGAAACAATTCCCCCACCTCTCCACCGTCGGCCTGGAAACCTACCCTCCCACCGCCGCGGGATACAAACACCCGCCGTGTCTCGGCCGCAACGCCCTCCGCCGCCAGCTCAACCACCATCCCTTCAGCCACCCCCAGATCGCCTCCCACTGGCAGAGAAGCCCCGACTACCTCTGGGGGGAAGAAACCCGCAGCCTACGCGCGCCCGTCTTCTCTGCCCTCCTCCAAGCCATCCCCACCGCCACCATCCAGATTCAACAACTGCGCACCTGCAGCGAGGGCGAACACTGCGGCATCCCCCCGGAACAACTCACCCTGACCGACACCCACTACGAGATCCTGCAGCCGCATCTCCAGAGCCTGCAAACCCTCGACCTCTGCCTCCAATACACCCACCACCCGTCCCCGGTTGCGCCAAGCGAATCCTCCCCCTTGCTGCGCCTCCTCCTCGCCGCCGCACCCACCCTCACCACCCTCAAAGTCTCCCAATGGAGCACCAAGGACGAACTCCCCGCCGACCACTTCACCACCCTCGCGCACCACATCCACTTCACTCGCCTGACCAGCCTCTCCCTCCACTGGATCGAAGTCACCCAACCCAGCGTCCGCGCCTTCCTCCGCACCGCCGCCCCCACCATCCAGACCCTCTCGCTCGTCAGCGTCAGCCTCATCGACCGCATCGACCGCCCTACCCGCTCCCCCCCCTTCTACGACGCCGTCAGCGACCTCTGGCGCCGCCTCTGCGACGCCATCCGGGACGACCTCCCGGGTCTCCGCTCGCTCGAGATGAAGGACCTCGCCTACCGCGGCCACGTCTTGGGGGTGGAGGATCCCCTCCGCGCACAGAGCGGAACGCGCAGGACTCGAAGCGGGGGTGCGGCCGTGGCGGTCGGGTACGATGCCACGCGCGCGCAGGTCGGCTTCGCGACCTGGCTCGATCAGCTCCAGCTCGCCGAGCCCCGGTCGGCGCGGCTGGGCCAGCCCTTGCCCGGGCGGTTCAGTAGTATGGCTGCGTGTTCGGATCTGCTGCGGTTGTGGGGGTCGGGGTCGAAGAAGTGAGCATGGGTCCTATTTTAATGGATTGGTGGCTGTGGAATCGGGTATCGCATTATGGCGTTCTGGTGTTCTGGTGGGGTGGTCGACTAGGATAAACATAATTGAGGGGCAGGATTAATTGGGTGGTTGAGTGCATCCTGCGTGTACAGGACGTTTGTAAATAGTGATCGGCTGCAGCAGGAAGATAAGCTTTGAATTAGTTACAGTATGCTCGGAGACATTTTCTCTCGGCTGTGGGGAAAAGTCCTGTCAACAAAATCCCCCCTTTTTTTATTGGTCACGTGCTCAATTGAGTCGCCGATGTCGGATGAAGTAAACGAACTATAACCGAGTTTGCTATGCTTCGAGTATCCGGTGTCGCTACTTATACTTTACAATCTTCCAGCAACCATTTGATGAAAATACTCGTAAGCTGAATGATTTGGGCCCGGTGGCAAGCAACCAATGATTGTAACAAACTTTCAAGACTATAGAGGATCTTACAAACTTTGGCTGCAATTCCATATCACCAACCTTGTTCAACGTATCTGACATTCCTGGCTTGTGTGTACGATCGATAAGATAACTTGGCCGCATCATTCACTGAACTAATCCGGGTTATCTTCTGTCCCAATGCATAGAAGATTCGGAAGTGCATCGTCGAGGTAACAATCACAAATCTAGTAGTAAATCAATCCGTGATCAGCCAGAGACAGCCGAAGCATACGGCTAAGGCTCGCTGCCTTGCCGTCCACTCGGGGATCGCAAGTATGGTTGGAAGATGGTTGTGGTCAAGATGCCGGGGGGGGGGGGGGCATTTGCATCATTTCCAGAGTCAAGAATTCAAAATGCTTGGAACGGATCTTGGGAGTGAGAAGTGGATAGGGCAGGACTGAGGCATTGGAGCGGCCGCTCATTCCAGCTCGTCCCGGCGCAATGATCCCCCTACTTACAACATGGCCACCCGGAGAAAAGAGCAGGAAAGGAAGCAAACAGGATGCGACAGCAGAGAATGACTTCAACCAAACTAGATCCACTTAATTACATTCCTTGGGGGAAGTTACCGCAAGTCAGAAGCTTAGTAGACCCGACACTACGGCGATCGGCATGACAGACCTCCAGTGGAATGGAGGCTGGGGAATGTCAGTCCACTACTGTAGGGGTACAGAGTATAAGAGACTAGAAGAAGTGTCAACTCCAAGCGACGAAGATGTCCCACCCAAGACCAGCCGGGAGACTGACCTGACAGCTATACCCTCCCCAGGCACCATGCGATTCCTACTCATCCTACCTCTCGTCACAGCGGCCACCGCTTGTTTGCATGACCGCACGCTGGCCCGCCGTGCCGCGCAAGCAGGGACTCCGAGCTTTGGATACTCCGGCGCGCAGGGCCCATTGAACTGGTACGGTCTCGATCCGCAGACGAATGCCGCCTGTGACCTGGGAAAGCAGCAGTCCCCCATCGCGATCGACTCCACGACCATCCGCCCCATTGACCCCGGCTCCGTGAGTTTCGACATCCCCAGCGCCGAGCATGTCGAGTTCGAGAACCTTGGATACACGCTGGAGGTCATTCTCCCCAACGGGACCCTGACGGTCCAGGACAAGCAGTACACGCTGGCTCAGTTCCACTTTCACACCCCTTCAGAGCACCGCATTGATGAGGAGCACTTCCCCTTAGAGGTGCACTTTGTGTGGACAGATGAGAGTGAGTCCGGTTCTCACCCCAACCCTCAGGGATCTAAAATGTGACGCTCATCCATGGTAGCACACGGAATCGCCGTCGTCGGCTTCGTCTTCCAGCTTTCCGACGCCGGAGACTGCGACTCTCTTTTCAACTCTGTCTTCGCACACGTCGAGTCGATCAGTGAGCCGGGATCCGCGACGGAGATCGAGTCCCTGGTCTTTGATGGCCTGGCCAAGCACTTCGAGAGTCATGATGTCTTTACCTACGGCGGTTCGCTGACCACCCCGCCCTGTAGCGAGGGGGTGTCGTGGTTCGTCAGTGCGGAGCCCCTGGCGTTGGACGTACACAGCTACAACCAAGTCAAGCGGGTGATCCGGTTCAACTCGCGCTATACGCAAAATGTGCCCGGAGATGAGAATCTGTTGGAAATGGCAGCGAGGGAGTTGAATGGGCTGTGAAGCTTTCTCTTCGAGTTCTCACAGCGGTATGCGCCATAGTTCGAATGCTTCTTTGCTATCTTAGCTTGAATCCCTGTAACCACGACTGTGGATAGATTGTGCCTTCCGCGCAGGAGATTCGGGAGCTGTCGCTGGTGTAAGCTTATCATAGATAGTAGCTGTTTCCAACATCTATGGGGAACTCAATCCCGTCGAATACCAAGTGCAGCGACAACATCCTGCCGCCCGAGCTTTTTCGCAAACTCCACAACACTTTCGCCCTTGCCATCACAGATGGAAAGATTCACCCTACGAGTCTGGGTGAGCAACTGTATGGTGTGCAAATCTCCCCGCTCGATGGCGTAGAAAACAGCTGTTCTACCAACATCATCTGGTAAATTCAGGTCCATGTCTTCAACTTCCAATAATAGTTCCACCGTCTTGCGATCCTCCAAGGCGATCGCATGCATAAGTGGGGTTCTTCTCTGGGCATCTTGTGAATTGACGTTGACGCGACGAGTGCGTAGAAGCAATTCCACCAGCTGAGATTTCCGGTTTGCCGCGGCCCAGACAAGGGGGCTTTGCCCCAAGGTCCAGCCCAAAGACACTTCTTCTGGATTTAGCCGAGCCATGAGTCGTCGTCTCTGGTTCTGCTGCTCTAGCAACATGAGTTGCATCAGATAACCATGGAGAGCACGACCTGGCGTTGTATCGGGAGCTGTATCGGCACCTAGAGTCAATCTAGGAAACGTTTCGGAGGGTCCGGACTGAAATTTTCTTTTTTCACCCGCCGCAACGCCTGATGAACTGGGTGAAAGGTTGTGAGCTTCTCCTGCCCATAGACTCTGTCTGCGGCCTCGAAATGGCTCGTCCAGATCAATTTGAGGGCACGAAAGGAGACTCCCAAAGGCCGCGTTCTTCCATCTCCCGATTCGGATGGCGCTCCATAGCGCTGCGTTCGCATAGCCCTTATCGGTCCAGTCCTTTACAAGGGATTGATCTCTGGACGCCTGGGCGAATCCCTCCAACGTGTCTTCGACCACTTCCCTCGGTAGGAACTCCTCAACAGTGTAGAAGAACTGCTTGGCGAAACGAAAGTTGCGTGATTTGAGGCACACCAGAATTATTCCATCCCATATCTCCTTTCCTATCATGAATTCTGCCACGCGAATAAAAAGCTCCAGGGCTTCCGAGTTTTTCTGGCGGTGGAAGAAGTCACATAGAAGCGCCCACAATATTGGAGGCGGTTTCGGTGCATGCGCTATGTCACTATTCAAAATCCATCTCAGACCATTGGTCTCATTGACTCTGATCAACAGCGGCAGAATGCACGTTCCTGCGGCTCCCAGTACCAGGTCAATCACCCTTTTCACAAGAATATCGTCCCCAAACCGAAGGACAGTCTGGAATACCGGTTCCAGATTGGCTCTTCCAGTATCATTCAGAAATAAATCCGAGAAACTCTTCTGGAACAGGATGTGTGCCATCTCCCGGCCTTTCTCAGAGGCAATGGAGTCAAGGTTTGCCAGAAGATGAAGAAACGCAGGCCAGCCATACTTGCCGCAAGTGGTCAAGTTGATATCATGACGGCGAACCAGAATAGCCAAGATCTCCAGGTTGCCTTTCTCAGCCGCACCGGTTAGGGGTGTTTCGAGATCCGTGTCGATTTTGACGGTGCAATTCACGTCGGCCAAAGGGTTGTCGCCCTCTAGCAACAGGGTCAGCAGCCGAATTCCAGCGTTGCGGTCGGCCTTCGCTGCAAGAAGAAGAGCATAGTTGAAAAAGATGCGATGCAGATGGAGCTTCTCCCACCGTCGGACAAAGATAAATCTCTCCCATTGCTGGAAAGCCGTCACGCCTCGCCTGCAGAATCCGTCTTCCTGGAGCATCGATAATGGTTCGAAATTCTCGTACTCGAAGACTTGAGTTTGAACGAAGAATTCTGCGATATCATGGAAGCCGAGCGAGATAGCAGATTCCAAACAGCGATGATGACTCATTCCTTCGCGGTGTGGCCATAGGAGTTTGACTATTTCAGCGTGTCCTTCTTGAACAGCGAGTTCGAGAAGGCTATGCTCTTCCACGCGAGCTCCCAGGGCAAGCAAGACCCTGCATGCATCCGAGTGACCTCCTTTGACAGCGTACCAAAGAGGGGTCTTCCCAGTCTCGTCGCGAGCACTGACCTCGCACCCTTCCCCAACCGCGGACTCTATATCGGAAGTGCTGCCTTGCCTTGCCGCTTTGTGAAGATCCATCCTTCGAATTTTTGCTAGATCCAGAGGGTTTCGTGATTCGGTTGCACCTGGACTGGACTGATGGGGTTGTGTCTATTCTGACAGAATTTTTCCAATCATCCGCGGGCAAGGATTAGACCTGCGTTCGGGCCCTTCCACAAGCATGATCGGGGCGCTCACGGGCGCTTAGAGAGGTAGCATGATTGGTGTCATCCTCGCAGAAATGAGCCAATCATGATCCACCTCGGAAGTTGGCATGTTATTTTCTAGGTCGCTGTATAGATTGATGGTAAGTAGGGTTGAGCCTCCTCCGGCTCCACCCCCCCCATACAAGCCCGCGAAGGACTCAACCTTAGGGAGCTGCATCTCCCTAGTTATGCCTCCAAGCTGCTATTGCCAACTGGGATTCTTGTCTTTTACAGATGACTTGAGCAGAAGAGCTGCCTTGTTAAGATAATATATAACTATATTTATTAAAGAGTTTAATTCTAAGATATCTTTATCTTATTACTCTTTTTGGGTTCTAGAGCTAGAGCAGGGGCTATTATTGAGTTAAGTCTATATAGAAATACTAATAAGTATCTTTACTACAAGATATATTAGATCTCTATATATAAAAATCGAAGCCGAAGTCACAAACATACCAAGTAGGTAGTCCTTTCTTTCGATTATCTGAGACCTGCCAATCATAACCAGGTTAGTTCGATATTTTCCCAACCCTAGCCCATCGACCTTTACCATAGCATCTTTATCATCATGGTCTATGCTCTACCTAACGTCTAAGCGCCTACATTGTGACAGTCGCTACATGAGTACAAATGCTGATAGCAATAAGCTGGCGAGTATATGAACATGATTCAGTTCGACCCGCAAATCAAGATCCGCAAAATATAGCATAAAATAACTTTGATGTATTTCAAACTGGTCATCTTTTTTATAAAAAAAAAGTTCTTGATTAGCTGCTTAATATCATAATTTAAATAATCATAAAAAAAGATTTAGAATTGTTGAAAATCAAAGAGAATATATCTTATCTGTATATTATTAACAGCTGCTTCAGGTTCTATTTTAACAAAGTCTTTTTGGTCTTGGCTTTGATTCTATATGATATCTTGTTTTACTCTTCTGAAGCTTACTCTTCTGAAGCAAAATATAGCTTTCATATTTTATTACTCTTTTCTTAAAGCCAAATAGATGATCGCAAATCTTGTGGATAAATGCGGTTAGAAGTTTAAAGATATTTAAAAAAAAATAATACTTCTGTAAATCTTACGCTCTGTACAATGCATCGGTCTTATGTCCTAGGATACGCACTTAGTGATCTACAATCAATACAACAGCACCCTGTGACGATACCAGTTCGCTTGACAGCTTCGCATAAAGTGTCAGCTGTTTCACATTCTCCTAGAAGTTTCACAATAATAGAGGTGCTATTATACATGTGACTAGAGCTCTGTTTCCTGCCTATGATTTGTATATTCTTCCATTTGAAACCCTTCAAAAATAGAGAACATTGATACACTCATTCGAAACTCTGATATATTATAGGCGAGATAAAGTTAGTATAAAAGTGGTGAGAGACTTCGTATGCAACGGCTTGCTTGGCAGCTATCCGAAAAGCGAGAGTGTTACTGCGCACTGCATAGTAGATTAATGAATCCGCGCCATCTATTGAAGGAGATTACCAGCAATGCAATATTCATGAGCTCACACTATTCATAGCTTCTCTCCTCCCTCGGATCACTACTGGCAGTCTCCACAAAGGCAAGATGATGCATGCCCCGAAAGAACCCTTCCTTTCCTCCCCCGATTTCGATGCGCCGCGGTTTCTCGAAGATATTGCAACGCATTTGCGCGACCATCAACGCCCCATTCTCCGAAGCACACACTGGGAACAGGCTCGAGATATTTGGGACAAGTTTCCACCGAGGGGGGGCGTCTTATGGCGCACGATGGACTGCCCCGGAGACGCGTTGAACTCTCGCTTTTACGAGCGCCGCATCACGAACACGGTGGCCGCCGCCGTCGAGGCCGGCCTATTCAGGTGAGCCCCCTGTCCGTAGCCTGAAGCTGACTTCCCCCCGATCGCCCCTCTTCGCCTCGCTCACTGTCTGTCATTCTTTCTCGCCGACGCATTACCCCCAATTTCTCGGCACTGGCTCGCGGTGTCTGCGGGATCGAATGAGACAAGGCCGGAAGCAAGGAAGTACCCTGTCGTCCCACCGCCATGCTAGACTGGCTCTTTTGCCGGGTGGCACTCGGAACTTTCTTGTTCCACAAATCCACAGCACGATTGACATTGAAGGCAAATAGGAGGAAGGGAATGGATACACAGGCTGAGGTGCAAACTAAAACTTGTACGTCAGTACACGTCGATGCGGGGAAACGAAACAGGAGAACAAAATGTTTAGCTCACAGATAATCGGAAAGATCCATCTCCCCTGGAACTCCAGATTCCCATCGGTATGCGGGAAGTCGGTCACATTCAGAGCGAAAAGGGAGGTCAGGAAGGAAAGCGGGAGCTAGAACCAGCCATCAATACACCGTGTTTTGCTCCGGTAGAAAGAAGTAAAAGATCCGGGGATATGGGACACGTACGAAGAGAATAGCCACCACCGTAAAGATTAGGGAGATGTTGGCCTGCTTGGCTGTGTCGTTTGCTTGCCATCTTCCGAACTCGGCTTCCTTGATACCGGCCTGCTGCTGACGTAGCTCCAGAAGAGCATTGATCTACGCGAAATATTAGCAGGCTGTGACGTGTGGATAGCGGAGTTATATCCACATACTGATTCCTGGACGGCAGTCGCCTCGTCGACGATGCGCTGGATCTCGCACAACATGCGCGTGGGATTCATCGGGTGGCTATATTGATAACCCGTGAAGGTGTCGAGGTCCTGGGTCTCGAAGGTCTGTTGCCACACCTGCTGCTGGCCTTCAAGCACCGTCTCGAGGATGTTGAGCTCATCACATATATCCTTCGCTTCGCGTAGTAGGTGGACTTCGTCATCGATAACATGGTAGGGGTTTTTCGGGAGATCGCGAATAAATCCGGTGTGCTCGTGCGTGTGCGACTCGTCCTCAAGGGTCGTTAAGAAGCTCTGGTAGAGAGTGGCCTCCTTGTTCATCTGGGATTGTTAATTAAGCTCGCTGGCTGACAAGTAGTGGACTACTTACTAAATCTCGAACTGACTCCTGGAATATTTCAAGGACATTCTTGCCTTTGGTCCTCTGCTGGTCCGTTTCCCGGCGACTTCGGAAGAACTTCTGATCAAGGATCAACGTGGTCATAATACTAAGCACAATCTCAGCCATGGCTTTTGCTGTCCTGGGCCGCTGGAACTCTTCTTTTTCGTCATTCAGCTGGATAAACCGACGAATCCGCTCTGGGAGTCTCGCTTCAGTCGGGTCTGCTGGGTTTGTACAGCTGGTGAGGATGGTCTCTGGAAGTGGATGAGCACTTGGTCCTGGGTTACAAGAGAAGTTGGAGGTGGCTACCCCCATCAACTTACTGTTGTCGAGGATACGAATCCAGATCTGGTCGACAGCCAGAATTTGTTTCCCTGGTTCGCGAAGATGTTTCTCACGCTCCTTGCGTTCGTTTTCCCGAGTCATGGCGTCTTTCTTCGGCTGTTGGATTTTGTGGTTGAGGTCCTCGGCCCACCGAACCACAACTTGATCAATATCTCTCGCCATGCTATTCTCGAGGGTCGCGTAGTAGAATTGATCCAGGGTCATTGCTTGGTGGAGGCCTGGATCCAGTCCGTCAGACTCACCCAAAGGTGAGATCGCCTTGGTCAAATAGGGCATCTGGTTTGGGTTGAGTAAAGGTCCTGCAAAAAGTAAACAGATCGACTGACCTGGATTGACACGATATCTTGGTGCGAGACCTTCTGCCCGTCGGCACTAAAGATATCGTTCCACGCGAACGAAGTTCGCTACGACGGTGTAGTCGGCTTGTCAAACACGGAAGACGATACAGTGAAGTGTCAAGGACTCACCATGCATTGTGGCCTGAGGAAAAGTTTGCCAGCCCCAGCAACGACCTCGATACAGCTCTTGGCGAAGAACGAAGCCAACAAGCGATGATGTTTCTGCATTCGCCCTGCCTCCCGAGACAAGCGTTGGCAAGCATCCTAGCCCTGCGGTTAATCTCCATCTACCGGGTCAATTGGGAACGAGACTGCTTACGCCCATGACGCCAGCCTGCAAGGAAGTGAGTGAGACAGTGAACCGAAGGTCGTATTTGGATGGTATCAGAGATTCTTACATGATTGAATGGCAGGTGAATCCAGCGAAATTGAAGTGCTCCTGTGGCAGGCGCGTCACTTGTGTCTATAGTCAAAGAATTCTGGGCTGTTGAGGAATTGGGATTACTGAGCTCTCGAGGCCGTTTCTCGATGTCTTCCAAGTGTCTTTTAAATGAAGACAAGTCACGATACCTACTGGCCAACGAATCTGTCATCACTCTCTGAACACCAAGTTGGTGGCTGTAGACAATGTGTTTGAGTGATCGTTCAATCGAATGAAGGTCGATGTCATCTCCCAGAGCGTAAAAATCAATGATAGCCACATAACTCGTGGCTAAGCCAGAACCAAGTCGCCGTGAAGGGAAGGCTGGCGGGCGGTAACTATCGGTAACGCCGGCCTGCTCGACTATCTGTGGGGGGTTTTGGAGGAGTTGGGAAAGGGCCTCCTTGCGTGATTCTTTTCCTGCCCCCGGAAGAGCCTTTAGGACCTTCCTAGCAAGCTCGATTTCTTTTTGATCGAATATCCACCCGTTGGAGAGCATCCACCACAGTCCAATGGCCTGGCTATCATACACCACGGTGGGAAGTAGTCCCCACTCCTCGGCGGGTCGTCCAACCCCAGCACATATGGCTTCGCTCGGCTTCTTCAGCCGGGTCGTCTGCAACTGGAGAAGACGGTCCTGATTCCCCGGCTTCTCAAAGCGAAAGATAAGCTCGAGTGCTTGCATTTCTCGACTTGGCACTGACGCTGGACAACCTGGATCCCTTGACCCCTTTGTTTTCAGGGTGTGAAAGGTTAGTTGGTTCAGAAGGTAATCTCGTAAGCGTGCATGACGCCATTTGACGGCGAGTGAGAGAGGGGTTTCTCCCGCGCTGTTGGGTTGGATAATAAAATCGATGATTTGCTGACTGCAAAGTGCATGCTTCTCGAGCAAAGCCTCGCTGGCTTGCGAATTCCCAGCTGCTGCAGCGGCGTGCAGCGCAGTGTTGTTATCCTTATCGCGTACGCTGTAGTCATAGACGGAGAGCGCATTCCGAATTAAATCGTGATTGTCAAACCGCGCAGCAACGTGAAGCAAAGTCGCGCCTTTTTTGTATTTCCAGTCGGGATGGGCGCAATCAGGAAACGCTACATCCGTAAGGTGCTGGCTTTTGTTTGCGACCATCCAGTACACAATGGAATTCAGGTCATCCGCCGGCGGTTTGGGGTTGCGGGAATATTCCAATAAGCGGGTTTCAACCATAGAGACCTCAGCTTTTGTCGCCAGGGGAGTGTATCCCCCCACGCAAGACGGGGGGTAATATAGATCCGATTTCAAGAGACAAAGCGTTGCCTCACGGTGGTTTTGCGCGACGGCTAGACCCAAGGGGCTCTTGTAGAAGGACTCTTGAGCTGGAAGCTCGGAGCTGATATCTTTCAGCAAAGCTTGGATGTTTTGCAAATGACCTTTAAATGAGGCTTCATGGAGGGCCGAACGCCCATCCTTGTCTTTCCTGAGAATGCCTGGCCTCTCAAAGAGCACAGGTTTGAAGGAGTTCATGTCATCTGTTTCAAGTGCGAGTTGGAATGGTGTTTTTCCATCGGCATTCTCGCGATTGACGTCGGCTTTATGGCGCACCAAACAGTCGATGGCCCCCGCATGTCTTTCCTTACAGGCCGTATGAAGTGGCGAATCGCCCCCGACGCCATCAACTTTGACGCCATCAACTTTGGCCCCGTTGGCTATCAAGATCTGGATCAAGGTGTCTAATCGGTGTGGTTCCTCTTTTCCTCCAGCCCACCTGACGGCTGCATGCAAAGGTGTTTCTCCCACGTACGTTTCTGCGTTGACATCTGCGCCGCTTTTGATGAGAATCTTGACATTTTCGAGTTGGCCTAAATTGCTCGCCGACCAGAGGGGAGTTCGACCCATGTTATCGAACCTCGTAGGATCCGCTTGGTGAGATAAGAGGAGGGCAACGGTATGTGGGTCATTTTTTTCGGCCGCAAAGTGCAAAGGTGTGTAGCCTTCGTGATTCGCTGCATGGACAGCTGCTTGAAAACTGAGAAGTATTCGCACCGTTGAGTGTTTTTCATTGGCGCAGGCGAGCTGTAATGCGGTATTTCCTGTTTTGTTGCAGGAATTGACAGCGGCGTGTCTGCTCAGCAGGGTGAACATGACTCTATCATGTCCATGTGTGGCGGCCAGTTGAAGCGATGTATTACCACCACCATTACAGCTATCGATTTCGGCGCCTTTGTCCAAAAGAATGGAGACGACCTTATCGTGTCCCCCAGCAGATGCCTTCTGAAGCGGTGTATTACCCCCTTTATTGCGTGACTCAACTTCTGCTTTCCTCTGCAAAAGTACAGAGACAACCTCAAGATGCCCACATTCAGATGCCGCGAGCAGAGGGCTGGCTCCGTTATAGTTCTTGCTCTCGATATCTGCACCACGATCCAAAAGACTTAATACGGTGCTTGCATGCCCCCGACATGCTGCTAGGCCAAGAGAGGTTTCTTTAAACTTGTTGCAGCTGTCGATTTCAGCACCCCTGGCCAAAAGTGTTAAGGCGACCTTATCATGGCCATTAAAACAGGCCATTTGAAGGGGTGTATTACCCAATGCATTACGTGTGTCGACATGGGCTCCTTGCTCTAAGAGTGCTTGAACGGCCTCAAGATCCCCATTTGCAGATGCATCCAGCAGAGATGTCTCTTTGTTCCCATCGGAGCTATTGATGACGGCACCCGGATCAGGAGGTCTGGATTCTGCAAGTCCATCTCCACCTCCTGCCCATTTATCTTCATCTTCATCACCTTGTTCTTGTACTGCCTCTTCTCCTTCTCCCTCTTCTCCCAGTTCAGCATCAATGAAGTCGTCATCCAGTGCGCTGGCTCTGCTTTTCAAAGCGGGGGCGTTCGTCTCGTCGGAGCGGGAGTGCATTGTTTGATGACTTGGAAATTATGGCAAGTTCTAATAGAAAAAAGAGATCGGTGATTCAGGTGGCTCCATTTCAGTTAAAGAGAATATGCTCGGGCGACAGAGTGAGCAGATCCCACCCTATTTATCAAAAACCGGCAGAGTCCGTTCTTTCTTTCTGTTAAGAGAAATCCGAGGCGCCCAGGCAAACTCCTGCATAGCCCGATGGCCGTGATTGGGTATCAAGGTTAGGAACGATTACTTCAGACGGCCTAACTAAACTAGCGAACACCACGCTTGGCAGTGGAAAGAATTCCAAGATCTAAAGTGTGAGTTGTCTCGGTATTTGCTCCCTTACCCGCAAGTTGGGCCTCCTGCCTATAGAGGGATCCGAGCATTCCGAGAAGAGACTGCACTAGTGCTATCTTTTGTAGGCCGGTGTTCAAAGCATTGGGGCACGGATCTTCACTAGCGCGATAAAAGCACCGTGGGTGAGATGGGAGCGAGCTGTATGAGTTTTGAAAGAAAGACAACCGACAGGTGCGGACGATTGTGTATCAGTCTACTCGGCCCAGCGTCCCCCTGTGCATACTAGTCTGCACTGCTCAATTCCTCCACGCATACCGTATTTAGTAGTCTGCTGCTAGCTTCGCATCTTTTCGACGGACCTTTTACGACCCCACATTTCAGCTACCCCGAGCCGCTATTTTAGACTTCCGGCTTCAAACAAAGGCGGGACGAACCGACCATTCGTTCCTATTGACGTGTCATCTGTGATATGCCCAGATCACCAGAAGCACGGACAGATGTCAGCTCGGAAGTAGTCCGCCCGCCGTCTCCACCTTACGTGAGGAGTCAATCATTCGCTCGAGTGCTGAGAAAGGATGTGATGCCGTGACATGGAATGCAGCCGATCAATCGATCAGAGAAAACCTACTGCTTAGGATGCTGCTTCTTTAGGTACTGATCGGCAGAAAGTCAGTTTTCGCTTGTGGGTACTAGGCCTTTCAGCCGGGTGATTCTTGGACATACACAGTATACTCTCGTAAGCATCACAACTCAATCCTAAGTCTTGGTTTCATACTGTTAAATCTGGTTTTCATCATCTTAGCAGTTCAAGTTAAAATCAAGGTAATCAGGCTTCGATAGATGGGCCTCACACTTCTTATTATTGTCACGCAGGGCTCTTCTGGTGAATTGAGGCCGAGAAAGGTAAATTGGCCAGGATAAGAAAGCTTGACGGTCCAAATATTGTTTAACTCCCGACTGAAGTGTGGGAGGGAGCTCATGATGCCTGAATTTCATGCTATCCGCCTCCAATCATAGAACATGTGATACATAGATGTTTGCTGTAACCAACCGGCTGGCGACGATCACAGACTTGATCTGGTTAGGCAATTTCTGTGATGCGGGTGTCAATCAGCCCTCCCCCCCCCCCCCCCCCCCGTCTGGTAAACTAAGCCCTCCGGCGATTAACTTACCGACTTACCTTGGTTCTCAGCCACAATGTTTGAGATGCGAAGATCGTTGTTGCCTCTCTGTTGGATACGACAGCCAAGATTTGCCGGCTGACTCAGAACATGTGTTTTATCTCCGCTCTCAAATCCCAGCCAACCATCCCCGTGGCCCTCATGCTTTGATTGTGGATGGCGTTTGGATCCATGGGAGCAAATCAGTCCGAGAACCGATATTAGCATCGCCCAAGGTTGAAAACAGCACTTCTAGGCTGTGCTACAGGGGTCTTGGCTTGGATCACGACCGTATGCTTAGTCGACACAGCATTTAGCGCGATTTGCACGACTGTCCTGCCGGGTCTACTCACCCAATTCTTGAATTTCTGAGCCCCTCGAGTGAGAAGCGCCACCCATCACACACCAGTGGTCTGAACTCGTTGGAGTTTGCTCGAGGTTCGGCCGCCGTATTCCTGTCCTCGAATGGGAGAAGAGAGTTGCCGCATTAGCGGGGTCCTGTGCCAAACCCAACACCGGAGTGATCATCGTGGAAATGTAGGTCGCTTGGTGTTCATCACTACTCCCTTGTACCAACGGCACGCCTTACCCATTTCTTTTGTTCAGATGTGAGGCAATTGGTGAGCTGGAATGGGTGGGGGCCCTTTTGACATGCGCATATAAGAGCAAAGAATAACTAGAAGACACTGACCGCATTGGAGTCCCAGATTTCACTTTTTGATTGTAGAGGTGGAAGTTGAGCGAGGGCAGAAGATTTTCTTTCCATCATTTTGTATGGCAAAAACTTTTATCAAATCAGTTGACAAACTAAGAGAACCCCGCCGGAGCGACATTGTTTATCCGGTAGGTCGGACACAAAGAAAGACAACAACCTTGTTCAAATCAGACGCTGCTGTTTACGGAGAAGAGTGAGCGGGTAGGCCTGGACAGTGGGTCAGATAATAAGTCCAAGAAGCTGGTCGTTGCCGCGTAGGACCCAGAGGGGTCGTGGAGGAGGACTGGGTGGCCATGTAGGAAGTATAGAATTACACTAATGGCTGTGCTGTTTCCTAAAGCTGACTGCATCATATTTGTCAGTGAGGGAGTTGACGAACTTTTGGGGCAGTTGGGGAATGGGAAAAGGAGGCGTATCTGTGTATAAACCCGCTTCTGCGACACGAACACCCACTTGTGTGATGAGAACTCCGTCGGATCGAATGGCTGTGCTGGTCGTGAGATCAACTGAGATGTTAGCATTTTTGCGTCCAGGATAATTACCTTCTTCGCTGAGGATGGAGCAGGGTCTGTGGCCTGCGCTGGTGGAAGCGAGAGGCTCGCAGGAGTGGAGGGAGTATCGGGCCTGGTTTGATCAGTGCTGCGTCTAGCTTTGATCCACGGGGTTGGAATTTGAGTGTTGGTGCCTGCTCACGGCCCTGAGACAGTCTTCTTCGGTACACAGAAGGACGATCGCAGCCGGGTTCTGGCGGTCGATATCCGTTTCAACGTTGCAGACGGTGGTGAAACTCAGGGTCCTGGTGTCTTACAGGATTTGCATTTCATGCCAACAGTAGCCGGGAGATTTGGAAGCTGGAACAGGTACGGGTGGAGATGATTGATACTGATGGGGGGGGGGGGGTGGTTGAGAGAGAAAAATATGGAAGTAGTGATTGATTAACACGGAAAGTGGGATTGATGCCCCGGTCATGCTGACAGAGTAGTCGTCCATTGCAGCTGTCCGATGACGCCATTTCAATTGCATCGGATATGTTGTTAGATCGTTCTACGGGATATTTTCTTGCCGCTACTTTTCCTTTTATCCTTGATATGCATTCAGCAAACTCGCATGTACAATTTTCATGACACGTCACAGTTGATTCCATTCAGGACTAACAATGTAGCATGGTCCATAGGAGAGACTATCTGACTAGACAGAATCCATTCGGCCACGTAACTCCTGGTTTCTCGCCTTGCACCGGTTCAGGATCATCTCCTTGTTACGGTACCCCCGCAGTTCATGACGGGCAAAGAGGTCTTCCAGCACAGACACATAACCCAAAGCGACCGCCTCCTCCACCTCTGGCAACCCAAAGGTACACCGCACGACGATGGGAAACTCGTTTTGGATCATGAACCTTGCAAACTCGGGCTTGCGACAGAGTAAAGCCTCTCGGATCATCTGGCTAGCCTCGTTGGCCTCCCAGTCGAGCTTAGCAACGTGAAGGTGCATGAATCGAAAGACCTCAATCGAAGGGGCATGCCGGACCAAGAGAAAGTAGCGCTCCTTGCGCGTGGCCGTGTCGCAGGGTGAGCGGAGGAGGTCGGTGCCGTTCTCGCTGGCACGCTTGAACAGCTCTTGGAAGCCAGAAGTCCTCAGCAGCGCGACGAAGATGCGATCGGTGAAGAAGACACACCGTTCTTCGAGAAGCATCTTAATCCCCCGGTCAAGCTCGGGGAGCATGGGATTCAAGCAGTCGATGACCGACAATCGATCATGCCGGGGCCCGATGTGGACGGTAGGATTAACTCCAAGCCGCAATAGTTTTCTGATAACATTCGTGTTGCCCGCCGCCGCCGCCAGATGGAGCAAGCTGACTCCATGGCTGTCGACCTCCCAGACATCCACGCCTTCCTCGTATAGATAGTGATCAATATTGAAATCGTCTCCACTGCAGATGGCACTTTCTAGGGAGTTGGGAATGTGGGGGTCAGTGGGCTCGACTACCCTGTATGCTTCGGGGCCCAGGCCACTTACAATGCATCGCTTCAACAACTCGCGGAAAGTGGCTCCGTGCTTCCCCTGGCATGTCCTGGAGTAGCAGCTCAGGCTGTTTTCACTCAGATAGTCAATTGACCATCTCAAACGCTCGCATATGTCTTCCAGCCCCCTAACCGGGCGCTTCGACTTGAACGTCGAGGCCATATTGGAATATTTATCTCCAAGATACTGAAAGCCAGCGAGGCGATAATAGTTGCGGTGGATGGCGGAAAAGAAGGGTATAATAAACAAAGAATGCATTGGTGCCTTGTATAGTAATGCTCGACAAACGCTTTCTCACACGGAATCCATCGCTTCGTTTGATGATATGCGCATAAGAATAAAGGACAGCCAGTGATGTAACAAGAATATCCTTCATAGTAATGACGTGCCTCGACAAATGCTTTCTCACACGGAATCCATCGCTTCGTTTGATGATATGCGCATAAGAATAAAGGACCAGCCAGTGATGTAACAAGAATATCCTTCATAGTAATGACGTGCCTCGACAAACGCTTTCTCACACGGAATCTGTCGTTTCGTTTGATGATATGCGCATAAGAATAAAGTACCAGCCAGTGCAGTCATAAGAATATCCCTCGACGGGATTTCACAAAACAATAATCACCCTTTCCCCAGAACAAAACAAAAGAAACGTCTTCAAACATAGTGTGGAGAGTCCATGAGCAGGGCCTAGTTTCGGCCTCTCTTCTTCATTCTTCTGGCCCGTCGTTCTGCAAGTATTTCATCGAGCCTGTTCTTGTCCCTGCGGATCTGGGCGAGCAAATCATCACATCGCTGCCCAAATTCCTGGTCCCCTTTGATTGACTCTTCGATCTCTCTCAGGACCTTCTGAATCTGCATCTTGCGCGGATTATAGGATCGACCTTGGCATTGAACTTTGCGTTGGGGATTATCCCCAGTCTCGAATTGATCTTTGGGTTGAATGTTACCGCGATTCTCCTGTTGAACTTCGCATCTAGTATCCTTCCGTGTCTCGTCCTGAAGTTCCTTCGCAACGTCTAGCTTGCCTAGCTTGAGATCATCCTGATCCCTGATCTGAATATGATCTCGATCACCCTGTCCCTGTCGGTGTCTGTGTCGAAGATCTTGGACTCTGAGACGGGTGTCGCCTTCGTGTTTAGCATCCTTCCATGTTTCGTCCTGAAATTCCTTTGCAATGCTAAGCCAAATGTCATTATCTTGGCCCTTGATCTGAATATCATCTCGATCATCCTGTTCCTGTTGGTGTCTGTGTTGGAGATCTTGAATTCCCGAACGGGTGTCGTCTTCGTGTTTAGCATCCTTCCATGTTTCGTCCTGAAATTCCTTTGCAATACTAAGCCAAATGTCATCATCTTGGTCCTTGATCTGAATATGATCTCGACCACTCTGTCCCTGTCGATGTCTGTGTCGAAGATCTTGGACTCTGAGATGGGTGTCGCCTTCGTGTTTAGCATCCTTCCATGTTTCGTCCTGAAATTCCTTTGCAATGCTAAGCCAAATGTCATTATCTTGGCCCTTGATCTGAATATCATCTCGATCATCCTGTTCCTGTCGGTGTCTGTGTTGGAGATCCTGAATTCCCGAACGGGTGTCGTCTTCGTGTTTAGCATTCTTCCGTGTTTCGTCCTGAAATTCCTTTGCAATGCTAAGCCAAATATCATCATCTTGGTTCTTGATCTGAATATCATCTCGATCATCCTGTCCCTGTCGGTATCCGTGTCGAAGATCTTGGACTCTGAAACGGGTGTCGCCTTCGTGTTTAGCATTCTTCTGTGTTTCGTCCTGAAATTCCTCTGCAGTGCTAAGCCGAATGTCATCATCTTGGTCCGCGATCTGAATATCATCTCGATTACCCCATCCCTGTCGGTGTCGGTGTCGAAGGCAATGAGGCTTGAAAGGGGCTCTGCCTTCGCGTCTAGTATCCTTCGGTGTCTCATCCTGAGATTCCTCTATAACGCCTAGCTCGCCTAGCTTAAGGTCATCTTGATCCTTGATTTGATTATCATCTCGATCACCCTGTCCCTGTCGGTGTCTGTGTCGAAGGTATTGGGGTCTGGAACGGGTATCGCCTTGCTGTCGGGATTGAACAATCATGTCTTGCTTGTCCTGTTGGATTTGGAGTTGAAGTTTCCGAAATCTAGAGTGGAAATCAGGTAGCGGTTTGTATCGAACAACACCATCTTGACTGTTCTGTCGGTTTCTGTTTTGAAGGTATCGAAGTCTGGAACGAGGACGGTCTTGCATCTCGGATTGAACTTTGTGTTGAAAGTCAACTCGATTGTCCTGTCGGTCTTTGTTCTTAAGGCGTTCAATTCTAGCTTGGATGTCTTTTTCCAGTCTGGCGCGAATTCTGGATTGAACATCATCTTGATGGTTCATTTGGTTTCTGTGTCGGAGGTATTGAAGTCTGGACTGAATATCATTTTCCATCCTCGCTAGAAAGGATTCAATCTCATCTCGATTGTCCTGTGGGCTTTTGTTCTGAAGGTATTGAAGTCGGGTTCGGATATCTTCTTCCAGTCTCGAGCGAATTCTGGCTTCAACATCATCGTCATGCTTGTTCAATTGATCCTTGGATTGGAGATCATCTTGATTGTCCTGAGGGCTTTTGTTCTGAGGAGCTTGAAGTCGGGGTTGGATATCTTCTTCTGGTCTGGAGCAAATTCTGGATTCAGCGTCATCGTCACGCTTCTTCAATTGATCCTTGGATTGGAGATCATCTTGATTAGTCTGTGGGCTTTTGTTCTGAGGAGATTCAAGTCGGGGTTGGATATCTTCTTCTGGTCTGGAGCAAATTCTGGATTCAACGTCATCGTCATGCTTCTCTAATTGATCCTTGGGTTGGAGATCATCGCGATTATCCTGTCGAACTTTGCATTCAGCATTCTTTCGTTCGAGCTTGAAGGAAGCGCAGGCATCCATGTCAATTATGAGGCGAGTGACGGGCCCGATGGTCGGAGTCTTCTCAATCGGTTTCTCTATCACGATGAAGCCAGGTTAGCAATGCAACTTTCAACTGCCGTGCAGAGATGGAGCTAAAGATTATTCACTCTTCCAGCTCTCCGGGAGGAGCCCCAAGGACTCGAGAGCCCTGAATAGAATCATTAGTCGTGACCTTGAATAGAGATGTGTGTGTATACGGAGTTTGAAGTAGTACTGAAGTCGGAGTGAGGTGGTAATTGAAGCTGAGTTGAAGTGGTATTATTGAAGTTGAATTGAAGGCAGTTCAAGAGTGTTGTATGTGAGCATGAGGTGTGAGTAAGTTGAGGTTGGAACTCGTTGGGGGATTTGGGGGGATTTGGGGGGATACCGTCTCTCAGGGCCATTCTGGACATAAACGGAAGGCGCAAGAGGGTCCAACCATATGAGGGCAGCAGCTGGTAATAGCAGGGGAAGGAAGAAGGCACACAAACAGAAGGAAGGAACAGAACCAGTTGGTTGAGTGCTTAGAAGGCCATAGTTATAGCACGGACTGGCTGTTGTCTGGGCTCTTCGAGGAGGATGACCGTCGAGGGGGAAGACATTAGGGCTAATCTTCTTCCTAGTAGGATGCAGCATGGTGGTGGTTGTCTAAGTCCATGGGCTAACTTCGCTTAGGGAACTGGAGCTGAGAAAAAGGCTTGAACTATTTTATTAGTAATGAATCAATCACTTAATGAAGGAGAACAATAGAGGTTATTGACACCTTCTGGCTGACGAACAATACAGTGCAGTTCGAATTCCTTGATCACGGTTATTGGCGAGTGCTATGAGATTCCCAGATCCCGGATCCGACTCGGATTTATGTACACTGTAACTGAGGCAAACAACTCACTACTCTTTGTTCTCGAGGGTAATTATACTAGTGGCGAGTCGTCTGGCGTTTTCCATTCTTCGGAGCCATACACCTCCACCTCCTCCCCTCTGATACCCCGCCACCACTCACTTTGCCGCACAAGCTCCCCATCCTCACCGCCCAGCAATGTCCAATATTTCTTCAGGAACCAGACCTTGGCCTCCCAGCTACGGACATCCCACGGTGTGCCTGTTGGATGACACCCAATCGAGTCATGTCTGTCCCGTCTCCCCATGCCCGCCCCGCCCCAGCACACCAGGCCGGTTATCAAATCATCGAAAAGCTCGTCCTCGTCCAGCTCGTCATGGTGCATCAGGAGGTTCTTCCGCAGTGTCGGGAAGGGCAGAATGTCTATCGAAGGGTGGTGTGGAATCGTGATCTGCTCACGACTCGGCCGGAGGTCCGGCTTGAGGGCTTTGAATATCTTCTGAACCGTCCCGATCATACTTGCGTTTGCTAGACTATCTGCGGAGCCCGCACTGGGGCGGTAGAATGGCGAGAACGACTCATCGGCACACAGCATCGACTCGTTGACCCCGATGTGTAGTCCGAGGTCGTACAAGGCTGTGACGGTGCAGAGAGTGTCGATCCGAATGTGATTGGTGTATGGGTCCGCTGTAGGGGCGCCTGTTCCTAGGCTGAGGAAACGTATCTCGCCCGAGCGGAACGGGTAGGGACCCCGAGTCTGGACGCGGATGTGCGGCCTTGGACAGCCGCATTTAATGATGCTGGTACAGTGTGCACCGTCGGACCTTTTGTTGTGGGTTTCAGGGACAAGGAAAGATGGTATGCCTTGGAATTTGGGGCCGACTGTGCTCAGTGCTGATGGGGGGTTGACTGGGCGTTGCGAGTCACTAGCAGTGGAATCCCATGAGCTCGGGACTGAGGAGATATCGTCTGACAGAGGGACAGCCAAAGAAGTAGCCCACAAACTAGATAGCGACAGATCATTCGATGACGATGCATACATGGTGGAGTCGAACGTTGTCGGCGAGGTTGAGAAATCATCTAAGCATGATGACGGTTCCCAGGATGGGAAAGTCGCCGAGAAGGTATTTACTGGTTGGCATAGTCCTGCAGATAGTCCTGCAGGGACCACTGCACCTGGAAAAGGGCCCGCAGCTCCAGAGGCGGGGATGTTCTTTGTAGCGATGTGGGGCAGAGCGATCATCGGAGAATCCTGCACTAACGTTACGGCCGGCCCCGAGGGATCCATTTCCACAGCTGGTGGTGGTTCTTCAACCGCACGAATCTGCGCTGCGGATGCTGCGAGTGCTTCGAGACTTTCCAGGCGCTTGCGCAGCTTTTCTCCTGGAGTCTCAAGCATTAGTGATTGAATACCTGGAATTCAACCAGCCCACAGCAGCAAAGGTAAAACAATGAGGTGTACTCACGGTACTTTTTCTGGGCTTGGATGTTCTGTTGCCTCCGCTTCTCTGGGTCACGGCGGACGGGCTTCCGATTCGCACCCCCTGTGGAACCGCGGGTCTGCGTCGGCATGATATACCTTAATAGCTAATCAAGTATGCTCCAGCAAGCGAAAGTCTGGAATGAGTGAAGTGCAGCGCACCTGTGGCTGAATGGATTTTGTAAGACGAAGTAAGTCAGAAGAAGCAGCGGCCAGACCATGGCTGATGTCAGCCATATCCCGCTTGGCCGAAAGAGGACTAGCGTAGATTTGATACTTCGAGTGAAGATATCAACAATTGGACTAACTTAACTTATATACACTATATACAAGGCCTGCAGCCCCCGTTCTTTCAGCTTCAGTCGATGTCGTCCATGCTGAGATTCTATAAGTTTGTGCCTGTAGCGATGCTGCCGTCTTCTCAATGAGAAGTTTGTTCACAACCTAGGTCCTAATGGTCTGCATTCGTTCTCAGGGTACTTCAAGCGCATTCAACAAGTATGGTAAGACGAAAGCAGGGAGAATTGAATTCGGTGCATTGAATGCTATTTGTCGAAGCTCCCTTGCTGTATTAAATATACCATGCCGCGTTGAGCTGGAGAAGGGCTATTTACATAGAGATGATGGGAGGGGTACCGCTATGACCGGATACCCAACTCCCCACCTCCGGCCAATGCAATGAAACATCATCCAAATTGATGAGCTCAGCGAAGTCAGAATACCAGGCGCCCGAGCTCCTCAAGCTTGGACTTGCCATCAATGACCACCGTTCCAAGCACAACCCCGCGAGGGTCTTTTTTCAGGGAACATGGCTACGCAATTGATCGGAGGAGGTATGGCCCCAAAGTGGAGCCAAGATGGGGTACACGCGGGCTACGACTCGCCGTCACACTGCCGTTCGTAGCACATAACTAGATAGAGCGAACGGAAACCATGAGATAATGATTGATGACCGGGGTGTTCCATACTTCAAGGTCCTGCCTATGAAGAGAGGCGTAATTCAGCTTGGAAGACAGCAGCTGCAGCCTATGTGATCAATAAACGGTTGGCAACTCCGACGTATTCTGCCACCAGCTTCCGTCGTGGGTCCACGTACATTGCCCGTCTCAATCTGGCGCTCCAATAATAACCCAGGCCCCATCGCACGCAACAAGAATTATTTTCTATGGCTAAAGAACTTTTATTTGGTTTTATCCAGATCGTGCCAGCTCATGATTGATATATGTGCTAAGTTCGGTATCTCAGCGCATCAGATCAACATAGTCAATCAAATTATCCGCCCAACCAACTCGAACGCAGTGCATGCTCAGAGCCTCCAGTCAAAGCCCAAGGCAAAGGTATGGTATCAATGTCATAACGGCGCGAAGAGGAGCCCCGCGCATGCTGTATCAGAGTGGAGTTGACGAGGACGTCAGCATCCTTAAACACACAAGAAAAGTCAAAGCGAAAGAAGTATAGGGGTATAAAGTCGTAAGAAACAAGAAAATTGATGGGCCTAGACAAGGGTGGGTGTGGTGGAAGTTTTTTTTATGCGTGGACAGCCTGCTCGGGGGAACTAGGCGGTAGAGTCGGGGGTGGTTGCTGGTTGATGGCGGTGCTGCTACCGGTTTTGGGCGACATCGGCTCGTCAATGGCGTGCATGGGAGTTTGTTGGGCAGCTGTGGAAAAAGAGTCTTGGGAAATCTTGGCGCTCGAATCAGCGACGTTATCATTCACGCCTTTCTTCTCGTCAGAGAAAATTGTTTCCGAAGCCTCCTTGAATTCCTCTGTCTCGTCATAGAAATGAACACTTTCGCGAGTCGCAGGACTGGTACTCCGCAGAGAGTGCGGGTAACGCGGATGCAAGTTGTTTTCAGAGGCAATGGACTCAGTACCGCTGCCTATCGCGGAATCTGATGCTCGTGGTTCATCCGATGGAGTAGGTTTCCGTAGCTTTAGGCGCTCCTCCGGCGGCATATTCTGCCATTCGCTGCCAAAGGTGACAATTGAAGCCTTTTTACCGTGCACGGTGAAGCTGGCTGACTTTCTCGAGAGTCCCTCATTGTCGTGCGTACCTTGCGCATCCTCAAGCGCGCCCAAGCTAGATGTTGAGTCGCGTGATTTCTTGCTCCGTGGATAATTCCCGTTCACACTCGGCGCATCGCGGAGGGTGCGATGAAGACTGCGGCGAATTCGGCTCGCGCGATCGATCGAAGGCCTGGGTTGAGTGTCATTGTGCTTCGGGTCAGTTTCGCCCTCCTTAGAAGCAAGCGATGGTCGTCGTGAGACTTCGAGTAGATTGGTTTCCCGAAGGATGCGCTCTTCCCCCTCATCGAAACTGTTGGGCACAGTAAGCTTAGACGCGTGGGAGCCGAGGCTTGCGACATCGAATCTGCTAGCTGCGCTCAGAACGGAGGCTTCACGAGTGAGCCGGTTAGCACGATCAGGGGAGCTTGACATAGCACGCTCCTTAATAGCATCAACAGATAGACGTCTACCAGCGCGATCAGGTTGGTCGAACGAAGCGAAGGATGCCGGAATGCTCGGCCGCCTCACGTCCGCCGAGGCAGGGTGTGAAGAGGCCTGGGAGATGGATGGTGGCTTTGCGGAGTTGGGATGTGGAGAAGCTTCCCGAATTGGGGAGATAACTTTGATGGTCCCAGTTTCCTCGCAGGGTCCTTCCACGGTGTTGGTAGCGGTTGAAGCGGGAATCTCCAGTTGAAGACGTTTGGGGTCGGTCGTGGGTTGGGCCTCGTTCAGTTCCTCGCCAAGATCACGGACGAGCACCTCTCGGTAACACCTGGTCCGCCATATGTCCTGTCTCACCCATTTGAGCTTCGCAGCCATGCGTCCAGCCGCCATGATGACCTGTTCGCGGGCTCTGGAGTGCACAGGGGTCAGAACTTGTAGATGTCTCGCGTTTCGCAGTAGATCGTCAAGCTGCCTTTGGCTAACAAATAACTTTTCGTTGGCCTCCCGAATCTTTAGGCGCATCAATTGACTCTGTGATGCGAGCAAGTCCTCGCCAATGTCGGTCGCGGGGTTAGGTGAGGGCGGTTCTCGGTCTGCCAAGGATGCAGCGGACCCTCTGCGGCTCATGCGATTGCGCTGCGCCTCGTAGTTGGTGGCTATCATTCCTTTGCTTCGAACACCGGTTGTTTTGAAAGCGGCCGCGTAGTTGAGCTTTGCCAACCAATCGTTCATATCAGACTCCGAATTGGCAAGAAAAACCTCTTCTATGGCGTTTGAACGGACATAGACAAACGCATTCTTATGCTTCTTGTAACTAGCATCCAGTAACGCGACAGCATCTTCGGTCGGCATCATGCCATCAGGCTTGAAGTCAGTAAGAGGTGGTCTGAAGGTAACGGCCCGACGGCGACCTTCCTTGACGTGTGACTCGTGTTGGTGGATTAAGGATTTCACCCAGTTGACGTCCCGGAAAAAGTACAGTTTCGAAAAGGTCAGAAGAGCACCCCATTCCTGCCACGGAGATCGGGCCTTTTTCTTCTTCGGATCCTTGCGCCATAGCAATCCGACCTTTGCCACTTTGATGTCCACCAAACCCGGGCTCGAATCAATCGGATTCTCCATGCTCGATGGCATGAAAGCGTCCGGTCGAGACCGTGCGGAGACAATCTGCAGGACTGCGGACTTCGAAAACGCACGGTGGAGACTTTCAATGTCTGGCGGTCCTTCCGTGCCATCGCAGCGGTACGTATCGTCTAGATTCATGACATCCTTGAGGCTTGGCCGAAGAGAATCAAGCTTGTTGTCCATGATCAAGGTATAAGGATCTACTGGCTCTTTACCCAAGTGATCTGAGCTAGCGGTCCTGAACAAAGCCCGTCGGGGCTTGGCGAGATGACGTCCATTGGGGTTGTTGTCCTCAATATGAATGAAGGGCGTATAGGAGATATTCTCGTAGAAGCACTCAAGAATATCTTCTGAGATGCCCTCCCCGCGAGTGTTCCTGACATAGTCAGGCTTCTGCATTTTGCGCTTATTGTTCTTATTGAAGACATCAGTGTGCAGAATGAGGATCGAGAAGGCGATGAAATATGCCTGGTCTAAAGGAGTCATCAAGTCAGCTGAGTTCATGCTTGGGGAGATCGAGAATAGTACCTGGATTCGCAAAGATACCGGGGTTGCATTCGTGGTATCGGTCGGCGAAGCTCTGAAGGAATCGATCAATCTGCTGCGTCTCCTTTGGTAATTCAACTTCCATCAATAGCTTTCGGATGGCCATGTCAATTGGGTCGCCAAAAAACGAAAATCCCCGCATATATTTGCGCAGGGCATTTTTGTAGAACTCGTCGTTGGATTGCGAAAGGACACTGGCAATGGCGCTTTTCGAGACCTCGGCTTCTAAGCGCTCTAGATACGTAGCTGGTGTATCGTCCTCTTGTCGCGCCGGATAGGATGGGGTCTTCGTGACGGGAGTCTCGGCCCCCCGGGTGGCAGGTGACCCACTGCGAGGGAAGGGTGGCTCGGAATTCTGTCGGAGTCGCTGCGGGATGTTGAATATATCACCGAAGCTTTTCCGCCCGCTAGTTGAGGTCGACGTACGTCCAGAGGGTGTCAAGTGAGGTGACGCTTGCGGCTCGCTGGAACGTATGTTCGCCAAAGAGTCCAATGTTGACGATCGCGCGCGCGTGGTCAGGGAGTTTCGATTCCTGGTTGAGGGGGTCGAACGCGCGGAATGGGTCGAATTGGCCGAGTCGTTTCTCAAAAGAGGCGGTCGCGGGGAGGCGACACCCGCGGAACGCGAAGGCGAGGGTAGCGGAGAGATATTGTCCTGGTCTTGCCCTTCGGGTGTGGATGGTTTGGCAACTGTTTGACCATTCAAGGATCTAGGGGTCCGACCATTCATTGACTGTGACACAAGGGGCTTCGGCGGTAGTGGGAAGAGAGGCGTGCGATTTCGTTTCAAACGTGGCATTCGGAACTTTTTGGCGCTGGATATTGAGCCTTCATTCGAGTGCACTGGGCGGGCGACTCCATGGTCGCCTGCGCTCTGATCGGAACGTGACGACTCGGAAAATCGCACGTCTACTACCGAAGAACGATTCGACTCGCTGGGATGATCCCGACCGTTGCTTCGAATCGATGTGGTTGATAGACGGCCCGGCTCCTCACCACTCACGCGATGTAATGCTCGACTGATATCTGCGGCTTGTGATCCTGTCGAAGCCTGAGCGACATGTCGAGGTCTTCCATTAAGGCTACCCTGTTCGGAAGGAAGTTCGTCTGTTGAAGACTTCCTGTTATCCTGAAAGAATTTGAATTTCGTTTTCCGCTTCACCGGCTCATCGATTTCATGATTGGTCGGCGCAGTTGTGATTATAGTAGGAGCTGAAGACCCCGAGGTAATGGTTAGGAAGTTGCAATCACGGTAAATGCAGGGGTCGAGACTCACGGGGAAGTTCAGGCACGGGGGGAATATCTTTTTCTCCTTTAGCATAAGATTTAGACAACTGAGGATCTGACGCATGGCGGAGTCTCATGAAGCTAAACCGGTTTATGCGCCAATTGGGACCGCTTCCCGGCAAAGGCAAATGACCAGGATTCCTCGGTCTCGGGCTTGGGTCATCGGTGCGACTGGGCGTTTTCGTGAGATGATTGTTGCCTTGTCCTTCATTCAATTGTTCGTCGAATTCTGGGCCGGCCAGAGAGGGAGAACGAGAAGCGGACTCAGAGTGTCTTGGATTGAGTGCGGTCGTAGAGAGTGTAGGACGTGGGATTTGTTCGCTATGGCGGGCTTGCGCGTTTGGCTCGAATAGGTAGCTCCGTCGTTTGGCCTCATTGCTATCGGAAGAACCAATTCGCAATCCCTTCCAGTGCATAGTGGGCGTTTTCCGACAGACGTGTCTTTATGTAATCCTGCGGCGCAACCTATCCACGCGACCCAGTCAAATGTATATAGAGCTCTATGTCACTAGTGTGGCCGCGTCGATTGTACGACGCCCTATGGGACCAGGGCTGCAAGAAGTTTTCGATGGTAGGAATACGGTGCGAAAACGTCACTGTGGATCAGGCCGATTTGCATCGCGATCGCCTCGAAAGGGGTATGCAAGTCAGGCGACTGCGCAAGAACTAGGGGAATGTCGTTGGGTAGCTAAAAGCGAAGTCGTAAAAAGGGGGCGAGGAGAGTAGGAGGAGGTCGGAAAGGAGGCGGCGGGCAGAGTCGATCCCCGATACAGAAATTCCCGTTTGGAAGTCAAACCTGTCAAAGCTCCTAAGAGGAGCTGTTACATCGCCAGGTAAGTGTGCGGGTTGACTCTGGGTATCAAGCAATTCGAGAGGAGAAATTTGGAGTAACGTAGGTAACGTAGTAAGCAATTTGGCCTGCGGAGAGAGAGGGTGATGATTGTCGTCGTCGTTGGTCGGAGGTTGGTGGTCTGAGGGACGGATTTGGCAGACAAACAGGAGGGGTAAGAGAATGAAAGTGAACTTTTTGCGGGAGAGGGAAGTTTCGCACAGTGACTGATGGTGGTAGGAAAGTGAAAAAGAAAGGAAAAGAGAATTAAGCAAGGGAATGATAAGAATTTGGAGAAACACGACTAAGAGATGAGACGGTGTGGGGAGGGGAGTTTAGAAAGGCCGAGACGAAGGGGAGAGGGAGGGGGGGGGGGGGGGGGGGGGGGGGGGAGGGGGGGAAAGGGAAAGAGAAGAAAGGGTGCCAGACGGTTGGCGAGGTAAGGATAAGCTGGCGATGCTGACGACGGGGCGGAGAAGGAGTTTACTGGAGTTTAGTGGAGTGTATGGATGTACGGAGGGAGTACTCCGTACGGAGTACCGAATACCGTATGGAAGAGCAGCAGCAGAACTGGGTTCCAGAAGAGTGACTAGTCCTGTTTCTGTTCCTAAAAGGACCACCGGGCCGAGATTCACACGTGCCGAGAGGTACTAGGTACGGTAAGGCATTGATTGGTACAGTACGGTAGTACTGTGTGGTTACAGCCTAGACTACAGGACTGGCTGGCTGTGTGTGCATAAGACTAGGTGATAGACTAATAGTAACGTATGAATAGCATGTCTCATCTCGAATGCACGGGTGAAACTGTCCGTGGTTCCAACATTGTTTCTATCTTTATCAATGAGGGAGTGTAAGTACGGAGTAGTAGCTAAAATCATGTTCTTGGCCCCTTTTCCTTCCCTAGAATTGACCCGTCCTGCCAAATATAACCTGACTGAGATTGTTCCTTCTTGACTATGACTCTCTTGTCTCTCAACTGTCGACTAATAATATCATGACAGGGAGCGAGTGTATTGTACTTTACCTAAATGTACTGAGGACACGCATGACGCAGCCCACACCCGCTTAGTCTCACGTGACCAGTGTTCTGGCCACGTCAGGCCCCTTGGTCCATCCCCCTCCGATCCCCTGCCTACATACCTTAGTAAGTTGAGTGACTAAAGTATACCCACCAAAGGACCTTGTTTTCGCGTCAAGTCCCAAGACGAAAACCCTCTTGTCCACCCTCCCCACCATTCACCCACGTCAAACGCTGATGTGGTCATCGGATTCGTACTCCGTAGTCCGTACAGAGGTTGTACCGGCGCATTCCAATTGGGGGTTCACGGACCCTCCAGCATACCGGGATTGGGCGGGAAGATTGGGGAAGTTGACTAGGTACTAAGCCCGGGGCCTGGCCAGCCCCCAATCCACTGCGAACCAAGGGCCACGAAAGGCACCGAACCAACACGCTAAATTGTTAGGGATTGGCAGATTGGCCATGCACCGTATACACCACGGAGCATAGTAACTTGAGTATTACATAGCATAGAGTGCATCTCGATTACCTTTGCGGCCCCCTCCGGCTTCCGCATGCAAGATGGCGTCAACTATAGGGCTTGGCAAGAACTCATCTCAGGATCTTGGTTGATACGTCTGGCTGTCAAGACTTGTTGTCCATGAGGGCTAGCCTCAAGGCGCTATGTGCATGCGCAAGGCATTTCAAGATCAGACATGGCGATTAGAACGACTATCGCAGATCAACTGGCATGATTCCGATGTGATCAATTGACCGTCGGTAAAAGCCATAGGCCGACAGATGTACCCCAATCCGATCAACGCACAGTGCACGTCAATACGTCCAATCATTGGTGATTTATGGGCAGTAACTTCGAGACTACAAAGTAAAAGCACATGCAAGACTTTTCAAAGGACGTCCAGGCCTAGAAGCGTATTCCCTTTGAGCCTAAGTGTTGTCACGGGAGTAAATAATGGGAGATCTTCACAGACGGTATGCATGCCGCCACCGTCCCGCAACGACATGCAGGGTCCGTGAGAGTTCCAAGAACGTCTATTCCACCGCTGTTCGAAGCCCTTCAGCCTCTTTGCCAAAGGCAAGGGACGCCTGCATTTCCTTGATATGCTTGCCTTCACACAGTTATTTTTCCGGACAGAGAGCGAACTGCGGTGAAGACATATCCTCCAGCCAAGATCCTGGTGTCGAGGGTATTGATGATTTCGCACAGCACTGTTTCGTTATGTATCTCCTCAACGGGCCTTGGGCGTGTTGTTTGCAGACCGCTTGCTGTTCTGAATCTCCTCGATTGTTCTTTCCCCGGTTAAGGTGGCCTCGATGTGCTGTGTTCAATGAAAGCATGGGTTATCCACAGAGTCGTATTAACATTGATGGTCGGAGAGGCTTGTCGAGTGCTGATATTTCGTGGTGGAGAAACACTATAATAAGCTTATGCTTTGCTATATCCGGCGCTGAACGGGATAAACGATGAAGCGTTTCGGGAAGATCTAAGAACCCATTATCCATGCAGAAGTTTGTTTATGACCTCATATTTCTGCTTCGTGCTTAGCGGATAGGCAACTACAGGATAGAATACGGCTATAATCACGAGCTCGGTAGCACCTCCAGTACTCCGTAGTGCACACATGTCGGTCAAGTTCGTCAAAATCAACTACTTGAAGGATAGAGGAGTCCAACGTTGATTTCCTCTTTCGGCTGTAGTGACTTACGCTTTCGGGAGCAAAAGAGCACTTTCCTATAAACAGTTAGTCCAGCATAGGCCGGGAACAGTCTAGCTCGGTTGGGATTAGTGGTCGAAACCCCCCAGGCGGCGAGATTTTGATCATACGAATCCACTCTTTGCTACTGGACAACTTGATATGATGATGGCCTGATTGATGGGTCAGTTGTACTTGAGTACCTCGTACGGAGCAGACGGGATGAAAGGTCTACCCCGGAATAACCCCATTTCGAAGGGCATGCAATTCAAGTTCGTAGGCTTGCAAGTGGCGCAACTGAGGCTGTTTCTGACGACAAGCCAACTTTATAGATTTTGCAACTTGATCAATAAGTGGGCTGGGCAGATCGAAACTTATACTCCTTAGACATGAGTCCTCGACTGCATTTTCGCTTATGTGCAGTAGTCAGTCAGCGCGTTCCAATGACTTAGGTCCGATATGGATGCATATCATGACCGAATCGGTCGATCGAAGCCATGGGTACGAACCAAGATATCTGATGCCTGAGGCAGAAAGCGTAGCCTCGCCGTTGCCGTCATCCCTCTCCCCTCGGCTCTTCTCTCACTTTCGCACTTCCATATCTTTGCCATCCCCCAGGTATTCCACCAGACATTCGTCTGGGGAATTGATGCGCAACTTCGGTTCCCCTTACGCAGTCTGAGTTCGAGGTGCATCTAGCTTTCACCATGCGTCACCTTCTCTCTTTAAATCTCCTGCTGGTCGCATCGGGCGCCCTGGTATCCGCCGTCCCCGCAGGCTCCAGCATCACTCCACCGCCGCCGATCGAGCCCGCTCAAATTTTGTCCTTCCAGTCACCTGATACCCGAAGGCCATGGACTCGATTTCGAGACTGGGTCATTGAGTCTCTTTGGAGCATACCAAAGTCAACCAGCAGTCCACTGCGCGGACATTCTCCGCCTCCCCAGGCCCTCGCGCGCTATGGCAGCGATGTGGTTCTACGGTTTACCCTGCGGAACGAAGATCAAGCGGAGGCACTCGCCCAAGCGGCTGATATTTTGTTCCTAGATGTTTGGGCATCTACTCCCCAGTTCGTCGATATTCGTTTGGCTCAGGAAGTGGTAAGTTTTATGACTCACTGATACCTGGTAATGCACCATTACTGACGCCCGCGGCGCTTAGATTCCCTCGCTTCTCGGCCTGTTACCCAGTTCCTTACAAACTGCCTATACCCCCTTAATCGATGACTTGGCGGAGATGATTTACGCTTCCTATCCGAGTAGCCGACCTGTAGGGCTGACTGGACAATCGGACTATATCCCATCCGGTCGGCAAGCAACGCAGCTTGGCGGTGTCTTCTTTCAAGAGTACCAGCCCCTCGGGGTCATTGTGCCGTGGATGCGCTTGATGGCCTCGATGTTCCCCTCGCATGCACAAATGACCAATGTGGGAGTCTCCTACGAGGGTCGAGAAATCCCCGCACTCCGACTGGGAGTCAGCCGCAATGGTGACAAGAGCCCCACGCCGCGCAAAATCATTATCCTTACCGGGGGTAGCCATGCTCGCGAATGGATTAGTACTTCAACAGTAAACTATGTCGCTTACAATATGATCACCAAATATGGTAAGTCAAAAGCAGTCACGCGGCTGCTGGAGGATTTCGACTGGGTATTGGTGCCTACGCTTAATCCAGACGGCTATGTCTACTCATGGGAGACGGACCGCCTCTGGCGCAAGAACCGACAACAGACCAGTCTGCGATTCTGCCCTGGGCTGGATCTCGATCGCACGTGGGATTTCCAATGGGACGGCGAGCGAACCCGCTCCAATCCTTGCTCCGAGAACTATGCCGGCGACGAGCCATTCGAGGGCCAGGAGGCACAGCAACTGGCACAGTGGGCTCTCAATGAAACGCAACACAACAACGCCGAGATTGTCAGCTTTGTGGATTTGCATTCCTATTCGCAGCAGATTCTGTATCCTTTTTCATTCTCGTGCTCGTCTGTCCCGCCTACCTTGGAAAGCTTGGAGGAGCTTGGCCTAGGGCTCGCCAAGGTCATCCGGTATGCGACGCATGAGATCTATGATGTCTCCTCGGCGTGCGAGGGAACGGTCACCGCGCGCGCGCCGAACGACCGACGGTTTTTCCCAATTGGTGGATCGTCGGGTGGGAGCGCTTTGGACTGGTTCTATCATCAGCTACACGCGACATATTCTTATCAGATCAAGCTTCGCGACCGTGGCAGCTACGGATTCCTGCTTCCTTCCGAGCACATCATTCCCACGGGGAAAGAGATCTACAATGTTGCCTTGAAGCTAGGATCTTTCCTGCTTAAGGAGAATGGCTTCGATGTTGACTGGGAGCTTGAATTAGAAGACGCTGGAGCGGTTGGTCAATCGACGGACCACAGCAGACCCGGTGAGGGCGATGTGCCGTCGGTAACCGATGCGGAGAACCCGACCCACCCCGCGGACCCAGACGAACCAGAGGAATGGGAGGGGGTAGACTGGACGGAAGAAGAATCAGTTGAACTCCGTCGCTGAGCTTAGTCTGGACTTCACAAGATGTCTTCGAAATGGTTTGGACGATGATTCTACGACAATGACTAATGATGTTTGTTTTGGCAACATGGGATGCTCCTGGACCGGTGTATATCTTATCTATGGGTACAATCTATGACTGTTGATATGTGATCGAGTCGATTTATCATGCGTGCTCCATCGTGACCGGTGAACCAGCCTTGACTGACTGAGTGGTAGTGTATTGGATAGGAACGAGAGGGAAGATCAAGGACTGTTTCAGACACCGAGTTGTGAACGAGGGTGGCCTGGCTTCCTGGCAATGATAAGGTTTCTTTGTGCCAAGAGGGCTATCGCTCCCAATTGCCAGACAGTGGGAGAAATTGGACTGGGTTCCATGATACTACTCGATAAGTACTGATTTTAAAGCGTAATTGGGAGAGGAGGGGGTGTGGCGGGGGATAAGCGGCGGAGGCGGACGCTGATAAGCAAGGCTTGGCGGGATAAGCAGAGGCGGTCGAGGCAGAAAGCATTGGGTAATGCCAAGCCCGCCAAGCCCTTTCCCCGCGGGGTGGGAGAGCCGTGGTTGACACTTTCCCGTCTGTCAACAACTTATCACCAAATAATCTTCCTTATGCATCGGATGAATGAGTACCATCTGAAAGACTACCATACACCCTTGCAAACAGCCCCTACAACACAGCCACTACGATGAACATGCCCTGTGCCAAAGCAATTCACCACGATCCAGACTATATCTCACTGGCAGTGCATGACGGCAATGCCGTGAGTGCCTATCTTGTGGATGAGCTGCGGAGAGGAAACAGGGGCCGACGACGCCTAGCATCGGCTGGCAAAAATGGGCCACCAGTCAGAGACTATCATATGCCACCCTCCGATGTCACCCCAGCCCGAGTATCAGTCCAGTCCCGTTTACTACTAGCGGTGCTGCCTTTATTTTCTGTCCTCGGCTCCTCTGCCTGACTTTCTCTACTTTCTCTCCTCTTCCCTCTTACCTTTCCATCCTGTTCCTGCCATACAACACACTTCTCACACTTCACACACATTGCAACTCCTGTTGGACGAGATGGGCTACAGAGATGAGCCCCTCTCCAAAGAGGGCTATGCGACCGATGTTCTCACCATGGAGGGAAGCACACTCCAAGCTCAGGGGGAGAATGAGCTCCATCGCGCGCTCAAAGCCCGTCACATCACCATGATCGGTGCGATTCTGTTCTGCCTTCTGACACAGGCTCAGTGACACTAATCTGACATGGCTAGCGATCGGCGGTGCCATTGGAACTGGTCTTATCATCGGAACCGGATCTGCTCTTGCTAAGTAAGTCTCTACCCTGAACTCTGTGTGTGCTTCCGTGCGCTAACAACTGCGCAGGGCTGGTGTAGGTGAATGCTCGACCACGTAAGAAGAGACAGCAAGAAGCTGACGCACATCTAGCCTGCCTCTATCCTCATTTCATACTCGGTCGTGGGTTTGGTTGTCTACATGGTGATGTGCGGACTGGGAGAAATGGCTGCCTGGCTACCGCTGTCCTCGGGCTTCACTGGCTATGCTGTTCGATTCTGCGATCCGGCTTTGGGATTTGCCATGGGCTACACGTACGTTGAAACAGGCAGGTTCCCGAATGCCATACTAACAGTCAATAGATACTGGTTCAAATACATCATCGTCACCCCGAATCAGCTCACCGCGGGCGCACTCGTCATATCCTACTGGGTGGACAAAGAACGAGTCAATCCGGGCGTGTGGATCACAATATTTCTCGTTCTGATCGTGTCCATTAATTACTTCGGAGTGCGCTTCTTTGGCGAGTTTGAGTTCTGGCTCTCGTCTTTCAAGGTCATCGTGATCCTCGGGCTGATCCTGCTGTCGTTCATTCTCATGCTCGGAGGCGGGCCGGACCACGACCGCAAGGGATTCCGCTACTGGAAGAACCCCGGTGCGTTCAACACCTACATCGATGATGGTCCAGCGGGCCGCTTCTACGCCTTCTGGGCGACCATGGTCTCGGCCACGTTCGCCTACCTCGGCACCGAGTTGGTGGGGGTGACTGTCGGCGAAGCGGAGAATCCGCGCAAGACGATCCCCAAGGCCATCAAGCTGACCTTCTACCGGATCGTGGTGTTTTACATTCTCAGTGTGCTACTCGTGGGCACTCTGGTTCCCTACAACTCGGACGAGCTCATCTTCGCCACGAAGCAGTCTTCCTCGGCTGCTGCCTCGCCGTTCGTGGTTGCCATCGTGCTCGCCGGTATCCCGGTGCTCCCACACATCCTCAACGCCTGTATTCTGCTGTTTGTATTCTCGGCGGCCAACTCAGATCTCTATATTGCCACCCGCACCATCTACGGACTGGCCCGGGAGAACAAGGCGCCCAAGTTCCTGGCCAAGACCGACCGGCGCGGCGTGCCGATCTACGCGCTGGCGGTGTGCGCTGCCATCGCGTGCATCGCGTACATGAACGTCTCCTCGGACTCCAAGGTGGTGTTCGGTTACTTTGTCGACCTCGTCACGATTTTCGGGTTGCTGACTTGGGTGTCATTGCTGATTACGCACATCTACTTCGTGCGGGCGCGCAAAGCCCAGAACGTGCCGGTCAGCGACCTGGCGTACCGCGCCCCGTTTGGGGTGTACGGGTCCTGGGCGGCGCTGGTGTTCTGCGTGCTGATCTGCCTGACGAAGAGCTTCGATGTGTTCACGCACAATAAGAAGTGGGGCACCTTCAACTACAAAACCTTCATCACGGCGTACCTGGGAATCCCGCTGTACTTGTGTTTGGTGGGAGGCTATAAGCTGGTGACGCGCTGTCCGGGGGTGAAGCCGCACGAGGCGGATCTGTGGACGGGCAAGGAGGAGGTGGATGCGGAGGAACGGGAGTATCTGAGACGCAGGGCGATGATGGAGGAGCAGCACCAGGGGGCGAATTGGTTCTATCGGACTTTTGTGGCGTGGTTGTTCTAGTCGAACCGGCCCGGGCGACGATGTGATATTATTCTAGCTACAATTGTTGACTCCAATAGTCCGTAGGATTGGGATATCGCCGCCTTACCTCCGAGTACGTATGTGACTGGGGGGAATAACTCCGCCCTCTGGGATGCCAACTCCGACGGGGAGTGCCTACAAAGATGCCAACCCCGCCGGCGTCCAGCCCGTACTTCAACATCCGACGATGGTTTGTCTTTATCGCCGCTAACCCCGTGTGCAACCCATTATCACATACACCCCATGCCATTAGTGAATAGTAGTCGCTTGCCTCTGATCGTATAAACTCCTTGCCTTCCAGTGACATAAATTCCCCATTCATCAAGTTGTCCACCCACCAAATCACTACCTACCAAGCCACCATCCACCAAACAAGTCAAAAAATTACCACTACCCCCCAAACCAACAACAACACCAACACCACCAACACCACACCACCACCAGAATGTCCACCCCGGAGAAAACCCTCTTCATCCTCGGCGGCAGCGGCTACATCGGCACGCAAATCATCCGCCTTGCCCCCGACCCCCCCTACAACTTCACCCAAATCCGCGCCCTCAGCCGCACCCCCGCAACCGACACCCACCTGACCAATCTCGGTGCAACCCCCGTGCGCGGCGACCTGACCTCCCACGCCCTCCTGGAGCATGAATCCCGCCAAGCCTCCGCAGTCATAAACCTCGCCACGGCCTACATCTTCGGCCAGAGCGCCTCCTACGACGTCCAAGGCCTCGGCACCGACACCGCCGCGCTGGACGCCATTGCACGGGGCCTTCAGAACACCGGGAAGCCGCTGGCGATGGTCTCTGGCACGCTGATCTACGCGCCACACCCTTCCGGGGAGGAGACGGAGGAGACCAGTCCATTCGATCCGCACCCTATCAACACCCGATCGAAGACGGATGCGTATGCGCGTGCTCTTGGCGCGCGGGAGGGGTTTCGGGCGGTGACGATCCGACTGGCGCCCTTTGTGTACGGACGGGCCGGGAGCGGAGTGGGCCGGTTCATGCGGCTCGCTGCTCAGAATCAGCGTGTCGCGGTGGTGGCGGGCGGAGGGAAGAGGACGACGACGGTGCATGTGGATGATGCGGCGCAGTTGTTTTTGCTGGCGGTGGAGAAAGGTGCGGCCGGGGAGGCGTTCAATGCGAGTGCCGAGACGGGGGTCACGTTTCGGGAGTTGTTTGGGGCGATAGCTGAGGTGGTCGGGGTCGGGATTGTGGATTTGACTGAAGAACAGGCGATGGAGGGGATGGGGGAGATGGTGATGCGGTTTTTGAGCACGGAGAATCGCGCCTCGGGGAAAAAGGCGAGGGAGGTGTTGGGGTGGGTGCCCACCGCCCCGGGGGTGTTGGAGGAGATTCGAGAGGGGTCGTATAGGGTGTTGGCGGAGGAGTTGCGGGAGAAGGAAAAGTCAGCACCATTGAAGAACTAGGAATTAGATGATTTATGTAAAGGTCTGGTTGTTGTACCAGCTAGTCCTAAGCTTTTCGGAATGGCTGCTTGGACTTTGATCTGGTCGGGCTTTGTCTTCAAAAGCGTTCCTCTCAGATATGCGGTCTTCGGAAATGAGATATTGATCAAGTTGCTTCAGCTTAAGTCGCCAATGCCCATTCGCAATCAACAGAGGATGTCTATGGGTGGATAGTAGTCTGGTCCGATGACATATCTTGACCGTAAAGCAGATATGAGGTCAAGCATTGAAGACGAAAATGCTACTCGTAAGTGATGGTATGCCATGGTAGAGCTCTAAACAGTCAATTCTACATTCTATGCAGTAAGCACATCTAACCGGTATCATCATGTTCATGAGCAGCAGCCCGCTCGGCAGCTTGTTTCGCAAGATAAATCAACCTTTTCACCAGACACACCGTAAAATAAAACGGAGGAAACCGTCCCCGCATGTCCGACGAATCGGTGTGATCCAGGTCTATGAAGATATCCACCACGCTCTGTAAGAGTTGTATATCGTTTGTGTACGACGGCGCAGTAGGATAAGTGATAAGAAATCTGAACAGAGAAACCACACCAGTGAGAAGAAACTGGGCATATATCCTAAGCCTCATATTATTAGCGGACTATCACATCTCATGTCATGATGGTACACAAGACAGCCCTACCAAAATGTATGCCAATTGAGAAAATCGCGGATGCGGCAAATGTACATCAAAATAGACCGCGATTCTTGACGGAAGAGCTCAGCGCTGGACGGCAGAATGGACCAGCTGGAATTGCTGCTGCCGACAGCACTTGCCTCGTGGATTTTGCCCACAAGAAAGTAAAACTCGAGGTGCAGGCATGCGCCCCGCAGGCTCAGATCATGAAAAAGGTAATTTGGCGCGGATTCGGTGGCGAAAAGATCCGGCCAGCAGTTAGCGGGAAACATGGCCTTGAGATCGGTGAGCTCTTGGTCCAGTTCGCGGATGTGCTGCAGGCGTCGTGCCTCAGGCTGAGTGCGGGCGTAATCGGAGTACAGCAGATGGTGGACCTTGGATTTTAGGAGGGAAAGTCGGATGTCGGATGGAAAGAGGAGTTTGTCATTGGAGAGGGGCCTAGAGAAGAACTGTTGGTCGGACGACGATAAAACATAGTTGTCTGGAATCTGAAGCTCGCAATCAACGTCGATGAAGTGCGGGGAGCAGTTGTAGCGGATGACCATATTTTTGTCGGCACCGTAGCAAAACCAGAAGATAGCCCGGAGATGCCTGCCCTCAGGCTCGTGAATGACTGAATACCGATGCGCCCCTAGACTGAGCAGCATGCGAGCAGCCAGAGCGAGGAACAGCTGGCCTGGTTCAATTTGACCACCCGGCATAACGTACGTCATCTGTCAAGGTCAGCTGTCATCTCATCAGATGCGTGGGCGGTTTACAATTAGGACAATGGCTTCCAGACTTCTAACCGTAGGCTTCTCCATCAAGATCCTAGGTACGAGACACAGCGCAGCCAGAATGTATGCAGCTGGTTCCGCATGAATAAATGCTGGGTCGAGTCGGTGCATCACACTCATCATAGCAGTGAACGCAAACAGACAGGCGAGATTAGCTGCGGGCACGGTGGTATCTTGCTGGTCCAGTACACCCTCCGCCACCAATTCGCTCAACGCATCGGCATTGGCAACCGGAAAGATAGAATAGAGTCCGCTCCTAGAATAGTGATCAAGGGAGTATTGAACTAGAGGCGTGGGAGGCCATTTTGGCAACAAAGCCGGCTTCGGAGTTGTCCGTCCCTGGGCGCCTTGGAACCTGAGGGATTGCGCTGCCTGAGCCAGAAAATGGTCGAGATCAATGGAAGAACCCGTTTTCTGGTAGACTGTGGAAAAGAATGATGATCTTTGAATGGAGCCCGCTTGACCCACTCCACAGTGAGCAATCTCCGCTCGGAATGTCGCCAGGGAAGTGTCTAAGTTGTATGTGTCTGGAAAATGGTCAAGGGTCATCAAGCGAAGCCACGGACTGTCCGGAGACTCGCCGGAATCGCTTCGCTCGCTGAGGTCTGCGCTATGTGTCGAACTCCTGGCAGTCAACTGAGACTCGAGGTCTTCAATCCGTGCTCTGGCATCCTGAAGCTGACTGGGTCCCTGTTAGCCATGCAACCTATGGTTCGGGACAGTCTTACTCGCGGAGGCTTTTCCGTGGTAAGTCGGGTAATTCCGTGATAGTGCAAGGCACACAAGCAAGATAGCATGTCTCGCAGGCAGGTTGAGCGTTGTCACAGCGAATCTACACACCTTTGTTCAGCATTAATGAGCTTAGCGAGGTGCGATGTGTGCTTACTGACCTTTTTCCGACGGCACAGATCACAAGCACTGCGGGTACGACCACCAGCCCGTTGTGAAGAGTGACCACTCATGCTATCTGGGTTTCTTCAACAGACCAGAATCCATAGACCCACTGCGACTGAGCGGCCCTGTACTGCTCATTCATCGGCTCTTCAATCCCGATGTGCGCTGAGTGATGGTTGGACCGCAGAGGGAAGAGGATATACTAATCAAACAGTCACCTTAACTGGATGCAGATGCAAGATGAGTCAGCGGCATTGCTTGCGCCGAAATCGCAAGGATTCGGCGCAGGGATCGAGGCGGGGAATTCAGTTCCAGGTGTCGATCAGGACGCTGCCAAGAGCCAAGTCCGACACCGGATCCACTCCGCCCAGATGCTTCCACTCGACTGCATCTTCCTCCTTCAATCACAACCTTCTATTTCATCAGCCAGGGACCCACTGTTATTGACCGGGTGTCATATTCTCCAGGTCATCTAGTTGGCTACACCTCGACGTGACACACTTCTAGTGATTCAGCCAAGATCGCTACGACGATGATGACGCGTTTACGGCCTCGAACAATACTATCACAATTCGTAGCGGCGAGAGAGATGCAAGATTCGGCACTCGACGACTTTCAGTTATCCGGAGCAGAGCAATCGACATCTATAAAGCATCGCATTGATGGTCATTGAAGTTTCCCAGTCCACCAACCATCTTACACTTTGATCATTCTTACGAGCCTCTCCTCTCAACTATTTCGAAATGCAGCTCCTCCAGCTCAAGCAGGCAATCGCCCTCTCCCTGGCTGGCTTGGCCATTGCGCATCCCGGAGCTCATGAGGCCAGCTCTTTTGCCAATGTCTCCAAACGTGCCTTCCTGCACAATGCCCAACGGAGCATGAGCCAATGCGCCGGACAGCTCCAGGAGAGAGGCGTGCATGAACGAGCTGCTTCCCGCCGCGCGGCCTTGTATGAGAAATACAAAAAGCGGTCCTTGGGTCTCCGCGACACGGCGACAGTAGTGAACACCTCGCACCACTCCTCCCTTCAGGTGACACCCAACACCCCCGAGTGGGAGCTCTTCTCGAAAGACCCGGTCTGTATCCTCGCTCCAGAGGGTGAAGTCGGTCCTTTCTGGGTGAAGGGGGAGCTTATCCGCCACGACATCTCCGACGGAGAAGCAGGAGTTCCCATCATCCTAGACGGTCAGTTCATCGACATCAACACCTGCGAGCCCATCCAGGATCTCTACTGGGACGTGTGGAACTGCAACTCAACTGGTATCTACTCGGGTGTCCAGAGCAGCATGAACGGCAACGGCAACGACGCATCTAACCTCGACAAGACTTTCCTCCGCGGTATCCAAAAGACCGACTCCGATGGCGTTGCAGGATTCAAGACTGTCTTCCCCGGACACTACTCGGGCCGCGCGACTCACGTCCATGTCATCGCCCACCTGGGTGCTCATGTTCTCCCCAACAACACGCTGACCGGTGGCTACATCCCGCACATCGGCCAGTTGTTCTTCGACCAGGATCTGATCTCGCAGGTTGAGGCCACCTACCCCTACAACACCAGCACGGTGGCCATCACCAAGAATGCAGACGATCATGTGGTCAAGGTCGAGACGGAGGACAGTAACTCGGATCCGTTCTTCGAGTATGCTTTGCTGGGGGATTCGATTGAGGATGGGATCTTGGCGTGGATTACCCTTGGTGTCAACGTCACCGCCAGCCATGACTCCAGTGCCACCTGGGCTGCGACCCTGACCTCGTCCGGTGGTGTGGTCAATGAGGACTCCTCCAGCGGTGTGGACATGTAGAATTTTTCAATATGTTGCGGAGATGGTCAGGCCCAGTCAGAACGATGGAAGCACTTGGTGCTCAGCAATCGGACTCTCTCTTCGTCGGGATTGCGAAAGACATTAGTTAGCACAGAGTGACTTTGCGTACTTGAATTATACTAAATATGCTTAAGAGATGTCTTAAGTTACCAGCCTTCCAGCTAATTTCTCTCTCCTGCTAACATCATGTTGATGGCTAGCCGGGTGGTAACACCGCTCCTTCCTGCTTTGCAGGGCTCGTGGCTTGTTGATCCTTCGCCTCCGCGTCTCTCGGCCCTTGTTAGCCACATCAACTTGAGCCAAGAGGAAAACCACGTCTTCCTTTCTTGCGGTTTCGTGCCTTGAATGTACAATTTGGTAGGATATTCTTCTAAGAACCTGGGGATTACGGAATCATTGCTTACGGAGTGCAGTTCAAGAGATCACTCCGCACGAACCATTTCTCCCACCCCTTCCGAAGCACTGCGCCTAGCGTCTTCGACAAGACAACAAATCGTTCATTGTCAAGTGCCCTCTTCTTCAACTGGCAAGATCGCACAGCCCGACGTCGGGTTGAAGTAGACTACGACATTCGTACATTGTACAACACTTCGGGGAGCATCGTTGTCTTGCATTTGACCAAGATCCCGATGCATACAGAGGCCTAGAGAAAGAGAGTGCGTATATATTCGAGTAAGTGCATTGATATCCTGAGCAATAATTCGGAAGATGCGTCGTTCGAAGATCCGTTTGACTGGAAACTTATCCTTATGCATATGCAAGCAGGATCATGTCAACCGTTAATGTGCCTTGCCACAATACTGGAGAGACAATGGAAGTTACCACGATGGAAGATAACAGTCAGGGCGGCGTTCAGAACAACGTTGGTGTCAAAATAGAAAACGACACTCGAGTTTACACCAACATATCTAGTAATGTTCTAGATGACAACCAGCACGATGCTCAAAACGATACTCAGGGCAAAGTTCCAGAGAAAGTCGCAGACGACATTCAAGACATCAGCAAGGAGTACAAAGACACGAGCCAGACATCTCAAAGCAAGGCTGAGGAAGTCCTTAGGCGGATAGAAGAATTGGTGGAGGAAGACATTAGACAGAGGGCTAGGATCGATGAACTCCTCGCTCAGGTTCAGAAGGACAAGAAGCGGCTAGACGAGATCATTGAACATCTGAAGTTTAGGAAGAAGATCAGAGGTCAGGCTGAGCACAAGGGGGATTATACATGAACGTATGTAGATTTGCTACAGATCGTGCAGTTACTACTTGAGCAAAAGCTTGTACGGATATGGGACAATAACAAAGATGTCACACTTGTTCCGAGGGGCAAATGATTCAACGTTCCCATATCTTCGACATTCATGCTGAACACCTTGCGCATCATAGTATCTCTTCTCACTTATATACACTTGTGAGTCTTGCAATATGTTGTTATTCTCTCTCGATTCACATACCCCTACTGCTCAATCGACGTTTCTCCCCGGCCCCTTTCCTCAAATGTACCCAAGAGTGAAAGCTATTGAGAAGAGTGGCAGGGAGGCCAAAAACAATGAAACCAAGTCGCTTGCTATGATTGCGCTTCTTTGTTAATTACAGCAATCAACAAAATTGTCATCGAAATGACTCAAAGAACGAGTGTTCTTCCGCTTGCACGGTCAGCCCGCCCAGCCGGAGGTGTGAGGTCCTGAATTTGAGAACAATTGATGGTTATTAGGTTGTTCTTGATTGTGATTGGTTTGTCTTTGTATGCTAGATTTGTTGTGGAAGTCCATTTGAGATGGCATTGCATCGGCTACTCCCGGTGGCTGGACTGTACAATACGCCCTTTACATGACATGACGCCGCCCGGCCCTAACCGACTACATACATCCCAGATCGGGCCCATCCGGCGTGGCTGCCGACCCGCTGAGGATGAGTCAATCGATGAATTTTGCATGGTTATAAGAAAGAGTCATCCTGAAGAACCAACAACAGTTAACCTGCTCTTCTCAATTTTCAACGTACCATTGACCCCCTCAACATGTCTCTCAACTACACCCTCCTAGACGTTTTCACCACCACCCGCTTCCAGGGCAACCCGCTAGCCATCGTGCGCGTCCCCGCCAACCAGCAACCGCCTCTCACGCAAGAGCTGAAACAGAAAATCGCCATTGAATTCAACCTCTCGGAAACCATCTTCCTCCACGAGCCCGCAGAAACCGATGGCAGTAACCTCCCAATCGACACCCTCGCCATCGATACCTTCACCCCGGAATGCGAGCTCCCCTTCGCCGGCCATCCCACCATCGGCACCGCCACCTACATCTTCCAGAACTACCCCGCCGCCATCGCAGAGAACCTGAAAGCCCTGCAAACCAACCGCGCAGGCACTATCGCCGTCTCCCGCGATCCCCAGACCGGACTCGTCCGCGCCGCGCTCCCGATTGACTTCCACCTGCACCAGGCGCAGATCTCATCGACCACTACCCCGAAAGCCCCGGGGCCGTTCCCCGTCGTGTCTATCGCCAAGGGTCTGTCGTTTGTGCTGGCGGAGCTCCCGGACACGGACGCGCTGGGGGCGGTGCAGGCGAGTGTGTTGGAGGCGTGCGTGAACCCCCGCATGTTGGATGAGGGGTGGAATGAGGGATTGATCGGGACGAAGTATTTTGTGGATCTCGGGAGGGATGAGGCTGGGTGTCGGCAGCTGCGGACGAGGATGTTTATCTCGTTTGAGGATCCCGGCACGGGGAGTGCGTCGACGGCGCTGGCGTGTTTGTTGGCGTTGCGGGAGCCGAGGGAATTGGGGGCTGGGCCGTTCGAGTTTCATGTTGTGCAGGGGGTGGAGATGGGGAGGAGGAATGATATCTTTGTGAGGGTCAGGAGGAGTGAGGATGGGAGTGAGGTGGTGGAGGCTTTGTTGCAGGGGAGGGCGATTGTGGTCGGGGAGGGGAGGATTATGCTTTAGTTGAATACTTGTGAGGAGAACGTAGATGGCGTATATTGGTTCTCATGTAGGAAGCTAGCTCATAATTCAACCGATCCAATACTTCAATGTACATATACGAGAAGAGCGAGTCTGTTAGCCCATTACGATATTGACCAGGGTCTAGAAAGTCTTCGATCTGAATATCTCTGTAGGGCACCCCATGGCGGATTGAGACAGCAGTGCCCCACTAGTGCCAACATCTATCGGAAAGTAGCTATAGTGCGCACTCTTGTATTGTCCTTATCTCCCACAACATACTGTAGCCATGTACCTACGTACCCTCCCAGTCCGCTTGCCCACCCCTCATGCACCGCATCCGTCCCCTCCGGTCAATGACACCAAATGACATGCCCATGACACCACCAGCACCCCCGACGCAAAAGAAAAAAAGAACTCCCCGGTACTGGGGTTCGAACCCAGGTCTGCAGCGTGCACCGTTGGGTGCCCAACTGCCGTCGTCTCCATCTAGACCATACCGGGTCTCGTTGGAGGAGTAGGCATTTGCGTAGCTTGTACGCTCGACTCGGTTTCGCTTTTCTGGGTCTTTATTATCTGAATAGGCTACTATCAGAGTATCTCGAAGTCAAGACAGTGTAACATGAGGACGAGAAGTCCAAGGATTGTGACTAAATACAGAAGATGGAATGAATGGGGGCTATTGTTCCCTGTGTATAGGTCGTGGTGGGTCTTTCTCGGGGCGAAGGAAATAAGGTGGTCGATGGACCCACTTAGTCCGGGCTTCATGTCGTCCTTGGCGCTTTCTCGACAGGCGGTGGGCGGATGGCAAGAGGATGATTATCAATTGGGGAAATAACTACTGAGTTGTCACAGCATGGGGACAGTACTGTAGGTGCTGAGCATGCCTTGTTGGCGAGAATATCGGCAGCGACCTGGAGCGATTTCGGGTACCCTTCACGATGACCCTGTGTCACCTGACAGCGACCAACAGCCGACATCGGCTGTGCTATTCAACTGAAAGATTCAGTGGCTCCCTAGATGCTGACAAATCTTGGCCAATTGAGCCCTAAGTAAGGACAATACTGGGTAGAAACATGAATTGGTAGTGTTGATGTATGATGGTGGATTGACACGCGAGCGGGACAGGTGATTCTGTGAGCCTATGATATGCTCCATAATAAATACTGCGGTACCACCTTTGAGCATCATTCGGTTCAGTCTAGTGCACGTTGCTACATCTAGATGGTGCTCGTGCAAAAAGAAATGGGGGAGATATGTAGCCATAGGACGAACAGGGATCACGCGCAATCATATTGTCACATCAATCGAAAGACCAGGCATGGTTCATATGTACAATGCAGAGCTAGACGGCTGAGATCCCCCGCGCTTGCTCAACCTCAGATGAAGAACCGAACGCCTCAAAAATACACAGATACCCCAGCTCAGGCTTTCCCAATCGTCCTCGAAGCCTCAGCAGTGGCCCCTAACGGCCGTTTTACCCCCGGATCCGCCTTCTCCATCGCGACTTGATATGCCTTGCGCTCCCCGATTCGCTGCAAATACTTAACAATATTCGGATACTTCTCCAAGCTCACCGGCATGAAAAATCGACACGTCGACAGCGGGAATAGGGCCATGCAGTCCGCAGCCGTGAAAGTCTCGCCAGCAAGGAACGGATATTTGGCCAGCTGGGCCTCCATCGCCGCAAGACTGCGGTCGAAGCGGTCTTGGCTGTGTTGAGCGGACAGATCAGGTTCTTTGCTTGTGTCTTTGCTGCTGGAGAGGTGCGCGAACATGATCCCGTTGAGGGCGGGCTGCATGCTGCCGTTGACGTGGTGGAGCCAGAAGACGTAGTCCGGGTAGTTGGGGTGGGTTGGCGGGAGGGTTAATTTGCTTGCATTGTCGTATTTGGTGAGGAGGTACTCGAAGATGGCGTTGGATTCGCCTAGGGTGATGTTGCCGTCTTCGATGACGGGGGCGGTGCCGGCGGGGTGGAGGGATTTGTATGAGGCGGGCGCGAGAGAGGTGACGGGTTCACGCTCATAGGACTTGAGCTGGTACGGATGTTCTAGTTCTTCGCAGAGCCAGATGACACGCTCTGACTGAGAAAGGCGGAGGTGATGAATGATGAGTTGGGGGGATTCAGTCATGGCTTCGGAGATAGCAGACAATAAGGATAGGATTAAGGATGCGGCTATTTTCTTTTAGAGTGTGAAGCTTATGAAGCTTAAGCCTCAATTTAAGGTCGTGTTACCTGTAGGTATCAGTGCCTGCGTCGGATTCGGCTTCCGGGTTGTCCGAGAATCCAGACTCTCGGAAACCGGGAATTTTACGTGGAATCCATGAGGAGCGCCGGTGGGCTGATATGCAGGACCCGCTGTGGAGCTGGTGTGGAGCGGGGCGCTCCTCAGCGTCCAGGCTATACCGTCATCCACTTGAAGCAGCATCTAACCACTCAATAAGTAGCATATGAGAGGCAGCTCCTCCATATCTGACCTCCTGGTCCACTGGCATGTTCCTTCTCATACTGGTTAGGAGGAATGATAGGGTGATGAAGTGGGATGATTCCCCGACAGCGTACAAACTCATCTTTTCACGCCACTACTATGTTTTTTTCCGGTAGCTACGAGCACTTGGGGATCGAGACGAATGATCGGCTCAAGGAGAAGAAGTGAGGGAGATGCGAAGCAAAAGACAAGTGAGGGGAAATGATGTTTTGTATGTTGCCCTCAGAATCACGTATGAGCCCACCATCTCCGCCTGAAAGAACCCAGGCTTTGGTGTTGTTGATGGCTCGCTTCTATGATCTGCAAGTAGGAAGGGGAGAAAGACCCAACATACTCGACTAAGTAGTGTACTAATTGTTGAATCTCGTCTTCAAGACACCTACAAAATTGACAGCCTGATCTTTTCAACTACACATGACGTTGATTCTCTTTGATCATATCTGCAGCCCATTCCGCAATCGCGTAGATATTGGCCGTAGGATGGCCACAGAGCTGGACAGGCAAAGTAAAAGAATCCACCATGCGAACATTTCGAGTACCATAACGTTGAATCGGCTGTCCAGCCCAACTGTTTGCAGAAATTGGCTTCATTGCAGGACTCTGACTGGCAGTGCCAGAGAGATCAAGACAGGTCTTGGAGCGGGATCGGCTGCATTGATAGAGGGAAGATTATACTTGTCGACCTGAACAAAGCGTCTCAGAAAGCAAGATCATAGTTCAGTCGACGGGTTGCAGATCCATCACCCGCAACTCGGTTGAAAGCTGCTTCCATTGCCGCTTTCGGTATGACTGCCAGCACCTGAGCTGCAGGGTTCACCCGAGGTTCTACCGATGCACCTTATTATGTAGTCCCTCTCGCATCGTCTACATTAATTGATCATTGCTTCTGCACTCCCTTGAACCGAACGGCCTAGGTATACAGCATTGATCAAGCGTATTAGTCACACAGCTCTCATATGAAGTTGAGCCTATGCTGCTGTGTCTCTGAACCGCAGCAGCTACAACGTGCCCCAATGCATTTTCCACACCCTCCGCAACAGACCATTCCTCAGTCGGCATTGACTCAATGGAAAATTGGGCTAGCGCATTCGCATTCCATGGGCCTTCTTGATGCGGGTAAGACTGTAGCAACCGAATCGCCCGCCAACGCTGCCCAGAATCCCCCGCACGTCGCGCGATGCTGTACAGAGGTGGAATTACACCAATGTCCAGACTGATTTGGGGAAGATGTTCTGGCGAGCTCTCCTCGCCCTGCTGAATTTCCGTGACGAGAGACAGCATGACCTCGAAATCATCGGTGAATTCGTGGAATTGTAGGCGTCCGGCGCTTAACGGGATGGCTAGGAGCGCGTTTCTGAGCGCGTGTGCCTCCAATGTGAGGAGCTTCAGGCCTCGATGCTCTTTTTGGGTGAGTACGCGGCCTGGTCGGTGGCCGATATTGGTTATGACCTGCAGGAATCGGGTGAGACAACAGAGGAGGCGATTCATTCGCTTGGCGGCAGTATCATCATAAGGCCTAGTGGTCTGCCATCGGCAGAATCGGACCACCGCACCAGCTATCGTCTCGAGATTCTGACGGAGTGCTGCAACGGTCCAATAGATACTGTTCCGTTGCTCTAGGGAAAATCCAGGGTCGTCGAGGGTTGCATCATCTTGGGCAAGGATTGGCCCGTCAAAGCCAAAACAGGCAGCCTGGGCGTCCAGATGCATGAAGGTCTGGACCAGAGACGGCTCCAGGGGAACGTCAGACCGACTTACTACTCTAGTTTGCTGGTCTCGAAGGATGTTCAGGCCACTTCGCAGGTGTCGGAAGGCATTGGCATAGTTTCCCAGGGTAAATTCCGAAGCCACAAAAAGCAGACAGCATAGAAGCACGGTGACAGTGAACTGTGGGTCCTGAGATTTGTGTCGCTTTTGCAGTTGCTGAAACGAGCGTCCTAGCTGCTCAAAGGCAAATTGCTGCCACTGCCGACTCTCGGTTCTCGCCCTGGGAATCACGCTTTCTCTTCTGCGCGCGTGCACGCAGCAGTGCACGGCGCTGAGCGCAATAGCGGCGTGGCAGACAGCCGGCTCCGCATGGCCGATCTGTAAGCTCAGTTGCTCCCAGAGAATCGAATCATAGAAACCGGCTAGCGTAGGAACCGTGCATTGCTGGAAGAAGCCGAAGCCACGTCGTTCTTCAGGAGTGAGCGCAGCTAGGATGCCGGGTGCCGAGAACCGGGGAGTGCTGGCCACTGTCGAGTAAAGGGGCTTGTGTGAAGCCTTACACAGCTCGTATCCGTCGCATTGCCTTCCGGTGGAGGTGCACCTTTTACATGCGCCTGGAAATTCGTCGCATTTGATGCGACGGAGGCTTGATAGGGCGAAGAATCCACGGTGGTAAGTTCTGTGAAGTGGCCACGGTATGAGATGCGAAAGAAAACGGGCGAACCTACCGGCAGGTTCGGCACCCTGATTTCGATCTCTTCGTGTAGGCCCTTTGTCGCTTGGCTGGGGCAATGGAGGAATCAGACATGTTGAAAGTTGCAGGTGGGTTGAGTCTTTGGCATTTGGGGGGTTGGGGGGGAGGGGGCTGGAAGACGGGCCGACGCGTCCGCAGACAATCTTGAAATCTAAAGTGGAGAAAGCAATGGCATTGTAGGTAGTTATTGAATCGCATGTGGTTGCTATGCTATTGCAAATCACGCGATCTTCTTCCTTGGCGCGACTACACTATCACTTCCCCAATATTTGATCCTGAAAGGTACACTGTATTACACCAGTTCTTCTCCCGCCTAGAGTAGAAGATTCTCAGTCGCTTTGTTACAGTAGGTGGAAAGTACTCCGTAGGTGGTTTGCACTCACTCCTCCCTCCAAACTCCCCCTGCAATCATGGATGGCTCGCCCGCTCTCCTAATTAGGAATAGTTGAGTCCAATCCTGCCAGCAGAACTTCCCCATCAGCCAATGCATTTCTTCATGAATGAGTGTGGTTACCCTTTCCTCACCGTATACCTCTCGAACGAGGAGGGAAATGCTTCTCACACTTTATTCTTTACTTCCTTGTCTCGAACATAGCCCTCTGCCAGTAGGAATGGATTTCGAAATCGCCGGCTTTTACCTATGCTTTGTGATCATACAGGATACGCACTTCAAAATTTACGTACTAAGCCATTGTAGTAGTTCTTGGTCATCGGAGTCAAAAGTACTTGCTACGGTATACCGGTATATGATGATGCATTAGTCAAGTTGAAAACTGGGCTGGCTTGACTGTATGGTAGCTTTCTTTCAACCAACCCGGGTGTTCTGTGACCGAGAGATTCCCTTTCTTTAATCAAAGCTGAACCTGTTGCAAATTAGGTAGCACTCGTACACTCGGAATGCAATGCTCATATCTAACTATGAAAATACTTGGCAGTATCTGACTAATTCTTCATGGACTTTCTATATGTAATTACTACTAGTTAAGTTACTGTGTAGATGTTATGCAGACAGTCCCCACAGCATGTGACAGCGTGACATAATCACCGCCATGCCAAGCGCACTTTTCTGCCGCCGCGCCGCCCAGTCTCGTCCGCTACAGCTTTACCATTCTCTCCGCAATACTTACTTTAGGTAGCTTTCCAAGTTCACCTGAGTCGAAGCTCCCAGCCATTCCTCAATCAATTTGCTTGCTCACTCGACTAACAGTACCCTCAACACCGACATACTTGATAACCAACTCACGAACCCCCCATTCATTCCATCGCCGTATCCCACCTGCCCATCAAAACCAACCCACATCCATCCTCCGCATGCCCGCAACCGCTACAGCAACCACCCCCCAGCTACAACCACACCACAACACCGCCCACATCTAACCCAATCCCTCCCAGCGGGACATCAAGATGGCCCACTCCAAACGCAACACCTCCCTCCCGCACTTCACCGCCTACGAGCGCTCCCTCCTGCGCTCGGCCTGGGGCACCAAACGCAGCGTGATCGGCCGCGACTCCTTCCTCCCCTTCGGCTCCTGTCGCCTGTGTCTGCGGCCCGCGCGCGCGCCCGTTGTCGCCTGCGCCACGGCGGGCGACCTGTTCTGCCGCGAGTGCGCGATCAGCGATCTCCTCGCGCAGCGCCAGGAGATCAAGCGGTTAGAGCGCCAGCGCGAGGAAGCGCGAAAGCGGTTGGTGGAGGAGGAGGCGCGGGCGCTGGAGGAGGTGAAGGGAAGGGAGGTGGCGGAGTTTGAGAGGGTGAGTATGGGGTTAGAAGGTGGCACGAAGCATAAGAGTAATAACAACAATAATAATAAGCGGAAGGCCAATGATGATGAGGAGGAGGAGGAGCGGGGTGGTGGTGGCGCGGGGGAGAAGAGCGTGGGTGGGGTTGGGGAGGTAGTGTCGAAAAAGAAGAAGGTTTTTGAGTTGGATGAGCAGGTTGTGATGAAGTTTGCGAAGGAGGAGCAGGAGCGGTTGAGGGAGGAGTTGAGGAGGGAGAAGGTTCGTTCAATTTTCCATTCCATCTCCCTTCTGCTTACTTGATGTATTGCCAATGGGGGTTTGAAGGTCTTGCTAATCATGTTTTGTCTGGGTTGCGCATTAGGATGCAAAATCCGCCCTGCCCTCGTTCTGGGTCCCCAGTTTGACCCCCTCGACAGACCCGAATGAAATCGCGGCCAATAAGGCCGTCAAGTTGACGCCTATCTGTCCGGCTTCAACGGAAACGAATAAGCACGGATACTCGCTGAAAGCGCTGGTGGATGTGCATTTCACCGAGGAGAAGGGTGCCGGCGGCGAGGTCACGAGGGTGTGTCCTAGTTGTAAGAAGACGTTTACGAATGGGTTGAAGGCTATGTGTATGTGCTCCCTGCTCTCTTCCTTCCTTTGTCTTCTACTGGTTGGGATATGTACCTGACCTAGACTCCATGATAGTAACGAAGCCCTGCGGCCATGTCATCTGTCAACCCTGTGTCAACAAATTCATGATCCCCCATGCTGCGCCGGACCCGCATGCCACCAAGGAGGAACAGGAGCAGACGGCGGCGCTGCACGGCCGGATCCTGTGCTATGTCTGCGAGACGGATGTGACGCCTGACACGAACGGCACCGCTAGCGCGAACAAGAAGAAGAAGAAGAAGGACAAGGAGGGCATCTTGCCCGGGTTGGTCGAAGTCAGTTCTGAGGGAACTGGCTTCGCCGGGCGGGGTGGGAACGTAGCGACGAAGAACGGAGTCGCGTTTCAGTGCTGATTTTCTGGATGGTTGCATGGACCAACGAGAAGCCAAATTAGTTGGTTGTACATTACGAATCGGGAGCATACATAGGTGGAATCTATCCAGCTTGGATACACTGCTGTTGATAACCAAAATCATATACATGTCCGACACAAAGACCGCGGACGAGGGAATAATGCTGATATAATGCCCAAATACATCTAGAGTACACGACCAAGCGCGCCGTTCTTTGATACCTTCCTCCTCTTCAACAGAAGCACAACCCGTACTGACTACGCACCGACCTAGGACCGCTTCGAGGCGTTGTTGAACTCGCGCACGACAATCTCGCACTTGATCTCCTGGCACAGACGCTTACGACGGCCAGCCTCCAGCTTAGAGGCAAACTCCAGGCCACTCGCGCGCTCCACAGCCTCGAGGGGCACCTCGAAGTCGCTCAAGCGCTTGTCGTTGGAGATGCGCGCGTTGGGCAGCACGAAGGCGCCGAGCGCGACCTTGCCGGCGGCAGCGGGACCCTCCTCGGCGAAGATAACCTTGTAGAAGTGGGTGGGCACGGCCACGTTGGGCGGGTTGCCGATGACCTCGTACGAGACGCGCCACTTGCCATCGGCCTCGCGCTGCGGCAGGTAGAGGGGGCCGGTGACCACGCGCACCGAGGGGTACTTCTTGGTCAGCCCGCGGCAGAACTCCTCAAAATGGGCCCAGTAGTCCCGGTTGAAGCCCTCGCCGACCTGGGGGCACATGTTGCTGAGGGCAAAGGTGCCGTCCATCGCGTCCTGCGACCACTTGCAGTCGGCCGCCGGCACCTGGTGGCCGCGGTCGTAGCCGGACCGGAAGTAATCGGACAGCTTGGCGCGGAAGGCGGCAGGGATTGTCGTGTCCTCGAAAAAGGTGCTGTTCTTGCGGTCGGCATTCTTCATGGTCAATGACTGCGGGGTGATGTGCTCGGCCACCCAGGAGGGGTTGCGCGTGCGGCGGTCGTAGGCACCGGCGAGCGGTGCGGAGAGTAGTGTGTCGGCCACGGGGCCGGGGAAGCCATATTGGTAGATGCCGGTCGGGTCGACGGGAGCGAGACCGGGGGCGGTGGGCTTGGGTGCGAGGGAGGGAGGAGCTGGCGGTCGAATGGCGGAGGGAGAGGGAGCAGCGATGGGGGAGGGAGGAGGAGGAGGAACTTGTTGCTGCTGTTGCTGTTGCGGCTGGGGTCGGGGAGCGGAGGAAGAGTAGAAAAGAGCCGTGATACCGGCACCAGTAGCCGCACTGGCCGCAGCAATGGCGGCAAAAGTGGCCTTAGACATGGCGACCAGGTGAATGGAGGGGAGAGTGAGAGGAGAGAAGAGGGAGGGAAGGGAGGCAGTGAGGGTGGAGGAAGAGATGAGGCTGAACTTGAAGTTGAGAATCCGACGAAAGACGGCGAAAAAGGCGGACAAAAATCGGATTTCCCAAAAGAGTCGCGATCAAAGCCTCAGGTCCGCCCCCGGGCCGTCTACCCGCAGACCAATCAAAGTGCAGCAATTGGATGATCCGGAGTATAAAGAAAAGGAATTGTAGCAACAATGCAGTGAATTGCAGTCAAAGAATCGTGATGGCTTTTTTTATTTTCATTCATTCACTTTGTCCCTGGAGCGACTCTCTTAGGGAAGGTCAGTAAGTTGAATCATCAAAGAACACAATGACCATTGGACAAGCTCTACAGGATCAGGTCGGCTGACAGCAGCCTGCAGATGACACACTCTTTCACCACCTTCACACGCAATGTGTTTCAAGCAATGATCGCAAACAACGATATTCGCCTTCTTCCCACGATGTCACTATTTTTGACACTGGTTCTGCGTTGTCATTACCATGGATTGCAGGGCTCAGATATTGCATAGCTGTATAAAAGTCCAGTAGCATGCTTTCTGGCGGTCCATCTCAACTTCAAGTCAAAGCTGGCCAACTGCTGGATCAAATTGTCCAAGTTAAAAGGTCTCCTGCTAACATCAATGAGCCTCCCGCCTCCTCTGGAGTTATCACTCCTCGAGCCAGACCAGGAATGCCAGATGCTTCCTGTTATCGAGCAACTCCGTGACTATAGCAACTTTAGTCGATGGCTGGATCAGGTTCAGGAAGCACTAGCAGAATGGGACTTGCAGGATTACATCGATCCCTTTGCCCCAAGACCTGAGCCTGATGATAGCGGTTATGAGGAATGGAAACAACAGGCAGATGTGATCTTCTCCTGGCTGTGCCTTTATACCTCACCTGCCCTCCGCGAAGATCCAATATTTAAGCGCTCCCCGCCCCAACTTCCCGAAGAATATATCCCTACTGTCAAGGATATTGTGAGTCGTGTTAGCCTTGAGGTGTCCAATTGTCTTTGGTGGACCACGTGTCAAATGGAACCATTCGAGTTTTGGACCTTCGAGAGATTCCTCGCGACGTTCAGGGAATATGCCGGCAAAGCCATCCTGGTGGGAGTCATGACACCTTATCAAGCCTTTTTTGTTCTGCATCAGCACCTCGTGAACATCGACGAATTTTTCGACCCACCTTACTCCAAGTATGGCGAGACTATTTATAGCGTTGGTCTGGCCGATGAATGTCCCAAATACATGGCTGAGGAAACTTTTGAGATGGTCTGTGGCCTCGTTGAAGATCTTCCTAGGAATGCTGATTATACATGGAAGCGCATGGGCAAGAAACGAAAATTGTCGTGAAGAGCTCTAAGCTATACATGTTGTTCTTCAGATGACTCAGTAAGCCCACGTCTATCATTCTGAGATGACCAGGACCGGCAAGAATTCGCGTCAGAATTTCTTAGCCAAGTTGCCACCGCCGGTCGAAACATGTAAAGCAAATTGGCACATGTGGGGTTGAATCACACTACATGCATCCTAATGAATCTCTTCGTTCCAGAGGTGCTGCCTATTTGACCATCAAATTTCTTGCTTTTGCATTTACAGTAGAGGAAGGCATATTCGTTTGGACTAGATTGCCAATGACTTAGATCTTTGAGCCCTATCAAAGAGTAGTATTTGCTTGTAGAGACTGTACCTGCCTTGTCGAATATCCTGCCTCCCAATAATGATGAGTCTGTGCAGCGAAGCCCGTAGCAACAGTAGAACTATCTCTCTTCACTTCCCTAAGACTCCTCTTAATCCACCCATTTCCAGCACGCCCCACCAAGCACACTCTGACAACCACTTCGCCTCTCAAATACATCTATTCCGGGACGAACAGATATGACAATCTTTATACGTCACACAAATCACTGAGTTGAAGCATCTGCGATGAGCACAAGCATTCAGCCTATAGTTCCCCAGGACGTCATGCGTTGATCGCCGTGATTCACCTTTACCATCGCCAGTATTGGACATTCCACCGCCCTGCTCTGTCTGAAGCTTCTCAGCTTCCTCTGTGGCGTCGAGATTGGTGAAGACCTTATCAAGTTCCGCGCAGAGAGCGTCACCAGCCACAGCCACGACGGCTCCATCTTCGGTCTGCTTCAGCATGTAGCCGCCGTCTTCTTCGTACAGAACGGTGTATTGGTTCTCAAAAGTGATCTGGTTGAGCTGCTCGCGGGTCTCAGCCACCACTGCCCCTTGGGGCACAGGCTTGGAATAGCGGGTGAGAGACATGGCGGAGCTTATGAAGATGAGGAGGATTAGAAGGCTTTTGATATGGAAAGCAGATGAAGACATGATTGCAAATCTTAGTTGGACTTGTTTGCTTGGTCTGTTTGTGAGCGTACCTCGATCGAATCACTTCGGTTATCAGAGAAGAATGGAGGATGATGATGACCCTTTCTTCTACTCGGTCGTGGGATAGATGGTGCTTTATAAGATGTGAACAAGAAGAAAAGGCGTCTGATAGAGCAAACTCAGCCTCAGCTGAACAGATCTGTTGTGTAGCTATTGCGAAGAGAGAAATTGCGGAGGTGCAGCTTCTGTTTACTTTTCCATCTCGTCATCATGTGACGGACCTGTCCTACGTCACTCAGCCAGTCTCTGTTTGCTCGCCCTCAACTCCTCACCTCCTCATTCATTGTACAACTTCTCAACTTCATTATGACGCCTTGAGTGTTGTAGTCCTGTTCTCCGAGTGGCCAAGTGCTTGGCTTAGTACGTGTCTCTTCACTCACAGCCTCCACTTCGCTTCTCTTGTTGGCAGAGTGATTGAGGATGTCCCAGATATTGCAGCAGATACTGTCGCATCTGTACCACGCTTGTGTCTCTTTGCAGCCGGTATCTGATGGGTTTCAGCCTCGTTGGGGTCACTTGACGGCGAGTGGTTATCTTTATTCTCCGTCTGCTGAAGTTGATATAAGCGCCGAATCCTCTCACCTGCGTACATGAAGCTCATCGCAATCAGGTTGGAGGACGAATTGGAGATTAGGCACAAAGTCAACGACACTCTCCAGATCAATCAATCGCCACTCGAGATACGTCACATGTGCTATTCAGCCCGCTTACTTGGGTACATGTAGTGATGTCAAGTGTGAAACATCAAAGACGCGGCTATAAGAATACACGGTGCCATTTCGAGTAGCAGATACCCATGTTGATAGAGCGCTAACATGTGACCTCCATTTGCATAGAAGCCTTGCTAAGGAGTACCTCGAAATATCCGAACATGCACTGAGACAGACCAATTACCCAAGGGGACTCTTACCGAAGTCCAGATACGGAAACAGACACTTTGAATACTTGGAGGACTTACTGGCTCACAATGAGTACTAGAGAAAGCGCTTTGTCCCTCTGAAGCTGTGCCACTAAATGATGTGAGCTTTGATCAACAAACTTTTCTTTGAATTCATACTAGTGAAACATTACAAACAGGTCATTAGCAGGATCATTCTTGTCGGCGAAATCAACCTGCCCATCGTGTTATTGTTACCACATATGTTGGAAGGTCATCTCGAAGGATAAGATGCCCATGGGCTCAGTCAGAAGCCAACCCCAACGGTCGCGCACTACATGCCCCTGGAATGCGACTTATGCACTCAATGCTATAGCATATCTTGTTCTCGGTTCAATCTCATGCTACACTTTGGTATTATCATTAGACAATAGGTGAAACTCGCTGCAGGGGTGACATCACAAATGCACTTTTGAATGGTAGTACACAACGTTAGAGAAATCTTTCAGCGGTCTTGGCTCCCCTACCGGAGAGTCCAGCACTGGGAATCAGTGTTCAATGCTCGCCCTTTTCGGATAAATTGTTCTCCTAGTCTTGAAGGACCTTCATCTCCTTTTCTCCTTTTATTTCTCGATATTTTGGTAACCTTGTCATTAGCTCGATCTTACTCCAATTTACTTTTCCGATACTTGCTTAACAATCGGGAGCTGCTGACGATATTAGCTGAGCCTGTCTCAACAATCTAGGCGATAACCAACTTTCACCATAGATCGATGTGGTCTACGCCATATGCAAGCCGAGGGCGTCAGTCATCACGCTCAACATGAAGCTCTTGAGGGCCTTGAACGTACTGTAGCAGCCAGAGTGTATAGTATCTGCTCGCTGTCACTGTCAATTCAAGTCGGCCGCTTGGCAAGCATACCAAGCACAAACCAGCTTCGAGGTGACGGTGATCACACCATGCTTCAACAGATCAAAGAGCGGTCTAGTGGGTTGATCACACTTGTCAACACCTTGGCAATATTTAGACAATGCTCTGAATGCGTTCATGAGCTTCCAATTGCAAAGATTTCAGCACATACGTGACGAAATCGACAAGCTGTCTTCCAACCAACATCGATACCTGATTCCGGCATCGAGGCATCCATCTCATCCCCACTTAGCGTTCTGGCTGGTCATCGGCAATGGGTACACCAAGTTGATTGACGCGGATGTATCTCGCTGATTGAATGTCTTACCGAGTGACACGGTAGTCCATATCAGCAGTACTCGAGATCTTCAGCGAATCACGATCAGACTGTTGCATAAGTATCGAGACCTTCAGAGCTCTGGATGCAGAAGCTGTTGCGCCTACGTTTGCGCCATCGCCGCTGGCTATTGCTTGTGCAGTATAACCCTTTCCTCCAGATTCATTCTTCGTGCTAAGCAGAGAGGCCATTTGATTACAAGGCTTCTTATACTAGAGCCTTAGGAGTATCGTCTCCTTCTTTTCCGTCCTACACTTTTCCTTCATCACGAACTTCACTAACAAGAGCGGGATTATCGCAGAGCGGCTCCGACGAACTAGAAGGTGCTAATGGCATTCGCAAAGGGAAAGATTGCCCTCCAAGATACTCGGAGTTTTAGCTCTATTAACACAATGTGTTTCGAGTATGGTGCCAGACATGCTCCGGATATGCGGATGTCGCAGACCACTTAGGACTTACTGACCTATGAGGGAATGTCGTGTTGATATTGTGAGATCTTCCTTTAGATTGTTCTTGCGCTGCTGTGAAGCTTTCAAAAAGATTATGCTAGGACCAACCTGTGCTCTTGAATCCTAAAATTAGTAGCGCTCGAAGCAATTGAGCTGCATTGCAAAGGGGCTGGCAGGTAACTAGTCGCAACTAGGGCTTCCAAGGTCCCCAGACCTTATCTAATCGGGCCAGCGCGTGACATGATATCATCCTTTATTTAGCCAAATCATTCCGCCCTCCGCATCCCACTCCCTCCCATCCTTTACCATCCGATTTTCCACCCGGGTCCTTTTCTTGGGTTTTTCCCCCTCGTTTTCCTCCACTCTAGTCTCCATCTCCCTGTCGATCTCCCAGTCTTCCCTCTCTTCCTCCCACCCCGCGCATCATGGCTTCGAGCAATGACCTCCGGGGCTGGGTCATGAGTGCCGTTTCTGGCGCGGGTAAGTTCCACCACCAAGCGGGAAAATTTCCCTTCGAAAGCTGATTGCCTCTAGCTTGCGTCCTGGGTTCGTCTGTTATCTGCGTGGACATTCTGTTGCGACACCTTTCGCGCCGGAAGGACTTTCAAATAGTCCATAACAATGCATTCTTATCAGCATCACTGTGCCTAAGTGCAGGTGTCATGGTATTGCCGCCCACCGTCCCCTTTCTGTTGCTTCGTCGACTCATGGTCTCAGCTTTTCACTTCTCTCTACAGCATGCTTCCGACATCTCACAGTTACCTCATACGCGCCGGCTGGTCCCCGTCTAGTTCTGCTTATGTGCTCATCGGACTCTTCCTCGCCGGTGTCGTTGTCATTCGGTTCGCCTCTGCATTGCTGCACCGGTATATCCCCTCTCACGTCGTCGGTTGCGATCACACCCACGAACCGCATCCCAAATCCACTCACGACCATGAGCACAATGAACACCACCATGAACATCCTGATGAGTCGCATACCTGGAACGAGCGCACTCCCCTTCTGTCACGATCCTTTAAATCGTCCCCGGCGACCATTACTCTTCCCGATGCGAACCCGCGCACTCAAGCAGCTCTCCAACGGCGGGAATCGTTGCGGGATCGTTTGACGCGGCGCTTCAGCCGTATGGTAGGTGTCAAAGCACAATGTGATGAAAATGGACCATGTTTTGGGTTTTCGCAAGCCTGCGGGCATGAATGCACCAAGACACTTGTAACGACCCCCGAAGTTTCGGATGTGGGCGAGGACCTTGTGCGTCCACACCTCCAGCAGGCCCGAAGTCTCAGCGTTCACGTGGGTTCAACTCAACCCACCGATCTGGAGTCAGGTCTACCTCACTTGCACGACCCGCACCACCCGCACCACCACGAGGCCAGTTCCTCCTCGTCGCACACGGGCTTGCTGGACGACCAGTGCCAGCCATTAGAGGACTCTCCGCACAAACCCCCAGTATCAACAACCGGCGCACAACAACCCCACCACCACCACGTCCCGCAAAACGCATTTTTGTTAATTGGCTTGCAGACGTCCGTCGCTATCGCCCTGCACAAGTTGCCCGAGGGCTTCATCACGTATGCGACGAACCATGCCAGCCCGACCCTCGGACTGACCGTCTTCCTGGCACTCTTCATCCACAACATCAGCGAGGGCTTCGCGATGGCGTTGCCCCTCTATCTGGCCCTGCACTCGCGCGGCTGGGCCATGTTCTGGTCCAGTCTGCTGGGTGGCATCAGCCAACCGGCTGGCGCGGGCCTCGCCGCCCTGTGGATTTGGGCCGCCCGCCGAGCCAACGGGGACGATGCGGCCGGCCCGTCCTGGGGAGTCTATGGGGGCATGTTTGCCGCCACCGCCGGTGTCATGACCTCGGTGGCTTTGCAACTATTCAGCGAGGGGTTGACCCTGACGCATCATCACGGGATGTGCACCGGGTTCGCTATTGGAGGCATGGTTCTGATGGGTCTGAGCTTTGCGCTCACAGCATGATTTCTCGTCCGCGGTCGGTCGGCGTTGGAATTCGCAGTCATGATCAGACGGAAAAAGCGACTTGCATTCTTCCTGTTCCATTTTTATTCTATTCAAGATCAACTCAGAGATAGCATTTTTCAGCGGCGTTTGGCTTCTTTTGATTCGCAACGACGTGACGATATCAGGCTCCGGGATGCCTTGATGAATTGCTTGCTTGTTTGCTTCCGTTCGCTCATCCGAACAAGATATATATAACTATACCAGTAAATTCACAATTCTTTTCTCATTGTATCGTACAAAGCCGTCAACACGCACCATATATAGTACGATAGTATGCTAGGAGGATTTGGCGGCGGCCGCTGCCTCCCGTTCCTTCTTTCTGGCCAGGTATCTCTCGCGCGCACTTGAGACATCGCCCTGAGTCTTCTGGCTCCGACTGCGTTCGGCGATCTCTTTTTGGCGCGCCGCCTCGGCCTCCTGCTCCTGTCGCGCGCGCTCCTCCAACTGCGCCGCGATCATCTCCGTCTGTCTGGCGCGCTGCGCACCGCGATCCGCGCCTCTATTCGCCCCGAACCTCGACGCCGACGAGGCCAAGCCTCCCGCCCTGGCGCCCGCCGCACTAGCAGACGGCGGGGGCTGCTTGGGCTTCGGCGCGACATTCAACCCCGCGGACAACAACTGCCGCTTATCAACCACCTGTCCATCATCATTGACTGCAATATGCGCACCCTTCGCATTCAACTCGGCCGCCAACTGCGCCTCAGACTTCTCCGTCTTCCCTGGAACCTCACCCTCCCCGGCGTCTGCCTCCACACCACCATCGCCCTGTGGCTTCTGCTTCGCCGCCGCCGCCGCCTCCTCCGCCGCCTTCACCACAGCCGCATGCTGCTCCTCCCCGCGCGCCAACATCTCCCGATAGAACCCCACCATTCCCTTCCCCCCATTCTTGCGTCGCTCCTCCTCCTCCTTCGCCTCCCGCGCCTTCTCCTCCTCCTCAATCCGCCTTAACTCCGCCTGCTGCGCCTTATACGCCGCCGTCACGAACTTCTCCTTATCGGCAAACTCCTCGCCCTCAGCCTCGCGCTCCTTCGCCAGCTGCCGGTCGCGCGCGCGCAGCTGATCCCGTTTCCGGATCTCCGCGCTGCGGAGCAGAGCGGTCATGTATTTCGGGACTTCCGGGGCTGCGGGATCATTCGAAGAGGACGCCGCGGGTTTCGGGGCGGGTTTGGCGTGCAGGGTGTCGTAGATGCTGTCGTAGGAGTAGATGGAGGGGTCGAGGGATTGGGCGCTCGTTTGGTGTTGGCGGCTGCTGTGCAGGGCGGAGAGGTTGGTGTATTCTTTCTGGTCATTGCGCGGCTGCTGCTTGGTTTTGGAAGGGGGGTTTAAGCCGTATGTGGTTGTTTCTTGGGGGGGAGTAGACTCGGAGTCGGAGTCGTTGGCGAAGATGGAGGTTTTGGAGAGGGGTTTGACGGTGGCGGGGGGTTTGGTGTCCGCGCTGAGTGGTATGGGTCTGCGTTTCGCGGGGGGTGGGTTGGTTTTGGCGGGGGAAGGGGACGTCGTGGGGTCATCGTCTAGTCCGCCGAGGGTCGTGATCTCGGTGATGTTATCTTGGGTGCTGCCTGAGTGGGATTTGGAGAGGTTGGTGTCGTCTTCGGAGTCGGAGTCGGCGAAGATGGGTTTCTTGCGTTTGTTGGTGGGTTGCGTCCCTGGGGGGCGCGTGGGGCCGGCGGCGCCTGTGGCTTTGGATTTGTTGGCGAGGTTGATGCCGAAGGGTGGCATTGCGTCTGTCTTTTGTGTCTCAATTAGGATATGTAGGGTCAAGGCAAAGCAGAAGTAAAGTAAAATGAAGATGAAAATGATAGGTTAACTAGAGGGAATCGAGCGATGATGCCCCGTCACGTGTTTTCTCGGGGGACCCGCCCGTCTTATCACCACGTGACAGCTCCGCCAACTTTCGTTACCGGGAGTCTCTCCGTCTACTAACCTTCCGCGGAATCGAGCCACTATCCAAAACACTGAAACGTCCGCAACTCCCTCCACTCACTTGGGATTTCGGGATATGCAAGCAGCAAAATGTCCTACTACTTTACCATCCTCTCCCCGACCGACGTCCCCCTTTTCAATATCGCCTTCGGCACCTCCAAATCTGGTGGCGATGGCATCGCCCGCTTCCGCTTTCCGGATACAGCTCAGTACATGAACCAATTCATCATCCATTCGAGCTTGGATATTGTCGAGGAGGCGCAGTGGATGAATGGGAATATGTATGCTGCCCTGCTCTACCCTGCCCTGTCATGCCCTGTCTCTCCTTCGTGCCCCTGCCCGCATCTTGTCCCGCCCGCGCGCCCCCCCCCCCCCTCTTACTCCTCCCTTAATAGCCCCCGTCAACCCCAACCCGATCCTCAGCTCAATCAGAACTAACTCCCCCATCCCCATGGGATGGCTAAAAGGTACCTCAAACATATCGACACCTACCCTCCCGCCTCAGCCTACATCTCCGCCTTCCTAACCCCCTCCGGCGCGCGGTTCCTTTTACTGCACCAACCGCCCCAACTACCCAACACCGGCTCAGCCACCGGCGCCGGCGGAGGCGGCGGCTCATCCGGAAGTATCCTCGGCGGCTCGTTCTCGGCCTCGGCGCTCGGGTCGTCGCGCGCGTCGGCCAGCTCCATCGCGGCGAATCCCACCAGCCCGCAGACGGAAGAGGCGGTGCGCCAGTTCATGACGGAGGTGTATGAGAATTACGTGAAGACGGTCATGAGTCCGTTTTATCGGCAGGGGATGGAGATTCGGAGTGCGGTGTTTCGGTCAAGGGTTACGGCTGCGGGGAGAAAGTGGTTGTAGATCTTATCTTTGGGGGGGGGAGTGGTGAGTGGGGAGAGGGTGGCGTAGATAGTGGGGAAGGGGGGTGGATGCTTTGATCTGGCGGGGGGGCTGCCTCGTTTGTATACTAGTATACATGCTTGGCGTGTGCTGCGTGCGGGTGCTGGCGTTCGGTTCATTCTTCTTTCTCGATGCTTGATGATACCAAGGCTGCTTGCTGACATGTATATATTCTCCTAAATTCTTCAGACTTCATCTCTTCGGTCATGTATTTCATTGTTAAGTGTCACCTTTCCATCATAAATCATGGTCGTATTCGTCGTTATTTGCTATCAATCATACTGTCAGAATGTTCGCTCAACTCCTCTAATCCCAACTAAGCAACGCAACGTCACTAATCCAAAAACCCAGCTCCCAAAGCAAACTAAGCTATAAAGCCATCTGTGGAGCCAGCTTCTTCACAGTCACAGCCTTGAAGTTCTCCACCGCATGCACAACATCCTCCAGCTTGGCGACAGCGCCGAAGATCCCCCCCTCCATCTTGACCGACTCGATCGTACTCACGTGAAGCGAGGGCTCGCTGGCCGCTGTGCCATCCTCCAGCACCACACAGTCAAAGCCCCGGTCGTTGGCCTCGCGCATCGTCGTCGCCACACACACGTCGGTCGTCACACCGGCAATCACCAGGTTCTTGATTCCACGGTTGCGGAGAATGAGCTCGAAGTCCGTATGGGCAAACGCCCCCTTCCCCGGCTTGTCGATCACTGGCTCCCCGGGAATCGGGTACAATTCGTCCACCGTGTCATGGCCTACCTCGCCGCGAATCAAGAGACGGCCCAGCGGGCCGGGGGATCCGATCCCCAGCCCCGAGGCATTATTCCGAGACCGGAAGGTCTCTCTGCTCGACAGCGTTGACAAATCGGGACGATGGCCTGTTTCCCAACTGTCAGTGACAAGAGGATGATTTGACAGGGATGATGAGCGGGCTGGTTCGTTTGTAGTAGCCCTACCTTCACGGGTGTGGTAAATGGGAAACCCTGCCGCACGGAACGCATTCAGCAGATGTTGCAGTTTTGGAATTAGCGCCTGGTTGGCTGAGATATCATAGCCCTGGTATTCCATGTATCCACCCGGCGAACAGACTGCGCAGCATGGAGATTAGTTCCCCTTCCCCCAGAAAAGACCCACCAACAAGGGGGGAAATACGCACAGTCCTTTTGCATGTCGATAATTACTAACGCGGTTGTATAGGGGGTCAAGGTGGCATCGTGTGGCCAATCGTACGGCGCCGCCGCGATCTGACCCTTGCGGACCTTATGGTGAGGGACCTGTCGGGGCTTCTCAACAATCGGGCCGTGGTTGTGCGTGGGGTTCAGCACCGTCAGCGTCCAAATGCCAGGAGTCCCCGCTGCAACTAGCATAAACGGGCAATCCATGAGCCGCGACGTTCGCCGTCGCTTCCTGGTCTCCTCCGTGAGCCCGTTCCGCGGACGGTAGTGGCCGCCGCGATCACAGCGTAGCCAGACCTTGGCAGTCCGCCCCGGTTTCTTTTCCGTCGGTGTGCTCGACGACTTGACTACGATATTGTACCCATGTGCTTTACCGTGGGCCGACACGGCTGCCAGCAATGTCGCTCTAGGTGGAGGCGGGCGGGCACCAGCGTGAGCAACAAATCCGCGGGCTCGAGGGGAAAGGGCAGAGAGTGTAGACAATAATGGATGGTGTACTTACTTGTCGGGATATGTCCCTTCGGGGGGCGGGAGCAATTGCATTGACATCTCCGGGATATCTTGAAGGTCGCTCGGCGCGTCCAGGTTCAGATCCGTGGGGTCTGCCATGACGACAGGTGAGGCGGTGGATGTCTGGCATGGCCCATCAGTATCGATGTCCGAGCACTCATATGGCGTCATAGAAGAAATGACATGAAGGTATGTTCGGGCACGATGAGAAGAACTCTCTGATCTATCCGGCGTTGTCGACCGAAGCGAGTGCGTGGAAGAAAAGTCCCCACAATGAAGGTGTTTTTGTGCGTGGATATAGTGTCACCAGAGGGGGGGTAATATGAGGGAGGAGGTTCATGTTTGGGGCGGGGAAACATACTCGGATCTGGGGGTCACACGTGGGGGATTTGCGCTTATCCCGAAAAACAAGTTTCTCAAGATCGGGGAATGGATTTAGGCTTTTTGCTTAGATGGTATCAACAGGCTGAGCCTTGTGTTTAAGAGCACGGCTGGCTCCATAGGAAGAGACGGAGTGAGGTGAAACCACCCCGGACGAAGGAAGTGTGTGTATGTTTGTGTGTGTCCACGTCCGGTCACATGACTCCAGCTGACTTGTCTCCACCCCATGTTTCTACCGACAGTTACTTTAGTTACTGTACAGCAGTCAGTCAGCCTACGGTTGAGCAATCCTACGTCAAATCCTGCCTAAAGAAGTCAACTACTGTATCGGACACTATCTCTAACCTGCATAGAGATTATTGTCAACTTCTATTCTGGGCATTCAACCTTGGGTGTAATTCCTCCAAGTTCAATCACCCAAGCAGAGAGCCCTGAGATCGTAACATCTTATTTTCAAGCTTAGTACATTGGACAACCTTGTCTTTTTTGTGCCTCTGCTCTCCGGAGCAATCGCTCTCCTTCGCCACAGAAATCTTGTCAGTGGGGCCTTCATGTCCCAGCACTGCAGAATATATGAGCTCTTGAATTCGGTCTCTGACAGCCCGGCCGTGCTTCTTGATGTCAGCACGGTTTCCTTTTAACACAGAAAGATCATTCCAGTGCGCCCTAGCCACAGCCAAAGGTGCACAATGATCTATCGGGAATAGCAAATAAGCAAACTTGAGCTCATGGTAAAGATGAAATGGCAAGCGGGAGGTTGTTCGGACTTAGGTCGTCGCGAATGAACCAAAGGTAGTCGTATTCCGTAGCTTTGATCGCTTCGCACAGGCCGCCAAACCTCCAAACTCCCTGATGATGTGTCAGTCAGCTGTCCCACACCCAAGACGGACCGACACTCACTTCGAGATAACCCCATCCCACCCGATGCCGTTGCGAGATAAGAAGGCCTTTTGATAGCAACAGTTTTCTTTTCCATGCCATCCACGATACCACTCGCACAGGCAGCAGCAAACAATACACGTCCTCCAAGTGATGGTGCAAGATGACGCAGCGGCGAAAAGGGCCTGATATTGAGCATTGAGCACAAGGAAAACCCTCTACTCCACGACGATACAACAGGCAAGCACTCGCGAAGCATGAGCCATCCTCGACATAAACCTCGCAATCTTTTTTATCGATTGTCAAGATGTCAGCGTTCACCGGCTCCAGTGGATGGACCACTTCCAGAAGTTCAACAGTCTCCTCTACTTCAAACCGATTGTCATCGTTAACATCAAACACTCAATTGATTTTCACATCTTCAGGTAGCATACGGGTGAGGGTCTTGGAAGAAGGAGTGAGCCTTTTTCCCCGTTATCCCTGCGACAATTGGCTTCGTCATCGGTAAGCTCCGGCATGCTGATCTCAGAGCTTGCGGAGTATTGAAGCGTGTCAAAGCAGACGTGCCAGAGGTAAAAAGAGGAACGGTGTAAGGAAGCTAGTGCAGGAAAAGAATGATTGGTCTGGAAGAAACAAGTGCTTGGGGACTGGCAGAATGTAAGGGTGAGGGCGAGGGCGAGAGCTACAATAGCTTGTGATGATGCCAATTCTATCAATTCAAAGGAGTGTTACTATTTTTCCATAACAGAAGACATGCTGAGGAGGCTTACATATCGCTTTGTACTTCGCCGTCGAATGAACTCGATGATTGCGCCTTCTGTTCAAGCTCAGTCATCGCTTCGAATATCGCGATCTTCTTATCAGTTGGAGCACTGCAAGGATCCTGAATAATGCTTCTGATGCTGGAAACTGCTGTGATTGAGCCACCTTTCAAAGTCAAAGCTGAACACAAACATAATAACGTCAACAAAGTAGGCTCCGAAGCTGCCGGCCACTGAGGAATCTCTGCAGCTCGACTTTGGGCAAGATGGATCCGGCCAGAAAATCCTCATTTGGGAAGGCATTCAAGTCACATGAACCTCCAGTCGCAACCACCGCACGCCCTCTCGGATTATTTGCCCGTTGCACAACAGTCGAGCCAGCATCCATGCCTCAATCATAGTCTACACGTTCACTATTGAATTAGATTCTCTCCAGGAAGCTCCATCCTTTGGTCTAGTTTGCGTCTGCTCACCAGTACTCTCATGCCGCTCCCTTCGTCCAGCTTCAGCTGAGGCGATTCCTCATCAACCAGCAGGTATGAATCCGACCTCCTTCATTCATGGCTTGTCCATTGCTTCACTCGAACGTCCTTATGGCTTTGATCTGTGGCCCATATTCGACAGCGCCTTTGAGGCTGTCGTGGGCTACTCAGCCAACAGCTTCCGGTTCGTTGAAGGTCAGACACCTTTATCTTCACTGAAGGAGACCTCCGCCATCCTTGTTCTATACTATACAGTTGTCCTGGGAGGACGAGCCCTTATGAGCCAACGAGACCCACTGCAATTGAAAAGGCTTTTTTTGATCCACAACCTCTTCCTCAGTATCATCAGTGCCATCCTTCTGGCGCTTTTTCTGGAACAGATAGTGCCAACAATTGCGGAGAGTGGACTGCGCTGTGCCATTTGCAATCTTGAGGGTGGTTGGACCCAGCCCATGGTTGTACTGTACTATGTATGCCAGTCCTTCGGTAATGATCGGACCGTTACATTGATGCGTTGAGACAGATGAATTACCTGATTAAATACTTCGAGCTCTTGGACACGGTCTACTTGGTTTTGATGAAGAAGCCTCTCAGTGAGTAGAGTGACTTCGACATGGATAGGCATCTTCTCTGACCTGGCCCTGTCAGCTTTCCTTCATTGCTACCATCACGGCGCAACCGTCTTCCTATGCTATACTCAGTTGATCGGAACTACGGCTATCTCCTGGGTTGTAATTACCCTGAACCTGGCTGTCCATATTGTCATGTATTGGTACTATTTCCAGGCTGCGCGAGGTATCCGCATTTGGTGGAAAGCATGGGTGACTCGAGGCCAGATCCTTCAATTCGTGATTGCGTTGGGTTCGTGTCCCTCCGTGCAGTTCAGGCAGGGCAATTGAGCTGATTAACATGGTCGCCTAGGCTTCATCTCCTACGGTTCTTTCTTTGTATATTTCCCTCAGTACGGCTCATGTGTCGGGGCAGTGCTGGCAACGGCCACCGGAGACGTTGTGATCAGCTCGTACCTGGTGTTGTTTGTGTTATTCTATCTGGATACATATCGGAAAGACGGCAAAGGGCCTAGTGCCCGCATAGCTGTACGACATATCTCCCAGGCACCAATTTCGGAGCCCCATCTGGTTGTGGCTGCTATGTCCAGTGGGCACGATAGCCGAATCGAGACGGGATTTCCTGGTAACGGTGCCCGAGCACGGACAGTGTACTAAGTGATGCGGACCAAGCTGCCGTGGAGCAGCGAAGGTACTGGGTGGCAGAAGAGACGTTAGGCATGTAGAAGGTCTTTCTAGCATTATTAGCACCGACTGGTTCTTTTCTGGAAACAAATGTGGTGACGTTCACATGATCAACAATGCGTCTTCTGATTGAGGCGACTCCGCATGCGGCATTGCCAGTAACTTATTCTTAGATAAAAGTGATACCATTTTTGTCCTTTCAGCAATAAGCCAGGATGACATTATATCCTTTATTAATACCAACTTATGATTATTGAGTAAGACCTTGCTTCACAATCTTGCGAATGGTAAATTAAACTGGTGACAATCACAACAAACAAGCAAACCAAAACAACCACCAAACGACCAGGATATACCCTCCAGCTCTGTCAGCCTCTCAGGCCACGACGTCACCGGGACTAGTCCGGACCCGGTTTAGTTGGCGACACCGCCCCGTAAGTTACCCGTCACTACCGACCAGATTGGCAGATATTGCTGTTGTTGTCCCGTGGACGGAATCATCAATCTGGCGCCCCGTTCCGGCTCTGGATAGCATCACTCATCTTAAACTACCCAACATCCCCTTCCTCATCTTTCTTCTTGACCCCACTTCCCATCTCTCCTCCCCTTCCCATTTTTCCCTCTGTGAGGGAATCCCAATTCCCTAAGGTAAGTCAATCCAACGAGGCCAGTGCTGGTCTTATATCTCGACACTCTCAGCTCGCTTCTGGTCTCTGCCTCCTTTTGACCCTTCCCTCCTCCGTCGCCTCCCACACCCAGTCGCAATCTCTCCCTTTCCTCCCCCCCCCGAGAGTATCTGCGACACCGCCCGGCCCCTCCACCAGCACCACCAGTTCACGCACGGTGGTTTCCTTCGCCCTCCCGTTGCATGCTCTCGACTCTCGTCTTCCATTTCCACTTGGTTTCAGTCACCCAACTTCTCCGCCGTTGAGTGATTAACCCCCCTGCAGCCCTGGGTTTCTTTTTGACGTGGTCTCCTGGAACGTGCGTCTCCTACGCCGGCCTCAGCTGCTGGTGCGGGAACCATGCCATCCGTCGACGATTCTTCGGCCACCCGGCCTAGTGGCACTGGCTCTAGGTCGGACCAGCTTGCGTACTACAAAGCGCAATATGAACAGCTGGAGGCCGAACTGTCGGAGTTCCAGGCTTCCAGTCGCGAACTGGAGGCTGAGCTGGAAAAGGATATCGAGGCGTCGGAGAAGCGAGAACGGCAGCTGAAGGAACGGCTGGAAAACTTGAGATACGAGATTGATGACTGGAAGGTGAGCAACTTTAAAGTTTTGGCTCTTTCCTTACCTTTCCGGCACTCCCTCGTGGGCGAGTTTGGATTGATGGCAAACATCGGCACTGACCGTCCACCCCCTTGCAGTCCAGATACAAGCAGGCCAAGTCGGAGGCCAGCGCGGCCCAGAACACGCTGCAGAAAGAAATCACGAAATTGCGCGATGGGAACCGCACTCTGCAACTGAAATTACGCGACATCGAAGTTGCCAATGATGATTACGAACGTCAGGCCCGCCACACCACTTCATCCCTGGAGGATCTGGAGCAAAAGTACAACATGGCGATCGAGCGCAGCGTCCTACTCGAAGAAGAGGTTAAGATTGGAGAAATGGAGCGTGAGAGCCTACGTATCGAAAACCAACGTCTCCGTGACGAACTTTCGGAACAAAGAGTTGAGGCTGAGATCCTCTCGGAGAAACTTCGACACGAACAGAATGGCGGCCGTCGCAGAAAGCCTGCTTCTTTGATTTGCCGTACTCCATCGACACCGCAGACCCCGGAGATTTTCGACCGTGCTCTGGGCGCCTCCGCAGTGTCTACTCCGATGTTCCAGACACCGCCGATCAAGAATGCTCTCATGACCGTGGCAGCCACGCCTCCTTCGCCGCCCATGTCCGAGGCGTCAATCAGTGTTCAAACTAGCATGCGCAAGACTGCCAGCGCTACCCCCGGATTCCCGTTCAAGAAGGCAGGTGGTGGCGCTCAGCTAGGCTCTCGGTCGATGTATGACTCGAAGAAGACTCCGAAGAAGTCACGGGGTTCGACCTTCACTTCCAACAATAGTCGTCCCAATGCAACGACCCTACCATTTGCGAGCGCGTTCCAGCCTGGGGGCATCGTCACCAATGACCCCACCTCGTCTGCCAGCATCAACAACGACCGATCAACCACGCTGCCTAAGTCTGGATCCCTGTACCAGATCCGCGGCCTGATTGGAAAGATGCAGCAGTTGGAGGAGCGCGTTCACTCCGCCAAGTCTAAGCTTCCCGCACCTTCTGATTCGCCTTCTCGTATCTCTTCGCGATCTGGGTCTATCGTGGGTGACAGTCCAGTCTCTTCGACCATCACTATGCGGCAGAATTCGGCCCGTAAACGGATCAGCGGCAGCAGCTTCAGTTCGTCGGTGCGTGAAGGCGATACAGCATCATCTTACAACACTCGACCGTCATTTGGCGCGCGGACCCAGGGCGACAGTCGGCCTAGCAGTAGGACCAGCTACTCCAGCTCATTTAGCCAGAGCACCCACCCCAGTGTTGCGCCTTCGACTCATTCGGCGCGTCCCGAAAGCCGACAGAGTCGAACCAAGACGCCCCTGGGGCACTACTCGACCAATCCCACTACTGAAAGTCGGCGCCCACGGTCCTCACTCAGCAATCCGTCGGTACAGAATGGTCAGGTGAACGGCATGTCCAACATCGATGAAGACGAGGACCTGGCGTTCCGAATGTCAGTGCGCGCCAAGATTAGCGAAGCTCGTGAAGCACGCTTTCCCTCACCTACCCACACCCCTCCTAGCACGGTGAAGACGGTCAAGAAGCGCACGCCTAGCGGGATCCCGGCGCCACCGCGGAGCTTCCGGACTAGCACCGGCTACCAACCGAAGACCAACATTGGTGATCTTGGCGAAACCTTCTAGGCTCCTTATTCAGTTCTTTCAATACCCTTTTTCTTCTTTTCATCCCCGAATGACAATTCTAAGGGGCTTTACGAATTTCACGGCCGCTACGCAGGTGTTGATCCACTTCTACTTATTCCCAATTTGAGAATACTCTTTCCCTCGTTTGCACCTTTTTTTTTTCTATTCCCCGCTTGTGCTCTTCCTCGCTTTCCGTGCGACTACCCCCTTGGCAAGTGACGCTTTTGAGTTGAAATCTCTCGTGTGTTTCTGAAGACTATCTTCTTCTGGAAGATATCGATTGGGCCGGTTCATAGAGGCTATGGTTCAGGCTTATTACAAGAAGATCGGCCGTGGCGGTACCCTGTGTTGTGTTTGCGGGGGCGAAGAGGCCCGGCCTGTACAGTTGATGGTGGACAATGTGACAGGATTGAACTGGCGCATTGATGGACGGACGGATGGATAGATTGAGGATTGTTGTCGGAGCGGAGCCTTGCGCTCTGTCTCACGGCGTCCAAGCTGTCACTCAGCACCCTTTGTTTCTTTGGCTAACTGCTATCTGTCTCGCTGTGTGTTGAGTAAATTGCCTCTGGCGTTAGAGAATAATACCCAGTGACGGATGGATCTGAGTGTGTAGTGTAGTGCCTGGTAGATTGGGTGTGCATGAGTATAGGTCTAGCGAGACCATTGGCAATGAGCCCGATGAACGTCAGGGGTCTTGGAGCCGAGTGGACAGAAGGATTGGGATGGGTGGTGGGAGGGGTGTCCCCGGAAGGCTAGTAGACAGTAAATATATTTCTTTCGAGACTTATTCGTCGTGGGACCGCGCACGCAACAATCCTTTGTTTTCCCTGTGTCTGCTCCACTAGTATCAAATGATCCACACCTCGTGTCCTGAGGCTCAGCTTATTTCTCCTCGTGGTGGTGTCACTAGTCAATGAGACTCTCATTGGTCAGAGGGCACTATTCCAGTCTAAAGAACCCCGATCTACCAGGCAGCACTTGGTTCAACACTGACCAGAACTACCTATATTCTTGAAGGTCGATGGTTAGGATCGCGTAGAAGCGAGAGAAGTTCATGATGCCGTGCTACATACACTACTGTCTGTCTCAAAATAAGCACCACGTTTGTGCAGCGGTTCGTCCTGGCGCGGGCAGTGCCCACCATCCTCGATCGAATCCGGATTAGCCTCCATCAAAGGGAAGCTGGAATCTCCGGAGAACCCAATAAGGCAAAGGTAGCTAAGTAGTCAAAGGATTAAAGGATTCTTCAGCCTCGCTAACGTTATCGCTAATCCGCATTCTGTTTCAATTCTCCGTCAGCTTACGGAGGATCCGATGATCGATGCTGCAAGTGCTGACGGGGAGAGTGCAGAAGGTGCGGTGGCGCCTTCTGGACCTCGTCGATAGTTACCTAAAGGTAATGATGATCCTTGATCTGATGTCTTCAACCGGTGGACATCAAGCCTATCAGGGCGAGGTGCGATCCCCAGGAGGAATCCGAGTCTTCCACCGCAGGTCTACGGTATAGTACTAGTAAATTCCAAGTTCCAGTTGATTCATCGGGATGAATTACCATTTTTACAGCATCAGCTACTACATATGTACCCTCCGGGGTGTTTTTCACGGCACGAGCGCTTTTTGGGTTGGCTCCAATCGGCATGCACGTTCGAGGACAAGCAGTCAGCGAACCCAGTTGAGCCCCACGTGCGAAGAGTTGAATGCGACTTTTTTTTTTTTTTTTTTTTTTTTTTTTTTCTGACTGGGATGTGTGAGAGAAAGAGAGAGATGTCCAACATTTTCGGTTCCTCCTCTAGTCAATACAGTAGTAGTGTACTCTTGATATGTCGGCACGCACCGGGCGCACCGGGATTCTTACTTGGTTCCATGTCTCCGAGGGATTGGGCGCGCGCGCGGGCCCCGCCGGGGAGGGACGGTCTCGGCCAGGATCCACGAGGGTTGGGGTTGCTAAACGCCTGGGCGGAAGAAGATCGTCGCGTGGGAATTTTCTGCTGGTCGTCGGGATTTTTGACGTGACGGTTGATCGCCATGGATTGGATTGTACTGTGTTATTCCTAGGTACTTACTACGTGGGAAAAATTTAATGGGGACATGCTGAGGTATTGAATGTGTTGTATTGGATTATTGTGATCTCTGGTGTCTTTAAGTCCTGTGTATGCTGCATACTTTGGAGGATTCGATTGAGTGTCTGCACACCCTGGTATACAATCCATCCAGGGATATCTCCAGGATACATCCAGGGATGAAGGCAAAAGATGAAAGTGGTGAGAAAATCCCCAACGCGATGACAACTGCTGCCGATCCCATTGGCGCTGACCTGTGGGGCGTCAACAGACTCTCAATCGGGTTAGTCTCAGCAATGGGTCCCTCCCCCTCTCTTCTACAATTCTACTCGGTAGTTACTCCGTACTCTGCACTATGTTTCCAACTTCCTCTCCGTCGGGAGTTCAGATTTCTTCTTGTGGAGATCTCAAGAAGGCGACCAACGATGCAGTGCATTTTGGGTAGTTATGTGTACTTGAGTCGGGCTCTCGTGCTCCTCACTCAGGTGCCACCGCTGGATTGCGTTGTCCTGTCTGTGTATCGCATTTTTCGAGGGAAGTCAAAACAGATCCGGCTATGCCAGAACTAGGTATAGTAGACTGCGGTAAGCTTGGATCTGCCGAACTCCTCACACGCGGTCAAGGCGTCTCCGAGGGTCGGAATGTTTCTTCAGTCCGAACTATAAACAATTATATAGATCAAGAGAGATGGTCGTGATGCGGTCGGGATCTTAACCACGGTCAAATTGTGTAGCAAGTCGATATTGTCGCAAGATCTGTCAACTCCAGTCTATCGGGGGATCTGTACTGCGAAATACACACAGCCCTTGATTCTGGACTCTACTACGGAGGGATACCTGGTCAACATGCTCAAAGGACGGAATGGAAGGCGTTGGAAGATACTTGAGTGGAGTGTAGTGTACTGTGGTAGTTTAGGTAGTACTCCGTACTCCATGTAACTACTCTTAGTGAGGAATGCCTTACATGAAATTCCCCAAAGAACCAAGTTAAGTTGTTGACTCGACCAATGCTGGCCGGGGAAGGTTGGAAAAAATGGTGGGAACGTCATGGGCCCAACAACCCTCCATTGAAACCAGGCCGCACCGCTAGTTGTGGTTTTCCCGATCCCGATCCACTCCCCAGTCTGTTGTAATACCAATACCACATTCAACCTTGTATGTAGAACATACTCTGAGTAGACAAACCACTCAACTCAACTCTACATTGCCTTCCGGGCAATTGAATTAATTTATTCAACTCCATCCCCATTCTCTGCTTCATCTTCTTTCCCTTCTTCTCGCACTGCTCCTCCTCTGAGATCTCTTCCCCAATTGAAAGCCGGTCCGGCCTCTCTCCCACTTCATCCTCCCTCTATATTCAACCTCCTCTTCTCCCTCGCCCTCTCTACATTCATCCATCCATCCATCCATACATACATACATACATACGATATACATACATACATCTATTTAGTTACTGTAAGTTCCGTTCCGGACCCAGACACTGGTTTCCCTCCCACCTTCGATTCCCCATTATTTTTTTTTTGTTTTGCCTCCAGAAGTGCCAACTACTCCTCCCGACCATTTTTCTCCTCCTTCCACTGGCGCAATCGCGCATATTCGGCTTTTCCCCTTCTTTCCCTCCCAATTCTTCTCAGCCTGTTTGCTGAAAAGCTGACTCGATTTGCTCACCCTGACTCAGCTTCCAGGACATCGCAAATAACTACCTAGTCCTTCTTCCTTCTTCCTTCCTTCCTCCCGCCCCCAAATTCTCCACTCTAAAAAGAACGGTGAGGGCGTTCTTCTTGACAGCAATTCCCGCCAGTCGCGCCTCCCTTCCATCGCCCTCTCCTCTCCTCGCAGGCCGGTCAATTCGTGCGCCCCTGTCTCTACCGATTTCACAGGTGTCCTCTTCTCCCCCGCTACCGTTTAATTCTTCTCTTTGGTGTACTTTGTTTGCAGTTCCATTGCATGGGACTCTTATAATACCTAATCCTCAATCTCCTGCATCATGAGCGCCAACGGTGCTGTCAACGGCCACGCTGGCTCCAGAGCCGCCAGCCTTCCCTCACATTTCATCGGTGGTAACCACCTCGACGCTGCCCCTCCCAGTGCGGTCCGGGATTTTGTGGCCAAACATGAGGGTCACTCCGTCATCAGCTCGGTGAGTTATCCCGATCCCTGTGCAAAGTGCGGGGAGATGAGGGGTGTTTTCCGGAATCTTGTAATCACTAACCCACAAACCCTTGCCAGGTGCTGATCGCCAACAACGGTATCGCGGCCGTCAAGGAGATTCGTTCCGTCCGGAAATGGGCCTACGAGACGTTCGGCAACGAGCGGGCCATCCAGTTCACAGTCATGGCCACCCCCGAAGATCTGCGGGCAAACGCAGACTACATTCGCATGGCCGACCAATATGTCGAGGTATGTGCGCACCGGCGGCGGAATTTTAGCTCCCGCGGGATGATTCACTCACAGCTCGCCGAATGTAGGTTCCCGGAGGTACGAATAACAATAACTACGCCAACGTCGACTTGATTGTCGATGTCGCGGAGCGCATGGACGTCCACGCCGTCTGGGCCGGTTGGGGTCACGCCTCTGAGAACCCCCGTCTTCCCGAATCGCTCGCCGCCTCTCCCAAGAAGATCATCTTCATTGGTCCCCCCGCCTCGGCGATGCGCTCGCTGGGTGACAAAATTTCCTCGACCATCGTCGCACAGCATGCTGGTGTCCCCTGTATCCCATGGTCTGGAACCGGGGTTGACCAGGTCCGAGTCGACGAGCACGGGATCGTCACCGTCGACGACGAGATCTACAAGCAAGGTTGCACCTTCTCGCCGGAAGAGGGTCTGCAGAAGGCCAAGGAAATCGGCTTCCCTGTCATGATCAAGGCATCCGAAGGTGGTGGTGGTAAGGGTATCCGTAAGGTCGATAACGAGGAGGACTTTGTCAGTCTGTACAACGCTGCCGCCAATGAGATCCCCGGTTCCCCGATCTTCATCATGAAGCTCGCCGGTAACGCCCGTCACTTGGAAGTCCAGCTGTTGGCTGATCAGTACGGCAACAACATCTCTCTCTTCGGCCGTGATTGTTCCGTCCAGCGTCGTCACCAGAAGATTATTGAGGAGGCGCCCGTCACTATCGCCAAGCCCATCACCTTCCAGGCCATGGAGCGTGCTGCGGTCAGCCTGGGTCGTCTGGTCGGTTACGTGTCCGCCGGTACCGTCGAGTACCTGTACTCCCACGCCGACGACAAGTTCTACTTCTTGGAGCTGAACCCTCGTCTCCAGGTCGAGCACCCTACCACTGAGATGGTGTCCGGGGTCAACCTGCCCGCCGCCCAGCTGCAGATTGCCATGGGTATCCCCCTCCACCGCATCCGTGATATCCGTCTGCTCTACGGTGTGGATCCCAACACCTCCGGCGAGATTGACTTCGACTTCTCCAGCGAGGAGAGCTTCAAGACCCAGCGCCGTCCCCAGCCCAAGGGTCACACCACTGCGTGCCGTATCACCTCGGAGGATCCCGGCGAGGGTTTCAAGCCTTCCAGCGGTACCATGCACGAGCTGAACTTCCGGAGTTCTTCCAACGTCTGGGGTTACTTCTCCGTCGGTACTTCCGGTGGTATTCACAGCTTCTCCGACAGTCAGTTCGGTCACATCTTCGCCTACGGTGAGAACCGTCAGGCGTCGCGGAAGCACATGGTTATTGCCCTGAAAGAACTGAGCATCCGTGGTGATTTCCGTACCACCGTCGAGTATCTGATCAAGCTGCTGGAAACTCCTGCGTTCGAGGATAACACCATCACCACCGGATGGCTCGATCAGCTGATTTCCAACAAGCTGACCGCGGAGCGTCCGGACCCCATCGTCGCCGTTCTGTGTGGTGCCGTGACCAAGGCCCACCAGGCCAGCGAGGCCGGTGTGGAGGAGTACCGCAAGGGCTTGGAAAAGGGTCAGGTGCCTTCCAAGGATGTCCTGAAGACCGTCTTCCCCGTCGACTTCATCTACGAGGGTATGCGCTACAAGTTCACCGCCACCCGCGCTGGTGTTGACAGCTACCATCTCTTCATCAATGGCTCCAAGTGCTCGGTCGGGGTTCGTGCGCTCGCGGACGGTGGTCTCTTGGTTCTCCTGAACGGACGCAGTCACAACGTCTACTGGAAGGAGGAACCCGCCGCCACCCGTCTCAGCGTAGACGGCAAGACGTGCTTGCTCGAGCAGGAGAACGACCCCACTCAGCTCCGTACCCCCTCCCCCGGTAAGCTCGTCAAGTTCACCGTCGAGAACGGTGAGCACGTCCGGGCTGGCCAAGCCTTCGCTGAAGTTGAGGTCATGAAGATGTACATGCCCCTCATCGCCCAGGAGGATGGTATCGTCCAGCTCATCAAGCAGCCCGGAGCTACTCTGGAGGCTGGCGATATCCTGGGTATCCTCGCGCTCGATGACCCATCTCGCGTCAAGCATGCTCAGCCTTTCACTGGTCAGCTGCCCGATCTCGGTCCTCCCCAGGTCGTCGGTAACAAGCCTCCTCAGCGGTTCTTCTTGTTGCACAGCATTCTCGAGAACATCCTGAAGGGTTACGACAACTCGGTGATCATGAACACCACTCTGAAGGAGTTGGTTGATGTCCTCCGCAACCCCGATCTTCCCTACGGCGAGTGGATGGCCCAGTCTTCCGCCCTGCACTCTCGTATGCCCCAGAAGCTCGATGGCCAGCTGGAGTACGTTGTTGATCGTGCTCGCGCCCGCAAGGCCGAGTTCCCTGCCAAGCAGCTGCAGAAGACCATCCAGAAGTTCATTGAGGAGAACGTCAACCCGGCCGATGCTGAGATCCTCAGAACCACTCTCTCGCCTCTGCTCCACGTCATCAACAAGTACATGGATGGCCTCAAGGTTCACGAGTTCAATGTTTTCATTGGACTTCTGGAGCAGTACTACGAGGTGGAGAAGCTGTTCGCCGGCCGCAACTTCCGTGATGAGGACGCCATCCTGAAGCTCCGTGAGGAGAACAAGGAGGATATTTCCAGCGTTGTCCAGACTGTACTTTCCCACAGCCGCATTGGCACCAAGAACAATCTTGTTCTTGCTATCTTGGCCATGTACCGTCCTAACCAGCCCGGTGTTGGCAATGTTGCCAAGTACTTCAAGCCCATCCTCAAGAAGCTGACTGAGCTTGAGTCCCGTTCTGCTGCCAAGGTCACTCTGAAGGCTCGTGAGCTTCTGATTCAGTGCGCCCTTCCTTCTTTGGAGGAGCGTCTGTCTCAGATGGAGCTCATTCTTCGCTCCTCTGTTGTCGAGTCCCGCTACGGCGAGACTGGCTGGGACCACCGTGAGCCCGACTTCTCTGTCCTGAAGGAGGTTGTCGACTCCAAGTACACCGTCTTCGACGTGCTGCCCCGCTTCTTCGTGCATCAGGACGCTTGGGTTACCCTGGCTGCTCTCGAGGTGTACGTGCGCCGTGCTTACCGTGCCTACACCGTCAAGGCTATTCAGTACACCCAGGCGGGCGAGCCTCCCCTTCTGTCTTGGGACTTCACCCTTGGCAAGCTTGGTCAACCTGAGTTCGGTTCGCTCTCCACCACCGATCCCTCCACTCCCAGCACCCCGACTGCGGAGATGAACCCCTTCAAGCGGATCAACTCCATCAGCGATATGTCTTACCTTGTTGGTGACGGCAGCGAGCCCATGAGAAAGGGTGTTATCTTCCCTGTGCAGTACCTGGAGGACGCCGCCGAGTATCTTCCTCGTGCCTTGGAAGCCTTCCCCCGGGCCGGCTCCAAGGCTAAGAGACCTAGCGACAACGGCCTACTCGCCAACCTCGAGGGCAAGCGTCGTCCTACCCCGCGCATTGAGACTGATGGCGAGCTGAACAATGTTTTGAACATCGCTATCCGTGATGTGGAGGACTTGGACGACAACCAGATTGTCGCCCAGGCTAACGAGTTGCTTGCCGACTTGAAGGAGGAGCTGCTTGCTCGCCGCGTCCGCCGTGTCACTTTCATCTGTGGCAAGAACGGCATCTATCCCGGTTACTTCACTTTCCGTGGTCCCGCCTACGAGGAGGACGAGAGTATCCGTCACAATGAGCCTGCCTTGGCCTTCCAGCTTGAACTCGGACGTCTGTCCAAGTTCAAGATCAAGCCTGTCTTCACCGAGAACCGCAACCTCCACATCTACGAGGCCTACGGCAAGGGTCCCGAGAACGACAAGGCCGTTGACAAGCGCTACTTCGTTCGTGCTGTTGTGCGTCCCGGCCGCCTGCGGGATGACATCCCCACCGCGGAGTACTTGATCTCCGAGGCTGACCGTCTGATGAACGATATCTTGGATGCCCTGGAGATCATTGGCAACAACAATTCCGACTTGAACCACATCTTCATCAACTTCTCGCCCGTCTTCAACCTCCAGCCCAAGGATGTCGAGCAGGCCTTGAACGGCTTCTTGGAGCGCTTCGGTCGCCGCCTCTGGAGACTGCGTGTTACTGGGGCTGAGATTCGCATTCTCTGCACTGACCCGGCCACCGGTGTTCCCTTCCCTCTGCGTGTGATCATCACCAACACTTTCGGTTTCATCATTCAGGTTGAGCTCTACATTGAGAAGAAGTCTGAGAAGGGTGAGTGGATTTTCCACAGCATTGACGGCGGTAGCAACAAGCTCGGATCCATGCACTTGCGCCCTGTGTCCACTCCCTACCCCACCAAGGAATGGCTTCAGCCCAAGCGTTACAAGGCCCACCTTATGGGTACTCAGTACGTCTATGACTTCCCTGAGCTCTTCAGACAGGCCTTCCAGAACAGCTGGACCAAGGCTGTCGAGCAGATCCCCTCCCTGGCCGAGCAGCGTCCTCCTGTTGGTGAATGCATTGACTACAGCGAGCTTGTGCTGGATGACACCGACAATCTGGTCGAGATCTCCCGCGGCCCTGGTACCAACACTCATGGTATGGTTGGTTGGATTGTCACTGCTCGCACTCCCGAGTATCCTCGTGGCAGACGCTTCATCATTGTTGCCAACGACATCACCTTCCAGATTGGTTCGTTCGGTCCCCTTGAGGACAAGTTCTTCCACAAGTGTACCGAGCTGGCCCGCAAGCTTGGCATCCCGCGCATCTACCTGTCTGCCAACTCTGGTGCTCGCATCGGTATGGCTGACGAGCTCATTCCTTACTTCTCCGTCGCTTGGAACGACGCCAGCAAGCCCGAGGCGGGTTTCAAGTACCTCTACTTCACCCCCGAGGTCAAGGCCAAGCTGGATGCCAGCGGCAAGAAGGAGGTTATCACTGAGCTTATCACCGACGAGGGTGAGGAGCGTCACAAGATCACTACCATCATCGGTGCCAAGGATGGCCTGGGTGTTGAGTGTCTGAAGGGCTCTGGTCTCATTGCCGGTGCCACGTCCAAGGCCTACGAGGATATCTTCACCATCACCCTTGTCACCTGCCGTTCCGTCGGTATTGGAGCTTACCTCGTCCGTCTCGGACAGAGAGCTATCCAGGTTGAGGGTCAGCCCATCATCCTCACTGGTGCGCCCGCCATCAACAAGCTGCTGGGCAGAGAGGTCTACACCTCCAACCTTCAGCTTGGTGGTACCCAGATCATGTACAAGAACGGTGTGTCTCACATGACTGCTACTGACGACTTTGAGGGTGTGCAGAAGATTGTGGAGTGGATGTCTTTCGTCCCGGACAGAAAGGGTGCTCCCATCCCCATCCGCCCCTGGTTCGATACTTGGGATCGTGATGTGGACTACTACCCTCCCAACAAGCAGCCCTATGATCCCCGCTGGCTCATTGCCGGTAAGCAGGACGACGAGGGTTTCCTCCCTGGTCTGTTCGACGCCGGTTCCTTCGAGGAAGCTCTCGGTGGCTGGGCTCGTACCGTGGTGGTGGGTCGTGCCAGACTTGGTGGTATCCCCATGGGTGTCATCGCTGTTGAGACTCGCTCCGTCGAGAACGTTACTCCTGCCGACCCTGCCAACCCTGACTCCATGGAGATGATCAGCACTGAGGCTGGTGGTGTCTGGTACCCCAACTCGGCCTTCAAGACCGCCCAGGCCCTCCGTGACTTCAACAACGGTGAGCAGCTGCCTGTGATGATCTTGGCCAACTGGAGAGGTTTCTCTGGTGGTCAGCGTGACATGTACAACGAGGTTCTCAAGTACGGTTCCTACATCGTCGATGCCCTCGTCAAGTACGAGCAGCCCATCTTCATCTACATCCCGCCTTACGGTGAGCTTCGTGGTGGATCTTGGGTCGTCGTCGATCCCACTATCAACCCCGACCAAATGGAGATGTACGCTGACGAGGAGGCCCGTGGTGGTGTTCTCGAGCCCGAGGGTATCGTCAACATCAAGTACCGCCGCGACAAGCAGCTGGACACCATGGCTCGTCTGGATCCTACTTACGGCGAGCTTCGTCGCTCCCTTGAGGACGCCACCCTCAGCAAGGAGCAGCTCTCTGAAATCAAGGCCAAGATGGCTGCCCGCGAGGAGCAGCTTCTGCCTGTCTACCTGCAGATTGCTCTGCAATTTGCTGATCTCCACGATCGCGCCGGACGTATGCAGGCCAAGAACACCATTCGTCAGGCCCTCACCTGGAAGAACGCTCGTCGCTTCTTCTACTGGCGTCTCCGCCGCAGACTCAGCGAGGAGCTCATCGTCAAGCGCATGGTCACTGCTGCTCCTTCCCCTGCTGCTCGCGACGGCACTGTGGCCATTCCTGCCGCTGCCGACTCTAGCGCCCCTGCCCCAACCGAGTCCGCCCGCGCGGTGCACCTCCGCACCCTGCACGGCTGGACTGGCCTCCTGGACGACGAGCTGGAGCACGACGATCGTCGCGTGGCCATGTGGTATGAGGAGAACAAGAAGGCCATCCAGACCAAGGTCGACTCTCTCAAGACCGAGAGCGTCGCTACCGAGGTTGCTCAGTTGTTGATCAACAACAAGGAGGGCGGTCTCAAGGGTGTTCAGCAAGTTCTGAGCGTGCTTCCTGTTGAAGAGAAGGAGGCTGTCCTTAAGTTCTTGGCTTCCAACTAAAGAGCGTTCTTTCTTAGTTCACTTTCGTTGAACCATTTTATATAAAGGTCGGGGTCATTCCCATACAGGATTCATACAGGAGGGGCTTTTTATCTTTGGTGTTGTTATGTCAAGGCAGCAGGGTACACGGTCTGGCTTTGCCGGTTTGTTTTTATGTTTTATCGACGATGGGTGATGACGGTGCATATACCACCCGGTTATGTTTATGTCCCGGTTTAGGTCACTGTCCAGCATGTGTTTCTGTATCTTGTATTTAGCATATTTTTCTCTCAATTCATTGTTCTGAACCAACTTGGTTTTTCTTTGGAATTGTAGCGGTGTAGGTGTCTTTGACCTTGTTCTGTACTGCGGATATCGACTCAGGCTTAGCCGCGATTATCACTGCTTTGGCTCACCAGCCCTGGGGCGTGGGACCATCAAGCACAAGAGTCCATATGCTCAAATGATATAGTAGAAGTCAGTAGTCTCTGGTTCTATGTCTTGTCGAATGCATGTTCCAGAACGGGTCATAACTGAGAACATGGGATCACGACTGCTTGGTTGATTGAGGATGTTGGGGTTGCTGTGATGAAGACTTGTAGTAGTAGTAGTAGTAGTAGTAGTAGTAGTAGTAGTAGTAGTAGTAGTCTTGATGAACCAACTTGGAAGACTCGAATCAAAACCCAGAGCCGCTTTGACTACTTCATTCGCCCAGCCGATCACGATGAACCACACCCACACACACAGACCACTTTGCTCAGCCCGGCCAACGGGACCACGAGCCAGGGTCTATAGCATTAAAGAGAATGCGTCGAGAATGGCAGGAGGGCTGTTTTTACATACAGTACAGACCACGGTAGCCCCAGACCCCGGGAGTTCCGTAGGGTCCCACTGTCGTGGGTCTGTGGCTTTTACTGTATACGTACCTACTGTATGGAGTGTGTAGTGTCAGTCAGGGTAGACCCACCAGCCGTAGTTAACCGCTTGGGTCCGCAGCAGCAGCAGCAGCCGCCAGACAGCCGGCACGCACTATCATCATCATCTTCCAACTCGCGAGTATCACCCTGTTCGTAAGACTTCGCCGTCGAGGTCATACTGCGTCTATCCTCCAAGCAAAAGGAGGGAAGTCCAGGTACGGAGTAGAAAAGTATAGCAGTCAATTGACCTATATAAAACTACGTATCTAACTACTATGTTGCCTAGGTCCACATCATTCTCCCTCCCGGCATGATGCAAGTCAACCCCCGCCGCCGAATCAAATCTGGCATTCATTCACCACCTTCTGCATCATCCCCTCCAAGACTCTATCAAGTGCACGGTGATATTCGGGTCGGACTAGTATGTACTTCCGCGTTTGGTTGAAGACCGCCCGGATGGTAGTCTTGGTCTCTTGGGGGGCTGTTCAGAACACGCGATACGACCAAGGCCCCATCTATTCAAATGGGACGAGCTGTGGAGTTGGTAAGTTAGACTGGCGCCAGGCTGCCTAATGAAGCTGTTTGCGACGCGTCAGAGCACGCATCTCACAACACAATCGTGGTCGGGATCTAGCCATGGAAGCAATAGTCATACTGTAGTCACAGTAAATAGGTGGTGCAGCCGCATCATGGTTCGAATCATTTTCACACTACCAGTGATGCGTCGTAGAGTATCATATATATATATATATGTGTGTGTGTGCATGTGTATGTATGTCTTAGATCGAGACAAAAGTCCACCAGCTGTACTACTAGATCCCGAACGGAAGGAGACAGGCAATCACTCCGGACTAAACCCCCACAGCCAAGCGCAAGCACAGATATGCCACCTTCAGACCCATCCGGAGTAATACTTTCCCCCCTCTTGAGTTTTCAGAACCGCAGTTCTCCGACCAGCAGCTATAGAACGGTCTTTGGGGGTAGGTGTCTGCAATGGCACGGAGACCGCGCGCCGACTAACATAGGAGCAGCAACAAGCAGGGTTTTGCCGCGCTGATCCCCCGGAAAATTGACCCTTTTTGTCTCTTCTGGAAAGTGATTCAATTCTGGGAAGACGATAAAGGAGAACTAAAATCCTCCAAATTCACGGCTAACGTATCTGAGCTCAGGTGCGGCGGGCTTTTGCCCAAGGGTCAACAACTAACCGATTTTAAGGTCTGCTCTAGATAAGTGAGAAACTTGGGTATGATGTCCGTGTACGGACTCCGCTAGGGGGTTTCTATTCTACGGGCGTGTGATTGAGACTAGAACAAATATATCACTACCTCTGGATTTGATGCATTGCGAGGCTAATTATTTACCATTCGTGTGGTGTGGATTGTATAGATTTAAGAGAGAGGACCATATTTCCCGACACGCCCGTGCCGCACGCACACATTTTGCGGCACAATACCAGAGCAGGCTTATGTCTATGCTTGTGCTTTGAGTATGACTGTAAAAGTAGTTGTGGTGACCAATTTCGCTTGGTCAGGACAGTCCCGCAGACGGGGGCATGGAGGCAAAGGTATCAAAGAGATTAGATAAACAGACACACAGGTGGCAGGACACATGGCCAGCAAGAAGGAAAAAAAAAAAAAGTACAGCAAGTGCAAATGGGGTATTATATTCTTTGAATCCACTCGTTTCGGGTCATCAGATGGTGTCATGTGGAGTAGGTGGGGGTAGTATGGGTATAATGGTGAGAGTGTGTCATTCTGGGTGTGTCAAAAAAGGTCAGAATGAGAAAGTAGGTAAGGGAGAAGTAGGAAAGGATGAAGAGAAAGTTCAGGCGAGTTGTCTTTCGAGACTCCGTGGTGGAGACAGAATAGGCGCCGCCATCCCTCCGTAAGGATTTGAAGCTGCCGTTGCTGCTTCATGGAGACTGCGACTGGAGTGGACGGGGCCTCTTCCGGGCGGGTGGTGGCCTTGGGGGTCTAAACGCAGGTGTCCAAAGTCAACGCCGAGCTGGTCAGGAACAGGAGGTGGAGCATTGTAGCGTGCATTGGGAGCCACCGGGTGGTGATGATGGTGATAATGGTCAGGCCCCGGAGTCGGTTGGGGCAAGCTGTACGAGATCGCTCCGTCGCGGTTGTTGCCCGGGAGAGAGATGTAGGTCGCATTGAGGGTGCGAGCGATATCCTCCAGCAGAATCTCCATTGGGGCGATGTAGGCCGTATGGCTCTTTTCCGACCAGGCGAGAACGTGTCCGCATACGCGCCCGGTGTGTTTTTCGAAGACCCATGCGCCTGAGTCGCCGGGGACTATACGAGCAACGAGTTAGTGACTTGACTCGGGCGGATTGTGCAGCCGACAAACTCACTTACCTCCAAAACTCCCATCCACGCAGAAGCTGATTGAAAATGTCTGGCGCCCGTGCAATTTCACCAGCGTCATTGCCCTGGAGATCTGGCCCGTTTGGAGGCCGCTGGTTCGACCGCAGCAATGGACCTTGAGGCCACCGAGGTCTTCGAGTCGAGCAATGTTGTTGAGATGGATGGCTTCGGGCGGACCATGAACACCGTGCCTCTGGTGGTAAGGATTTGGACGCGATGTCCGGTCAAATACAACGTTACGAACATCTATGCGATTATCGTTGATTTTTATCAACGCCCAATCGATCTCATGTCTAAGCCCTTTGCGAGTCCACCGTCGGACGCCCGAAGAGGCATGAACGAATCCGAAAGCGTGAGACGCCAAGTGTTCATCGTCGCGATCTTCCAGAGACGGGAAGAAGTTCTCGTCGACATCATCGATCGCAGGTTGCGTGACAAACAACAGTGGCTCGTCGCCGGGTTCGACGCCCGATGTGTCTCCAACTGACGCTGCGTCCTCGTCGTCGTACGCATCATCTGCGTTTGGATCATCCTCGTCGGACGAGTATCCTTCAGAGAGATCAAAGTCGTCGTAAGCTTCGTCAAGGCTGTGTGAAACTGATTGATCGTCGTCGTCCTCGTCTTCCGAAACCTCAAGCTCAAGGTCCGAACCGACATCTGATCGAGTGTCGTCACGCCAAGAATACATGAACTGCGCACCCTGCGGAGCGATCTCCTGTCGGGGCCAGTTCCCCGCAGAGCGCAAAGGGCCACCATCATCAGGGTCATCTTCGTCCTCTTGATCACTAGGTGACTCCAGCATGTGGTGCACCGTCATGCCATATGGCATACCATCTACCATGATGGCCCCGCCATAGGTGACGGGTGGCAGGTGCTCCTCATTCATAAATGCGCCTATCGATGCACCGCAAAGGGGCCGCTCCTGATAACAAGGATTTGGGTCTTGCTGAGCATATGCAGGCGAGTCAGAAGTATCAGGTCCGGTTCTTGCCGGCTTGCGGCGCTTTTTGCGGGGCACTTTGGATCGCTGAACATCACCTCGGAGCACAATAAGGTCCCAATCATCGCTGTCGAGAACAAAGTACTTTTTGAGTGCCGCCCTGACTTTCTTAGTGCTGGCACAAGTGACGCAGATTGTGGTTCTGGCATTGTCCGCTGACTCGCCGGTCATCATGAGCGTCACACTGCAAGACTCGGTCGAGTCCTTCAAAATCTTCTGCAGAAGCTTCCTCAATCGTGGAAGCATGTGAAAGTTCCAACTATTCAGATGATCCTGGGGAATCTCGATATTGGACAATTTTTTGAAAGTTCGTTTCCGTACTCTCCGGTCATCCAAGGATGATTGATCTCGCACCTGTCTGATTTCCGAAGTAGGGAGCGGCGCATATGAGGCTTTGTATGCCGCCAGGTTGTTCGCGGTCGAGCTATACTCTTGCACGGGCTCTTGTGCGGCAGCCGGGCCTAGGCCGGGAACGAGAGCAAGGGGAAGGTAATCATCTAGCTCTTCGGCCTCAGGGGCAGAGAACATGTCCATCCTGCAGCAAGACCACATGATCTTGCACATCGTATAGAGGAAGTTCATCGAGAAGGAGAAGATGCTGTCTGGAGCCGACAGATCCAGGACGGGGTAATGGAACGTCTGCGGTACTCGAAGCGCCAGATCATCAAACGGCTGGGTGGAGAGGTGGAAGTTCGGTGCATCAAGGCAAAGCTGTACCACATGAAGATATGCACTACCACATTTGGGCGCCAATTTCTGCAAGTAAACGCTTTCGATGCGCTGTTTGAAGATGGAATTGTTGTATTTCATCTTCCAGATGCGGCTGATGGGATTCCATAGACCGATTTCCAATAACACTAATCCGAGTGAATAGAGATCGTATGCCCAGGCCGCGTCGTCACTAGTCGATCTCTTGTCGTCAGGATGGCGATACATGCTGGAGGACAACGGCTCCGAAGACGGGCCACTGCTTGAGATATGGGAAAACGAGGTCAGGTAGGGACGGCGCAGATTTTCAGTAAGTCCTACTTCGTGGCTTTTTGAGGTAGTCAGACCAGGGAAGATGAGGACATTGCTACTGTTGATATTTCCGTGGACGAGGTTCTGGCTTCGCAATTGCAGGACCGCCATCAAGAGATCGTACGCCAAGCGGAACCTGGTTTCCAAGTTGGGCACCTGGTAGTCATCGCCCGCTTGGAACATCGAAACCAGAGTTCTTGGCTTCAAGCCGTTCAGAAGATCGGTAGGATTTTGTAGAAAAGGGAAGTAATCGACTGGCATCTGGTAGATGAACGCATAACGAGAATTGGGCATGTCGACATAATAGCCCAAGAACTTCATCAAGCCTAGATGGGAGACCCGAGCATTTTGGGCGAGTTGCTCGAGAGTTTGATGTACGTGATCTAAGCGCTTCGCCTCCGGAGAAGTACCAGGCCCAGAAGCTTCGAGCATCATGGGAGTGTACTCAACCAGAATCGTGACCGACGAGTCTTTCGTCCCTTGCAAGAATGGCGATGCTGATGTCGGCATGCGCCCGACCGCTCGGGAGTTGGTGGAAGCAGCAACCTGCTCGTACGGTGGAGGATTGTTGTCATGAGAGACGCCGGCAAGCTGCAGCTTAGTACGATCAATGACATACTTCTTCAAAGATGAAGAAGCCTTCTCCGAAGACAGCTTATCGAACTTTCCTTGCAAGGTGGATGATGGCGAATAGTCAAAAGGCTCTTGCTGGTTCATATACGCTTGCTTACTATCGAAAGAAGCTCCGTGATATGCTTTGGTGTCGAGAAGGGAATAGTCAGTGGGCGCCGCGGGCCGAGATCGGCCTTTAGCGGCGATTTGACCACCGGCTGCCATATTGGCGTTCATGTCTCGTCGCGAGCGCGAGAGGTCATAGAGAGTATCGATACAGCCGGTCAGGTCGACGAGCAAGGTCTTAGAGCGAGTAATCTCCTCGCTCGTCCAATGGGACCTGACTGGCAGGTTGTCGAGACTGCTCTTCGTCGCATCCGTCTTACTATGACCTTTGGGTGGAAGATCGGAGGCGGCGTCGCCATGCTGGAGCCGTTCCGCCTCATTGAGAAGCTCCTGAATGGATGACATAACACTCGCTACCACATCACTGTAGCCCGCTTGGGTCAATGACTCGTCGATGTCGTTGGGCTGGGCGGCACTGGCATCGCTCCAATCCAAGCCCCAGGCCAGCAACCTGTCTCTCTGCGTCTTGAAGTCGCGGTGCAAGTTGATCAGTTCGGGATCATCAACAGCGTGGGAAGCCGTGGTCACACTCTCGCAGGAGGTTTTAGTATCTGTGTACATTTTGGTGAGACGGCGTTGGAGGTAGGCGTCTCCATGATGGCGAAGAACGGACATCTTGGCACGCAGAGTCCGGGATTAAGGTGAAAGAAGGTAAGCGGGGAACTATAACCTCACAGCATTGCAGAGTGAGTGGGGGACAGAGGCGGCGAACGCAATGATCGGCTATTGGCGACGCATGACCCGGAGGAAATTGTAGTCGATGTGTTCGTGCAGAATCTGCGCGGATAGGTGTGAATTGTAAGGGGAAAAGAGAGAGAGAGAGAGAGAGATGCAGTGGATTGAAATGAACTCTGAGAGAGAGGAATTAGTTAAGAATAGTAGATGGAGGAGAACGAACTAACAAAAGGCGGCCGAGTGGGAATCCTGTTGCCTAACCAATAGGGAGTGGCGAGTGCTTGCAAAGCCTCATCGCGGCCCAGCCACAGCTCCCGTTCTGCTTCACCATTGGTTGATTTGGGTTGAAATTAGTGTTGAAGATGCAGTGCCGCCGTACTGTATTGTCAAGCCCCCGACAGGCAACCGCCATTCCTGGCATCCTGCCCACAGCCCACAGCTAAAATCTCCACCGGAGCGGGCCAGGAAGGCACGTGCACCACCACTTTATCCGGCTGACTCAGCCATGTGGCGGATGTTTCGCGATAACCACATCTGCTGCACCCACAGTTACTATAGTTACCAAGTACTACTAGTTGGAAAGGTATCCAGTTATCACAGCTTGCCCTACGGATACACAGGCACAGTTCATGTCTGCTTCAAAGTTGATATCTATCTAATTATCGCAATTGATGTACATAGAAGAACGAAAGACTCAGATGGCCAACGCGACAGAAAATGGGAGCCTAGAGCACTTTGGCATGACTGATGCCTGATCGGTGTCATCCTGTGATGACTCTCCGAGAAACACCTCCCACGTCTCGTGCCCGCTTCTCACGGAAATTATGCAACCGTTCGCCAATGAGGTAAACATCATCGCGGATATTCACTCTCCAAATTTCCACCTGCCGCCGGACCAGGTAGACGAGCCACGCAAGCAGACTGGACATCAACGTGACCGGATACGCATAACGGTATACCTTGAACTGCACATCTGGAGTACCATAGAACACTGTCATGTTCAGGAAGAATCCCAGGGAGAGGGGAACCAACACCGCAATCACAGTGAGAAGAGTGACGGGAAGCAAGACCCCTCGTGTCGCGATCCTGACATTAGGCTTCAGCCATCCATCCCTGAAAATGGCATTCAGAGCAGCGGCCTGACGGGATCGAGAGTTCCACAGAACAAACTTGACAGCCATTTGAACATACAACACGCCAAGGGTCCAGTCCTGGATGAAATGGATCACATGCGCCTGAGGGCCTCCCAAATAGGTGTGCACGGGCACTAATAGGTAGAGCTCCATAACCAAAGCGAGAGCGGATGGGAGCATGACTGAAAACGCGGTGAAGAGGTAGATCAGTCGGACGACATCATAAAGAGCATTTTTGATCCCCAGGAACACCTGTTGGGGCGATTGCAGGTAGACAGCCAGACGCTCTTTGGCCATAGCAAAGTAGGTCCGGCTGTAAAATCCGATGTAGGCAGCAGTACCGACAATGCTCAAGCCAGTGGAAAAGGCATAGATATCATTCATGGGCCGGTGGGGGAAGCTCAAATTCATGATCTTTCGGCCAATGATCAGGGGAAGAACAGTGATGCCTACACCGGTAGCTGCAGCAAACAACCAGATGAGGAGGATGAAGGCCGCAATCCGGGTCCTGAAGTTTGGAGGCACGTAGACTTTCGTGAACATCTCATTAGCTCGACCATGCAATCCCTGATCCGTGTCCGGCAACCCATCGAGTCTCTCGTTGTTTTCAGTCACCTCCACAAACACACGATTACCCTTGGGAATCCTGACCTGGTCCGAGGCAGGAGCTCGGACGTATCTACCATCGCGAATAAATGATCCACCATGGATCTTTTCATCGGTGTCGGCAGTCTGACTCCCGCTGACAGAAGAGCTGTCCGGATGTACTTCGGCCGCTGAGAACAGTTCCCACCAGCTCCGTCCGACATAATGACCCTCTTCGTCCGACTGCTTATCTCCGAAAAAGAAGTTGGTCAGACGTAAGAATCGGGCACACTTGTGAAACCACCAATTATAAAGTCCATGTAAGCCATCAGATGGCTTTAGAGATCGGATAGCAAACGGCATCACGAAGTTGTAGAATAACAGATCCACAGGAAATTCCAGTACAGGCACCGTAGCGGACCAGTGAATTGGAAGAACGCCATCTAGGCCATAGTATAGCCCCCAGACGACACCACCTAAGCAGACAACAACCAGTGCACCATACACCAGAGCACTGAATGCAATTTTCCGCAACTGGGTAGTGATATTCCTTTCTAGAACATCACGCACAGGGTGGAACGTTGGGTCATCGGGATCACGGATAAAGTCTTGCGAGGTTGTCAGTACAGGCCAGAGGACAAGTACAAGGAAGTGACTTACATAGAACACCACTCCTCATGATCTTTCGACACATCGAAACGAAGAGAGCAAAGTGGAACATATAGCAGGTACCGATGAACCAATGCACAAAGAGCGATGTCATAGGCGAAGACGCTGTGAACTCAAGGCGTGATGCGATGGTGGCATTCTCAAATAAAGGCAATAGCGCAACATCGAGTAATGAGCCGCAGTAGAGCGGGAACACGATCATCTCGATCCCAATAATTAAGATCACTTTCATGACTCCTCCGCCCTGGTGGATGATGTCCGCAATGAGGCCCTCAACTCTCTGGCGGCGCTCCGCTCCTGAGAGGAAATTTGTGATCCGAAGATAGAGTAGTCCCACAACCGATGCCAGTACATAGCCCAGCAGAATGGCAATGACCCGGTCCTTGGTATCCCAAACAGCTAATTCTTGAGATATGTTTATACCGCTGGCTGATGTCCCGTTGAGACCAGCCATGAAGACATTCGTCTCATTCGAGGTGTAAAGAACCTGGTGCCCAAAGCTGTATATCTGGTCACGTGTTTGGGCTATTAAACTAGCGAAGTCGAGGTTCTCACGACCAAGTGACAAGGCTGCAGGAAGCCCATCCGACAATATCCGAAGCGGAAAATCGTGCAAAATAAATTTTCCGATGACAAAAATCGCCCGGGCGAGATAAGATATGCGTGCCTGGTGAATCTTGAGAGCGTGGTGCGAAATGACAGAGAACATGGGAACGTCAGATTCGTGAAATACGAAAAACGATTGTAGAGCGTTCCGTAGACGGGTACTGCTGGCATCAATGAGCGACAGCGAGGCGCTAGTCACAGACCTGGTCTCGGGGATCCAATTGGCCACAGGGGCAAATGCAATGAAGGGGCCGAGCAAGGTCTTGCATGTTAGACTGCCCCAATACATCACATATCCCAGACTACCAATAAGGGTATCGAGCGCAACATCGGCGAATACGGATATAGCAGTCACTGGAACACCGACAATCAAATGCACCGGGTTTGCCAGGAGAACAAGAGCAATCTTGCCCCAAAGATAAGGGAGCCAGATTCCGATAGCAACCGTGAAAGAGATCAAGAGGGCACTAAAAACCCCGTTCTGAAGAAGACCAAAAATGGGGCCTTGCATACCAATGAGCTCGAGGATCCCCTCTAAATCATCACCATCTTCGACTGCATCGAGGTCGTTGCCATCGATACCAAGGTCCTGCATAACTCTCTGATTATCTTGCGCGCCATCGTCAGCAAATTGTCTGTCATTATGAACCGGGATGAACGGCGCCTCCAATTCAGCATCAATTGCATGTTCGTCATCCTCCTGAGGCTGGTCCTGATCCTGATCCTCGGTCTCAACATCCGCCCAAAACCAATCAAATAGTCTAGTAATGAAGCTTTGGCGGTGAGTATTCGAAGGCCGGGCAGTTTGGGGGGTAACCGGGGTGTTTTCTGGTAGAGCTTGGTTGTTCACGGGATCGGTTTGACGAGGAATGGACGAGCTACTGTCATCATCGGCTTGAATGACGTCGTCACTTGGGTTTATGGTCTCCTGGACCGATTGATGCTCAGGAGCGTGCTGGGCAACTGATCTAAAGCCATCAAAGTCGGGGTGCCGTTCTAGCCTGTCGATGTCCGCACTGCCTTCGACCGCATCTGCAAAGCTCCAAGGCCTGGTGCTTCCTGATGGGAAGCCGCCATCGACGTCGAAACGCCCAAGGCTCGGAAGATCCTCGGCTCGAGTCAAACCAGCACCATACTGAGTGCTTGAAGAGCCTTCACGGGGCTGATCCCGTCTGGACAAGTCTTGGCCTTCTTCGTTGCGCTGGATCTTGGTCATCGCGTTGACAATCCAACCCAGGTCATTTTGGCGACCTTCGTCACGTACAATTCGCAAGACCTGTTCAGGGTCACCATTACCCCTGTCCCAAAGGTCTCTGAACGTGTCCACGCCGGGCCAGGTCTGTGGATATGGCTGCTCAGAAGAGAAGTCCAACTCTGCTTCGCCATCACTCTCATTGTTATTCTGGGGCGATCGCGAGGAGCCGAAGGCTTGTGACGCTAAGGCGTCAGAGCCATCGCGTCTGTCCGAATGAAACGGCAGTGTCCTAGGAAATTGATCTCTGTCAGCCGCAAGGTCTGCCGGTGTGTCCGGGGCACGGTGGATGTCATCTCCCATGGTCTCCTGGATTGCGGCGTCTGGTTGGGCATCCTCTGGTTGCGGAAGGGCGTCTTCTGCAGGCTCCGCATCCTCTACCGGCTGGTCCTGCCGGTTATTCGCTATGAGCTGGGCGGCAACTTCACGTTCTCCCTCGGCAATGTTGGCCATCGGCTGCTGCTGTACGACCCATTCCCGGATGAGGAAGATTAAAATGAATGAGATGACGACGAGTAGGGTAATCAGTTGGCCCTCTAGTGTATCAATGATAATGTTGTTTATGGTAGGCGATGGCGTCAATGTATTCAGGAACTTCACGTCAGACAACCAGGAAGGGCGTCTGGAATTGTGTGTCGTGGTGGTCATGTTTGGTTTTCCTCCCATAGACCCAGTGACCGACATTGCAGGAGAGAAAAGCGCCGAGAAGGACTTCTTGATCAGTGTAAATAGCAACGGTTCACCAGCGGCAAAGCCGAACATGGACGACACTGGAGACTGGACCGACGAGACGTCGGCGGAGTTGGGTTGCGTAGTGGTCGATCCGGGCATTCCTGCAGCGGTTTGAACGGTAGTTGTAGTAGTAGTGACATTCGTTATAACAAAATCTAGACCAGGTTGTTGGATATTATCAGCGCCAGACCAGCGGCCATCTGCGAGCCAGAAGAGAGCCCTCCAGATTGCTCTCATGGACCACGGTAACCAACCCAGCCAGACAAAAGCGACTAGAATGAACCGGAGCCATGTAACGACAGTACGAAAGCTATGAATGATAAGTTGTTTGAAGAACAATGGAGCTGGCAAATTCTGGGGCATGTTGGGATCGTATAGTTTGGTAAAGCGAAACGGTGTCTTGCAAAGTTCGCAGTGCTTTTTCTGGGAATGGGATAGCCATTCTACCAAGCAAGCTTGGTGGACGAACTTGATGCTCCCGCTGCATTTGCAAGGATAGAAAAGCGGCTCTTCCGGAGTTCCCTCGCCGCGGCATATCCGACAGGTGTCCGGCTCATCGAGATCCCTCTCTTTTCCTTTGTGGTTTGTGTCATAGGCTGGATCGTTCATGAGGTCGGGGAAGGATGCTGAGCCAGCATATTCGTGGGAGAGATTGTTGGCAGATTCCATCTTTAAGGCCAGGTCCAAGGCGACGACCCTATCGTCCTTCAGTGAAATTACTCAAGTGTCATGTTCATCAACTATTTGAGACCGTCGAGGTGTGTTCGGACTCTGGTGTCTGCTTTGGAGATGTGCGAGACTGTCGAATGTGTTCGTATGACACAGTAGGCTGACTTGCCTGAGCGCAGGCCGATGGTGTAAATACGCGACACAATCAAGGTCTGACGTTTCGGGGTCAAAGTAAGGTGTTTGTGGTTGATTGTTAGGATGATGTGATGATGCGGCACATCAAGTTAGGACGGGCATGTTGCCGCAATGGGACTGACTCAGCCACTGCGCCACACAAAACATGTTTCTGATTGCCAATAAAGAGCTGTCATGAGGCAAATTAGGGATTATTAAGGCACCAACAAGTCAGTGTGGCCGAGTGGTTAAGGCGTCAGACTCGAAATCTGATACATTCGTGTGCACAGGTTCGAATCCTGTCGCTGACGAAACTTATTCTTTTTTTCTACCTCATTTGTTACTATCTTTCTACATTAATTGGCACAGTGGCCTCTAGTCAAGCTCTTCATTGTGGTATAAGTGAACTCTCGGAGGCCGAAATTTACGCTATGTGCGCTTCGTCGATCATTGGGGTAGTATAGCGTAACTGCTTCGTAACCCAGCTGAGGTTCGCGTGACATCTGGCTATGAGGTAGTCGACTTGCTCATGCGGCTGTGTTGCTATTCATCATTCATGCTATATTTCGGTGACCGATTATGAACTTGGAGGGTGGATTCAGCGATGTACATCAAGACGTGTGGGTTCTTATGGTCGAGATTTGGTGATTACGAAGAATAGTTACCACCATCCCCCCCACCAAAAAACCCTCCTCCGCGCGCCCATCTTAATAATATATATTTGTGATACCAATCATGCCTGTCAATGTCAGCGGCGGGTCGAACCGCGGCGCTCAAAACCTGTCATGTCGATAAGCACAACAACATACCAACAACTCGCCATTTTGCATTTGAACGAGCTGACACGACAAAAGGAATCTGCAACCGGATCAATCAAAAGGGGAACAGGGAGTACATCTGACTCGACAGAATATTTAATCAGTAGCTCTATGGAATCTTCGTTCTGTTCATGCAAGATTAGCCGGCACAAAAAAGTTCTGACAATCGTCAGCGGTAGGATTCGAACCTACGCCCACGAATGGAATTGATATCTCCTTAGCCAAGTGAACTAAGGTTCGAGTCAATCGCCTTAACCACTCGGCCACACTGACGTCAGTTGTGAGAGTTGCTTTCATACCAATATATATAATGCTCTATGGTTTCTTTTAGCTTGACCATACATGCTGTCACGGAGGAAGAATGAACTTTAAGCCTACAACTACTGCAGTAAACAGGTAACTAAGTATATTCCGGTATGTTATTTTATCCCGAGATAGACATATTCCATCTGTACACCCCAGCAGATAGCTATTTTTTTCCATTGGTACGCAATGCGTTCTCAAGTATGCATGCTCTTGGTAGTTCAGATGCAGATGATACGGTACAGTACTGATGATCGAGGCCAAGAGCTGCCTGCCATCTGGGCCCAGCGAGCGCTGATCCCGAAGTCACGTCCTGTAAAAACTAAAAAGAGCCCCAAGCAGACGCCACACCTTGAGCCATGACCTCACTGCCATCATTGCTGCTGAGCGTTCGCTTACTTAACCGTTTTATAAGTAGGTTAGTTAACTAGTTATTCTAAGTCTACATTGTTATCCATCACTTCTTGATCTCGCATCTATCTGTACCACCATTTGCCTCTGCCGCGCAACCGGAAAGATCGCATTCTGTGATACGTACTGTGTACTCACAATCACAGTCTAACGTGCATAGGCCCCTGTGCCAAGACTCGCCGACTCCACCGCGCGTGCGGATTTCTACAGGGTCTCAACTGTCGCTTCCGAGAAGAGCTACACCTGCCATTCCTCATACAACCACCAGAAGGGGGACTTTTGATCCGTCGAAAAACCTCGGTACCTTCGCGTGATGGTATAGGCCTGGGACCTCAAATATTTCATCTCCATCCTGGTCAACTCACACGCACAACATAAAACGACAAGATACTTGCCAGCCGAAGCACTCATTGCAAAGGGAGACGAGGCGATGGCCACCGCGAAGAATGGCTTTGTGGTGGTTGGAGTTAGTCGTCCTGCGACGACACTTGATAGCAGGCCCAGGCAAAGGAGAAGGAATACTGTCAGATGGACGATTGGTCTAGTGGTTCGGTGAGTCCCACGCAATTGATTGGATTTCTGCGTCCGCAGCCGCACGTATTCTAACCTTGAGACACTGGCCTTGTTCTCTCCAACAGACTCTGTATCTGGTATGCCTTGTTGACGCCGTTTCTTCGTTGTCCATCCCAGCTCTCCGATTTGGATGGAACATCACCCCGGGTTTGCAAGCCGTACCTCATTGCTCGGTCGCACGTCGAGCCTCATATAACCCCGTATTATAATGCTTACGGTGCGCCCTATATCGAGATGGCTCGCCCGTACGTGCATATTGTCGACGAAAAAGTCTATACACCCACATCTCGCGTCGTCCGCCGTGGTTATGAATCATACGGAGTGCCCGCATTGAACAAGGCGCAAATCTACGGCCAGGAGCAATGGGAGGTGCAAGTGGTCCCACACCTGAATGCGGTCAAGGACAAGGTGACTACACTGTACATCTCGGAAGTCTACCCATACATCCAGCGTGCAGAGGAAGTGGTCATACCGCCGTATAGGAAGGCCAGTGGCGCGGTTAGATCCGTCTGCGTCGACTATCTTCTACCCTTTGGCGCCAAGTACCAGCCGTTCATCGGAAAGACATATACGTCAGGCCAGCAGATCCTCACCACCACGATTCTGCCCAATGCCCAGAGCTCATGGTCAAACACCATTCAATTCATTAGGGGAACTCTGTGGCCGAAGATCGCCAGTCTCTACTGGGAGAATGTCGAACCACAACTCGTCAAAATTGGTGAGAGACTTGCCAGCTATCGAGAGGGAAAGGGCCCTCGAAATATTGTGGATGAGGCCAATGCGTGAGTATTCATCTTGGAGTGCAATTGTTCCGCCGTTTGCTTACACCACGGCAGGAGTTTCCCAGAGCAATCGCTTCCTGCTTCTTCGGCCCCGGGCACTACCTCGATAAGAAGTACCCAGTATGAGACTGTCACCACATCATCTAGAACCGAGGTACCTCCACCGCAGCCGACACTCTCGGCCGAGGAACAAACAGCTCAAAAACGCGAAAGAATCGAAAGTGATCTACGTTTATGGCAAGAGAAGTTCTCCGCCGCCGCCGAGAATGGTCTCGAAAGCCTCGAGGAGCATCTACAGGGGATGGTCAATGATTACCTATCTGGCGAAACCCTTGTATACGGCGAAGAATTGGTCACGGGGCTGGGAGCGGTTGTAGAAAATGAGATTCTTGCTCTCAAGCACCATATCAACACCCTTGCTGAATCTTTGCCCTACGAGAACCTTCCTAAAGCTGAAAAGGCTGCCCAAGAGGAGCTGCTGCGGAACGTCAAAGAAGCTGCTATTTCCATTCGAGGCCGTGCACACGCTCTGCGGGAATGGCGCAACTCATTTGAGAATGAGTTGATGTGGCGCGTCCATGCAGCAGTCAACTCTACACTTGATGTTCTTAACAATGTTCGCGACCTCGGATTCCAAGAGGTAGGCATCCGCTGGGCATCCATGGACGGTATAACCTACAAGGACTGGGCGAGATACCATGCTCTCAAAGCGGAAATGGAAGATTGGAAAGAACAGTTCGTGACCTATGGAACCCAGCATGCGAAACTCGAAGAAGCGATCTCTGCGGCAGAGGAGGTCTTGTCGCGAGGCATGGATATTGCTGAGAATGCTGCGAAGGAGCTTGCCAGGTTGCGGGAAGTCGGCAAGTGGAAGATTTCCGCTCGTGAAGCAAGCGACAACTTTGACATGAGAAACGACCCCCCGCCTTCACTGCCTGAGCCCGCCTTTCCTGAAGCAGAGACCGCTGATGAGAACAGTCGGGACAAGACATCCCAGACAGGTACCGAGGATCCTGAAATCGCAATTGGCTCCTTAACCGGGGTTGAAGATGAAAATGTTCAAGGCTCTAACAGTCACGGTGTCTCCGCTGAATTTGTCGCTGAGCAACTGGATGATCCAGCTACTGTCGCAGGCACAGGCAGCAGCTTCGATGCCTCTAACCAGGCGGCATGGGATGTGGCTGCGGCAGTACTCTCTGCCCAGCAAGCGAAGGAAGGTAATCTCGGCTCTGAAGAGCAGGAGGCCATTGAGAGACTCATCTCAGGGCTGCTTGTCGGCAAAGACGCCGAATTTGCCGAGGATATCATGAATCAACTCCGCGCCATCTACAAGGCACCAAGATCCTCTTCGGCATCATTTTCAGCCTCGCCTTCGGCGACACCTTCGACACCAGTTAGCGTCGCCGTCGATACTTTGTCAACAACAACAGCCACACCAGTTGTCGAAGAAAGCAGCCCTTCAGCTTCCATGACGGCCGAGGAAATGGTTTCCGAACCAATCCCTGCTGCTGCTGCATCTGACATGCAGAACTCAGTCCACGAACAGCAAGAGATCTTTGAGAGCTCCCAGAACCCGGAGGGTGTGAAAGCAGCTCTAGAGAGTGCGGAGTCTCAATACAGCAGCTTGACTTCTCGTGCCAGTGATTTTGAAACCGCCGCAGTCGAGACTGGTGTGGACGATGCCGATGATCAGACCGAGAGCATGGAAGACGACATTGAGGCTGAATTATGAAAAGCATGACCCATACGCTTGTTTTTGCTGTTACCACAGTATTTGATTTTCTTCATTTTTGCTATGCATTTGCGTTCGATATCCTCATGTTTCTCTGTTCCTGAGTTTCGCATCTTGTCGAATCGTGAGCTTGAATATTCCCCACATAGTTCCTACGATTGTGTTATACGACCAATATATTGATCTATTTCATGTAACACGTGGTACGGTATTCTCGCGTGTTCAGGGTTTCCTTATCACCCGTCGTGGTTGGCTTCCTTGCTCATAATATCTATCTTATTACAGTCCTGACATAGACCTCGTGTTCGATGCTCGATTAGACATAACCAACTTTTCTTCTATACAAGAGGGAAACGCACCAGGATATACCGTAGTGCTCAACAGATTCTAGTTTTGAGGCTCATCCACATAATCCTCCAATAGCATCATCAAGTTCATCACAACCGCCAGTGTGACCAATCAAGCCTACTACTCAGCTGGCTCACCGATACTGCACCCGCTGCCCTCCTCGCTTCTCCAACTTCTTCCGCCTCTTGCTCTCCGGCGCATCGGCACCATCCAGGCCGGCGCCACCAGCCCCCATGCCCGCCAAACCGCTCCGCATGCCGGTGAACGTGGTGTAAGCCAGCCAGACTGAGTACAGGGGAATCACCCCCCACAGCCACCAGGCGCGGTCTCCAAGGAGGCAGACGGCTCCGATGCAGCCCCAGGTCCAGTAGAGGACATCCCACATGTACTCCGTGAGTCCGGCCGCGCCGAGGTCCTCCCCGGGGGAACGGAGAGAGCCATCGACCGGGTTGTGGCGGGGCCGGCCGAGTCGGTCTAGGTAGAACTCAATGAGAAGGGTCGGGACGGCGAGGAAAATGTAGGGTTTCAGGGCACGGGGGCGGTTGAAGGTCCAGTGAAGGGCGAGGAAGAGGGCGTGGAGCCCTAGACTGATGAGGTGGGTGCGGAGGAGGAGGGCGGTGTTGCGCGCGGCGAGAGTTTTGGCTGCTTTCTGTAGGATAGAGTTAGCGCTTTTGAATGCTCTATCTGCTAGATATTGGGAAGTGGGGAAATTACCTGAGCCATGATGGTGGTGGGTGGTAGGTGGCCTGTTCTCTGATGGAGTATGGTTATGGTCGGATGATGACGGTCGCGTGGGTGAAATGATGGCAGGCGGAGGGTCGTGGTTGTAGGTGAGGTTGCAATCAGCGATAGGGGAGTAAGGTATTAGAATGACCTTTTGCACTTGGGAGATGTTGTAAGTACTCCGTATCAGCAGCAATGCGGCATAATCACGGAGGTTGCGCCAGTCTACTACTTAGACTACGTTAGTAGTTAGTAAGTGAAAGGTGTTGAACGCGGATGAGGGAATGGGCGTTGCCCACCACAACCGGACAAGCGCCCGCCCGCCTCTCTCCACCAGCCACGCTTTGAATTGCTTGCTTTCCGCCTTCCTTTCCTTCGCCCCCCCCAAAACATCGCATGGCCGAAAAGTAGCGTCGTGACGACACGGTCCCTTGCCCCCCCCCTACCTTAACCTCCACCGCATACTAGATCCCACTCACTGCTCATCCAGCTTCGGCTAGTGCCATAGTCAGGCACTGTTCATGCTCCACCTTCTGTCATCGTCTCCCTTTCGCGCGATATGCAATCTGATCTCCTCCTAGCATCCCTCTGAGCCGCCCCTCTCACTTTCCAACACGGCGTCACGAGTCTATTGCCTCTCGCGGGAGATCATCGACGTCGGCTCCATTAGTCCTCGCCCACACCTTTCTCGACTTTGCATAGCTATTGGGAATAGGGAAGGAGGAGGCTTCGTCAAGAGGTTTTAGGCAGGGACAGGTCCTGCGACACGCCATTGCGCTTTTGAGGAGTCCCGGACTTTGGTGGCTATTGACATCCATCTCACCCATGCAGTGAGAAAAAGCCGATACCGCGCCGTTCTTACCTCGCCTTTATTCTCGCGCCATCCTTCCCCCACAACTCGAGTCTTACCACATACCACTTACTGCTCGACCTGCCTAATGATTTATCGCTATTGAGACGAGGTTTCCTTTTATTCTTCCGACCTCCCTTGCACAGGCACTATCTTCTATCAGATCCACCTAGGATTGCGGGCTTCACCCTCCCTTTGGATGAAATCCCAGAGAAACCATGTCGCCATCTACCGCTCACATATCGAGCCAACTGCGGCAATTGATATATTATCACCTCGATAACAACTTGGTGCGAAACGCGCTATTCCTGGCCGGCCGGTTGCACGCATACGAGCCTCGCGCATCCGAAGCGTCCTATTTACTCGCTTTGTGCCATCTCCAAAACGGCCAGGTCAAAGCCGCATACGATTATAGCAAAAACTTTGGATCACGAGGGACGCATCTTGGTTGCGCGTATGTATTCGCGCAAGCTTGCCTGGATCTGGGCAAATACCTTGACGGCATCACGGCGCTGGAACGAAGCAAAAGCCACTGGGCTTCCAAAAATCATTGGAGTGAGCTTGCTTGAGCCCCCCCCCCCCCCCCTCTCCCTGTTGCATGGTCTTACCACGTGCGATGATATTCGGGATGGGCTGACCTTTGTTTTCAACGAACCTCTTTAGACAAGCATAGCGAGACGCGCAGACAACATCTTCCGGATGCGGCAGCAGTTCTATGCTTACTGGGTAAGCTGTGGCATGCTCACAAGCAAAATAACAAGGCGGTAGAATGCTATGTCGAGTCGCTGAAGTTGAATCCGTTCATGTGGGACGCGTTTCTGGGCCTCTGCGAAACTGGTGAGTGACGGAGTCTGCAACTGATTGGGGCGTCACTTGCTGATTAGTTTACAAAGGGGTCAATATCAGAGTCCCTAATATCTTCAAGATGAATCCAGAGTTTCATGCCTTAGTATCATCTTCGTCGCAAGAGGATCTGGATATACCTTCTGAGAAGACGATACATACTAGCGGTCCCCTGCAACCGCAAGCTAAAGCGAACTCGAGCATGGATCCATTCACATCATTAACGTCTCGAAGCGACACTGCAGCCACACATGGCAGTTCAGCGCTTTGGGAAAAGCTAAATGGCAGCACAGTCAGCGTCGCTTCAGCAGGGTCCGGCACGGCTCCGGCAGTCCGGGAGGGCACTGAGACTCCCGGAGGTCAGACTAGTGAGTCGGACGAGATTCGTGGGCTCAATAGGACAGGTAGCGGCGAAGGCAAGTGGGACCCGCCCCTGGCGCCTGCTCGGAAGAACAGGACGATTCACGCAATTGGCGTCGACCATACGATGGACTCGCCACCAAAGATGAAACCGACCGGGATCCGGCCACGGACGCGGACACGCGTTGAACCAGAAGAGCAGAACGGCTCACATCCAGATAAAGACGCCGTCAACGGCGCTCGTGTGGGCGATCGCAAACGAAATGTTTCAGGCCAAGTGGCTCACCCTTCCTTGTTGCCGCCTTCCGAGCCAGGGGCACCGCAACGGCGGAGCGTTCGACTCTTCAATCAGATCAAACCCACAACTAGTAAATTAGCTAATACGACTCTTGGGGCCAAGGATGGTAGGGAGCTCAAGAAGGTCAAGGCCACCAGCACTAAGAGTCGCACCGCCGCAGGCGCAAATCTCAATCGTGTTGTGAGCGGTTCCCGGAAACAACTTAATGAAATTCACGACGGTGAAGTTAGGGAGCATCGATCAGGGACGTCGGCGTCGAATGGCGTGCATCATCCTCCTGCGAAAGGAACGCTCCTAGAAAGGTCAAAGGCGATGGAGGCTCTGAACTGGCTGCTAGAGCTCTTCTCGAAGCTCGCCTCGGGCTATTTCGCCCTCTGCCGTTACAAGTGCCCCGAAGCCATTCAAATATACACAGCCTTGTCTCAAGGGCAGCGAGAGACCCCTTGGGTGCTTTCGCAGATTGGGAGGGCATATTACGAGCAAGCCATGTACTCAGAAGCGGAGAAGTACTTTGCTCGGGTCAAGGCCATGGCACCGGCGAGGCTAGAGGATATGGAAATCTATTCGACTGTCTTGTGGCATCTCAAGAGCGATGTGGAACTGGCATACCTGGCTCATGAGCTTATGGAAATCGATCGCCTCTCACCTCAGGCCTGGTGTGCTGTGGGTAACTCTTTTTCTCATCAACGTGATCATGATCAAGCCTTGAAGTGCTTCAAGCGTGCGACGCAGTTGGATCCTCATTTTGCCTATGGATTCACTCTACAGGGACACGAATATGTGGCCAACGAGGAATACGACAAAGCTCTGGATGCGTACCGGCATGGGATCAGTGCCGACAATCGGCACTATAATGCCTGGTACGGGTTAGGAACGGTATATGATAAGATGGGTAAGCTTGATTTTGCCGAGCAACACTTCCGCAACGCGGCCACGATCAACCCGACCAACGCTGTGCTCATTTGCTGTATCGGTCTGGTCTTGGAGAAAATGAACAACCCCAAGGCGGCGCTCGTCCAGTACGGTCGTGCTTGTTCTTTGGCTCCTCATTCGGTCCTTGCTCGCTTCCGCAAGGCCCGTGTGTTGATGAAGCTCCAGGAGCTCAAGCTAGCGCTGGCAGAGCTCAAGGTCCTCAAAGACATGGCTCCCGATGAAGCCAATGTTCACTATCTTCTGGGCAAACTCTACAAGATGCTACATGAGAAAGCAAATGCCATCAAACATTTCACGACCGCCTTGAACTTGGATCCAAAGGTATGTATCTCGTGCCCCTGCTCGTGCATTGGCACGACTAATCTGGTTTGCTGTAGGCGGCACAATACATCAAGGACGCTATGGAATCCTTGGATGACGATGACGAAGACGACGAGGATATTGCATGATTGTACCATTGCCGCTGCTGTTTCTGAATTACTCTCATTTCCATCATTGTACCTTGTTAGCCTTGTCCTTCAGCCTGCAGTTGTTTTTCTCCGAGCCCAAATTGTGGCGTGGGATCATCATTGGCGAGGGTCGGCGTTTGTCTTTTCCTGGATCAAAATTCGTGCAAGCTTCAGCATTCTATGGGCGTTTGCCGGTGGGTTAGTTGGTTAGAGGGCATCTTCCTGCATCGGGGATCTCGACGGGTGTTTTCGAGGCTCCTGGATATTGTATCTTAGCTTGGAGGGAATTGTGGTTGAACTGTGAAAGAAGTGATAGAACCACCAGTTAGTTGATTGGGGGTTCTGTGAACATAATGGGGGCACGACGAAAGTATTCTTATGGTGGTGAAGTTATTATTATTATTATGATGTGCTATCCTAGTATCATAGACTCATAGGTAGTTATAGTAAGTACGTAGTTTGAAACCCTTGAGCCTCGGCATCTCCACCGCAGGCAGGGTCAAAGGCGGTGAGCGAGGCCCAAAGTCAAAAAAAAAAAAAACCCGACGGGAAACTGAATTGAATCGAGTTGTTGAGTCTTTCGCCTTCCTCTGGTTGATTTTCCCCACATTCGATCTTGTTCCTGGATCGAAGTATCCCGTGATTCTTCTCTCTCTCTCTGACTCGACTGTGATCCATTGAATTCTGCATCTTCCTTTCCCTGTTTCCTTCCCCAATGCTGGTTTAACTTCTCTTCCCGGAACTCTCGCCTGACCTCATCATCCAACCCTCCACCTCCTCCCCCTCCAGCAGTTCCTTCCCCAGCCGTTTTGTTAGGTTCGTTGAACGCGCCCCCTCCCTCCCTCCTCCTCCCCCCCCATCATCAGGGCCAAGAAGAAAATGATATCTCCCCCTTTTTTTTTCTTTGCATATCATCGCTCTCCTTCCACTGATCTGAACGCCCCTAAAACTTTCGTCTGACTCAATCTTCCTAATGCAGAACCATAGTCTTAATTCCGACCAGCCGTCTTCCTCTCTCCGTCTCGTCATGTCCTTCTTCTCCTATGTTGCCTCGGGCATCAGCTCGTTTGTAGTCGTCACACTTTCGCTCTTCGCTCTCGGCCAGAAAGTCCCTCGCGCCGCATTTGTTGCTCGCTGTTTAGCAGCCTATGGCTCGCTTCTCCTTTGCGCCACCTACGGCGTAGTGGCCTCGATCGTCTTGCGCCTGGTCGGCTACGGCCGTATCTCGCAATGGGCCACGGCGCGCAGTTTCAAGTGGGTGATGCGGTATACGACGGGGGTACAGTTCGATATCGTTGAAGGTGCCGAGCACCTCTCGACTCGCCCGGCTGTGTTCATCTCCAACCACCAGTCCGAGCTGGACGTGCTCATGCTGGGTGCCATCTTCCCTCCCTACTGCAGTGTTACGGCCAAGAAGTCGCTCCGCTATGTCCCCTTCCTCGGCTGGTTCATGGCTCTGTCCCGGACGGTCTTCATTGACCGTGCCAACCGCGAAACCGCTGTCAAGGCGTTCGACAGCGCCGCTGCCGAGATGCGCCAGCACCGCCAGAGCGTCTTCATCTTCCCCGAGGGTACCAGAAGCTACTCAGACAAGCCTGAGTTGCTGCCCTTCAAGAAGGGTGCATTCCATTTGGCTGTCAAGGCTGGTGTGCCAATCGTCCCCGTCGTCACGGAGAACTACTCCCACGTCCTGTCCCCTCGCAACATGAGGTTCAATGCGGGGACCATCAAGATCAAGGGTGCGTGGTCTGATTTTCTCAACAAGTCTTCTGTGGATCTATAGCTTTAGTGGGTGACTAACACACATATAGTTCTTCCTCCGATCAGCACCGAGGGCCTGACCCCCGCCGATGTCGACAGTCTTACCAAGTCTACGCAGGCGTCCATGCTCAAGACTCTTCTTGAACTGTCCGAGAAGGACAAGGTGGCGGTGGATTCTGCTGTCGCCAATGGCACCTCCACCGCCCTCGAGATCTAGATCTCTTGTCATGACGATAAAACTACTATCACGATTGACCACGACCAAGAAGCGCACCTGCATCCGAAACCCCTTGTAAATCGCTGATATCCTATGCCCGCGGCTTTCTCATTACTATATCTTTTTTTACGATTCCACGCCCTCAACCGATGATATCATGCAATCGCTCACTGCGCCTAATGTTGACGGCGCTGGCTTGGGTGACCGCTCCAGACTAGAAGAGTTTTTTTCTTCTCGCTCCCTATGTATCCTCACCGTCTCACGCGTCAATATCATATCCTCTGTCTCTTGCCATTGATCTTTATTCTTGTGTCGGAGCAATGCCGCTTTCGCTTTTCTGAAAGGCCTCTTGGAACCTAACCTTGGGGGGAAAGGACGATTGACGGAAATGGTTGGCTAAGGCAGAAGAAGGACGCCACGCATTCAGGGGGTAGAGGACTCCTAGAACTGAGTGGTATTCCAGGCACTTTGTATTCATAGACTGAGACCTTTCCTTCTAGAGTGTATATAGAATTATTACCGCTCTCTGGTTGAGGTTGCCTGGTATAGTACTTTCGACTGTAATGTCATGTCTCACGACCGAATTCAGTCCAGACAGCGACACCTCCCTTCCGCACAAGGCTGGATGTCTCGTTCAATATCGATTTCCCGCAACGGCTCCCACGTATCTTGAGCGCCCGTGTCGCTCCTCGCCCCAATGCCTGCCCCTCTGGCCGCTGTCGCAATCAAATAATTTGTCTCGAATGCCACGATCTCCAACCTCACATCCTCCACCGGTTTCTTGTTCAATGTCGTCCGCACCCCGGTGAACGGCTCTCCTACCCGCGCCTGACCCGGGCCCTGATCCTGCAGCAGCGGCTCCGGCGGGACCACCTCCGCAAACTCCAACTGCCGAAGCCACGGCGCCAGCAGCGCCTCCCCGGTCATTTTGATATATGCCTCCTTGAGCGCCCAGTACGCGTAGAACCCCCGGTACCGGTACTCGATCTCCCGGCTTGCTGCTGCTGCTGCTGCTCCTCCTCCTCCTGCTGCCTCATTGACGACGGACGATGTGTGCCGCAGATGCAGATTCTTGATGGCGGCGATCTCGTCCGGCGAGAATACCTCGGCGAAGATGTCCACATAGTCGTTGAAGGTTCTGACTGGGTCGTCGTCCTGAGCGGCGTTGCGGGCCGAGGGTTGCCGCTCGTTGGTGCAGGTTATGTCTATTCCGACCTGTGGGATTGTTTCTCGTGGGTTGTTGTTGTTGTTGTTGTTGTTGTCTGTAGTAGCTGTGGCCGTGGCTTTGGGATTGGGATTGGGATTGGGATTGGGATTTGACAGAGGGAGGGTCGTCCCCGCCAGCGCAACGAGGGAGGCTTGGTGGCTCACGTTGAATTCAACGCTAGGGAGGATCTTCTTCTTGTTGTTGCTACTACCATACTCGGCGAGGAGAGCGGGGCTGGGGATAAAGCAGGGCCGGCGGTGCGGGGCGGCCGTGCGGCTGAGCGTGATCTTGTCCCAGGGGATGCGGCAGCTGCGGTGGATGAAGAGGTATTTGAGGAGGTTGGAGGCCAGCGACATGTGCTTGTCTTTCAGGTGGTAGTAGCGCAGGATGGCGGTTTGGTCCTCCGGTTGCAGGGTGGCCAGGAGGGGGAGGTTGGCGGGGTCGTTGGTGGCTGTTAGTGGGCGCGTGTCGATGTACCATCGTGTTAGGTTTGTTGGAGTGGGGTTGCCGGCATCATTGGAGGGGCTGATGGCGATGGTCATTGTGTCGGGCTTTGTGGGTAGTTTGTCTGCAGGTGGTGGTGGTGGTGGTGGTGGTGGTGGTGAGATTTGGTTTATTTTGGGGGCGAGCGTGATCAGTGGAGGTATACGGAGTACTATCGGCACTCTAGTGGGATGGTGGATGGCAGAGTCGATGGAGGAGTGACTGGGGTTCACTCTTGCGATGATGTGCGCAATTGCATGGAAATCCTCTGACTACCTGCACTTGTTCGAGTAGAGGCTGAAAGAGTAGAGGCTGAAGATTATGTTCGATCTCAGGGCCCAGTGGATGCACAGCTAACAATGCGATCTCGAGCTGAATCGCAAATTGCCCGATTGGGTATGCCGGCCTGCGGGGATATCACGTGGTGATAAGCACGGCCCGACTGTTAATCCAGGCCCCCATGCTGGGGTTTCCCGCGGCAATTGATGATGATTGATTGCACTGATTGCACTGACTCAAGTGGCAGTGGCGCTCCAACTGCCAGTTTTCTACAATACTAACTTTCTACACACTCCAGTCGCCACAATGAGCAATATCACCGTCGGAGTTCTTGCTCTGCAAGGAGCGTTCTACGAGCATGTCCAGCTACTAAAACAGGCTGCAGCCAATGCAGCGCCCAATGACAATGTCTCCAAAGCGCAATGGGAATTCATCGAGGTCCGCACCCCGCAGGAATTGGCCCGCTGTGATGCGCTCGTTCTGCCTGGCGGCGAAAGCACCACAATGTCCCTCGTTGCCGCGAGGTCCAATCTTCTGGAGCCCCTGAGGGATTTCGTCAAGTATGTCTCCAGTGTCGTCGTCCCTTTGATGGCATGCCGGAACTCGTTGCATGGCTTGTGACTAACATTCCCCTTACCTCTAGAGTTCACCGGAGGCCAACCTGGGGCACATGCGCCGGTCTGATCCTCCTCGCCGAGTCGGCAAACCGAACGAAGAAAGGCGGTCAAGAATTGATTGGGGGTCTCGATGTGCGCGTGAACAGAAACCATTTCGGCCGGCAAACAGAAAGTTTCCAGGCGCCATTAGATTTGCCCTTCTTGGGGCCGGACGAGCCCCCTTTCCCCGCCGTTTTCATTCGGGCCCCCGTGGTCGAGAAACTTCTGCCACACCAAGAAGGTATCCAAGTGGCTGAGGCCAAACTAGATGACACCGTCGTGGCACCTTCCCGACATGCAGAGAGCGAGGCGGCTCTGGCCGTCATGGAGGATCATGTGCAGGTGCTGGCCACTCTGCCTGCAAAAGCTGCCAAGGTAGCATGCGAAGGGGCGCAGGCCAGGCCCCACGAGGAGACGGGTGACATCATTGCTGTCAAGCAAGGCAATGTCTTCGGAACAAGTTTCCACCCAGAATTGACGGCAGACGGCAGGATCCATCTGTGGTGGTTGCGCCAGGTCGAAGAGTCGGTTAGAAAGCGAAACTAAAAGCATTGAGAGATGTTTTGCATGAATGAAATGCCATTGAGCATCGTTCTTCGCCGCCGCGTGAGGTATTGGAACGAGGTAGTCTCTTGTTTACACGAAGCGATAGAAGTATTTGTACACAAACGCCGTTTTTGCGCCGACCAGAATGATGGAACCCTCGTTGCTTTCTACCTACCTTTACCGTACTCCTCTTCCTCGCGCCGTCGCTGGTCGTCCGCATATGCCCGACCATAGCCACCGCGACCGGGGTCATACTCTTCGCGATATTCGTCACGAACCTGGCCACCGGACTTTCCGCGACTGTCCAAATATCAGTACCGTGTGGGGGCAAGGATGATTGACTCGAGGTTCGTACCCGTATTGTCGTCCCTCTTCAAAACCGGGATCCAAATCCGTCCGGATAATTCTCTCATCGAGCTTGGTGCCTCCAATGTATTTCAGGCAGTCCAAAGCATCCTGATGGGTGTAGTATTCGACGAAACAGAATCCGCAAGGGGTCTTGTTGAAGCGATCGAGCCCCATCACGAGACGTTTGATCTCTCCGCACCTGCAGCTGGGTCAGTTCCTGGCAAGTGATTTGTTTTGGGGACGGTTGCTGACTTTGCGAAGAGCTCATGGATTTGTTCTTCTGTTGTGTAGAAGGAACTGTAGCAGTCAGCATCGACTAACAGCGGACCTCGCGGAGGGTCTATCCAGCATCCAAGCACATACAGGTTGCCGACATAGAGGGTTGTGGCATTCTTCAGATGGTCAAAAGGATCCTCCTGCCGCTCGGGTCCGTCATCACTGTACTTGCGTTTCTTGTTCTAGACAGATTATGAAAGAGTCAATAACAACGTCCGTCATTATTGAGGCGCAGCTGTACCTTTCCCGCATAGTAGGCACTGGGACGATCCAGCCTCTCCACGGTGTTGTGCAAAGGAGTGCTCATTTTGCCGGGATTTGCGCACTGAATTCAGGATTAGAATCCCAATTGCCGCAAGAGATTGAGGCGAGGTCGCAGGTAGATGAAGCGAAAGGAAGACGGGGAAGGGGAGCGATGATGGAATGGGAAACTCTTGGCGCGCGTCTGCGGTGAATTTTGCCCGGGCGGTGCTGAAGCTGCTGCTTCCCGAGTTCGTTGTTGCTGCTGCTTCCGCTCTACATTGAACTACACCTTTTTTTACCCTTCCTTCAATCCCTCTATCTCATTCCAGTACGAATTCGTCGCGGCATGGACCTGTGATATAATTCCATTTCAAAGTCTGCTTGGAACAATTCGAACCATGCCCAAAGTCATCAGCTTCACACCTCCCTGGCTTTCGCGCCCTTCACCCGGCGCCTCGATTTTCTTGAATGCAGGCACCAAACACCCCGAGACCTCCCTCACAACCAAAAATCAGCAGTATGCGGGGCCTAAGCGCATTCAGGCGAAGAGAGGGAACGAGCTGTTCACAGTGGTGAATAACCAGATTCGTTGGTCGGACCTCACCCGAGTTAAGGACGAATGGCAGCATCAGACACGACGTAAGAATGGCAGCTCGGACACCCAACCAGAGAGCGAGAAGAGTGTGCATTACAAGGTAAACAAGATGTAATTGTCGCATACCGGAAAACTACTAATGCGCGCAGATTCTGTTGACACCGGTCCACGAAAATATTCGCCAACTTATACCATCCCCAAACGGCGCTTTCCTGGCTATTGTGGCCGACCATACAGTCTTCATTGCAGTTCTTCCAGACCCGTCGCACCTGGCCGGTACCGACACTTCGCCCATTCGCATCAAAACCTACCAGCTCGGACCGACCACGCACGTCATTCCTGAGTCTCCTGTTGTTTCCGCACTATGGCACCCACTGGGGCTTCACAGTAACTTGGCTGGCTGTCTGGTGACGGTTACTGAGGACGCTGCGGTTAGAGTGTGGGAGATTGACCGTAACAACCACTGGTCATTCGATCGACCGACATTGGCGGTGGACTTGAGGAAATTGATTGATGGAACCTCATGCGACCAGGATTACGCACCCTCTGGCTTCGGAAGGAATAAGGGGTTCTCGGCAGACTACATCGATATGGAAGTAGCTTCTGCTGCCTTTGGCGGGACCGGCACTGCTAAAGAGGATGCCTGGGCCCCCATGACCCTTTGGGTTGCGATGCGGCCCGGCGACCTATACGCTCTGTGCCCTTTGCTCCCCACTAAGTGGAGAGCGCCTTTAACAACTGTTCCAGCGCTCTCTACAGCTATTCTTCCAAAGCTTGCGAGCTTGCAAGAGGATCCTGCGGAATATGAGGATGAACTCGCGGCGTGCCGCCAACAATTTGACTGGCTCACAGAAATCGATAACCAGGAGCCACTGCTCACCAATGTGGATGCTGACTATGAAGTCCGGACACGCCCCGCAGCCCCCAGCGCCATCCCAAAGATGCAGGGTCCCTTCCGTTTTGATACTGGTGATGAGATTGACGACCTTGATCTTTGCGATATCCTTGTCGTCGCGGCCAGGGCTGACCTCGATGCTCTCATGGTGGGTGAGGAGGTCGACCTGGTGGAAGCCGAAGGGAAGGATAGGTTGTCGGCCACCGTAATCTGCTTATCAAGTGGAAGTGGCAGAATTTACGTTTGCCTGGAGCTTGACGGGGTTGAAGGGCAGTGGCTTCCCAAGGGCAGACAGAATGTTTTCCGCACGCCGGTATCTGATCCATGTGATCTACTTCTGGTGGAGTCGTTGGATACTGTGAAGACGCAGGCGGACCACTGGCCGACATTCACGAAGGATGTTTATTCCCGCTACAACTTCTTTGTCACCACGGCGACCAATGTGACGTTCTTCTCACTTAGTTCCTGGGTGCAGAGATTAGATGCCGAGTTGCAGTCGGAAGACGCTACTGGAAGTGCCTTCCGCCTGCAAGTCCTCTGCGAAGGCACCGCGTCTCTGCGAGAGCAGCTCATCGAGGTCGACGATAATGTTGGGGAGGACAAGGACCACACCGCCCATTTGCCAGCTTCTTTGGTTTACTACGACTACGACTTGGGATATCTCCTTCTGACATCCCGTGGCTCGGTTCCATATGCAGCAATTCTGGATGCCCCGGAGGTCCCCTTGCCTTCGATCGGCGAGTTGCAGATTTTCGACTCGCAAAGCCAAGGACCTCGTTCGCCTGTGTTGCCCCCTCGCCGCCCTCCCTATCAAGTGCCACCCATCTTCTACTCGGAATCACCCTTAGATTCTTTTGTAGACAAACATGTTCCGCATCGCCAGCGGCAAGCACTCAAGGAACAAGTCCGCCTATCGCCTGCAACCCTTGATCTGGTTGCTGCAGCCCATCGAAGCCTGTCTGCGCATACAAACGCGCTGGAGAGGGCTGCTTCTGATTTGTTTCGCCGGTGCGAACGTTTGCAGGGTGAAATGCGCGACCAACTCAAGCAATTGGCTGATGTCGCGGATCGGGTCAGGGGTGTTTCCAGTGAGCTTGGTGAGGACGGCAAGCGGATCGAGGGCTCTCGGAATGCGGAGGCCTTGGATAAGAGACTCCAGGCCGCGAAGGATCGACAGGCCGAACTTGTGCAAAGATATGAGGCGCTCCGGAGTAAGGTAATGAAGTCGGGTGGACGACCCCTGAGCGACAAAGAAAAGGCATGGTTCCAGGAGGTGGAACGACTTTGTGAGTCGTTCGGTGACTCAGCACGGGACTCGCAACCGGGCCAGGAAAGCCGCCAAGCTATTGCTCAACGCCTCGAAACTGTAAGTGCTTTATATGTATCTGTCAGGCTGATACCAGATTAACAAGACTATCGCAGGCCAAGGACATTGCACGCGACATGCTTGCCGAAGCGAAGTCGGTTGCTGCTAGGCTGCCTGCTCTCGACACCAGCAGTCCAGCTTCAGCGCAGCCGACGATTCCCTACCGACTTCAGCGAACGAAGGTTGGGGAGGCGATGAGAATGGTGGAACGAGAGTAAGTGATGCATCGTTATTCTACCAATTTCGTTACTAAAGCAGTTTAGGTCCGCGATTATCGAATCGATCACCTCTCGGCTCGACCGGCTCAACACCACCATCTGACCTTACGTGTTTGATGTTTAGATGAACCTCTTGAGTGACTAGTTATGTTGTATATTTATTTCGCAACATTCACGGATCTCTTGATTGTTGCAAAAGACTTCCTTTTTTTTTCTATTCATTCTACAAGTACGGGGCTGTTTCACACGCCGCACAACCGTAGCGAGATTGGACTTACCTCAATCAAGCACGACAATTGACCGGGCTTGAATCGTACTAATTGTACGGGGACGGGCCATGCCCAAGATGGCTTCCCGCAATCTCTCTTGACGCACGCTATTTGCGGTGCCATGAGTTCGTCGCCGTGCGACCGGATCGTTGTGGTCCTCGTTTCCCTCGGTGGTTCTTGGGCCACCGTCTCCTACGGCCACCACCTTTCTGCTGACTTTTCTTCTCATGATCAGTAGTAGTAGTAGTAGCACTAGACTCAGCCTTACCTTCCGTCTTCTTGTTACAAGCAGTAGACTTAGCCTTACCTTCAGTCTTCTTGTTACAAGCAGTAGATTCAGCCTTACCTTCCGTCTTCTTGTCACATTTATCATGATCGTACATGATCAACCCGGACTGCTCCAAACTTGCCTAGGCGTCGGGCTCGGCATCGGGCCCCGTATTTCCCAGCAACTCGAAATTCACGGAGCTGTGGACGTCCCTCGGGATACGGGCAATCTCAACGGGCTCCTCGCTCAATCGCCGACACAGCTCGCAGGGCTCGGACATGGTGTTTGCGCAGCGCTCCATGACGACGCCGGGACACTCGTCTGTGTCTGAGTGCTCACAGCGGACGGTTGTCTCACGGGCAATGCAGCCGCAGCTGTGGGCTAGAACCGTGGACTGACACATTTGGTTTTTGCCTTGGTTTTGCCGTGAGTGGGTTGGTTGTGTTGGTGGAGTTCGAATTGACTGTGAAAGGAGAGGTGTTTTATAGTGGTGGTTGAGTGCTATGTTGGGGATGGATAGGGGAGAGGGACAATGGATGGCGTGTGGCATGTCTTTGTTCAAGGACGGAGGTTTTCTCAAGGTTTCTAGTGATTATCTTTGTTACAAGGTGTTGGGGAGTGGAATTTGTTTAGGTTGAGAGTGATGGACTATGAAGAACTTCAGGAGTTTGGGGAGGATCTCCTCCGGTGATTTAGGGTTGAGTGTTCACGTGAGGGGAGGATCTTCAGTTGGTGGTCCGGGGGCGGGGGGAGGGGTTGGTTTCTGTGGGATGAATTTAGATAGGCTGGTTGCACTCTTGTTCTGAGTTCTGTATGGATCTTGTTTGATTGTTGTATTTTGCTCTTGAAGAGATGTTGATGTGGGCTGGAAGATGTGTTCTGCTGTAGGTTACTGCACTGTGATGACATATACTACTGTGTCTCTCGGGACATCCTCGTGCTAAGTTCATGTTTGTAGATAACACCACAACCCCCTCTTCTTCTTACTTTCACTGTAAATAACGGAAACATAACCCATCCTACTTACATCCACCACCAACATCTAGATTTCCTCTTCCCCTAAGAGTACTCTCTCCTCCCCTCCCCCAAAACAACAATCTCCTCTCCCTCCAACTCAACAGCATCCCCAACAGCCTCCCAAACCTCCCCGACCACCTGCTCAAAAGAAGGCACCACCAACAACGGAATCCGATTCTCCCACCGCATCATCTCCTGCACAAACACCGCCTCCCACCACCGCTTAAATTGCCGCCGATCCATCTCCGGCATCGCTGTTTCGGGCTGGGCATTGCTGCTGTTGCTGCCATCAGCACCATGCCCACCATCATGTCCCTTCCCCGGAACCAAACACTCCTCAACAGCCCGTACAGCCTCCCGGTACGGCTGATAGACCTTCGCAAGATACCAATCCAGTAAGGCAGTGTAGCGCGTTGCGTACGCGGTGTATGCGGCTTCGTCGATGTGGAAGCGCAGCGCGCAGCAAGGGATCTTCGCGGTGGGTGCGAGTGTCGGGTCGCCCGGGATGTAGTCGCGGCGCCAGTTGAAGAGACGGTCGATGCTTTGAGTGTGGGTTATTTGGGCGGGGATATTGTTGGGAGTTGTTGTACGGGCTGGGGGGTTTGGGGGGTTTGTCTGGGGGAGGGTGGTTGCTGTGGGATTGGTAGTAGGTGTTGGTGTTGCTGGGATGGTCGTGGTAGCGGTAGGAATTGGTGCTGTAGCTGTAGCAGTAGCGGTTGTTGTAGATATGACTGCTGTGGTTGTTGTAGCTGCAGTTGCAGCTGTTGCTGTGGGGCCTGTGGCTGTGGTTGTAGTTGTGGAGGAGGAGGATGAGGTGGAGGGATCGCTGCTGCTGCTGATCGTCTTCACAACAGTCGGACAGAGAGCTTTGTAACGCTGAGCGAAGCAGAGTTCAACATAGCGTTGGGTGCGCAGACTGTGGTAGGCGTGATTGTAGCATGTTCCGAGCAGGTGGCGGGTGGTCGCGGGGAGGATCGTGAGGAGCCATTTGGGGGGCTGCAGGATGCGGTTGTCCCAGTGGATGCGGCCCGGGGGTGGATCGAGAATGCGCGTTGAGAGGTAGGACATTTTCTGGTGGGTCTTTATTTGTGTCTGGTGGAGATAGATGGGTAGGAGATGGTTCTGATAAGGTTTGATGGTGTAGTTGAGCTGGAGAGGTAGGGAATTGAGATGGTTGACAGTGAGGTGAGGGTGTGGAGGAGAAGGCGAATGGATTGATAAAGAGAAGGTAGAGAGTAGACATGGAGGATTTCTTCACTGATTCAAGTGAATATTCACACCTACTGTTTACTAAAGTGACGGCATAGCCCAATAGCATCATCACCGCGTCTTTCCATCCCAACCGTGACTATAATATGACTCAGTGTACGTAATGTCCATGAAATTAAATCTGAAGCGCGCGACACATGCATCAAATGCATCTTATGTTATGAAGTGGTATATAATCCTTCCAACTAGTATAATAGCTAGGATTTCATTCATCCTTTACTGAACGCTAGACACGACCATTAGCATCCCCGACACAAACATCAGCTTGCAACATACCGTTCAATCAAATGAACTCCAGACGCGGTCTCAACGATTCCGCTGACCTGTCCCGGCTGCAGCGCGAAAGCTGCCTCCTCGAACTCCTTCTGCATCTCACCGCGTCCGAAAAACCCGCTAGAAACACATTAGCCTCGGAACAAACACAACAATCCCTACAAAGCGTACAGATCACCCCGCTTGCGGGCACTGCTGCAGTCCGACTCTGACATAGCGATGTCGCCCAACGTAGCCTCCCCCGACTGAATGCGCTGCTCATGGCCGCGGAGGATCTCGATAGCCTCCTCTTTCGACCGAGTGATATCGGCTTCCCTCCAGCTGCTGGGCCGTCTGCTGTCCCGGTGCTTCACCAAGAGATGACTGCAGCGAATCTTTCCCTCTCCCTGACCGATACCGTGTCCCGCAGGTCCGCTGTGATAGTCGGCCATGTACAGCTTGAGCTTCTCGGTGTTGGTGTCAGCGGGGGGTTCCCATCGGGACTCCTTGGTGCTCGGGTTGAAGTAGTAGGGCAGGTTCTTGGAGTTGGAGTGGCGAACCTCCCACCCTGCTGGAAGACCGGTTTCTACCTGTAGTCACCGATGGAGGTCAGCCGTAAGCTTAGGAAAATGACAGCAGAGCTTAAAAGAAGAGCTCTCAGGAACGGGAATGGATCAATACCATGATGAACGAGTGAGATCTGTGTTCTCTAAGAGGATTCAGAAGTTATTGTTGTAAATCTCTCTGATGTGAGATTGAAAGAGGCTGGAGAAGTAAGCGGGGAGGGTAAGTGTGTATGATATAGTCTTAGTTGGAAATAGTAGTTAGTGGTTTTCTTCTGCAGGTCCGACTGCGGGACAAACTGCGGGGGAAAGACACCCTTGGGGGACCGACACTACGTCCAAACGCTGCAAACAGGATAAACAGTGCAAACTGTCTGGGCCAGGCTGGTGTTGCTTCCGCTCCCCGTCCTCCTCCCCCAACCCAACCCAACGCTTCTTTCATCTTCCATCTTCCATTCCCAGCCATCTTCTTATCTTTCAATCACCATCAATCGTCCGTTTTTCAGCCACTTCTCCACTCTTTTCGGTGGCGTCGCTCGACTCACACTTCTGTTAAGACCACAACAACTCTTCTCCACACACTCTCTTCCTCCAAGTCACTACGTCTCTATCTTTCCTCCACCTTTTCATCCACACACCGAAAAATGTCTGCGAGCCCAGCTTCCTCTACCGGCGGCGAAACCAAGGCCGCCGAGCAGGTTCACTTTCGCTTCTGTCGTGAATGGTATGCGCATCCCTGACCCAACAATATTCTGACTGTACGCTAATTCAAACTCTAGCTCCAACCTGCTCTATCCTAAAGAAGACCGCGTCAGCAACCGTTTGATGTTCACCTGCCGAACCTGTCACGTCGGCGAGCCCGCCACCTCCTACTGCGTCTACCAAAACAAACTCAACAGCCAAGTTGGCGATACTGCTGGTGTCACCACAGATGTGGGATCTGATCCTACGGTTTGTCTCCCGGGTTTTTGTGATCACTGCGGTGAAGAGATTACCTGCTTTGTCTGCGACTCGTCATCGGAGGAGTCATGGTCGGAAGATGACTATGATGACTTCACAATGATCTGAGATCGGACTTGCTTCCCGTCCACGGCCGTTTTCACATAACCTTGGGATCTTGTGGCTAACCCCCACCTCTTTGAATTAGCTTCCCCGGTCCAACAAGCTCTGCCCGAGCTGCGGTGAAGCCGAAGCAGTCTTTTTCCAGTCGCAACAGCGATCTGCGGAAACCGGAATGGTGAGACCTTCTGCCTGCATATCTCCTTTCCGAATATGCCGCTGACTCAAGTTCCTCAGAAACTCTACTATGTATGCTGCGCGTGCGGCAATGTCTTCATGTAATGTCGGAGTTGGATTTTATTTGTGACCTTTCTGATACCCGATGTTGGTCTCTTTGCTTGTTATTTGTCGTGGAGTTATAGCGATGCCTGGGAAAATTTTGCGAGAATCTTGATAGAAGGAGATGCAAACCGTTGATTGATACAAGCTATTTAAGTGAAAAAGGACAATTCGCTTGGGGGAGGTATAATTTACACATGCATGGGTGCCAATGACAAAATTTTCGACCACTGTCTTCCTCGTAATTCCGTAGCCACGACACCTGTAGGTTGTATTAGTCGGGGCCATATCATAACCGTAGCAGAGACTGATGTTCCGGAACTGACCGTTCATTCTGGTTCCAATGGGCTCGCCGGCCTTGTTGATCAGGACACATGCATTATCATCGAACTTGACGATCGAACCATCGGGGCGCTGCAATTCCTTTCTAGCGCGGACAACGACGGCGTGGCGGATGTCACCACGACGGACTTTGTTGGCGATACCGGAGTTTCCTGTAGAGTCGGCACCGAAACTGCGTTGCTTCTGAACGACCACGACGATGCGGTCGCCTATATCGGAGAGGGGACATGATTAGCGACGCCATAGCGAGGGTCGGGGGGTACTCGAGACATACCAACAGTGGCGGGGCGCTTCTTCTTCAAGACCTGGACGCACTCGACCACGGCGGCGCCGGAGTTGTCGATGCAGTTGAGCATCGTCTGTACCTCCACGTCAGCAATCCAGTTCCTGGGTGAAATCAAGCCGGAAAATATCCAAAATATCCGCACATACCTTGAGTTGAATCATTGTGACTGTCTGCCCTGAGATGGCGCTAAGCCGTAGATCGATGGTGTTTCGTAGTTTTGGAGTGGCTCGAACAGCCCGAAAGAATTCCAGCAGCCGCAGCAGCAGCAAAATCCCGGGCCGGCATGTTTCGCCGATGACCGACCCCGGACTGCTTTGCGGCCCTGCATTGGCTCTGCTATAGTCATAGTTATTACTAGGTGGTAGGTTACGGGAGTACTGCGTAGTAGTCAGTGACCTGGAAGCCCCATTGCATGGGCAACCAGCGCTTTGATGTGTGTGTGTAGAGTTCGTTATGTGTGTTATTCGTCCCATTTCACATCCCCATCACCCACCACCATCCACCACCCACCCCCGGTTCTCTTTACATGCGCGCTAACCTTCACTCTAGCCCAACTCATTTCCTTTGTCCATCATGTTATTTACCTTGGGTTTTATGCAAGTCATTCTTTAGTTTTCCCACCCTCCCCCCCCTTTCTAGTATCTCTCCTTCTTGTCCAATTGGCGCTCCCGTACAGATTCCATTTCCACTGGTCTTCTCCGACTTTCCGCCGTTTCCCCTTGACGCATTGACGCTCTCTTTTGCCATTCCACCTCGAGGTCCCTGCCTTGACTTGAGTTCGAGTTTTTCTTTTCTTTTTTTTTTTTTTTTTTCCCCCTCTCACAGGGAATTTTTTCTCCGGCACAGAATATCATGCCGTCCTCAAAATCGAGATCAAGTCCCTCTGACGAGCGTCGCGACCGTTTGACGTTGGCAAGGCTGGCGAGTTACGACGATGTCGCAACCGATGCGCTGGTTGACCGTGTACGTCTACTGACCGTGGATGACTGCTTACGGACTGGTCGTTGACCGAATTGCGTTCTAGGCCCACTTTTGGACGAATACTCGAAAGAACCGGACGAAATACATTCCTCTACGGCGGATCAAGGATGATGAGATCGCCAATACTCTGCTCCACGATGTGATTGTTAAGAAGGATGTAGCCGCCGCCGAGCGAAAATTCCTGGCCATGGACGGACTGAAGCGATTCATGGCGAAGCTGCCGAACGACCGGGAAAAGGAGTGGTTCACCCGACACCTACGCAAATATATTCAAATGTATCTGCCGGATTCCCCCTTTGAGGTCACGACGACGAATCGCTATCTCATCACTGAGCACGAGGCGGCCATCTGCGCCCGTAAGTTCATTAAGCAAGGCGAGGAGATCAAATATCTCAGCGGAACCTTGGTGCCTATGACCCGAGAGGAAGAGCAGGACTTGGATTTGAAGAGGAAGGATTTCAGCATCGTTATGTCGAGCAGGAGGAAGACCCCATCGTTCTTCCTGGGCCCTGCGCGCTTCGCCAACCACGACTGTAACGCCAACGGCCGTCTGGTGACGAGGGGCATGGAAGGCATGCAGGTCGTGGCGATTCGGGACATCTACATTGGCGAGGAGATCACAGTCTCCTACGGAGAAGACTACTTTGGCCTTGACAATTGCGAGTGTCTTTGCCTGACGTGTGAGCGTGCAGTGCGCAACGGGTGGGCGCCTTCCGTGCCAAGCGACGAGGCTGGCTGTGCCGACACTGGCCTTCTCACACCTCGAAAGCGCAAAGGCGCCCCCGACCCCGAATCCGACCTTTCCCCCTCATGCACCCCCCGTAAACGCGCCAAATTTACTCGACAGAACTCGAAGCTGCGATCGGAGCTTCTGCTTTCCGATGCTCCCGCCTCCCCAGAGTCTGTGACTGGTCAATCGTCTGCGAACATCGGCTCCTCAGCAGCCACGACCAGGAATCGGAGGCTGGAACCGAAGAGTGACACCGGTGACGAGCTCGGCACGCAGAGTCCTAACAACACTGACTGCACGTCGCCTAGTTCGCTTGCCGGGGACGACTCCCACCACTCGTCGGCATCTACCGTGGCAACGTCTGTCTGTGAAACCGCTGTTCAAATCAAAGTCGAAGAGACTGTAGAAGCGTCTGTTCGAGACACGGTGCTCATTGGGAAGGACGAACTTGCCACGCCCAGCGCAAGTCAGCCAGACGGAGAGCGACATCACGATGCTCTGTCCGATTTATCCGAGTCCTTGGAGCTAGACGAGAAGCTTGGAACCGTTGTAGACAAACTGAAAAAGACGCGGAAGCGAGAAGTCGTCCCATCGGTTGAGGTTGAATCACCACGCGCTCGAGTCCCCGGAGACTACACCAAAACTCCAAGATTGCTCGCCCAGGCCTATGATCGGTGGGTCGACTGCCGAACTTGTACAGCCTGGTTCGTTCAGCAAGATTCATACCTGACGCGACGCGAGTGTCGCCGGTGCGAACGGCATTCTATGTTGTATGGTTTCCAGTGGCCGAAAACTGACCGGGAGGGCCCCAATGACGACGAAGAACGGGTCATGGATCACCGGGTCATCCACCGATTTTTGTCTCCCGAAGAAGAGGCGCGCATCTCCCGCAAGGATCGCGGTGTCAGTTTTGGGGTGACCCCGACCCCGGAATTGTCTGAGCCACGCACAGAAACAGAAGAGAGCGAGGCGTGCGATGAGCGACGCAGCACGCGAGCCAGCAGACGACGGACCCGGGCAATGCGGATGACCTACTAACGATGGCGATGTTTCAATACTAACTGGTTCTGGTGTTTAATTTTGGGTACGGCGTTTGAGAAACCTGGAGCCATTTTTCTGGGAACCCCAGGCGTTGGATGGTGACGAGCATAAGCGCCTTAACAGCTTTGACTACTTTTGACGGATTTTATCTATGCACATAATCGATTCTTTTGATTCCTTCCATATTCTGGATTCCCTCACCTGCCTCTGGAGTAAAAGGACATTGCTGTACAGTTTTGATCGGCGTTCCGCTTCCGGATTTCCTCAGTTGGATGCTCACAAGGTCTCTTGCAACATCGAGGCCTTTTTGGAATTGAATGATTCTTTCTCCCATTCGCTGGGTCTTGCACCGGCGCGTCATTGCAATGATGCTGATCTTGGTTTCTCCCTCCTTGCTTCCCCGCCAAACTCCTGCACCTCCGCATTTCCGCCATGCCTGCATCACGAAGGAGAATTCAATCGCACCAATGGTAGTCAAGAAGAGCCGTTCTTCCCCGGGTTTTTCATGACACCTGACGGAAGGTCTTTAGCATGTTCCTCCTCCGCATATGCAGGTCAATACAACTTCGGTCTCTATCCACCCGATCAACGATTCCACAGTGCCGCCAAGATGTGCTTATAAGCCTTCCCATTCTCCAACACAATAGCCATGATCTCGCTATACTACTTCTTGATAGAGCTATGCCACTATGATTATGCGACCGATATTCCGCGGGGTCTTGTGCCTCCTCGCCCTGACTGTTTCCGCAACAAGCGCCTACGAAGCGCCTCTTGTCACTCTCGGCTATGGGGTCTTTCAAGGCAGTTATGACGCGACATACAACATTTCCTATTTCCGGAAGATCCCATTTGCAGCACCTCCTACGGGGGACAATCGCTTTCGCGCCCCCCAACCCCCACTGACCATCTCGAATGGCACCTATGACAGTAATCAGGCCTTTGACATGTGCCCCCAACGCACTGTCAATGGTTCTGAGGACTGTCTCTACCTCGGACTTTACTCTCGACCTTGGGATGTTGCTTCGGCGAACCGACCCGTGCTGGTGGTCTTCTACGGCGGCGCCTTCATCGAGGGTAGCGCATCCTTTGGCTTGCCTCCGAACGCGTACCCAACCCTCAACGTCAGTACCCTCAATGACTATATCGTGATTTATCCTAATTACCGCACCAATGCCTTCGGGTTTCTCCCCGGCCAAGCCATCAAAGACTCGTCAACCTCCGACCTTAATCCAGGTCTGCTGGACCAGCAGTACGCTCTGAAATGGGTCCAAAATAACATCTACCACTTTGGCGGCAATCCTAATAATGTGACCATCTGGGGTCAGTCGGCCGGCGGGGGATCTGTCGTCGCACAGATTTTGGCCAACGGCCGCGGCAAGCAGCCCAAGCTCTTCACCAAAGCACTGGCTAGCTCTCCGTTCTGGCCCAAAACCTACGCCTACAATGCTCCGCAAGCCGAAGCCATTTACTCTCAGCTTGTGAACCTCACCGGTTGCGGCAATGAGACAGTCCAAGACTCCCTCCGCTGCCTGAAGACGACCGATGTGCAGACCATCCGGGACGCCAGCCTTGTCATCGATGCCAGCCACACGTACACCACTAGCTCTTACACCTGGGCCCCCGTCATCGACGGCGAGTTCCTCATTGACACCCTCACAGAGGCCACTTCGCGCGGCTCGCTCCCAACGGAGTATATCTGGGGTATGTACAACACCCACGAGGGCGAGAACTTCATTCCTTCTGGCCTAGGCTCGACCACCACCACATCCACGGGGTTCAACTCGTCGCTCGCCAGTTTCGAATCGTGGGTGAAGGGCTTTGTCCCCGGGCTGTCCGCGGACGAGATTGGCCTCTTAGAATCGAAATACTATCCCCAAACCGGCAGCACCGAGACCATCGACGCGTACAACACCACCCTCGTCCGCGCAGGCTTGATATATCGGGATCTGGTCCTCGCTTGTCCCGCCTATTGGGTCGCCTCAACGGCGGGCAAGGACGGATATCTGGGTGAATATACCATTTCGCCCGCCACGCATGGGAGTGATACCGAATGGGTACGTTTCTACGGGTGTTTCTTCATTGGTCCTTTTCTGTTTCAACTACGTCATTCCACCCCCGCATTTCACGAAAATCAAACTCCTTCTAACCTGTCTTAGTGGGACGGAGTCAGCGCCATTCAAAAGACCGATCCTCTCATTTACGATGGCTACGCCGGCGCCTTTGCCAGTTTCTTTCAAACCGGAAACCCCAACGCTCATAAGCTGACGAATGCGTCACAGCCGGGCGTCCCGCTGCTCGGCTCCACGAGTCAGGAGTTTGTCATTGCCGCCGACGGGTTCGAGAATGTGCCCGTGGTTGAATTGAAGGAGAGATGTGCGTTTTGGAGGGAGGTGGCTGCCAGAGTTCCGGTTTAGGTGGATGTGCGGGTCGGGCGTAGGGGTTTAGCTGAGGGGTCATATACTGAGGAGCAGAAAAACGAGTCTCGAGTGACTGAGATCCAGTATTTCGTAGAAAGTAGGAAGTCTATGAAGAGGAAAACTATACAGCTTATAAATACATTTGATCCAATACCGGACCCAGATCTAGTGGATGATGTGTCAATGTAAGGAGAAAGAAAATGACACCCGTCCCCATGCGGAAAAATTATTTGCCTTCGTTGATAGTTGTGATTGTTGTTGTTGCCCATTTTGATGAATCCCCCTTTGGAAAAATAAACGCCAAGCTTTAGTCATGATGCCCAGAGGGAAGAAAAGTGTTGGTAGTAGAAGATGAGAGTAGATTAATGAAACGTCGAAAGTCGAGGAAGGGGCTTAAATCAAAGCCTGACCACGGAACATGGCCTCGCGAACCTCCTTGACGACATCCTTCCGGTCGTTCTTGCCAACCAGCACCACAGCGCGGCCACGCTTGCCCATACGGCCGAGACGGCCCAGACGATGGATGAAGTCGATGGTGGTGCGGGGCACGTCGTACAAGATGACGGTCTTGACGGCGAGGGTGTCGACGCCGCGCGAGGCGATATCGGTCGAGACTAGGACCTGGACCTTGTCAAGACCCTTGTCGGGCACCGCGGTGGCGCCGAAGTCGCCGACGAAGGGGATGGAGCGGTCCTCGCGGCGGCGGCGGGATTCCTCCTGCTTCGCCTTAAGGACCTCCTCGGCGGTCAGGGGCGGCGGGGAATCGGTGAAGGGGGCCAAGATCTCGCGCTCCTTGCGGTCGGTCACGTCGCGGGTGAAGGCCCTGGCATCGATGCCCTTGGACTTGAGGAACTCGGCGACCTCGGTGGCCTCCTCGCGGCGGTTCACAAACACCAGGATGCGCTTGTCCAGCGAGCGGGCCTGGCCGGGGCCCAGTTCCAGGGCGTCGTGGTTGGTGTGGCCGGCTTTGCCGATGGACCAGATGATGTCGGCGCAGGCGAGCGAGCGGTTGCCGTTGTATGGAGGCTTGTGCACGTCAATCACGCCGAGCTGGACGCGGCGCGGGATGGCGTGCAGGCTCGGGGTGGTCAGGCGCTTGATGTCGGGCCAGCGCTTGCGGAGGGTGGCGTCCATGCCACGTGGAATGGTGGCCGAGCAGAGGACGAGCTTGTGAAGGGAGGGAGTGGCCTTGCTGATGATCTCATTAAGGATGGGCGAGAAGGACTTGTCCATGAGACTGTCGGCCTCGTCGAGCACCATGTAGTTGACGCGGCTCAGCACGTACGGTTCCTTCTCGGCGATGGAGGCGAGCAGGTGCGGCGTGGTCACGATGATGTCGACCCCCTTCTCGTTGAAAAGTCCGTTCTTGATGCGACGAGGGGTGAGGTTCGACGCCAGTACAGCTGACCGGAACTTGACCGTGTGCGAGAGGGCCTTGAGCTTGTCCCCCACCTGGAAGGCCAGCTCGGAGGTTGGCACCAAGATGACCATGCGCGGCCGGGCGGCGTTTGACATCGGGGGTTCCTCCGGCTCGATATCATACGCCTTGTTCTTCATCTTCAGCTCCTTCTCCTTTTCTCTCTGCTTTGCTTCCTCCTCCTTCTTCGCGAAGGCAATCTCCGCGGCTTCCAGGCGCTTGAAATTGTCGAGAAGGGGAAGCAGATATGCCAGAGTCTTGCCGGATCCGGTCTCCGCGGCGAGAAGATATTGCTCGTACTTGGCGTCGCTGTTGGGCGGGGATCCGAGTTGCGGAATGGGGTCTTTGAGGAGTTCCGGGATGGCCACCCGCTGGATCGGGGTGGGCATCAGGTCCGTCAGCCCTGGTAGGGCCTGGGAAGAGATGGAATGGTGGATGACTGACATGAGCGGGAAGTGATCGAAGCTGGTGATTTCCGCAATCCTCTCCTTGACCTTGGTGCGCTGCGCATACGAGACCGGCGCTAACGCGGTCTGCATTTTCAAGGCCTTGTACAGAGGGCTTTCCTTCTTATCTTTGTCCTTTCTGCCATCGGTCCGGGGGTCATTGTCTTTCCTTTTGTCCTTGCCCCGTAGCACTTCTCCCTCAGGCACTCGGGTGATGTTCATGCCGCCCCAAGGTCCCTTTCTCTCCCGCGGCGAGCGGGGAGTGATTGTCGACCGGGAGACGTTCGAGGACAGAGCATGGCGACTTGTCTTACCCCGTCGTTCTGATTTGCGTCCCATGCCACGGATGGCCTGCCATCCTGTCAAGGGTGAGGGGGCGAAAAATGTGGAGGGAAGTGTGGTGCGGGTCTGACAGAGCAGGCATACTCTGGGCGGGAGAGGCAGAGATGAACGGCCGAGGCGATTCATCTTGAAGAGGCGCGGGAGGAGAGGGAGGGAGGGGAGAAGATAAAGAGGGAGGAAAAGGGAAGAATAGAAGGAGGAAGAGGGAGGCAGAGGTAGGGGAACAAGGATGGTGGAAATCTCGCGAAGCTGCAAGATAGTACTGAGAATTAACGGAGCGAACAGAAGTGATTCTGCGCCACCACTGGGCGGAGAAGATTCAGCAGCCTCCGGCCCAATCGGGAAGACGCTTGGACCAAGCAGGATGATCCCACGCCAAGGCCTAATTGGGACTAGGGTGATCGTGACCAAGATGCGGCCTCAGGCCATCAGGCATTCACTCAATCAACCGGGAAAGACGTTCAAGTTGCCATAGAAACTGCCGTGACGCTTCCCAAAGATGTCAACATTTATTAGTGACTGCGAATACCCACAATTAATCCACATCCAACTTCCAAGATATTCATCCGAAATCGCGATCGGGATCTTGATTGATTGACACACACGAGCGGTGCCCTGTTCCCTGTTATTAATCGGGCAAACCGCGTCCCATTCAACCCACCCAATCTTTTGTTGTCATTTATTTAGTTTTGTTTCTCGCTTCCCTCTTCTTCTACTTGCGACTACTTTGTTCCATCCATCATTCCCCATTAGTTCAACTTGTCTTCCCTTCCGTTGGCTCGTGGCTGGAATTTTGGGCTGCTGTGCTGTGTTGGGTCATTTTTCCCTTTCTCTTTCTCTTGCTCTTTCGCTTATCGTATCAGCCCGTGGCTTGTGCTTGTTGCTTTTACTGACGTCCTTCGTTTGGTCATTTTCTGGTGGATGAGCTGCATTTCGTGACGCAACTTAATTCATTCTTCAGCTCCACGCGTCGTGCAAACGCCCATCTGAAGAAGGTCCTTCATTCCTGGATTAGCTGGTCGTATTCTTCTTCTCTTCTGCGTATCAGCGTTTGTTTCTATTTGCAGTGGTGTGTGGGTATTCTCTCCCTCCCTCCCTCTCTGCCTCTCTCTCTCTCTCTCTTCCGTCCCATTCAAGGGATGAAAACCTCGTTGCAGGGACCTTGCATTGCTATGTTGTGTTGTTGCATCGACACCTGCTGATTCAGCTGCCAGCGTTGTTTTTCCCTCCCGGCGCCTCATTTCTGCTGCATTCCAGCCTCAACGCCTCTGATTGTGGATTTCCACCCAGGATGAGCAGCAATACCGGGCAAAGTCCGTTATCCGAAGTGAGCCCCATGGCTCAGCGCAGAAATTCCCCTAGCTGGAATCAGACCACCAAGGTGAGTGGCCTTCCGTAGCGGGAAGATGTGAGCCCCCCAGCTGACTGAAAACCCCGTAGATGATGAAAACACACGACGCTTCACCCTATGAAGCTCCGGCTTCACCGCGGCTATTCTGGCAAGGTCGGGAATCAGGATCTCCCTTCCATCGTAGCGCAGAAAACCAAAACCTTTACGACCCTGAGGGTTCGACTTATACTCCAAGGAAGCGCCCATCGTTGGAGAATTTGAAGCGTGCTTCGAGAGTCAAGAACAACAACATGTTCCGCGACCACAATACAGAATACGACCCGACCCAAGTATATGTACCACAGAGACCTCTGGCGCTCAACCGCCAGTCCCAGAGGCAAGCGCCGACTGCACCGCCTGCACATCAGCCCGACGTTCAGGATCAAAGCCCGGCCGGTCCTCGTCCTCCTTCTCCGAGTAAGGATCAGGTCGCGCCGGCCAAGTCATCGCTGTCCCGCGCGAGTCGCTTTGGTTCGAAGGACGCTGCTTTCGACCCGGAGAACGAGATTTGGTCCGATATTGACGGCAGTCGACATGCCAAGAGCGTCACATTCGATGCTGCGCCCCCTCAAGTGAACGAATATGAGATGACAACGCCTGATCCATCATCTATCGCCTCTGGTTCCCGTGAAGGGAGTTATGACTCCGAGGACAATGAGGATGATGCGAGCTTTGACCGGGAATCCTCGCTTGACCGCGACGATAGCTTCGACGCATCGCTGGAAGATCTTGAGAAAACACCAGTCGTCCTGCCGGAAGATTGGCGCTATATGAGCCCCGAGACTGCGGATGGTGAGATCTTGGGAGATGAGGAGGATCATTTCACCGAGGATGACAAGGACCACAGCCCGGTTCCCCGCCCATCTTCCCAACAAGGGCCTCCCGTACAGCACGCGCGTGTCGAGTCAATGGAGTCGAATACTGATCGCCGCCCTCTTCCGCCTCTGCCTCCCTCCAGCCGGCCTCAACTCTCGCAGCGTGGATCGCCGGGAAAGATGACGGCCGCTTTTGAGCTTGGAAGCGGCAACCAGCGCGTTCTTCCCTCTCCACCAGCACCCGCATCGTATAGCAAATCCGAGATTACGGAACGGAACCATGGCCATATGTCTCTGGAAGAACGTTTACATCTGATGATGATTGAGAAGAAGGAGCCGATGACGGAGGAGATCGAAATTGACGGCCCCGAAACACCCAAGGCTCTACCCGAAGAGCCAGAGGAGCCGATTGCGGTCAAGGACGTCCCCGCAGATAAGGAAGCAGATACCCCAGCCGAGGACGACACTGAGGTCTACTCCCCTCCGCGCATCTCGAGGGATTCTATCCTTCGAGATTTGCGGAAGAGCGAAAGTTTCCTCGATGACTCCTTCGAGGATGCTTCTCAGGCGGAGTCTAGTCCCAACCATTACTTTGATTATGACCCGGACGTCCCGATCCCTTCCATGGAGCATGACCATGACGAGAGCCACGACTATGATGACGACGAAGACGACGAGACCAGTAGCGTGATCATCAAGCCTGAAGAGCACGAAGACGACCTTTATGACATTCCGGAGTATTATGAAACGGTGAATTCGGAGCAATCCTCCTCGCAAGGCTTGAAAGATAGGCTGGGAGATGACGACGAAAGTCGCTACTCTAGCCAGCCTCCCGAAGACATCTCCGCTTTGGAAATTGACTCACAAGCCTCTGAGGACAGGCAAGATACCCCAGTTGCAGCCACGCAAACGGAAGAAACGCCGGTAGATGCCTCAATCGAAGCTACAGACGATGAGCTGACCGAGGAGCCAATTGATATGCCCGCCGACGAGTCAATGGATGTGTCTCAAGTTGATTCCGTTGATGAGGAACGGTCAGCTAATAAGATGGCCGCTATGCGAGAGTCCCTCCAGCGTCCAGCGACACCGGAGAGTCAGAATCAAGTATCAGAGCCTTCTACCCCTGATTCTGTTGTTCGACACCCCATTGGCGACGAGCAGAACGATCAAGATGTTTCCTCAGATGAGAGTGTACCAGAGCCGATCGCGACCGTCAAAGCCCCGGGAACTCGCCTCAAGACGCGTCCATCGTTAACCCCAGCTGATCTGGAACAGATGGCAGCGACACGCCGCAAGGTGAGCGGGCATATTCCACCGCCAATGCCATGCCTCACAAAGCAGGACTCCAACGACTCCCAAGGCTCAGCGACTGGCGATGGTGTTCCGTCACTACCCCCACCGCAAGAAAATCAACGACAAAGTAGTCTGGTGAAGCTTGACATCCCATTCAGTATTCAGGAAGAAGATAGCCTCGGATTTGATATGGACAAAGAATTCGATAGAGTCATTGAGTCCCAAAAGGTGGCGTTTGAACTTTCCCTCTCCCAATTGCGTCTCCAAAGTCACAAGCATGGACCATCCCCTCAATTCGTGAATCGCAGACAGTGGACTAACGGCGAGCCCCCAAAACAGAGAGGATACCTTATGCGGCACAACACCAAGGTTATTATTGCGAGCAGTAGCACGGAAGACGACACTGTGCCAACTCCTGGCGAAGATCCTGGTGAGTCTCGGGCTGCGCGCGCTGCACCCACACCGCGCAAGCCCAGCCAACAGACTTGGACCACGGTACCATGGAACGGCCAGACACGCCGAGCAAGTATGAGAACCGCCAGCGGCGTGGTCCGAAAGAAGACTTCTTCAGGGCCGGTACCACCCCTCCCAGGCCAACAGAGCAGCGTTCAAGAACAGCCTTCGACGATGGAAGAGGCGGAGCCTGCTCTGAACGGTGCCCTTGAGGAGGGTGAAGAGCGGGGCCGTCTTTTCGTCAAGGTCGTGGGGATGAAATATCTCGATCTGCCTCTGCCACGAGGTAAGTGATGAGCCTGCTGTTTGCCTCGGGGTTCACTCGTCACTAACAAGACTGTAGGTGAGAGATCGTACTTTGCTCTTACCTTGGACAACGGCCTGCATTGTGTCACCACTTCTTGGTTGGAGCTAGGCAAGACCGCGCCCATCGGGCAGGAATTCGAGCTCATTGTTCAACATGATCTCGAGTTCCAGCTGACCTTGCAGATGAAGGTTGATGAGGAGAAGTTCCGCGTCCCAGAGCCTACTCCTACTGCCTCTCCTAGCCGCCCGAAGACTTCTACCTTCAGCCGTGTGTTTGCTTCTCCGCGTAAGCGCAAGGAGCTTGAGATGAAGCAACAACTTGCCAGCCAGCAAAGCAAGGCCAAAGATATCAATGCTCCTGTATGGGAACGACTGAGGACTTTGGTTGCCAGAGACGGCAGCTTTGCGCGCGCATATGTTTCTCTCAGTGATCATGAGAAGTACGCCTATGGGCGACCTTACACCGTTGATGTCGCTTGCTTCAACGAATGGGCGGTCGAAGAACAACCAAGCAGCGTCAAGAGCAAGAAGAGTACGACAAGTACGACCTCGCAGCGCAGACCTCCTTACAAGATTGGTAAGCTGGAACTCCAGCTGCTGTTTGTTCCCAAGCCCAAGGGCGCCAAGGAGGATGACATGCCCAAGAGCATGAACGCCTGCATTCGGGAAATGCGCGAGGCGGAAAGTGTGTCTTCCCGCAGTTGGGAGGGCTTCCTCTCACAGCAAGGTGGCGACTGTCCGGTAGGTTCCCCTTAAACATCGCTGATGATGAGTTCTGCTAAACTGAGGACACATCTAGTACTGGCGACGCCGCTTCTTCAAGCTCCAGGGATCCAAATTGACCGCCTACCACGAGACCACACGTCAACCACGCGCCACTATTAACCTATCCAAAGCAGTCAAATTGATTGATGACCGGTCATCGTTGATGCAGAAGGAGACCACCACCCGGGGTGGTGGCCGCCGCAAATCTGCTTTTGCCGAAGAAGAGGAAGGGTACATGTTTGTGGAGGAAGGTTTCCGTATTCGCTTCGGGAACGGCGAGGTGATTGACTTCTACGCCGACAGCGCAGCCGACAAGGACGGATGGATGAAGGTCCTGGCAGATGCGGTAGGCAAAGGTTCCTCTGGAAGTAGCCAAGCCAAGCTGTGGACCGAAATGGTTCTCAAGCGCGAACGGAGTATGAAGGTGAAGCGCGAGTCCCTGGCCGCGGCTTCTACTTCTGCTCCAGCCGTTCCTGCTACTGCTCCTCCGGCCCCTCCTGTCGAACGTCCTCGTAGCCAAGTCGCTCCCCCGCCTCCCGCTAAACCCACCTCGTCCATCCCGATGCCGACGGCGCCGGCGCCGAACTCGGCTTCCAAACCTCGACACAAGCATACCCAGTCTCAGCCCGAGGTTCGCGGTGCGGATGCTCGGCGACAGAAGACCCGGTCCTTGATGTTCTAGACACGTGTGTGGTAGATGCAGCCTGACTTGTGCTGCTCAGCTTGTACGTTCAGCATATTTTTGTGTTTTCTTTATGCTCGCGATCTGTGTGACATTCAAATTTGCTTTGATTCGTTGTTTTGTCTTTCTCTCCTGCTGGTGTTGGAGTCCAAAGCCTGCGCTGCTGCACTTCTGTTCTTGTCCAATAGCCTTTGTTCTTGAAAATTCCTTGTGCATTCAGCGTTGTGATTTTGTTGGTGCCGTACTTGATACATAGCGTCTTTCCTTCACAAGTTCATGATGAATCTTGCTATTTCATGTATCATAATGCGGTAATATATGGTTTTATGGAGTTATCAGTTGTGTCTGACCCTGTAATTGTGGTACCTGCTCGCATGATTTTAGGAGGACGTAAGGGAACGTACGGATTCCAACTTAGTATATATGTTCGAATGTTCCTCGACAATCCTGTCAGCCCACATGTCCATGATGCTCTTCTGCCTACGTCCAAGACTACTAGATAATGTCTGGCAAAATCTCTTGTTCATTTTCCTGAAGTCCTGTTCCCCACCCCTTCTATACAACCATCTACCTCATTCCCTAGCACCGAATTCCTTTGGCATTCTCCTCGATCAGAACCCAAATCAACCACTCTGGTCGATGTTCGCCTTCGTCTCAGCGCCCTCATCCTCCGACTCATCCTCAATCTGCGCCAAGGCATCCTTCTGCGCCGCTTTCAGGGCGTTCGCCTCCGCCGCGACGGGGACAGAAGTTATCTCGGCCGCCGAGATGCCGCCGGAGGTAATGTAGAGGAATTCCTTGGAGGAATAGTGATCTAAATGGCCGAAGAAGGCGGAGAACCTATGTTTCCAAGAACCTAAAGTTAGCTTCTGCTTTTCTTTTTTTTCGATTTGTTCCGGTTGACTATTTTTGATTTTGAGTGGAAGAAGGGCCAGGGAACATACGCATTTGTCTCCTCCTCCTCCCTGAAGATGCGATCATAGATCTCGCGCTGCTTGAACTCGTCGATGGTGGCCTTGTAGTTGTCAAAGTTGATGGGCTGCTTACCGCCCTCGACCGCCTTCTTGTTGTACACGTCAAACACGGGCCGTTCGAGCAGCAAACCCAGACCGGGGGCCTTGGGGATGGCGATCTTGGTGGGGCCGTAGGACTGCGGGATCAGCGTGGCCGGGTCGCAGCCGGCGCGCACGCACATGGCGGCCATGGCGACCATCTTGCGGATCTGGTGCATCATGAAGCTCTGGCCGTGGACCTTGAGGCTGAGCCACTCGGTGCCGTTGATAAGGAGCGGGGATGAGGCCGAGACATTGAACGATTTGATGTGTCGCTTGGACGAGGGGTCCTTGTGCGTCTTCTGGATGGTGTAGTTCCAAAAGTTGTTCGTGCCGACGTATTGGCTCAGCGCGTCCTGGACGCGTGCGAGCCGCGTGGGCGAGATCCGGTAGGCCCGCTTGGCTTTGAGGTAGGCGGCTTTGATGGTTTTGACAGTTGCGATGATTTGTTGCCGCTGGGTTTCGTCGGCGGCGGCGGTGGCGGGGTCGGGGTTTTGTTGTGCGGTGGTGGTAGTGGTGTCGTCGTCGGCGTGAGTGGGCTGGTCGGTCTCAGGGGCGACGACGTCGGGGATCTGTTGGTCGTCCTCGTCGTTCATGTGCAGGGCTTGCTCGACGAGCTTGCGGATATCCTCCGGGGTGTTTTCGAGGATCGGCCGGATGATGTTCTCGTCTGTCTCTTCCCAGAACCCGGCGACTTCTTCCTGGCGCGCGCGGTAGCCGTCCATGTCGCCTTCTTTCTCGGCGAACTCGACCAGCTGCTTGCCCAGGAAGGTGCCGGGGTGGGGCGGCAGAAAGCAGTGCGTGGGAATGAGGTACTCGTAGATGCGCGAGTCGCATAGCTGGTAGCTGCTGAACGACTTGTTGGTGACGAGGATGTCCCAGACGCGGATCTGCGAACTCAGCTTCTCGTTGATCTTCTGGACGATGTCCGGGTCCTCGACGATCAGCTTCAGCGAAACGATGTTCCCCGCGGCGTGCACGCCCTTGTCGGTCCGCGCGCATCGAACCAGCGACGACTTCTTCGGATCCGTGGCGTTGGCCTTGGAGATGGCGCCAGCGGCGACCAGAGCCGTGAACAGTTCACCCTCAATGGTCTTTTCGGTGGTGCTCCTGTAGACACAAGACCGCCCCCCCCCCATCTGCGATTAGCCCAATTTCCCTTGTGTCATATTTTCTTCGAAGAAAGTCGTTCTTCCCAGCATGTGGTAAGACTTGGTGCTTACAATTGCATGCCCTTGTAACCCGTACCAGAATACCCCATCAACACCGCAACCTTCTTCTTCGGCCGACGTTGCTCATTCTCGATATCCTCCTGAGAGAACTGCGTCGCATAGACGGGCGCCTGGACTTCCTCGCCATTCTCAAGCTTCTGGCGCTTGGCCTCCTGTTCCTCCTCGTTGCGGGCGCGTTTGTCTATCGTTTGCCGACTTGCTTGGGTAGTTCCAGAATCAGTTTTGCGCCCGCTCCCCCGTCAAGTCAAGCGATCATGCTTTGTGCATGATGGCAAGGAGAAGAACAAACATACCTCCACTCCGAACGGCCCAGATTCCTTTTTTTACGAGCTTCGCGAGGGTCCTCGGATCCCCGTGCAGGTCCTCTGTCGTGATTGTCCATTCTTGGTTCTGGGCGAGGGATTTTCGATATCGGCGACTCTCGAAGCGAACGGGTTGCTGGCTGAGAGTGACGCTGGGACTGAAGCGCGAGACGGTGGTGGCGGTCCAGCGGGAAGCAGCAAAACTTGTGGATTGACGCAGGCTGAGGTGGAGTTGAAGTTGCATTATTGTATCCTGGATCGTCTTTTTTTTCAATCCATCCCGAGCCTCGCTCTCTTCCGCGGGGGAAGGCCTGGCCACTCCGCGCTTGACTGCCTTGGGCCTAGTGGATTGCTGCCATTTTATGCCTCAGGTGTCGAGCATTCCTTCATTCTCTCCTCACTTGCTCGCCTTCTTTGATGCCATACCACTCACTGTCTCTCTTTCACACAAATCTCAACTATCCCTTTCCTCTCATTCACCAGTCTACATCTTTGTTGGACAGGGAAAGATAAAGCATGTTCCTCTCGATCTAAACCGACCGTTCTTCCCCGCCCGGATATCACCTCGTCAGCCTGTTGCGCCGATTACCTCCGCATCGCAAATTCTAGACTCACCTGCACGAAACACCTCCACTATCACCTCGAAACACCTACACAATGGATCTTGCCAACACCCTTATCCGGAGCGTGGTCCGCGCCTTCTACGAGACTCGTCACATCCTCGTTGTCGATGCGCTCTTCATCCACTCGGTGTATGCTGCATAAATCCGCATGTTAAGTCTCCAGCACGTACTAATCGGGACCACCAACCTAGTCTCCACGCCGAAGACCTCGCCTTCCTTCTGGGTATGCAACAGAAAGACCTCCGCAAGTTATGCGCTAAGTTGCGCGAAGACCGCCTGATCTCAGTGTACGTCTACAAACCCCCCTCCTACGAACCACGGCGCCACAAGCACATTCACCCCTCTCCCCCGAGACGGAGCTTTCAATTCGACGCTGACAATGATGCATGAAAAACAGGAGCACGCGCGCCGAAATCCGTGACGGATCGACGCGCCCCGTCAACCGCGAGTACTACTACATCCCACTGCACCCGGTGGTCGACGCGATCAAGTACAAAGTGTCGAAGCTGACCTCGACGATCAAAGCGCAGTACACGCCCAGCGAGGAGCGCAAGGAGTACGTGTGCCTGCGGTGCAGCGCGGAGTGGACGGAGCTGGACGTCTTGAGTCTGTATTCGGAGGAAGGGTTCGAGTGCCAGAACTGCGGGGCGATCCTGGAGCGCACTGAAGATGTCAAAGGGACGGAGGGGATCGATCGCACGGGCCACGAGAAGAACAGCAAGCTGATGAACCAGCTGGACCCGATGCTCAAGCTGCTGAAGCAGATCGACTCGGTGGAGGTCCCGCCCAACGACTTTGATACCGCCTGGGACCACAAGGTCGACGTCGTGCGTAACCAGCAGACCAACCCGACGCGCGCCTCGGTCGTCGTCCCCTCCAAGCACCACCCGGAGTCCGTCCGCGGCAACACCAAGACCGACGCCGCCGCCCTCGAGATCTCGCTGACCTCCAGCGAGGAGAAGAGCGCCGCCGAGCAAGCCGCCGAGGCCGCCCGCAAGGCCGCCGTCGAGAAGCAGAACGCCCTCCCCGTCTGGCACACCCATTCCACCGTCTCCACCGCCGCCGGCAGCCTGCCCCTCGTCAAGACCGAAGCCGACGCCGACATCGACGTCAAGCCCATCATCAAGGACGAGGACGAGGACCGCAAACCCGACGTCGACGGCCTGGACGACAAGGTCGCCGCCTACTACGCCGAAATGGAGCACGAGAAGGCCCTCCAGGCCCAGCAGGATGCCACCAGTGACGATGACGATGATGATGATGACGAGGAGGACGACGAGTTTGACGCGGAATTCGAAGATGTCGGAGGCGTCGGCTCGGCCAGCGAAACCGCCTCCCCGGCTGTTGCTGCCAGTGCTGGTGGTCCCACAAGTGCCCCCATGAATACCTCCTCCACCACCACCACCACCACCACAATAACAGGAATCAAACGCGAACTCGACACGGATTCAAGCTTCGCTAGCGCCCCGCAGACAACAGTCGCCTCCCCGGCCACGGATGACGGCCCCGCCTCTAAGAAAGTCAAAGTCGAGCCGGACATCAAGAAGGAGGAATCCGACGAAGACGACGATGAGGAGTTTGAGGATGTCTGATTCCTCTTCCCACGTTTGGTTTCTGGGACCTGATCTTTTTTTTTTTTCCCACCTTCTTTCCCCCCAATTTTCATGTTGTTGTTAACTATAGTCTTCCATCCAAGTCCCATAGATTCCTCCATCCCCGCAAACTTTTATGTTTCTTGTATAGGTGCTGGCGCCTACAGGGGGACATCAAAGAAACAATCAAGTTCACATTATAGCTTACTATCGAAATTAGATATATGCTTATCTACTATGAATTAATGATATGGCATTCCTTTTTCATGGCAGCAAAGATAAAATTAGACATAATTGCGGTAAATTACTATCACATGATTGTAATCTACGATCTGTTTCCTGGTCTACTCGCACTACATCCATATACATAATAGTCACTGTCTGTACAATCGGTACAAACAGTCCGAGTACAGTCACTGCGAAGATAACCTCCGACACCGTGTGTAGTCTTACTGGGAAACTTCTAAGAAAATAGAAGAACCCGAGTTGTCACGAGCACGCTTTGCAAGGAAGTTATCGACTCGCAATATCCAGTTTTGGCCAGCGGCGAAGTAGCGCGAATCGCTGTCATACGAAAAGAAAAGGGAAGAGATTGCGCTCAATATTTTCCAGGGGTTCTGGCAAGGGTATAGTTGAAGATACAAACAATACCCAGACACAACCAAACCGAGGCATGACCATCTTCAATTCAAGCAAGTTAGAAGCAAGGAAAAGAAACCATAATTTGGGACTGGCTAAAGTAGACAAGACCGTGCACCAGCCGAAACGCCCTCGCCCTTGACCAACCCAGCCACCCACCCAGCCCTCCTCCCATTGAAGCAACATTAGCCAGAACAGTCGTGAATATGACAACGCCCACGTCTATCAACGAGAGCCAAGCTCAGCTGCAAGTGAAACGCCGTAGATGCAAGAGCACAAGCACACAAAAGAAGGTTTATCGTAAATTCGTCTCTCATATCTGGTAAAACAAATTCCTTGTACTTGGGCGGGAGAAGAGAGACTCGTAATTATAGGCTCAGGGAGAGGCTATCGGGCCCATCTCGGAATCGCTTGCCATGACGGAGTTGTCCTCCCATTCTTCTACAGATAATGCATCAGACTCTGATTTGTTGGGGAATATTAGACGATGGCATGTTGACCAAGTAAAAAGCTACTTACCTGAAGCTACTTCCTCCGGCAGCTCGGCCAAAACCTCCTCAACAGTTGCAATGAATTCTAGAAGCGCTGCGTTAGCATAATTTCAAACGGGATTTATGCTGCGAGATCCGGCGTACCACGTGTGCGACGGACTGAATCTTGGTCCTCATCGCTCCTATCGTAATAGGTGGTAAGGCAATGGTCGATAACAGTCCGAATGCAGTCGAGAATCTTGGTATCAATCCCAGTCTCGGGTCCATCCTGACATAATTTGCGCAACCTTTCAAGGCTTGCATTCACCAGTTGTTTGGCGACTTCCGCTTGACGCGCTTCCCAACTTTCGCCCATATCCTCCTGGGCACTGAACAAGATCTGGCGAAGGACCTCCAAGGTCATGTTCCTCACAGCCCTCTCAGGGTAAATGAGTAAGGTAGGGGCCCAGTCTGGAATCCTGTCTATGAGCTGCGTCAAAAACCAAGTCTCATCAAGCCCGATGCGCTCGTTTTTGCTGGCCATGACACTTGTGAAGAAGTTGAGATGCTCTTTCCCCCCGCTATTGTTGATGGTTTCAATGCCCTTCGCCACATACTCGATCAACCCAGCAATTCGGTCTTTGTTCGGACACTGGCGACAAAAGACTAAAGTTGCCTCCAAGTAAGGAGTACAATTTTCTGCAGGAGAAAGCCTTAGACCTTCCTCTAACGTTCTGCAGATGGCATTGAGAAGGCCTGCAGCGGGCTCCGCATCGATAAACACACCAACTATTTTTCGGCAAGCCTGCGGACTGCTGTATTGCTGAAGAATCTTTTGTAGCACCAGTAACTCCTGTTTCATACCCACCGGTCGAACGAGACCACTTTCAATGGCAGTGAGAGTGTACTTTCCATCTGAAAGCAACCGCCGCCTACCATCTGCGTCCGGCTTCACGGTGAGGTTGAGGTGTGTCAGTAGAGCTGCCAGGAGATCCGTCATTTTCCGATGCGAAAACCTGCGGCCTTTCTCTAAAAGTTTGCAGTATGCCAGATACTGACGGCGGAGGCGCTTCAGGTCTTCGTGGTCGATCCATACGAGCTCCAGGCATTTCTGCAAAAAACCGCTATTGATGACAATTCCAGCCTCGTCATTCCCGAAGCTGACAAGGAGAAGGAGAAGCTCAAAATAGTCATCCCAGGCCTTGCCCACCGTGAGAAGCGCGGGCCAGAGGTCATATAGGGTATTAATCAGCGACTCAAAGGCGTCCGAGTAACGGTTTAACCACTTTTCCTGCTCTCTACTCCCCTTGTCGGCTTTTTGATGAAGTTCCTGGAGTTTCGACAGCGCGCAAATGATGATCTTTGTTGTACTATTTCGGACGGCTGGATGGGGGCCTTTTAGGATCAAATTGCGGACTGCCGATGGTCTCTCCATGAACCACTGCATGACCCTGTGAGCGGCCCTGGGAACATCACTTATGATCCTCTGAATCTCGTCCACAAAGGATTCAAGATGAGAAAGATCTCTAGTACGGGTCAACAGTTGCTCAAACGTGTCCAAAGCAATGGTGATCATCTGCCTGTCCAATTTCAATCTCTCCTCACGCCTAGGGTCCTGGGACTCATGGAGAAGGGAGAGCATAAACCGAACAAAGAAAGAATGGTATGGATCCGACAAACAGTATGTCCGTATGAACAGTTCATTCTCCATGGTGATGTGGTTCGCGAGCGGAGTCGGCAACTGAACTTGCACTGAATGCTGAGGTCTTGTGGGCTTGTATGTCATTCTTTCTGAGTCCATGCTTGAGACGCGCTGATAAAACAGCATGTAAGCGTTCCAGTTCTTTTGGAATCGCATCTGACCTATTGAAGAGGGTCCAAGAGAGTCGTTGACACCGCCGAAGCATTGATCTGGAATCTTGCCGTGATCAAATCGACTGACATCCGAATCGTTGAACTCGACCCAGTGTGCCCTGTTATCAGCCGTCGGCCTCTCACGGATGAACGAATAATAATGACCGGATTCGGCATTGCCACTATGTACGAGAACTCCTACCAATTCAAACATGTCCTCTCGTAAGTCCGTGCTCTGATCGGCAAGATATTCGACATTGTAAGGACTCATGTCGATACGTTCCGGGAATTTGAACTCGTCGTTGATCTTGCTTCGCATCATTGTCACCATGTCAAAATCAAAGCGCTTCAGGTGAAAGATAAGGTTGTCGGGCACGTCTTTCAGACAAGCCCGTTTGACTGCATCAACATGACGATCACAGGATGTGCAGGAGTATTTATTATCTCCTTGCATGATCTCTCCTTCGACGTAGGCCTGCAAGCTCTCTTCAAGGGTGGCTTTGCCTTTGATCTCACACTGAATGGCCGAGAATGGCTCAAGCCGCTCAGAAATATGGGGACATTCCTTGGACTTGATTTGCTGTACAAGTTGACCACCGTAGAAGGAGCGGAATTTCTTCTTGTCTTCTGACCTGAGAATTTGAGCCTCCCATCTATCGAATAATAGGTTATAGAACTCATCGACATCCATTTGAATCGTAACATCGATTGATTCGTTGTCATACGTACGGATGGTGTCAACGAACCCTTGTGAGTCGACGCTTTTCGTCCACGTCTCTTGCATGTATGCGAACAACTTCTTCGTCTCATCAAGCAGGTTCTGTGATGTCTCTGGGTCTTCGAGTTCAAGTCGCATCATGAAGTCACGAAAACCAACATTCATGAACAATTGGGTAAGAAGAGAGTTCAAGTAGCAAGTATTCGACAAGTTTCTAAGACCTGCATAACCCTCCGGCGAGCGAATCAGCTTGAAGCGCTCGAAGCACCACGAGTTAGAGTACGTGTAATCCTGCGGAATGAGATCCAGGAGTCGATCCACCAACTTAGCATAATTGTTGTCGATCAAGCAGAGTTGACCAAGAATAGAGTACAACTCCTGGCGGGTTTCTGTGTGCATGACAGGGATCTGGGGGACAATTGGCTCGTCTGACGGCGATGATAGATCAGGGAAGAGATACTTGTCGAAAAGCTCCTCAGCAAGATCGAAGGTGTCTATCGTGGTCGCCGTATTGTTCGCTAGATCGAGGCACGTTTTGAGCAGGCGACAAAAACCGAGAATCAGATTGTCCACAAGTTCGCGCCCGACGAACTCTTCTGTGTTATGGCGTAGCATTATTTGACTCCACTGCTTGAGATACTGGCTGAATACCAGATCCTGTGGTGATTTTTCAGCAACGGAACGGAAGACTAGATAGGCAACTTCAAAGAACTCGTGGGAATGAGGCGCATGATCCAGGGTCTTCGGAAAAGTCTTGACTAAAGCATCCCAGATTGTAGCTAAGATATCCATCCGGATAGGATTCTCGAAGTCCGAGGCATCGAGCAAATCTTGGGTGTCTGTGCAAGCAGGTGTGGATTGCTTTTTCCGCAGCGATGAAGGGCTGCAGACAACAGATATGTTCTCTGCAATGCCCTTCCGGATGGGCTGACGTGACTCGTCCAACAGAAGCGAGACCAAGAGGGCATCAAAATCTGCGAATCGCTTGACTGCGTTCCAGAAGTTGAGATCACGTACAGATCCTTCCGTGAGAACGGCGAAGGAGTGGCAGATTAATTTGAAGACGCTAGCTTGTGGAATCCGGTCGCTAGGCAATCTTCTCGAAATGTCTATGCAATGGAGGATTTTCTGGGCCAAAGCAGAGGCATCCGAGATCAACGGAACATCGGACGCACGAGCCGGTTGCACCAAGAGTGCGTGGAGTAGGCATTCAATGAGATGCGTGGCGAACATCAGTTTTATAGAGCTCTCATCAAAGGCAATGGACATCGCGGGACGTGTTAAGGCAGAAACTAGGACTTTGATGCTATGAGAAACATAGTCTTGATTCGGGGAGGACTGTGAACAAAGTTAGCAGCGTTATCAGGAGGAAGACCGAACGATTTGTTGTCTCACCTCCAAAGCCTCTTCGCGCAGACATACAGACAGCGCATGAACTGAGTATAGATAGTAATAGGGTTTGTCCATGGGAAACATATCGTCTTCAGTCCTGTCAATAGACTTTACCAGCTGCAAGACTCTCTCCTGCGGCGGGAACACAGTAAGAAAATCATAAATCTGTCGGGTAAAGTCAGTTGGAGCCAATCCCAGCTGCACCTCAAGCAAGTCACCTACCTCTCGCGCTAGATGCTCCTCTATTCCCAGAAGATCGTAAAGATCATCAAAATGCTTGAGCACTTCAGAATCCACCGAAGTCATAGACTGACGCCTTCCTGTAAGTGCTACTTCTCGACTCTCAGGATCTCGCTGAACGATAAGGAGGCCAGTTCCGAGCTTCAGATCCCGCAAAGTAGTGTCCGATTTTTCGAGCAAATCGATCCGTTGGCCTCCAAATATAGTATTCAGCTTGGTAAAACCAGTAACACGAACGAGAGTATCAACGAGCTCCGCAGCGGTCGAGAGATCTCCAATCTGCAACGCGTTCACCTTGGTTTGTGTACCGCCATTGAAAGCCTGGTAACGAATACTGATCAATTCGCCCTTGACAGATTTACTCGGTAGGTCCAGGGATGTTGAGTCCTGGAGAGGGCTGTACTGTGGACGGCTTCTCAAACCCTGAAGGAACTGGCGCAGGAAAAGCAAGGACCGGCTAAACCTTAGCTCTTCTGGGTGAACGCCAGACTCGGACATGGTAGTGCGAGCCGACTCCTCCATGGGTCGGTCATTTTCTGCATGTGCCGAGTGCAGGTTAGAAGCAGCAGATTTGAGTTGTTCAACGCAGCGATCAACCAGCGCAATATGTGTTGCTTCAACAGCCGTGCGAGGAGAGCGATTGATCACGCTATGATCAAGATATACTTCGATGGCGTAGCTGATAGCGTCTGCCTCGATCGTACCAGGCAGTGCGGTTAAAATCATGTTCCAGATCCGCTCCATACCTGGAATGACCACGACCTCATTCTCGCCAGCGATTGGAGGAGGGTGGAAGCGGATTTCATAGTTAATGGCATGTTTTGCAAAGTAGAGAACCTCCGGTGAATAGTCCTCCGTCGGCGAGAGCTTGGGCAGATACTCGTCGAGGCATCGCTCGATGAACGGGTTGGCTTGTACGAAGCATCGAGTCAGAGCGCATAACCTGTCCCAGAGGACTCGTCGGGCTTGCTGCACAAGCGACTTGGACATGAAGACCTCATGCCACAGAATATCGCTGAGATCAGCCGTTATAGTTTCAGGAACGCTATCGATGATCCGAGCCAGCAGCTGAATGCGTGAGAGGAAGCCATTCCAAGAAAAAGTATCCGCGAAATCAATCTGCTTGTTGTTCACAGTTTGGGCGAGTTCCAATACCAGCAAACGCGTCAGATTGAAATCCTCGGCAAGCTTGCGGACGCTCTGAGTATCATTGTTCGCAAGAAGCGCATTCAGTGCCTGTATACTACCGGCCGTGAACTCATTCATCTTGGCTATATCCATGACACAAATCTCGTAGGTTTCCATTTTGTCAAATTCGCTCAAACCCACGTCCATGAAAGCGCTTATCTGCGAGGCGGCGAACTTTTGTAGCTGGGCTTTGTGGTCCACGGACAGCTCATTAGTAGCAGCACTTTCCCGAATAAGGCGCACACAGAGGCGTAGCGGGATAGCGTCCACCTGCTCCGTGAGCTCGTGACGATATCCTTCACTGTGTTTCTCGCGCATCGCAAAGAGCAATTGTTCGCAAAAATCAATCATTCGTGTATCAAAGCGACTCAATGGGAGATCGAACAACTTGGAGCATAGGTACAGCAACGTTGGCGACGTGGATAAGTGCATGTGAAAGGTTCGCGATAACATGCCCAGTACTTCCGACACAGCTCTCGAATCCGGGCTCTCTGTGACCGTCTTCCATATCGTGTCGGTATCAGCATCGGTGTATGTGGTAGTCACGATCAAGAAGCCGATAATGTTCCCACTTCTGCTGATTAGTTGTGGGTGCGAGTCGATACCAACGATATATTCAACCATTTGGCTTTGTCGCAAGAACTTGACCAGGTACTGCACGATGGGGTGGTCAATGCCATCGGGGTTATGCTGAATATGCTGTCGATAGACAGTGACAAGGTCGAACTGCATCGTCTCCATGCCGTGCACCCGGAGCTCCATCCGACCATCCATGATATGCTTCTTCAGCACTGCGAATTTCCAGCCGTAATATACCATGTAAGCCCGCGCTTCAGATGGGACGTCTGGGGGAAGATCGACTGGGATCTGTATGGAAAGATCCTCCGCGATCTGATCCAACCACTCCGGACTCCAGAGGCAGAAGTTCAGATATGTATGTGAGAGAGCGCGAAGCAAAGCATCGCTGGTCTCGCTGGATACCCAAGACGACTTCTTCGTGATGTGGGTCTGATAATGGTCGTCAAAGGCTCGAATTAGGGGATAGACCGCCTTGAGGGTACGGCAGTAGATAGAAGAATTGATCAGCCCATCATCAACGAGGTACTTGCGTCGTTCGATGCCCGATTCGACTAAGTTATTCACAATAGTAAGAACTGAGATCAAGGGCTGTGCAAAGTATGGCCACTGAGTTACCAAGCTCGTGAGACAAGCTGCAAATTCGGACACTCGCTTGACGATGTCAACGGAAGGCGCGGCGAGTTTATCATTGATACGTGTGACCATATTGGGAACTTCAATGCCATAGCACTTCTCCATGGCACGGAAGAATGGAATACAATTAATCTGCAGTATCCATCCTAGCGACGATAGGTAGCCCTTCGAAAACAGTTCTGGTGGCTGTACATTTGGGTCCTTGACTGCCTGATTTAGTCGCAGGGTATCGATGCGGAGGAGGTGAAGGGCCAATTGGGCATAATTGAGGAAGAATTCTTCCAAGCAAGCCCACAAAAGCTCGCCTTGATCCGGTACGAGCACCTGCCTGTAAAGGTGTTAGGTCTTGAAAGAGGGCCAGTTAGATAGAGACTCGACTCACACCCGGCGTAGCAAGCCATCTATCATGCTCGGAACCTCTTCCCAGGCGTCGCGGTCCTCTGCTAGGACTGCATACGTCAACTGATTGAGATTGTTCGCGACCTCGTCTAACCATGCCTTCACGGCATTGAAGATGGTGGTATCCAGCTCCGAGCCTGTATGCGCATTCAGGTTAGATTCTGGCCACTTGAGCGTGAGCGAAGCCGTACCTTTCTCAAGGACTACACTAATCTCTTCCATGCTCTCCCGGGAGTCTGTCCCAGGACGGAGTTTAGGGAACGTGTCTATCAAAGACAGCTGGTTGTGTAGCTGGACCACCTCCGGGGTTGCCGGCTCCCGCATTGCCTCTCCTAACGGTTTCCAACTCGACATATTGGGATCCTGATCCATATCTTCCAGGTCCGCCACTTCAATTTCGGGACTCTGCGCAGGTGAAGACGAAAGTGATATCGCCGCGGGCGCGTCAACACCGGTCCCATCGGTGGGAGCAACTGCTGAAGTGGGACCGGCTTGCTTTGTCGGTGATTCGCTAGGGGTGGGAGCCATGATGTCTGAGATCGGAGACTTCACGTTTATGGTCACTCGACTGGCCGGACGAGACGACGGGGAAGCTTCCACGCCCAAAGTGGCAGGAGCATCGGTGATGTGGTTGGAAATTTGAGAAGCGGAAGTGTCGTTGGGAACAGTCCAGGACTCACACGCTCCACTTCCACTGTCGAGACGGGGACGTTTTCGCGTAGATTGAGGGTCGTTATCTTCCATGGAATCGCCGAAGGGACGCGTCGTGTCGGTTGAGGTGATGTCGGGCGGGGTGCTAGAGCTCTCTAGCGGGGCAGCTGCCATTCCATTTTCTTAGCTCGGTTGAAAGGGGGAAAAGTAAACTTGGGGTGTGGGAGCAGAGAAGAGCGTGCTGAACTGAGTCGACTGAAGGAGGGATATGGGGTGGGAGGGAAGGTGGAGATGCTGATAAGAAAATAGATTGTAGATGAAGAGAATCTTAATCCTAATGGAGCAGCCACCGACGGGGGGATAGAAAGGTAAGGCGGGATTTGAGCTTGATCGATGCGAATTATAGGGAAGCGAAATAAAAATGAGTAACCAACTTTGTTCTTTTGAGTGGAGGTGTTGGGGGGGGAGATTGATTGTATGGATAAGGAGGAAAAGCAGGCAGCTAGTTATCAGTCAAGTAGCTGATTCAAGTGTCACCTACTCAAGCCACAAAGGACGGATTGAATAGCTGCTCTCCTTTTTCTTTCTTCTTCCTCTCAAACATGAAAGTAAGAAGAGAGAAAGCGAAAGAGATTAGGTAGGGGAGGAATATGGAGGGAGAGGAAGAGAGGAGGAGGAGGAGGAAGAAGAGGAAGAAGGAGGGAGTAGTTGTAAAGCTAGTGGAATAGAATAAGACAACAGTCAGTGAATGGTGAATGGCAGAGAGGGAGAGAAAGGCGGAAGAAGTGAGCAGCAGCAGCAGCAGCAGCAGCTCTGACGTTGTGGTGGAGCCGCGATTTAGCGGCCGGAGGGAAGAGAAGGAGGGATGATGGAGGGGGAAGGAGGAAAGAGAGGGATCTGGCCAAACGGAATTCCCGCCAGTTGACATGATTTGACATTATTTCATGATTTCCACTGGGGTCCACAGTTTGATTCGATTGCAGAGTACGGAATCCTCCGTGGAAAGTGTCTCTTTGGTTCCTGTGAGCTATGAAATATTACACAATACAATCAATCATGCTACTTAATTATACCTAGTGGCTATTCTAGAATCCTATCCTACTTCTGTGCTTTGGCAAAAAGGAAAACAAAACAAAAAAAAAAAATGACTGGGTCCCTACACAACAGAGAGATCCCTTACGCCGGTCAGTTCCGGCCAGGACAAGGGCGGTTAAATCATCTTCTCATCATGAGTCAACATTGCCTATGAATGAGGTCTCCCCTGTACGCCAAGGATCCAGAGACCGAGATTCTCGATCACCATGAAGCCAAGCACTAATCGCTAATCAAATGTGACATGCCAGAGAAAGGGTCGAAATGGGGCAATGCAGTTTGGGGGGGGGGCCAACAACGGGCGCAGCTCACAGCTCAGGTACAGCTAAAAAGCCTCCGTCGTGAAGCTTAAATGAGCCCATACTCCACTTGTCACTTGAACCTCTTCGACCTTAGCGCGGGGTAGCTTTTTAGGCCCGCCTCCCTCAAGCACTTGTTTACGTAGTCTATTGCTTCGCTGAATGCATGGTCCCGGAGAAAGACCGTTTGATGGTCTCCACTAAAGTTAGCCTGTCGATCGATCGTCGCGAAACGTATCATCTCATATTATCCTTTCCCCCTCGGCCAATCCAGGCTACACAATAGCACTGAACGTGGCAAATCTTGTGCAGAGTAACCGCATCCTATCTGAAATTCTTGGCATTGACTATGGCATTCTTAATCGCAATTATGAAAAATAACAATTCACACTCCGAACCATCATTGACTGGCAAGGGCACTCTATCTATTCCGCCATTGTAGTCTCAATCTTGCGAATCACCTTCACTGGGTTGCCGACAGCCACGTGACAAGCAGGCACATCCTACCATCGGCTTTTGTCAGTATCTACTCTTCAGTCTCTTGCTGCATCGAGTTTTTAGATTTACCTTGTTGACCACACTGCCAGCCCCGATCACTGCACCCTTTCCAATGGTCACCCCGGGCAGTACCGTCACGTTTCCCCCGATCCAGCAATCTTCTCCAATATGGATTTCATTTCCGAATTGAGGACCCTTGAAGCCATTCCGCTCCACTGGGTTTAGGGGATGCGAGCCACTAAACAGATTGACGCGGGGGCCAATCAACGTACGCGCCCCGATGGTGACAGGAGCGGTGTCAACGATGATGGCATCGAAGTTGATGAATGCGCCCTCACCTACTTTCAGGTTGTGGCCATAGTCGACTCGGAATGGAGGCTCGATCCACGGGTACTTTTCTAGCTGGATGTCGTCCTCTAAGGGGTCTTCTTTCTGCAGAGGGAGAGGAGACTTATCATTGAGGATGCTAATACTATCAGTACAGTGGTGTTGGGAACCCTAATCAACCACGGCAGAGCGTGGGCTCATACAAACGGATGAAGATCTGGAGGGAAATCATACTCACTCTTTCCAAAGCTCCAGCATTTGCCGTCGAGATACGTCACCGGCGTTATTGAAGCGGCGGCAGGCATTTTGACATCGCTTTCGGGCAGCTACGAGGCCAGCAACGGATAAATGATCCGGGCCCACATTCTGATGCGATACTGGATCTTCCGCAGGGCTCATAGCTTGTTTGTTGTCGCTTATGGTCAAGGACGAGACTTGTGCATCTTTTCTCGTCACCCGCGTTGGCCTGGGCGTTTTGGGAGTCTGCGAGAAGGATAGACTGACCATATCCGCAACCGGGGGCGACAGAGGTGCTTGCAACATTGAGAAAGACATGGCTTGGCGACGATATCTATATAGAGGAAAAAATGCCTTGGATTGATTTCTGAACCATGTCTTGTCGCCTGAGAGAGTGATTTAAATAATTGGAGACGAAGAGCATTCGTGTTCATCTGGCAGCGATGATGAAATGGCTCGTAGCGAAGCATTCTATTGCAAACACCTTGTGTTGCTGAGCTCTTTAGGGGACAAAAGCCTCACAGACGTGGAAAAGGCGCTACTCCTTTCGGCGCTAAACTTTCATCTTGAAGAAGGTGCATAGTGGTTCTGGTGGGACTCAGGACGAGCAGTATCTGTACCTGATTCTTTTGGGATGGATCGCCCGTCAATCATTGCTAGCTCGGAAATCCAGGGCCATGCACGATAAGCCTTTGGATGGTCGTCCTACGGGCGGTACTGGTATTGTTAGTCACTATTCCTCTCATTTATCAGCAAGTTGAGCTCATCAGACAGCAATGACGAAACGATTCCTGCCTGGGAGGGAATCGAACGGTTCCCCGTTGATAGCAGTACAGCAGATGGCCATGCACAGATCCTCGTTTAGCAGCCCGGCGACCTGTTGTGGTATAATGTGTGGTTCAACATCTGTATCCAGCCTACGCGTCAGAGTAAGATAGATTCCGTGATGATGAGAAACTGGCATTGCTCAGCAATATGAGCAAGATGAGGAAGATGAGGGAGATGACAACAAAGGAAGGTTGGAAGATTACGGGAGTGGTGCATCCCCAAAGTATCAAACCGCCCTGCAGCCACGGACCGGGGGTTCCTGACCAATCATCTTCCACGTCACAGGCTGCCTTATGTAAGGCCGGCGGAGCAACACCCATGGATCCAGGCATCATCAACAATTGTTGTCCCTGCGCGCTCACACCGATTGTTCTCAAACTAAAGAAGCACCTCAGCTCTTTGCCAAAGAGGTTGCACTCATAACATGCTCACACTCTAGCGAAACCGCGATAAAGCCTCCCAAATTCCTCCCCCTCCCCCCTTCAGAAGCAGAATGCATTATCGACATCAACACCACCATCACCGCCGCAACCACCACTAAACACCACACCATAACCACAATTATCACCAACCACCAACCACAAAACTCCGCAAAATGACCACCACACCACCATCCGATTCAGCGCCCAGCGCCCCCCTCGCCTCCCCGACCCCCCAATATCGCGCCTATCAACCCACCGCGTCGCGCACCTCCTCACACTCCTCCTCGACCTCTACCCCGTCCCCATCCCCTTCTTCCTCCCCAACCCTGGACCCCTCCAACCTTCCCAATGGCCCGAAATCGCTCTCCGGAATCTCCCTCCGCGCCTTTCTCCTCGGCACGACCCTAGGCCTAACCATTAGCTCCACGCTGTACCTCCTCCTGACTACCACCTCCCCGCTCTGGCGCCTCCCGTTTTTCCTCGCCAGTCTAAGCCTCTTCCACTTCCTCGAATACTACACCACAGCCGCGCACAACCCGCGCTTCGCGACCGTCTCTGCCTTCCTCCTGACCTCGAACGGATGGGCCTACAACGTCGCGCACGGCTCCGCGCTCCTCGAATGCCTCCTCACCTCCACCCTCTTCCCGGCGACTGACCACCAGCACCACCAGCACCGCATCGGCTCGAACCTCTACACCCGACTCACCGGCGGGCCCTACCACCACCCCCACCTCCTCCCTGAACGTCTTAATCTCGCCGTCTGCATAGGCCTCGCCCTCATGATTCTCGGCCAGACCGTGCGCTCCGTCGCCATGGCCCAAGCCGGCAGCAGCTTCAACCACACGGTGCAGGTGGCGCGGCGCGACGACCACCGCCTCGTCACGACGGGCGTCTACCGGTGGCTGCGGCACCCTTCATACTTTGGGTTTTTCTGGTGGGGGATCGGTACCCAGTTGGTGCTGGGTAATGTTGCCTGCTTGATCGGGTATGCGCTGGTCTTGTGGCGGTTCTTCAAGTTGCGTGTCAGGAGTATGTTGTTCCCCCGGTTACCCTTCTCCCTCTTCTCTGCCTCTTGTGCTTGTGTGGAACCGGTTTGCGAAAGTGTACTGACGGAGAGAAAATAGGAGAGGAGAACTATCTCTGTGCGTTCTTTGGGGATGAGTATCGGGCGTATAGGAAGAGGAGCTGGGTTGGGATTCCTTTCGTTTGAAGAACGGGATCAGCCTCTGAGGATGGGCTCAATGAGAGCAGGCGGTTCTTATACTGTACATGGGGAATGATGGGCACGGTAGATATAGGATTTGTTGGCCCGGGTCCTAATATAGTATCACCCCCTGATTGGGGGCGATTGTTTAATTCTTTTGCTTACATACGAATATTTTTTAATCATATCTATACCGATTTTTATCACGCACAAGGAATATGATTCGGAAACGAAGAATTGCATTATAGTCGCCGAGTGGTATCAATCCCATAGAAGACTCCAGACGCCTCGCGCTCATCATAATCAGCACCACACACGCTTCTGCATACTATACAACATAGCAACTATAGTTTACTCTCACGCGTAGCAACCCCCAGAGCGCCACTCATAAACGCCCCCTCAGCCTCCGGTGCGTCAGCGGCCGCGATCTCGCCCACTTCAGCCCCATACAGCACCAATTCTCGCCCACCCCGGGTACTCCACCACGTCACGCAGAAGTGAGCGCGCTCAACATCCATCTCGCCGCTGCTCAGGGCCTCCCAGAACCGCTCCACGCAGAGTTTGTGCATGGCCGGGGTACGGATCAAGTTGAGCAGCTGCGCCGTAAGCGGAAGCCAGTCTTCCAGTTCGTCCACGTGCAAGAAACAGAGGCTGTCGATCAGAGCCAACGTGAGGGCCGCCTGCTCGGTAACCGGGGGTGAGATCTTGAGGTCGGGACCCTCTCCTTCGCCGCCGGCCGTAGCCTGCGGGAGGAGCTCGTCGGAAGTGGCGTGCAGGGCTCGGTCGTAGAGAATCTCGAGGAGCACAGAGGGGAGGAGTCGTTGCGTATTTGCGATCGGAGAAGGGGGTGCTGTGACTTGGATGACGGTCTTGAAGGCGAGACGAAATTGACGAGCAGAGAGGTTCTCCGGGAATACCTATGGATGGTCAATTAAAAAGAAAAAATAGTCTTCGAGGAAGCCAGGAAGCTTACGGCAAAAAGATTGTCGACATAGAAAGGTAGATGCTTGGACGTAATGGCCGCGTTGCCAGGGATCGCGAAGACAGCCAGCACCACACTGTGCGCAGCTTCGAAAATCTCAAGAAGATGGTTATTGCCGCCTGCGGGGAGATACGGCGTGGCGGCGGCAATAAGCAGATCTTCACTGAAGGTGGGAGATAGCACGGGAGTAAACAGCTCCGACGTGTTGAGAAAGAAGAGATCCAAGCACCGCTCAACCGGATGCGCGGGGATTTGACCCAGCTCACTGGGCTTGATGCTTCGAAGGAAGTTTTCGGCTAAGTCGGGATACTGCGCGAGTATGTCCACCGCAGTCAAAGTCACAAAGACATGCTGTGACGAAGCATTTTGCCCAATGCGAGACGAGACAAAGTAGAGGTTTCGAAGTATGTGCAAGGCTTGCATGGACAGAAACGGTGCACCTAGAAGGATTTAGTATTGAAATTGCATACGCCACTCGAATCGATTTGACTCACTTTTATGAGCAGCTAAAACAGGATCATTGAGAACTCTCCCAAGAACGGCCCGAAGCACAATCACGATCGAATATAAGCAATTGCGGAGTAGTTTCCAAAGCCCCGGAATGGTGCTACCGAGCGACTCAGGATCCAGGAATTCTGCTTCTTCGGCCCGATCGACTTCGGAGAGCTTGTTTTGACGCCACTGAACCATTAACGTCCGCACAAAGTCCGTAATCTGATCCAAACAATGTGCAACCAATCTTGCATCGGGAACATTCTCGATCGCGTGAGCAATAAGTCGCGACAGAGGGCCCAAGGCAGACACGAGCGGACTGGACGAGATGGCCGTCACGCGGAGGAAGGTATCGGATTGCGGTGACCATTGGAATCGTTTCCCCGGCGCCTCAACAATATCCTTGTCAACAGTCCCAAGAAAGTAGCCCCCTTCAAGGCCTTCCGGCGATGTAAACGTAGCATTGACCATGACTGGCAAAAGTCGATTGTAGTTCAACCTGCTCTTCTCATAGTCGGATATGAGCTCGAAGGTGTAGTTCAGCACCATGGTAATACAACGACCATCGATCTCATTGTCGGGATCTAGTTCCTCGAGAGCAAATTGAGCGGCCGTCACGAGAGCTGACTCGAGCTTTCTTCGAACGTGCGACGGCAGACCTTGTCTATTCTGACCTTCGAAACCCAGTAAAACGCCCCCAATTAAAATGACATGCCGCCATCGCGGTGACTTATCGTCTGCTCCATTGACAACCGCTTTGACCCAATCTTCTCGCTCGATCTTCCGAGGCTTTGAATAAGGTATTCTGGGGTCCTCCGACTCTTCACTCTGCAGAAGTGCAATGGCGGCCGTGTTGAAGACACTGAGGATTTTTCGACATGCCAAAAGATCGACAGGACCATGCCACAAAGCTGGGGCGGCGAGCAGATGTGACGCAAGAAGCGTGATGTTTAATGGGTTTCCGAGCACATATAACAGGCTCGTTGCCGTCGGAAGCAGGCTGAACAGATAAGGCAGTCAGCGGTTTCCACGGACGGTATCCGAAAGCGTTGTGACTTACGCGAGAACATCATGCAGATCAGACGATGTTTGTAAAGATCGTAGAAGAGCGCCCAAGGAGCGTTCTGTCGCCATCTTGAGAGCTAAATGCTGGGATCGTGTTCCGACCGATGGGACATGAGTAGCCGCAGATGAGGCGTCCTCTAGAGAGAAGGGGAGATAAGACGCCCGCGGCGGAAGACGGCCGGCGTTGTTACCGCGGAGAACCCCAGATCACCTGCCGAGGTACATAGCATAATTGTAGCAAACACTGCAAACAAGCTCCAAGCCTCTGACATGCGGATCTTATCAGTGGCTTCGGTCTTTCATTCTCCTTCTTCTGATTCTCGTTCCAAGCTCCGCGTTATGTTCTCACCATCTACTAGTGACTAAATCCCACAATCCATCTCGACTGGCAAAAGCACAGTCAGTCGTCCTGTGAGCAGATGGCCAATAATCGCGTGCCCATCAACTACCAGACGCCGTCATTCCCATCTCTCTATGAGCTCTTACCGGCGAGCGAGTCCAGAGCTAATTACCTTTACCACACGAAAGACATCTGGCGTTTCACCTTCTATTGGACCTTCATCTTCTACGGGGGCAGCCATTTACTAGTTGCAGCATGGGCGGTGGCAATGCAATGCCGAAGCTGGAAAGCGTGTCTAGCTGTGCCCGCATTGTATTTGGCCATTGGGGGTATAGAGGCGCTCCTAGCTGGGAGTATCGTCGGTCTAGTGTAAGTTACAAAGAATGTCGTGCTCTTAATTCGAGCATCTTGACTAACAATGGAACAGGCTGGGCGCTGTCTACGAGGCAGGTAATTTCAGAATGTCCACATGGATCCCCCTTCTATGGGGTGGAATTAATGTCTTGGTCCTCATTTTATCGAGTTTCCCGATGCCAGGTGGCCTTTGAAGGGAACAGTTAAGCATAAAAGCTTCTATGCTGTTCAGTCATGTCTAAGCATGCCCACAAACCTTTCCTGATTGATCATATATCCGAGTCCAGACCTTATCCAGGAGGACTGCAGACTAAGGCATCGGCGCAATATGTTCCCGAATTACGGGGTGCAGCACTATCCTGCTATGTCGCCCAGTGTTCGGGCCAACGCAGCTTTATCGGACGAAGAGTACTATCTTCCATATCCATTGTCGGGCGCACCGCTTCCTCCTAGTCCAGGCAGACCCCCGTGCATGCCACCATGATTTGAAGGGGAGAAATTGGGTGGTATCGGGATACCCTGGGAGAAAAGCTGCTTCTGAAGCTCCGCAAGATCGGCGTTTGATGGTGGAGGTCCTGACATGGCGGGGTGCATGGGGTACCCGGGAAAGCCAGTCGTTGCGGGGAAGTTATTCGGCTGGGGCGGTGGTTGGGTGGACAGGTATGCCGCTAGACGGGAAGGGTCCATAGGAGGCATGGATACAGGAAATCCAGGCTGCGGTAGGGGCTGAGGAGCGCCAATTCCCGGCAGCAATGAGCCGAAACCGTCCTGCTGAGGTCCACCACCGGGCTGCGCCTGGATTCCTGGGAGGCCTGGCCCGATCGACTTCCTCTGGTCAACCAGTCCCTCCGCCTCATCTTGCAGCTCTTGTTCTTCCTCCTCACGCATTTGTCGCCTTCCGAATCCGCGACTCCATGTTCCTTGAGCCTCCGCTGCCTCCTCTCCAATATGGAATCTGTCTTTCATGTAACTAGTTTCGCCAGGACGAGCCCTGGACCAGAACCGGGTGAAGTTGTCCTTCGAACCCGAGGCAAGAATATGACCCAGAGGATGCCAATCGAGTGACCAGATGGTGGCTCCATGCGCATACTGTACCCGGTGAGCGGGGTATATCACTTGGGCAGGCGTGTTTGTAGGGTCCGGGCTGTCGTATGGCGCGATCGTAGGAATCTGCCCCGGTGGCAGATTAGGCTCGTCGAGTAGGTAGTGGTACAATGAACCGTCTTCGCTACCGGTGGAGATAAGTGAGCTGTGAATAGGATGCCACGTCAGAGAAGAGATTGGCTTCTCATGACCTCGCAAGATACAGATATCTCGCATCATTCGCAAGTCAAATACTCTTGCCGTCTGATCACGCGATGAAGTGGCCAGCAAGTTGCTGTTGACGCGCGAGAAGCGTGTCGTCGTGACGGTATTTTTGTGGCTATGAAGAGTTGTCAAACATCTCGCGGTTCGAGGATCCCAGAATTTGACCTGGTGGTCTTTGGAGCCGGAAACCAGAAGGCCCTTGGTCGGGTGCCAATCGCATGACTTCACATCCCAGTTGTGCCCTGTCAACACTGTGTCGCAAGTCCTGGCCGTGAAGTCGAAGATCTTGAGAGTGGTGTCGTCGGAAGCCGACAGAAACTTAGTGTCGCTGGGAGACCACGCTAGGTCTCGTACGGCATCATGGTGTGCATCGTCGATCGTCTCAACGTTGTTGAAATTGGGCCGCCAATATTTCACATCGCCTTTTTGTCCGCCCGAAATGAGCCAGTCATGGCTGTGAGACCACGCCAACGAGGTCACGCCCGCTTGTAATTGGTCGTAATGTGCCTGTCCATCCCATCAGCAAATTTGGAAGCTGCAAACTGCCAAAACCCCAAAATCGGCGCCACTCACGTCCATGACCGTTTCGAAATTGAAAGCGGTGCCGTTCCACAGCATAAATTCTCCCGTGTGTCCACCTGTCAACAGACGCCTCCCTTCGGGCGTCCATCTTACGACTGTAATCGGCTTCTTCGATTTTCCAATCGATTGGTGCAAGTGTCGAACGGGAATTGTGTCGACAGGCTTATGAATTCGTGCCAGTGGTGGGAGCATCTGGGAGACAAAGAATGAGTGAGTGAGACGGTTGACCGAAGCAAAATCAAGCAGCTGAAATGTCGCGACTCACATCGATCACATAACTCGCACTGGGTCTTTCAACCTCCATGCGATGGCCTCCCTTGTACCGAGGTTGTCGCGTGCGCATCCATTGTACCATTGACGAGCCATAGTCGGTCACCAATCCTAAAGTTGGGCGGCGGTTACCAACACTTCCGAGGAGGGCAATGGAGGAGAAAAACAAAACGTACTTGGTCGTCGCGGGCCGACGACGTTGCCCTCATAGGGCTTGGGGGTTCTTCCGAAGGACTGGGAGTCACCAGCAGAGTCGTCGTAATAAGCCATCGCAACGCAATGGAAGGAGTGAGATAATCGGAGCTAAGGTAGGGTTGGGGGAAGATGACGGAAAGATGGGCGAGACAGTCGCAAGCATAGAACCAGGGCGAATACGAAGACGCGTGAAGGGCCAGACCCTCAACCAAGGTGGTAAGATCCCAACTAGAAGCTTCCCAACATGTCGTGCATGCAGTAGTGGATTGAATTCTTGGAGGAAATGCCTCAGGTTTGGAGTTGGTCTGGAGAAGTCGATTTGAAGGGGGGGGGGGGGGGGGGGGGGGGTGTGGGTGTGGATAACGAATGCTACTAATAAATGAATCAATAATGAATGAAAGAGAAATGAACTGGTGAGGGGGGCGGCGGCGGCGGCGCGGCAGAAAACGTTATTGGGGCCAGGCTTGTCTGTCTGTCTGCTTGTCTGCTGCAGCTTGTGGCAGTTGGACCGAATGACTGATGCTACGTACTCCGCAGCTTTCTTGGATTCCACCGTGGACCCCCTGCCTGCTCTCCAGGTTCCCCCCTGGTCTCTTTCCTAAACTTCCTGTCAGTTAAAAAAGAAACTAAATCAACTGTCTGTTACGCAACAAACTAAAAAAGATAAGACGAACCAAAATAATTATTTGCTAACTTAAGATTGAAACCCCGCTGGGCTGCTCTGGTTCCTTCCACCGGATTTGGTTCCCTTCCCCTCTTCACTGCTCTATAATTAATCCCTATCTTCCCTCCTCTGAACTTCTTTCTGTCATGATTTCTTAGCCTTTAACCGCAGGTGGGATCCTCCAGCCTGTGATTTGCCTTTGAGTCTCTGCGATTGCCACTGATCTGGGACGATTCTTTCACTCAGACATCCCTCGCCTCTTAGCCGTCATTGACTCCCTAGATTGAGATGCGAGCTTACCGGATGAGTTAAGGGTTCGGACTTCTCGCCACGACTCCATCCATGCATTCCGCTGAAGAGGTTTCTGACGCTACAGGTGCGGTGAGCACCGGTAGTGACGACCCTCTTTCGTCGTCCGCGACTACAAACAGACAGACAATTACAAATGGCACCAATGGCACAGGGAGCACATTGGGCGTCAAGAAAGAGAAGAAGAGAAGCAAGTATCGACATGTAGCAGCATATCATGCCAAGGTGCGGCACTCCAGTCTCACGCGCGAGCCCAATGTCACGGCGAGCTTCCTCGGCTTCCGCAATTTGATGGTGATCGTCCTAGGTGAGATTGCCCGGCCAAACTTGCTAAATGCGCTGGGAATACTCATCTGCTTCCTGCGAACTAGTGGCAATGAACCTTCGACTCATCATTGAGAACTTTATGAAAGTAAGATTCTCCCTCGTGCGAAGGCAATAGCGATGCCGAGGCTAATCGCGTTGGACAGTATGGCGTACTCATATGCATCAAATGTCATGACTACCGCAAGCAGGACGTGGTTTTAGGATCAATTCTCTTCGCCCTCGTACCGTATCATCTTTTCATCTCCTATCTTATTGAGTTGGCTGCATCGAAGCAGGCAAAGCAGGTGATTGGACAAAGAAAGAAGAATGGCTCAGTCGAGGCCGCCGAGCGCGATCAGCGCACGTTCAGGCTTACCTGGTGGCTGTCTGCTATCTTCCACTGCATCAACACTCTCTTGAGTCTCGGAGTCACCAGTTTCGTGGTATACTTCTACATTCATCACCCTGGGATTGGCACTCTGTGCGAGCTGCAGGCTCTCATCGTCTCGTTTAAGATCTGCTCCTACGCATTCACCAATCGAGACCTGCGTGAGGCAATGCTCAACCCATCTATGGAATCGGCCCTCCCAGAAATCTACTCGTCGTGTCCGTATCCCCGCAACATCACTATCGGAAATCTAATATACTTCTGGTTGGCCCCTACGCTAGTATACCAGCCTGTTTATCCGAGGTCATCACACATTCGGTGGTCCTTTGTGGCGAAGCGTTTATTCGAGTTCATTTGCCTGACCGTTTTCATCTGGCTTCTCTCCGCTCAATACGCTGCACCAGTTCTCCGAAACTCGATTGACAAAATCGCCGTGATGGATGTGGCGTCAATTCTGGAGCGAGTAATGAAGCTATCTACCATCTCCCTCATAATCTGGCTGGCCGGATTCTTTGCTCTGTTCCAGTCTTTGCTGAACGCGCTAGCCGAGGTCTTGCGCTTTGGTGATCGGGAGTTTTATACCGACTGGTGGAACAGCGCTAGTCTCGGAGGGTACTGGCGTTCGTGGAACCGGCCTGTGTATCTTTTCATGAAGCGGCACGTTTTCTCCCCACTGGTTGGCCGGGGGTGGAGTCCGCTCGCAGCGAGTACAATGGTGTTTCTGGTCTCCGCCGTTCTTCATGAGATGCTTGTTGGCATCCCGACCCACAATCTGATAGGTAAGCAATCGCCCCTCCGTGCTCATTTGTGATGCTTCGTGCTCATTTCGGATGGAAACTAACCTTCCGCAGGTGTTGCATTCGCGGGGATGATGTTCCAGTTGCCACTGATTGCTATAACGGCCCCGTTGGAAAAGATCAAGGGCCCCTCAGGCAGGGTGATAGGAAACTCGATCTTCTGGGTTAGTTTCTGCCTGGTCGGTCAGCCTTTGGGAGCTCTGCTGTACTTCTTTGCCTGGCAAGCGAAGTATGGTAGTGTGAGCAAGATGGGCATGTAGAGCACTGTTCGATTTGCTGTTGTCGGTTTTCTTCAATACTTCAAAAGCTGTAAACGGGCTAGAGAATAAGTTTGGTGTCTCTGCAAACTCCAAAGTTTCGTAAGATGCAAAAGGCATAACACAGTGACACGTCATTCAGAGACTGAAAGAAACTCCCAGAAGCATAGCATCTGCTTACCGATCAGCAGGCAGCAGACGCGTAGAGTTGACTAAGAAATGGGGGAGAAATTCCAGCACGGAACCCCGGCTGCGCGAGGGTCCGCAGGGAAAGCTTGAGATCCGTATCCGGCCAGAGCCTTCGATAACCACCATAAATCTGGCCTCATCAGCCGCAGGTACCATACAACAAAACCATTTCACCATCTCCAACCAACCAACCAGTCCTCACTTCTACCAATCTACTTCAAGTACCTACCATCATGTTCACCTTGACCGTTCCTGAGGGCTACGGGTGAGTCAGCATACTATTCCTCTTGGTCAAAAGAGGTATCAACTAATATTCTCCCCCCTCGGTCCAACAGTGCCGTTATCGCCGTCGCGTTGGGCGCTATTCCCGTCCTGGGCTTCGTCCACGGCGTCGTGACCGGCAGCACCAGAGTGAAGGCTCAAATCCCCTACCCTCACACCTACGCGACCGTCGAACAATGCAAGGCTGATGTGAGTTGCCATTTTTTCATCCCATAACACCCTCGGGGATTTACCCAAAGCTGCCAGTTGAGCGGAGGAAGGAATATGATATGTGCGGTGCTAACCAAGTCAATGCGCCACAGCCCAAAGCCGAGCAGTTCAACTGCGCCCAGCGTGCGCACGCCAACTTCCTGGAGAACTCCACCCAGACTATGCTCTTCACCTTGGTCGCAGGACTGAAGTACCCGCAGCTGGCGGCGGGTCTGGGCGCGGCGTGGGTGGTCTTGCGAGCGCTGTTCCTGCAGGGGTACGTGTACTCGGGCAAGGCCCAGGGTAAGGGTCGGTATAGGGGTGGGTTGTTCTGGCTTGTGCAGGGTGCGCTGTGGGGTTTGACCGTGTTTGGGGTTGCGAAGGAGTTGTTTTAAGGGACGCGGTCTAACTGGACGAAGGCGTCGATTATGAGGTGAGCGGGCTACCTGCTAGCTTCCGTTTGTATTTGATGATTAAGAGGCCTCAAAGTTAGCTTTGTATAATAATATTTGGTTGGATCGTTTGCAGAAGCTCTAGTGGGGGAAGATTGTAAGAAGCAAGGTGGAGTTGTGTTGCTAGATGTTCAATTGATTGGGGACATAGGGTAGTGGTCTAGGTCTCAATGCAGATCGTCATCAAGGCGCAAGGTCTGGAAGGAAGTGGTAGCACAAGGCTTGAAGATGTCGACTAACAGCAGCAGCAGCAGCAGCTATTCTTTGAGAGACTCGGCGGAGAAGCTCAGCAGCCTCGGCATCTGACACTGTGGCTGAACCCACGGTCGGAGGTGGAGCAATCGAGAAGCCGATGTGGCTGGTGGGGGATGGAGGGGCGTCTTCTATCGTATTTTCTGCCGGCAGGTCTTTCCTCCATCTATAACCCCTCCATTGCAGTCAATTGTTCGGTCGACCATATTATTGGAGACTGCTCAGATACTAGTACCCATCTTTTTCTCTGAGAGCTTGAAACAATTCCCATTCTCATACGACATCGTACGATCCTCATCCGCCACAACCCCGCAAAACCCCCGCCATGTCTTCCAAGTCGCAATTGACCTACGGTGCTCGTGCGAGCAAACACACCAACCCTCTGGCCAAGCGCCTCTTTGAGATCGCCGAGGCCAAGAAGACCAATGTGACCGTCTCTGCTGACGTGACTACCACCAAGGAGCTCCTGGATCTAGCTGACCGTAGGCCTGCCGCAACCTGACACTTAATTTCCTTTTCCCCCGTGACCAGGCATTAACCCCGGGAAACAAAATTCATACAGGTCTGGGCCCCTACATTGCCGTGATCAAGACCCACATCGACATTCTTTCGGACTTCAGCAACGAGACCATTGAGGGCCTCAAGGCGCTGTCCGAGAAGCACAACTTCCTCATCTTCGAGGACCGCAAGTTCATCGACATCGGCAACACCGTCCAGAAGCAGTACCACAAGGGCACCCTTCGGATTTCGGAGTGGGCCCACATCATCAACTGCAGCATTCTGCCTGGCGAGGGCATCGTTGAGGCCCTGGCCCAGACCGCCGCGGCCGAGGACTTCGAGTACGGCCCCGAGCGCGGCCTGTTGATCTTGGCGGAGATGACCTCCAAGGGCTCCCTAGCGACGGGTCAGTACACCACCTCGTCGGTGGATTACGCCCGCAAGTACCAGAAGTTTGTGATGGGATTCGTGTCGACGCGAGCGCTGGGTGAGGTGGCCTCGGAGGTCAGCTCCCCGTCGGAGGAGGAGGACTTTGTCGTTTTCACGACAGGCGTGAACATCTCTTCCAAGGGCGATAAGCTCGGCCAGCAGTACCAGACCCCCGCGTCGGCTATTGGTCGCGGAGCCGACTTCATTATCGCCGGTCGCGGCATCTATGCTGCGGCGGACCCGGTGCAGGCGGCCCAGCAGTACCAGAAGGAGGGATGGGAGGCGTACCAGGCCCGTGTTGGAGGGAACTAGATGGATTGGTTGTTTTAGACGATGTACAGAATTTGCAGCATAATGCCATGTTACGACTAAAAATTTGGTGTAAGCACCTAAGCTCGGGTGTTGGCGAGGGGTATCGATCCTGCAGGGAAGATAAGATCCTTTGAAGTTAGCCATCTTGCCATCCTTGATAAGCAGGGAGATGATAACCTGATGTGGACTGGGGGAGATAAGGGTTGTATGTCAGTCGAGTCGACGGTGTATGACATGATGGAAGCGTCAATGACAATGGACGTTGCAAGGTGTCGGTCGGCCTTCAGATCTAGATTCCGGTGCGGGATGAACAAGTGGTGAACAGTTCCGTGCATTTCCTGAAGAGGAAGAAGATGATACTTGCCCAGTGGAGAGACTTTCGTTCTACCACAACCACCTCCTCCTCTCTTCTCCTCTTCTCCGCCTCATGACGTTCCTCGAAATTCTCGCTCATCGTCTGTCGAATAGAGAGGTTTCTTTACGCACCTCGAGTTACTCGGCTATTTCCTCCAATGGACGAGTGGCGAGCATCTCTGCGACCTTAACATCCTGCTTCACCCCCTCTCCTCCCCTCCAACCTGTTCCCCTCATTCTTATCTGAATGGGTGCCACTAGCATTGAGTACTCCAACTATTGCATGCAGCTAACGGGGATCCAACCTCCTTGATTCGATCGATAAGCCGTCTACCCCAGATAAACCAGATAACAGCCAAACAGCTACCGGCTTATCTCCGACTGTGGAACTATGAGCGCTTGTGCAACCCATCTTCCACGAAGTCAGTGGTGATTGCGCTGCCGATCCGGCTGCAGTATGACATTCAACGGGACAGTCATAAAGCCTACCAGGCCGGTTCGACTCATTCTGCGCATCTGCCCCTTGCTTCACGGTCCGCCATAAATCCCCCCTTGCATCCATAGATCACATCTCTGTCCTCCAAACAACTTGTACAGTTTTCATCCTTTGCTTCATCGGTATTCATCATGGGGGAAGAGAAATCACAACCACACACAATGGTAGACGAAGAGAAGGATGTCACCAAGTCCGTTGACCCAGTCCTTCTCCAGCATGCGCAGGACGCGGACGAGGCGCTGGGGGTTTTCCAGGATCTTCATGGGGAGGTGATTGAGCTCGACGAGGCGACAAATAAGCGCCTCTTGCGCAGAATTGACTGGCATATCATGCCGATCATGTGTTTCGTATATGGCATGAACTTCTTAGACAGTGAGTACTCTTCATGTTTCCTTGCGACGATATTTTATTGACGATACATCTAGAAACGACCCTTTCCTACGCCAGTATCATGGGAATCAAGACTGACATCGATCTGAAGGGCGACGACTATCAATGGCTTGGCAGTTTGTTCTACTTCGGTGAGTGCTATTGTGCGTCGATGTGACACATGAAACTTATTGACCCCTACCAGGCTACCTGGCATGGGAATATCCAACCAACAGACTCCTGCAAAGACTCCCCTTGGGGAAGTACTCTGCTGTCTGCATTATCATCTGGGGAGCTATCTTGTGCTGTTTTGCTGCCGTGTCTAACTTCTCCGGAGCCGTTGCGATTCGGTATGACACTAACGTATCTGTCTCCATTCAATATTTCTGACATGCATCCAGTTTCTTCTTGGGCGTCTTCGAAGCTTCCGTTACCCCAGGCTTCGCCCTCTTAACCTCGCAGGTAAGTCAACGCAAATCTCTACCACACTTCTCCTTCAAACCCAAACGAACACTAACGTGAGCACACTGAATAGTGGTACACCAAATCCGAACAAGGCAGCCGCGTCAACATCTGGTTCAGCTTCAACGGTTTTGCTCAAATCCTCGGCGGTCTAGTTGCCTATGGCATCGCTATTGGCACCGAGAAACACGGCTCCGCCATTGCTCCCTGGAAGATTGTCTTTCTGGTGACAGGCCTCCTGACCGTTTTACTTGGTATCATATTCTACTGGGTCGTCCCCGACAGTCAGCTCAACGCGCGTTGGCTCACCAAGGAAGATCGCATTCTGGCCGTGGCTCGCGTCCGCGTCAACCAGCAAGGAATTGGGAACAAGCACTTCAAACTCCACCAAGTAAAAGAGGCTCTAATCGATCCGATGACGTGGGCATTTTTCTTCTACGCTCTCATCGCCGATATCCCTAATGGAGGGATCACCAATTTCTTCAGCCAGCTGGTACGTCACTACTCTTCCGCCCTTGACTCACCAACGCCACTGCCCTTCCCAGGCGCTAACTCTTGTGAATAGATCACATCCTTTGGGTACACTGCCGAACAATCCCTCCTGTATGGCGTTCCAGGCGGTGCCGTGGAGATCCTCTCTCTAATCGGTAGTGGCTTCCTGGGCCAATATACGAACCAGCGCCTCCTCTGCAGCGCGGGGGGTCTCCTCTCCGGCATCATCGGGATGATCCTCATCGTTGCCTTACCAATGTCTAATAATGTCGGTCGACTGATTGGATACTACTTGACCCAAGCCAGCGCTACCTCCTTCGTGGCTCTACTGGCTATGATCTCCTCCAACGTGGCCGGCTATACCAAGAAGACCACCGTCGCGGCAATTTATCTGATCGGCTACTGTGCGGGTAACATTATCGGTATGGAACTCCCCTCCCATATTGGCCCCAGAAAGAAAACCATAAGAAAGATGGGGATGGGATAGACCACGCCCCCCTCTCTCACACATCATCGTTCATCTTTACCCCAAGGTAAATAGCTGACCAAAAACCCCGCCTAGGCCCTCAAGTCTTCCGTCCCCAAGACGCCCCCCGCTACGTGCCCGCCGAGATCACCATCATCGTCTGCTACGGAGTATCGATGATGATTCTGGCCTTGATTTGGTGGTGGTATCGCCGGCAGAATGAGAAGAAAGCCCGCCTTCGCGCGAGTCCGGACTATACCCGGTTGGAGAACCAGGAGTAAGTTCCTTCTTCGCCCGCACTTTGTTCCTCGACTTCGTTCATCTTTCGGTAATATGGCTAACTTTGTTCGAAGATGGATGGACCTGACAGACTGGGAAAACCATGAACTTGTTTATGCTTTGTAATGACTGACACGAGTCAGGTCAAGTGGTATTCCGGGCCTGGTGCCTATATGATCACAACTACCATTTGCTGTCTCAGGTTTCGGCTGGGTATCACTGGCCTTATATACAGGTCGTTTATGATGTTACGATACACTACTTTCTAATTTGTTAATCTTTTCAGACTCCTCAAGGTGGCGCTTGATTATCTGCTGGTGATATCCCATTCAAGGAAGAACATAGCCTCTTTCAAACATGCGAACGACAAGCTACCAGTCCCTCCGTAATCTCTGCATCCTCGCACATGATTGATGATCAAAAAAATCTCCCATACAGGAATGTACATAAGACCAAACATATGATTCAGCATGCCTCTGCAGAACACTATTCGAAAGCACGTAACCAAAGAACAAACACTTCAGCCTAACATATATCAAGCCAAGAGAGTCTCCTATTATCGACTGGTCATCAGCCTCGTAGGTCATCAAGTGGGATGGAAAGGCGGATGAGACTTACCACAGTCATCAAGGATAGATGAATGAACGATAACGCTGGCCTGTCTCTACCACCCAGCCTAGTCCTGCCACGAGGGGAATATTGATGTGGATAGTGTGAATGAGTGCGTTGTAGTTGACGAAATTGTTGTTGCAGACGTTACTGTGGAGAGAGTTGAGGTCGATCGTATGTCCCAGGCCCGTCCCTGCCACCCAACCGAGGCCTGTTTTCGAACATGTCTGTTGCTGTAGTGGAGCGATGATCTTGAAAAATGCCGTTGCCAAAGACAGCAGTCGCCAGAAGAGCAGCTGTTGACCAAGCCTTTCTCATGCCGAACATATTGGTACCGTTGAAATGATGCCCCAGGCCCTTCCCTACCGCCCAACCAAGGCCTGCTGGTATCGTTACTGTAGTGAGGCTGTTGTCGAACGAGGCTGACGTTGTGAAACCTTTGTTTCCGATGCTGTCGTGTATATATGCGTATATAGTCGTCTTTATCGTTGTCAATACTGATTGCAATTCATATGGCCCAGGCCCGTCCCTGCCACCCAACCAGGGCCTGATGACGAAGACACTTTTGCCGCAAGGCTCTCGTCGAGGAGGGCTGCTGTCGGAAGTGGCTTTTTATCCAACTGGCTACCGTTGGTAACATAGATGGTCAATGACATGACCCAGGCCCGTCCCTACCACCCAACCGAGGCCTGTTGGAAATCGTTGCCTTGCTGAGATTGTCATCAAGTCTGGGCTGTCAAGCCGGTGTCGTCAAGCCGGTTGTCATCGGGTCGGTGTCACTCTCTCATCGTTCTGTCAATGCCTGCCAGTCAGCCTTCAATCCAATGCATACATCCAGATGTCTCTTACTTTGCTCGAGTGGGCCGAGTAAGTCGTATTCGAGACCTTCCCTCCTACCCTTCAAAGTCCCTCGTCGAAGTGGCTGCCGTGGTGTCGAGTGTCGTTTGAGCAGATGCCGTTGGTAGTCGTGTACCCAGGCCCAAATCTTCCACCCAACTCAGTCCTTTCAAAAGAAAATGGAAAGGAAAGAGAAAAGGTAAGAAAACCAGCGCCCAAGCCCTACCAGCCCCTTGTGTTCACACACCAGTCAGTCAATCTAGATACTTTACTTACAACCACAAGAGAAGGAAAAACAGGATATAAAATATCTACTTCTTGCAGTCTACATATTAGCTCATATCACATTTACTGGGCTTTGGAATACTTACCTGCTCTCAAAGTGACAGGCAAAATCTCGCATCGATTATACAATGCGATAAGCCTTGTTATTATCACTTCTCGAACAGCCTGAAGCAAAAGTCAGCCCATACTGCAGCCAAACACTCTGTGGTGATGATCACTCACTATCTATCAAGGAAACACAGGAAGATAAAAAAACAAGGAAGAAATAGTTGTGTTAGTTGAAGGCATAGACAGCGAAGCTACTGTCTATGTCCACAGGCCCATCCCAACCACCCAGCCGAGGCCTGGAACAGGGTGTTCACGTCTATATCAGTCAGCTAAATTGTCTTTACATGATGGTGATGGCTGAAATGACATTTACACCTTGCACCACGGACACAGGATAGCATCGAGCTACCTGATTCCATAAGTGTGAGAAGATGACCCAGGCCCGTCCCAGCCACTCAACCAGGGACTGACGCAAATAATGCTACTATGGAGCATAGTTAGCCGATTTCAACCGCAAGAGTATTTTGCAGGGCTCAACCTGCCGGAGGTCTATTACAAGAACTGCAAAACCAGATCAACCAAGCCCACACCAGGGACAATGCTGTGCAGTCAGCATAGTGCCCACGTACCAAGATAAAGCCGAAGACAGTTCTACATGTCCCAGGCCCGTCCCATCCACCCGTCCATGGCCTGGGTTGTTGCGTATGGGATTTGCCGTGACCCAGCTAAGGCTGGTCAGACGAAGTCCTGTAATAGAAAAAGGTTAACGGAGTGTCAGCAGACAAGTATCAGCACTTACCGAGTTGATACTGGGCTATACTAAAAGAACTATATCCCAGGCCCGTCCCACCGCCCAACCGGAGCCGAGTCTACTCAGATACGTACTATGAAGTAAGATTAGCATAGTGACTATAGCCATGAGAGCATGAACACTCACCGAGGTGCTGCTGAGCTACACTATACTACCCCAGGCCCTTCCCGACCACCCAACCGAGGCCCAGTCTACTTATGCTCATACTAAAATCAAATTAGCACAGTGACTATAGCCATGAGAGTATGAACACTCACCGAGGTGATACCGAGCTACACTACAATGTCCCAGGCCCATCCCAACCACCCAACCGGGGCCGAGTCTACTCAGATATGTACTATGAAGTAGGGTTAGTATAGTGACTATAGCCATGAGAGTATGAACACTCACCGAGGTGATGCTGAGCTACACTACACTACCCCAGGCCCATCCCGACCACCCAACCGAGGCCGAGTCTACTTATGCGCGTACTAAAATCAAATTAGCATAGTATATATAGCAATAAGAGCAATAGCACTCACCAGGTGGACACGGATTAATGCTACAGTGCCTTGGTCCCAGGTCGACCACCCAACCACCCTTGGCCTGTCCAGACTACATCTGCAAGCACCCATTAGTTCAATCTCTTGACATCACAGTGAAAGACTCAGCTTCTATTATGATGTCTTGAACACTAAGACATCAGATATGCGCGTGCCTGATGTCCCAGGCCCGTCCCGTCCGCCCATCCAAGGACCTGTTCAGACTAGCTGTGTCTGTGGATGCTCATTAGTCAAACTTGCTCATCATACCAAGAAAAAGAAGACTAACCAGTCTATTGAAAAGACTGCACTTAGTAATCCCTGGCAACCTGAGCTGTCAGGTGCTTTCTGAGGCCACCCACCCGTCCGCCCATGGCCTGGACAGATGCCTCTAGAAGCGTTCGTTAGTCACTCTCTTGATATTAAGATGGGATACTTATCTTCTCTTATAAGTTCTTGACATCATGACACCAGACCCGTGTGTCCGATGTCCCAGGCCCGTCCCGTCCACCCATCCAAGGACCTGTTCAAACTAGTTGTGTCTGTGATCATCATTTAGCCAAGTACAGAGCCACGACCTCAGCATAAAAGGAACTTACCAGTTTCTTTGGGAAACTGCACTTGACAGACACTTGGCAGCTATATATCGTTTAGCCAGTTACATGGAGTGCTACCAAGTGTCTCCCAGGCCCATTCCCAACCACCCAGCCGGGGCCTGGACAGATGCCTCTAGAAGCGTCCGTTAGTCACTCTCTTGATATTAAGATGGGATACTTATCTTCTCTTATAAGTTCTTGACATCATGACACCAGACCGCATGTCCGATGTCCCAGGCCCGTCCCGTCCGCCCAACCAGGGACCTGTTCAGACTAGTGATGTCTGTAGTACATCGGTCAGTAAGATGCAAGCCTTGGCCTCAGATTAGAAGAGAAAGACTCACCAGTTCCTTTGGGGAACTGCATTTAACAAACACCTGGTAGCCATGTCACTTGTCCAATAGTTGGGGGGCTACCAAGTGTTTCCCAGGCCCATTCCCAACCACCCAACCGAGGCCTGGTCAGACTATTCCAACTGGAGGTATCATCAGTTAGTCAAGAGTAGCTCGATAGCTAGGTGAAGGGGAGACTTCTCAGCTCTCTCTTCCATGTTTGCACCTCTCCACATCAGACCCAGCACGTGTGTCCGATGTCCCAGGCCCGTCCCTGCCACCCAACCAGGGCCTGCCAAGATGTGTTCCTATCGTGGTGTCAGTTTCAAGATGTCAAGCTGTGTCAAGGAGAAGGTAAGACTCGCCAGACTGAAAAGCCAGCTGTCTGATGTCCCAGGCCCGGCCCAACCACCCTACCATGGGGCCCAGGGAAGAAAGCTATATCAAACAGGCTAGCAACGATGGCAGAGATGAGCGAAATGAGAACGTTAGGACAAGAGATGTAGCAGATTGAGGAAGATAAGGCAGATACAACACGATGAAAAGCAGTACAATGAAACAGAAGTAGCCTATTGACCTATTGAGAGATGATACTGAGAAGTTGCCAGGGAGATGAAGGAGATACTAAGGAGATGAAGAGGATACAAACCAGATGGGAGAGATACAAGCCAGGTGAAGAGAAGATATCAACCAGATGGCCAGGATAGCCAGAAGATGCCAAGATAGCAAGAAGATGGACAGGATAGCAAGACGATAGATAGGATAGCAAGACGATGGACAGGATAGCAAGACGATGGGCCAGATAGCAGCCAGATGTGCCAGATAGCAAGCAAAGAGCGAAAAATGTATGGAGAGGAGAGAGGTGTAGGAGGGAAAGATTCAGCTGGCCTCGAGGGGGGGCGCGAGCTGCTTAAACGCCGGCGCCAAGACTTTGACGTAGCTGAAAAGATGCCAGGATGAGGTCAAAACCCGCTCAATCAAGTGGTAATTGACGCAAAATGTTCCGCACGATGACTGGCAACCGGAAGATGGAGTCAAAGGGGGAGGGGAAATACTGTCGGGGATGCTCAAAGGATGAAGCAATTCGGATACCCCCAAATAGGCAAGCACGAAAATTTCACGCAAACTACGGGCGATCAAGGTTTAGACCAATAGAGAGCATTATGCAACGAGGGTAGCATGCTGGTAGGATACCTACGAAACGTCGTAATGATGGTCGTCTACTGTCGACATCGACATACTATCTCAACAGACTTGTTGTCTCAATGCATCTCCCATCAAGCGGGTACAAACAGCAAAAAGGCACTGGAGTACTGCACACAAGTCTTTGCCGAGAAGATGAGAGGAATACCTGATTGAATCAACTTGATAGAGGCCAAGGTGGTGGTGCAAAATACTCCTGTCTGCATACAAGACAAGCGGTACTATGTACAATACAGTATAGTAGTACCTTTTCATTTAAGCGAGACTAAGCGAGGAGATACTACAGTTTGTAAGCTTAAACCTTCGGCGACGAATATGGCCGGCAGGGACCAAACCTTGTTAGCGGAGGACTCCTCCGGAGCAATCACTGCGCCTCGCAGCTACAGCAAGGTTTCCGAGCTGACAGGAGAATTCAACACCCCTGAACCTGAATTTCGAAATCCTCCAGTGGTTACAAAAATAGACCATAGCAAAGTTTCTGGATTGGCTCCAGGCCGATTGAATTCGGAAAAGTTTATTTTCTGCCTGGTAGGGCTGCTACATAGTACCAGTACATTCACAAGAGACCTCCTCGGTTGCATGCCACGCCAAGCTCAGCTACAGCGACGCAATGAATACGTACTATATATCCCCAGAACAACCCATGCAAGCCGACTGCCTACCCCCATACTAGCAGCCAATAGCCACCTATTCCAGCAATAGCCAGCAGGATCGCCCATCGCATCAGCCCTCTCCGGATATAGTACATGGCGATACAATCCACTGCCTGGGCATCATTGATGCATGGGAAAGGAACATCCGGCACCTCCTTCCCCAGCGCACGGCACAGGGGCTCCCACCCTTCCCTGACATCAAACAACACCAGACGATGGGGCGGCACGACCTCACGCAGCCACTGCAGGTGTAGCTGGTAGATCCTGGCGACATCGCGCGAGCGGTAGATGCGATCCCACTGCGACTGCAGCAGCCAGTTGTAGCCCATAAAGTGCCGCATCCCCGGAAGGGGGAGCAGCACCGCACCCAGGAACCAGAGCCGCACAATCGAGCTGACCTGCTGGATGCTCTGCACCCAGGCGTCTGGGTCGCGCACCGTGCAGATGACTTTACTGTCCGGGTAGAGCTCGAGGAGTTCGGGAACCAGCTGCGAGGCCGGGGCGTCGGTGATGGCTGCGTAGCCCGCGGTACGGGTCTGCAGGAGAGCTAGCGTGGTGGCATGGTCGCCGGCCAGCCAGTTGCGTAGAATCTGTTTCCAGGATTTGATTTCCGTCGGTGGGCCCATCAGGGTCTGAGTACCACCATGGTAGATGGGTCCGTCCAGAAGGACCTCCAGGGCAGCGCTGAAGGAGGCGGTTCCGGTGCGCGAGAGCCCGGCTCCAATGACTTGGATGTGCGTGCCAGGCTGGGGCATGGAGGCTTGTTGACCCATCTCTGACCGCGGTCACAGTCCGCAGTAGAGGTAGAACAGAGTTTTTTTGTTCTTTCTTTTTTTTTCTCTTTTTTTTTCTTTTTTTTTTTCCGTTGTTTTTCATTCGAGAAAGCAAATGGTTCCGAGGAGGGTGAGGGTGAGAATGGCCGAAAGGATGTTAAAGGTTGTAGAGAAGTTGAGAAACGACAGTCATCACCGCAGGGTCACACAAGTCCCTTTTCGTTCTCGCGCTCTCGCCTTAAGCGCCAACCTTGCACCAGATTTAGAGCAGAACCAGCCGATAGAGTTAGCTTTTCTCGTGCAAGAAAGTAGGACTCATCTTCCAGTCCAACCAGAAGCAGGGTCTACTCCGAGGTCTACCGCTGAGTCTCCTTCGCCGGGTCAGAGAGACTTTCCCCAAAGAGACTTTTCAACTTGCAAGAGCTTAGAATAGAAACATCTTGCTTTTTCACTCACTCTGCGGTGGTGACCTATGAGTCCCGTCTCTCCGAACGATGCGTCTGCATTTACACCACAGCATTCAAACATGAAATCGTCTAGTGATGGGACCTCAGGTGTTCGCCTTACCATCCAGGACACAAACTTGTGAAATCAGGCAGAGTCATATCAGGATGCAGTGCAGGATTTAGGCGTAGTGACCGGTACCATATGCTACATAGCACGCAGCGAGAACCACAGATCCTAGCAGGTAGCCGCAGAAAGACGCATATTCTCGCCATGTAGTCTGATCCTCAAGCAGCAACCATTCAGGTGAGAAAGAGGTTACTTGATGCAGGCTATGCCTCTCAGGCTGATTTATCCAGCGACCAAACCCGCACCTACGGCAGCGAGTAATTTCGCAAATATCGTAGATAATGCACAGGCATACTGCTCCTCAACGACCTAGATCCTACAACTCCAGCAACCGCTCCTTAGGCCCATCCCTCCCTGCATACGAAATCCGAGCATACGAAGACCCATCCGTCTCCGTCACGAAAGACACCGTCCCCGCCACTCCCTCCGGACATTTCTCCCTCAGCACTCTCAGCTCATCCTTCGTCCAGTCAAGTATGCTCTCCGCCATCTGATTCGTATTGAAGAAGCCGCCGCAATGCGGCCACGAGAGCAGACCATCGAGCGCCCACCAGCGAATCCCGTGATCCGGGCACTGTGCTAAGAAGAAAAACACCGGGGTCAGGCTTATTCCTAGACTAATGAGCGGACGATCCTGAATCAGTGCCAGCGTCATTTCCAACATCCGCTGCAATCGCTTATAATCCTCCATGAGAGGATGTAGGGAGCAGCCATTGCTCCGTAGAAGGCAGCTTTTGATGCCTACGATCTGCCCGTGGGCAGTGACTCGCAGTACCTGCACGCCCCGCTGTTCCTTGGCGCTCAGGCGGGTGAATGACGCTGCCACAAAGGCTTCGAGTGCTTGGAGGAACTGGTTCAGGCAAGATATAATGCGTAATGGACCGAGTGGGCTGTCTTCGGAAGGTTCATCCTCTCCGTCGCCGGGGATCGTCGCTTGTTGTTGGCTCTGCTTCCAGAACCTCACGAAGTAGCCACAGCTAGCGTTGAAGGCAGGCCCAAACGCTTGGTGAGCCTCGCCGAAGGTCGAAAACGCAGAGAGGTAGTTTTCGTACGGCCTCTCGTAGAGAATTTCCTGGTCGATCGGTAATATGGGCGGACCCTTATTCAACAAAGAAAAAGACTGGCTCTGTAGATGCAGGTAGGTCTCGAGGGTGCTTTGTTGCTCCCAAGGCGAGTGAACGGAGCGCTGGGCCTTGTGCTCCCGCAGGATCTTCAGTCCACCGGACAGATGCACGCTTGCGGTGGCTGGGCGTGCGTAGAGCAGCTCGGCCAGAGTGAACAGCAAGCAGCAGACGAGGACAACCTGCCGCAGGGCAGGGTCCTGTGAGGCCCGGCGTTTGGTGAGCAGGGAATAGGACCGGAGGGATTGCTCTGTAGCGAAGCGACTCAACGCGGTATCTGGCCTCTGTCCAGATACGGGTATGGGTAATCCATGTTGTTCAAGGTCCTGGTGAATTGAGCCCAGGGCCACGACCGCATGATACACGGCGGGTTCATTGTAGCTCATCTGCAGAACGAGCTTCTCCCACAGAGGGTTGTCGAACGAGGCGATCAGATGGGAGATTGAGCGCAACTGAAAATACGAGAAACAGCGTTTCTCATCGGATGTGGTTACAAAGCAGAAGCCGGTTGCCACCGCGGAAGAGCGACAAGGAACCATTGTGGTCTTCTTCCGAGATGGCAGAGGCAGTCGTTGGGCCTCGTAGCCATCGCAGACTCGGCCCGTAGAGGTACATTGCTGGCATGCTCCGGGGGTCTCATCACATTTGACCCGCCGTGCTCTATCGATTGCTGGATCAGAAGAGAACCAGGCGAGTCGTGGGGTTAGTCCCTTATATACTCAGTACTGTATTTCACTTACCGACAGGTACGGCATCCGGTACGGGACCTTGGCTTAGATGCTCGCTTCTGTTTCACTGGGAGTAGTACTTTGGGAGGATGAGCATCGGCCTCCTTGTGAGGCAAGTCCATTGTACGCAGAAGTGAGCTCAGTGGTGCTTGAGACGGTTTGAAAGGTGTTGTTGCTGTGGATGATCAAGCATGGGGGCAGGCAGCATGCAAGACAAGATGAAGCAGTAAGCAGTAAGCAGTAAGCAGTAAGCAGGAGGTTCAAGTTGTGTTGTGCCGTCCTACGCTAAACTACAGTAGGTTGGCACCGCGGCTGGAGTAGCCGATGGGGCGGGCCGTTAGGGGGGAGAAAACCAGAATGTCTCCTTTTCGACTCCGCTGTGGAGCCATCTTTGGTCCAAGCACCATGCCAAGGAGGTTGTCTGCAAAGTGAACATGATCATCTAGCTCAGTTCTTGGAGCTACTCCCTATGATGCAACAAGAATCGAGCCACGGAGCCCCAAATTGACAGTCTTAAGTATAGAGTGGCAGCCCCCCTTTCTTCCCAAAAGCCTCCACCCCTGTGTCACTAGAATATCCTGAACACTCCACCTCACCAATATTGATCCTCGCATTGATGCTAACAATCAGTGTGATCTCCCAGAGAGCCCCACCATAGCTATGACTGCCAGGCCAAGCCAGCCATCCTCTCGGACTGGACCCGAAGCAAACAGCGAACGGCCAATATCGTCCGACAGCCACGCATTCACCAAACAATGAAAATGCCTACTATACAGTATACCCCGACAGAAGCAATTTATTTCCCCTCACCGCCCTTATTTCCTCGAACAAAGAATTGCTAGCGACTAACGATGCCACACCCTTGCGACTCAATATCCAACGGCTATAGCGGCATGTTCCGTTGGGTACAAATTAGTGCTGACGGGGATTATCTTTTGAGCAAGACCGAAGCCAGATACCTAAGAATGAGCTCCGAGACGCTGAATGGCCGAACAGCTGTAGCATACATTCGCAATCTCCCGGACTTTCACTGAGGACAAAGGAGACTCTACTTGAACGCATGTACCTGCATGCGATTCGATACCGAGACTCCCTTAGCTCAACATTGCGATTCATTCAGCCTATAAACGATTCCTCTGCATCTGGAGGCACCCCACGCAAGACTGATTGCATTTTTTTTACCAACGATCTCCGGACCCGAACAAAAGATTGATCTTAATCGTGACCCGAGATTGTGGGCACTGGGGGATTAGGGCTTCGGAATACTTGGGATATCCTGAAGTTTATCCGTGAGATCAATCATTAGAGAGGGGAAGCGGCTCGGCTGCATGGCCAAAATTGGATTCACAGGACAACCCATCGATGATCATCCCACATGATAATAAGCCACACTATACGCAAAGCTCTCAGGATTCTTTGCTTACAGCCAATGATGGACATGCTGCGATAGTGCTCTGATATTGCGTTTGATGGCCTGAGTGATGTGACTGGTATAAGCGTGGCCGCCCCCAAGCCACGTGCCTGTACCACTTCCAAGGTCCAATTGCACAGACCCAATCGGCGGGGATGCTCTTGATTACGACAAAGTATATCGAATTGACAGTATACAACTTGATCAGGTCCAATGTGATGAGTCCAAAAGGAAAGCGACCAACGCGGGCGCAGACTGCTCTGGGCAAACTATATGATGTTCAATGGTTCTTGCTGCTTCGGCCGGACTCACTTTCCGACATGTATCATCGGGCTGCGACTTCCTCCGACGCTCCCCAAACAGCGAGCCATCGAATCACGCCCACGAGTGTGAGCCCGCTAATAAAGGAGGTTGAGCTCATTCAATTCAGCATTAGTGCTTCACCGCTATCCTCACCATCCTTGCATCTTAAGTGCCAGGCTCTGCTGTTTAGATTTAGCTTCCTAGGGACTATCTTGTGACCAGTCGATGGGGGTGCGCAGACTTTCGACCTCGAGTCAGTATAGTGAGTTGCCTGTAGATGAGCAGCGGAGAAGTATTCTTTTAGTATTCTCAGTGGAGTATAAAGCAGAGGGGGAACCCTCTCGGGCCTAGAGTCAAAAGTCAATTCCTGCAGATCGATCACACCAATCGATCCATCGGAATGCTCGAGATTAGACAGCATTGACACTTACGACGCAGCATGTATCTTGCTCTGTCCTTTGCCACTTTTCTCCCTATGGCTCTCGCCGCAGCTCCAAATTATTGTCCGCTCCTGGGGCCAATCTTCCCCGCTCCACAAGCCATTGCCACAAGCAGCGCATTCCTCTCCGCAAGGAACAACATCTCTTCTGCCCTCGCCTCCGCCATTGCAGGAACATCATCCCTCGATGACATCTATGACCCCAACACCACATCTTTTGCGATTCAGGTCTTTTCGACTCATGATGCGGGGCCATTATTCGAATCCTATTACACCGCTCCGAATGTCAATGTGTCCGTCGGTGTTCAGACTGTGGATGAGAATACCGTCTTCCGCATTGGAAGCGGCTCCAAGGTCTGGACGATCTTGCTGATGCTCATTGAGCGGGGAGATGCTGTGTTTCGCGAGCCGGTCGCGAAGTATGTCCCGGAAGTTCGAGCTTGGAATAATACGCCTGGTTGGAATGAGATCGACTTTGTGCGCTGGGACGAGGTGACAATTGGGGAGCTGGCGAGTCAATTATCGGGAATCCCACGAGACTGTGAGTGACCGACCAGATCAGACCAGTATCCGCGTTGGCTGCGATACTCATATCTGTATAGATGGTTTCGCGGACTTAGCCACATTGCTGCCGGATCCGAGTGCCTATGGCCTCCCTCCACTTTCGCCCGCCGAGCAGCTCCCGTGTGGTGCGCCAGGCCAACCCTGTGATCGAAAGCGTAAGTAAGTCTCACATCTATCAGGGAACCCGATGCTGACCAATCCAGAATTTTTCAATGGCTTGTTGAAACGACATCCCGTGGTTCCCACTGCGTCCACTCCTGCTTACTCCAACGCAGCATTTCAGATCCTGGCATACGCTCTGGAAGCGATGACCGGTCAAAGCTATCAGAGGCTCCTGGCTCAGAACCTCATCCGCCCGCTCAATCTCACCCGCTCGAGCTACAACAAGCCAGCGAACAGACTAGGGGTCATTCCCGGAGATGTAGATACTACATGGTGGGCCTATTCACTCGGGGACGAGACACCGTGCGTACATACCCCAAGCTCCTAGGCTGCACTAACCGCCTGCAGTGCTGGTGGCCTCTACTCGTCCGCTAAGGATATGGCCACCATCGGTCGTGCCATCCTTGACAGCCAGCTGCTGCCCCAATCGCTTACGCGGCGCTGGTTGAAGCCCCACAGCCACAGTTCCTCGCTTGAGCTGGCCATCGGCGCTCCTTGGGAGATCTACTCTTTTCCCTACTCCCGGGTAGTCGACCTCTACGCCAAGGCCGGGGATATAGCGGCGTATTCGTCCATGCTTGCCTTGTCCCCCGACCACAATGCCGGCTTCACTATCCTAATAGCAGGTACCAACACGCACTGGACCACGGCCTATCTGTCCGATCTCGTGGCGAACGCGCTTCTTCCCGCGCTCGACGAAGCGGCGAAAGAGGAGGCGGCGCCAAAATTTGTGGGATCCTATGTGGCCAAAAACTCCACATCCTCACTGACCCTCCTCACGGACGATGGCCCGGGGCTCCAAGTCGAATCGTGGCTATATGATGGGGCCGACATGTTCAACACGTTTGCGGCGGCTCTGGGCACGACAGTTGCGGAAGTCAGCGTGCGGCTGTACCCGACCGGACTGGAAATGCCAGGGCGTATTTCTTGGCGGGCGATTCCGCAAGATTTGAGTGAAGGGGTAAATGCGATTGGGCCGTTCAGCCGGTCATGCCCGACCTGGTTCCTTGTAGACGAGTATGCGTATGGAGCTGTTGGGTTAGATGAGTTTGTGTTTGATGTGGATAGAGAGGGAACGGCGGTAGCCGTCGAGGTGAGGGGTTTGCGGATGGTGTTGCAACGATAGAATGGGTTATGATCCACGTGTTCTGCCGTCTGGACGCCACAGCATATGCATGGGGAACAATACTGTGAGTCTATGACATGTCTGTTGTCCGTTATAGCGAAGTGATAGGTCTGCCAAGGCACTAGTTTGCTCGATGGCTCGGGGATTCTCCGGGGTTGTGGCTGTGGTTGATTGATTGGAATTCATTGGAAATTGAAATGTCATCCATCGTCTTGACAGGACAATCGCAATCTGCGCCCAGTGAAAACCGGCGATAGCAAGCGATAAAGTGGATTCAACTGTGCGATTTAGTGTTTAGTTCTGCTGGGCAACCATGGTTCTGGAGACATTGACTCGGGGTCTTGGACCAAGTGCCAACAAGTCACGTCAGCCATTCTAGACTCAAGCCAAGAATGTCGCGTACCCCACGCTGTGTGGAGGATGCGGTCATCAAGGAGTCTGGGTGATGTCCAGCATTCCAGACGAGATGTGAGTGTGAGTTGGGCAGTGACATGTCAGGAGGGAGAGCCGATGAAGAAATGTCGAAGACAATCCCATAAAACCCCTACGGATAGTTCAAATCAGATGTGGTGGAAGAAGGGAAAGGAAAGTAACTGGCGGTGAGGCCTCGAGGGCGGAAGCACTTTGTGTCCGAAGTGGGGGCAGAGACTGACACTAACACTAAGTTATTACGGAGTGCTTAAGGGTCAGGTTGAGATTCTTGAATCCTCTTGAATGCAGGGGGGGGGGGGGGAAAGAGAAGGGGGAAGAAGAGGGGGAGAACGAACAACAGCCCCGCAGTGGGTGGAGGAAAGACAAACCCAGCGAAGAACCTGCGCTGAACTTGGAAGAAGAAGGGGAAGAACAGGTGAATCAGATGGTCAATCAACGATGAGTGATAATGAATGAATGATCCATGATCCATGATCATCATCATCATCATCCCTCCCTCTCTCCCTCCCTCCTGGTTCCTTGCCGCCGATCCATGCGTCTCCACCGGCTCTTCTGCATCTGGTCTTTGACGCTTGAATGCGACCCTGGCGGTTAACCTGGTTTGGGTTGCCGCTGGAGTGGAAATGAATGCAGCCTGTAAAGAAAAGGGAAAATGCGAAAATGTTATATTATTTTAAAATTCAAAAACAACCCTTATGCAGTTTCCTCCCTCTATTTAATTCCCCAACACCATAACGACTACTACTTACTCTTCGTTCAACCTCTAAACCAACTAACCCCCCTTGACAGCTGGTCTTTTTTATTGTTATTGTCTTTCATTTTTCATCCAGTTACTTTTTGAAGGATTGAATTCTTCTGGTCAGTCACTCTCTTCCTCAGTTTGTATCGATCGTCCGTCGACTGACTTGCCCCTCTCAGAACTTAATCGACAAGAACCATTTACTACTTACTACCAACCAGTACCAGCTGATAACCACCGCCACTGCCCAGAACCACTGTTCTTATTAGCCAACATGATCCCTGCTTGTTGAACTTCCCGTACCCCTCCTCCTCTCTCTCTCTCTCTCTCTCTCTCCCTCACTCTCTCTTCTTCCCTCCTCCCACCACCTCGGACTGGTGCCATCTGGTCGGGGCATGTGTTTGTGTGCATCGGCTGGGCCGTCCTCCTCGCTCTCTCTCCCATCAAGCCCGAAAGCATCATACACTCAACACAATCACATGGTCTATACCTCTGGCCTAGGTCCAGAGCATCTATATACTTCACCCGGTGTGAACATGAACATGAACAACCATACGAAATACCCAACACTAGCGGTCACCGAGATCAGCCTACCGTACATGGACGCCTATACTTCCGAGGACAGCAGGAGCAGCAGGAGTAGCAGCGTCGCCACCCGCCAAACCAACTACATCCCTCCCTTACCGGCCTCTCCTGCTGCGACAACAGAAACCACTACCACGACCTCATCACCTCCTTCGACTTCTCCATCCCGCCACCGCAAGGCCAGTTTCCAAAGCAGCTCCGGTAGCCACGGTAGCAGCAGCAGCCGCAGCCGCCGTGGCCGTCGACAGAGCTCTCTCTACTCGCAGCACCGGCGCATCGCCACCGCACCGACGACCGTCTCCATCACCCCGATTGCCGACCAACCCTCCCGCCGGGAGGATCTACTGGCGCTGCACCGGGAATCCTGTCGCTTGTTCCAGCAACCCCCCACTCCGACGGCCCCGTCCACCCCGCCGCGCAACCAGCGCTCACCCAGTACCAGCTCTAGCCTCACCACCACCATCACCACCACTACCAGCAGTCCCAAGGCCAGCTCGCCTTTCTCTGCGGTCCGCGAAGTCTACAAAACCCCCGTCCGCGCGTCCACCCTCCCCGTCTGGGACCGCGCCGACGACGCCACCCCGCAGACCACCGTGACGGTCATCGACTGGACGTCGCCGTCCACGCGACGACGGGAGTACGAGAAGATCGACAAGGCGAGTAGCGGGGTCCGCGGGTTCTGGAGGCGTGTGGCGCCCAAGTGGTGTCAGTCGCGGGCTCGGCGGATGCCGTTCTTCGAGGAGAAGGATGGGAAGGGGAACTATGAGGGGAGTGTGCGGCGGTTTCGAATGGATATTCCGGAGTGAGCTGCGGAGTTAGGTGATATATTTTAGCCAGATTTTGATACCCATAGATTGTCGAATGTTTTTGCAGTTTATCGCTGGAATGTGCATTGGTCTAGGTGGTGATTATAGACTTGACTGGAAATATGAAGAAACTTTTTGCGAAATAAATGTACTAACGCCTAAACACCATATTAACCACCGGGTGCGGGTATCATCACAACAAATCAAAATCATCCATCTTGTTTCTATAGCTCATGATCGTCCTCTTGATCTTGCTGCTGTCCACCCAGGTGACAAAGTCCTCCAAGTTGCGGGTGATGAGGTAGGCGGGATCGGTGACGACTTCGGTTCCGACTCGAACGTGGCCTTGTTCGATAAATGTGCATGCCTGTGGTGTTGTTAGCATCAAACCATCCATCCTCACAAAAGACATGAACAGAAGTAACGGGGGTTTCCTGAGAGGAAGATGCCAGAAACCTCCAACACACACTCTCTCTCTCTCTTCCCTTTGAAAAGAGTGAAAAGAGATGCGAAGGATACCCGGGGCGAACCCCGGGACCCACTCATAGGAGAAGGAAGAGGGATACTAGAGATACCGCAAACCCTCTTCTTCCATAACCACAAACCATGAGAATGACCCCCCGAGAGAGAAAGAACCCCCGGGACCGCAACAAGACAAAAAAAAAACTTACAGCAACAATATTATCCACCATCCCACTCCTCGCCATAAACACCGCCAACCGCCTCCGGCAAAATGCCGAAACCGTCACCTCGCGCTCCACCCGCGACAAGCCGGCGCCCTGCTCGCGGCTCTGCTTCAGAATCCCCATCCGCCACAGCTTGTCCAGCATGTCGGCCTCGAGCTTGCGACGCACGGGGTCGGCGGGGTCCAGCTCCGTCAGCTTGTGCGCCAGCTGCCGCAGCGAGCCGCACAGGTTGTTGTACTTGCGGTAGTCGAGCGGGTCCTGCAGGTGGTAGCGCGTGCGGATCTGCGACTCGCGGTGGTTGTTGTCCGACTTGTAGGTGTGGAAGTCGACCTTGCGGAGGAGTTTCTTTTCGTGATATTTGAGGGCGCGGACCATTTTGGGCTTGTGTCGGTGGTTCTTCTTATAGGGGGGAGGGTTGGTGGTAAGGTTGGTCGTGTAAAAAGTAAGTGCAGAGAAGGTAAAGTGTTGGGTTTCGTTTTGGGGGTCGGTTTGCTGGTTAGGTAGTTGTGGTGGTGGTGGTGGTGGTCACAGTCTTGTTGATGGGGGCTCTTCTCTATCATTCGGAAAAAATTTGGGAGGAGCGGTGGGGATATTGCCGGTGGTATTTTGGGGGGCGGGCTTGGCGGTGTGTTGGCGGTGAGATGGGATCACTGCCTCTTGCTGCGCCGTAACCACGGAGCTTTAGTTGTAAGGATGTCTATCTCTGCTGCATCTACAAACAGTAAGGTAGTTCTCGTTCTTTCAGTCTGCGCGAAATTGAGCGATTACTACGTAGTGATCGTAGCTATCAATCTAGATCTTATTGGGTGACCAACGTTTTGGTTAACCACTCCACTGGACGTCATTTGGAGGATATCCTTCCCATTAATTTGATACTAGTCTTCAACATTAACTGTGTGCACCCAGTAACTACCACAAGACGGTATTAGTTGATCTAACTTATACATCATGTATTACACCTCCAATCCATCCAGCCATCATCAGACACTATCAAACACTCCTTAACCCAGCACCCCCTTTTAAAGCCCCGGGGCAATCGTTCTCAACCCCTGCGCAAACCGCTTAATCTGCGCCGCGTAGTAATTCTAGACAATCCGTCAGCACCCACTCATCCCCCCGTTCAGAAGCAAACATACCGATTCCAACCCGGCTCCTACGCCCTTGAACGGCAGCAAGCGCGCCAGGGCCGGCATAGGCACCCGCCCCAACACCAAGCGCGCCTGTTCATCCTCCAACCCATCGTCCAGAAACACCTTGGGCAAATCCGGGTCGATGGCCGCGGGGCGACCCAGCCCGATGATGTCGCAGACATTCTGCTGCACGGCGGACTCGGCGCCAGCGCGCGTGCGGAACCCGCCGGTCAGCATCAGCACCAAACTGGGGAAGCGTTGGCGGGTTTCGCGGGCGAATTCGAGGAAGAACGCCTCGCGGGCGAGGGTGCGTTCGCTCTTGGGGGCGTCGAGGCCCAACATCTGTCCTTTAGCTTAGCATGGTCACCCAAAGGAGAGAATCCCCCAAAGAAAAGAGGAGTCTGAGTGATCTGATGGGGGTCTCATAGAATCAAAAAAAAAAAAAAAAAATCAACGCACCTTGGGATTCTCATAGCTCCCTCCGCTAATCTCCAAAAAGTCCACGCCGGCCTCGGCCAGCAACCCGATTTGCGTCATCGTCTCCTCAAAAGTACTCGAGTTGTGATCCGCCGAGTTCAGCTTGACGCCCACGGCAAACCCTGCAGGCACCACCTCGCGCACCGCATGGATGATATCTAGCAGGAACTTTGCGCGCTTCTCTGCGCTGCCGCCGTATGCGTCGGTGCGCTTGTTCGTCTGCGTTTGGTCCTATGGTCAGTCCTGACTCGGGCGTCTCAACCACTCCTTCCTGGGGAATTGCAACCATAACGATACCTTTGCATTCAAGAATTGATCTACCCCGCCCAACATACTAGTCAACCAAAAACCACATACATAACCAACCGAAAAGAATATATGAAATGACAACCAAAGAAAACTTGAAGGAACATACCGATCAAGTACCCGTGCGCGCCATGCAATTCCACCCCCGAGAATCCACTATCCGCCATCAACCGCGCGGTATCGGCAAATTGCCGCACCACGCGATCGATATCGGCCTGGTCCATCTCGCGCGGCGCAGGAAACAGCAGCCAAGCAAGCCCGCGTGCGAGGAAGCCCTCGCCAATCTGCAAGGGGATCGCACTCGGGGCGAGGGTGGAGGCGAACACGCCGCGGCGGCCAGCGAAGCGCACCGACTGGCGACCTGGGTGGCAGATCTGGACGATGCCGGGGGACCCGTGCTGCTGCTGGACAGCGGTGGCGTAGCTGGTCCAGCGAGCCAGGAGGGGTTCATTGCCGGCCTTGCCGGTGTACTCGCCGTGCAGGGCCGGGTCGTAGGGCTGGCCGAGGTGGTTGACGTCGACTTGAACGTTGCCTGTCTGGGGTCTCAGTGGGATGGTCCAGTGATCCCTGGGCTCACTGGATATGTGAAGCCTGTACAGGATAGATGTCATTGTGAAGGTGGATATATCTAACCGGTCAGAATAGCCCCCCACCCACCTCGTCCCCACCGTTCATAGGCCTTCAACAAAGTCGGTGTGACCGTATTCTCCGAACCAGCCAGTGCTTCGGCCAGCGCTGCCTATCCCACACCACACAACCATGAGCATGAAGTCCCCAAACACAGCGATCACAGCACGTGTAAAAAGGAGACTCCCATACCTTAGCGAGCCGATTCGGCAGCACCAACCCACAAGGCAACTTCACCGCCTCATTCAGAACAGACGGCATCTTAAATCACCAACGGAAGAAGTATGACTCCCAATCGCTCAACCGCGTGTGTTCTGGCCCAAAAAAAAGGGATATAAAGAAGGAAAGAAGGGGGCAATGCCAACGATATAAAAGCGGGCAAAAAACCCGTCCTAAAGAAGAAAAACCAATATTGAACCGAGGCAAGGCACGGAGTTTAGTACCTGATAGGCAGGGGTGGAGACAACCCCCCCAGGGCAGCCGTTGGTTCTGCAGGGGACACTAATCGAAGACAAGATTTGTGCAGTAGAGGCTTATCAAGCATAAACTGGGTGGTTAACTAACTATCGATCAATCCTGCCACGAGGGTGGAAAGGCTCTGTGGGTGTGGGGTGGAGACCTGGATTTGATTTGGCCATGCCACTTTTTACCACCCACCATCCATCCCTACTGTGATGGGACGGTAGAACAATAGGGCAATATTACAGTAGATGATGCCAGAAATGTGCAGTTCTATATGTCTTAACCGAATTGACATTCATTGCCTATTCCTACCTTAAAAAGTAGCTAGCCATGAACCCGCAACCGCTAGAAGCAGGCACAGGAATATTTTAAAATACTAGTATACTGCATTTAATACCAAAGAAATCATTTACTGTGTACGTGTATACACCGAACGCATTGGAATGTACTCCGTAAGAGACAACCTTATGCCTTATATGGGTTCCTCTCGGACGACCGGACCGGAGAAGACTCATCCGGCACACCGGGCCACCTTCCTCCCGAAGACGGGACTCATTTAGATTCTCTCCCCCACTCTCCCCCAGATTCCAATCCACGAGTCCCTCATCCTTTCGCCCATCATCGACGCAAGATCTTTTTAAAATCTGACCACTACGTCGGACCAATGAGTTCCTCGGCATCCGGATCCCGAGGTCCACCCGTTCAGCTATTCAGGGGAGGGATGGAGCTGACTGAGCGTTGACCACGCGGCCCCTCCCACTAATCTTAAACTGCAGGGTTGCTGCAAAAGCTTAGCTTGCTTTTGCCTGCCTGGGCCGGAGAAGCAGGGCTGATTTTAGGCGGCATGCCGGCTGGATGCTGGGTCTAGATGGGATCTGGAAGCGTTGTCTCCGAGCTGAGGAGACTCGGTGTCAGTTGCCAGAGAGGGGAGGGTGGGAGGTAATGGTAGTAATGGTTGCATGGCTTTCCCCGCATCAACATCAACATCAACATCAATCATCATCCCCTCCTCTTACACGTGTTGGTACTGGATGGTGGTGCGGGGTAGGCTCCTTCACACCCTACGTCCTACGCTCTACATATTACTTTGCCAATCCTTGCATGAGCAGCACTCGACGAGCATCACATGCTATTTCGGAGTCATATCGGGGCATGCCGAGGTCAGAAAGACACAGTGAGATTTGAACATCGTGCAGTTATGAATTTTTTTTTAACCCAACCCGAAAACACCCTCACAATATCTAAACTAACCAATCCGAGGCCGAAATCGGTAAGAATCCAGCACAAATTTGTCATCAAATGGGCATGGAAGCGGTTGCACAAAGGGGGTATACAAGAATAATGCATCCATCCAGATTCCCAGACAGAAGAAAGAAACAAAAGAAGCGCTCCAAAGCCAAGCAACCCCGTCAGTCCGGGATTGCGATGATGAGAGAAAAAGGTAACATGAAAAAGAAAAAAAAAAAGTCAGCAACCGATTTACAGCTTAGCGTTCTTTTCCGCATCCTCGCTCAGTCCGGAGAGAGACAAAGCGCTGCCACCCAGACTGGCAAGAATAGCACCAACTTCCCGCTCCAACGACAGCACCTCGGTGTGAGCGTCGTACATGCGGGTCTTGATCCACGCATCCAGAGTGGCATCGTCCATGTTGCGGAGGGCAGTCTCGCGGTCCACCTTGGCGGCTTGCGCGGCACGGATGACATTGCGCGCCACGACAACGCTAACCTGGCGGATGCGGGTCAAGTCGGGGTAGAGAAGGCCGTCGTGGATCTCCTCGGCTGTCAGAGCCTTGGAGAGGGCCTCTCCCGAGGCATAGATCATCGTGTCCGTGACCTTCACGGCCTTGGACAGAATGGTACCCAGACCAATGCCGGGGAAGACGTACATGTTGTTGCCCTGGCCGGGGTAATGAGTGCGGGTTTCACCGGCAGAGTTGGTGAAGCTCATGGGCTGGAAGGGGGAACCCGAGGCAAAGAGGACACGACCGTCAGTGTTGGTGATGGCGGTTTCGAAGTCACACTCGGACTTGGAGGAGGGGTTGGACAGAGGGAAAACAATGGGGCTCTTGTTCCAGTCGGCCATCTTGCGCAGAATCTCCGGGGTGAAAACGCCGCCCATGGTGGACAGACCCATCAGGATGGTGGGCTTCACGTGGTCAACCACCTCCTCCAATGTCTTCAGCTGCAGGCCGTCGTTGTCCTTGCGAGCAAAGTAGACCTTGTGGTCGGCGAGCCGGTCACCGCGGTCAGCGGTCACAAGACCCTTGGTGTCCACCAGGTAGAAGCAGGCGCGGGCCTCATCCTCGGTCATACCCTCACGGACAAAGAAGTCGACAATCTGCTTAGCAACACCGACACCAGCACTACCCGCACCAAAGAAGACGGCACGGTGCTCCTTGCAAGGAAGACCAGAGCGCTTGACAGCGTTGATTACACCGCCGAGGATGACAGCGCCAGTGCCCTGGATGTCATCGTTGAAGCAGGTGTAGATGTCGCGGTAACGCTCCAGAGCGGGGAAGGGGTTCTTGAAGTCCTCGAACTGGATCACAATTCCCGGCCAGCGCTCCGTCAGAGCAGTCATCAACTCATCCATGAATTCGCGCTCCTCATCAGGGCTAACCTTGTCACGGCGGCTACCCATGTACAGCGGGTCTTCCCGGAGAGCCTTGTTGCTGGTACCCAGATCCAGAGTCAAGGGGAGAGTAGCCTCGGGACGAATACCGGCACATGCAGTGTACAGAGCCAGCTTACCAATGGGAATACCCATTCCGTTGATGCCAAGATCGCCCAGACCCAGAATGCGGGAACCATCGGTGATGACAGTGATCTCGACGTTGGGCTGGGGCCAATTGGCGATGACAGCAGCCAAATTGCCCCGGTCCTCGTAGCTCAGGTACATGCCTGCGGGGTGCATGGTTAGCGCCCGGTTTTATACCGTGAACAGGGATTAGATTCCTCACCTTCCGGCTGCTGGTAGATCTCGGACCATCTTTGGCAAGCTTCTCCAACGACAGGGGTGTAGATAAGGGGAGTCAATTCCTGATGCATGTGAGCCAAGGTCTTTTCGGTCGTGTTGCTTCCGACGAGCCTTACCTTGAGGTGGTCCGTGACCAGACGGTAGAACAGGTGAACATTGTTCTTGCGGAGAGTGCTGAGGTACAGGAATTTATCGATGACAGTTTGCTTGAGAGCCAATTGAGCCAAACCTGTTGGAAGCTGGTTAGCGAAGTTGCGAGGCCACCGACCGAATTGCACATACAGCGAGTCTTCTGGGTTTCGTATGACTCCGCACGCGGGGGCGTCAAGCCGTAGGTGCGGAGATATCTGCGGATGTAGGCAGGGTTGGCGGTGTCAAAGTTGGACGGCTCGCTGAACGCAGCCATTGTTAGCCCTCTGCTCTGATCTGCTCGTGGGCGCCTGTGTTGCTCCATATGGTTGCATGGCACCAAATGGAGGATTCGCAGGCGATTGATTTGTGCAATAGCCGGGTTTCTTCTTCACTTACGAAGGAGCAGGATGGCTGACAATAGACGTCGCGTGGACGGGTCGGCTTTGCGCGGGAAATCGAGCCATGGTGGACGGCTGTGAGGTGGCGAGAGTAGTTTTCAAACGAATACCAATCGGCGAGGAAGAGGAGAGTGAGGAGGAGAGTGAAGAGGGTGACAGGAGCAATCGAGTAGAAGAGGAAGCGACAAGGCGCCTGATTTTAAGTGCTTGGGGCACTAAAGGCATTGAGGGCCCCTGAGTCGAAATCCACCGCATTCCGAAGATCAACCACGCAACAGCAACCAGGCGCACGGTAGTTGTGATCTTATGACGAGGCCGTTGCCAGAACTATGAACCAGGACCAGGGGATATTGTTTGAGGGATGACAGCGATCGGGAGGAATCGGGAGGCAGATGGCCAGTGAGGACGACCGGGACCGGTCCGGTGGGTATCGGGTCACGTTGGGTGCATGGCAGTGAACCGTTTCGATCGGGAGTGGAGGAGAATGGGTCTGCTCTCGGTCGAAAATAGGTGAGGTAGACAATTGGGGAGGGGGAGATAAATGGAGATACGGAGCTTCGAGGCGTGTCGGGTGTGAAGGGGATTGGGTAGAGACTGTCGTGGAAGTCCGGGTATGGAGCCTGGAGAAAAGGTTGCAAGCTTGGAACGGAAGGGGGAGCCTTCGCCGAATGCGCACAATTGCGGAGTTAATGCAGTCAGGCGAATAAACGTGTCCAGATTGGAAAGGAGCTGATAGTTGCTTAAGTTGATACAGCACAAATTGCGGCATTTCTTGCCCACCAGGACAACGACTACGTTGTAGGACGGAGTACGCTGCACAATAATTGCTGCTGTTGGACTGAAGTATACGAAGTATATGTGAGTCTGTCGGTTGTCACCCGAATTAAACTCCGGATTTTGTTGTGGCAGAGTGACTCTCGTATTGAGAATCCTGCATGCATTGGTTAATTGCAGTCTACGCCTGGAGGGAGAACCTCAACTCTTCTCAAACATACGAAGTAGTCCTGTGTAGGCCGGAAAGTGAATTAATGAAGTTTTGAAGACTTTTGTATCCTTCTCGGTTCAATCCCGATATTCCCGATATACCTTCCCGATCTTTTTTTTTTTTTTTTTTTTTTTTTTTTTTTTTTTTTTTCTAAAATTTTCACATCGGGAAACTAAACCCCAAGCAGCAAAAGACCCAAAAGGGTCCCGAAGTGGATCTCCCAATTCATGTGGCATAATTTCTCTCTCACACAAATCAGTCACCATGACACAAACCAGAAGGATTCTGGACCGGATGCGAATCATTGGATTCCCCGCAGCAAACGCGGCCCGGGTTTCCTTCTCACTGCACTTGATGAGAGTTGCTGAAATTTGCTGGCTGCTGCTCCCACCACAACTTCTCCTTATTTGGCTCCAGCTGCAGGTACTGCTTACCTACATCATACACAAACACTGTCCAACATTTCCAACGACATGTCACCCTAGGCTGCAGATAAACTGTTACATCATTGTCGGAGTGTACTGTACAGCACAACCTCCAGATTTGGGCACACGAACAAGGGGAACAAACCAATATTGACGATCAGAATGCGCGAATTAAATTGTCTCTGTGTGTGAGTGTGTGTTTGTGTGTGTGCGTTGTTTGCGGTGCTTCCCCGAATTCTTCTCCAAATATATGAGATTATGAATAGGTAATCCTGGTACTCCAAATTCCACCGGAACTCCTCCTCCAATGACAGCCTTGCCGCGCCGATCGGTTCCGACCGATGGAGTTCAAACAGTTGGCTGAGTCAGCTCAGCATTAACTCCTCCAAAAAGACCAAAAACAGCAATGTCGCGGGTGAGATGTGGTCCTTTTCGGCTCGGATGAGTAGGTATCAACTTAAGGTACTTTCATCATATTAAACACTTAAACACTAACTTACGGAGTTCACACGACACAAGAAAGTAAATAGCATGACCATACTATAATTAAATCTTTCTTAACGCCGCTTGAACCGTGCTACTTCCGACGGAGATGACAGCCAGGCCGAGCCTGGCTATTATTATAAATCTGAGGGGGCGTCTGGGACGACGATAAAGAATCGGGTGTGTGCTGGTCCATCGACTCCATCGACTCCATTCAGAAAAAACAACTGGAATAGCATTCGCGGCATTTGGGCTGGTCACCGCCTACCTCCTGCGAACTATTGGCGGCCTAGCCGATGGAGACGCCTGCAGATCCAAAACCCCGACTCAAATCCTCTGGATAGTCTCCGTACTCCATGGAAGCTAGTGAGAGCGATGGACGGGCTACTCCGTACTCGTAGACCTTCATTCTCAACGTCGGATTCACAATCACTCCTCCCCTCGCTTCAGGGTTCAAAGTTCAGGCTGAATGTCTATGCGAAATGGACACAGAACATCCCTAGATCATGGTGCAGCTATCCCTAGTGACCATAACCGGGTCTACCTAACCCACTTGCAAAGGGAGCTCCCCCTTTTTCCGCTTGCTCTTCTCCCGGGATTTATGATATATGGGTCACAAAGCTTGATCAGAGCTGATCATGCTGCCTCTTCGCCCTGTATTGAATTGCTTTCAATATGCCTCATGTGTGAGGTCTTGCGTAGCTCCTCTACCATGACCCCTGAATGACTAACTATATCTCTTGCTGTGAATGTGGAACCTCCAGGCTATGTGCAAGCATGCGACAAGTGTAAGGTATCTCCTTGCTCCCTTCCTCGCACCAGAATTAAATCGCGCATTGCAAATTCTCGATTGTCTGATCTGTCTCCGGCATGCGGGATGTGATGACGGATGTGTACAGTTGGTGACTGTCACACTGACCCCGTCTGCGGTGTCTACACACTTCACAATCTGCCTTGCAACGCTGCACGGACGAAATATCATTCCATGGTTCCTCAAAGTTTTATCTTTGGTGGCTCTCCGGGAATCTCTTGACTGGCGTGAAGAGAAGACTCTGTCTCTTGGTATCCCAAGTCTCCGTACAGTCCGTGTTGATACTCTGGGAAGGACGGAAGAGAGCGTTGTCTTGGTACTCACAAGGTAAAACTATCGGATGGGTGTGCACCAATAAACCAGAGTCAAGGATTGTTCCGGCGACTCTCATTCACCATGGGGAAAACAGCCTTAACTACTCCGTACCTAGTTAACTTGGTTAACTATCGATAAGGCGATAAGATAATCACTGACAGGTCATGTGACTTCTGATAAAGCGGCGAGCCAGCGGTGACGCAAGAGTGATTGGAGGGCGGCCCGTGATCAATGATGATTCCATGCAACAGGAATCAGCCAACCCAGCTGCTGCCAGGGTCATTCATCATCGCTCCCCCTCTTTCCCTCGCAGCATCACCACCATCCCTTGAATCCAACTACAGTGGTGGGATCATCTGCTAACCCCCATCAACAATCACCCTCAATTCGCTTTCCCCGCTCTAACTCTACATCAAGCAAGTTGATCTCTCCTCCTTCTGTTACTAAACCTCGGGAAATCCCATCGCAATCATGCCGCAAGGGGAGACCGAACCCCTCCTCCCTCGCTATGAGGAGGACACGACCCTCCAGCGTCGTTTGCATCAGAAATTACACACTTACCAGATGCTCCGGGCCCTCTCCGATGGGTATATGCCTTCCACGGAACAGGTGATTGTCAATCTCCGCACCTTGCTGGCTTCGGATGTGCTCTCCACCCAGACCCATGATGTGGGCTCCGTGGGTCGGCAAATCATCCGCGATTGTCGTCTGTGGATTCAGGTCTTCATCGAATTCCTCAAGGAGAAAAACGAGGATGATAAACTGCAGGAGTTTCTGTGGCATCTGGCTCGCTCTCGAGCCTCGATTGACCCCAATCAGATCCAGCAGCAGGCGCACCGAAGCCGGGTGAGGGCCGACACCAAAGCAGGTACATCACAACGCTCACCCCTCTGTCTTAGAGGATGTTCGTGGGTTAGCTAACTCTACGCCCGCAGCATACGACAGTCTGCGCACCGTGGGAAGCCTCCTACTCACCAATTCCGATTTCCGCTTGTTTGTGGAGGATCTTAGCACTGTCGGGCGGCAGATCTTCTCCGACACGGCATTCTCCTTGTCCAGCGCGACTCAGCAGATTGGCGAGCAGTTGAAACCATCCGAGGAGGAGATTGAAGCGGTGCAGAAGCCAGGTGCGGACGAAGGCCACACACCTACTGGGGAGGACCTGCGACACGAAGCAACCGAGGTGGCCGAGATCGCCGGCAATGGTCTGGCTCGCACTGGTAAAGATGCAGTAAGCAGTGCAAAGGAGCACCTCGCTGGCCGAGAGAAAGAGGCCCTGCTGTACCGGCTGAAGCAGACGGTCCTCAAGCTCAAGGACCGTACTGACTATTCGGACTCCATCTCGACCTTGGGCCAGCTGATTCGTCGATACGCCCAAACCTACGTCAACGCGGCCTCGGATGTAGTCACAGCGGCGGAGGAAGACGTCGAAGTCAATGCAGATCTCAAGCAGGCGATGCAGCAGTTTTGGGTCCTGCTGCAATCGTTCGGTGATGCCGAGGAATGGAAGGCGCTGGAGCAGCGCTTCGAGACCGTCCTGCAGCATGCAAACACAGATCCGGAGTTTGAGAAGTTCCTGTCGGAAACCGGGTCGGTCGTGCAGGAGATGCTAACTGATCCCAAATTCTTTGACAATGCGGAGGAGAAGTTCGATGAGCTGAAGGAGAAGTCCAAAGAGGTCAAGACGGAATCCCGGTTTAGGCAAGACGTCGATGCTTTTCTGGTTCAGGCCAAACGAGCCCTGCGAACTGTGCCAGGAGACAAAGCCGTGGCCAATCTTGTCAACGCAACCAGCAAGCTCTATAAGGATATCTGGGAGGCCTATCACAGTCGCGAGAGCCAGCTACCAGCAGACTTACTTGAGAGTTTCCTGCCTCTGGTTCTCCGTACTGTGCAATTCATCCCTATCCCTCGCTTGGAGATATCAGCGCCCGAGGTTGATCTGCTGCTGGAGAGCTTGATTCTTGAGCCCGGCCGAACGGTCAATTACTCGTCTTTCCTCCCCTACCGCATGCACGTCACCACGCGCAACGACATTGACATCTTGAAGAAGCATTCCAAGAAGACGGCCACAGACATCAAAACCACTTTCACGGCCACCGTTAACGGCTTGAACATCAGCGCGTCTGAGTTCGGGTACTGGATCAGGACCCACTCGGGCCCCTTCCTGCGATTCAAGGACGAGGGTGTCGCCAGCTTCTTCTTGGACAAGCGCGGAGTTGACATCTCGCTCGACATCGAAGTCGGCCGAGAGAGGCTTGAACAGATCTTCACCCTCCGTGGGGTTCGCGTGCAGATTCACAAGCTCGACTACAAAGTGCATCGCAGTCGGTGGAAGTGGCTGCTCTGGCTGACCAAGCCATTCCTCAAGCACCTGGTGCGTCGAGTCCTGGAGAAGAAGATTGCAGAGAAGATCGTCCAGGCGGCATTCGCCCTGAACCGGGAGCTGGTCTTTGCGCGCGAACGGCTGCGGGCGGCCCGGATCGCCAATCCGCAGGATCTGGCCAGTTTCGTGCGGGCTGTGCTGGCTCGACTGAAGGCGCTTCCGGAGTCTGACGTGGAGGCCCGCGTGGGGCTCGAGCCGCCTGGCGAGGGCGTGTTCAAGGGGGTGTATGCACCGGGCAGTCTGGTCAAGGTGTGGCACCAGGAGGCAACACGGGCGGAGGAGGCGATCGAGGAGGGCGACGAGTCTCGCACTCTGGCGGGAACTTGGAGGAACGAGATCTTTGACGTACCTGTTCGTCGTGCTTGATTTATCGATCTGATAGTAGGGATGTTGGGATAGGCAAATTGTTGAAGGGGGCGACAGCCATGGTGTAAAGTCTGTAGTATTCTCGGCGCCTTGGTCATTATTACTAGCGATACGTTTTCAATGAGATGGATGTCCTCTAGTTAGTTAGTTAGCTAGCTACTAGCAATGAGTAATTTCTCCATGAGGGTATTCAAGACTCAGTATGAGCCACGTGACTCAGGGCGGCGGGCGAACATTAGACCGGAGCGCCGATGCGGCCACCTAATCGGTCTCTTCCTACTGACTAGAAGAAGCGATGATAACAGCTCCGCAACAGCAGAGGATCCCACCAACTCCTGCCTCGCTGCTTGAGATCTTGACTGATCTTGAGGATTGTTAGCTGTCTGGTGTTTTTTTTTTCCACTTTCTTATTTTGTCCTTTCATTCTACATCACTACCTTTTCGACACCCGCGAAAATCACTACTGAACACTCATACTCCAGTAGTTCGCTAGCTACTAAAACTACTACTTATACACTACCTACCCAGCCATACGCTCATCAAGCACGAACCACCAACCGAAACGCCACATTTGCGCAGCGCCTAAAAGCATTCAAAAGCAAAAGGCAAAAGGCAAAAGGTCAAACAGAATCATCACCATGCTACCCTCCACAATGCGAACCCTCCTCCTCCTCGTGGCCCTCACCTTGTGTCTGGTGCAACTCGTCCTCGCCGCCGAGGACTACTACAAGACCCTGGGGCTGGACAAATCCGCCTCGGAGAAGGACATCAAACGCGCCTACCGGACGTTGAGCAAGAAGTTCCATCCAGATAAGAATCCGTGAGTTTGCCCTGTCACCCACACTCTACCATCACCCAGCTGCTTTTCCTTCTCCTCCCCTTGGATTATATTCAAGAAAAAACTGTTGTACTCAAACCTAAGGATAGAGGCGACGACACCGCCCGCGAAAAATTCGTCCTGATCGCCGAAGCCTACGACATCCTCTCGACGCCGACCACGCGCAAGATCTACGATCAATACGGTCACGAAGGCATTGAGCAACACCGACAGGGCGGGGCGGCCGGGGGCGGACGGCGCCAGAACGATCCGTTCGACCTGTTCTCGCGGTTCTTCGGCGGGGGCGGGCACTTCGGCCACGCGCCGGGCCACCGGCGGGGTCCCGACATGGAGCTGAAGGTCGGGCTGCCGCTGCGGGATTTCTACAACGGGCGGGAGGTGTCGTTTGGGGTGGAGAAGCAGCAGATCTGCGATGCGTGCGAGGGGACGGGGTCGGCGGATCGGGAGGTGGTGACGTGCGATAAGTGCGCGGGCCGCGGGGTGGTGATCCAGAAGCATCAGTTGGCGCCGGGGATGTTTCAGCAGGTGCAGATGCACTGTGATAAGTGTGGCGGGCAGGGGAAGACGGTGAAGAAGCCGTGTCCCATGTGTGCGGGCCAGAGGGTCGTGCGGAAGGAGGTGGAGACGTTTGCGTCGATCGAGCCGGGGATGGGGAAGGGGACGCGGATTGTCTTCGAGAATGAGGCGGACGAGAGCCCCGATTGGATCGCGGGGGATTTGGTGCTGATTCTGGAGGAGCGGGAGCCCGAGTTGGTCCCCGAGGGCCACGATGGCACCTTCTTCCGCCGCAAGGGCAGGGATCTGTTCTGGAAGGAGGCGCTGTCCTTGCGCGAGGCCTGGATGGGCGAGTGGACGCGCAACATCACCCATCTCGATGGTCATGTCGTGCAGGTCGGCCGCCAGCGCGGTCAGGTCGTGCAGCCCTTGGCCGTCGAGACGGTCAAGGGCGAGGGCATGCCCTACTACGCTGAGGGTCATCTGCACGAGTCGGCCGACGAGGACGAGGCCCCCGGGGATCTGTATATCGAGTATACCGTCATCCTGCCGGACGAGATGGAGAGTGGCATGGAGAAGGACTTTTTCGCCCTGTGGGAGAAGTGGCGTAAGAAGAACGGCGTCAACCTCGATCAGGACAGTGGGAGGCCCGTCGTGGCGCCCCGCCTCGTCAAGGACGAGTTATAATAATATTCTTTTTGACTTGCTTCTTATTTCTTCTTCTTCCCTGAACAAAGTACCGATTGCCTGAGTGGGACAAGCGGATGTGGATGTACCAATCACCCTCTATGCGGGCGTGGCTCTGAGATAGACAGACAAATTATTCAATAGATATTAGCCTGATACCTCCTGTCATTCCCTATGTCCCCCTCGTGTCTCGAAATTGTAAGCATGCTACGAAGCTGCGAGCGGCTACAAGGCAGTTGACTTTCCACAATTCTAAATCATCATCGAACAGAGATGAACGACTTCACACATCCGGCCCCGTCGCCACCCCAAACAGCGGGTCCACCGGCGCAAACGGCGCAAAATCCCCGCCGCTACTCCACGGATCCCCTGACAGACCTTCCAGGGTCTCAAAGTCCGGCATCCAGAACGGACTATCCTCCTCCAAGTCGATCCACGGGGCGAGCTGCAACGCCATACGCACGCCGTGATCCTGGCTGGTGGTCGGGTCGCCAGAGCCTCCAGGATTGGCGTGCGCGTTGGGGTTGGCATTGGCATTGGAAGTCGCGGCGCTGGAGGCTGCCTGCATTGTTGTCGCAGCTCCTGGAGTGGTGTTGGGGTGGTTGTCGCGGAACATGCCGGCGTTGATGCTGCCGCCGCCGCTGCTGTTGTGCTGCGCGGTCATCAGCTCGGCCATGCCGACCTTCTTCGTGGCGTCGGCGCCGTCGAGCTTCTCCATGGCGGCGTTGACGAGCAGCTCAAAGGCGTCGCGGTACTTTTTGACCCACTTGGCGCGCTCGCCCATGACGAAGAGCACGGTAGAGCAAGCGCGGATGTCGTTGCTGAGCTGCACCGACCAGACTTCGCTGGTGTGCGTCCACAGGGCGTAGAGCAGGGTAATGCCGGCCATAAACACGGTTTGCACTGCCAGGAAGGAGTGCCCGTATTCCAGGGTCTGGTGCAGGCGCTTGTGCGTCTGGCAGGTGTTGCCGGCGGCGCGCAGGCAGATGTGATAGTACGGGTCTGTGAGCGGAAGAGAGGGGAGGAAAGGCTGGATCAGCAGTCGGAGAGCCCGGTGATAGTGTAGCATGGGATAGTCGAGATCGGATCCGCTGAATCGGCGGGTTGCGGACTGCTTCCATTCCTCCAGTTCTAGATACAGGCGGTCCATTTTGGAGCGCAGCGTGTGCAGTGATCGATCGGCTCGGTAGATCTTGTGTTGGATCCGGGAGTCGATCCGACGGAGTTTCATGAGGTAGATTGCAAACGTTAAGCTTGTGATCCGGTCCATCGGTGGACTGGCAGTCAGCACAGCCGGATCATGCACGTCGTCATCGACGTCGAGTGGTAAAGGCAGGTCGATGTGTCGGTCTGCGATGCTGAAGGGCCGGCCCAACGACATGGAGACCACACGCTCGAGGTAGTAGACCGTCCAGAACAGACGGCGTCGCATCTGCGCGGTGAATGGATCCAGGTTGTTCTCGTTCGCTTTTCGGTGCAACCCCAGGTCGATGGCTGTTCGCATGGCAAGCCCGACCATGTACCACATGCCCTGGCTGGACGCAGATCGCAGGTGGTATACCACCAGCAGAGTCATGGCTTCGATGTTCTCCACCGACCGTGGCTCGCACATTTTGGGCACGGTCTGTATTGCTGTCGTATAGAATTGCTACCACGGCGGTTAATCAAGTTATCAGGGCCCAGCATGACAGAGAAAAAAAAAAACTCACCTCCGGGACAATGGTGGCAAGGTTCTCACTCAACTTTATCGTGGTTGCGCCAATGGCGTAGACCAGGTACAGCTTGAAGATGCCGAATCGCTCCGCCCTAGTAAGCTCTTCGCGAGGAGTCCTGGCCAACCGCCAGCGGTCTTCATGCAGGCGCCATAGCTCTGTCCGATCAAGGAAAGGATACCTCACATGCAGTCTCGTCAAGTAGGCGCGCAAAATCCGCGATCCCAGCTCATCATTCGGCGGGTCCGTGGTCTTAGACAGCAGCTCGTCCATACGCAACGGTCTCGCCCGCTCTTCTGATGAGGTCTTGTCCCCAGTGGATGGTTGCGGGGGAAGCCCGGTGATGGTCTGACCGGGGAGCTGTCCCACTCGGGTTCCGGTTGGAGTCCTAGACGAGGAGAGAGCTTGGTTCCAGACCGTGGCTTGAACCATCTCTCCGAGGTCTGCAGCCAGAGATAACCCTGAGCTAGATCCTACATATGCCGGGGCCTCCGACGAGTTGAGGGCGAGAAAGCCCACTATCTCCCCCACAGCATTGCGGTCAAGTTCGGTCGTCGACCCCGCCGGTGTCGGCGGATTCTGTGGGGAGAGTAGTGCCGCTACAGGGTGAGCAACATGGCTGCTGGCCCGGCTGCTCTTGGCTCTCGAATCTAGCTGTGACTCCAAATATTGTATGCGGCTCTCGAGAGCCCGCGTGTATCTGCAGGGTATCAGTCGAGTATACTTAGGTGTAGTGAAGCCCGACATGCGGCTTACTCATTGTGAGACGCATTATCATGACGCACGGAAGCTTTGTCGCAGTTCGCTCCGGCTTTGTGACAGTTGGAGCAGATGGGATAGTTGTTGTCACACTGTCATAGTTTTCGTTAACGAGAGTCCCCTCTTCAAGAGATGAAAAGATGCATGATGGACTGACTTTCTGCTTCCTCGTTTTACAGCGAGTGCAAGCGGTTCTCCCCCGCTTCCGAGGATTGTAATCCCGCGAGGGAGAAGACGCTCTGGTGTGGGTGGAAGCTCCCTCAGTCTCCATCTCGCTCATGTTTTCATTGTTGCCACCCCTGTATACTTGTTCAGGACGAATGACGTCGGAGGTGCACGAGGCCAGTTTATGGAGTCGGAGGGAATGTCGGAGGAGAGGAGAGAAGAAGGAATGGAGCGTCGGGCCTCCGAAGACTGCCAAGACCTTGCGGTTCGTCCCGCCGCTAAAGTCAAGCATCGTCTCGAGACGTCTCTGGATTATATACAAATTGTAACTATTGTTTCTCTTCTTGATTACACACATGCTAACAACGCCAAGTTCTCACTCCCTCGGCTTTCTATGATTCCTGTTCCTTGCTAGACGTATTAACGGGAAGAATGGTTGAATGATCCACCGGCGCCGGCTCAGACTCATGCGGTACCTGAGCTTCCACATCCTGACCAGCAGCAGTTCCTTGCTCTTGTTGCTCTCGAGCTTCCGCCTGTCTTCTCTTCTCCTCCTCTTGTCGCTTCTCTTCTTCAATCTCATGCGCATCTTTCGGTCGCTCCAAGCCTCGGTCCCGAATGAGAAGACATGCAATAAGGCAGATACCGATCAATGGGACCTGCAGGATGAACACTGAATGCGATGCCTTGGCGTAGGCGTCGAGAATCTGTTCCCAGTCAAAATCTGAGATACCATCGCGGGATGGGAGGGTATATGAGGAATGCGCAACGTCTTTGTAACCGGCTGGGAGGTTGGATCGCAGCGAGGCTTGCAGGAGGGCCGCGGAGACGGCCAGGCCGCAGGCACCGCCCATACAGCGGAAGAAGTTCCGGTCTGAGATAACGACAGCTCGTTGGGCCTTGGTGCAGTGGGCTTGGAAGGCGATCATGGTTGGCTGAAAGGTCCAGCCCACGCCAATGCCCGCAATTCCCACAATAACGGCAATGGCACCGGGGCTGGTATGACGATCAAATAACAGCATCAGGCCAGCACCCCTGGGATTGTGTCAGATCACCGGTCTGGCAAGTGGTTCGGAAGGGAAGTTGACGACTTACAAGGTCCACATGAAAAAGCCAGCCCAAATCACCTCTCCGTAACGCTTCATTCGTGAAATGTACTGCCCAGAAGTAATCGATGCGAGCGATTGGCAAGCTACCATGGGTGCAGTCAATGCAGCAGACACAATCGGCGACCAGCCACGAGCGTTCTGGTAGTACAAGGGCAAGTAGTAGAGGCATGACTGGTAGACAGCACCAAGAAGGAAACTCTGCAGGAATAGAGCACAAAGCACTTTGTTCTTGAAGAAAACCACTATGGAGACATTAGTATCTCTCTTTCTGCTTCAAAATCCCTCGAACATACCTGGAAGCATAGGCAGAACCGCCACTTTCCATTCGACCACAATAAAGGCAAGGATGGCGCAGCCTCCAATAGTGAGCATACTGATAACCATGGGCGAGTCCCAATTGAAATACGACCCGCCACCAGAGATGGGAATCAGCACGAAGATGATACCGATCGACGAGGCGATAATACCCCAGAAATCGATTCTGCGGACATTCTCCCGGAAACTATCCTTTCGTGCATTGTTAGGAATCAAAATGTACCCAACAATGATGCAGCATGCTGCCAGTGGAGACAACAGCCAGAAGAACCCTCGCCAGGTCGAGTCCATGACAAAAGCTGCAGCGACGAACGGACCAATAACATTCCCAAGCCCTAAAGACGCACCCAGAATGCCTTGGTACTTCCCTCGCTGTTGAAGGGTAACGATGTCCGAGACGATGATCATGGTCAGCGACGTGACGCCGCCCCCTGCAACACCAGCCAACCCTCGAAAGACGTAGAACATGGGGGCATTCTGGGACAGGCCACAAAGCAAGTCAGCTATACAGAGAAGCGCTAAAGCACAGAGATAAACAATTTTTCGGCCGAAGATGTCTGAAAGTCGGCCATATAGCACCGTAAACATAGTATTCGCGATCAGGGACGAGGTCCCAGCCCACGAGATGGTGTCCTGCGCATTAAGGTCGCGGGCAATGGTAGGGAGCGTGACGCTGATGCCATTTTGATCAACAAAGGTAATGAGCAGCGAAACGGCTAGGCCAGAGAAGACAACCAACAACTGTCCGATAGGTAAGATATTGGTTTGGTCGTGCAAAGCCTTTTCGGCCGCTTGTTGCCGATTCATCTTTTCTTCTTCTTCGTTTATGGGAACAACGATCTAGGCAAAGGGATGCCCATGGACAATAATTTTTAGATGACCTCAGACTTGGTCTATTTGGGGCTGCAAATGGTCTCAGCTAGCCCGAGGGGTAGTGAGGTTCGTGTCACAAAGATCGGATCAGGTATCAAAGATTCAAAGCTCGTGCCCTGATAGCTGCCGGCTCCGCTGCATACACTCAATTGAACTGCTGTATATGGGGGAATTCAAGTTGATGCAGATTGGAACACCGTCATGCGGCCCCTGTTTATTTGGTTCGTGGTTCGTGGGCCAATTTAGTAAGAAATATGCTAGACGAGGCGAGCAATTCATTCTTCCTGCAGAGTCTTTATCAGTCCAGCTCTGCAGGGCATCGGACGGACCACCGACAGATTTGGGCGACTCGGACATATTAGCAACGGCCGCTTTTCCTCTTCTCACAATGAATCATCGCGTATGAGCAGCCCCATTACTAACCGAGCCAGGGAATCCGGACCAATTCCGCGCTCTGGTCGCCAGTCATCAAACGTCTTTTTTCCTTTGGCTGTGGGAAAGTGGATCTGTGTGGCGGAAAGTTGGTTGAGCGGTTCCTTTCGGAGGTCCGACTATAGTGCGGAGTTCTGCCGACGTACGCGGCGGCAAATGATACTCCTGCTGGGCAAGGTCTTATCGCAACTAACAAGAATTCAAGTAATGATCTTTCTCTTGGCTTTTCTGCCCGAATGTCTGTGCGGAGATTGAGCTCCTCATAGCGTCTGTTTGCACTATATGCCTACAGTGCACAACATTGTTTTGTGAGCTGCAACTGCCTTGTGGAAATCCAGATGACCCTTGTCTACTCACCCAAGTCGACGTTGGCAATCGATGAGTCCGATTTCCAATCAGACCGACAGATCATCTTAATCAAGGGTCAAATTGTGAGATCCGCTAGGGCTAGAGTCGCAGACCACCCTAGGCCAGATTTTTGCCAGAGCCTAGCAGTTGAGACGGGGCCGGCACGACATACTGTCTCACAAGAAAATCCCCCGGTATATCCTTGCAGGAGAATCGGTCTCAATGCAACAATCAAGAATAGAGCTTCTTTTGTTCCATCTCAATGCAGTGGAACTTACTTTAGAGATTCATATCCTGTGGAACGTTAAGGACGTTCGGCACTGTGAAGGATTCGTCCAAGGTCAACCTTGGGTAACCGGGAGCAGGTGCTGACGTGTTGTGGGCAAATCGATGTGTTGTGTAACATGTTTCATACAAGAAATTCCAGTCTCAAAGCGCGACTAACATATGCTACAGCTTGGGAGGTCGCCTCCAGCTTTGCACGAACCTAAGAGTGTGTATGTGCAAGTGTAAGATCCAGATTACCTGCTGTCCAAGATGGCTGCACGCCACGTGTACCTGTTGCGCTGGCTCCTTCGTACCCCGTGGGTCCCCCAGCACGGTTGTTACTGTCGTGTCCCTGAACCGAGTGTGCTGATGGACCCCCACCAGCTGTAGTGGTACTCGGATTGGGTCCGTGATGCTGAGGAAGAAAGCCCCCGTCCATGACGTTCCCGTGATTAGGGAAAAAGCTCTGGTTCAATGCACCGCATGTGGTGCAGGTGAATTCTATCTTGAAATTCGTCAGGATTGCCTGTGGCGTTGTGGGATGACCGTTAATTGAAGACTGAGTCTGTATCTTGGGCTGCTGTTCCATCTCCTGAATGGACGGTTGACCAGGGCTGGATACACCGTAGTCCACTCTGTGGTGAAGACCATGGCTGAGACCGGCTTGATCCTGTGATTGTGCCTCGGGCGCCTGATGTATCTGGCGGAGGTGCTGCACTTGATGCGTAGGATGGATGTGAAGGGGTGGTTGTACAGGTTGACTGTGAAGATGGGGAATTGCAAGTGAGTTGCGATGCGCTTCGCTCTGATGAATGCTATCAATCAAAGCCGAGTGGATATTGTCTGTGATCCAACGTTGGTTAGGAAGACTGCCAAAGGTCGGGTTGCTCGCCTCCGCCTCCATTGGCGATGGCGGGCTGTCCTGTCGATCTTCGCCGCTGGAGTCATGAGTATTGGTCTCCTCGCTCTGGTTCGGGACTTCTTTCTCTTGTAAGCGAATCAGGGCACGTTGCGCCTGTTGCATAGAAATATCGTAATCATGGTATCGCTTGATGGCTTCAACCACATCTTGGGCCCTGATTTTGTGGCTCGTGTCAAAGAGCTTGGGAATCTCTGCCAGGAGGAAGCGGACATGCGAGGCCTCGGAGCGAGCGGGTGTCCTTGATGTAGTAGGGGTCGCATTGCGCTGACAGTTGTGAGTGTCTTGGAGACTGCTAATGTAGGTCGCGTTCTTGTTTGCGCGACAGACAACGCGAAAGAAACAATTGCTGGATGACCGGCATCCTATTACCACGCTCTTCTTGTTGCTTCTGGTGACGCGGAGCTCCCAGTGTTGCCTCACGGAGATGCTCCGTACCAGAGCTTTGAACTCCTCTAGCGAGCCGAACCGCTGGCCCACGTGGAGCCCCGAGTACATCTCCGCCATCATGGGTGGATGGTACAAGGAAGAATGCGAAGAAGAATTTAAGTTAATTGTGCCTGAAAGGAAGAGTCCATTCGTGAGCCTCCGATTGCCCCAAGGCTCTCAGCACAATAGAGTGTCTTTGGCGCTAGTCGATTCGGCATCATTCGCGCATACTGCGGCAGTTCTTCCCTCTTAGTTCTTTTGAGTTCCTATCGGGAAACAGGGCCAATTTATTAAAAATAGATAAATAGATTTATTGGCAGATGGGGAGGGGGGGGGGAAGGGTAGTGTGATTTAGTAGGATAAATGTTAAAACTAAGGGGAAGCAGAGCACAGGCAGCAGGCTAGATAGAGAGATGATGCTCAAGATGGAGTTCTCGACGGGCCTGCAATCAAAAAGCAAGTAGTCCAAACACAACAACCGCCAGGGGGGGGGGAGTCAGTAATGAATTGTTTCATGGGCAGTAAGTAGTAATCCCGTCGTCCGTACGGAGTAAGTAATGTATTCTTGGCCCAACGAAGAGGAGGAGGTGACAACCCAATACCCAAATCGGCTTAGCTTTCATCTGCGACTTGGCGCTTCAGGTACGGGGTACGTCTTCCGTCTAGTCATGATGATAGTATGAGTATGAGTATAACACGAGTATAAGCCTTCCAGACTCCAGTGCAAATTGCATCATCTTTCCTTCTTTCCGGTCTATGACCATAACTTGAACATAGTAATTGTGCCTTACGTCGAAATTTCAGATCGCAGCTGCTCACCGTTGACAATCCGTTTATAGGTCTGTGTGACATAAGGTCTTCTCGATTCTCCATTCTGCCCCTTGTTTTTTGATGCAGCCGCTCTTGATAGAATTGCTAAATCGGTGTTTGAAACGATATAAGAGCGATTGACCAACATTGAATCAACGTGTATAGTGCATGAAGGGCGAAAGAGTCGTGGTCTTGAAGCAGGTCCAGTTTAGTGTCAAATGTGGCAGGAAATATAAATCGTCCACTACTCGGACCTCGCATGATTAACGACTCCAGTCTCAAAGCATGGCTCCACGTACTATAGCCCGGGACTCGCAATAGACTGTTGTGATCTTTTAAGCTCATTAGAGTGGAGCTTAGCGCCAATTCTGTCCGTTCCGAGCGTCCGAGCTGTGCTTCCTAGACCCCAGCATAATGCACTGTAATATTGTCCCTGTCCGGGAACATAGCTAGAACTGAAGGCTCCATGATCATCTTGCCCACCTGGCCTCATGTGAATGAAGAGTGGATGTGCTTGGACAAACACCAGAATATGCTTGTGTCCAAACAATCAGCACATCGTAGAGGGACCATTTCGCAGATCACATGTCAAAGGTGGCCATTTGCGGACAATGAGAATGGAAAATCTGCTCTGACGCACTTACCAGTAGCTCCTAGGCAATAGGAAGACGATGATTCCATCAGAACAAGACCGGCCGTCCCAAAGCACGCTGGGATCTCTCAGTCAAGAGACATCTTTAATCATCTTCGTCAAGTCCAGAATCCAGCGTTTGTACTCTCGCCGTTGTCTGTTTGCAGTTTGTCTGGGTGATATCTCTAGCAATAGGACCATCAAGGGAGGAAGACTTATTTGTGATTCCGAGCGAGGCTCTGAGACATAGATGAACTCAGCATAAAAGATTACTAGTAGTAAGTTAGTTATCAGCCATGGCGGAAAGCCCGCATTTGATTCTGCCTAGCGTCTAGCGCGGATCTTTCCGACCGCTCGCGCTCAATCACCTTTGAAGCCGGATCGGCTTTTCCCCGACCTGCTCAACCAGCTGTGTGCTCAACACCACTGGATCAACAAGTCACCTTCTTCGTCACTCCATACACAATGGCATCTTATGGGCTATTAGACCAGCTGGACGAAGGTAATCAAACGGACTCGCTCCTTTCCTCCCAAAATCACATTCCACCTTTTCCCTCCCCTCCCATCTCAAACACTCATTCACGCTAATTTCCGCAGATGGCCTCCACAAGTCGCGCCTTCTTAACGTCGAAGAGAAGCCCTTCAAGCGCATCTCAAAACGTCTCCTGACCAACGACTCAGTCCTTGTTCCCAACACATCCCTACCCCCAACTCCCCCGCCGGATGGATCGGACGAGGAGGCTACCGCCGCAGCAGCCGCGGCCGAGGCCGAGAAGCTCAAACGGCACGAGCAGTGGAGCCAGTTCCGCGACGACGTCGCCCTAGATTTTGCCGCCTTCGAGATCAGTATTGCACGCATTCAATTCCTGCTCACGAGCAACGAGAAGGAGCGCGAGCGATACGCGACGGAGAAGCTGGGAATCCTGGATACCATGCAGTCTGTCCGCGATAACACCTCCGAGCTGCGGGTTCAGCTCGAGGAAGCTCAGCGGCTTCTGGCGTTGCGGAAGAGCTACGACGAACTGGCGGACAAGATCACAAGCAACCGGCTCCTGAAGCCGCGCGAGGACCAGCAGGCCAACCTGCAGAAGTTGCAGGCCGAGATCACCGATCTGGAGAAGGAAAGCAAAGAATACGCACAGACGTGGGCAGAGCGCAGGGAGCAGTTCGGGCGCATTGTCGAGGAAGGCATGCAGCTGCGTCGCTTGATCCGCGACGAGAAGGAAGAAGTGGAGCGCAGGGAGGGAATGCAGGAAGGGGAGGATGGTGACGATGGCGATGTGCCCTCCAAGGGCAAATCGAGCGGCGCGAATACACCTCGTCAGGACTCCGAGAGCATGGCTTCCTCGCAGCATAGCCCTGAAGAGCTTGGTCGACTCTCCGTGGGATTGCAAGTGGACAAGACTGGCACAACGGGCGCAGCATCACCTTTGCGGCAAGTGACGGTACCAGATGAAGAGAAAAGCTCGCCGGACTTGGACGCTACGATGGAAGATGAGGGGGAAGTACAAGAAGATTTGGAAGAGGGAGAGGAGCAGGACGATCGCGCTGATAAAATGGATACTACTTGAAAGATCGGAAGCTTTTATGAGCTATGCATTAAGCGCGGAGTTGATTGGCGGCGTTACAATTCATGGTGGCTAATATTTACAACGATTTCGAATCCTTTTCCCCTTTCTTAGCGCAAGATTACAATGATTGCCGTGTTAGCTTTTGATGTATAGACAGAAGTAGTGAGAACGAATTCACGCGATTTCTCGCTCGGCAGTCCTGGCTTGGGAGACGGCCTCCTTGGCAGCATTGATCTGCTCGACATTGCTCTCGGATCCCTTCTTGCCCTCCTCAATCTGCATGAAGAGCATTAGAATTTTGAATTGGTAGGCGAATTGAACACCAGTAGGCAACATACCAGTAACTGATCGAGCTTGGCAATCGCATCTTTAATCTTCTGCTTCAGGGTCGGAAGGACCTTCCTAGTCTCTTCAAGTGCAAGGCGCTGTTGTGCGAGGAATCAGTAACAGCAGCTTTTAGTTTATGCTCGGCGGTACCAACCTCCTGCTTGAGAGTATACTCCTTGTTCTCGTCGTCACCACCCTCTCCAGACTCGAGCTTCTTGATTCTCTCCTTTTGCTGCTGCATCTCGCGGTGGTAGGACGATTCCTCCTTGACCAAGCGCTGGACAGATGCCGTAGCAATCTCAAGCGGGGAGCGGGGTGCCATTGTGTTTTGTGGATCTGTAAAATGTCAGATTATAATCGTCATAGAATCAATGCTACTAAGTTGAAGAGACCCTAGCATCGGCCGGTGTATCCACTGAGTAGGCACGGCTGAGGCTGAAGGTTGATAAATATCAAGCTGTGCAATTGAGAATCCCGAGCTGCGGGGAGATGGACAGCTCGATCGGAGCTCAGGTTCTGGGAAGCTCTTTTCGAGGCACTTCTCAAAGAGATAAATGAAAAGTGCTGAGAAGTACTGACCTGTGTCTTGTATACGTTCTCCAAAGAATATGTACGACGTAGATGAATCAAAAGGGTGCTCTGGTGTTTGGTTCGAGTAGAATCTATTCTGCCCCTCCACTAGGTATGAATCATGATGCTATCAAACGACGATTTGCAGTGTTTGCACCGAATGATAATCTAACATCAGCACGTGAAGAGGATCCTTCCGTCACCGCCTATTGCATCATGGCAGGCGGTGTCATCGGGCAGTATTTCCCCCCTTTTGAGCCAATGAGCTCATTGTCCACGGTATGATGATACAAGCCCGACAAAAGGCGCATTCAGTTTATCTTGTTCACCACCACGCATGAAAAGGCTCCAGTGGTCAGGGCTCATGCGACCATGGTTTAGGCTCTTGGGACTACCTTCATATATGTCTTACTCTCTCGAATCTTTCATTCTCGTCATATATGATAGATGTCACATGCCCAGAACTTGGTTATTCTATGATTTTACACCCGGTTAAGAGACAAGAATGCCGCCGCCATCACTCCTCCAGCTCTGCACGGCGGCTGCCATCAGAAACGTCAAGCGTAAGCAACGCCCGAACGCCTCCTTTCTGCTCATCTTCTCGAAGTCTAGTCGCTCACATTACTCGTTACTTATTAGATTTGAACGATATCGGAAACATTCCGTATGCCCTCGCGCGTCCGTTCCTCCTGAAGGTGGAGAGTCCCGAGAAACTGGTAAGTCGCGCATTCCCCGATGGATCATCAAGAGAGCTTTGCACTAATTGGCCGCGCCGTGGATACCGACAGAGAGCATTAGAGATTCAGTCGCCGCATCTCATGCGCGATGACGAGGAAATATGGCGCGAGTTCATCAAGCGGGACATCCCGCAATGGGAGAAGTACGATTTGCCCGAAAAGCCCGACTGCTGGTATGATGTATACTGCGATATGAGGGAGCAAGTGCAACGGGCAGTCGACGAGGATGCAGAGAAACTCCGGATGGCTCTGGATGGCATCAGCTCCGAAAGAGCAAAGCATAGTGCCAAGCTACTCTCTGACCGGGACCGGCGCATCATCGGCCTTCGTCAGCGGCCTACAGCGAAGCAGCGCTACGCTTGGCACGATCGAAGCATGGGCGGCATCAAGCCAGTCTTCTCCGCTGCGAGGTCAGGGCCGGGCTCCTCAGACCCGTTGAGCGCGCCGGCCTGGCAGTTCGACCGTCCCTCCGTACCGCGACCCGAGACGAAGAAGAAGAACAGCATCTTTGCGGCTACAAAGCGGAACAGCGTGCTTGCCATTCCAACGAAGCAGCTCAACAATAGGGCTTCGCAGGTTCGGCAGGCGCCACGGTCGTTGATTGAGGAACATCGGCGACCTATCGAACCGGTCGTTCCTCGCCGACGAGAGAATACCGCTCTGACCATGAGGGCGCCCGGACGGTCACGGATGCAGGGTGCTGCCGGTTTCTCGGGCCAGAATAATCTAGCAGTTGACTCTACCCTGCGGGATAGAGAAGCCCGGCTGCGGGCGATAACCTCCGGACGACCATTAGACTCCCAAGGGAACTCGTCTGGCTCAGAGACCACGAGTAGACCGCATTCTACACGTCCGGAGACGGCCGCGCCGACATCTTCATCATCACATACGGTTTGTTTGCCTCTCCTGCCAAGCCTAACAGGTAGGGCTTTGCTGACCATGCAACAGACAATTGCAGTTGATTCGACTGCGACCGCACCTCGTCCACTAGTTCGGAAAAGACCAGCCCCCGCCAATCCGCTCCTTCAACCCAGAAAGAGGAAACCAAACTGATGTTTGGCTTCATCACTACCGCGCGGGGGCGTTCTCTATTTCAGCCTTATATACTCGACTCCTCGTCGTGGTCTTACATCCTCTCGCGATATAAAGCCCAGTGTATTAGCATAATCTTGACCTCTTCAAAACCGCCCTTTTATACCATTCCTGCAATCTGCGCATTTCACTTTTTTCACTTTCTCTCCAAAGTTCATCTAGACATGATTGTTGGTTTCCGGTTTGGCGCAATAAGCTTCTACGATTTTCTGCTGGGGTTGAATTTAGACGGGTCACAAGGCGAACTGGGTTGGAACTTTTTCTCGCGGGAAGTCTATGAATTCTATATGTCCTTTGATACATCTATGCACGATGCACCTTGGTTTCTGCTTCACCTAACGTATTACGGAATCGACTCTCATCTTTCATAAGAGCTGTTCCATGGACTTCTCGAATTTATGAACTTCATTGATACTCGATTCTTTCTCCATTAGCACCAGACCGGACGCGACTGACTCGCGAACCGGAACGCGCTCAATCCATTACTGCTGACCTCAATATCGTATGGCATCGACAAGACTGTCGTTGAAAAGCGCGACCTGTGTGCACTCCGATTCTGTACGCCTGGAAGAAAAGCCTGGGTAACAATCGCACGAGATATGATCCCAGGAATCCAGTTCCGAAAACATCAACACAGGGGAGAGATGCTGGGTTTGATGACGATGCTAGGACGTTTGAGTCAGGAAGCTGGGGAGCCCAATTCTTCTCCAGAGAACACTCGCGCACAGCCATGGCAAAAGGGGGTTTGTATCTGTTCAGTTCATTCTGCCCCCCTCTCGTGGCATTCGATTTAGATGCCACCACGAAGCGCGAGAACCAAGTGTAGCGTCGCGCCACCTTCAAGGTTGTACTCTGCGGCGGTTTTGTCATCGGCCCTGTTGGTTGAATGAATAAGTTAGTTTGATAGGAAATATTGGGATTATTTGTTGTCGGTTGTGAGGGGGTTCGGGGGAGGGGGTGAATGCGGGGAAGTAAGCGTACATTTGCTTGCCTCCGAAGATCAACCGTTGCTGGACAGGGGGGATGCCTTCTTTCTCTTCCACACGCTCTTTTATCCGGGAGACCTGTGGTGTTTCAAGAGTGACGGGTTAGCGATGAGGCTTAGATTATTTTTTGAATGGGAGGCGAGGAGAGAGGGGCTGGTTCTTGCCACACGACGTAGGATCGCTGGCATGTTCACCAAGAGAGAGAATAGAATAGTAAATGTACCTTGTAGTCGGGTTCGATGTCGAGTTCGATCTCCTTGCCGGTGAGTGTACGGACTCTAAGCTGTGGTAAGCCGGTGTGTTCATGGGGATAACGACCATTGTTTCTCTCTCTGCGTCATGGATCGGCTTGAAAAGCGCCGGGACCAGAAGCGGACGGGGAGTCGGGTTCCATGGCGCGCAGGTACACTCACTTGATCAACATTTTGAAGTATATGGGCGATCTAAATGGAATGGATAACGGTGTGGAGAGGAGGAAAGGCGATCGCGCAGCGCAAGACTTATGTCCGGATATGCGAGAGAGTTGGGGTAGTAAGCAGTGGTTGTTCGGTGACGGAAAGCCGCGGCGGGGTTGCTTCGCTCTGGTGGGGCCATCGACAGAGAGTGAAGGAATCCGCCGAGAGCGTCAACATTCGGCAGGGACTGTGTAGATGGCTTTCTTATAGAAGCGCAAAATTGTCTCATCATTGCTACAAATGATAGGGAAAACAATAATTTATAGTAGTGGCTAACCAGGTGGTTATTTCTCGAGTAAGGTATATTGTTTTGGCATATGGCGTGCTATGACAGCCTGAGATCTTTCAAACGGTAGTTAGACCGGGGTTTGTAGACCATTATATATAGCAACTAGTGGCACTTGCTGCCAGACTGGATTTCCTCGCTACAGCTTAAATTTTCCCATAACCCTTAACCCTCGCACTTCTTAGACTTATCGCATTGCGTCCTCCAGATCACACTCATAAGAATGAGTGCCAATAGCAAAACATCCAACCCCTTCGATGAGCTGATTGCTGAATGCCAGAATGACCCGGTACTCACCCCGTACGGTTCCCATGGCTAAAACCCCGGACGAGGCACGCTCATCCGTGACAGGGACAAATCCAAGCGCGCTACGAAGCTCATCGATTCAGTCGAAACCTGCAACAGAAGGAACAGTTGCTCGATCCCAGTTTCGCCGGTTGGCAGGTGGATGAGATTCTGAAACGCCTGCACGAACAAGCCGAAAATGAGCAAACTGATGCCGCGGCGGGCCCGATTATTGATCCCCGGCATAGCCTGACTATCCTCGCGCGTCCACCGCGGCATATTCGAGACTTGGTCGCTGAGATCCAACAAGAGATCAGGAACGTTGCTCCAAGTTCGTCTAGCTACTCCCCACCGCTGATTTGACCTTTTGAGTTATCCCTGCCACACGAAACTGATCTGCATCGGAGATGAAAATGGCTAGGCCTTTGGTTCACACCCCCGAACTATTTACACATGACCACCTTGGAGATCGCTAGGTGCCGGACGAAACCAGAGATAGAGGACTTGACCGCTCAGCTTGAGCGCAGTGGCATCATACCGCAGTTGGTGGACTACGCATTTTATCATCGCACGCGGCTGATCAAGCCGGTCATCAGCTACGATGCGACGGCAATGGCCCTGAGTTTCATCCCTCAGGCTGGTGGGGACATGAGCCACAGTCGTGAGAATGAATATTACGATGATCAGTATACTTATCACCATCTGCGAAGGGATGTCTCCGCGCAGATAGCGGCGATAGGGTTGCCGATGAAACCCAGGTACATTGCTCCTTCGGCGCACCTCACCATCGCACGATTCATCACTCGCGAGGGGTTCTTGTTGAAAGCGCATGGCTTTGAGGGGGAGGAAGGCAAGGTCGATCGCGACCGAGTGGCCTCACTGATAAAAACTATTGAGACCATCAATAAGAGACTCCAAGCAGAACATTGGCCTCGTCGACAGGATCCCCTACCTCGAGAAGGCGAGTGGATGGTGGGACAAGAGCGAGGGCTGGAAATCTGCATTGGAAGATCATTTTACGGAGGCGGGGAATGCAACCGTGTAGGGAAAGGCTTTTGATTAGAGAGAGTCATAGAGTAGAGAAGTTGTCGTTCGCGATGGCTAACATGGTTGTGTGGATCACGGTATGATGACTATGGATTCTGTTTCATGACGGTCGAATGATTAAATTAATGGTAAGTATGAGAAAGCTGGGACAGTGATACATAGTTTGGCTACAGTTGCCTGAGGCACTAATGATCCGTCTTGGCTGCTGACACACAAACGCGGTTAGGCCGCACCCTAAGCGAACGAAATCCCACAACCCACCGCACCGCCGCCAGCCCGACTTGATCCTCCCCGACAAGAGACTATCAACGACCACCAAGTTCGCGATCCGGCCAAATCAGTCAAAATGGTAAGGATATTGTCCTGTTGATTTTTCACCTCGATTTCCGTGTTCCTGGGAGTCCGACATTTTTTTGTTCGACGAAACGGCAATTATTGGATGGGCGAGATGGCGATGCTACGATATTCGACCAACCGATTCTCGGCGACGAGATGTACGAATCACCTGCGACCGACATCTATGGCGGCAGAATGAACGACAAAAAACGGGCGAATATGAAGAAGAATTCGATATGACGATTCTTTGGCGACAATCCGTGGGGAGAGGCGCTTGAGCGGTTGTTTCGTGCCATCAGGGCGAGTCATCGGGTCGCAACAGAATAGACAAAAAAATCTTTCGCCATGACCATCCAACACCGCGCCGTATATTCGATACCCTCGGGTTTCACTGCCAGACCACTCGCTGCCAGTCGCTCATCGAGCAAACGATATATGACGCCCGGGAACACACTGCACTTAGCATCTTGTCCACATCTCCCACAGCAGAGGCTGATCCAATCTCTCTCGAATTCAGGTCAACGTTCCGAAAACCCGCCGGACTTACTGCAAGGGCAAGGAGTGCAAGAAGCACACCCAGCACAAGGTCACCCAGTACAAGGCTGGAAAGGTGAATACTGCCCGCCCATGAGGTCTCCTCGGCTATGAAGCGGCATACTGATGCAGTTTTGTTATCTCCCTTCTAGGCCTCCCTGTTCGCCCAGGGTAAGCGTCGTTATGATCGGAAGCAGAGCGGTTATGGTGGTCAGACCAAGCCCGTCTTCCACAAGAAGGCCAAGACCACCAAGAAGATCGTCCTCCGTCTTGAGTGCACTGCTTGCAAGCAGAAGAAGCAGCTCTCCCTGAAGCGCTGCAAGCACTTCGAGCTTGGGTACGTCTTACCGGACCCCCCCGCGCGCTACAATTCCGAGGATGCTAACGGATTTCGACGAATAGTGGTGACAAGAAGACCAAGGGTGCTGCTCTTGTTTTCTAAATTTGCGGTTTTCTTGTTCGGCTCTGGGTTTCCTGCATTGCTAATCCGGCGGTGGCATATGACAATGGCAATGGAAAATGAAATAGGGTCTACATATTCAAAAGAAAAAAAGAATATATGACTCCTAGTTGACGAGTCTCTTGACGAAACCATCCGTGTGTGTTTTGATCCGTAATACTATGCGTAGTTTACCCTGGCCGAGCGTGGCGATGAGGCTGATGACAAGTTACCCCGACATCCTTATCCTGCCCTAATACAGTCACTCAGTCGTTGTCTAGTTCTAATAGCACTACCAACTGATTTTTGTGTCCGTGATAACGCTAGGGTACTAGGCTACTACAGTCTTCTTCTCCAAGCGGTCGGACAAGCCGGCCAGATTGATGAAAAAGGGGGGTTCGCGTCGATCGGGGATAGTGTAAGCCCGATGACACTGTGCAGTCCGACATGCGCAAGCACAGAGGTCAGACTGCCGGGTACAAAAATAAGATTAATCAATGTTGTGTTCCTTAGAACACTTTCAGAGATTAAACTGAAAAGAACAGATACTACACTTGATCTAAGCCAAAAGGCAAAGAGAGCTGGA